AAACTGTGTCCAATGTCAGCATCAGCAAGCTGCAGGAAAGAGAAGAGGCCAATGAAGCTCGTGCTTCCTCCAAGCTATGCTCCCCCGGCGATCCGTTTTGCGCGCAGAGCAACGGAGGGGCAGCTGATTCGCAAGTTTTTTTTCTTGTTACGTACCGAAGAGCCAGAGGCCAACTTCCTCAATGCCATAGAAGACGCCATTGTGAGCGAAGCAAGAAATCCGGGGTCACCAGGCTGCGTCCGCGCAAAAATTTGAAGCAGCAATGGCTTTACACTGGCAGCTCGGCAATGCTTGGAGGTTTGGCAGCGTATGTCACGTTTTCGTAAATGGAGACTTCGGAAAAGCATGTGTCGGTCCTCGGCTATCTTGGCCAATCAGAAGCTGTGTATTTGTAGTGGGATCGGGATTAGTAAGGATATGGGAAGCAGACGGCTCAAAGCTGGTGCTAGGAGGTACGTACCGATCCTTGTGATGCCGGGCGAAGCACTTTATACGACCATAGGGTGCAAAGCCTGATGCGGTTATATGGTGAAATCTTCTGAATTGGTAGGTACAGGTTATAACATAGTTGACAATTTTAGGTATTTTTTTCAATTCCAGTACTCGGTTTCTCTTAGCAGCAAGTGTCGCAGGATTGGAGAAAACAAACCGGGATTCTTTCCTACCCGTACGTGTATTCTCAGCTGCAATGGCCCCATTTTACTCGGCACGACAGCAGCCATTGGGCAGGGAAGAAAGAATCTGCCCACTAACAACTTTTGTCAACACCATACGACCAGCTGTATTTGCTGGACAAAAAAATCTTGATCTGCCTCACCAGCAATAACGGATACCATCTTGTCACTTGAACAGAGTAAACACACTCTTTACTCGCCCTTATTCACCTCGGATCTGGCATAAAAGAATTTTCAGTGTCCAAAAATTGGTCGATTCTCTACCTGCGAATAACATCATGCCATCAGCAATCTCACACGAGGATCACGATTCAATTGGTGAGAGCCATTCTGATTCAATTCCAACTCACCCACTCGGAGTCAAACCCCTGGGGAACCAGTATCTCGCCACAGGCCCAAATGCCCGAAGAAGTATCGGCACGTGGGCAATTCTGCCCGATGAGATCCTTGCCCTTGTTCTCGAGGGCTTCGACAAAAGCTCTCTGTTGAGCCTAGGGTCTACATGCAAGTTTTTATATGCCTTCTGCCATTCTGAAGAGTTGTGGAAAGCCCTATATCTTCGGTAAGTTTTAGTTATGCTTTCCCAATGTATCATATCTAATTCCATCGAGAACCTTTATTCCATCGATCGTGTAATTGATGACATGAGCTGACATGCACCAAACTTTAGATCTCAGTCAAAGAGTAGCCCATCTATTAATTGGCAGGGATCATGGAGATCCACCGTCTTGGGGCTTGTCAGTGATCGTCAAGCAAAGGTTGACTGTGGCAACGTCTTCTCCGATGTCCTACATCGACCTTTTGCCTGCAGCAATATTGAGCTGGCAAAGTTTGTCACTGGGATACCAAAGGCTAATCAGATTCGCCGGTTTGAGAATCTCACATATGAAGAGTATGCCGAGAAATGGACCGAACAGCCATTTGTCTTGACACAATGCATACAGGAGTGGCCCGTTTATTCTCAATGGACCATCGATTCCCTGCTCGATAAATACGCGGATGTTGAGTTTCGTGCTGAAGCAGTGGACTGGACATTTTCACAGTATTGTGGTTATATGAATCGGAACAGAGATGAAAGCCCTCTCTACTTGTTTGATCGAAAATTCGCTGAAAAGATGGAGCTCAAGGTCGGACACTCTGAAGGTGCCTCGTACTGGCGGCCGGACTGCTTCGGGCCAGATCTCTTTGAGGTCTTGGGTGATGAGCGGCCGGCTCACCGGTGGTTGATTATCGGCCCCGAACGAAGCGGGTCTACTTTCCACAAGGATCCCAACGGGACGAGTGCCTGGAATGCCGTGATTCAGGGAGCTAAATACTGGATCATGTTTCCACCAACGGCCGAGGTACCCGGGGTTTACGTATCTTCGGACAGCAGCGAGGTGACAAGCCCTCTAAGCATTGCCGAGTGGCTGCTCACGTTCCACGACGAGGCGAGACAGATGCCCGAGTGTGTTGAGGGCATCTGTAATGCTGGAGAGATCCTCCACGTCCCGAGTGGATGGTGGCATCTCGTGGTGAACATCGAAAAGGGCATTGCGCTGACGCAAAACTTTGTTCCCCAGTCTCCCAGCCTAAACCTTGTTTCCGAGGTCTTGTCGTTCCTAAGGGACAAGCCGGATCAAGTGTCTGGTTTCTCGCGAGATGTGGAAGATCCCTTTGGCCTATTCACAGCCAGACTCAAGCACGACTACCCAGATGTTCTGGAGAGAGCACTGGAGCTGGCTGATAAGAAGAATGGCAAAAAGAGGAAGTGGGATACAGCAGTGGGCCGAGATGAAGAGCAGACAGAAGGGGGGTTTAGCTTTGGATTTGGAGGCGATGATGATGATGAGATCCCGTAACGGCGGTGTATTTACGATTTATGAGTATATCTGGGAATTGATGTGCATGATTGACACGAATACACGGAGTAGACGCACACAGCTTCTGTACCTATCTGTACGAGTAGTTACTGATATCTAGTAGTAGATATGCAGGATGCTGGAGTCTGAATGGAGCACTGGGTAATGCGTATATGCACGACAGCTTGGACTTTGCGGGGCTCAGCAGGGTGGCTCTGCATGAATCCTCTGTTCTCTGTGTTGTAAGCAGAGACTCATCCCTGACACATGTTGACTATTGGCTGCGGAATAGGGAAATACCCAGGTTAGTTTCCATGAGACCTGTGGCGCTGGCAGTGAATACTACTCGTAATTGCCCAAACCCTCGCGGCAATTGCCCATTGGGTCATAGTAAACACGAGCTAAAGATGGAATCAATGCTGGCACCCTTGTCCCTGATTCTTGACCTCTGATGCGAAACAACCACAGCTGGTGGTGAGATGCGGAATGGCCGTTTATGATGCGGACGGAATGAGAACTGGCAGCAGTACGGAGATGTGAATGAAGGCGCTGGGCTAGGCTACTGTAGATATCGGAGCTGGAGCCGTCAATCTTAGTACTACTAGTTGGACCTGGACTGGGGTGAACGAACTGGCGCTTGGGCTCCAGGAAACGCTAATCACCCGATTTACCCAGATGTCAAGCCGTAAGATTCAATGGGATGGAGAGTTTCAGGCAGGGGGTCCAGGGGATGGGCTTGGAGGGCATCCAAGATTTGCACTACCTGCAGTGGTGGTGCAGAGTCTTGGGTGGGATTAAGGGGGGATTGCAAATCAACGGCCGTCAAAAGTGGCCAAGCAAAAGCCGACCACGTCACCTCACAGCACAGCTCCTGAGCGAGTGAGTTGCAGCAAGAAAAAGCCACCCGCAAGCACAGCATTCAGGTTAATCTGGCGCTCGCCAATCACTGGGCGCGGAAGCGAGGACTGGGCAACCAACTGACTCGGCACTACTGCTGCTAGCACTGGGAGTTAGCTGTGACTGTCCATGTTAGACAAGTTAGAGCACCGCGAAGGAGCCTTTAGCGTCCGCGGCTGTCAATGGATGCAGCTGTTGGCCCTCAAGTGCCTGTGCTTGTTCTTGTGCTATTGATGCTCGCTCTATCTTGTCCGGTGGAAAGGGGGAGAGGAAGAGAGAAGTACTAGCTGCTAGGCTAGTAGGTAGAGGAGAGGAGAGGAGAGGAGAGCAACAGACAGCTCCCATCTAGCCTATGCTGGTGTTTCCAGGTGCTATGAAAGGCAGAGAGTGAGGAGGGACGGAGTAGATGCACGCAGTTAGTTAGCGCTCTAGGTAGGTGCCTTGCCATCCATTGAACGCAGCAGCCGCAACATACGCACGTTATTGCGGCTCTTTGCAGCCTTGCTCGACTGGATGGATGTAGCAACTACCTAAGTTATATGTGCTTCAATTTCCATCGACATGTCCCAGCAGGTAGCCCAGCCGCAAGAACAAGTGGCAGAAACACAACGAATTACCCAAACAGCCTCTCCAAGGCTCCTGTACTGCCTACCTCGCCCAGCCTTAGCGGTACCCAAAGCCCCCCCAAAAGGAACCGCCCGGGCAGCTAGCGGCGGGCTTTATTACTGGGCCTCCTACTACAAGGGGCGGGCCACCAAATTCGCCTCCACCACAGGACCTGTCGCGAGTCTCGTCCATCTGGTCAGCATCAGCCCTTCCTCCGTCTCTCTCGCCGTCTCGCTGTCTCTCCATCCTCTGCAATCCTCTGCCTTGACCGCAGCAGGGCCTTTTTTGGAGGGGGCGACGATACACCAGTCCGCCGTCGGCACAGCGAGTGCGGCGCTCGATTCCTCTTCGACTTTGTCTTTGTCTTTGCTGGGCCGGGGTTTGCGACGCAATGTAAGCTTCGTCGCTCGCCTTCTCCGCCCTTTCTTCACCGTCCACGCGCCTCTGTTTCCGCTCCGGTTCTTCGATTCTTCGATTCTTCTTCGTTTCTCGGCTTCTCCCGTCCATAATAAATGCACTTCTGATTCACTGTTCGCTATCGTCCTTGTCCCGTAATAGTTTCGCAGCTGTAAGTGCTTGTGACTCTGGTACATGGCTACCTACCCCTAGGAGGTAGCTTTGATAATCGGACCTTTGTGGAAAGCATATTGGCCAGCAAACACTGACGGTGCCTCTTCTTAGGAGCTTGTACTCTGTTCTTTGTTTATCATCTGCCCGCGCTTTGGTTCTCATCTTCATCTTCTTTTATTCACCACCACTTCCAAAGCTTCAGCTTTCCTCTCTCCTCTTCTTCGCTATTGGTTCCACCATTCGGCCATTTATATATTACGACTACTTCGATCGCAAGCGGTGACCTTTTAGCCTTGCCCGATACCGATTCTCTACCGAGTAGAATACTCGCCGACATATATCATACATATCTATATATATACTCTCTGGTGTTTGGGTTGGTCTGCCTTGCCAGGTCCTACCACCCGCAACCATGGTATTAGACGAGCACTACGAGATGTGCCTGCCTATCCTGCAGGACCCAAGACTCGAGGATGAGGACAAGACGGATAGAATAGAGGAGCTGTTCAAAAAAGAAACCAACCTGATTGGCATGTCTCTGGATAACGCCATCCTCGATGTCATGTGGCGATGGCGTGAATGCGGAGGGACCTCAACGTCACCGCCTCCCATCCGTCAGACCATCCTGCGACGACCATCTCCGGCTTCGTGGAGGGGCGGAACTCCATTATCAGGCTCGCCCCGGCTGGCCGTCAGTCCCCTTGCGCCGCCTGGATACATTCCCGCTACCTTTGGCAGGACCAAATCGGTCACAGCCTCTCCCTTTGGGTCGCCGCGGGCCTCTCCTCGCCTGGCCCTTGCGACCCCTGTGATCCCCCATAGCCCAAATCTCAATGCGTACGAGTTTGCCAGCGACCCCACCCCCGCCCCCGAGATTCTCGGCGAATATCAGATCGAGAACGTCGACTGGCTGGTCAACGATGACACAATTAGCCTCTCCTCGTCTGTGGGCAGCACCACCACCAAGAGCCTCAATGCCGCTGCCCCTGAGTTTTCGTCCATGTCCTCGCAGCAGATCGACATGTCGCCTTACGACATGCTCAGGTCGATCCTGGGGTATACGAGGACTGATGAGGAAATTGAATCAGCCCTTGCGGCACACAACTACGACCTGAGCGCAACCATCACATCCATGATGGAGGTTCCGCAAGACGGCGGTGTACGGCTTGATGAGCCCAAGAACGTCCTCATTGGCAAGTCGATATCTGCAGAGGGCCGCCCGTCCACCCCAGTCAACCAAAAGGCTGGCGTCATCTGTAAATTTTACATGTCGACTGGCCAGTGTCTACGCGCAGACTGCCGCTTCAGCCACGACCTTAGCAACCACCTGTGCAAGTAAGTCCAGAAAGCGCAAATTCAGTTACAAGATAGTTCCAAGTCCAAACTCGCTAACCTTGCCAATCTAGATACTGGGTCATGGGCAATTGCCTCGCCGGTGAAACGTGCATCTTCTCGCATGATCCATCTAAGCTCGTGAGCAAGATGTCTCTGGAGAGCGGCACAAATACTCCTACCAGAAGCCATAGCAGCTTGATGCTTCAGGATATGAATTCATTCCCCTCCCTGCAGTCAGGTGATTCCGATCAGCATGGCGCCTTTGTTGGCAGTCCCAACTTTGCCTATGGAATCGGTTCATCGCCGGGATTGCGGTCCTTACGGGCGGAGAGCCCACGGCCGAGGTCGCGGCCTGGAAGCCGGCATCAGCTCAAGGAAAACCATGCCGTTGCCCCAGCCCTTGACGACAATGAGGCCTTCCCGTCTCTTGGCTCGGCCATTGCAAAGCAAGGAAAGAAGCATCACGGCAAGCGAGGCGGCCATGGCCACAAGGAAAACGGTACTCCCAGCTCTTTGGCGGACATTGTCAAGATGAATCCTCCTGCGTCTCCGAGGCTGGAAGTGCGCAAGCCCGTTAGCAACGGCAACGGCACCATCGGCAAAGATGGCGAAAACAGCGCTGCAGCGCTTGCGATTCCTAGCCCCAGGCACATTCCTTGGCTGGAAACCGGGGAGCACGCCAACAAAGCATATCTCAAGGCCCGCCAAGATGCTATCAAACATGGCGGCCTCAGGAATAAGTTTTTGCAAAGGTACGTCTACATGCCATGACACTGAAACTAAGACGGATTGAAATGCTAACAACAACTCCAGCGCTGCTCAAGCATGGAACCGCAACGATGCCAGGGCCGCCAAGGCTCTCAGTCTCCGTGGCCAGAGTGAGAACGACTTGATGAGAAAGGCTCACAGGGAGGCAGCCCGCGAACTCTACGAGGAGCGAAACAAGAGTTTGGACGGCATGTCAGAAGTGTACGTCGACCTCCACGGTCTTCATCCAGAGGAGGCCGTTGAGTACCTCGAAAAGGTCCTCCTAGAGAACGAAAAGGGAGGCAGGCCTATTTACGCCATCACCGGAACTGGCCACCACAGCAAGAACGGTAAGGACAAGGTGGGAAAAGCGATCCGCGCATTCTTGAACGAGTGGAGATACGCGTACCGCGAGTTTTCCGTGCCGGGAGACCGCAACAGCATGGGCGGCATCCTGGGAGTGGACGCCGGCAGCTGGGACAAGTCGCTGGCAAGAGATGGAGCTGACGAAGACAAGGTCACCGTCGACATTCTCAGCCAAGGCGTCGAGATTGGTGATGGCAAAGTCCGGCTGCTGGTCAGGGACCCTCCCAAGGGGCCCAGCGGCCGTCGATGACAAGGCGAGAACTAAAGAAGTAAAAGACTTAAAAACCAATGCAAAAAAAGGGGGGACTACCTAATAGTTGGAGGCAGAGCGAGAGTTAGGTAGAGTGTATCTCAAGAACAAGTGAACTATCTATACTCTTGTCGTGGCATGTCGGCTTTTGTGAATGATGGTTGACAGTTGATGTTTCCCAGCTGATACTGATAGGGACACAGTGCAGTGAACTGATAATACATCCTCGACAGCATCATCATATACACACATATATTGATTGTCTACTGATATAGGTAGGTACTAATATAGGTACTTGGTGCACTAGAAGTTGCATGACTTTTGGTCGACACACGCCGTGTATCAAGCAGTTCGTTAAGTCTCCTGGATTGCAACGTTTCTACAGCAGCAGCTCCCATTGGTGGACTGTACAAGAAGGGCCGTTCCTTTTAACGCCTTTAAAGGTGACGGTGGGTCTGACGTAAGTACAAGTGCTCGTACCAGCTCCTTGAGTTACGCCCCATCGTCATCCAATTGGGGGGAGGAAACACGGAGTACAGCGGTCTCAGGTACACAATACGGGTGCACGCACAGGTACCTGGCCGCTGTGCCTCAGTCGATGCGCCGCAGAGGTACATGCCAGGTACCTTGTTATCGACCGACACCGCCACCGATGGATGACGAGGAACCAAGAGGGCTTATCCCAAAGCCCTTCTCATCCTCTTTGATTCCTCGTTCTCTTCTTCTTCGTGAGGATCATCGCAATTGAATTAATCCCCCCCTTTTCGCATTTTATTAAGCTTGATTGTGCGCCGACCGACGGACTTGATTCGCCGCAGGGGAAAATAACGAGTCGGAGCGGTTCCGATCTCGATAATCTCGACCGAGCGATCCGCCAAAACTCAAAACCAACATTGAAACTTTTTTTTTTTACACGATACTTTTTCTTGGATCCGTGATGGAGAATTAGGTGGATAGGGGATTCATCTTTTCTTTTTGGGGGCTTTCGATATTCGCATATTCGACTTTGGCCTTTTTTTGTTGTTCTTCTTTTCACGGTATCTATTCGCTTTCGATTCGATTATACCGAGGACCTACCTACCTTGTGGATATACAGCTCTTGTTGTTGCGCCGAGCTGCTTTCCCCCTTCTATTCGATTACGTCTCCCTTACATCGACATCTCGTCTCAAACGACCACGACGAATAAAGCCAAATAGGCAAAAAGAACCCAACCTATAATCACAAACAATGCCGGCCCAATACGAGCCAGCGAGGGCCGAAAGCGTCTCTCCCACGCCGTCCTCTCCCTCGTCCGAGACCCCCCCGCTGTCCTCGTCGGAAACCCGGTTCCCGCACCCGCAGCGCTGGTCTCGCAGGGACGCGAACCACCGCCTCTCGGGGAGCGTCTCGCGGTCGCAGCGGATGTCGTCCGGGGCGCAGGGCTGGGTGCGCGACCAGTGGAAGACGTATCTGCGGTGGAGCGAGAAGATGATGGCGGCGTTTTGGAAGCTCTCGCTGCTGCATCGCGCGCTGGTGGTCTTCGTCATTTTGCTGGGATGGACGTTTATCATCTTGTCTATATTGTACTCGGAGGCCTTCTTTGCTTGGCTGGCGACGGTGTCCAAGTCATGGCGCGAGATTCCTGGAGGCTGGCTCATTGCCTTTATGCTCATCTTCGTCACCTCGGTCCCTCCCATCGTGGGATACTCGACTGCCAACACCATTGCCGGCTTCGTCTACGGATTCCCCATGGGCTGGCCCATTGCTGCGTCGGCGTGTATCATCGGCAGTTTGACTGCCTTCATGGCCTGTCGGACGGTCTTGAGCGGCCATGTCAACAAGCTGATTGGCAACGACCACCGCTTCGTTGCGCTCGGCCAGGTTCTGCGCAGAGATGGAATCCTTTACCTGACGGGCATTCGCTTCTGCCCGCTGCCGTTTAGCTTGAGCAACGGCTTCCTTGCTACGATTCCGAGCATATCCCCTCTGTCGTTTGTCATTTCGACGGCATTGTCAACGTAAGTCTAGAATCTTTTGTCCCATCTTGATAACAACAACGGTTTTAACTAACAATCCCAGACCCAAACTCCTCATCCACATCTTCATCGGCAGCCGCCTCGCCATCATCGCCGAGCAAGGCGATGCAATGCCCCTCCGCGACAAGATCGTCAACTACACCGGCATGATCATTGGCGGCGCAATCGGCGCCGCCGCCGGCTACATCATCTACCGCCGCACCATGGCCCGCGCCGACGAGCTCGCCCGCGAGGAGGCCAACATCAATGCCGCCGAGGAGGGCGCCGCCGGCTACGAGGACACCGACACCCTCATGGACCCCGAGGATGCGGCCGATGTCATGGGCGATGACGACGTTTCGCTGTGGGACAACCAGGGGGATGATGGCTGGGGGGATGCCTATGATGATGAGGACGATACCACGAAACTGACAAAGCTGAATAAAGACTAGAACTAGACACGGACAATGGGGTTATGAAAAAAGATGTCATGATTTTGTTTATAACGAATTTTACGTGATAGAATAAGAGCACCGGCGTTGATATATTTCACAAAGCGTGCAGACCATCGAATCTTTAATAAAAAAAAAAAAGTCAATACCAATATCAATATTCAAGTAGGAGGGTACGATAGCTCCTGTTCCATTCTATGCTATACAATAACGTGCTCGGATCCAAATCCCGTGTGTCGTAAAATCATCAAGTGGCCGCTTGCTCACAATCATGTCATAAAAGAAAACCCTGAACAATTCAATAGTCATCCAGCACTTAGACAAAAAGCCCCTGAATGGCCACTAGGTTATGCCATTTCTGCTTTTATCAGAAAAAGAACAAGAAAAAAAAATCCAAAACGCCGCCGCTGTAGAGAACCGACCCAATAGACTAGAAATGTGTAAAAAAAAGTAACGCAGAGTTTATAATCTGCGAATAGGGTCGCTGAATAAAATTGTAATGGATAGAGCGGAGCAAGATCGAGAATGAGGGCACGGCGATAATCGGTTTTCAACGCCGTTGGTACTGATTCATGAATTGAATGGCCTGCTCCATTGGATATCCAATAAAGACAGGGCCAGTGAAAACCATCTGGGGACCGTTCATCCCTTTCGACACATCCGGATTAATAAAAGTAGGCTGAGGAATAGAAGAGTGATGCTCGTGGACAGGATGATGCTCGTGGGGCACTTTAGTCGGAGTGAAAGGCGCCGAATCTTGGGCCTTCGAGATAGGGACATTCTGAGTCTGAGGATCAGGCAAGGTCGATATGTTCAGCCCAGTAAAAGCAGGTGGCTTTGCCGTATGGCCAAAGGGGCATTTCCCAGCTGGCTTCGCCGGAGTCTGGGTGCTCTGTACAGGACTCGGCATTCGCACGGGCGCAGGAGGCGGCGACATAGGATGGCCATCACCATTGCCAGATTGTTCATAGACTGGCACAGAGATGCCCCAGGGACGGCTTGGTGATTCCCCTACTCGAACCTCCTTCAGTGGTCGGTCGAAATGACTTTGTCGGTCATGATCCATATCGGCTGGCGGCTCAGCAGGGGCATCTGGGTCCGTGCTTGAGCTGACGGCGTGCGCCCAACTCTCTACTCGGTCTGCTGAAGTTCTCGTGGCATTGCTGGGGCGGCGAGCGTGCTCCTCGTCAGGCAGCATCGGCTTGTGGAGTTGGCTCAGGTCTTCAATCATGCTCACAATGTTTCCATACTTTGCATCCAATTTCCTAATCTGCTCTTCGCTGCGTTGATATCTTCGCACGCAGACCTCGTGGCTGCGAGGCAGCTCGTGCTTGTGAGTTTCAACATAGTGAGCAATCTCCTCTGGGGAGTGCTTGTCTAAGAATCGGATAGGGCATTTGCTCGCCTGATTTACGGCGTCGTGCTGAGACGTCTCTTCGTACATGGCAACACAAATAGGGTCTTCAGAGCGATCTGGGGCCAAGTCCGGGCCGGTTTCGGGCTCCCGGTCTTGGTCGGCAAGAGCAGCGGCATCCTTAGCAAAGGGACACTGCAAATTGCCTTTCTTCCCCTCAACGGTAAAATCTTGTTCCAAAGCAGTCGACATGGAGGTTTCTACGTGGGAGGTTTGGGATAGCGTATCTCTGGATGATGCTGTGGTTTTACTGGCTTCACCTAATGAAGCAACCAGCTTGTTTGCAGCACGGCGTCCGTCACGAATGATGAGAGCAATCTGGTGCTGGGACTGCAGAGTGCTTTGCCTAGGAAGGGGCACGGGCGAAGTATCATCGACAGAGGTGTGGACTGGGAGCTGGAGCTTCGCCAAAGTCTCTGCTATCTCTGGTGTAGCGGGCGCATATTTATCGGCCAAATACTGGAACTATAAGAGCAGTTGACGTGTTAGTCAACGGAGTTTTATCAAGATGTAAGATGATGTCGAGGGATGCCTAGCCAAGCTAGATTGAAAAAAATGAAAGGGAACAATGCGGATCAGTGATAATAAAGGTTGTCAATCCCGGCAGCATTTGCTGCTATTGATCTAGAGCTAATGATATCTCATCATGTAGGCCGTCCCAAAAGGCTGTGCGTATGCAAGGGGTATATAAAATACAATGATGTCGGAGAAAAAAAAAGAAAAGAAAAAGAGCTCTTTTGAGGCTTACCTGCTCGTGGGCAAAACGCAGCTTATGCTCCAGTATAGTCTTTCGGTCTGTCAGAACCTGAACCTCGTCCGCAAGCGCGTTGAAAGCGTCCGCCACGGTCTGAGTAAGATGAAAATCTGCCATTCCGGATGGCTCAAGTTTTTTCAGACTTGGCCACGAGAAGAAGAAGAAGAGAAAGAGAAATGGACGAAGAAAAAAACAGGGAGAAGTAGGAAAAGAGGTCCAGGGCCAGCCGGAGTTTTAACTGGCTGAAGCGGGGCGCGCTTTGGCCGATTCCGGGTTGCGGTGCCGCAAAAGCGCGTGACGAACTCGTGGGATGATTCGTCAGCAAGGATTTGGCAGATGATGGAATGTATTGAATTGTACCAACCAACGTGCATTAATACCTAGTACGGCAGAGCCGGGTTTACAAGGTGGTGAAGAATTCCATGAAGGAGGTTAGTTTGGGGGAAGAGGAATTTGGTTAATCCAATCTGCAGGTGCTAGTGAATAGCTACTAAGGTAGGATCAAGCTTAAAAGGTGCAGATTCTGCATTCCCAGTCAATGATGCAATAGTTGGGATGGACCCCATTGAAGTCAGCGATTGCAGCGAGAGGGAGTGATATTTTCACCCTTGTGAACCCCTTCAAGAACCACAATGAGAGAAAATGGTAATAAGTGCACATGTGCTATATCCGCAGATAAGAATGGGGAGGCCTCAATAGCCGCAGATCCAATGCCAGCTATATGCAGCCATACAAGCCCAAGGACTAGCCCATCGATGGCTTGAATCGGTACAGCGGCCCAAAGTGGCTACACGCCGCCTGCCAATGACACAACACGGCTGCTTACACCCAATTTCTCCCCCCTCATAATCTCGACAACCTTGAAGAGCAGAGATAAGAGTCCGTCTGTACATATACACGGATCTTATCTTTGGTGTTCCCATAAGAGCAGAGGAACAAGCAGAATAAGATTGCAGTGAAAGAAGCAGAGATATATTCACATTGAAGGTCATAGGTCAGTACATGCGTTTGATCTCATCGGGCTCTGCTTTGGCGGGGTGAAGTGATCCCTTCAAAAGCCCCTCGCATTCACCTGATGTGTGCTATCGATTTATCCATACCATCAAACTCACCATGTTTTCTAGCCTCATCCTCTTTGCTTTCCCTCCACAGCCACCATCGCCGCCATGCTGCAACGACTCGCCATCCCCGCTGCCAAACTGCTTCGCAGCAAAAGCCACATCGTTCCTGGCCAGCTCCTCGTCACTGAGCACTTCTTCCAGGTTCCCCTAGACTACGCCAATCCATCCGCAGGATCCATCACCCTCTTCGGCCGCAGCGCAACCAAGCATGAGGTCCCCATCTTCCCTCCCGACGAGCTTCCCTCTCCCAAGCCCTGGATCGTCTATCTCGAGGGCGGCCCGGGCTTTGGAAACAGGGAACCTCAGGACCACCCCCTGACGCGCACTGCCCTGTCTCGCGGCTACCAGGTGCTGTATCTGGACCATCGAGGTGTTGGTTTGAGCACTCCTGTTTCTACCGAGATGCTCGCCCGGCTACCTGGCGGAAATGGACCCAATGCTGTCGAGATTCAGACCAAATACCTGAAGCTCATGCGCCAGGACAACACCGTGCGTGATTGTGAGGCTGTCCGCAAGCTCCTAACCGACGGCTTGCCTGAGCACAAGGCCCGGTGGTCCATCTTTGGCCAGTCATACGGTGGCTTCATCTCCATCTCCTACCTGTCTCTCCACCCCGAGGGCCTGCGCGAGGTCTTCCTGACCGGTGGCTTGGCTCCCGTTGGCAAAACCGCCGACCAAGTCTACCAGGCGACGTTCCAGAGGACCATTGAGCGCAACGCAGCCTACTACCAAAAGTTCCCGGATGATGCCGAGACCCTGCGCCAGATCGCTACGCACATTGAAAAGGAGGGCGGCAAGCAGGGCCTTCCCCTGCCTGGAGGAGGCTTCTTGACGGTGCCCCGTCTGTTGACCATTGGCATTGCCTTTGGCGGCCATGGCGGCGTCGATCAGGTACATACCATACTCCTTCAGCTCAAGGCCTCTCTTGACCAGTTTGGCTTCCTCACGCGGGCTTCTCTTGCTCCCCTCGAGACATTCACTGCCTTTGACACAAACATCATCTACGCCATCCTCCACGAGGCCATCTACTGCGACGGTCCCGGCAGCGTCTCCAACTGGTCTGCCCACCGCGTCGGCCAATCCCTCCCGCAGTTCTCTTGGCTCAGCAGAGACAACGTTTCCAGCACCTCGTCCACTGCGCCCGGCCAGCCGCTCCTCTTCTCGGGAGAGATGATCTTCCCTTTCCACTTCGACACTTATCCGGAACTCATTCCCCTGCGGGCTGTTGCCGAGCGACTTGCCACTGCCTCTGACTGGCCAGCACTCTACGATATCGAGCAGCTGCGCAAGAATGAAGTCCCCGTCTATGCGGCGTCGTACATCCCCGACATGTATGTCGACTACGAGTTTGCCAAGGACACGGCGAATCTGATCAAGAACGTAAAGACGTTTGAGACAAACGTCATGTATCACAACGCCGTGCGGGCAAAGGCGGAGGAAGTAATGCAGAACCTGTTTACCTTGCGAGATGATGTAATAGATTGATCTTCTCAATCAAAAAAGGGAGAAAAGGGAAATCTGGATAGATGGTACAAAGGTCCAAGCCTTGGCATAAACCGACGTCGCTTTTCCTGATAATATATCGTAGTCTTTGAATCTCACTCTATTTTTTTTGTGCTTCGCCTATTTTGTTCCTTGAATCATGGAATCGTATATCAGGCATATTGCCATATCCACCAGGCCCCTTCCTCACATGACAAAGTGATAAGTGCATAATGAATACAAAATTCCCATCGTCTCATTTTCACATTCATCAAAACTCCATTCCCAACAGCCAATGTGCAACAAGACAACACTCTCCCATATTTATTTCTTCTTGGTGGTCTTGCGCTTAACGGGCTTTCCTCCCTGTTGGGCGCCGGAGGTCTTCACCTTGCTCAGAGAGTCCGTGCTCTTGTCAAGAATCTCAAAGTCCTCGCCGGCTGATTCCGAGCTTGGGGGCGTGTGCTGGGGAACGTCCGAGTCCTCCTCGAGCTCATCAGTCTCGGCGTTTGCGCTACCCTTGGACAAGAAACGACCAGCAGTCGACTGGAAGATCCAAAGGGGCACTCGAACCACAGCGGTGTCCCTGAAGGTCGGCTGAAGAAGCTCGTTCGGCTATGTAGATGTGTGTGTTAGCACTTTGCGTCCTATGTCTGGTTTGAGTGGTTATTTTAGAATGCTTACGTCCAAAAGGTACTCGTTGACATTGCCCTCCTCATCTTCCTCCTCAAGGAAGACGTCTCCCTGAGAGTCAACCACGAGAATCTTTCCGTTTTCAGCAACGACTCTCTTGCGAACACCGGTAGGAGTGGGGGACGCAGATGCGCCTTGCGACGAGCTCTTTGAGCTCACGGCCTTGCGAGACTTCTTGGATGCGGACTTTCCATCATCCTTTCGAGTCTCCTTCTCTTGCATGCGTCTCTCGCGCCTGTTCCTAGGCTGGGGAGGGGCAGCAGCCTCATCCTCTTCGGGAGCAGGAGGAGGAGGCGGCGCAGGCGTAGCATCGACTCCAGGAATTCCCGCCGCATTGCCCCAAGCCGCGTTTCTGGCAAAGGTGACGTAGCGCTCCACAAACTCCTTCTGTCGCTTCCAGCTCATGTACAGCGCAAGGTAGTGGATGGCGCCTCCGCCCATCACGAAGACGCCCACCAGGACTGTTCCCAATCCAGGTCTGTAGCGATTGTAATAGTAGTCGGTTCCCTTCCACAGAGGGAAGCCATTGGCGAGGAAGTGGTCGTAGCGATCGCGGGAAGGGCCACGGAGGATGTTGGCGATGAGCGAGAGTCGCGCCTGGCGCTCCGACGCCTCCTTGACGGCTTTGCGGACTTCGGCCTGCGAAGGCTTCTTGGATTCGGTGCCCTTCTTCTTGCCCTCCTTGGCCTTTTCGGCGACAAGCTGCTGTCTGACCTTGTCGGGGTGAAGCAGACGTGTCTTCTTGCGGTACGCCTTGTTGATGTCGTCCAGGGAGGCCGAATTGGTCACGCCGAGGACATCGTAGAAGCTGGCCGCGGGATCGGTTTCGTGCGCCGCAATCTCGTCGCGGATGCGGAAGATTTCACGATCTGGGCCGCCAATTCGTCAGTCTTCAAAGGCCAGCGCCACGGGCTTCCTCGTTGTCCGCCTCACCTTCTTTGCTCCATGCTGCGGCCAGCGGAGTCAGCAGGGATAGAACCCCGACAACCAGATACTCGATCTTCATGACTGCAAGGCTTGGCTCGCTTACCCTTGCATTTATGAAGCCCAAGTTCCCAATTGTCGTGTGTTTGGATGTCGCAAATGCTCGAGGGGCGAATCGCCGTGCTTTTATGTGGGACGCTGAACAAGGCCAGATTTACGTGCCTAAACTTAAACGCTAGATGACAGGGGGGTTGAGGTACTGGACACCTATATCCACTGCATTTGTATGCAGCAAGTGCTTGTACATGGACTTTTGACGACCAACAGATTCATTGCTACCCTGGATGGAAGCCCCTGATTTTTCTTTTTTCCCAGAATAATTATGCCTACGTTTTTGCACATGTGAATTGAATGTGATGGTACATGCTTAGCAAATCAATTACACATGTAGAGAAAATTCAAGGCTTAACGAGGGAGTGATTGGCCCGTAACCCATGATTAGAGAGAACCCCGTAAGGGCCAATCGCTCCAACGCTCTCAGATCTCAAGGTTTGCGGTAAGAATTTAGTGAGCATGATTGTAACAAACTACGAGGTATAATAAAAACCAATAGAGGAGGTATTTCAATCAGTGAAATAACATTGAAGCTCTGAAACAATTAGCCGAGTCATAATATCTTCAGCCCTAACTTGGGATGATAAAAAGCTGGGTAAAATGAGTGGGCGGCTGAAGACATCTGATTCTTCCTTGCTGGCAATGCGAATGTAAATGCTCGGCTTTCAGAGAACAAGAAACAAAGAAGCAAGTCGGTTGTCGCTTTTTCTTTCTTCTTTTTTTGTGTGAACGTAAAAAAAACATGGGTACAAAGAAGACAATGCGAATAACGACAATAAGGTCAAAAATAGCATCAAAAAGCTATGAAAGGGGCCAAAAAAAGTAACAAGCGAGTAGCAATTGCACGTTTCGATCGTGCGACCTCCGGGTTATGAGCCCGGCGCGCTTCCACTGCGCCAAATTGCTTTGTGAACTTGTTGAATTCTAGTCCACTAAAATCTTATATATATGTTTCACATTGGCGCAAGACTTACATTCTTACATAATACAAATTGAATCTGGCTATCTTGAACTCTAATATTTGATATCTCGATTAGGACTTTGGTCTTTGCCATTCGGGGTATTTGACACCCGATATTCCCCTTGGGTATTGGCAAGAAATACGTAGCGAAGTTGCCTTTATTTCTAATCCGTTATATCATACACTCGTGCCCTGTATGAGATGCTGGACTCGTACCTTGCTCGGTATCCCACTTGCTGGCGTGCCACTGGGTTGATTACAGATACTACAAAATATCCTCATGTAAACCTCCCTCTATCTCTATAGCGGGCGTGTGCAAGTCCCTATGAGGCAGTGTCTTCTTCAGTCAGCATTGAATAAGCCGTCATTTACTTTCAGCATCTCAAAGTAGGTAAATTTTGCGGCAGTTTCCACAGTCGCCGCTTTGACGAGTGTAGACCAATTTTCATGTAACCTATTACCAAGCCTGGTATTTGCTAGTTGAGTTTTCTTCCGTCAACCTCTTCAGATTTACCGAGGCTTTTAATGCCATCTCCATACCTACCTATACCTTGGTACTAATGCATGAGTGCAGACAAGCATACCATCACGCCAGATCCCGCCCAAAATAGCAATTGTCCATGTATCAAATAGGTACCCGGTTAGTGATTCGTCTGTCAGATTACTGATGCGGCCTTTTTGGGACATTTACCTCGTTAAGAATGTCCAATCGATTTAGACGCTTCCCGCATCTGCGTCTACATCTTATCTGCATCTCCAGAAAAGGGCACAATATGTGTCTGCTTATGAATCAAGATGGAGACTATCTGTATCGGTAGTTGATATGGCAAAACCTCGAACCCCACGGCTCCACCAACTTCCTAGTCTAGTAGCTGCCAAATCCTAGCTTTCCTTGACTTGGGTGAAATATATATTGCATAGATAGGAGTTTTTCTTTTCTTTGATCTGTCCCGCCCTTGAGATAGTCTCTACTTCGTAGTTATCCGTATTAAACAAAAGCCAAAGACATCAAAAATGGCCCCTTCAGCAACCACCAACCAAGTCCGAATCGGCCCAACCCCCAACCCAGACTGGAAATTCGGTCAGGGCAGCAACCATCTCGACGCAGCCTCGCCCTCGTCCTCCAACCCAGACGCAAAAGCCCAGAGCCACACCGTCATCGACCCCCAGGCCGAGGATCGAAGCTCGGGCCTCAACTACAAGCTCCTCATCTCCGCCATCGCCCCGCGCCCCATCGCCTTCATCAGCACCCTCTCCGCCGACGGCACGACGGCGAATCTCGCTCCCTTCAGCTACTTCAACGTCTTTACTCATGATCCGCCCACTTTTGCCGTCGGCTTTGCGCATCCGCCGTCGGGGCCTAGGGATTCCTTTGTCAATGTGCGTGACTCCAATGAGTGTGTCATCAATATCATCTCGGAGCACTACATCGAGGCCGCCAACTCGACCAGCATAGACGCTCCTTACGGGACGTCCGAATGGGGCGTTTCCGGTCTGACGGCGGACTATTCATGCGAGACTGTCAAGGCGCCACGAGTCAAGGAGGCGATATTTAGCATCGAGGCCAAAGTGGAATCTATCAAGGAGATTTACAGCAAAGCAAATCCTGGTAGGGTGTCCACATGGCTGGTCATTTTTGAAGGGACCCGGTTCTGGGCGAGGAACGATGCGCTGAGTGAGAAGAAGGATGAGGTTTATCCCGAGGTATGTAGAGATCACCTCTCCCTCCTCCTCTTTTCAAAGCTTCTAACAATAAATTAGATCTTGAAGCCCATTGGCCGCATGGGAGGCGTCATCTATTCCAAGACGACTGATCTCCTGCAAATACCAAGGCCGCAGTTTGAGGCCGATCTTGGCGGTGCCGAAGGCTATGCGAAGCTCTCAAACAGAAGCAAATAGCAACAAAGACGTTGAATGCGTATGGAATTATTCCTTAGGAGGTAAAGGAAAAAAAAAAACATCATTAATTAATGAGCACAGACAAGTAAGAGCAGCACACGGTAAAGAATTTTATAAGAAAGAAATCAGCGTGATATTCAAACGCAATGGTATACAAAAACATGTTCGTCATATCAATCATACTCTTGACCTCAAACAAAGGTCATTGCAAAAAAAAAAAAAAATCGTCAGCAAAGACTCCCCTCCCGACCACCGTCCCATAACCAAGGACTCCCCATAACCAGATGAAGTAAACATGAAAATGCTAGTAATTCAAGAGGGGAAGAGAGAAAATCAAGTGGCGTGACAGGCATCAAAAGTAGAAGCTCTGGCCCGGTTTAGAAATGATAAACTCACAGCCCAGCTGTGCTTCCCGCTCGTGCGCTTGCAGTTGCTGCAATATTGAGTCACCGGCCTGCGGCCCATCCGCTAGCGTCTCCTTGACGTGGATGATGACAACTTTGAGGCCTTCAAGGGGCTTCTTTACAGCAGAATCCGCAGCGGCAGTAATGGCGGGAGTCAGCGGCGGTATCCCCGAACCATCAACCCCAAACTCGTCCAGTGATAGCTCGCCAGTAGGGGTGGCAATGTGCGGCGTGTCGGAATCTTTGGCGGAGAAATAATAATCGGTGGGCATGTTGAACGGGTTGGCCGATTTGGGAGATACGGGGTCATCAGACCCAGGGCTCTGCATGTTCACGACCGGTACCTTCTTACGCTGGATTTCCGCCTCCTCCTCTTCGGCATCCCGCTTGCGCTTCTTAGACTCAAGGGCACGTGCCTTTCGTGCGGCATCTACTTCATTTGCTAGAACTTGCATCTCCTCGATCAGATAGGCGGGCTTCAAATGACCGAATAGCCGCTCGTCGGGTTGGGCGTCTGTGTAGCTGCATTCCACAAAGATAGCCGCCAGCTTCCCAGACGCAATCTTGGGCGCCGCCTCTTGCCAGATGAGAAGATTCCGCGGGCTGAGAGAAAGGCTATCCGGTTCCACATCTCCAAAAATGAGTACCTCACGCTCGTACGTTTCTTCCCGAATGAAGTACGCACTCGAGTCGTTGACGCAGGGCCGTGGCTCAAACTCTCCCCCTCCTCCAAATATGGGCGTTGCAATGCCGGGCATCATACTCGGGCGCCGTGAGAAGGCTGATGTGGGAGGGTAAAGATGGTTAAAGGTTTCGCGACGGGCGAATTGTGCTGCAAAGTCATGAGCATGCGGGTAGTAGGTGTCACGCCGAAGTGGTATACTTGACCCATCCTGGCTGCCTTGACGAGTCGGCGCCGGGTTGCAAAAGGACCCACGATGTGTGTGCTTCTCCATGCAGTGGCCATGGCTCACACTCCATGTCTTGACGAGCAGTCCGTCACACACTTCCAGGTATCCCTCACCCAGCGCAGGACTTCCGCCTTCGACCAGCCGAAGATACGTCAGGAGGCCGGCTCCATTGTTTTCGTCGCTAAGATTTGGCCATATAACATTGTTGAAGATGTGGTCTTTGAGAGCCTTGATGGTGCCCGGGAGACCTGCCAATTTTTTGGGGCGAGTGCCGGGCAAGCCTGCCGTGTTGATGACAAAGGCAGAGATGTGGTCTAGATGCGGGTGAGTGATGAGATATGTGTCGACGAGGGTGCGTGTCACATGAGCAGCGTTCGCCGCGGCCGTGGTGAAGGGCAGCTCCAGTCCAGCAAACGGACCAGTGGTCAAGATCTGGCGAGTAGGAACAGACGACGGCGTCGGTGTCGGCGGAGGCGACTCTGGTAAGGCCTCCTCGATGAGGCGAGTAATGGCGGACAAGTGAACGCCCCCGTCAACGGCCACTATGGAACCCTTGCGCCAGTTCTGGGGCACTGAACGAACGAGAAACGCCGTCGTATTTGATTCTTGGGGACCACCTCCCGAACCCTGCCAAAATGTGAGCAATTATACCGTATTTGAGATGCATCCATCTGCGTGAGGGCATGAAGGCTTCCAGTGAGGGCAGAACAAGGTACGTTGTCTCAGGCGTGGTATGCGTGTAAGCCAAGCTGTCAGATGAGAGACGCTGCCCCACGATAAGCTGTGCCAATGGGGTAACGACTGTGGCCAGACAATAGCAGACCTGGCTAGACGTTTCATGCAGAGGGGGGATTTGGCTGGCTGGCCTTGATCTGGGGCACTGACCCCCTGGCGGCAGACGCATCCCGATCGGAAATGCCACGGCCAAATTACCCGATCTGCGCGCTCTCAATTTCGAGTCCGACGGAGCATCGCCTCTCTGAGGAGGTGATGGGAAATGAAATTTAAGAGAAGGCATGGATTCGCGCACGGGCAATACGAGAAAAAAAAGCAAGCAAGCGCAAAATCAAAAATGAGAGAGAGAGGGAGAGGGAAAAAGAAACAAAACAAAAAAGCATACCAGTATGATTACCTGCAAAGCAGGCGATGACAAGGCCTCCGTCATGCTCGAGGACCGCTGTTGGACTTGCTCAATTGCCGAGACGCGATGGCCAAGTGATGCCGCGATGGTGTCGAGTCAGTCTGCAGATTGCGCGCAACGCTCAATGCCGACGCCGATCTCCAATCCCAAACTCTAAAGGTCCTCCCAACACGAGATACACTCCGGAAAATCTGAAGGGGTAGAAATACCACGGCGGTTCTTTAAAGACAAAGATTCAAGAGGGAGTTCTTGATCTCGGCTTCTCCTTGTCCAGTGGCGCTGACGGACGGTAAAGGCTCCCACGTGACCGAGCTGGACTACCGATTTCGTCTTGTTTCCCCCCACGAGGCGCTACTTGAGCTTGTTGCCCTGACTAGCCGGTTCGTGAAGAGAGAGAGATAAGATCAAGTGAGATGTGAGAGTGGGTGAGTGAGTACACAGAGCGAGGCAGTTGGTGGTGGTGGATGATTTCCGAGGGGCGTGTGGGAGAAGCACCGAGGCTCTCGTGTGCTTGGGGGAGGGAAGAGTCTAAAATATTATGGGAAAGATGGGAAATTATCTCAGGCTCCCAAATAGTCGATGCTCCCCGGCGCCAAGGATCTTTTCTGGCGTTGCTTGGTTCACAGATATGTACCGTGATACCAATAAGTAATATGTAAATCGCCGAGAGGGAATGCAATGGCAGATGTGATGACGCTCTGCAGTTGGATATGTACGCACGTACGTATGTGGCAGGCAGGCTAGCCGGGAATCCTGCTTTGTTCGTGCCAGACGACACGAACCTGGGGCTGGACCAGCCGCGGCAGCACGGCAGAGGGTCGAGGCAGAGACACAGACACTGTATCGCTCACGGGCTCGTTATGCTGCTCGCTCGCTCGCTCGTCGACTCACGGAGCCGCCGACTCTACAGGTACGTGGCACGGCACCAAGCAGAAGAGCTGCAGGATCGTGCTCCCGTCGGCCTGTGACTGGTTCGTGATGAGTGTCGCGAGCGTCGTCGCGTGCCTGCGCTGGATTGTTTGCTCAGTGCCTCGCCATCATGGCCGTCGAGGCCCGAGAGGAGGATCACGACTCGCCTTTTGAACCCACCCACGGGCCCCAATTGCTTGCGCTTGCCGCATCGCATCGCAGCAGCGCAACGCTGCACAGGCCGTCCGTCCAGTCCGTTGATGGTGTTAGCGTCACTATTGTCACCTCGTAGCGCGTCTAGTTTCGGCGTCGCCGCGATGCTGTTGCAAGGGGTGGAGGGGAGGGGCGTGTGAGAACAAGGAAATGGTATGTGACGCCTGCGAAGACGTGGAGAGCAGCTGTACTCCGTAGAGAGTACCTGGATTGCTCCAAGATGCGCTGGGTTATGACGGAGATTAAGACCGTGCAGCAGGTACCGAGTACACGCACCTGCGCTGCACAACACAGATGCTGCTTGTACCTGTGATACCTGGCTGGCAACCTTACATGTACCATGCGATACCTATACAATGGAAGGTAAAGGTGAGGCGTACTCGGTAATACGCGCATCAAGGTAGCTTCACCAGTTGCCCCAAATTAGCAGATGGAACTCAAATGTAACCCTTGACCCAGGCTGCAAAAAAGACGCCATTCCAGCGGGCTGGACCCCAGCCTCGGGGCCGTAGGTTTGGGCGCTACTGCGGCTTTGCTTGCTAGTTGCGGCGCTGGAGATATTGCACTTATATCATCAACTTTCAACTTTGCCTTGTAGATCCTGGGATGGCATTTATTATCCTCATCGTCCTTCTCAATGCAGCCATCCGAAGTCCCACGGGTTGCCCCATTGTGCTCTGTACGGACGCGCCTGGCCTCGCATTACCGGGCAAGGTAACATCCAACTTACCGTGTAAAATTACGAGTAATACTTCGTACCAAGACGCTTCACCGAGACCTCAATGGCCTGATCAGGTAAGCACACTGCCACCTTGGGACGTACAGGATCTTCAACGACGAAGCCTTTTCCACAAACGTGGCGGCTTTTAGCTTCTGAAAATCCGGGACTTGACAGTCGCATCACGGCACGAGGCCCCCCTCAGCAAGGGAAATGTACACGGTATGAACTCTATATGTAGCGCATAGCGATATCCGGCTGGAAACGCTACTGCGCTGCTGATTCTGACCTCCAAGCCCGCCTCAAAGAAGCGCCGTACGCGGGGCCTGTCCAAGCCGGTGCCATAGATACGGCACGATGCCTACCTTACCTTACCTTACCTTAACCTGACATGTAAGCTGTCAAGGACAGGAGATACGAGTAGCGCCAATAGCAACCAGCTAAGTCGACTGACGTCTTGCGGGATCAGTTGTTTGATCAGCACGGATGGATCTGGCCTCGTTGGATCTCCAGCATGCCTCCAGCCAGTAATACGACTGAAGCTACGCCGTAAGTGCATTAATCCACTCGCACCCCGGCTCTTGTGGGGAGGCCGAGCTGCAACATGTCTCGCTGATGCATGTGTTTGAGACAGCTAAAAACAGCACAGCTCTCTGGCTGTCGGCGTTCGTCCGCCGGGTCCGAGGCACTTTGTTGGGGTCCATGAGCCAAGCTCCATTCCCCCATCACTTATCCGTCGTACAGTAAGTACAGTAGGTAGGCTGATATGGATGCTTCATGTTAGTTTGTATTATCTGTTGACAGGGTCCCCTGCTGTTGGCTTCAGCCTGATGGAGCTTGCATGTGCAAACAAGGACGCATTGACGGGACCCAAGAATACACCCCGAGCCAATGGATTGCACGTGCTGGCTATTTTTTCTTTGTAGCCTGTGGACTTTACAAATCTCTCGACTGGCCAATTGCTCTAAGCGACTACCGTAGTATTAAGCGTCATGGTGAGATGCGACGGATCTACCTGGTTCTTGGAGTATTACTGCGAGTACGGAGTACTCCGTTCCATTTTCTTCTCCTACCTGGGTACTACCTATAGTAGGTATCTGCTACTGCCCCTTCAAGCATCATCTGATACCTATCACTTTTTGATTTTATAGAACAATTAAGCAGAAAACGAATACATAAATTATTGTCTCAATCTATTACATATACCACACAAAGACCTGCCCAATCCCTACCTAACCTAATCCATACACACCAACCAAGTTACAAGCGCAAGCGCTGCTAATCTCAATTCAATACACAGACCAGGACCTTGAAAAAAGGTTGCACGTGCTGATCCCACACCACCTTATAGAGCCATGTGCCCAAGCGGGCGATACCCGTGAATTCCAAACCCCTCCTCCACAAAGCAAAAACATCAAGCGGGTTTCCCAATGAATTGACAGCCTGGTGGCAACAATGTCTGCTGCCACTAATACAGTAGACACGAGCAACGGGCAGAAGGCAATGCAATAAGACGACAAGGGCTCCCCTGCCGAAGCTGCATCTTGCTCCCACGGTCAGCGGCGTCAAGCCCTCCGTTCGTGTATTCCTGCAGCTATCATCGAGGAACGCAAGCCAATCGGACCACGATAATATGAGCATATCCCGGTATGCTAATAGTTCGAAAGCAAGGCGGGGCGAGCTTTTACGTATGAGTATACTCCGTATACGGTTATCGAGCTGTGACGAGAACATCTTTGCTAAACTTGACCAGATGTGTGGGTGACGAGCGAATCGGAGACGCCTTCTGGTCCCCCTCTTTCGGTATACAGCGTCAGGCGAGCAGTCAACAACGTACAACACTGCGTCTGCCTGCCTATTGTGTGGAACAAGTCGTCCCGCAGACGCTGTTGTCAGCTCACAGGCCTGTGTCGGTAACACCTGGGAATATTCCGAGCATCTTGCGGCTCACGCCAAGCCAAAACGACGCTCGTCACATCTTGCCCGGCTGCCTTCACAACCGCTAACGGCCTCACGTTTTCTGTCCCGGAGCAGTCACTAGCACTCATACGCTCTTTTTAGCGGGAGGGCATCTCATTAGTCGGCCAACTGGCCACAAGCTAGACCCGCGTCTGCAAGTCAACGCCAGCCCAAACAGCTCTCCACCTCGGGAGTGCCGATGCAGCTCCCTCATGGGCCTTATCGGGGCTGCAAGGGCCCCCCTCGTCAACACCACCCGGGGAGCCGCATGTCCTGATCTAAAAAGGCATACCTCTACAATTATGAGGTATCCGTGCGCCGTCTTTTGCTGCTCGCCCGCTTTGTGTCGCCTCGATGGGGCTGAGAGTCTCCCGCTTTATGCGGGCCACTTCAGGACTGCTTACATGTTGAATGCTGGCTCCAGTAAGAGTTGCGACTCTATCACCATCAACCCCATTGGTGGCTGAAAAGTCTGTGAGCAGAGGAGTAGGAAAAGCACCACCAAAGCCACCAAAATCCACGAGACTATCCCAATATGGTGATGTAGCTGTAACCCGCGGGCTCACGGCACCGTCCATGATTCCCGGAGGCTGAGATGCAACAGGAAACGTTAGTGTGTGGGCCGGAAATGCATCATTCGCCTCGCTAACAGCTTCCTCCTGGTGTTGGCCAACCTCCAGCTCAACCTCGGATATCCTAGGGTCAATGTGAAGACCAAAGTCAGGAACCTCGTGGGTCGGGCTACCCAGTCGTCGTGAGTCAAAGAAGCACGTATTGCGGCTGGCTCCAGGCAACTGCAATATCTCCCCTGTTGTATGAGCGAAAGCGTCAAGACTTGTTGAGGGGTTCACAGAATATGGGTATTGCTGTAGGGGCTGCGTAATGATCGGCCGAAGGACCGGCCGAGGCTTTCCCCGGGTTGCCCTGTTGAACCTTGCTCCTGTGACATTCTGAGCGTCGTTTTGACAAGAGATTCCCAAGTGACTGCTTTGAATGCAGTTGGAGAGTGTGCTTGCTGTGGTGGCGGAGGGGCGAGCAGTTGACTGCCCTGAATGATGAGCTGGATTCAAGGGATCAAAGTAGCTCGGCTGCCTGCTGCTCATGCTTGAGTTGAGTGTGGGGTTGACCTGATATGTATTCGAATCCCTATTCTGACTGCTAACCGAAGGAAACTGTGCTAGATTCGACTGCCTTTGTCTTCTGTAGGACGGTTTGATTTCGTGATCTAAAGTCTCTTGCATGTTTCTATTAGCTAAAGAGCTCCCTCTTGATTGGTGCGATTCACGCGAGAGTGAAAATCCTCGGGTTGGCTCTGGATGCCGGTCTGTCATGATCCTTCGTGTTGTTTTTCTCGTCGCCCGTATGTTAGTGAGTGCCAAAGGCTGTGAAAAAGAATCGCTCAAGGAATCAGTTCCTTCGGCGTTGGCCCTTCGCAACCTTCGCAACCTTCTCATCTTCTTTAACATTCTGACTCTATTCGTGATTTCAACAAACATTTTCAGATTGCCCAAGTGGACATCGATGGTCCGGCGCTCACCCACAGACTTGGTGTCGTTTCGTTTCGATCGCGCCTTTTGCCGGGCCGCCGTCTGGTTTTCTATATGATACTTGGTCAGTCGATAGGACAATGAGTCGCGATATTCTCGTGGCTGCTGGTTGAGGCTAAACATATTCTGTTCGAACCAAGGCTGATAAGCCTCCCTTATGATGCCCGCATCGGTCAGCTTTTCCAGCGTCACCACGCTCTTATCCTCGAAAGGAAACTGTCTGTCTTCAGGGCGCAGACGGCCACATAGATGGAATTCCGTAGGGTCGAAAATCTGTTCAAAACACCATAAATGGAGCGAGCCGGCGCACTTCAACGGATCTCGGGCCCCGCTGGACGTGAGGTGAGGGAACTCGTCAAAGGCTACGCGGAGCCATCCGGCTGTAATGGTTCTATTAGCGACGGGGCAATTTGCCCAGCGACACATCCTGTCCTCGGGCTCCAGTCGATGATTGCACTGCGTAGGAGCTTGCTGGACCCAAAAGACGGTGTCCTTTCCACAGTTGTCTGCGTATTCTCGTAATTGCTCTTTAGTAAAGCAACGGTCACGCAGCCACTGTCCCTTTGGCGTGTAGGTAAACAGATGCTGTCCGTTCCAAGTCATACTGCCCCAAGGAGCTATTTTGCTAGGATCGGATGCATAGCAAAGAGAAGGGTCACAGCTGGGGTCTCCTCGTTGCTTTGCGGCTCTGTTGAAACTAACCTTTTGAGTACCAAGGGAGGATTGGTTTCTTCCCTCCGGGCTCGTTGGGTTCTCATGTTGATTGAAGCCAAAATTGACATTGTTATTGTAGGGTTGTCCGAATTGCTGAATAACCTGGGGGCCATACGAAAGAGAGTTGGTGCCATAGTCAAAGTCAAGGGGAGGATATGCAGATAAAGGATTATCTTGAATGGTGTGTTCTGGGTATGGTTCAAAATAAGAATCCGAGAAACTGTGCACTAGTAATTGTTGACCGAATGGTACAAGTGGCTGATTGATATTCTGCAAAGGGACGACGGTATTATCTATGATATTGAGATTTGAGAATTGATTGCTGGATAGATCCCTACAGCATAATTTTAGCAACTTAATGAAGAGTGATGCAGTTCCTGTGTTATACTTACGGTGCCCTCCAGTCGAGCGAAAGATCGATATCCAAGTCGTGCTCGTGTGGGATTGCCGCATTGGGGTTAAAAAGGTCTGAAGAAGTCAGAAAATCCAACGGTTCTGATTTCACTTCTGACTGTGCCTCGGAGAACACCTTCTCCGAGAAGGAAGTTGGTAATAGTCTGCCTGCAGAATTATGGGTTTCCAAGTTTATTGTCTCTGTGTTGTTTGGCTGCCATATGAAATCACCATCGGTGTACTGAGAGTCGTATGTGTACAACATGGTTGGTTTTCTTCTGGGTTTCAGAAGAAGAATGGACTGGCACAGAGTTACAAGGTCGTATTCAAAATGAAGGACATTTATGAAACTGTATAAATTGGTTTGGGTGTAGAATGGGTTCATATCTGGTGCATGAGACGAGGCGAAGGAGATCATATTTAAGGTAATGCACGTCATGATCATTAAATTCTGAAGCACAAAGTTATGAAACAAAACAAGTGAACGGACCAATTCATTGTTTCCAAGATTATTTGTTCTAGAATTGTTCTAGAACAGTAGAAAGGATGAAACAAAGATGAAGGAAGCCCGTTGAAGAAGTTTGGACAAAGCGCAAGGGCCTTATGAAAGATGGCGAGCATTGATGTATAAAGGGCATGTACCCTGGATCACTGAACATGAGATACCTAATTATAGCTGAGGGGCGAACAGTTATGAACGTTGGAAGGTCGCTTGAAAGAGTTCTTTATAATGAAGAATTTAATGAAAGCTGTGGGTACAATACAAAATTTTTGTTCATGTCTGTTTCTTGAACGGTACCTTATCTAGAGTGAACGATTATCATGATGGACAAGGAGCTGTAGATAAAGGCCAAGAAAATGAAGAAGAGAAAGAAGAGAAAGAAGAGAAAGAGAGCAGAAATAAACGCTATTTATATGCCAGATTCTGTCAAAAATATCAACAGCAACAATCTTAAAGACAATCCCTTTGACTAGCATGACCTTTGATCTGATGCATGCAGAGCTACAAGTGCGGCCGGTCTACGGAGTACATGCAAACGGAATACCTGTATTGGAGTCGGATTACTCAAGTACATTTGAGTGGGATGTTGTTAATGTGCGAGTATGCAACATGAATTGGCTCTATTTCTAGACAGATAAAATTCGAAAATTAATTACAGCATCTCCATCTATTCTGTCGATCAATTGAACGTGATATTTCACTCATAGTACCCAGTAGGTATATGCAGACAGGTACGACGGTATCGTAATGGTTAGGTAGGCGGCTACTTATCTCCGCCCGATTCTGGGTCTGTCTGTATGCGGTATTCGCACGGCCAGGGTGGTGGTCGATAGGCGTCAACGAGATAGGCCGATGGAACCAGGCATTCCATTTAATACGAGAGGATTATGTGAACCTGGCAGCTGTTTTCTCGTATTAATTTGGTGCTGCCCGCCACTTTATCCAGGGCTCTCTTAAACATGGAGTGAATGACGCGGGTTTGTAACGTTCATATCTAGATGGGTGCTCCGTGGCCAAATATAGTACCTAGTAGGCGGGATATAGGCAGGATATAGGCAGATATAGGGAAGTCCCGGGTCACCGGAAAAGAGCATTTTTCCGCATACAGAATATATGCCTCCGTGTATTAATAGTGCCGCCACAAACAGCGCAGAGAACCGGTATTTCGGTCGTATTTTGCATCATCATACATTACATAAGACCTCGTGTTCGCACGTTCAACATTTGCCTAGCTCGGCCTAGCAAAGCCTCTGCCCTGGCCACTACGTGCTAGGGACCACTACAGCCTACGAGTACTCCGTAGTGGTTGGGTTACCCGCTAAAAGCCCTGGAGCAGCCCCTCGTTTTTCTCTGCCGTGGCTGCAACAAGCTCGCCGTTAGCAGCAAGCCGCCAAACTAAACCTCAACATCACGAGACTCGCGCTACTGGTGAGTCTGGGCATGGCGAAGCGCCAGATCCTCGCCTTCAGTCAAGCATAAGTGCTGCGCAAGTGTCTGACCAGCAGCGCGCTGTTTTGGATCATGGCGGAATACAATCCTGAGCTGCGGGCGAGGCTCCAGGAGCTGGACCGCGAGTTGGAGGTAGGTTGTCTGCTGGAAGCCTCTGCAGTCCATCCACCATCAATTCCAAGACTTTGGCTGACGAGATGATGCGCAGGAGGGTGACATTACCGAGAAGGGGTAAGCAGCGGGCTTTCGAAATGCTGGCAGCGACAGCAGCGGTGGCAGCGGGATCGTCAACTGACAAAGAACTACGCAGATATCAGAAGCGGCGGACTATGCTGCTCTCGCAGTTTGCTCACCATCCAACAGCCCCGGCCCCGGTTCCTCCGCAGTCTCGCTCCGGCTTGAGCATACACTCTCCCGAGACATCGACGCACCCCTCGAGCGATGGCCGACGAGCCTCTGTCATGACCTCGACGTCCTCTGTGGCCGGTGGCTATGGAGGTGGATACGGCGCTGGAGGCGGTTATCACGACCAGAACAGCAACTACAACGACTATACACAGCGTCCTGACTCAAGCTATGCCGCTCCGCCGCCAGGCTCTTCATATGCGCACTCGAATCCCTCACCAGCCGACCTCTTGCGCCCCGGAAGACCCATGACCGATAATGCCGTTGTACCGCAGCGTGATTCGCTTTTCTTGCCAGGGGGCAGCAACGACCCTCCCACGCGAAGTGGAACTATGGTTTCTGGAGACTACGCCTTCAATCCCGATCAGCACGGCGCATATGCCGGCTCATACAACCAGCCGGATGACGGCAGGACTAGGACACTGCTTGATAACCAGGCGTACTTTTCTGATTTCGCAGGCCAGCAGCACTATGAACAGAACCAGATGGGAGACTATGGCGGAGGTCCGAGATATTCTGGTGATGCCTTCTCTCCGACGGCCGCCATGGCGCCTCCGATGCTCAGCGCCAGCGATATGCCTCCGCCCGAAATACTGGAATACCAGGCCCCTCTTGAGCCAAGAGAAGTCCCGTTTGCCATTCAGGACCCTCACGATAACAACACACCCATGTCATCATTCGACAATATGGCTGCGGTTCTCCGACACCGTGCCCGCACCACTGCCAAAAAACCAGCGTATTGGGTCCTTGATAGCAAGGGCAAGGAGATGGCGTCCATCACATGGGATAAGCTTGCATCAAGAGCCGAAAAAGTGGCACAAGTCATCCGAGATAAGAGCCCGCTTTATCGTGGCGACCGAGTAGCCCTTATATATCGTGATACTGAAATAATCGACTTCGCCATCGCCTTATTGGGCTGTTTTATTGCTGGAGTAGTGGCGGTTCCTATCAATGACTTGCAGGACTACCAGCGGCTGAACTATATCCTGACCTCTACGCAAGCCCATCTGGCTCTTACGACGGAAAACAACCTCAAGACTTTCCAGAGAGATATTACTACGCAGAAACTCACTTGGCCCAAGGGAGTTGAGTGGTGGAAGACTAACGAGTTTGGTGGTTACCATCCAAAGAAGAAGGAGGACGTGCCCCCGTTGACCGTTCCCGACTTGGCCTACATTGAATTTTCTCGTGCGCCAACTGGTGACTTGAGAGGCGTCGTCCTTAGCCATCGAACAATTATGCACCAGATGGCCTGCCTCAGTGCTATTATCTCTACTGTTCCTGGCAACGGGCCCGGCGATACTTTCAACTCATCATTGCGAGACAAGAACGGAAAGCTCATCGGTGGCGGAGCTAGCAGCGAGATATTGCTCTCTTATCTGGACCCTAGGCAGGGAGTTGGTATGATTCTTAGTATTTTGCTGACTGTTTATGGCGGCCACACAACCGTCTGGTTTGACAACAAGGCCGTTGAATCTCCTGGCTTATACGCGCATCTGATTACAAAGTACAGAGCAACCATCATGATTGCAGACTACCCCGGGTTAAAACGAGCAGCCTACAACTACCAGCAAGACCCCATGACGACGCGAAACTTCAAAAAGGGAATGGAGCCGAATTTCCAGGCAGTGAAGCTGTGCTTGATCGACACCCTTACTATTGATAGCGAGTTCCATGAAGTTCTGGCAGATAGATGGCTGCGGCCCCTGAGAAACCCTCGAGCACGTGAAGTTGTGGCCCCGATGCTTTGCCTTCCGGAACATGGTGGAATGGTCATCAGCGTTCGAGACTGGCTAGGTGGCGAAGAGCGGTTGGGAGTTCCACTAAAGCTGGACGACTCTGGCAAGGAATCCGACGGCGAAAAAGAAGAGGAAGAGAAGCCGGCTCCATCAAACGGATTCGGCAGTCTGCTAGGCGGTGGAGCAACAACAACCAAGGAAATGGATGAGAAGATCGAGTTAGGAGAGGTCATCCTTGATCGAGAGGCTTTAAAGACCAACGAGGTTGTAGTCCTCGCTCATGGCAACGAAGCTCGAAAGAAGACCTCGCTGGAGTCCACCATGGTCCGGGTTGGCGCTTTCGGATACCCTATCCCAGATGCTACTCTTGCCGTTGTGGACCCAGAGACTGGTCTTTTGGCAGCTCCGCGCTCAGTTGGCGAAATCTGGGTTGATTCGCCATCTCTCTCTGGAGGCTTTTGGGCGCAACCTAAAAACACGGAGCTTATTTTCCACGCACGCCCTTACAAGTTTGAGCCTGGGGAGCCGACACCAACTGCCGTGGAGCCCGAGTTCCTGCGAACTGGCCTCCTTGGCACAGTAATCGAGGGCAAGATTTACGTCCTGGGTCTGTACGAGGATCGAATCCGTCAAAAGGTTGAATGGGTGGAGCACGGCCACGCGGGTATTGCTGAGTACAGATACTTCTTTGTTCAGCACATCGTGGTGAGCATCGTCAAGAATGTCCCCAAGATTCATGACTGCTCTGCATTCGATGTATTTGTCAATGACGAGCACTTGCCTGTCGTTGTTCTCGAGTCGGCCGCAGCATCAACAGCGCCTCTTACTTCGGGCGGCCCACCAGTGCAGCCTGATACCGTCTTGTTGGATTCGTTGGCGGAAAAATGCATGGAGGTGCTTATGCAAGAACATCACCTTCGGGTTTACTGCGTTATGATCACAGCCCCCAACGCACTGCCACGAGTCATCAAGAACGGAAGACGAGAAATTGGTAACATGCTGTGTCGGCGCGAGTTTGACCTCGGAAACCTCCCCTGTGTCCATGTCAAATTTGGCGTTGAGCATGCGGTTCTCAACCTCCCTATTGGCGTTGACCCCATTGGTGGTATCTGGTCTCCGATCGCCTCCGAGTCGAGGACGAATATCCTGGCACCCGCTGATAAGCAGTACTCTGGAATTGACCGCAGAGAGGTTGTCATTGACGATAGAACGTCTACACCACTCAACAACTTTTCGTGCATCACCGATCTCATCCAATGGCGAGTCGCTCGCCAGCCAGAAGAGCTTTCTTACTGCACTATTGATGGCAGGGGTAGAGAGGGCAAGGGAATTACCTGGAAGAAGTTTGACTCCAAGGTGGCTGCTGTGGCCATGTACCTAAAGAATAAAGTCAAGGTACGGCCTGGCGATCACTTGGTCCTCATGTATACGCACTCGGAAGAATTTGTATTTGCAGTTCATGCGGGAATCAACCTTGGTGCGGTCATCATCCCAATGGCGCCGCTCGACCAGAATCGACTCAACGAAGATGTGCCTGCTTTCCTGCACCTCATCGCGGACTACAAGGTCAAGGCGGTTCTGGTCAACCAGGATGTAGACCATCTGCTCAAGCTCAAGATCGTCTCCAGCCACATCAAGCAGTCGGCCCAAATCTTGAAAATCTCTATGCCAAATACCTACAACACTTCAAAGCCTCCCAAGCAGAATAACGGTCTCCGAGAGCTTGGATTGACAACAGATCCTGCTTGGATTCGGCCCGGCTATCCCGTTCTTATCTGGACATACTGGACACCGGATCAACGAAGAATCGCTGTCCAGCTTGGACATGACACAATCTTGGGCATGTGCAAAGTACAGAAAGAGACTTGTCAGATGACGAGCTCGAGGCCCGTTCTTGGGTGCGTACGAAGCACAACAGGACTTGGTTTCGTGCATACTTGCCTGATGGGCATCTACGTCGGCACTCCAACATATCTGCTGTCTCCTGTCGAGTTCGCCCAAGCCCCTATATCGCTGTTCGTTACGTTGTCAAGATACAAAATTAAAGACACGTACGCAACGCCACAGATGCTTGATCATGCCATGTCATCGATGCAGGCCAAGGGCTTTACAATGCACGAGCTCAAGAATATGATGATTTCTGCAGAAGGTCGACCACGAGTTGATGTATTCCAAAAAGTTAGGATGCATTTTGCGGGAGCCGGGTTGGATCGGACCGCCATCAATACAGTCTACTCACATGTGCTCAACCCGATGATTGCTTCGAGATCTTATATGTGTATCGAACCCATTGAGCTCTGGCTTGATACTAAAGCTCTTCGACGTGGTCTAATCGTTCCCGTGGACCACGACTCAGATCCCCAAGCTCTCCTGTTGCAAGATTCTGGCATGGTGCCAGTGTCAACTCAGATTGCCATTGTCAACCCCGAGAGCCGCGCGCATTGCTACGATGGCGAGTACGGAGAGATCTGGGTCGACTCAGAGGCATGTGTAAAGGCATTCTACGGCTCCAAGGACGCGTTTGACGTGGAGCGCTTCGACGGCCGGACAGTAGACGGCGATCCCAACGTGCGATATGTGCGAACTGGTGATCTAGGCTTCTTGCACAACGTGAACAGGCCTATTGGACCTAATGGCGCTCTCGTGGAAATGCAAGTCTTGTTTGTGCTTGGCAGTATTGGGGAGACTTTTGAGATCAACGGTCTCAGTCATTTCCCCATGGACATTGAGCTCTCAGTAGAACGCTGCCATCGTAACATTGTGTCAAACGGCTGGTAAGTGTCATATCTAACCCTTTTCCAAAATCCAACTCAGAAGCAATCATGGCTAATGAATTTTATGTGCAGTGCGGTGTTCCAAGCTGGTGGGTTGGTTGTAGTCTTGGTAGAAGTGAGCCGCAAGTCCTATCTTGCCTCCATGGTGCCCGTCATCGTCAACGCCATCTTGAGCGAGCATCAGATTGTTGCCGACATTGTGGCCTTTGTAAACAAGGGCGACTTCCCAAGATCTCGTCTGGGAGAGAAGCAGCGAGGAAAGATTCTTGCAGGCTGGGTTACGCGAAAGATGCGCACCGTGGCTCAGTTTGCCATCAGAGATCTCGATGCCAGCGTGCTCGAGCCAGGTGAAGGACCAGAAGCCAACAGAACATCGACGGGTAGTCTCCGTAGCTTGGGCGCTGCCGTCCCACCCAACTTGAGAAATGTCGGACAGGCACCTCAGATTCTGGAACAGGAGGAGTTTGCGCAACAGATGGATCATATGGCTCATGCGGAGCCTGTTGGGTATGCCACGTCCGCTCAGGAGGAGCCGCAAACGCCGACAGCCTATTATCCTGGCATGGAACGTGGCCAAGATACTCCCCCATCCATGCAGAACTATGATCAGCATACACCAGCATCGAACAACCAAGGATATGCCTATGACCAGTTTGAACAGGCACATCCAGCACAGCCTGCACAACCTCCACCGCCGCCGCCACCGCAGCAGCAGCAGCGCTTTGAGCCGGCCCAACACTACGAGCAGGAGCAAAGGCCATTGGATTCCAGAGGACACAACGCACCACACGTTGTCGATCTGGAATCATCCCCTGTGCCAGACACGCCGCCACCGAGAAACAGGTACAGTCAAGGGCCACCTCAGATCCGGCTGCCGGGTGTCGATGGACGCGAAGGTCTCGATTTCTGGGGAGACGATGATGGCGAAACGGATTGGACCACTGATGCCATGATGCACATGAACCTTACTGGGGCATTTAGTAATAATCATCATCAGCGGTAGTCGAATTTAGAGCTTTTTGTCGAGGGGGTTTGTAGATGGAACGAGGCCTTTTTCTTGAAAGAAGAAGAAGCTGGTTTCTTTAGAACTCAAAGAACGTCAAGAGCATTGGGAAAGAGGATACACTTGGAGGAGTTGTTTGGGATTCTTTTTTTTTTTTTATCGGGTGCTTTTCTTTTTTTTTTTTATTGTGGTATTCATTCCTGTCCTGTTCTGTATTCGAATTTGGATGTAGGAATTCTCGTATAAAATTAGTTTTAGGAGGTGATAGTGGCTGAATTGGAAGTAAAGTATTGGTTGTTATATTATCTGTCTCCTTGATATGCGCAATCTCTCTCTCTCTCTCTGATCTTTCGACAGTCAAGTTCTATCTCGAACAGTTGTAGTAGTACCGCACAAAAGAAATTAATACAACATGTAGTACAAAGAGTCTATCGCCTCGAAACCCATGCCTATCCAGACCACATACAAGAAAAAGAAAAAGAAACAAAAGGACAAACCTCCAACTCGCCCCTATTTCTATAAGTCTATGACCTCCTCATCCTCTTCTCCTTTTCCAACTCCTCCATATACCGCTTAATAATCCCCACAGCCTCAGCTTCCACATCCTGCCCCTTCCGCCACGTATACAGCGCCACGCCCAAATGATCAAGCTGGTCATGCGCCCTGGCCAGACGCCGCCTCCACAGCTCGAGTTTCTTGTTCACCGCGCCCATTGTAGGCGATCCCGAAGGCGAAGTGTTTCCCGACCGGCTATTGGGACGATAGAACGACAACCCAGTAGCTGCGGGCACAGGCGCGAGCGAAGGCGGGAGTGGATCAAAGTCGACGTCTGAGTTGGACGACGGACCGCGAAAGTACGCGACCATTCGCGGGCTAAGGTTCTTGGTACTGCGGCGCGGTGGAGGAGGCGGCGGCTTGTCGGCCGTCTTGGTGGACTCGATTGTCTGTTGAGACGAGTTCTGTATCTGCGCCAGTGGATGGACTGGCTGGTTGCCGCTTTGGCCGACGGGCTTCCTTGGTGGCGGCGGCGGTGGTTCGGAGCTGTTATTTGTAGCAGCCCCTGATATCCCGAGGCCTACTGACCCTTTCCTGGCGGTTGGTATAGCGGGAGTGCTGGCTAGAGCCGCGGGCTTGGCCGGACGAGGAGGCGGCGGGGGCTTTCGAGCGAGCAAATCTGTTGCACTGACTGACGCTGACGGACCTGGTCTTGATCTCTTGATCTGCTCCAAGACTGCGACGTCATCTATCTTTGCTTCTTCAGGCTCATCGGAAAAGTCTATCAGAGTACCCATCACCGGTCCGGTAGGAGGCTTCGAGTCACTAACTGAGCCTGGAGCCGAGTTCTGCCGTGTGGCTGGTCGATTGTTTGCAGGGCCACTGTTGCTATTCAAGGTCAAGCCAGACATTGTCCGCCGAGTCATCTCAAAAGATGAATCAAAGTACCCCGCGGTTTCAGGAGTCGTCACATCTCGAATGAAGACTGCAAGTATTCGCTCAGGATACGCCAATGCCAGCTCCGTGTACACTTCCAGATCGGCCTCTCCACTGTCGCCAACCAAGAGAAACTTTCGCTGTGGAAAGTCTCGCAAGAGGCGGACTAGCGTATTCTTCTTTCGCTCTGCCACGGGCTCAAAGATGCCCTGCAGCATGCCTGAATACTGCTTTAGGTGTAGAGACCCAAGAGGAAGCCCAGATACCTTAAAGAAGGTGGCTAGCATAGGGAACAGCTGCCAGGGGCTGTTGGAGCAGTAGTGTACGCTCACACCTAGGTCTTGCATCTTCCCGTACCATTCTTTGGTTCCTTCAATTGTGAGGTCAGCCAACTCCCGCACAAAGGTGTTTCTGAAAATCTCCCTAGCACCCGCTGAGATGTTGGACATTTTAACAGTGTCGTCGATATCGCTGATGAGACTGACGCCATATGGCTCGATATACTTGACTTCTTGCGTGGTCGAGAGGCCTTCGTTTACGAGAATCTTGACGTGAGTAGGAACGAAATCCAGTGGCGCACGAATAGCAAAGTGGCCGGCATCGTCGGTGAGAACGTTTCGAGATTGGGATTTCGATTCATTGTAGAAGAATATTGTGATGGGGAGAGCGACCAAGGGGTTCGTCATGAATGGCGCTATTCTGGCCATCAGGTTGGCGTTTGCTGTAGCCAACTCGGCTTCCGTGAGTTCGTTGGCTACTGATGAATTCTGTCTAGTCGGCAGTTTGGGGCTCCCCGAGAGCGAGTCCGGCGTTCGACTATCGCCTCGGGCAGGCAGCGGCCTGGGCAGAGGGTATGCAGGCCCCCCAAAGCTGGTATCCTCACGGGGTTGTTCGCTGTAGGCGCCACTGTTTGCTATGCGCTTCTCTTCCCGCCCCCTGCGCTCGATCATGGCAGCTTCTTGCGCAATCTTCTCCTGTTCTCGTAGTTCATCGTTCGGGTTAAGAGGCACGGCGCCCTGGTTTTGGTCTGCTCTTGGGACCGGAATGCCACTCAGCTGCCGCGCAAGTCCGATCAAGATGCGATTTCGCCGCGTGATGGGGCCAGTATGGGGCGAGTATATCCAGCCGCGGACATCAACATCTACAATCGCTCTCTCGTCCTGATGTCTCTCCCATTCCGACCGCCAATACTCTTCGTCCTGTATATTGCCAGCTTCCGACTCGTACGCCGAAGGCCGGCGCCATTCCTTCTTGGTATGTTGCTTCGCATAGCTTGGGAACATGATCAATTGCTCGCCGCTAAGTTGTGCCGTCACGGCCACATCTGGGAACGCTCCGGGAATGTGCATGGTCCCGGATCCGTCGAATTCGCCGTCCAGGCCCCGAGCCCTAGATTGCGCATAAGTCTCCCTGATCTCGGTGACGGCAATCTGTCCAGTGCGATAGATATTGCCAGCCACAGCTCCTGCTATGGCGGCGAATCTCTTCCGCCGATAGCCCCTCTCCCCCCTCTCGGTACCATCTCCCGTCTGCATGTCGTTGATCCGGGGCGCATAGCCCATCTCCCCCGGCGGTGGCATTTTAAGTTGTCTAAGCAGTGATGTAGCCGGCCGCCCTGTCACATGTTTGATCGGCCGCCGTCCCGAATGTCCCAGCAGCAGCCGTTGGCTGTGCCGAACGGCCTGATTAACGGCTCGTCGCTTGCTCTGCCGACCAAGTATGTAACGGTATATGCGGCTCTGGATGCGGTACTTGAGCTTCGGGAGGGTGTCGAGGTGAAAATCGAACAGCCGCTCGCGGTAGCGATCTCGGACGGCGTGTGGCAGTAGATATCGAACAAGACTTTGGCTGTGGCGATACAGCGAGCGAGGTTGTCCAAAGCCGAATAGTTTCCTAAAAGGAGCCAGCTTGGTCCGGGGTTTGCCAGTGACTAATCAGACAAGGAAAGGCCTCCCAGATCCGAGCCGCTTAGTATATATATATAATTCCGTACAGCAAGACCAAAAGCCGGCAAAGCCAATGCGCTGCTGGGAAAACCACCGCAGAGTAGCAGCCCTAGGCGTCGTCGTCAAGCCTCTCAGGCGAGCCAGTCTTCTGACAGCGGTCCGTTGCTCCCTGGATTTACCACATGCGGCGGGCGCCTGACATGCGCAGTGCTGCAGTCCACGGTTCACGCCATTTGCTGCAAATTGCCAATGAGTTTCGTGGCGGCACTCGTGATCACGTTTGGTTCATGACAGAGTCCGGCCTGCGGTTGAGAAAGGATGGAACTGGCTAGTTGCATTATGTCATCATCGCGGCACGCGCCAAGGCAGAATTCCGGGGTGCATATGCAGGGAGTATAAGTACCGAACGTGCACAAAGTAACGATTTCTATTGAACAACAACAACGACGACGACACTTGTAAAACATCGAGAATACTGTATGTACACATCAACTGGCTCCGTCCATCACCTGCTCACCTCCTCCCTCGGGGCTTCTTCACCTGTACTTTTGCCTTGCCCTTGACGGGAGCCTTCTTCCCTTTGGCGGCTTTTGCGGCCTTCTCGGCGTCCCCCTTACCCTTCTTCCAGCCCATGCTCTTATCCACTCGCTCTGCCTTTGCATCCAGCTTCTTCTTGTCTTTATTGCTCAGCTTGACGTTGCCGCCCTTCTTCTTTGCGGCTCGCGGTCCATTCAGCTCGTCCCTTCCGGCCTGCTTGGCGTTCTTCTTGTCTTGCTGTGTCTCGAACCATGTTCGCTTTGGTCTGGACTTGATCTCGGCCTCATGCTCGATAATGTTCTCGCCCTTCTTGATCTGCATCTCAACCTGAGCAAGCTGTCTCTCCTCCTTCTCCTCCTTCTCAATCTCGGCAATCTCATCGTCCATCTCATCAATCTCGGCCTGCCACTTGTCGGCATCCTTGACTTCGATGACGCGGCTTATAATCTTGGATCCCTGAGCTTTGCCAGCCTTGACAGCAGCCTTGACGACTTTGCGGTCGGGTTCGGCAGCAAGGGTCACTGATGTACCATGGCGTCCAGCACGAGCCGTTCGACCAACCCTGTGCACGTAAATCTCCACTGACTGAGGAGCTTCGTAATTGATGACTGTATCAACGCCCTTGATATCAAGACCACGAGAGGCTAAGTCTGTTGCCAATAGATAGCAAACCTTGCCGTCTCGGAATGACTCAACACTAGCAATACGCTGTTGAAAGATAAACGTTAGCGTGGTACCGGATTAGACTAGACGATGCTACTTACTTGTGTCTGGTTCATGCTACCGTGTAGCTCCGCGCAGGAAAAGCCCAAGAGACCAAAGATGATTCGAGCTTTGTGGGCGTCCTTCTTTTGGCGGAAGAAGATGATGACTCTTTCCGTGTATAGATTCTTGCAGATGTGTACCAGATAGCCCATCCGCTTCTCTTCACGTCCTGGGCGAAGTCTCACAAACTCCTGAGTCAATGTGCCCGCAGTTTTCTTTTGCGAATCCACCATGACCCTAACGGGCTTGTTCAGTCCGACCTTGATGAGACGGTCGACGGTGGAAGTCATGGTAGCGGAGAAGAGCATCGTTTGGCGCGACTTGGGTAGCGTAGTGAGAATCTCGTTAAGCTCATCGGCGAATCCATCCTCAAGCATTCGATCGGCTTCGTCAAGCACCAGGATCTCAACGGTATCGACAGAAAAACTAGCCGAGTTCCTCATGTGGTCAATGAATCGTCCAGGGGTGGCAATAATCACGTCTGGTCTCAACCGAAGCTCCACCTCTTGAGCCTTAAGGCTAAGACCTCCAACAGCCAGAGTAAACTTGATGTCTGTATGCGCTGCAAGCTTTGTAGCCACGGCATGACACTGGATTGCCAACTCACGGGTTGGAGTAAGGATCACAACGCGTGTGGTGGGAATCTTCTTGGGTCGGTAAAGAAGTCGCTCCAGGATGGGAAGCACAAATGCTGCTGTCTTTCCGGAACCTGTAACTGCACCACCGACAAGATCTTTGCCCATGAGAGCGATGGGGATGGTCTTGGCCTGAATGGGGGTTGGTTTCGAGAAGCCAACAGTGGTGATACCGCGGAGAATAGGTCTAGACAGAGACATGGCCTGGAACGATGAAACATCCACCTTTTGTCCAGGTTTTGGCTTTTCTTCAGGGGCGAAGAAGGCGTCTCGTTTGGCCTTCTCCTCGGCATCTTCCTCATCGTCATCGTCAGACATATCGTCAGGGTGGCCGACGGGCGTGGCTACCGAATCATTGTCCGAAGCGGCATCGTCGTCTTCGTCTTCGTCCTTGTCGCCATCATCCTCTTTGTCACTGTTGGCGTCGGCATCCTCTCCCGACTCTTCGGCATCCGAGTCCACGTTCATGCCGAATGCATCGTCTGCCAACACTCCGTCTTCGTCGTCGTCCATGTCAATTTCGGCTTCATCATCCGGAGAAATATCTTCTTCCTTGCCGGCCTTTTGGTTCTTCTTTTCTCTTCGTCTTCGGATAATCTCGTCCAGATCGACGCCGGCCTTCTCAACGGCCATTCCCTTCTTTGCGCCTTCGAATCCCCATCCCTCAAACTCATCCTCGCCGAGGTCGCCAGCGTCGTCGACCATGAATTCAAAATCAGAGTCCATGGCGCCATCGTTCTCATCCTTCTGTCCCCAGACACCTTCGTTTTCTTCCGGTTGAGGCTCCTCATCTTTGCTCTTCTTGGCCGACTTCTTGTTGGTCTTTGCCTTCTTCTTGGGAGGCTGAACGGCAACTTCCTCGTTCTCGGCGATTTGATCGTCGTTATCCGAGAGGGTATGGATAAAGTCATCCTCAATTGATCTCTTCTGCGACGGCGCCATCTTGAAAATTTGTCGCAACGCAATTGCTACAGAAGCTTGTCAATGCCAGCGGGGCCTCAAGCAAAATTCAAAGCAGCGACTTTTCTGCGCCAAGCCGTTTTTTCTGCCGGTTTTGAAAATTTTGGCGGTGAGGCAGCTCTCAGCGGTAGATTAGCGGCTATCTCCCTAGCTGTTTCTCCGAGCGACCCCGCCACCGTTGATTGGACGACCCTGTCAAAATACAGGCCTTTGACGACCTTGACAATCCAAACACGCGAACGAATAGCTGGATAAATTTCTCCTGTCATCCTCATTTCGCTGCCCTGCGCCACGACACCGGCTCTGCAGTCCCTTTTTCTACGCGATACCCGGCGTCTGCACTCTGCCCTTTTTATACTCTCTTCTTTGGCATTTACAACCTCATAGCGACCGCTACTCGACCCGTTGCTTCACTTTCTATTTGCATCACATAGCCTGACAAAATGGGTGAATCCAGGTACGTCGTTGTTCTCTCCACGACGAGGCTCGAGGGGCCCGAGAGGGGGGCTATTGGCTGACTACAGACAACAGACAAGATCTCCTCAATTGGCTGAACAGCCTCCTTCAGCTTAACCTGACCAAGGTCGAGCAGTGCGGCACTGGGTGAGTGTATTCTTTTGGCACCCCGCCTGACGAACAACCCCGCTACGATATAAACAAATGTCTGACACGAGCTTCTCTCCAGCGCCGCGTACTGCCAGGTCTTTGACAGCATATACATGGACGTGCCCATGTCCAAGGTCAAGTTCAACGTCAGCGGCGATTACGCCTACATCCAAAACTTCAAAGTTTTGCAGAGTATGTGACGTCGCCCAAATCCCCCTGGATGGGCTGCCCCCTTTTTACGCAGACCAGGACCTAACGGCCCACATAGACACCTTCCTCAAGCACCAGGTCGATAAGCCCATCCCCGTCGAATCGTTGGTGAAATGCAAGATGCAGGACAACCTGGAGTTCCTGCAATGGCTAAAGAAGTTCTGGGACCTCAACTTCCCCGACCACGATTACGACGCTGTTGCACGGAGAAAGGGTGGTGGTCTGCCACCAGCCGGTTCGGGAGCGCCCAGGGCTGCTGCTACTTCTAGCGCGGCTGCCCGACGAGTTGGCGGCACCACCCCAAGCACCGGCCCTCGTATCGCCAAGGCGGCACCCGGCCCTGGCACCGCAGCTTTGCAGGCGGAGATTGCGACTCTGAAGGAGACTGTGGGCGGCCTGGAGCGCGAACGAGATTTCTACTTTAGCAAGCTTCGCGACATTGAGTTGCTGATCCAGCAAGCCGTGGATGAGGACCCCGAACTGGAGAAACAAGAGGACGGCCTGGTCAAGCACATCCAGACCATCCTGTACTCGACGGAGGAAGGCTTTGAGATCCCGGCCGAGGCTGAGGGTCTGGATGACCAGGAGACTTTCTAAAACGAATCTATTGGAACGTGATATTTGATCGCTTAGAATGGTCATGGGGAGGAGTATTTTGAAGGGTGAAGTGTTGATTCAAAGCATATGGCCAATCGTTCATGACGGAGGCATTCATGGGTGCCGCCATTTACATCTTCCTTTTTTTTTTGTTAGAGGACTTAGGGTGTGAATCCTATAGAGCAAACTAGTACTACAACTGTTTGGACAATACTACTATTAATACGTCTTTGTGTGGATTGGTATCATTCTTGTTTGCCTGGGCCAAAGCACAGTCAGCTATGAAACCCCGGATCCTTCAGCCTAGAAGCGCCGGGCATGTCCAATTATAGAAGCGGTCAAGTGCGCAAAGGCCGTTGAATGAGACGCCGTATCCACAGTTGCGCTCACAAGGGACTCTTTTCCCTTTCCGCTCCTGTCCGCTCCTGTTCAGCACTCCCGCCTCTCTGTGGATTGCATGTGGTCCGCCAGCAAGCACGCGACACATTGCATAGCCAAGGGGCAGTACCATTCATGGCATGCCGACTCTGTGCCTGGCCATGAAGCTGCACGTGGTCCTACCCGGTATCCAGTAGCATTCCAGCGCTGGCATCGCCATTTGAGGGGCACTTGTCCCAAATGATCTCTAGCCCTAGGGCTATTGAATTTCACGCATCTTTTGATTTCGAGGTGCGCCGTATTCAGGGCCATTTCTCTCTGTCATCTGCTATCCGACATTGCAAAGACGTACTCGTTTGCCTCTCCAGCTGCATTCGTACTCGGACAGCGGTGGAAGAGACACGGCAGGCTGTCAATTAAACTTCCCACGGCTGCTAGGCAGGGGTCGCGTATCCACCGCCTAGTGCTCGCCCTGAGCAAAGACAGATTCAGCGGTATTACGGGGGCGGCCATCAGCTGGCAGGCACTAAAAGCTGGGCCGGTTCCACTGAAAGTCCCCCAAAGATCCATACATGTTCCGTGCAGCCAGCATACACTTTGTGCGTCCATGAGCAAAGTACTTGTACGAGCCTGAGCCGTCACTCCTTGTCCTGACACCTGCATTGTCATCATACCTACCCAGAAACTCTAAATACACGCGGCCACGACATCGGGAGCCCAGAGTTTCTCGACACGCTGGCCATAACAAAAACCAAACATTTCGTCTCTTCATTCTCCAGAGAAACCACCATCGGCCGAACCACCCCGGCTTAGCATCGAGGCAGACGAGGACTATTCACCGAATCCTTGAACCGACACAGCCATGGCGCCACCGCCCGAGATTGCGATACCGTCGACGAGCGTGTCTGACGAAGGCTCGTCCAAGCCCTACACGCTATACAACATCAGTCTTCGCCTACCGCTGCGCTCCTTCATCGTCCAGAAGCGATATTCCGAATTCGACGCCCTCCACAGCGCCTTGGTCAGCCAAGTTGGCGCTCCACCGCCGTTGCCCCTTCCCGGCAAGCATTGGCTCAGGTCGACCATCAACTCGCCCGAGCTCACGCGAGAACGGCAGCTCGGCCTCGAAAAGTACCTCCGAGTGATTGCGGAATCGCCGGACCGGAGATGGCGAGACACTTCGGCGTGGAGAACGTTCTTGAATCTGCCGAGTTCTAGCACGAGCAACTCTACGGTGTCGGCGGCGGGTATGGTTGGCACGGCGTCGGGAGTGGCGGATCCGGGAGCCTGGCTGGATGTTCACAGGGAAGTGAAGCAGTGTTTGCATGAAGCGAGACAATCCCTTTCGAGACGAGACGGAGCGGCCGACAGCGGCAATTTCACGGCGGCGGCGGAAGCGGCAGCGGCGGCGAAGAGGGTCCTGGTCAAGGCCTCCGGGCTGGTTAACAACCTTTCTGACGGCCTCCGAAGGATGCAGGAGTCGGGCAGGCTGGGTGAGGGCGAGATACGGCGAAGACGCGACCTGGTCTCGGCCGCCAAGATGGAGCGAGACGGTCTGGATAAGCTTGCCAGCAGCATGCCTGGCTCGTCGTCGGCCACCAGTCGTGGGGGTATGGGCCAAGTGCAAGCGTCCTCTTCCAATAGAGCGAATCTCTTGGGCGGATACAAACCCGCGACGTCGGGCCGGGTACTTGGCGCCCCATTACCCGAAACAGATCGAACGAGGGAGCTCGACAACCAGGGCGTGCTGCTGCTGCAGAAGCAGGAGATTCAATCCCAAGACCAGGCAATCGACCAGCTCGCCGCAATCATACGGAGGCAGAAAGAGATGGGCATTCAAATCAGCGAAGAGGTGGAGCGACAGACGGAGCTTCTAGACTCGCTCGACGAGGATGTCGACCGGGTCGAAGGCAAAATCAGGGTCGCCAACAGGCGTATTAAGAAGATGTGACTCATTGCCACGACGGCTCCCTTTCAGGCATTGTTGCTGGTGATGAGGGTTTTGGCTTACTGGCTTTGGGTTCTAAAGACGTTGGTTGACATTTTGACTTGGGTATGGGAGTTGGTGCTTGTGATTTTTTCTTAGGGGCGGGCGGGAAGCCGGCATAAACCTCCTTTCTTGATTACTGCTTTTTAATTGCGGGAAGACACGACATACTGAGCGAGCGAGCGAGACGTTGAAAAACATTCACCATCATGCATCATGTACTATTTTATGTTTCTTTGTTTGGTCTTTCTGGGGAGGTTGAGGCTTCGGGGGCGCAACATGAATGTTTTGGCACTGGGATGGGGGTTAACATGCTCAATCGCTATGATGTCAGCTGTAACGATAAATGGCAATTTTACGCAATACCGTTACTATTATGAGGCGCGGTGCTGAATAGATAGGATAATATGAAGTTGCTTCTTGGAGTTTGAGGTTCTTTTGCTGTTGTGCGTACGGAGTACGTGTTGATGGATCTCGAGGCAATGTCGCCAAATACGAATACGGCCATCTCCAGGTACAGGTAGTCGGCCGTTTTGTTGAGCCCCGAGTCTGGCACAAGTACCTGCTAGTAGAGTCGCCCAGCCAGTCCTTTTTAGACAGGCCAACTCGTGCTGTGACTGTCACCGGGTGGCTGGTCGATCCAGCACGTGAACCAAAAAATGCCCATCACACCGCCACCCTGGATTCCATTTCGTAAGACTTGGGCTGTCATTCGCCCTCGCTCTGTGATGAGTGCCTACAGTACAGCGCTTGGCACTGTGATGCCCCCCAGACGATGAGACGATGAGACGATGGGAGCGTCTTTACACGAATCAATCATTCATCCAACTACCGGGGCGGCAATCAGGGAGCCGGTCTAGAACGCCCGACGACACCATCCCGGGGCACGTTGGAAGCTGTAAGAATTGGCTAAGAAACCAACCGACAACGCTGTCAAGGCTGTCAAACGTGAATGAAGCCTTTACTTGCCACGCTAACGGCTGCGGCGTCTGCTAGTACGTCACTTGCTGGAGTGGCAAAGACAGGATCAACTGTAGTTGCCGGGCAACAACGCTATTGTTGTTCAGCCCCGAGTCTGGCCCGCCGCTATCTCCAAGGAACCAGCCGCTGCCAGTGACATGCCGACCTGGCATTCACGGTTTCTGCACGCACTTTGGGCTGCCTGCGACCAAGCATTGGACACGTCAACTTGACATGAAAGCGACATATTCTCTGCATCACAGCATCAACAAAAGTGCTTGGCCAAGCTCTCGTCGATTCGTCCGGTCAAACGGGTTATCAGTGGATCCAAGCACCGTGGGGGCTCTTGCAACGGCCAGAGAAGCAGGCCCTGGCGGTAGCGAGGAGCCGCGATTGGAGAGGACTCTTGCGAGCTGGGGCTCTGACACCCGAGAAACGACATCGCGACGGGCAATTGGGCTTCGTGAATGGACAGAGGTGTTACGCGGACGCGTGAGATTCTCTAGGCGAATGTACGGAGTAGGCAGATGCAGGTTGAAGCGGGACAGAATGGCTGGGAAGAGGGGCTGGTGGATGCTGGAGATGGGCAGCAGATGTTCATGAAACGGCCCGGCGAGGGACAGGAGGAGAGCTGGCGCGTACAGTAAGAGTAGTCCCACATTTGCCTTTTCTCTCGTTGACTGATTCCTTTTTTTTGGCGTCTTTTCGAGCAATTTCGCAGCAACTGGGGAAGCCTCTGGTAGGTATTATGGATAGTATTTGTTGACAACTTGAAGACGTAGTTTATGTGATGACGAGAGACGAGAGACGGGAGTCATGCAGGATGGATTGATAGCGCGCCTCGTTTAACGGCTGCAGCACCCTCCAGCTGCTGTCCCAGCTCCCACAGGGCCCTAGCGCCCCTCTGTGACGTTTTCCCCGGGCCGTCCAGCCACTAAAACCAGCGGCGCAACCAACCAGAGCGCTGCCGCAATCGAGGCATCAGGCTTCTCCCAGCCGCTGTCTTTTTTCGCTTTCCGCCCCTCCCAAAACCCTGGAGGGGTCCATCCAACTGGCCAGACAGCTCTCAACAGCCCTGGCTTGCCGCTATCTTGCAGCGCTCCAGGTAAACAACCCGCCAGGCTGGGTTCCAGGTTTTCTCGTGCTCATGCTCAGAGCCAGAGCTCTTTTAATCCATTTTGTCCACCCCCACTTGCTCGTAGCCACCAAAACCTTCAAATTTAATTTCACCTGCCCCATGTCGAGGCTACGCCTCCTGCTCGACCTCGTCAAGAACACGCGACGATTCGATCCCGCCTTTGCGTAATTGGAGAGCCAACGGCTGTGCGGCGTGTTTTTTGATCTGGAGCCCGGCGTTTGTTTCTCTGTGGTGTTTGTTGTCTTGGTTAGTTGAATCCCGCTTGGACCCCCCAAAGGCGCTGAGAAAGCTTCCCCTTCATCTCACTCTTTGCCCCCTTTTCCAATGGCTGGGCAGAGGGGACTCGTTGCCGTCGCAAACCGACGAATTGCTTCGCTCGCGGCAGCCTTTTTTGGGGAGTGGCCATGAGTCTGGCTCTGACATGTTGGGCTAGGTTTCGTCTGTTTTCCCTTTGCTGGTCGCGAAATAGTAATTCACCACGGTTTCCCATGGCTTTCTCGATGCGCTCATAGACCAAAGGCGATTGCAATTTACATCATTTCAGCACCTACGCAAGCTTTTTCCCGCACACGGCGTCCTTTCGAGCTGGACCTTGACCGAGGAAATTAATCAACAGGCATGAGCGCGCCGCCTCCACCTCCGCCGCATGGCGAGGTGCCCAAGTCGGGTCTGCCTCCCGGCAATTACGACATATTCGTCATTCCCCAACATTCGTCAGGCTCCGGCTTTCTGTACCTGCCATCGCTGCAGCCGAATGTCAATAGCTTCGTGGCGGGCTTTGCCTCTGCGCTAATATGCGTTGCCTTGTTCCAATCCGTGGCACCGGCTGTGAAGCTATGGCTCAATGGCTCTGGCGTGGGAGGTACGGCCTTGACCACGCTTTTATTGGGGGTTGGCATTGGATCTTGGGCCCTTGGGCGGATGCAGACTGGTGGATTAGCACCTGTGCCCGGCTCAGGCGATAAAGGACCCGGCTCAGGCACCTCAGGAGGATTCAGTAATGGACATGGGCCACACGGCGCAAATGGCGGACACGGTGGCTTCGGAGGCCCAAACTCGGGAGGGCGAGCAGACCCCAATGCGCCGCCTCCTCCGCCTCCTCACGGCCGTTCCGCTGACGGTGCACCTCCTCCTCCACGCCATGACCGATCCCAAGGAACCTGGAAGAATGCGAATGCTCACCCCGAAGAGGCACCACGGCCGTCCAAGCATGAACCTGAGCCGGCCTCTTCGCCTTCTCACCGCTCACCGTCTCAAAGAGACGCACCACCTCCAACCCCCAAGTCACCACTAGACACGGAGAAGCAACGTCAACGCCAGCCTCCGCCATCGGAGGAAAAGCCCGCTCCTGAGGTAGAGAAACCAAAGAAGAAGAAGAAGAAGGCACCAGCTGCAGAAGAGAAGAACCCGGCCCCAGAGCCTGAAAAGATACCACTGAAATCTGAGCTGAAGCAGCCCGGTTTTGAAAAGATGCCTCCAGTGTTCGGGAGAAACTCCCCGGAACTTGAGAGAAAACGAACTTCTTCACCAGAAAAGAAATACGCTCCTCCAGTCGAATCAAAACCTCCCATTTCACCTGAAAGGAAAAAGAGTGTGCCTGAACTAGCAAAGATACCTGACTTCGAAAAGAGGCCTGCTCCTGTTTTAGAGAAGATGACGACAATGCCCAAGGCAGCATCCAAGCTGCCACGCATGCCGGACCTAGCACCAATCCCTCCATTTCGACCAGACCCCCAACCGGAGAAGCGAACAATTCCCAAGCCAGACCCTCCCGCATCTACTGAGACTAAGCAACAGCCACCCCCTCCCGAGCCCAAGCCCGAGCAGAATCCTCCTCCTCAGCCGGACATGAAGACTGAGAAGGCCGAGACGCCAAAAGGAACTTGGGAGAAGGCACGTGAAGAAATGAGGAAGAAGGAAGAAGACAGGAGACTCAAGGAAGCAGAACAAAAGCGTCGCGAAACAGCTGCCAAAAAGCTGCTTGAACTGCGTGCCAAGGATGCAAAGGAGCGGCAGGAGCGTGAGAAGGAGAAGCTTCAAAGGGAGGCAGAACAGCAGGCAAAAGAGGAGGCCGAGAGGAATGAGGCTGAGAGGAGGCGCAAACAAGAAGAACTGGAATTGGCCAGGCAACGGGAGAGGGAAGCCAGGGAAAGAGAAGCAATGGAGAAAGAATCCAAGATATTGGAAGCCAGGGAAAGGGAGGCGAGAGAGCGGGAGGCAAGAGAAAGGGAGGCGAGGGAAAGGGAAGAGCAACGAAGGAGAGAAGCCGAAGCCAAAGCAGCGGCTGAAAAGAGAGCTGCAGCTGAGGCCAAGGCGGCTGCGGAGGCCAAAGCTGCAACAGAGGCCAAGATTATTGCTGATGCTAGGGCCGCAGTCGAGGCGAGAGCTGCGGCTGAGGCCAAAGCCGCCGCAGAGGCCAAGGCAGCTGCCGAAGCCAAGGCGGCCATGCCCGACTTTCGAGCAAGCCGAGTCGGCAGCACGATGTATGCATACTCCAGCGTTGGCGAGAAGACAGCCATGTGGCCCAACGGCCGGCCTCCTGCCCCTCCCCCTCCTCCATCAACAACAGCCCCTTCTGTGGTCTCTTCAGCAACATCTAAGATGTCTGACGAAAGCGACCGGACAGAACGGACAGAGAGATCTGAGAGATACGAAAGATTCGACAGAGGCGAGAGCCCCACAAAACGGGCACCTCCCGCTGCCGCTCCGTCTGAGGCTCCCTCATCCTCTTCGAGGAGATCAGACCCCTCAGCGAGACGATCAATGCCTCCTCCAAAGTCATATGTTAGTAGTAACAGCAGTTATGTAGATTCGGAGACGTACTCTTACAGGCCATACGACCAACCGAGCAAGCCACAGCAGCAGCAGCAGCAGCAGCATCACCATCATCAACCACCACCATACGACCAGACACCGCCTAACAAGCCGAGACATAGGAAGTCGACATCATCTCTCACAGGATCCGACGCATCGTGGGCGGCCTCTCAGACAACAGCACGAACAACGCCACCGCCCTCGATACGATCTCCCTACTCGACTAATGATCCTGACAAGGTTGTGATCCAATCTGTATACCTCTTCATGAACCAGTTCACCAAGACACCGTCCAGTCAGCTCATATCGGGAGTTGGCACGGTGACGGATGGCCTGGTGCTTCGAATCACAACCGAGGGACTCTTTATTGACGACGATGTTCGCGGAGTCCCCCAGCGCGAGTGGGACGTCAAGGCCTGGACACTCAAACTTGTCGAGGTGTGGTGCCTGCCGCATTGCTTGACTGCACCCCCGCCGCCAGCGGGATCTACCACTAGCAGAAGCTCTGGTTTCTTTCACAAAGTGGCTGGCAAAAGCCGCCCAGATCGGGATGGCCCTGCCGCTTTCACTGGTGATGAAGCTGATCTGTACCTGTCAGAGATGCTTCACGCTTGTAGAGAGTGCTGCCGTCTTGGCCTCTGCGACCGTACGTTCAAGAACACCAACATTCCATCGACGACGGGACAGGCTGGGGAATGGAAATCCAAGGGCCTGCATGTCCTTCGGGCGACACTTCGCGACCAAGAAGCCAAAAGCTACCTCTTTATTGTTGAGGAAACTGAGGGCTGGAAACTGGCCGTCGGACTGCAACGCCTGAGGCGCGGCACCCAATCCCGACAACTGGGGGTGGCTACTCTACCGCCTTCCGAAGCTCGTGGCATGCTGGAAACATTGGGCTGGGTTGCCTAATGTTGAGCCGATCTGCGCGAGTCCAGAGTTACGGGAAAGGATATCTGTTTTGAGCCAACATGATCTACCAGCAAGGAGAGAGTAACGAAAGGCTAAGGTGTGAGCTGGACAATGACAGCTTTTATACGTGGATGTAATTTGATGGTGTTGAGCTGGAATGGAAACGGCCTTGTTGGGTGGGACTGGGGCTCTGATGAGGGCAAGGGAAACAAATGTGAGTGCCTGGCGCCGCAACATTCCTTTAAAACATGGCCTGGCATGCTTCTTACAGACAGTTTGGATCCTGGTAGATTCAGGCCACGAAGGACACGAAAAATACCCAATGCAAATATTGCTAGCACAACTATATACCAAGCTTAAATACATAATACCACTCATTTACTATGATTAATTACAAAAATGAAAGGCAAAACAAACGTCGAATCATCGCAAGTGCCTATTACCTCGCTGAAAAAGGGGTATCTGAACCTGAACGCCTCCCTCCCCCACGCCTCAAATCCTCCATGACCTCGTTATATATCCAATTGATATACAACACAAAAACGGTTCGAACATGACGACAATGTGGCTAAGCTTGCTCGTACGTATGCTGAACACTAATATACAATCCAAAACAACAAAAGTCGGCACTAATTAACCAACTTTAGAGACGAATGAAAGAATAACACCCACTCCCAGACAACACCCCTTTCTCTACATCCTCATAACCATGCAGTATCAACCAGGTAGTGCCTACTAATACATCTATATACAATCCACTCACTAATTCTTAGCGCGCTTGTCGGCAAGATCCCAAATCTCGACGTCGCCGCTGATCCTTCCCAGGACCAAGGTCCTTCCATCAGAAGAGAAATCGGCAGAGGTAACCAGGGGGCCACCGTCCTGGGTGCAAACCACGGCGCCAGAGGCCACGTCCATGATGTCGAAGCCTTCCTCAGTCCAGCTGGCGATGTAGCGGCAGTCAGGGGAGATGCTCAGGGGCCATCCCTCGCAGGGCCGCGTGCTAGAGAGGCTGTACGAAGTCAGTTGGCCGTGCTGAGGCATCCAGATGTGCACGACGGAGCCCCAGACGGAGACGATGGTCTTGCCGTCGGGGGAGACGGCTAGGGCGCGCGGGTTCTTGGACGTCTCCATCTCGAGCTTGTAGAGCGTCTTGCTGGTGCGAGGGTCCGTGACGCGGAGGGTGCCATCGCGCGAGAGAGTGACGAGAGCCGAGTCAGGGGCAAAGGCGACGTGAGTCACGGCGTCAATGTGGCCCGGGACGCGGCCGATACGGGTCCCGGTGCGGGCGTCCCACAGACCGATGCGGTGCCGGGGTTCAGCGGCGGCGATGGCACGGCCGTCAGGGGACCAGGCGATCGGAGCGAAGACTTCCTTGAGCTCGAGGACGGTCTTGCCAGTAGAAAAGTCGCGGACCATGAGGGAGGCCGTCGACGAGAGGGTAGCAATGCGCGGGAACGGCAAAGCAGATGAGGACGACGCCAAGGCCAAGGCCGAGGCCGAGGGCTTGCCGACGCGGAGCGGGGGCGAGTGCAGCGAGGGCGAGAAGCTCGCGACGGGGCCGATGATCTTGGAGTAGCCGCGCTGGGTTACGAGATCAAAGGTGTCGATCCATGGCTGGTCGGTCTGGGCGCCGGGGAAGATGGCGTAGGCGAGGGCGGACGAGGGGGAGATGCCCACGGCGGTGATTTCGGAGCGGGAGGCGGGGCGGGTGAAGCGGAGGGTCAGAGAGACGCAGGATGAGGGGGGCGGAGACGGGGAGGGCGCGGGAGACCTGGATTTTTTTCGGGTTGTTGGCATTTGATCTATAAGGCCATGGGGGTTGAATATGTGGTGATGGAGACTTACATTTTGACGGTAGGTGAGTATATGAGTCAGGGCTTTATGTTATGGATAGCTGAAGATGGCAATGGCGGCGACAACCACGGTGTCAATGATTATGTGAATTATTGATTCGATTTGATATGATTCAAAAATAGTTATTCAATTCTGTTTCTGTCTACTTCCCGCCCTCCTCCACAACGAGGCCAAAGTCACCCAAGAGCAGCAGGCCCCCGTCTATTTATCCCGTCCCCCCCCAAAGTAAACAACCCAACCCACGCAACGGCAGGATCAGTCATCCCCCTGCTCCTATCGTCGGCCTTCTTGCTGACAAGAGTCCAACCAAACGGGTCACAACCTATCTAATCGAGCTAATTTTTTCTCGCCTTCCCTTTTACTCCACATGCTTTGCGTTTAAAGGGTTCGTTTAGCTTTAGTTACAAATTCGAAAGGTTCTATTAGAGTCCCGATGAGGAAGCGGAACTCGGCTACATGGCGGCGTTGCTAAATGGTGGTGACAGAAAACATCATCTAAACTAAACAACTGAAGCCGTGCAAGCAATGTTATCAATAGTAACATTTATGGAGACGATAATACAGCATATTTCGCGCAGAAGAAGAGTCACAGCGTGTTATTGAAGTTACCAGGCCCCACAGAACCCCCAATCCGTCTCGCCGGTTTCTCCCCCCCTCAATACACGTATCCACGGGGAAGCTAAAAGGTGAAAATTGCCTAAAACGGCAAGTTTTTTTTTTTTTTTCCTTCTTCACGTTCGGCTGTCTAAGAAGGGCGATTTTCAGCGTGAGTCACGCGAGCCCCGGGTTTTTGCGCTGCGGCGCCGATGTGTGTTCAGCTTTTTGTTATCATAAAGGGAGCAATTGGCATTGTTTCGGCGAGATGGTTGGGGTTTAGTTGGGGATTAAGCTTAAATCGTTAGTCGTGGTTGTGATTTGAGGGCAATGAGGCTGCTTGGGTAAGCCGAGATGGCTGGCCGAGCCGAATGTGGCAGCAAAAGCCTTGTGCTATTGTTTTCGGTGGCGTCATTGATGCTTTGATTAAGGTGATTACGTGAATTCGATATCGATGCGTTACAAAGCTATGGTCTCCGTAATCAGGTCCAACTTAGTAATACGGCTGGCTCTTCTCGGCTTCGGTCTCTGCTCATGACGGAACCAAGTGGAGACGCCGGCTGTCCATCAAGGTTCTATCATGGCCTCACCCACGTGTGTTAGTGCCAGGAAGAGAGCGATATATTCCAACGTCAAGGGACTTTTATTCTTTTTTGTCTTCCTCTATTATTTTTCTTTTTATATACACATCATATTCACACATTACGCACCGAAGGCCTCCTCATAGTTGACCATGCATGATCTGTATCGCACGCTCGAGTCTGCCAGTCTGTTCATGGCCTGCTGCAGACCCTCCTTTGAGATCGGGATCTTCTCTACCCAAGAGTGAATGCCCTTGGTTGCTGCCAGGTCCAGCATCTCCAGCATCTCCTTGCGGCTGCCCAGATGTGAGCTGCCAATGAAGCAGCCGTTTCCGAGGAAGTCCTGGTTTCGGACAGAGACACCCTCACCACCGGGAAGACCGACTGAGTTCCATCGGCCGTGGACGTCGAGCAGGCTAAGGTATTGGCCGAGAGCGAAGCCCTCGAAGGAGTTGGCAGTGTTGACGATGAGGTCAAATGTCATCTCGTGTCCCTTGGTCCAGTCCTTCTCTGATGTGGCCAGGAAGCCATCGGCTCCCATCTTGCGAGCGTCGGCCTCCTTGGCTCGGGATCGGGAGATGGCCCAGACCTCGGCGCCCAAGGCCTTGGCGAAGAGGATGCCGTAGTGGCCCAGGCCACCAATGCCCACGATGCCGACCTTCTTGCCAGGGCCGGCACCGAAGCGCTTCAGGGGGCTGTAGACGGTGATACCGGCGCACAGCATGGGGGCGGCGTCGGCGCTCTCCAGAGCATCGGGAATGGGGTATGTCCTAAGTGATAATTCAGGTCAGCCTTCTAGGTCATCTCATAGAGCTAAAACTGCTGACAACCACTCACCAGTACTCGTGGATTCTAGAGTGAGATGAATAGCCTCCCTGGGTTGTGTAGCCGGTGTCGAGGTATGGGGCACCATAGGCGTCGATCTGGTGCTTGCAGTACGTCTCGTTCTCGTTCTTGCACTGGCGGCACTCCAAGCAAGAGTACACCTGAGCGCCAACACCAACTCTCTGGCCAACCTTGGCCAGCGTCACCTTGGGGCCGACGCGGATGACCTTGCCAACGACCTCGTGTCCCACAGCCAGAGGGTAGGGGCAGTCGCCCCAGTCGCCGCTGATGGTGTGGCGATCACTGGCGCAGACACCGCAGCATTCCGTCTTGATATCGACGTCATAATCGCCAAAGGGTCTGGGCTCCCACGAGCCCTTCTCAAACTCGAGCCAGTTGCCGGCGCTGGGGGACTGGAAGCCGGTGAACTTGTCAGGGACTGCCATCTTTGAGCTCTTTTTACGCTGTCGGACGGATGATCTGTAATGGGTTTGTCGAGGTGGTATAAAAGCAAGTTTTTATCGAGAGAGAAGCTGATTACAGGAAAAAGAAGAATAACCAGAGGAATCAGTCGCCGATGAGGGGGAGGCCCTGGCAGTTATAATTGCCTATCGTCTCGGCTCATCATTCTGCCTCTGTCGACCCCACCATCATCATATGAGGGGCTGCCACAGCTTCACTTTACCCGCGCCATTCTCAGGCTTTCTCCGCGCTGAAAGAATGAGGAGATAGTCTCTGAATATTTGCGGATGAGGAGCCTCTAGACCCTCACAAACCCCCACCTTTTGGAGGCGAAGAGGCGTATCTAGCCCATTTCCGTCGCCGATGCGGCAAGATAATCCGGCGGCTACCCGATTGTTCCACCAAAGAGAGAGCGCGATAAGCCGATTGCTGCTGCTGACTTAAGCCAACTATAGCCTATATCACAGCCAACGGGCCAATCGATGCCGAATGAGTGCCGAGTTCTTCACCTCGTGAGACCTCGTGAGAGATCTTGTGGCTTCAAGCTCGATGCGATTCGGGTCCGTTTTCCGAATCGAGTTTCTGATTCCTGCTGTCAAGATATTGAAATCTCCCTTGGCACTGCCTGGGGCTACTTATGCCTAATATTGCTTTGTAAAATGTTGCCTTTCCAACGCCTCTCCTCGGGTCTCATCGGCCGTCCTCACAGCCCAACCCCTGCCAGGAAACACATCCTCAACGTCGCCCCCGCGTAAACCCAGGGCACGTTGCCAATATCACCAGCGTTCCAACCCGTGACATTGTAGTAGATCGCGGGGCCCAACTCCTTCATCGAGTACAAATGCCCAAAGTCAGCAATCAACAGCACCAGCAGGACAGAGCGCCAGACACGCAGGTCCCGGGTAGACCGGAGCACAAGCGCCTCGTTGATGGCGAAGAAAAAGTACATGTTTGCAAGCTGCGACATGGCCACGGCAGTGCCCCGCGGGACCTGTGCAGGTGCCGTCGCCGTGTCCAGGAGCTCGAGGTAGCGCTGCTGGCGGAAATGGGTATAGAAAGCGCCGACTAGAGCGGAAATGGGCTCGAGGAAGAGGAAGAAGAGGCGGTATGCAAGGGGGAGGCGGAAAGTAAGGTGAGCTGGCGCCATGATGCCGTAGCAAATCGTTGTTTCGGTCAGAGCCAAAATCCAAAGCCAAAACAAGCGGATGGTGAATTGTCCAAGTTCCAGACCTGCCACGACTACGTTGCTATTGGCCGTGCTGTTACAGTTATGGGCCTGGGCATATGTAGGTAAGCTGGGGCCGTTGCGGTGATGCTTCCCGCAGATGTATGTTGGTTGGCTGTCATCTTGAAGCCGATGCACGTCGTCCCAACTCCACCGCTGGGGAAAACGTGGCTGAACCCTTTTTTCCCCTTTGTATCTTTTTTTAAGTTCACCAGGGGCAAGATGACGATCATTGCCCTTGTCTTGTCCCAGGGGCAGTGTCTCTGAGCTGTCTCTGATTCATCTTCCAGCCACCAGGTTGTGTTGTACGATTGAGGCTTGTAATACATCAGTCTCCCACGACAAAACGGCTGTACTACACAAAGCAAAGCCCTACAAATTGCAGTAAAAATCCTTTGAATTGCCAAACAATCGCATCTCAAAGAATTACTCCATAAAAAGACTATTTTTATCCTGTCATCTCGTCTTATTGGCACTCGCCCTGCATGCACTCTTGAGACATGCTTGTTGGGTCGTGGCCAGCTGTCTTTGTCCAGCCGTCCTCTTGGCAGGCACATCACACCGCAAGGTACAGGTGAGAGAGGCCCCCTGTTCTGCTATCACGCTTAGTGGCGAATGACGCTTCGAGAAACTGACAAAATCTCAAGCCAAAAGGCACAGTCTCCACGGAGATCATCACTGCCGTCCAATCCCAGCTGCAGCAGCAAGACAAAGCAGAGCCCGACAGACCCGCGGGCGAAGGACGAGAATCCAATGGCTCGCCAGGAAACAGAAAAAAAAGGAACAAAAAAAGCTGACTAGCGACCCGTAATTTACGGACACTCCGCTTCAGATCGCACCTAAAAAAGCACAAGTGCTGCGACGACTTGATCGCTGCCGCTGTTAGTGGCTTGTACTTGTACTTTTGGGGGGTTTTCGCCATTGATATGAGACAGAAAAGTTTTACGCCTCCGCGCGGGTTCGCGTGTTTCGCCCGTTCATCTGAAGTTGGCGACGTAATGTCGACGAAGGAAGTAGAGAGACATGGGCTGTTCGTGACGGAAGGCGGCAAATGACTTGATTCACCTGGCGACTGACAACTGAGACGTGATGCGATGCTCACCAAATCAAGGTCAAGGACGACGGTTGAGCGCGGCATGACCAGCATGCACAGGTCATCAGGGGCATCCCCAGAGTCCGGATGCCTCTCTCCACTCTGCTCCGTAGTTTGAGATGGTCTAGTGCTTGCTAGTAAGGGTCGGTGGGAACAAATCTGGGGCATTGATCTCAAGGGGATGCTGGCACTTGCGTCGATGATGGATTGATGGATTGGCCAGTGGCTGTGGCTTTGATGCCATCGAGTGAAAGCCCAAGTGAAGCATCAGGTACCTGTACCTCCACACCATGTCGTGTCATGCCATCCCTTCTTCCAGGGGCAAGCCTCAACGCCGCCAGCGATTTTTTTTTCTCGTGCAGGGACTCCGGCAAATGGCGGGCACCTATTCATCCCTCCAAGTCTGTGCGGGCTGCGCCGTACATGCACTAACATAGCCCAGTAATATGCCCGTATTGGTGACAGACCAGAGTAGATACCGCTATCGGTCCCCTTGTTTTTTTTTTGTCCTGCTACTTACGGCCTTTTTTACATCCTATCGCAACACAGTCTCTTCGCTTCCTCTCTCAACCACTCTCCTTTTTCCTCGTCCTTGTTTCCATCTCCTCGCCGCCCTCGACTGCTTAGTAGGATCCTGCGTGACCTCCCAGCCGTCGTGTTTCATTTCGTGCCCGCTAAAACCGAAACGGGAGTCTCTGGACACACGCACGAGGCATTGTCAGCCGCCGCGTGGCGCCCATCACCATCAGCAAGACCGCCTTGCCCTCATTTTCTCTGCATTCCAATTTCAACCCGAGTTTCCAACTCTCACGACCACTCTTGCTTGTCGATATTTCCATTTTCGCTCCTTGGAGGCATTATATCGCCTTTCTCTCTTCGTTTCGCTGTCTATTCGTTGCTCGCGTTTGTTGGGTCCGCTGGTGTTTCAGCACTCCATCTCGAGACTAGTCAGTCGTCCTTCCTTTCGCCGACGAGCAAGACGAAACTCCACCGAGGCTCTTCCACTTCGACCCCGTTGATCAACAGTCTTCGTGTTGGACAACTTCCCTTCTTCAGCCTTTGATTTGCCATTCAATTTCTCGACCTCAACCAATCCTTCAATCACGAGCCCGAACATTTACGGCCAACACTCGCTGCGTTCGAACAGTGGTACGATTTGTCTGCACTACCACAAATACTTCTTTTAAGCCAAGGCTCTACTCAAACGGACACAATGGCGGACCAGTTTCAGTCCTACACCATGGGAGCATCTACTGGCAATCAGGTCACCGGTGCTCCCGCATCCAACCAATCCCATGACCCGCGCATGCGTAGCCTGAGCCTCTCGACTCTCCTCCGAACCCACAAACATGCCGTCTTCTCCCACGACGATCCGCACCCGCCGCGACAGATCAACGAAGTCGCCATCGACGACTCGGAAGATGCACATGACTTACCCTCTCGAAAGCGCCGTGTTCGTGCTCAGAGCACCGCCGGTACCATCAAGGGGGTGATTCGCCGGGCCTCCTTATCCCTCAAGGGCATGGTTCATCGCCGGCCATCCATCACAGCCGAGCCTTCTGAGCTCAACAACCAGCCTGTTTCCCATGCCAGACCGACGAGCGCCCATCACACGTGGAACCGCCTTCGCCACGCTGCGCCCTTTCGCCGGTCGAGATCTTTCTACGGCTTTAATGTCACTGATGATGGCCTCTACGAACAGCAAGCACAAAACCCTCATATGCCTATTCCCGCAATGGGAGATGAGCCTCCGTACATTCCCATGAATACGGGTGCTGCCGCAAAGGCCTCTGTGGCTCTGCAGAACGAATATTATCACAGACAAGCCATGCACAGCCAGTGGCTTCAGTCGTCGGGTGAGGATAGCAACGATCGTGAGAGCGGAATCGGCATCGTCGTCACCCAGCCTTTTATCGAGTCGGGCCTCAGCGATGACGGATCCATCCTTGCTCAAGATAGCAAGATTAGCAGAATCGATTTTATCAAGCAGCTGCCATCCGAGCTCGCCATCCACGTTTTGGCCTGCCTTGACGCCGCCGCTCTGGCCAAGGCGAGCGTCGTCTCCAGGCACTGGAATGAGGTGGTTCGCAACCAGCATATCTGGCGAGAGTCTTGTCTACGAGAGATGACCACCACTTATGCCACCAGTGAGCCTGTCAAGCCCGGCACTGGCCTGGGCGTTCCCGAAGTTGTTCCCACCAACGATTGGAAGCAAATATACCGCGCCAAAGTTGAGCTCGCTCAGAAGTGGAAGGAGGGCAAGGCCCGTCCCATGTATCTCAACGGACACATGGACAGCATCTACTGTCTACAATTTGATGAGTATGTTCCCGCCCATAAACTACACTTTCTCCCTTTCTCCCCACCTCCTTGTCTTGTTTTTGGCATACTTACTAACTCGCTCTAGGTATAAGATCATTTCCGGTTCCAGAGACAAGACCATCAGAATCTGGGACATGCAAACCCTGGAGTGTCGCCTGGTCATTGGTCCCCCCGAGGTGGTCAACCACCCCATGATGCTGGAAGATGCCGACGGCAACCCGACTCATTATGTCAACTTTTCTGACAGCTATCGGGCGTCGCCCTCGATGCCAAAGGTGGCTTCCTTCGAGGAGCACCACAAGGCTTCTATCCTGTGCTTGCAATATGACGAGGAGATTATGGTGACTGGCTCATCGGATTCCACGTGTATTGTTTACGACATGCGCAACGGCTATCGTCCAATCCGGCGTCTCACCCACCACACCGCTGCTGTTCTCGACCTTGCCTTTGACGAGAAGCACATTGTGACCTGCAGCAAGGACATTAGCATCTGCGTTTGGGACCGAGCGACTGGCAACCTTCTCCGTCAGCTCCGTGGCCACACAGGCCCTGTCAATGCCGTCCAGATGCGTGGAAACACCATCGTGTCATGCTCTGGAGACTTCCGGGTCAAGCTGTGGAACATTGACACTGGCAAAAACATTCGTGAGTTCGTCGGCCATACCAAGGGCCTGGCTTGCTCTCAGTTTTCCGAGGATGGACGATATGTCGCTTCGGCTGGCAACGACAAGGTGATTCGCATCTGGGACGCCAACACGGGCGAGTGTGTCCGCGAGATGCGCGCGCACGAGAACCTGGTGCGCAGCTTACACATTGATAGTGTAAGCGGCCGACTTGTCAGTGGCAGCTATGACACGGACATCAAGGTTTGGGACATGGAGACGGGCCGTCAACTGCTTGACTTCCCTCGATGGCACGCCAGTTGGGTCCTTAGCGCAAAGAGCGACTACAGACGCATCGTCAGTACCGGACAGGATCCCAAGATTCTCATCATGGACTTTGGCGCAGAGGTGGAGGGCATTGACATGTTGAACAGTGCCAATACCGGCATCGGCGGTAACATCTTTTAAACTAATCTGAGGCATCCGGACCGACTCTAGGGACCATGCTCAGCTGTGGGACCATTGAACATGACGTCGCCCGCCGGTATTACGGGATCGACACACACTATCGGCCTTTTTCTTCTTCGTCTTTGCAATTATCATATGTCATTTTTGCTTGTTCCATCGCGGCAATGACGGTGAGGTGAGCAGATTAGCGTGTGCAACGCTTGTCTTGGTCTCTCCATCTTACACCATCTTCTTTTACGACTGGCTTTCTATATCGGCTGCACCCCCCTGGTGAATAGACTATTTTGGGCATACAGATGCGATAGAATGGGCATTGTTTGGCATTTGACTTGGCACTAAGCCTGTCAACCTAATTCTACGGTGGCTGTTGGACAAGCGTCGAACTTTTTTTTTTTTGTCTTTTTTTTCAGTCCAGTCATATTCATGCAGGAGCAGGTTTGACAAGACATAGACATGAAAATATGGGAATGCTTTTTTTTTGTTTTTGTTATAAGGGAGCGAGCGGTTTAGGAAACGGAAAACAACATGGGGGATTTTTTTCTTTTTTCGATTAGTGGCGTGCGAAGAAACATATAGACGAGCTATGCAACAGGGACATTTCTTTTTTTTATGCGCGGGGGTTTAAGAGCGGATAGTTATGTTTGTGTTTTATTGTTGCTTTTATTAATTTGACGAATCTTCTTTTTTCTCTCTTGATATTTTTGACAAAAGACTATTTCTCTAAGCTTCTCTTGGTTTCATGTGCTTCTTCTACCTTGTTTAAGTCGTTTGCTATTGTGGTGGCTTAGACTTGGGTTGGATTGTTAGACTATTACTTGATGCCAAGTATAGTAGTGGCATGGCGACGGGTATTGGCGAATGGATGGGGGATGTAACCCTCGTTTGTATCGGGGAGAAGAGAAGCTTTTTTTTTTTCTCTCGGGCGTTTTGACGTGTTTATTTTTGTTTTTGTCTTTGTGAGGGAGGGGTGTGTGGTAGATGGGGATGGGGATGGGGAATGGGGGATGGGGATCAGTGTCCGAGTGCGAGGGCAGAAAGATGTATCCATCCAGGTCACTATCTAGCTGGGTGAAGGCAGTTGCTTCTTATGGGAAAGGGGCCTTTATTCAGCGGAGGACTGCCGAATGGGATGCCTGTAGATGACGATTCCCCCCCTGTTTGTGGCGGTAGTAGTACAATTGAGTGAAGAAAGAGGCGGAAGAAACGAGCCGAGGAGGGACCGTGTGGGAGGGTGTTTGATCTGGTGATCTAGCGAACATCTGGGTGTGTATAAACTGGCAGGGGGGGGAGAAGGTGTTTGCCTCGGGAGGACGGAGTTTGGGATGGGATGGCAGGTTTTTTGTCATCTTCTGGATGCGGGTTTGGCCGAGTTAGTTTGTGGGGATGGGATTGGATTGTGTGGGGTGGCGGAGGAGAAGAAAAACATGGGAGCTGGTGAGATTCTGGGGATTGAGGAGCACGTGTTGGGATGGGATGTGTATGTGGCGATTTTTGCGAGATGGAGTTGCTCCAGGGGTTGTTGGTTTGGCTGTGTGTGTATGTATGTTGACTAAGGAGGTGACTATCAATTGCTGCTACTTTGTTTTACATAGACATTGAATACGAGAGTTTAGAGTTGACAACTCAGGTACGCCGCAACTCATCCATGTGTACGAGGTAACATCGAGCATTTCGCAGCAAGATGCACCGAAAAACTCTTTCATCTGCGGCATAATTCACGGGGCACACAGCCGTCGGGATCATTCCCCGAATGAGTGCTACCTTGATTTCACATGCAATATCAGTATGCGCTATGCAAAAAGACATCATCCCACTGCCCCAGTGTCAGCTCGGCCCTTTGGGTAAAAAAAGAATCTTGCGCCATAATTCCTTTGCCGCAGGTCGGAATATTGCTCTATTACCCGAAGCGATGGTGACGAAGCATACTGAATAACCTTCTTATTCTTAAAAAAAAAGAGGCTTGACAAGGGCCGGGCCATTCCGAGTCACGGGGCGGTGAGTTGGCGGATGAGTGGCGCCAGGGATTGGATTGGTGATGCTGGGGGTTTGTACTAGCAGGATTTGACATGCTGTGTATTCAAGCTCTGGTGGCGTTATTGGGTGTGGCGTTCCTTGCAGGGTTCTTGAAGATTGAGCTCAACCACTGCTGAATCTATTGCTCTGCTTGCGGCAATGCAACGACACAACGCAATGCTACTGTACTCCGTACCGAGAGTTCTTTTGCTGCTCCAGTGCGGCCGACTCTCAGATGAGGTCGGGGAAGCGCGGCATCCAAAAGCCTATTGCCGTCTGGTGCGGGGAACCCCTGGTCTCCCCAGTCCGGGGTGAAGAATGGAAGAGAGGGTTAGGGCAGAGCCCAGCCGGCATCTCTTGGCTGTACAGTAGTCACGGCTCTCTTGCGGCATCTGGAACAGGCCGGCCGGCTTCTCTCCGGACAGTTTCTGGGGTGCAGTTGCATGGCGAATGACGTGGCTGGGGCAGGGCCTTGGCATGGATAGTCCATATATTGCTGTGCGTCGTGGAGGCGAGCTATCGATTCTGGTGGCAAACGAGTGGTGGATGAGGAGAGGTATTAGTTAGTAATGCAGAGAGTAGAGGCTTGGAAATGATAGAAATGAAGGGGCTGGCAGCTTGGCAATGGTAGTCAGAGTCTCTGGCTAGTTTACCGTCTCTCGGGGCACTAGCCGCCGTTTCTCGAACCATGGCCATGATGCTGAAGAGGATGACTGCCAGAGTCGACAAGGTTCACGCAAGGCCAGGTTCGTGATTGGTGGCATATGTTGCAAGGGCTAGGCTCCAGCAGTTGTCAGCCAGTCGCTGCCCTGGTTCATCGTCTATTTGGGACGGTCCAGTGACTCCCGCGCGTTTCGTCGGCGTGGGGTTGATTATAGTGATCTTGCTGTCATGTTCCTTTGTGTGTTGCGTGCTCTGATGGCATAACCTCGCTGATTGTTGCCTGCTTCGCTGTGTTAGATAGACCAAGCAAGCATTGACATGTGGTTGTGCCTTGTACTCTGTACCACCGGCCAATTCATCACCCTTATTAGGAAATTCATGGCAAAAAGAGCAAGGCTAAAATGTGTTACCTCAGATGACAGCCTGCGGTGCTCACACGAGACTCTGTGCGACCGGGTGTGCCGGCCATGGTATGCAGCCTTATAACGGTATTGATCCAGGACAATGGGCCGACTCCGTTCCCAGTGTCCGCTTGAATGCCACCGCGTAACGTGGAGATTGTGCAGATGTCGTGACTGTTTATCATGGGTCACCAAATTGTGATCTTCGTGGTGCGTCTCGATAGTTGGGACTAGCACCCACGGCTGAAGGATCCATATACTACCTGCCTAGCAGCAATAGGCCTCTCCTCTGTCATATTGCCTGTAATACTGTATAGTCCGTCCTTTACCGCAAGCACTATCGGCACCACTAGTAGAATGAAGCGGCTGATAGTCAATAATGCTCCGTTTTTCATTCCATCCCGTCCCTATCCAGGGCGATTCGGCCCTCTGCCCATGTGTGCGCTCTGTTCGCTGGCGGTGCGACAGCCTACGTCGTTTGCGATCCTGAGACAGGCTAACAGGTACGGGCACGAGTGTCGGCTGATGACGGTAACGGCTGATGAACGCAGTCAAGACAATCAATGCAATAGACCACCACCTGATCAGCTTGTGGTTCGATGTTGGGGCGTCGCAAACGGAGCTAAAACGAGGAAGCGTTTGTTGTAGAATCAAGGTAATCAAGGTTCGTATGGTTATAGGCAAGAGTAAATCGCGGCGAGATTCGTCTCGGCTAATAGCACGGAGTACCTGTCAGTACTAGTACCCCCGGCAGACGGAGTTTTTGCTTCGATGGCGTAGTACAGGGCAGGGAGCGTTACCGCCGGCTACTTTTCAGATGAATGGATAGGTCAATAATTCCAGCACCTATGGTCACTGGAGGGCCCGCTAGCCCAGGGGCAGAAAGGCAATTCCAGCGCAGTGGCGCTAAACTTTAGCCCTGATGGCCATCTCCCGATCGGGATGCGGAGGGCAACTGGTTCTTTGTCTTGCTCCAAACATGATCAATGCGAGGATTGGATGCGACGAAGAGACTTCCTTTCGTGCTCATCTCGCTTCACTTCTGCCGCCAGACCGACTCGCATGGATAAGAGGCAAAACTTACTCCTCACTGGCTGTGCTACCGGACCGGCTCGGCGGATGCAAACCGGAGTCAGGCAGAGGCAGAGCCAAAGTCAGAGCTCCATATGATGGACATGGCAGCATCATCTCGTCGAATAATGCGCGGGCACGCAAGCATATGGCTCGCCGATCCATCGTTTATGCTTCAGCTCGTTTTCGTATCGTTGAAACAGCACAGCACAACCACTCGCTCGCTCGGGGAGTCTCGTCGTTTCATGCATGGCGCGCGCTCTTGGCTCGGCGTCTTTCTGCTGCCTCTCGCCCGCTCACAACAGGGCCGAGTGGAAGATGGACAGCGGCCGACCATGCTCAGAGGCTGTCGTCGATAGGCTGAGCCGGCAGAAGAAGCGCGACCCCCTGGCACTGCTGGCCTTGAAGAGAGTTGCGGACCACCCATGTCGACATCCTTGTCCGGCCTGTCTGAAACAAATAGCGGCAGCCAATGGCATCATTACGTTCCTGGAACGCAGCCGTGGATCCACCGCGCAGCTGTGGCGGTTACGCTAGGAGCGAGTACCTGGACTCTACTCAGGAGAGCTCAATCTCAGGGCAGGCTCGCGAATAGCTTCTGCAACCAAACGCGGAGCTTTTCGTAGCTTCACGACGCTCCACCCAAGCCTGTCTTTGAACCTTAGATGAGCTCCTGCGAGGCTTAGGCTGCTAGTTGTCTCAAAGGAACAATCTTGGCCCGCTGCTCTCAGCCAACTGCCGCCCCCGCGCGTATGAGTGCGGAACACGGAGTAATAGGCACAAGTTTTGCTTTGATCATCATGGCGGCTCTATCATGGCCTATTTTTGGCATGGCGCCGCGATATAAGGCAAGTTCCCTCACGGCCGTTGCGTCATCTTTCTCTCTCTGAGCCATCCATGTGTCCTGTGTGATTCTCTTGAGGGCTGAAACCTTTCCCTTTCATCGACGACCTCTCCAACCTTTCCTTTGGGCTACCGACTGCAAAGAAGCCCAATCTCCAGGCTGTCTTCATTCAGTGATTTCTTTCCACTTCCCCATTCACACTGCGAGTGTCATTTCTGTTCGTCATCCATTCATCAAAACCATTGCTTTTGCCTCTTTATCTCTTTGGCATCAAATCACCTTCACATATCGCCCTCCACGGCCCACCCCTTTTTCGGCCCGTCGCCCCTTGGCATTCTAAAGCAACAAGAAAGAGAAAACGATTCACCAGCATTAAGCATCGCAAGTGCCTGACGTTATATCCACTACTTGCAACATTCTACTGCTGCAATAAATCATTTTGACGTGGTAAGTTACTGCGGCGCTGCATGCGAAATGTCATCTGTGGAGAGCAGCATGCATGGCCTCCCTTGTCTCTCGATTTGTGCGGCCCGAGCAGCTCCAGAAAAGTTTCTGTAGGTTGCCATGGCAGATGCTGGAGATGTGCGGTTTGCCGGAGCATCTGTGTGCGCGCTCTCGGCGTGTGTGTGCGGATGCCTCATGACCCTCGTCACGGCGGCCGATTGTCCTGCAACGCTTGGGCCCAAAGAAGAAGCTGCTTACCTTCTTCTCGACTTGGCTTCACCCTCCTCCTCGGTCTCATCCAAGGAGCAATCGGCGCGTGATAGTGGGGTTTGGGGGCGTTTGGGAGCCAAGGGGGGTGTCGATTCAACACGCCTTGCTGCCATGCCATGCCATGCCATGCCATGCAAAGCGATACATCACCAGAGTCTTTGTATTGTGCTCTATTGTCATTCACTGCCCATGCCTATTAAAGGGCCGTGCCCGGCCTCACTTTTCACAATCCTCTCACCAGCACTTCTTCTCATCATTGTCGCTTACCTCTCTGCGCATTGACAGCTCCTTTGCGCACCCTCCATCAATAGCAAAGCTTCAAGGTTGAAGCTTGTGAGGGAGAGGGCATTCAGAGTCAGTCCCTTTTTTTGCTCTGGCTCCCGTCTGATATCCCCCTTCCCCATGTCTCTTATTAACGGCCTCTCACTCCCTTCAACATCGCGCCACACTCACGATTGTACATTTTATACAAAAAGCTTGTGGTTGGACAAACTTTTTGTCTTTGAACAAACTGCTGACTCTGCTCTCTCTTGTGTAGCCTATACCTGCCCGGCAGCATCTACATAACTCGCCTCGAAATTCGAACCGCGGAAAGGCTGTATCAACCTGCTTCCTGGTCATGATGGGCCTCTCAACCATCTTGACGGCCTCTCTTCTGGCCCTGCGCCTCTTCTCGGTGCCGGCCGCTGCTGTACCGGCTCCGTCTCCAGCCGCTGATTCAAAGGCTGTGGCCGCCGCCACGAGCTGGTGGCTTCCCAACATCGCTCGCCAGGGTACTGTCCCCTTCGGCGGCGCTGGCTACCAGATCTACCGCAATGTTCAGAGCTTTGGTGCCAAGGGTGATGGTGTCACTGACGATACCGCGGCCATCAATGCTGCGTTGAGTTCTGGGGGCCGATGTGGTTCCGGCTGTGATTCTCAAACCACCACTCCAGCCATCGTCTACTTCCCTCCTGGTACCTACGTCGTCTCGTCGCCCATTCAGCTCTACTACTACACCCACTTGATCGGTGATGCCACCAACCTGCCTACCCTCAAGGCTTCCCGCAACTTCGCTGGTATCGCCGTTATCGACTCCAACCCCGGCTGGTATGGCGCCACCAACAACTTCTTCCGCCAGATTCGCAACTTCAAGATTGACCTGACTGGCCAACCCATCAATACCGGCACTGGTATTCGCTGGCGTGTTGCTCAGGCCACTTCTATCCAGAACGTCCAGTTCATCATGAGCACCGACACAAGCACAAACAACAAGCAGCAGGGTATCTGGGGAGAGGACGGCTCTGGAGGCTGGCTGAGCGACCTCACCTTCAACGGTGGTGCCCTGGGCATGTGGGTTGGCAACCAGCAGTTTACCAGCCGCAACCTCGTCTTCAACGGCTGCCAGACCGCCATCTACATGAACTGGAACTGGCTGTGGAGTTTCCACGGCCTCACCATCAACAATGCCAACGTTGGTATCGACATGAGCGGTGTTGACGGTAACGGCATCCAGCAAGTCGGTTCCATTTTGCTTGCCGACTCCAAGCTCGTCAACACCAAGGTTGGTGTTCTCACCGCCCACGATCTTAACCAGGCAGGCACCTATGGTACCCTGGTTCTGGATAACGTGGACATGACCCAGAACACCCCTATTGCCGTCAAGAACTCTCGCAGTGGTGCTACCATCCTCGGAGGAAACGCCAACATCGCCTCTTGGACCCAGGGCCGCGCCTACACCAACGCCAACGGAAGGGCTGTTCAGGGTACCCGTGCCACCGTTAGCAAGCCCGCTGCGCTGACTGCTGGTGGAAAGGTCTTCACTCGCAGCAGGCCCCAGTACGAGAATGTCCCTGCCAGCAACTTTGTGTCTGTCAAGTCTCGTGGTGCCAGGGGTGACGGAAGCACCGATGACACTGCCGCCATCCAGGCCGTCTTCAACAGCGTTACCTCGGGCCAGATTGTCTACTTCGACCACGGTGCGTATGTTGTCACCGACACCATCAAGGTCCCCAAGAACATCAAGATTGTCGGCGAGGTCTGGGCCCTCATCATGGTTGGCGGTACCAAGTTCAAGGATATCAACAACCCCCAGGTCGTCTGGCAGGTTGGCCAGCCCGGTGATGTCGGCAACGTCGAGATTCAGGACATCATGTTCGAGACCCTCGGCCCGCAGCCCGGTGCCATCATCATGCAGTGGAACGTTGCCGGTTCTTCTCAGGGTGCTGCCGGTCTTTGGGACGTCCACTTCCGTATCGGTGGAACTGCCGGCACTCAGCTGCAATCCGACCGCTGCGTCAAGACTCCTAACCAGACGACCAACCCCAACCCCTCGTGCTATGGCGCCTTCTTGCTCCTGCATGTTACCTCTTCCGGCAGCATCTACATGGAGAACAATTGGCTCTGGGTGTCTGACCACGAGCTCGACCGTGCTGACCACAGCCAGATCAACATCTACAACGGCCGTGGTCTCTTGATTGAGTCCACCAAGGGCACTTGGCTGTGGGGTACCGCTTCGGAACACAGCGTGCTCTACAACTACGCCCTGAACGGCGCCCAGAACGTCTACGCCAACATCCTCCAGACCGAGACTGCCTATATGCAGGGCAACCCTGATGCCAGAGTTCCCTTCACCTCCCAGTCCAAGTATGGTGACCCTGACTGGTCTACCTGCAACACCTCCACTTGTGCCCGCACCTACGGTATCCGCATCGTGAACTCGAGCAACACGCTCATCTACGGTGCCGGCATGTACAGCTTCTTCAACAACTACGACGGAAACACCTGCGTCAACGCCAACAACTGCCAGGACAACATGATTGACATCCGCAACTCCCAGGTCAAGCTGTTTGCTATCAGCACCAAGGCCAGTATCAGCATGGTCACCCTCAACGGCCAACAGTCTGTCTTTGACAGGGACAACCGCAACACCTTCTGCGGCACCATTGCCTCTTTCGAGACGTCATAGAAGGGCGACGAAGATGCTCTGACTGCTTCTGCCCCGGGGCCCAAAACAAGCCCTGGGTAGGCCTGTCCCTGAACTTCCGGGAAAGCCACAGCCTACTGATGGCGGTGTTTTGCCCACATCAACCGGATCTCTGCCGTCGGGATGCGGTTCCGAAAAGACTGCAACAGCGACTCGGACCGTGTTTGCTACTGCAGAGACTCTGCCCATTTGAACATATTATGACTGAAACGTATATACGCAACATGCTTGGGGTAAATCTCATGCATTTTTTCTTACTCTTGATTCTTGTTTTTTTTTGCTCGGTTCTAGGAAGATCTGATTACCGTTGATCGCTAGGACGGTTTGTCATTGGCGGCAAAAAGAGAAGATTTATTTCCTTTGCTTTTTTTTTATGTCTTGTCTTTTTTGGTCTATTTTTTGGGCACAAATGTGGGAGGGATGGGAGATGGAAAAGGGACAGCACTGACGTGCAGCATGGGTAGAGAGATTTGGGAAATAAAAATGAGTCGATTGACTTGCCGCATTGATTGCTTTTGCCTTGATTGTGTGATGCTTTTGTGTTGGTCCTAGTAATTATTTGTTGGTTGGTAGCGTGTTTTATATACCGAAGGGTGTAAACGTGGATGATGCGTTCGGTATTATCTGGTAATGGCAAGATGTATGGGATACATGGCCACATCAAGGCGAGCGATTGGTATACAGGATGATACATGATACCACTAGCTTGTTTACCACACTTGAATAACATCAAAAAGGACAGGGAATACAATAAAAAAAGGAGAGCCAAGTTGTATGTGTGTGTAAAACAAGATGTATCCACGACGGAAGGCATCACGCAAAAGCAGCGACGGATGCCAAGCAGAAAAGGCAAAAAAAGACGTCACAGGGGATATTCGAACAGAGGGGCAAAAGTGAAGGCTCCTTTGGGGGAGCAATCTTAGGAATTCTTTGTTTGTAAACCAGCTACTTCACTGAAATTCAGCTCGTTTGTTTTGGCTTATAAGGGGTGTTGGGATGAGGCGCAGCGGGGGGCTGTGATTGGCCGGGATACAGGTGGGGGTGAGTCATACCGAGCTGGAGGGGTGGGAGCTGTGAGTTTGATGCGTCTGTGTTTGGTATTGCGCTTCTGCTTTGGACTTTCGAGAGACGAGTTGGAGATTTTATAGTATGAAATGGAAGAATGATGGAATTATTAGTCCCCTGTGATGGAATATATCTAGATGAATTAATGCTATGATATTGATGTCGTAATGTACTAGTTGGCTGGGTGTAAGTGGTCATCTACATAATCCGCTACGAAAAAGGGCATGAATAAAGCATGAAAAGTACAAAAAAGAAAAAGAGAGACCACAGCGGCTATTCGAACAAAGGGACAAAAAGTGAAGGCTCCAGAGAGGAGCGAGCTTTTGAGGAGACGACGTCTGAGTTATTCAGCTACTTCACTGAATGTCAGCTTGTTAAACTTGCATTATAAGGGATGTTTGCTTGTGTCAGCTGGGATGCTGATGTGGGGCTGTCATTGAGTACTGGAGCTGTGCTTTGTGTTTGGTATGACATATTACTTTGGATTACTGAGAGACGGTTTTGGTGATTTTGTAGTATACGTTGGAAGAAGTGAATCATTTCTTTATGATAATGTGTACATGTATCTAAGTAAATAAATTAATGCTGTAATATACAGTAGGACATTGGGTGTAAGTGGGCATCTATGCCCATGTACAGTAGTCTACGACCTTGCCTGCTACAAAAAAAAAAGGCACGAGAAGCAAAAAAAGATGCCACAAAGACTGCTCGAACAAAGGAACAAAAAGTGAAGGCTCCAAAGAGGAGCAAGCTTTTGAATAGATTATCTCTGAGTAATTCAGCTACTTCACTGAATATCAACTTGTTTGTTTTGACTTATAAGGGGTGTTTGTGTAAGTGAGAGGCGGGCTGTGATTGGCGTGGTGGAGCTGGGATGCCTGATGTGGGGGTGAGTCACACCGAGAGTGTAAGTCCTAGATGGACATCACAGCTTGGTATGTGATGGTATTCTGTGCTTCTGTATGGGATTTTACAAGATTTATGGTTGATTCGACAATAGAGAATTAAATAAGTAAATTATAGTTTTTGGTATACAAATTGAGCAGTGCTGAGGGAGCAAAGAGGAAATTATGTAGCAGTATGCATCTACATGTATGTACGCTGTGACATTACATGCTGCTCATGATAATAGGACAAAGAAGGACGAGATGTAGAAAAAAAAAGACGTCACAAAGACTATTCGAACAGAGAAACAAAAAGTGAAGGCCTCAAAGAGGCAAGTGTGTTCTAGAAATGGAGCCCATTTTCTCCAGGATACCGCTTGGCGTTATGCAGCTACTTCACTGAAGATGAAGGTGTTAAATTTACTTTATATAAGACGTCTGTGCAAGGGAAAGGATGGCTGTGATTGGCTTGTTGGGTAGGCATCGTGGCTGTACCCATGTGTGTTCTGGTCTTAGTCAGATGGAGAGCTGATTGATGGTATAAAGTTTGTGAAGAGGATAAAGAACATGTATGAAGGGATGTAAGATGTTAGTGTTCTTGTTGGTAGCGATGTCTTCAATGTTCATGACATGAAAACAAAAGAAGCAGATTATCTTTGCCGTGTCTGGTGAAACCTCTCTCTTTCTATGACCTACCACCCTTGAAGCATCGAATACCTCTTCAGCATCCGAACAATACTATCACGCTGTCCACCCAATGCGTAGCTCTGCGCTGTCCGTCCTACCAAGTCGTTGGCCATAATATTGGCCCCCTTTTTGAGAAGCAGCTCAACAACTTCGTCACTCCGTTTTATCCTGACTGCCTGTATCAACGGCGTCCGGCCATAGTTATCCTTGGTATTAACGTCAGCACCGTTATCCAGAAGTAGCTGCATGATACCGAGATATCCCTTTTCAGATGCACACAGCAGCGGCGTCGTACCTTCTTGGCCCTTTATTCGAGATCGGCGCCTTTCTCAACCAGTATCTTGACTATGGCCTCGTGTCCGTTCTTGGTGGCTATAAGCAGCGGCGTCAACCAGCCCGGAGCTGGTATTTCGATGTTAGCGCCCTTGTCTACCAGTGCCTTGACCATACCTTCGTGCCCATCCATGGTGGCCCTGAGCAGAGGTGTTTCGGCATAGCTATTAAATGTTTCTATCTCGGCGCCCTTGTCGAGTAGTAGCTGGAAAATTTCCTCTTGTCCGCTGGAAACTGCGGATAAAAGCGGCGTGCAGCCATCCCTGCCCTTTATTTCCATATTAGCTCCGTTGCTGAGAAGTAGCTCGACAACCTTTGCATGGCCCTTGTGAGTTGCCCACCACAGCGGTGTCTGACCCCATTTATCTAGTGAGTCGATATCAGCTCCCTGCTCAATCAACATGAGAGTGACCGAATAGTGTCCGTTGAAGGCGGCATAGGAGAGAGGGGTTAGTCCTTCGTCATCTTTTGAATCCGCATCCATGTCACTTCGGTCTAGGAACATCTCCACCGCGGTTTCGTGTCCTCCTTCTGAGGCATACGAGAGCGGCGTCCGCCCAAAGTCATCTCTCAAATGATGTTGAGACTCGCCACGAGCTAGTAGCATCGATATGATGGTTTTGCGCCCGTTTGCTGCGGCATGGAAGAGCGGTGTCTGCCCTTTATGATCCTTTGAGTGGATGTCGATGTCGCCTCGGGTCAACAGAAGCCAGACAACTTCAGCATGACCCTCTTTAGCTGCATAAGATAAAGGCGTCCGTCCATTTGAATCCTTTTCGTCTGGCTTAACATCACGCCGCATTAGGAGAAACCATACTATCTTGGCATGACCACTAGCCGCTGCATGAGACAGAGCAGTTCGTCCACTCCCATCTTTCTGATCGGGCTTGGTGGACCGCTCCGCAAGTAGCCATTGCGTCTCCATTACGTGCCCTTTCTTTGCCATATCGAGGAGTGAAGGTTGCTCTCCTTCGATCCAATTCACTGGCGGTGGTATTGAAGCGCCATTGGCAAAGTTTATCGTTGCATCGAACAGACCCCAGTCAGGGTCATCTCGGGGCGTTAGTAGATTTTCCCCTGGCGCCGCAAAACTAGGATTCCCCTTCTGGTGGCGATTTCGTGATCGCATCGCCATGGGACGATGTTGCCGGACGTTGATCCATCTTTGAGGGCGTTGGCTTGGTCGAAATGGCATAGGATCAAACAGCTCGTACCGCTCGCACCAAACCCTTTCAAAATTCTCCATGGTGAGAGACACGTCCTTGAGGTATATTGCAATAAATGCGCGCCCCTTTCTCTTGCGCTCTGCACAATGAAGTATGGCGAGCCCCAATCCTTGGTGCCCTACTCCCATATAGGATAGTTCCACCCGAATCCCCTTGTTGCTCACTGTCAAGGGCTTGCTGTCGGGAAGCCAAGCAGTGCGCGTGCGGACTACGTTTCCGGCATGTTCGAATGCGTCTGGAGATGTTGCCAACAGCGAGCCGTGGTTCTGGGTTTTGGATCTCCAGGCGAAAATGCTGTCGTCGTCTGTTACTTTCATAATCTCCTCTTGAAGTCTCATAAAAGCTCTTTCACCTTCGCCATATAGCAGCGGCATGTTGATACCGAATATGCCCATTAGACAGTAGGCTCGGTCTTCAGACCGCGATGTTTGCCTCGAGGCGGCCCATGACATTTTTTGGGCAATACTTACGCTCTCAAGACTGGAACCAGAGAGAACGCTCATAGGTATGCCGGTGCGATTGAAAATTTCTTGTTTCAGGCTTTCCCTGGTGCCTAGCTCGTTCCATGCTTCGTCTAGGAATATCATCGTCTCTGGCGCAATCAACTCTTGAAGAGTCCACCCTCTGGTAAACCACCTGCTGTCCGAAAACGCAACCTTGGACGGCACATCTGCGAGAAAGCCGTAGCAGACATCGGCTTCTACGTACCACTGGTACATGGAGTTGATTGCTTCGGATAGCTCAGCGCTGCTTGTCTTGTCGATGCAACACGTGTCCACCCAAGCATAGTCATATCCGTTTGCCCTTGCTAGAATACAACATCCTTTGATCTTGTCGTAGCCTTTCTTGTTTGCGAAGCGACCAAGCGTCATGTCCTGGAAGGTAACTTCTTCTTCACCCCAAGTGTGCGACAAGATGGCATAGGGCGGGACATTTTCCTGGCCGAATTCTTTCAGCTCAAACCCGCCAGCGTCCAGTTCTTTTGTATTGAGCAGACGCATGGCTGAAAAATTAACGGAATGGTAAACCAGGGACTTTTTCGATCTGACTATTCCTCTTTTAGCTGTTCGAAAGGAAGAGGCACAAGTTGTGCTTAGGAATATTAGATCGAGGGAGAAACGAAGGGATACATGTATGTATCCATGTCATTAGCCCGCGCCGAACCCTTGCCATGTTCTAGCGCTTGCTACACTTGTGCTTGTGTGTGATGGCGTGGCCGTACATGTGCTCACATAATGAACGTAAAATACTCCTGAATATTTATATGACTTATTTTTGAGAATGCCATTAAGCTACGAATGTTTTGACTGTAAAGCATTATTGAGATCGTTTGAAAAGACGAGCCATCCTTCGCAATATGGAATTTCCGGAATGCTTATGCCCAGTGCTCTCCTCTTCACATTTCCACCTTTCGAGAAATTTGATAGACCTGACTGTATCTGGATGCTCTGGCCCCAATACAGAGCGTTTGGATTGCACGCACTCTTCCATTAGCGCAAGTGCATCATGGTAGCGGCCTTGTGACTTCCAGATAACAGCAAGGTAGTGCATGGCTCTAAGAGTGTCCGGGTGCTCCCTCCCGAGAAATTCCCGTTGAAGATAGAGCGCTTGCACTTCAAGCTCCTCTGCCTCGCTATACCGGCCTTGTTCATGGTATGTTGCTGCAAGGGTTGCCATACTATACATTGTGTCTGAATGCTTTTCTCCAAGGATTTCCCGTCGAAGATTAAGCACTTGTACATTAAGCGTTTCCGCCTCGCTATACCGGCCTTGTGAATGGTATGTTGATGCAAGGCTTCCCATACCGGTTATTACGTCTGGATGCTTTTCTCCAAGGATTTTCCGTCGAAGATCAAGCACTTGCACTTGAAGCTCCTCTGCCTCGCTATGCCGGCCTTGTTCATGGTATGTTGCTGCAAGGTTTCCCATGGTCCATATTGTATCTGGATGCTCCCTTCCAAGAAATTCCCGTCGAAAATTAAGCACTTGCACTTTTAGCTCCTCCGACTTGCTATACCGGCCTTGTTCATGGTATATTCCTGCAAGGTTTGCAATACTCCATATTGTATCTGGATGCTTTTCTCCAAGGATTTTCCGTCGGAGATCTAGCACTTGAACTTCTATAGCTTCTGACTCGCTATGCCGGCCTTGTTTATAGTATGTTGTTGCAAGGCTTCCCATAGTTCTTATTGTTTCTGGATGATTTTTCCCAAGAACTTTCCGTTGAAGATTAAGCACTTGGACCTTAAGCGCTTCCGCATCGCTATACCGGCCTTGTGAAGAGTATGTTGTTGCAAGTCCCATCATAACGTTAATTGTGCTTGGATGCTTTTCTCCTAGGAGTTCCCGTTGAAGATTAAGCGCTTGCACTTGAAGAGCCTCTGCTTCTTTATACCGACCTTGCCCAGAGTATGTTGATGCAAGATGCCCTATATTTATTAGTGTTTCCGGATGCTCTTCTCCCCATACTTTTCGATCATGTTCTACTAGCCTTTTATTCACAAGTTCTCTCTCCCTCCACTGGCCACGTTGGCCAAGGAAGTTAGACGCTTTACTGAAGAGTAGGTCAATCTCGTGTTGTTTTTCGTGCAAATCTATCCAGTCTCCTATTTGCACTGCATGTGCTAAATATTTCTCGCACTGCGTCCATATTCCCAGTGTTTGCGGTTCTGGATTTGGGAAAAGATCGCATATGACCTGCAGAGCAATGCCAAAAAAGTATCGCTCACCCTCCTTCGTCGAGGGACCTCGGTCGAGGATGTCTGGCTTCAATACACTTAGGCCATATCGCGTAGCCTCCTGAACGAGTTTATGCATCTCATAGTTCCGGCTGCCATCTTCCATTCGGTGCATACCAATAAATGAGAACTCTTTCAGCCGCGTCATGGCCTTGGTAGCCTCAGCCTCCAATTTCTCTGGTTGAGCTTGGTCGCTACCGCTGTGCTTGAGCGTAGTTGTTATTATCTCGTGTGGAATATTTTGGTTGGAAATGTATGCGAGAACGTGGAGAATGTTGTATGATATCTCGCTTTCTTGTTTAAGGTGATCAATCGAGATGCTCCACGTCTCAAGGACATTGTTAGGCACTCCATCTCTTCGATGCCTGTCAAAGTCTTCTTCTTTGAGAATGTCCCATCTTCTCTTGCTTTGCGCTAGTAGAGATAAATACTCCTTGGCGGATGTTGAAGTTCGCCTCATGTAAGCTCCGGCCTGCGTAATGGCTAACGGAAGCCACTGAAGTTCCTCCAGCAAGGCAGCAATATCCCCTTGCTCTTCGTTCGTCTCCGAGTCCCTTGCAATATTCAAGAGTTCTTCTGCCTCGTCGGATTTCATACGGGCAACTTGGATGCCTCGCCTCGGACTTACAAGCGTCCCCACAATATGCGCATCGCGAGAAGTCCACAACACTGTCCCCGTAGACGCCCGAGGGATGTATTGAAATAAGTTCTTTGTCTGCTCTGGTGCCTGCCCAACACCAAATAGCCGTAAGTCGTCGGCATTATCAAGAATAAGCACCCAGTCTGGCAGTGCTGCTATGCGATTACACACAGCAGCGAGCAGTTCTTCACCCTTGAGTTTCTCGTCAATGCGAAACTCCTGAGCTATCTTTTTATAATCTTGTGTAAACGTCGCCTCGTTATCGGCATGTACCCAGAAAACGGGGCGGCTAGTTCTGTTGTACCGCTGATAGGCAAAATTGAGCGCGATTTGTGTTTTCCTGGGCTCTGTTAATGGTTGTACATATTCGGGGATTTGAATGTCAAGAAGCTGGAACGTACCCTGATCCGCCTAGACCCCAGAGCGCGGCGCTGCAGTATGTATGTGATGTCTGCGGTAGGAGCAAATTAAGTTTATCCATAACATCCGGGCGCTCAACGAGTTGCTCATTAGGTTGATATGCAATGGTTCGGATGGCGACCGGGGGTGTTTTCGGGCGAGGGAGTTCGACGGTGTACTGATGAGTGACGGTATTATTGCCAGTATGGATAAAAGAATGGCTGCCTAATGTATTTCCTGATACCTCAATCGTTGGCCGATCCATTGTGTTCTTCTATATCTGACAAAATAATGCCAAAGGTGATCAATCTTGGTGCATGTAACAGCCCAAGCTATTTTACGAAATCATCGATGCCCAAGACAGTTGTAAGGCTGCGAGCATCACGAGACCTGCAGCTACTGATTGGTTCATATGAGATGAGATTAAAAAAATAATACATATACGTATACTAATCAATCCAATTGATAACTGACAAATTCCAGTTTGTTCATGTTAATCAGCTTTTATCCTTCCATCCTCTGTGACCACGCGCAACCAACCTCGGAGCTATTCTTCTGCTTCTCTACCTCCACGGATGGTGTGTATGTATATTCTCAATACTCTGTTTCCCTGTTATCATTCTTGTATCGAGTAATATTTCAGATCTTCCTCATCCAAGCGAATCAAATCACTAGAAATATGTACAATACCAGTCTAGCCAGCCTTGACATGCAAGATAGCAGCGTGTATGCATTTTATGCGTAGTGGCAAGCCGGTATGGGGTTTCTGTCAAGTGACAGCCCCTCAGCGCGCATGGGTTATTCCAGATTCAGGTCGGCCGTTTATTTATTCGTGGTAGCCTAGCTACGATCTCCATGTATGTAAGTGAGTAAGCCTTCGCGTCTGCGGCTGTACAACGGCGACAACTCATTCGACTTGAAATCTTTTTGCCACACAGGTAGCATCCATATATCCATTCGATGTTGTTATGAGACTGGATTTATTTGAGTTGGAACATCTGCGGTATATGGAGCGTATTAAAAGTCGTTTTAATTTAGTTCAAACATCACATATGAAGAGTCGTTCCGTCTTCCGACTACGCAATGATTCATTCTCATCTAGCCTTTTTTTATTTTTGCGTAAAAAATTGTCATAGACATGGCAATATACGTTGCATTATTAATATCTGCGGTGTTATTGTTCGTAGATCGTGTCGCTGCTAATGAAGCCGATTTCGCCAACAATATCGTCTCAGACCTAGGACCGTAAGTTTTCAAAGAATGGGCCCTACACAGTCTCGACTGAGTACACATAGGACAACTTCTCTCACTCTTTAGAGAGCGGTTCATCGTGCAATTTCTGAGCTAGGTAATGCTCAAGGCCAAAAAGGCTGGGTCGTAACATGTCTCTTGTTATAGTTCCCTAGGTATCTGTTTATATTATACGGCGGCTGGGCTACTTGATTCGACGTAATGCATCCCAAGAGGTAGACACCTTTGACCTCGACAGAATTCTCAGCTCTATTGCCATAATTGACAATTTAGCGAGAGGCACTCAGATAGTCAAAGTCATGGGTGAGAAGGGAGGACTTGTATTGGTTCAGGTAAAATTCTTGTCCATTTGTAAAATATTAAACTCCTCCTACATTCCTTACGCAACAACCATCCATATTGTGTTCGAGACATGAAGTAATTTCAACAAATATTTTTTCCTCTCGTCGCTCCATTTCAAATAGGTGATGCTGGTGATGATAGCCGCACTGTTATCAAGCTGTATCGAACTGTACCCTACGGATCGGCAACACCGTCCTCATTTTAATACTGGTAACCTGACATGAGCGGCAGTGGAATACATATCTTTGTAGTTGGGCCAAGTTACAATCTTCAATGATACACATTACTTATGTATGGATAACAGGAGCCTAAATATCCATCTATTGGGTTGTATGCTACCAGTTCTCTATATACACTGATCACAGTGCTTCGGCTAGGGGCTTCAAGCGCTTGATGCGCATAAAAGCTTTCAAAGGGCGCTTCATCGCCGGTAACAAGCATAAAGCACGTCACTAGATCACCTAGTTACGCGCGATCATAGCTTCACGGTCAGGACCAGTGCCGATCCATTTTACCTGGTCAAAGTTAGCGCATAGTTCTTCGAAGCCAGTTAAACGAAGCCATTTTAGGCGAAGGAACCAACTAACCTTGACTCCAACGAACTTCTCAATGTACTAAAGAGACGGTCAGTAAATAAGATCAGATCCATTCTGCAGTTGAGATTAAATATACCTCGACATAATCTTGGGCCTCCTTGGGAAGATCAGAGTATGTCCGGGCGTTGATCGTCGACTTCTTCCACCCAGGCATTTCGTGGTAAACGACTTCGGCGTTGTCTAGAATGTTGTGGTCCGCCGGATAAAAGTCAAGCTCCTACTACCTTTCAGCTATGCCTCAAGACCTCAAACGACAACAGCTTCCTACCTTGCCTGTGCTCTTATCCTTGTAGGCAATGGCTATCTTGATTGTCTCGAAGGTATCGAGTACATCGAGCTGCATGAAGAGTCAATTTTTCTAATCCCTTCAGAGTGGCTCTTGCAAGACTTACCTTCGTCAAGTTCAACGCCGTGTAGTAGTTGATCATGTGACCATGCTTCACAACAACGAGATCTATGAAGTCCGAGTAAGTAACGGGCAATTTTGATATTAAAAATAACGAGAGGTGTTGACAAACCGAGCCTACACTGTTAGCTATGCGCCCAAAATTCTTTAGGGAGAGACGCTTACCAGCCACAGCGACGTCTTCGGCCGGTGGATGTTCCCCATTCTCGGCCAATCTCCTGGAGTTTCGTTCCAACCCTGTTGCGCCCTGGTCAGTCCGCTTCGTTTCCAAAGCTGAGTAGTGAGTAGGGTGGCATTACTCTCCGAGATCTTCTGTCATGAAAGCGCCAGCGCCAACACGTGTGGTGTCTATAGTAGTCAGCATCTGCTATAACTATTGCGGATAGCTAGGGGTGAGGGGTTGGTTTCGAAATGGTTAATAGTCAAAAGGTCCAGTGATTACTCATGTTACTTACAGGCTTTTACCACTCCGATGGTCTCTGTAATGCCCTTAGGGTTGAGGTTCAAGCCGGCGATGATGCCAGAAATTGTGGTGTTGGATGAAGTGACATAAGGGTATGATCCCATCGAAATGTCGAGCATTACGGCCTGTTGGTACCAGGACAGGTAAACCACCTGGCCATGCACTCCCAAGCTCCAACCGTAGACAGAGCGGCGGTTGACGTGATAGGACGTGACCAAGGCTACCCCAATTTGATTAGGAGGTGACCATTTACTCAAAATAGAGAAAGCTTTTTAGCCACGTCCGACATGATATTATCTCCCGCTGATGCCAGAGGTTGAAAGCTTCAAGTACATGACGACAGGCAGGTTACCAGCCCAATCAGGTTAGTAAATAGACCAAATTGTCGGGAGTTGAGAGCACGAACATTTGCACCCTCAATAATGATGTTCGAGTTGCTCGTTTGTCTAAAAAGATCAGCTTTTTATCATGTTTATGGGGGGAAACTTTGTGGGAAGACCAAGGAGCTATCCTGGATATTGATCCATTCTCCTCCTCTCGATACCCGCCGCGAAGGTGACTTACGCAGAATACATAAAGGTCAAGCCATCAACGGCGTACTTTGCGAGCTCCGTACGGTATCCTCGGAATCTCTCAATCTCTTCCTCGACATCGTACTTGAGCAGATCACCGTATCGGGCCTTGTAGCCATGTGCTAGTCGACGCAGTTTGGCTTCGAAGAGTTCTTGGTCGAACATGTCGGCCAAACGGATTCCACTTCTCTAATTTCGGGTTTAGTGAGAGAGTTGGTGCTCTGGGATTTTGAATGCTTACAGCCGCCTTGGTCTATCAACCTCAGTGTTAGTATAAACGAATAACTTTGACGGACGACAATGCGAATATGTGCTTACACTGTATGATGGTCCGTTCACAGTAAAGTTAGCTTAAGCTGTTAAGGATATAAACCGGGTAGACTTATAATTCCGCGGCCAGTGGTGCCGATCTTGCGCTCTGGTCAAGTTAGACATGAACAAAAGCCCTGCTTATAGATCTCTTACCTCCTAGCTCGATCTCCTCGAGACCATCGACAGCAGCGTGAAGGTCAAAGTTGATATGAACCTAGGTGTAATGAGTCAGCAAGTGTATGACATAATGCGGTGGCCAAGCGTTGCGTAGGTCACTGACTCTGTCAGACACGAGAATCCGATCGTAGACATTAGGGAGTCCTTTCTATCTCTGTTATCAGCAACGATCTCTTGATAGCTGCTAGAGTAGGAATTACCTCGTCAAGCTGCTTCAATTCTGAGAAAAACGAAGGGCTAGAAATGGTCAGCATTGTAGCTGTGTCTTGATATGCCAATTGGATTGCGTGTTGAGCTGGCTGGCGATACGAAAGACTCGTATGGAAGCGCGGGACACTGTATTTGTGAAACTTACACGTGGAAGACGCTGTTGCAGGTGGATGCCGTTAGCACCGGCCAAATGCTTGCTCACTACCAACTCGTCTTGCCGAGAATGGACCTCGAGCAACTTACACGTCGGAACCGATGAAGTTCATGCTACCGTCAAGTCAGTATCTGCTCGTCAAAGATGAAAAATTGTGGACAACGTACCAGTTCGGGTTGATGAGACCGGAAGGGAGCAGGTGAAAGCTATTGTTGGTCAATTATCCGCTTCGTCGACAACCGGGGCTTTGATTCGGCGTCTGCATACCTGTACGCAACACCGTTGGCGCTGTGGCAATGATGGTCAGCGACATAGAGCATAACTCGTGGCAGAATAACACAGCAGACCAGAACAAACTTACACAATGGAGTGACCTGCGTTATGGCCTCCCTATTATCTCGATTCAGTATGTATAAGGCGTCGTAGAGGATGTTGAGCTTACGGCAGCTCTCGCGCTATCACCAAGTCAGCGTCTCCAGGTCGTGAAAGTGAACCTGCCGGGAGGGGGTAGGTTCCTGGATATAGAAGAAAGATATTAACAGAGGGCGAATGTTGATCCAGGGCGAATCCATGTTGCTAGCATAATGCCAGACTCCTAGCCATATCCGCCCTGTGTTGTCTTTACTCCCAAATATATCCAGAAACAACGACACCACCACCACTAACAGCAACAACCCTTCTTCCCCGTAAAGAACGTACCAGAGCTGAGCCTCGGGCGCGAGAATGTCGGTCAATTTGCCCTTCTGAAGTTTAATGGGTCAGTTGAGAGGTTCGATATAGCAGATCGGTCGTGACTAGACGTACTCCTTCATCGCCTAGAAGTGCAATTGAGTTAGCAACAAGACGTCGTCGGCACACCAAACATGGCAAAGGGAAATGAACAAACCCCATTGGGCTCCCAAGACAACCTTGATAGGCATGATTGCGACTGGGGATAATTCGCTGTGGTGTTGGATAGCGAGTCGAATTGCTGGTCTTGGAGGAAATAAAAGATATAAGACGCAGCTCCGGAGTCGAAGTTTGACTGATGCGTCACACAAGCGCCAGCAGCCTAGGTTCCTTCGGTACAAGCGCAATTGCCCCAAACGTCAGAAATACAGAATTTCAACCCATCAAAACTCTCTTTTGCTTCCCATGGAGGGGCTGTTGGAGGGGTTTTCCGCCAATGGGATCCTAATGCAGAAGGCGGTCAACGGACGGCCTGCAAGCTCTGTACCTAATTTTTTTTTTTCTCTTTTTTTCTAAACATACCGGTATCGGGATATACGAGTATACATGCATATTTTTCTGATGGCGGGTACATGACGCTGTATGTAGAAGCGATGATGTTTAGCACGACAGAGGAATGTTTTATAGTTGCCAACAGACATCTAACATTTGTTGCTTGTATTGCGGAATGATAACGCTATGAACGACCAAATCTTCCCATCATTTGCTGTCTATCCTATAAGTGATAGAGATAGAGAATACACGTATATTTGTCACGGCCCGTTTTTGAATGAGAATATGCAAGGTACCAGTGCTAAGACCAAGGACCCAGTAGAGATGCAACTTCTCACCGTTTGGGGCACTGCATTCGCTGCACTTGCTTTCTTTTTGCAGCCAATCGGTTTGCAGGTATTGGATGCATTGATCAATCAACCACAGCTGTGCCGCTTGCTGCTACTGGATTCATGGCCATCTTGAGGCCATGGCTCAGATGCGGATTTGCAAAAGTGTCAGCCTCCAACGCTAATCTGATTGTGTGGTACTGGTGGTGTACAGTTTCTTCTCGAATAAAACATCAAATCAGCCAGTCGCCTCTCACCGTTGCGAGTTGCTGTTGAGTCTGGCGACGTCTAAAAAGTTGGAGCTGGCGATGCACTCATTACACCTGCGAGAGAGCAACAGGTGCTCTCCACAAAGAATGAATAAACAGGAGCAGCGTTGGGCATAATAATTAGTGAAACGATAGGTAAACGAACAGTTCATCGACGCATTTGAGAAATTCGGGCGCAAAGCGACAAGTCTCTGTCCTGGGTAACATTATGCTTCATCATTTCATTCTGAACAATTATAGCTGTACTGCAAATAGGTACATGTAATGATAGAAATTGTGTAATGACGACAATAAGACGTTATTTAGATTCTATGCAATGGATGGAATTGCTGTTGCTGCAACCGTAAAGACAAGAGCCGCAGACGTAGCGGTCAATGACACCAGCACGGTATCATTCCCTTCTTGAATCTTGACTCCCAATTCAGTCGCATTGTCCCTTCAATCACACTATCAGCAAGTTCCTCTCACTTCATGTGCTATATCAGGATATGGGCATTCTCACTTTTGCTCTTCTTTCGATTTCTTCTCCCTAGCCTGCCTATCGTAAATTCTCCCAACTGCCGCCGCCACAATCAACAAGACTATCACCGCCACGAAGATGGATGACAAAAGCCGAATAAATAGTATTCTTCTTGTTTTCGCTTTATTCATGGCTTCCTCATCCTTGCTAAGCCCATCTTCCTGGTATTTTGGAGGCTCTCTCTCATCGCCATAGGCTGGGAGCTGAGTTTGTGGACTAACCGGCGGGCTTTCTGCAGTGGTGGAATTGCTGGCCGCAAATACATCTGCGGAGAGAGCAGGGAAGCGGGTCGGCGTGTCTTTTGTCTCCATGGTGAGCTGTTGAAGAATTACGGTGGCTTCATCATGGTGGGTATTTTGGAGAGAAAGGATCGTTCCGTCGGGCGAAAAGTGCTTATTATTACTACTGCTACTCCTACTATTACATGGTATTCGGAGAGACATCAATCAGCTGAGCAGGTTTTGTCTGAGGCTAAATGATCTCCATACCAGGGAATTGCTGGTCGCTACGTGATGTCTGTCTCATACTGGAATGAGAGGAGACGTTGAAGGTCCAACGCCTCAAAGCGTCGTTGGGCCATATGTTCGGGTAGACAGGAATGCAAGTCCTGGACATTGTGGGGAGAGCTTCCTTAGTTTCTCTCTAATATCTTCATTTTTGGAATTGAAACCGTGTAGTATCTAGGGTCCATTGGATTCGACTGCTATTATTTGCAAATACAGGACACAAGAATAGCAGACTATTTATATCATCATTCGTTACTCTTCAGGTGGGGATTCATACGGGATGCCACGTAAGCTATTTTAAGACAATACGAGGTTGGTAGAACGCCCGAGACATTCGCATTCCTCATTTTAGGGATTCAGGGGACTCAGTATCACCGCTTTAGGATGGTAGCAACGGCTTCATTCTCCAAAGGTCAGATATGTCTAAATAAACAGACTCTTTCAAGGTCTGATAAATCGCCGCGATCAGCAGCCGTACACGTACATACATATTGCTCAGCTTTGAGGCAGCCTCGAAAACCCCTTGCAAGGTAGTGTGGCATTATGTTGCGACACCACTCCTACCACGTGGGCCCATGATAATAAAAGGGAGGCTTCGATCATAGTTTAGCGGCATAAAACTTATCAACTCCGTGCGAGGTGCCGTTAACATGTTGTAAATTTGAAGGAGAATATCTACAAAGAGGGAAAATGGCCTGGGACTGCTAGAATGGAAAGTAGTGATAAATCAACGGAGACGATGGTGATAGTCGAGAGGCAGTAAGTGGAATTAGCATCCGCTGATACTCTCTCATCTTACGCTACATTATAAATAATTCAGGTTAACAGCGTGCTACATTCAATACGACATACCCTTACAACATGGCAGCCATGGAGACCATCGTTATTAGACTTTTCTAAAAGAGAACGCCTTTTCTATGACTCTTCATACAGTCAGTGACTCGAAACATTAGACGACCTCAGCCTACCATTCCTTCATGTCTGCCTACCAGCCACCAATCCTTTTCATGTCATGTCCAAGCTCACGTTTGCCCCGCTGATAACGCCTTATTTTCTTGGCTGAAGGTGTGCTGCTTTGCTGCAAGGATCATGTCATGCAGCATTTAGAACAGCATTGCTGCTTTCTGATTGGAGACTGGCACAGTTGGTCATGCCACAGTGTAAATTTCCGATATCCAGCGATTCCTTTCATGGAGGCAGCTGAGATATAATTGATTTAATTGGGAAGCCTTGCCGCACGCCATTACGTATCAGTGCTTCCTATCACGCTTTGATTTTACTGGTGTGTCGAGTTTTGGAGTATACGTGCAGGTACTTGTGCTTACATGTATGCATGTATTCTCCAGGCAGCCAAAGGCACATGATCAGAAATTCCCAGAGATGGGAAGTGACCAAATGAGCATCATTCCCTGAATGCTGTTTCCTATTGTCAAACGCATGTCTATTTTACTTGTGTCTCGTATTTAGTTGCCAACTCGAAAACAAAATTTGCATTTGCTTATCGCTACGAATAAACAGTCCGGGAAAAGAGCATTCGATCCCACAGAGTCATCTTGTTCTTCCAAAAGCCTGACACATGGCTCAAACACTTGTGGATATTTCAGACACCATATTTGTGGGAGGTAGACAAGGAAAATATACGGGCTCGGCAGTCAAGACTTCGACGGTTCCCAAGCATCCTCCCGTCTACGTTCCTCATGGCAGGGGAGTGATGAGATACAAAGACGGCACAATGTATGAAGGCGAGTGGGACAACGGCATATACTCTGGACACGGAAAGTACACCACAAAAACAGCCGAGTATGTCGGCATGTGGTCCAGAGGCGTCAAGGCCGGCCACGGAAAACAGATGACAAGTGATGGCCGGTTATATGACGGCTGGTTTGAAGCCGGTAAAAAGTCTGGAGCCGGCACGCAGAAGAATAGCAAAACTGGTACCAGTTACTCGGGCCAGTGGAAGAATAACTTGCCATTTGGGAAAGGTATCTGGCGTTGGACAAACGGAGATTGGATGGAGGGAACCTGGAACAGCAACCAAGCCAGCGGAAAGGGAAAGACGTTGCGTCACTTTGGTAATGGGGCACTTTATGAAGGAGAGACACAAGATGGGAAATTTACAGGCAGAGGGAAGATTACTTACAAGGATGGGGGAGTATATCGGGGACCATGCTTCAACGGCATGAGGCATGGTGCTGGATCTTACAAGTCAAGCGACGGGATGCTATACGAGGGAACTTGGTCTAGTGATGTCTACAAAGGGGTTTTCACGATCACTCATTTAGCGTCTGGTATTAAAAAGAAGCACAAGTATTGAATTGTGCCCAATGAAACACTTGGACTATCTATGTCTAGACTGGGATGGTCACTCTCTGGGGACTGGGTATTTGAGAAGGCATAAGTGAGCATCACCTCTCTTTTATAATGATATTGAGATTTCATTCACGATGAAGTTAAAATAGTGGATATATAGAAGAAAAGGCTATTGATTTGGTGGCAGTATCTGTGATCAATGTCTCATACTACAGGCCTGAAGTATTGAGACATACGTGTAAACGAAGAACTACAGGTATATGAGATCCAACTATGCATGCAACCTGCAGGGACATTGATCCGCATTCCGCTGTGCTGTATCTTAGAGATTTGCTGATACAACATCAACATCTCCAATCGCGCGAGTTCGTACAGGAACTACTCATCAAGCTCGTCTTCAACAACAGCCATTATCCCAAAACATCGGGAGAAATGCCAGTCGCGAACTTAACTCTAGGATCGCTATCCATATGATGAAATTATTGGCATTGTTATTGGGCTTTGGCATGATTCGAGGTCATCAAAATATTGTCCGGTTGATGATCAAATTCTTTTATCACGGCGGAGAATCTATGAGTGTTTACTCTTTCAAGATGCTACTCGCCTTGGAGTTTTTTTTTTTTTTTTTTTTTTTTTAGATCTCGCCGTGGAGCATCCTGGTCCTTTGTTCCAGAACGATGCTTGGAGATCACTTCCAGTTTGTGCAAGGCGAGATTCCTACACGTGAGTTATGGGCGTTGACTGCAATCCAGAAGAACGTCTCACTCTCCCCTCTACTATCCGAAACATCAGCCAGCCACTTCCACCTTCAATTCCAAATGCGACGTAGAATCCGCGTACTTCTCACATTAGTCAAGGTTTATTGAAACAGCCTACTTGAGTATCTTCACAGGGTATCCAATAAGCGACGTTTAACATAGCTAATTAAGATCCTGACAAAGTTAGAAAACAGCTGATGTGGTCGGGTTTTCGACTGGGGTCGCATTTTCATATTGGCACGGCCAATACGGAACCCTCATCCGAGGAGGCGAATCTTTCAGCCTTTCAGACGGCTCATTGCTACGCTGTCGGGTTCGGGACTGTGCTGGGCAAATCAAATACAGGATACTGGGTCCAACAGAGTGGTAGGACCTGGTAGATCTCGACGAGCGAGATCGAGTCGCTCAAAACGGATCTGGGCCCCCGGTATACAGAAACTCGGGATACGTTGATTTCTACGAATAGATCGAGCTACTGCCAAGACGTGTTGGCCATTTACGAGACAACTGCTTCGAACGCGGAAATGACCTGGACGATCGCCATCCGAGATGCTCCGTACGTGCGTTTGAGTCACTCTGGGCACTGATCCTCTTGAGAGGGGGGCTGAAAGATACCATGACCTGATTTGCGCCAGAAGCCAAAGAAATGTGTGGGAGACGCTGGGGCCAGACCGCAAGGACTCGAAACGTGTGGTCGCACAAAGAGTCTGGTGCCTTCGCTTAGGTTGGAATGCATCAGAGACATGCATCAGAGACATGCAGCCCAACACGAGCTCGATTTTGTACGTCGCGAGGTATGCGTGAATGGCTGGAAGCTTACCATAAGCCGTACGGAGTAGATGTTGGTGATTTACAGTAGATGGACCTTTGTGGGCTGTGACCTCGTCTTGTGACGAACTGGCTTATCGTCCCCCAGTAGCATCGTTTATGGCTTGTGGCAAAAGGGATAAATCGCGGCCCAGAATAGATGGTAGAGCCTGAAATCAGCTCCTGACTCCTTGAATCAGCGGGTGCTTCGGCGACTTTTGTCAGGCCTCCTGAGTGAGAAATGATTTGAAATCGAAAGGGCCCGTCATGTCGCCATCAAGTGCTCGAGTGACAACTTCGAGGCGATGATGTTGCATTGCATGTCCTTCTCTTGATTAATCAATGGCAACGCGAGAGATGCTCTGTTGCTGATGCAATGGTGTGACACAGCATCTGCAGCAAAGTACTAAATAGTAGCCCGTACATGTGAAGATTTCGACATCGGAAAAACTTGGTGCTTGCTGACATGAGGATTCGATGCCGGATATCCAGGATGCAATCTCAGCCCAAGCAGAGCCTCGTCATGTCACTACACATGCATGTGTGACAGGCGCACGCCCGGAATAAACATCCAAGCTCATGAGAAGAGGGGGTCAATGGGCCATTTTTGCATCTTTTGTTATCCACAGAAAGTGACTCAGGCGCGGGCTTGAGCTGGTGCTGCCATCCAAAAGATGGACGGCGAGGGATCGAAACGCCTTCGCTGGTGAGAATTGCGCCATTCCGGCGGTGCCAGTGGCCAGCCGAAGCGTGTCCCTGAGCCGACGCAGCTAGGCGCAATTTACTGCGCGAGATCGCCAATCGAAACCCCATGGGCAGAAATGCTGCGAGGGATCCATTTTATTAGATTAAACAGTCCAGGGCGGTTGATGATGCAGAGTCGAGTTGAGTTGGTTCTGCAGGATTTAGGGTGGTGACCAAGGTTCCATGCAGTTGATTTGGCCTCTTGCGTCGATGCTATCTGATTGGGGAAGCTGGGTTGCGCATAGTCGCAGCGTCAGGCGCAATTGTGGGCTGAAAGGACGCCAAGAAGTCGTATCCTGATGAGGGCATTGGTGTCGCTTTGCTCGTAAACCATCATGGTGTTGCTCGTTTGCAAGACACGACCCCATATTACTAGCAACAAACCATCAGCTGAGGTCAGAGCCCCGGCTCAAGCCACCCAACGATCCTCCAGCGATAGTATGGGATAGTATGATATAATAGCAGCAATCGTAGCGATAGTAGCGATAGTAGTTGATAGTAGTACGATAATAGTACGATAATAGTACGATAGTAATAGTACAAGTAGCAGGTCGTCTGCGGCACTCGCCGCTGTCGGTCTTGTCGGCGGCTCTCGGGGGCTCTCGGGGGCTTGTGATGCGATCGTCGCGGCTGCTGGAGGAAATCTCGGGACTCGGGGCCGCGGTGTTGTGCTGCGGGGCAGCGATGGCGAGATCTACCGGGCCCGGGCTGGTTGCTTTCAATATGGCAGCAAATCTCTCAATTTCCTGCAGGCTCTCGCAACGTCGGTGGCAACGCCTTGGCTTATGTCAGGCACGTGGACTGCGCAGAGGCAAAAGGCGTCGAAGCAGAGACTAGAACAAGAGAAAAACTGGGATTTTCTTATGGTTTTTCACTGCTGGGGCCATGGAGCCTTTATGACTAAGAGGATCCTCCGCCATCTTCCTCCATCCAGCGCCATCCATCGCCATCCATCAACTATCCATCACTGGCCTCCCACCATCGGGTTGTCGGGGCGGGGCGGCAACGGCCACTCACAGCGCCCTCAGCGCGTTGGCAGGTGCCCCTAGGCCTCTCTGGGCGCGCTGAGGAACCTCTGCAGCCCTCTGGCCGTTCCACAGGCCGCTCATCCCTTTAAGTGCGATATGGTCCATCAGAAGTATCTTTCTAGGAGTATCTTTCTAGGATTGTGGCCAATTAAATCGCCACAAACAGAGAGTACATCGGCTGCTGCCAAAATTGGCCTCGAGGGCAAGTTCTCGAAATTTAGATCAGTACTTTAAGCTACATGACGTTAATGGTCAACGCGGCGATCAGGCGACTTTTTTGCTGGCAAATAAAGTCCTTTATTGTATCCAGTCCGTACAAGCATAGAAAAAAGGTGGAAACAGGTACTTGGGTTGGACCATACCGCACTCAATGGGATAGGGCATTGGCTACAGGCCCCGTCCGTTAAGCTTTAGCGAGCCACGCACGCTGTATGATAACGCCATTTTGGCGCCATCGCACCCAAGCAGCTACTAGACTACTAGACACCTACTGCCCGTTTCTGTTTTTTTCTCCCCTGCGACGCTGCATCTTGGGGTGTGACCCGATATCGATCTCGCCGCCCTCCATCGACCACAATCCCCTGCCGGGCTCCTCTTCCATCCTCCAACCCGCAGTTTGTGTCGTGTGAGCGAAGACTGAAGGGACAAGACGCTGGAGCTGCTGCCGTTCCAGAACCCAACTCAAATTGGCCTCTGCATTACCGTTACCACCGTTACCGAATCAGCGGCCATCCAACCATCAGAATTCCTTCATCAAATTTCATCATCCAGATTCCACCATCCTCACCACCAGCAGCGCCACCAGCCAGAACTGCCATTCGCCCTCTCCCAACCGCAAAATCCCCTCGTGTTCGTATCCTCGCCCGCAAAGGCTCACGGACCTCGTCGTGCTGCTATTCTGTTGGACGGACGGAGCAGCGGGAGCTCGCAGCTTGTAGGGTGGTCTCAAAATACCAAGGCCTGAGCACGCAATCGCTGGCTCTCGCTTGACAGCGCATGAGTCGCCGCAATCCCAATTAACCTTTGCGTCGTCGTGCGATAAGCCTTCTCACTGTATATTATCCCCATGGAGTCCCTGTCGACTTCCGGCCGCGAGCCGACCTCTCTCTCTTCCCTCTCTCGAGCCGACTATGAGCCCTCTTCGACGGCAGATACAGGTGTCACTGCCTCTCTAATATCGACGACGACATCACCATCGCCTTTGCCTTCGCCATCAACCTCCACTGTCAACACACTGCCCTCGACGTCCGCCTCCGCCTCTGCTCCTGCCCTTGGCCCTGCTTCCGTCGCTACCTCCAACTCTGTCCTTGCCTCTGTCCTTACCTCTGTCTCTGCCCACCAGTCCACGTCCCAGCCGCCATCGCGAGACAACTGCGAGCGCTGCCGCGAGGGTGAGGAAGAAACCCTCTCCAAGGGCCTCGTCAAGATGCCCTTCGACCTCGCTGGCAAGACCCTGAGTCCCTTTCTCAAGGAGCATATTCCCGATCAGTATGCTCCCGTTGGCAAGAACCTCAAGAGAGATGACAAGCCTGGCGCCGGCAATGCCTTGGCCAATATCAAAGACCCCAACACCAAGTACTGCTATCGCCATCGCCCCGATTCAAAGTGTCGTCGAGCCGCAGACGAGACCAAAATGGGGACCATTCAACGGGTATGTCTAAACCAAGTTATCCCTGCTCGACTTGTCTGACATGTCACTTTGCTAACAATGCTTTCCCTTTTTCGTTGTGTAGGATCTGAATAGCCTCTCATCTGCCGATCAGGAAGCAATTACCCATGTCTGGTCTTTGTTTTCTGCCGCCCCCGCGAAACATCGTGAGCTTATGCTGCAGGGCATCATCACCCAGTGTTGCTTCCCCCAGCTCTCGACAGTCTCCCGCGAAGTCCAAGAACAACTCAAGATCGATTTCATCGCCACCCTACCTGTAGAACTATCGTACAAGATCCTGTGTTATTTAGATACCGTGTCTCTGTGTAAAGCTGCACAGGTTAGCCGGCGCTGGAGAGACCTGGCCGACGATGACGTCGTCTGGCACCGAATGTGTGAGCAGCATATTGACCGAAAATGCACAAAGTGTGGCTGGGGTCTGCCGCTATTGGAGCGGAAAAAACTCATGGCCTGGAACCGGCATCAACAGACAGCGCACCCGACCCCGTCCAATCGCGGCGCCGAGACTTCAGCTGAGCCAGCCTCAGCTCCTGCCCAAGGCTCCAATAAGCGGGCCATGGTGGTCCGCGACGGCGGCGGAGCCAAGCGATCTCGAGTCAACAAATCGTCGGGCAACGGCAGGGCGCAACTTGACGAAGAACGAAAGTTTCGGCCGTGGAAGGACGTCTATCGAGATCGTTTCAAGGTTGGATACAACTGGAAGACCGGACGCTGCTCTATCAAGACATTCAAGGGCCACGAGAACGGCATCACCTGTTTGCAATTCGACCACAACATCCTGGCGACCGGATCCTATGACACCACGATTAAGATTTGGAATGTCGAGACGGGAGAGTGCATCCGCACGCTGCGTGGACACACTTCGACGATTAGGGCCCTGCAATTCGATGACGCCAAGCTGATCAGCGGAAGCTTCGACAAGACGATCAAGATCTGGAACTGGCACACGGGCGAGTGTATCAGCACGCTCCAAGGCCACGCTGACGGCGTTCTCTCCATCCACTTTGATGGCTGCAAACTCGTTTCGGGATCCATCGACAAGACTGTCAAGATTTTCAGCTTCGACACCAAGCAGACTTGGACACTGCGGGGACATTCCGACTGGGTCAACCACGTGCGCATCGACTCTGCATCTCGCACCGTCTTCTCGGCCTCTGATGACCTCTCCGTTAAACTATGGGACCTGGATTCGAAGCAGTGCATCAAGACTTTCTTGGGCCACGTTGGACAGGTGCAGCAAATCTTGTTGATGCCTCCCGACTTCGAGCCTGACGAAGATCCCAACGCTGACAAGAGCGAAGCCGCATCGGCAAGCAGCGGGCGAGGCGACTCGCCTGCACCATCGCCAAACCCCACAGCTGACCAACGGGCTGCGTTTGGCTACGGCTTTGTGTCGGACCCTGCCCGGCCGTTGCCTCCTCGCTACATGCTTACTGGTGGTCTCGATAATACCGTTCGACTCTGGGACGTTGCCACGGGCAAGTGCATCCGCAGTATGTTTGGCCACGTCGAGGGCATCTGGGGACTAGTCGGTGATACTCTCCGTGTCGTCACCGGTGCCAACGATTCCATGACCAAGGTCTGGGAGCCTCGTTCCGGCAAATGCGAGCGTAGCTTCACTGGCCACGCTGGCCCAGTGACTTGCGTTGGGCTGAGCGACAGCCGCATGGCAAGCGGCAGTGAGGATGGAGAAGTTCGCCTGTACAGCTTTGAAGGCGCCAGTTTAGAAGAGAGGGGAACGCCGTCTTAAAGGATGCCAAACCCATTTTGGCAATGCCGTCACACCACCACTTACCATCAGCCTACCTTTTCGGCCTTTGATTCTCGGGTCATGTCGAGCTGATGGTGCTTTTTACTTTATTTTCTCTTCTCTTCTCCTTTTTAAGGATTTAGACGGACGGCTTTTAGGTTATGAAACTGGGATGCGCTAGTTGCGCATGAACGTTTTTTTTCCCCATCACAAAACACAAATTATAGAGCGATTTATTCTTTTCATATTGGCCGATATGGCAGCAACGCAAAGGGAATCGGATACCCTCGGTGGGTAATCGGGAAACGGCGTTTTGGGTTCATTTCAACGGGAATGCTGCGACTAAATATCTTGCAGCTTGAAGTGCACATGGGAGCAAATGGAGCTTGGAGTATGTGTGAATTGGTGCCATTGTGATTGTTGGGCATGGTTTTACTAGGTACATAGCCCAGATTGATACTCTGTTAGTTTTGATGACGGTTTGTCGAACAAAATGCACATGGGTTTCAGGCATGACTTGTTTTACCTCTTGAGACAATTGTGAATGCGCCGAGCCAAAGTTGTGAATACTATTGTTTGCGAGTTTCCTATCATCATAGCTTGTCCCCTTTGTCTCTTCTTCTACATCATCCTCTTAGTGCACATACGATGACCACATCGGGCCCTCGTCTCTATGGATTGCAAATAGGAGAATAGCAGACCAAAATGTTACTCCAGCTGCAAGAAGCACTGACGCCAAAGCAATCGTGGATGCTATTATCGCCTTTATAGCAAGTTCCCTTCACGCTCCCATCACCACCAGCAATATAGAACAACCAAGTCCCATCGCCCTGTTTGTAAAAGTCCATGTTCCCCACGCCGCACATGCCCGAGAGCTGAAAGTACGTCGATTTCGTGGTCGTGATGCCGTCGACGGGCGTGTCGCCTGCCCTGAGGTAGCCGGCGCGGTCGCCCCAGAGCATGCAGTCGCAGTTGTAGTAGTTGGAGGGACAGGCGACGACGTCGCTCTCGATTTCGCCGCCCCAGCCGGGGGAGATGGTGCAGGGGCCGGTGAGGACGTGGAAGTCGGCGGTGGCGAGGGGGAGGAGGGTGGTGAGGGCTGTGAGAATGTTGGAGAGCTTCATGGTGGTTTTTGGTGGTGGTTGTGTTGTTTGGAATCGATTATCGATTTGCGGTGTTTGTTTGCCTTGTTTGGATAGAGATGTGTGGATCTGATGATGAGAGAGAGCCTTCATTTTATACTTCGAGGAGGGCATTCATCCGTAGGTTCAAAGCAGACGTCTACACCATCACGAAGACCCGATCCTTTCAAACATTCGTATCAAACACAGCTCAAGATAAGCAGAATAATGTCCTTCACTTAGGTTAACGCTGAGAGTCGCTCAATCATATTAGCCTTTATTCACCCATGGCAATCCTATCCAATGCGATCCCGATACTCACCTCGCAATCGTCTTCGGTGAAAGATACTGCATACTCCTTCTTTTTGGCCTTCCATTTATGGATTTATCGCATGAAAATATTGAATCCTACGAAAATTACCGAACTGCAGACAGTATGATTCGTGAGTTGTACTGATCGAATGGGTTCCCTCATGCTGCTTCAGTTTCCTTTTACGTCATGAATCGGTAGGGGTCAACGCGTGTTGCTCAGCAGTTTTTGTTTGTGAAGCGCATTAAGATACTTGATTTGGATAAGAGACAAGGACAAGTTGGCGTTGATGGGATGGGAAGACCAAATCCTACTTGCCCAGATATATACGGCTGCTATACGACTATACGATACCTGCATCGTATAAACTACAGGGATGTTGGTGCACAAACATTTGCGTCTTATTACTCGATGGTTATAGGATGAGGACTAGGATAATCAGTGGCCATAGTAATAAACATTAAAGCTTGCAATTATGCTTCAATAGTACCGAAAATAGTCTATTGTTATATATGCGCATTCCTACAGGTCTTGCCTAGCACAGCTGAACAACCCGTACAAAGCGAGCAAAATAACAACTTAGTCGAGAACCCTCAGCCTTCTTACTATACTAAGCTTAAAGTCGGTGCAACCATATTCTATTGGACAAGTTTATATCTGTAGAGGCGTTTGCCCGAATACTTCTTGTGCCTCTATCCGTATCCAGCCGGGCTTAACGACACATCACAGTTGCGACAAGGTTGCGAAGAAGGGTTAATTTGGACGTGGATCCAATCCTTTCTTCAATGCAGTATATAACCGGATTTGTCGCATTAATATTATTATGCTACACTATATTAGTTGTAATTAACTAATGTACTGACAACACCTGATCGTGAATCAATTGACAAGTCCTTGAAGGAATACACTTTTCCAGCGGGAAGAATAACCGTCGTTGCTAATGTCTTGCTCCATGCTCCCAAAGCCAAGTTCAAGGGAATACCTTTAACTGTTGGTAAGCTCGGCAGTTTTACCAAGTTTAAGCCAAACACTCCCAGCAAAAGCCAATCACTTGAACTAAACAGCGTAAGAATACCACCGACTTTTATTAAGTCGCCAATCAAATGCTCAATCTGGCCGAGGCTTTTTGAAACGCCATTTTGGTCATGCCATGTCCTGATCGGCGTGGGGACAAGTATTGGTTTCGCAACCTCGAACTTTGGTGTGTCGCTGTCGCCATCCTGTAAAGTGATGGGAATAGTGGCTTTCCAAGACATCTCGCCGCCAGCCCAAGCACGAGCAACTTCCGATTTGCCAGCAACTGTGACATGTTTCTTTTTCTCCTTGTACCAGTAAAGGTAACCTGCAATGTCGATGGAGATTCCCTGTGACGATTTGGAGAAGGAGACATCAAAGTTGGTTTTGCATTGGTTCAGAGGATCGCCTTGCGCATCGTAGACGTCGAAGTGGTAGCCGGTGTCAGTGGGTGTCTTGGCTTCATCGTATGTCTTAAAGGCACCTAGGTCAATGCCACCACTCGAGATCTGCTCATGTATGCCCGCCGCATATGTGTCGTAAAATGTTCTCAAGACCAAAGTCTCTACAAAAGACCGGAAGGAAAAGGACATTTTGCCATCGCAAATATCTGTTGGAGACAACCAGCTGGAGTCGAAGATGTCGGTTGGAGGCTGGGTACCGGGCCGAATCGAAGAGCTCTTGGTGTTAATGATGAAGTTGAGAGTGCTTCTTGGTTGTTCTGCCGGATCAAAGAAGACATTGAATGTGTTTCCAACTGGTTTGAGAGAATCCGGGACATCAGCGTCTGGATCGGAAGACGTTGGATAGCTGGGAACGTAGCCTAAAATGTATGGATTGATGGCTGCGTTCTGTTTGACATGCCCAAGCCAATCTGCTAAAAGCGTAGAGAACATAGTCTTGTAGACGTCCTTGATGGTGACATTCGGGTCCGTAGTTGCAACCGCTGGAACGGTGCTGAGGAGATCAATGTTCTGGAGGTCACAGAAGATGCTTGATATAAGAAATCCTTGAGAAGTGAAATGCTCCAAGTGGTTTTTCACAACGTCGGGAATCAGCCTTGTCCTGTTCTCATTGCGAATCTCGGCAAAGCCGACCTTGATTGGAATGCTCCACTTCCATCCAGCCAGGTTCTGGGCTGGCCGTATATTGCCAGAGAAGACGTCTCGGAACCACACACTCCCCGACGTGAATTCCACGCCCAGTTGAACAACCCAACCGCTTTCACTGACAGTGACGGTAGGAATATATTCCCCGCGCAAGGTCGTATTTACTGGCAGGCCGTTGGCAGGGTTTGTGGGAACAGTATCCCATTTGTCATGAAGCTTTCCGACTCGATCACCCTGATCGTCGAATGTCATCTCAATGATTAATCTCCACCACTTATAAGCGTTTGATCCTTTTAGTCAACGTCGATAAAACTTACGTATGGAACTTGGTATCAGCCTCGGCCAACTTGCGTAGGCCTCGATTGATGGCGTCGAAAGTGACGGCAACGACCATGTCGTACTCTCTAATAGTAAAAATCTCGTAAGGCTTCATGGTTAGAGTTGAGGTAGATGGAATTTTGCCTATGTTGATAAGAAGCTAGCGAATCTTGGGAGCCAAAATTGGAACTGACTGAAGGGAAAGCGGTGGAGCTATATAGACAAATCTTGATGGCTAGCTAAATACATTTGGGTTGCCAATTTCCCTATATCAAATACAGTTTCAAGTGATAACTGTTTCTTTACGTTTTTATACGTCATATGGCCACTTCTCTCCTCTTTAAGCTTATGGTATAGGGAATATTGTCATTTGCCAGTTGGTCCTTGACTGGAATTGTGGCTGTTTTACATTCCGTATTTCATTTGCTTCAAATCTCGGGGTTAAAAGAACACAGACTGTATTTCATCAGCTTTTATATCAACATACGGAAGAGCGAAAAAATAAAGTATAAAAAGTTAAGGAAAGTTGGTCCGGCTTCGTGATATGGAAGAGGATTTTTCCTCTGGCTGAATAGAAGAACAAGATACTTTTTCCCATCAAAATGGCGCTTAGCTATACCAGCACTTCGTTCCAAGGGTGCCGCAGTTGCGGCAGCTATATCAAGTGATTTCGTAACTGTTGTTCTCGCGCCGTGGTCTGACAAGCCATATTTCGGTTGTTGTATTGTAGGTCAGTCGAGCTAGTTTAGAGTTGCATCCCCTAGCTGTTCAAAATATATGAATTATATTCTGTACTACGTACAATTATTTAAATTAAGCTTTTTAGCCTTAGTAATTTAAGCACAAACACTCAGTCTAACGCTTTCACGAAAACTGTGGCTGAGTACCTCAGTTATTAAGCATGATCGACAAACCGACTAGACGTATCTATAGCCTCGTCGTTTTCCGAGATTACGACTCGGCTGAGAGGTCGGTGTCCGCTGCCGTGCCATTGCACCCGCCGAGATACACCCCCTTAGATCAACGACATCGCTAATTAAGCCGTAACCGAATATCTCGGCATACAGAAGTAGCTAGACGGAGCATATGCTCAAATCGTTAAAGGGCTCCGATATGCAAGGTACTAATGCGTTGCTGCAAGCTCAAACGTATGACGGTACGCTCAAGGCCTGAGCCGTATATAAGGCGGTTAACGAGTATGTATCATCAGCATCTATAGCATAAAATTTATTCCATCTAGTTACAGCCATCGTAAGTATTGTAGATTACCGGATATTTTGCAGCCACCATTAACACACTATAGTCATGTAAGTGGGCAACATGATGAATGTACATAACTGGCCAGCCATTCATTTCACGAGGGCACCCATCTCAAACCCCAATCCATGAAACGCCTCTATGAGTCAGTTATCTGATCTTAAACCACAAGCCGCCGCCCCCCAAAACGCCGCCCATCAAGCCAAATGACGTTCCCTCCCATGAGCCGAATTCCTCGTTTGGACCCTGGAAAAACGAACCTCGGCCCAGCACGGCAAATCAGCGGGTCAACCTGTCCGGTCCCTCCCGGCTTGTCTTAGCTAAGATACCTGTATTCTGTATTCGGGGTACGTACCATCAAGGTGCTACTGCAATTGCGTGGGACCCCGCATTATCACAAGCTCGGCATGTGGTCGGTACGAGGAATAACGTCACTGGCTGCGGTTTGACATTTGAGATCGTTTCAGCGCAGGGAACTGCAGCAGAACATCGACATCATCGTTATTAGCACGTGCTTCTCGTAGAAATCACAGCCTCAATCTCAACGACGCCCAAAACCCTTGTTACGAACAATGTTGTCGTAAATTCACACCCCTGTATCATCTCCGGCCACACGGAGCTCCTCCTCTACAGATCGGAATGGTCACTCGGTCAGACAAGCCGAAATCCCTCCACCCGTCCGGCTATGGAACTTGGCCATCAACACATCTGAGTGACTCCCTTTCCCCAGCCAAATGTGGGGGGCAACCCCAAGCCCAGCTGAGCGAGCCGCGGGCCAAACCAGAAAAAACAACCCAATGTCGATTTTCGCGGGGGGGCAAGCACCGGCTTAGTTTTGGGCTAGATAGCGTCTTACACCAAGAACGAATAATAACCCCCAGTCGCTCAGCCCGGCGGCCCGGCTGCAACAGGAAAAACAAGTACCTTATACGACTGTAGAACGCCAAAGTATACCGAGCTGTGGCTCAGGCTTTTTGTGTCCTGTGACTTGCGGTCCAATGGCCGTGGCTTATGGGTTCGCCCCTAGCTCCAACGGGCAAAGGGGGGCGTGTGTCCAAGGGAGACGAGATGGAAGCTAGACGCCGGAATCATATGTCAAAACCATGGCTTTTTCTTTAATAGCGATTATCGGCTGTCTGGATGACTCTTTGTTCCCTCTCCTCTCTCTCTTGTTCTCAGCTTATGCTTTTAATTTCGTGCTTCCTCTTCCTTTCCAGACCCTCTTCTCTTCCTATATTTTATCTTGCTCCTTCCTCCCTCGTGGTGTGACTCCTGTAACCTCTTCCCTGTCCGCTTTCCTCGCTTGATTGAATAGCCGTTGCTACTCCCAGCCGCGAATCAATAGCTATACATCCCTAGCTTGATACAAGCTCGGCTCTTCTAGGAACGCGCAAACATCCTCGGCAGGGACCCACGAGACTTGTCTGGAGGTTTTAAATAAGGAAAGCTCGTCAACTACACCAAAGGGTGTTCAATTGCTCTGTTCAGCACAAAGTAAACAGTCAAGATGCCCAGAGACGGCAGTAAACAACCGCCCTCGGCGGCGACAAATCTCATCGGTTCGTCTCGCTCTTCTCTCGTGGCTTTCAATTCGATGCTGTAAGCTTCAATGTTGCGTTTGACTAACATGATCTCATTCTTGCAGCTGGAGGCGGCGCCGGCATGATGGAAGCTCTCGCCTGCCACCCTCTCGGTATGTCCTCCTCATATACGAAACTCTCATCTAAGAATAAGCCATTGACCTCCAATATATAGACACAATCAAAGTACGAATGCAGCTCTCTCGCCGTGCACGCATGCCCGGTGCCCCTCGCCGCGGCTTCATCAAAACCGGCATAGAGGTCGTAAAAAAGGAAACTCCCCTCGCCCTGTACAAGGGTCTCGGTGCCGTCCTGACGGGCATTGTCCCCAAAATGGCCATTCGCTTCACATCATTTGAGTGGTACAAGCAACTCCTTGCCGACAAATCAACCGGTACCGTCTCAGGCCGAGGAACCTTTTTGGCCGGTCTGGCTGCCGGTGTCACAGAAGCCGTGGCCGTCGTAACTCCCATGGAGGTCATCAAGATTCGTCTGCAGGCGCAGCACCACTCAATGGCTGATCCGCTGGATATTCCCAAGTACAGAAACGCTGCGCACGCTTTATACACTGTCGTCAAGGAAGAAGGCTTCGGAGCGCTGTATCGCGGTGTCAGCTTAACAGCCCTAAGACAGGGCTCCAACCAAGCCGTCAACTTCACAGCATATTCTTACTTTAAGCAGTGGCTCAAGGACTTCCAGCCTCAGTACGCCGACGGTAACTTGCCCAGCTGGCAGACAACTCTCATTGGCCTTGTCAGCGGCGCCATGGGTCCTCTGAGTAACGCCCCCATCGACACAATCAAGACTCGTCTGCAAAAGACTCCTGCAGAGTTTGGCACCACCGCTTGGACAAGAATAACGACTATCACCAGCGACATGTTCAAGTACGTTTCCTCCCTTTCATCCTCCAGTTATAAAATAGAACAAGAGAGCTGACAATTGTCTCCAGGCAAGAAGGTGTCCACGCCTTCTACAAGGGCATAACGCCTCGCATTATGCGTGTTGCACCCGGCCAGGCCGTCACCTTTACCGTCTACGAGTACCTCAAGTCCAAACTGGAAAAGAGCAACCTGGCTTTTGTCGGCGGCAAATATGAGGAGTAAGGAAAACCAACGGCAACACGTCGATGCATTTTGTTCTTGCGATATACCCTTGCCTTTTCGGCCAAAACGAGAGGAGACACATGGTCTGACCTGTAGTCTAGTTCTAGAGCAGAGATGCGAGAGGGTCAGCCCCAGCATGCTTAGGTTGATGAGCGAGGACGGTTGAGGTAGCGGCAATGGTGATACGATACGGTGGTAAACGGCATTGGTTAGAGGTTTTAATGGCAGCCATGGATTGTGGCGTTGGATCGCGTTCAGTTTCAAAAAGTAGAGTGGATATATCTTGTATACAATATGGACAGTGTCTATTCAGGCTAGATCGTTGCGTTCGTGCTGTGTCGTAAGTCGTGAGGGCGTCTACCTGCCCGGGCGCTTGGGCCTGCTAAAACCTGATGAGGTCACCGGCTTGGGATGGAGATCGTTCAGGACTTCCTGCTCGGTAATCTCGCTGGGGTCTTCCACCTCAAACTTCTTTTCAATGTTGATGCCGGCTTCTTGCTCAGCGATGGTGAGAACAGCACGCTTCATCAAGGGGTACAGCATTCTGTTCTTGATGGCCTTGTTTCCAGCCGTCGCAGGGCAAGTGTAGATGAAGAGGATCGGTGTCTGCTCTGCTCCATCGTGGGTGTGGGTAAACCGATAAAAGGTAAATCGTGGCTCGACCGTGGAGATGCTCTTGATGAGCTCGCCGAGGGAGCTAGGGTTGGGGGACTCGGGAGCCAGCTCTACCCTCTCGGTGGCCGCGTTAATTTTCTGTGTGGCATGATGATTAGTTTACTGATTTGACTGCTAAGTCGAATGAATCGTGCGTCAAACTCACCAGTGTCGTCGCAGCCTTTTGTCCTTCGGCGACCTCCTTCATTGCAGCAATGGCATCCTCGTTGACTGGCATCTTCAAGCTCTGGCTGAGGTGGATTTCTCGGATGGCAGTGCCCGATCCAGCTTCCTGCTCCGCCCTCTTGACTTCACCCAGCGACTTCTCCTCTTCAGTCAGAGGTGCTTCCAGTGCATTGTGCGCATCGTGGGCCTTGAATCCCTCCGCTGTCAATTCCTTGGCCATTGTCATGAAGGGCGTCTCTCGGAAGTGCTCCGTGCCCAGCTCTCGCACCAGAGTCAGCCGTGTCGAGGCGAACAGCATCTTCTGGCGGACCTTGGCCGCATCTGGAACGTACGTCACGGCAACAAACCTGGGCGTGTCATCGTAGCGGCGAAGGATGGCATAGAGGGCGACGTCTGGCTTAACGAACGGCTCAAGCACCGACAGGTTCTGTCCAAAGTCGGAGGATTTTCCCGCAATCGTCTCAACGGGAACCAGAGACTCGCCCTGGATCGTCACCAGCAGGGCAAAGTCGGAGGGCGTCGCGAGCAGCGAGCTGAACGCCTTCTGGAGCTCCTCGGAGGCTGTAGTCGAGATTCTGCGGTCAGCTCACCGCATCAAGGGGGGCCAATTGACTGATCTGGGCGTCATCGCGGCATCCGTACCTGAGATTCCAGACTGCATCTTGTCTCGATATCTTGCACAGCTTGCAGTCTGCTGTAACGCTGGTGTTGAGGCCGGTCAGGTGCCGTGATTCTCAGATGAAGACTCCAAGTTTCGGGGCGCTCGTCAGGGCCTGACGACGCATGTAAGTCCAAGCCTCTCCTGTTGCCCCGCCATTGTTGCGACAACCACAAGCCCCTCCACAACGTGGCAATATGCCCCACCAACAGCGGCGTTGTAGATACGCTGGTTGAGTAGATTCGTCTACCCTGCACCAGATTCAAGAATACAGCCGGCCAAAGTCTGGTATCTTCAATCTTCTCATAACAACAAAATGTACAGCTCACATTTTATTGAATGGTTCCATCACTCATAGTGGCTGGCAAACTCTGATCAGACAACACTTGACAACGAAATCAGAAGAGTCAAACAGTCACAGTGAACAGAGGATGAGGCTCATAGGCAGTCAAATCGAATCAATTAAGTGGCAGCCCCTTTTCTACAATACGTGATATGTGACCTGTTGACTGCGCTCAACAACCGGCTACTGCACTAGTCGTCAATGAGCGTCCAAAATTTCCCCAAAAACAATCCGTCGAGATATCTCATTATTGGCCGATGTTGTCGTAACAGCTCGCAAAGCATATCTCATAATCTCTACATAATCATTGCCGCCAACAGGACAAATCCCCCAATGCTCGAAAGGGGAGGGATGACCCCACAAGGTGAATCTGAAGCTGGGACATGCGAAGGAGCCGGAGGGCTGCCTTCGGGTTTCTTGCTTGGGAATGGCCAGAGAGTGCTCTCAGAAACTACCGGTGACAGGCTTGGGCCACCGGGAGGCTTGCAATTGTCTGCCGAGATGTCTCCAGGGGTTTCTCCAGAGCCATGTCCATCGGAATAAGAATCTGGTTGAGATGGCTGGCAATCTGACGAATAACTTGGCGGGTTTGAGGAGGGTGTAGTATTTGGGAATTGCTGTTTAGGATCAGAAAACGTCTTGGGCTCTGGAGCATTGCCGGGTGGTGTTAGAGGCCTCTGTGAAGGTGTGTTCAATCCTGTATTGCCTTGGGTGGCGCATGGAGATTCCTGAGAAACTTGAGTTGCTGGTGAGCCAGAGATTGGGGCATCCGTAGCCGCCGGATTCCCATACTCAGGGTTTCCGAATGACGTTGGTGCTTCTGGTGCTGGTCCTTCTGGAGTGATGCGCTGAGAAGGCTCTGGAGGCTCTCCAACTGATGAAGCATCGGCGGATGAGCACGGAGTCTCCGCCGCAGCAACAGAGGACTGAATGCTTGCTGGGTCCCCATAAGTCGGGCCTTGACTCGGTGTGACTCGTGTGTATACGTTGGCAATTACAGGCGAATTCCCTGGGCAGATGCTCCCACACATGCCAAGGGTGCTGTCTCCCATGCATGGATAATCACATTTAGCCTCGTCGGTTGGATGAACACCATTTGCATCATCACCACATCGACAACAGCTTCGAAAAGCGGTTAGAATGTGGTAACATTATTGAGAGCTGCAATCTGTATGTGACTTACTCTGGGAGAAGGGCAGCAAATTGGTGACCTTGGCAGGCAAGCTGGCACGTCTCGGGAGTCAGAGGGCCATTAGGAAACGCGATTGGCTTTCCGAAGCAGGCTGGGTCAATAGAAGCGCAGCCTTGGTAAGAGAAATTGCCGGTGTTGTACGTGGCTTGGCCAACAACGCGAGCCGCGCCAGCGATGGCGAGTAGAAGGATGCCTCTCATCTCTTTTTGAACGGAAGAGGCAGCTGGACGAGTGACTGAAGCTTCAACAATGCCGATATATGCGGGAACAATGAGAGAACGCAGATGGATCAAAGAGCGCTGGATCCAGACTGAGAAGGGAAAAGAGAGTAAAGATGAAAGAAAAGAGTTGTTGAAGACTTTGGGAGAAATTTAGGCAAGGAGGCTGTGATTGCTCTGAGGGAAGGAACAGGCCGTGATCGACTCAGAGGAGGGAACACTTGCCGCTCCTTCCCATGACATCGCATACGCATGTAGAATAACGAGGCTCGCCGAAAATGATGACTGAGGAGAATTTATTTTTGCCTAATTATGACCGAATAGGCTTGACTAGAATTCCTAGATCGAGGGCTCATTTGTTCATGTCCATGTGGGATTCAATGTGGCTACCTGTGATGGCATCTCGTTTTGGGATGATGAATCAACAGTATGATACCATATTGTGAACAGTATCAGACGTGGGAAAGAACGAAGTTTATTCAAAACAAACATATTAAATGCAGAAATCTTTGAATCAGAGCGGAATTATAACTCATCAGCAGTGCATAATAGGCATCTTGAAATCCCCTAGTTATAGAGGGGCATCGCAAACAATATCAGTGCTGTATCCATTGACTTACGGCTATGTATTGAAGACGAATTTTTCACAGGCAAACGAATACATATTATGGACATGCATGCAGAGTAGAAACGCTCTCTTTCATAAACTTTTGCAGTGACATATCTGTCAATATGCATATTTGCATTCAAGATCTTGAAATCTCAGGAACCCTTAAACAGGATTGGACAGACCAGCGCTCCAGTTTGACGGCCCCACATCACTCTACCAAAGTGGGCAGCGGCCCACATATAGTTGCCGCCTCAGGCAGAAATCGCTCCATACCCCTGCAAGCGCACCACAAACGTGAGCAGAGGGCACGAAAACCCCAATTTAGCGAGCATTTTTCCAAGTGTGCCAAAGTTATCCAAACGGGCATCTCTGCTTCGTCGTCACGATCAACTCATCCAACCCTCCCGTTGAGCATCACCAGTCAAGATGAGCGCCATTAACAAGATCGCCGCCAACAGCCCCTCGAGGCAAAACCCCTCCGAGCTTGAGCAGAACATTGCTCAGGCTCTCTTCGACCTCGAGACCAACACTGCCGACCTCAAGGTTGCCCTGCGACCTCTGCAGATCGTCTCTGCCCGTGAGGTGAGAATGACTTGAAAGCAAACCAGAAAAGAGACCGAACATCTTCGAGATCCTGTTCCCAAAGATATACAATGGCTTCCAGTGCGATTGGCGTTCCCTCTGCAGAGAGGGAGTGTGTGTGTAATATCGATTCGACAGAATGGAATTATTGACACCCTCTCTCTGTCTCGAGAAAAAAAAAATTATTTCGAGGGACGCGCCGCCTGGCCGGAGTACTATTGACTTCTGTGGAGCAGGACGGGAAGCGGTCCAAGGCGTATGTCCTGGAGCTCGCATGCTGACTTTGGGATCTTGAATAGATCGAAGTTGGCCACGGCAAGAAGGCTATTGTCATCTTTGTCCCCGTCCCTTCCCTGCAGGGCTTCCACCGTGTTCAGCAGCGGTAAGCAATTTCTCACCTTCCAAGCCGACTTGTTATCACAGCAGCTAATTCATCTCCAACAGCCTGACCCGTGAGCTGGAGAAGAAGTTCTCCGACCGCCACGTCCTCATCCTGGCTTCTCGCCGCATCCTGCCCCGCCCCAAGCGCTCTGCCCGCTCTCGCAACACCCAGAAGCAGAAGCGCCCTCGTTCCCGCACTCTGACTGCTGTCCACGACGCCATCCTGGCTGATCTCACCTACCCCGTTGAGATCGTCGGCAAGCGTATCCGCACCAAGGAGGACGGCAGCAAGACCCTCAAGGTCATCCTTGACGAGAAGGAGCGTGGTGGTGTTGACTACAGACTCGACACCTACTCTGAGGTCTACCGCCGCTTGACTGGCCGCAACGTCAACTTCGAGTTCCCCCAGTCCGGTAACGCCGAGTTCTAGACTAGTTGAAAAGAAAAATTTAACTGGTATTAAAAAAGATTTGAAAACAATCCTTTCTCTTTTGGGGCCTTTGGGAACATAAAAATGCGTTGCTGTCTTTAAAGCATCGGTGGGTTGGTCAACATTTGGGCTTGGCGTCTGATATCAAGGTAGCTTTTGTTTAATGGTATAAAGCTGCTGGCATGATTTGATCAATTCACTCTCATGGCTACCTGCCTTGTCGTCTAAATGCTTGTCTTGTCTCTTTTGATCATCTATCTTGGGTATCTATCGCTGTAAATGTCCCACTATTCATTCGTGACTGATGCGCCCAACGCCGAGCACGCACCAGTATGCCAATTCTCTCTTCTCTCTTGTTTCCTTGTCCTTGCTCGGCGGCCCGTCCATGTCGGCCTGCGCTTCAGACTCCCACTCCATGCGAACAAACATGGGGATCTCAAGTAGATCCTCGCCCTTCTTGAGCGGGCTAGTGTCAATCTTCTCGTTGCCCTTCTTTTCTAGCTGGTCGATTCGCAAGGACGCCGGGATAACTTCCAGTACTATGCTCACCCAGTTTCGCCCCTTCTCCCAGATCTTGCCAACTTCGGGGCCCTCGTCCGCCTTGCGGCTCCGGTCCCTTTCGTCATCCTTTAGGGCATCATCCCACATGTCCGTGTTGGCATCGACCTCAAATTGCGGACACAACACGGTCACCCTGCTGGAGAAGCGGCCTGGGGTTTTTGGTGGCGAAGCCAAAGTGACCTTGATATTGTCGAAAAGAGGATTCTTGAAAGTAACGACAAAATGATATGCTTGGTGCGGCTTTAGCGGTTCTTCTTCCTGGACCATGGGCCTATATGTTATCGGCACAGGCGTAGCTGTGGGATTGAGCGGCCGAATTGTGATTGTTGGTATGTACGACTTGGCAACCAGGCGGATCTTGAATCTCGTAGATACGACTTTTGCCTCTGGTTTGGATATAATGTGACGGCAAGAAGGACAACGTTTTGATCGTTTGCTTCGAAGAAGATATGCAATTGGCCGAAGCTCGTCTTCGAATCGTGCAGGCTCCGTGGGCTGCTGGCTTCGCTGTTCAATTGAAGCTGTCACGCCCCATCCCCCATCTATGAGCTTCTTTATATCCTTTGACTCGTCCAGATTGGCGATTTTGAGACCGTCGTTGGTGCCGAGTGCTTCGCGCATAATATCTGCCGGTCCTTGTTGCAAGCGGCCCTGATGACCACGGCCAGTATATAATGACATGATTCGAGTCAGAGCGGCAGGGGACGAGAAACCCAATCCATCATGTAATGGAAGCCCGCGTAATGAGGTATTGGATTCTGAGAGCTGTTGCTGATAAAAGGCCTTCAGGTTGGCAAACTGCAAATCCGCGTCGACTTGGTCGTCAGGCACGGGCGGCTCGTCCGGGTTGTCTTTCCGACGATCCTTGACATCTCTCAGCGTAAGCTTGGGCTGGCCTCCATTGTTCACCTTGGAGAGTTGATTGTATATTCCGCTGGGCCGGTCGAATTCGATACCGATCTCGGTTGAGGTCCAGTTGCAGTATTGGCAGAAGAGAGCATACGGGCCGCCGCTGGGGTTCGTTTGATACTGTGTCGGGAGAAGATTCGCATCCGTGGTAGGTTGGATAGCGCCAACTTGGAGCGGCCCGACACAGACCGGGCATTGGTAGCAACTTCGTGTACATCTGCTCCAACAGCGATTAGACTTGGTCATGACAAATAACGTGAAAGGGGCTCCCTACCTGTTGCCTTCGCTGCGCAGGTTACTGCTAGGCACCTCAAACAAGCAATTGGGGCAATAATATGTCACGGATTCCTCCGTTACGCATCGTGGACATCGGATCTGTTGGCAGTCTTCGCAGTAGAGGAGGTACTCGAGGGGATATAAGCTGTAATTTGACCGCGGGGCTTTTGGATCAAATGTCTGGTCGTTCTCCTCAGGGTCTGAAGCCGCACCGCCTGGGCCGAAAACAGTCTGATCCGAGCAAGGGCATTGGATGTATGTGTATGGGGTCAAAGGCGCCATCTTTCACCTCACATCTCCGTTGGCGCGTGCGTGGTTGGTATGAGTGAAAACACAAGTGGATATCGTCTGCTGCGTTTCATCACGAAGTCTCGGTGAGGAGCTCGGTGAGGAGCTTGTGATACAAGGTGAGTTCGGTAAGTGGGCTCTGTCTTCACGTGATAGCACCCAGTTATCAGATCGTCGAGCTTATCAGTTGGGTGGCTTATATAAGCAGTCTACGATCCCATGTACTCCGTACCTCGTATTTGTTCCCCGCTTTCTCTTTCACAGATGCGCCCCGGATTCTGGATGATGATCCTGGCCAAGCTCTTGCAACGGGCGATCGATATTCTGCAATGACGCTTACATGACAAGCAGCAGCTGCCGGCTGGCGGGAGCATGTTGAAGCCCGGTAGTGGCGGATCTGCAGTCTCTTCTCCCTCGAGGCCCAGGCCGCTACGAAGATGAGACGGAGATGGCCGTTTTCGTTTGATATTTGCGCCGCTTGCAAATTTCAAAAGCACGCCAGCTTTTCACCAGCGCTTCACCATGTGGATTTGTCAACCTTGAGAGCTCTTCCAAGTCTGCCTTATACCCCCACCTTAATATATTGCGATCGCTGCAGCTGAACCTGCCAGTTGTCAGCTCGTCGCCTTCATCTCGTGTAAGCTCGACGACAATTTCCGCTAGGCGCCTCAGATTAGGAACCCCTATTCATGTCATCGGCCACGCAAGCAACCGTCGGCATTCTGGGACGCAATCGCTCCGCAGTATACTATAAGCAATAGCGCTAGTGCTAATGCCCTTTGACAAGCTTGCCTACGCAGCTAATCGAGGCAGCCTCAGAGCATTGTTTGATACGAAGCCTTAGGGTTCTGAGCTACAATGCGAGATGGCACTAACACTGTGAAGTGCGCTGTCCTCCGCTAGCCATGGTTGGGTGATTTCAACTGGGCTGTGTCTTAACATGCCATACCGCCCAGTTTTGTCTTGTCGGTGAGGTCGACGTGTCCGCGCATGTCTCATCACGCGAAAGGACACTCCAAAGTAGCAAGATGCTCCTCACTGCCCTCAAACAGAACGCTCTACGGCCTTTCTCCTTTTGGGGATGTAAGCGGGACGATGAGCAATACTGTCTCTGAGGGAGACTTTGCTCGCATCGATGGCGGTACCACCACACTCTACTTTGGCCAAGTCAGGAACCAAAGAGGAGAAGCACGGGAAGCCACAAGTAATCAGGAACAGTGGCTCGTATTTAACCTTTCCCTTCAGCTGGCTGAGTGAGCACGCAAAATCGATGTTTACGAGCGTACGTAAGGCTGACCAAACGAGATCGGAAAGAGGCGATTTCGGAATCTGCGCAGTCTTGATTTTACCGAGGAGGCTTGCAGGGAAGGTGTCTTTGGTTGAACGCTTAAGCGGCGCGATGCTACAGACTGTGGATACTTGCGATAAAAAAAATTTCAAGAAAGTCGCAAAAAAAGCAAAAACAAGGGCTAACCGCTAGCAGAATGCGACAAAGTCTCATATGCTGTGAAACCATCTGGGGAGAAGGGAGGAGGGGAACAAAGCCTTTTTTTGCTCTCTTGTCGGTACGGAGTACACATCGCCATCATGTCATGCTGGTTTCGGCCAACAAGCTGCAAGGGAGCTGCGCTCGTTTTGGGGGCCATGCAGGTAACGCAATAATGGAAGTCAATGATGTCCGCACGACGTCGGGCGAGCTTTGGCGCATCGGATCTGAGATGGCCGCAGCCCACAGTCCGTCAGTGCCGCCGAAGTGGAGTGGACATCGTGGATCCTTGCTCGAATATTACCAGGTTTGAGGGCAGAGCCCGGATGGCATGATGATACTCGTCATTTTTTTCGGTCCACTCCCGGGCGCCTCCTCACGGGAGACGGACGGGGATTTCAACATGCGCTTCACTTCGAAAATCGAGGCAGAACAAGAGAGCCGACGAAACGATGGACAGCCAGGAACACACACCGCATGAATGTGGGCTAATACTCGGGCTCTGCGCTTGAAGAGGAAACGAGACATGTAACAGGCAGAGGTCGGCAATCCCGCGGACTTTTGCGGCTCTGCGATTGGGCCTGGGGCTGATGAGAGGAAGCTCAGCTTGGCAATAGTCTATGCTAGAGGGAGTGACGTGGATGCATCTCCGTTGACTTGTGAAAGCCCAGCGCAGAGAAGGATCCTGGCTCAGCCATCTCTCTGCGTCGCCGGTCTTGACTGGACGGACCGTCTGCCACAGTATGCACTGAGTGAGCACTGCGTGGCGGGCCCCAGACCAAGGCGGACGGATAGAATCAATGGATCAGGATTCTCGTGGTCAGACTGGCCGGTCGCGGCCGTGATATGCATCCGGAGCTTGGCGAAGACGAGAGCAGAAGCGATTCCAGCCAGCTTGTGCCGAAGACTTGTTTGACAGTAGTGCTGCTGTAATGTACGAGTACTGTAGCAGTACCCAAGCCTATGGGTCTTTTTCTCTCTCTTCAGGTTTTTTTTTCTTCACAGCTGATGATGCTCAGGTGGAGCGAATCATGCAAAACAAGGGTCGGATGCTGGGACTCGAGTCTGTGCCAGCTCACCACCGCCTCGTGCTTGCTGCAGAGCCAGTGAGCGGCTGGCACACCCCTGCAAGCGATGAACGCTTGGATGAGACATGGTTGGCCATTTGCCCAAAGAAGCGTGTGCTGATGAAGACGATGTCATCCCTGCTTCTGCGCCTGCTTCTACATATTACATGTGCATACAGCCTGCGTGGTACCAGGCCTTGTGCCTCCGTGCTTCCGTGCTACAAGCTACAAGCTGTAGTGCTGTATAGGCTTGTACTTGAAGTGTTGAATGCGATATCGATGAGACATGAATGTTTTGTTGGTACTTGTACCTCGGTGGCATGGCATGGATGGCGCAATGTACCATTTCGCAGCAAGCACTGCGGCGGGGTACCTGCTGCCTCAGAATGGGACTGTCGAGTTCCATGTTCGGTGCTTGGTGCCTTGATTGATGCAATCGCTGGCCTGATGCCGCGCTAAATGCTAGTGCCTAGAGCTGCTAGCACCATCTCGCTCGGGCTAAAATACAGGGGCCGCATCCTTGCACAATGGCGACTGGCCAAGGCATTTGCGGCGTGCTGCTAGGGGAAAAGGAAAATTGCACGGCGCCAGCTGGGGGAGCTAGGCCTAGCTAAGAGCTGCTAAGCAATTGCCTTTTCGGCACCCGACGCAAGAGCAAGCAGCAACACGGAAACGTCGTCTCTCCTTGTTCTCCCTTTATCTTTCTGTTACTTTATACTTTGCGACTCGCCGTCCCTCTCCACTCGCCTCGGTTCGTATGAGAGGCCGGCCTGGCAATATGGTGGCTGTCGAGTGATTCATCCCATGGCTGCATTCGACTGCCAATCCTCGTGATACCGCCATCGACTCGGCGGGCGTTGAGCAAGCTTCACAAGCTCCAAGCCTTGCAGGAACCACACTCCCTCCAGTTGCACGGCCGGGGAACACGAGAGCGGGCTCACCATCACTAGCCTGTGACGTCTCGGGCTGTCCTTTGCCTTTGCGAGCTGGAGATCGAACTCGATTTGCCTTTTACCTGCCGACGACTGGAGCTGGGATGGTGTGAGGGAGTGGGAAAGAGGGTTAGACTTTTCTTTCTGTGGATGCTTCAGCCTGCATGCTGATATACATATCCATACCCAAGGGTATACACACACGCCATATATAACAACTTGGCGCCTGTCTCGTCCACAGGCCGCACACCAACAACCGTCCGACCTTTGCGGGCAGTGTCAACTCCACTCGGTAACGTCTTTCCCGCCTCTGATGGCCGGCCCGAGAGCACGATCAAGCAGCGTCCGCAGGGCTCGCGGCCTTTCGATTGGAGAGGATGGCAGGCCGGTGCCGCTCAAGCGTTGGGATGGTGCCAGCAAAACGTGCAGGGACTGGGACGGGCTACGAAGGGTGAGTCGCATGGGCCCAATGGGAAAACGCTTGGCCCTGAGCCAATGGCGTGGTAACAGCAGTCTAACCGGTGTGGCATTGCATTGCCTTAGGACCCGGATATATGGGAGCGAAACGGTAACTGCCTTATTCACCTCTATGCAAAGGGTGATTCGAAGCGCGGGCCATCTTTCAAGCTGCCCTTTGCGGCTCTGCTGTTAGCCGGCTGCCTTCCGCTCATCGAAAAGTTCCTGGTACTGGAGGGCCTTGCGTCTAGGACGGCGCAGGAGATTGAGAGGTGGGATCAGCTGCATCCTAGGTCGACGGCTGAGCTGTATATCCCGGCCCCGCCTCATGCCACCGATAAGCAGGCTCAGCTTTACCACCTGGCTTTCAGAAATTTCTTTGCGTGGGTTCTAGGGAGGCCAATCGTGGGTGAAAGCCTGGGAAGTGCGCTTGTAACACTACTTCACTCCATGCGCGAGTTCAGGTCTTCTCCGGAAAGAAACGTGGATGATTTGCTCACGTATATGCGCCACGCTCAGTACCTCGATATGGCCGAAGTGCCTGTCCACGCCACAGCAGCCCTCCACCTGGCGGAAACATTTCAGCTGAGTGACTTGTATAAACAGGCTTTTGCTCATTGCGTTGGCATGCACGACCGCCTGTTTTCCACTGCAGAGTACCAGGTAGGGAATAAACCCGTCGCTTTTGTATTCTAATCCATTTCTCTTGAGAGCTTGGCCGCTGATTTCGTCTCATGTGACAGCTTATCAGCGCGGTATCGCGAACGCTCGTCCGCAGAGCACGCCTAGAAATGAACGCAATGCTACAGCAGACAGCCACTAGACTGAGGGGCTTCCTCGAGGAAGAGCTGTCGGAAACGAACTTGGGCATTCCACCCGGAACGCGCGCGCACCTCGAGAGGTTCCGAAGCTTTCTGCTGTCCTTTTACTCAGCCAAGCTTGGCTACTATCCTCCCAAGACATTTAGCGCAGACCTACTCAGCACAATGGCGGAGGATTTTGACGCCCTATATGAGCTTCTGGTGGATAACGACTACACCGTATCGGATGTCATACCATCTGCGGCCGTTGGCGGCATCTGCACTGAGCAGCTTGTCCAGACGTTTGACGAGAACAACAAATTCGAGCCCTTGCAACATCCTCTACCTCAGCTACCTCAGCTTGAGACTCCTTACGATGGGCTCCGCCGCCTCTCCAAGCTTCCATTCGTCGAGAAGGTTGTCCCTGGACAGCGGCTAGTTACGATCGCATCCTTAATCACGGCATCCAACTGGACAGAAAAATGTTTCAAGAACGACCTCGTACAGGCATACCGCAGATTCGAAGAGGACGCAATTCTCTCCCCCAGCAAGGCTGACAAGAGCGAAAAGATTTCACTGCTCGAGGCTCGCAAGGTGCGATGGATCATGATTTACGCTGTCCACCAAGTCCTGCGCAGTGCAACACGAAAACCGGCAGAGGTGTGGGGCGAGGAGGCGTCTTATCACCTTACAGTCTCGATGAATGGCACCCCTCCATGGTCATCGGCATCCCACGAGACGAAGAAACCCCTACGCATCCAGACGGAAATTGTGGCCAGCGACGACCTTGTGACCAAACGGGCCATCAAGATACAGGAAACTCCGGTGGACAAGATAGAGATTAAGCCCGATATTGACTACTTCGCGTTGACGCACAAGAGCCGCAATCCATCCATGTCTACTCTGTCGGACAATTCGTCGCCTGCCACCCTATCCCGGTCGAGCTCGTTTTCCATCTGCCTGAGGCGCAACTCAACCATCCGCAGGTCGCTAAGGAAATTCAGGAGGAGCTCCATGTCAGGATCACAGCCGTCAACGACGCCGCCATCGCCGGCGAAGCCCTTGTACCACGAGATTGTTGTACAGGGCTATGGAAACGGGACACAAACAGTCACGGTAGAGCCGGAGGATGAGGGGCTGACGATGAAAGGCGCCCTGGCGGGCCGGAGTGATTCGACGGCGTCGTCTCAGTCGAACTCTAGCTCGAGCACTACTGCCTCGTCAGTGCCCGAGAGCATGAGCAGCACCATCGACACGCTGTCCACGAGCGCGCTGTCCAGTCCCACGACGCCCACGACAGATGCCGCCTTGGAGCTTGAGATGATGCTCGCTCGTTGGGGTCCACAAGACAAGGCCCCGGTTAGACTGGATCTGCCGCGTTCGGCATCAGCCTGCGCCATTTCCGGCGAACTGCAGAGCTTAGCGGCAGGGCTCCACAGCTACGTGGGAGCGCTTGACAGGAAAGAAGACGTCAAGAGAAAACGAAGAAGCCTAGAGCCCGCGCGGTCGGCGCCGGCGCCAGCCGCGCTGCAGCGACGCTACACGATGCTCGGGGACCTTCGACGGAAGAATTTTGGGTTTGAAGCCAAGAACATTTCCGTCCGCATTCGTGAGAATAGCATTAGCGAGGAAACGTGGACTCCCAGCCGCAGGGATTCGGATGATTGGTCCATAATGTTCGCCTTTATGGACGGGACTGAGACAGAGGCTAAAGCTAATACGAACGACGCCTGGGCACAATATTCAGATCTAGGAGGACTCACTGATATGAGTTAGCCCACGTATGTCTATATGCATGCATATGATTGGGTATAATGAGAGATGTGAACAGGGCTGGAGAAGGAAAAGAAGAAGGGCATCATTTCTTGCAATGGTGGAAAAGCAAAATTTTGGTATTTTTTTTCTCTCCTTTTAATTTTTTTCTTATGTTTGTTGCATATTTTGGTTGATACCCAGTGTCGGCTGACACGCTTACGATACCATTTTCTCTGGCTGTCATTCGTTTTGTATTGGACATTCTTTTTTTCTGTTTGCAAGTCCTGGGATATGGTACAAAAACGGGCTACATAAGAGAGCGCATTGCCTCTTAGACTTGAAGATGAATATTTACTGCGAGAGCAATTCGAAGTGTCGATGCAAGCTGAGGTCATTTCTTCGTATTCGTCGCATTGCGGGCATACATACAGACTCATATATATACATATACATACACGTCCCTCTGCTACCAACCATGTCCTTGATTAACCGCGTTACAAGACTGAGAGCACATGTCATGTCATGGCTAAAATGTTTTGAAACAGTGTTTTAATACAAGCATTTACTCGCTCTTTGAGCGTGAGGCGGGATCGAGACCACTGACCAGGTCGCTTCCGATGGACCAGATCATGTAAGTGGGCCCAACAAGCCAAGCACCGCTTTTCGAACGAATTAGTTGGTTTCACAAATGATTTGATGAGTTTGAACCTACTTGGGAATGATCCAGAGCAAGATGAGATCCTGAAGGGGGTTGTGGCCAATGTTATCGAAGCCGCTGTAGTACTCGTTGGCCCCTATCCGCTGTTAGTTGGATTCACGCCAATTCGTGGCCTTTTCTCCTTTTTGAGAGAAATTTCGAGATTTCCTTACAATACAGAACCGTCTTGCTGAGTGTCATGACGGCGGCGCTGAATCCAATGAGAGTGGCCCTGGCACCAGCCCTGCCACTCACGACCTTGACTCCGGCGGACGAGCGCTTGCCGGAGAAGAACCAGGCGCAAAAGTACCAGAGGTAGAGCAGCGTCTCGACGGCATTGAGGAGGCCCTGGGCGCTGGTGAAGCCGTTGCCGGCGTGGAAGGCCTTGAAGCCGTAGATGTGGTCTACCTCTCCGTAGAGCTTGTAGGGGGCCCAGATGGGCCAGTGGAGGGAGCCACCGGGCATGGAGAGCGGGCGGAGAAGGACATAGCCGGTATCCCAGATGACGAGAGGCAGGGAGATGGCGAGCCAGACGAGGGTGGCGGTTGTGGGAGCGTGAGCAAAGGAAGATTTGGAAGATTTGGAGGATTTGGTGACGGATGATTTGGAGGAGCGTTTGGCGGAGGGGGTTGCGGGGACGAAGGAGGAGGGCTCGACGCTTGCGGCGCGAGAGGAAGAGGCGCGTGTGGTGACCATTTTGGAGAATCTGGTGGTTTTGGTTTACGGTGGGTTTGTTTGTTTGTTTTGTTTATGTGTGAGAGGTGAAGCGTGGGGTGAGTATCTTGAGCTTGAGGATGAGATGAGAAATTGGGCGGGAATTGAGGGGGAGGGGCAAAATAGCGCGGGTCCCGGATTATTAGCGTGGGACGCCCAATTGAACAAAAACAACAAAAGGACAACAAGCAAAAAGCGAAGAAGAAAAGGAGGAAGGATTCGCGAAATCGGTGGTTTTGTGTGTGAGATCTTGTGTACAAGAGGACAGCGATGCAACAAGGGGGATGGCCGTTGGGCGAATCACAGCGAGCAGTGACATGTGCTAAAGAAAATTGGCTGCCGCATGGAGATTGGGGGTTTTTTCGTTGCATGTTGCCGTTGGGCTAAGAAGCAGAGCTAACGGCCCATTTGGGCTGCCAAAGCTGGAGCTTTTTTGGGGGGTGACAGGGCCCTGGAGGGATGGAATTGTCCGATTCTTTCAGCGGCCAAGTTGCTCCGGAGGCCGTGGCGTTTCGGGGCAATTTGGGGCTGATGGGAGATATGAGATGCACTATGGACGGGAATGTGATGCACTACTACTACATGTTCAGATCAGGGGTGGGTGCATGTGATGAGATGAATGTGATGAGATGAGATGAAAATGTACAATGAATTGAATTGAGTTTTTCGGATATTACAATATGCTGACACGAGAGGTCTAGTGTCGTCGTATTTAGTTGAGATTCTTCCCGAGACATTGAGGATGATGCCATCCATTGTGCTTCCATTAGCGGTGCACTCGCATATCATGTGATCGTAATCATGCAGCATCAATCCTTCCATCAATCTCCCATCCCTTCACCCGCCAAACGTGTCTCCCCCATTCTCCAGATACTCGCGCTCCTCGTCCGTCGTCTCCCGCCCCAAGACCCGATTCCGGTGCGGATACCGTCCGAACCGCTTGATAATCGCCCAATGCCTCTTCTCGAAGCCCAGGTTTAGCTGGCCGTACTCCCTGGCCGCCTCGGGATTGGCCTGCAGGACCCTCTGCGCCGCGATCCGGTACTCGTGGGCGACGTCGGACTCGTCGCCGCTGCCGTGGGTGTCGGGGAGCAGCAGGCTCTCGACATCGCGGGCGAAGCCCTGGTACTTTTGCACCGCCAGCTCGTGCAGACCGACGTCCTCCGAGTGCATCAGCGGCACGTAGAACCAGCTGCGGCAGGCGAACCTCCAGCGAATCTCGGGCCACTCGTCGGGGATGCCGCGCTGTAGTGCCTCCAATGCGATGTCACGGGCCATGGAGTCGAAGTAGTTGAAGACGATGGGCGAGCTGTCGCCGCGGTAGCAGTTGCGCGGGATCTGGTCTAGCAGAAGGACTAGGCTGAGCCAGTCGTGGGCGTCTCTGGGTTGCAAGGCGTAGATGATGTCGTGGCCGGACTTGATGCCCCCTTTGCGGATGGCTTCTAGCGTAGGCGCGAAGCGCTCACTTTATGAGGGTGACGAGTATCAAAGTCAGCTTTGAGCTTTGAGAAGAAGAAGGTAGCGAAATGACGGTGACTTACACGCATAGCTTGTCAAAGTCTGGTCCGCCAAAGAACCATTTCTTGTTCTCTTCTGTGCTGGGCATGACGAGACCATCTGGGCCTGACAAGTGCTCGAACCAGAATTCCCGGACGCTCAAAAGCACGTCTGGCGTCAGGATGAGTGAGACGCAAGACATGGTTTCTTTTGACGGAGTATGCCCTGTAGTAGTTGTCGTCGAGTTGCGGTGACTACAGCTTGTGAACGCTCTTGAGTTCAGCTGCCGCCTATAAAACCCCAGAACTGGCTGTTGTCGATTCAACACAGTTCGACTGGACCGCACTCCTTTTGAGTATATATGCGCAGCAACTAATACATACTTGCTCTTAGACCAGCTCTATGACGTCCAGTTTGTGATAAAAGGCTATTCATTACCCACCTCGGCAGCGGTACAGCGGCCCGGACAGGCGACAACCGAACAGCGAAACTAGCGATGCTTTCATCAATAATATTTCCGTGTCAGATTTATCAGACCAGCAGATTCATCAGACACATGACATGGGAGGAGGAAACAGGTTGCAAAGAATATGGAAAGCTACGTATCAACATCTCGGACTCGGGGTTGACTCAAGAGCTAGCTCGAAGCTGGGTTTAGATTTAGCACGCCGGGTCGCTATCGGCAAAGGCCGAAAGGCCGCAGACTAATATTATTCATCATCTCAAGCCGCTTACAAAGTTCTCAATCATCGAATAGCCATAATACATGCAGCCCTCCGATTTGCTCAGGAAGAACAAGACTTGCAGCGCGGAGAAAAAAAAAGGCATCCGAACTCGAGCAGCCAATCACACGTCGTCATCCGATGATTTATCATCATGGCGATACGCCAGTTCAGTAATTGGCGTGCGTCTTGCATTAAACACTTTTTTATTTTCCCGATTAGCTAAACGATCTCATTGCTGGTTAAGTTGGGGTTTGGGTTTGGTTTTTAGCCACTTACAAATGTCCATTTCTTCCAGCGACAGGCCCTTTGTCTCCTTGATGAAGAACCAGGTGTAAAGCACCAGCGCCCAGTTGAAGCAGCAGAACATGAGAAAGGCCTTCCACCCGAGATTGTTGACGGCGGCGGGCGTCACTTGGGACAGCGTGAAGCCGAAGAGCCATTGCGTTGCGGCGCCGACGGCGATGCCTCCTTCGCGGACTCGGGTCGGGAAGATTTCGCTCATGTACAGCTGCGTGTTTGATTAGCACATTGACATGCGTCTGGGTCTAACTAGAGTGAGATGTCAAAGAGATTTAGAACTTACCCATGGGATGGGGCCCCACGAAATGTTGAATGTCACTACGCATTATTACGTTCCACTGTTAGCGACTTGACTTACACGCAGCCAGTATCTCACAGCACTTCGCATCACACCATGGAAACGAAAGAATAAAAGAAACCACTCACTCGCTTCCAGGAAAATCATCGATATCGACGCAATGGCCGGCGGTGTCAGCGACCCGGTGCTCATGGGCGGATACCGCTGCGTGAGCACACTGATGATGAACATGTACGTGCCCATGAGGAACGAGCCCGCCAGCAGGGACCAGCGGCGGCCGATGCGCTCGACCAGAAAGAGCAGGAAGAAGGCGCAGCTGACGACCTTGCACACGCCGAAGAAGCCGCTGAGCAGCAGGGCGTTTTGGCCGGCGCCGACGGCTTGGAAGACTTGCGGGGAGACTGTGGTGGGATTGAGAGCGTTAGCCGTGGTGTAGCTGGGATGAGAGGGTATCAGATGAGATTGAGATGGGATGAGACTTGGGATTCGATCGTACAGTAGGCCAGGGAAGTGTTTCCCGTTATCTGGGCGCCTATATTCTCCAAGTCAGCATGTTGAAACATATCACAGCAGCATCGGGGAAAAGCGAAATCTCACCAATCTGGAGAGTCACGGCCAGAAAGATGCGATATCGGTTCGCCGGCAGCCAATACTCCCTCCACGTAACGCCAGCCGTCTGCCTCTCCTCCTCCTCAATGCCCGCCACAATCTCGTGAAACTCCATCCGCACCTCCATGCGGTCCCCGCCGCGCACCCAAATCAGCGACTGCAGCGCCTCCTCGTGCCGGTCGTGCTGCGCCAGCCACCTCGTGCTCTCCTTGGTCAGCAGCATGCCCAGGCCCAGGATGCCGCCGGGCACCAGCTGCAAGGCCACGGGGATGCGCCACTGTCTTGTTGACGGCTCGATGTGCTGCGCGGCGCCGTAGTCGACCCAGTAGCTGACGGCAACGCCCAGGGTGAAGAAGAATTGGAAGAGACTGCCGAGCTGGCCGCGGATTTCCTTGGGGGCCATTTCGGCGGAGTACATGGGGATGATGACGGTAGCGACGCCTGTGGGAGAATCGTATCAGCCAGGATAGCCTCGTGGTGATGGTATTCGCCATGTTAGTGTATATGCGTGTATATGAGCATGCGTACCTGCGCCAATGCCGGATATCGTCCGTCCGGCGTACCATGTCGCGATTCCATGCTGGTAAAAGAGCTGCAACACGGCGCCGATGTTGAAGATGAGCGATGCCACCGCAAGAGCCCATCTTCGACCGTAGCGCGCGGTAAACGGCCAGACGAATAAGCACGAGAAGAAGGCTGCAGAATCAGGAATGCAATCAACATCAGAACTCATATTCAATCATTGAAGCTAATGTTTCTCGGTTCAATATATACCTCCCGCTTGAAGCAGACTAGCCGACAGCGAGGCAACATTTTCCTTCTCGCCCTCGCTGAAGCCCATGTCCCGCTGGAACGACTGCAGCGTCAAGACGCCGCCCACGATGCCCGTGTCGTAGGCGAAGAGAAAAGAGCCGACACATGACAGGGCGACGAGGTATGTGGCCCTCCATGTGCCGAGGCGCGTCATGATGGGCTGGTTGCGAGGGTTTGCATGAGGAGATTGTCGGGAGCTGGGATTGAGAATGGACTTTTCTATCAACTGGGGCGAGTGATTGACGATGGGGTTCAATGCTAACGAGACGTATATATAAGGTATTTATATCAAAAATATGAGAAAGGAAGGAAGAAGAGAAAGCAAGGGCTGGAATAAAGCCCTCAACACTAGGATGAAAAAAAGTCGTGAGATTCGAGTCTGCAGGTGAGTGAGGCGATTGCAGTTTGACGTAATCGGGGCTGAGCTGCATTTACATACATGAGCGCAACCGCCCAATTCATCCGAGCAAAAAACGACCCCAGAAAAAAAAATTGACACACACACATACAAACAGGCTATTTCCCATTCGAATTTCCTATTACTACTATCCCTATCTGTGGTGTGACTGTGACCCGGGGGGTGTGTGGTCTCATGCAAGTCCCACGCAGCTTATCATGGAGAAAAGGCTGCGGGGAAGGAAATGTCGGATATCTTGGCTTAGCTTGGTGCGGAGAGACTAGGGGGGGGTTTATTTGCCCGATTTATTGAGGAGAGGGTTTGTTCTTTTACTCCATGTTCCGGGTTTGGGGGTGGCTGTGGCTGTTTTGGCTGATTCAGCGAATTGTTCTCATGTGGTGGTTATTCAGTGTTCGTTCCAATGATTGTGGTATACATGTAATACAAGTAAACTCGAATTCCAAATCGATATTCGATAACCCCTAATAACTGGTGGTCGACATGTAAAAAGAACTAAACGCTACAAAGCTTCAACGTAATTTACAAAAGTTCTCACTCCGGACAGCTGGGAAAGCCCCTCTGCCAAGAGGATCTAAGCCAAGCAGCGGATTACAGCTTCCAGATCTCTAGTCTGCTTCCTCCCCTTCCGGATGCAGCTCACGATGTGACCCAAGCACTCGTGCTCTCTTGTTGGACAAGTTATTTTTTAAGCACTTTCCAATTAACCCCCCCGCCAAAAGACCAGCGAAGCCACCGCCCCAGAGGAGAGGGCAAAGGACCAGCGCCGCCAAAGGAGAAGCAGCTATACCCAGACCTACTATCGCCATCTCTCCCATTATCACTCCGGCAGCGCTAGTTCCTAGGCTCGATGTCACGATTGTTGTCATCTGAATATTTTCTGCTGTATCTCGATCAAGAGGCTTCTCCTCAAAGATATTTGCAACCGCTTGTAGAGTCAAGGCTGTCTGTGGATGAGGAAGAACAAATGACACCAAGGGTTTGCTTCCATCGTGCTTTGGTCCTACCAGCCTCAGAGGAAGAACCTCGTCAGGAAAATGAAGAGGATCTGTGAGCGTGATATTGTACCAAGACGGAATCAAGACATGAAACGTAACGTCGCTGGGATCATTGCCCTGCTCCCTCATTCCCTGCCGAAGAGCCTTCATAGCAATATACAGCCGGTCCAGACAATCCGACTCGCCCAAAAATGTAGCCGGCAGTGGCGTGTCCTTGGCCTTTGCATAAAACGCTGGATGCCACGAGGTATCAGGATGCCAGACAAAGAAGCAATCGTTCTTATACTGGGCTCTTCCCGCCTCCATGTCGACAAAATTATATACGATCTCAGCGAATCCACTTTTGCCCGCGCCGCCAGACGAGGTGAGAACGTTGGTGCGCCAGAGTTCCTCTCGGATATTCGCCAGATTGTGATTCACTTGCTTGACCTCCTCCAGCAGCTGCTCCATGATGGCTGCGATGGCCACAACGCTCACACTTAGCGACTTGGCTATGAGACGCACGCCATGAATTTCCGGAACAATCTCTTGCGCAGCCTTCTTGATTGAGTCTGCGGGCTCGGAGACAGAATTGCATGTAGACGACACCGCTTCGTTGATGCTCCTGGCATCCTTCTGTATGTTCTCTGCAGTCGTAGAGAAAGACTTGGAGAAAGACTTGGATAAAAACCAAACTGCTCCATCGATGCTCCCAGCAGTTTGCTCTATGGTGTCCAAGCAACGAACTTGAGCGTCGGCCATCCTTTCCCAATGGTCTTTAAGCTGCCTGACATTGCTAATTTTAGCATGATTGAGCTCTGTGAGGCTGTTCATATAGTTGCGGTTGTCATTGATCTGGTCTGGGAGATGCTTGTTGAGAATCTTGGTTGTGCTTGCTTGCTGTCTCGCCGCCTCGCCCTCCTGGATGCTCTGATAGAATATTCCTAAATTTTTAATAGGCTCTGTACCAATACTTGTGATGGCGCTGGCGACTTCGCCAGGGGTAGGGAGTCTTGGGAGAGGTAGCTTCCACTATACAGGAAGGTTCGCCGAAGACATTTGCGTAGTTTTGTCGTGGAAGTGAATTTAAACTTGTTCTTAAGATGGATGGGAAGTTACGGAGCAAAAGGAATTGGCAATCGAATGAGGGAGAAGAGGTGTAATATCTTTACTAACAGCGAGGCAAGGCCTGCGGCCGCCAACATCAGAGATTCTATAGGCATAATGCAAGGCTTCCCAACATGTTATCTATATCGCTTTATGTTGTCATTTACTTGAGCCTATTGGATCGACATGCCGGATTTTGAAACGCGCTGTGGCCGCGGCCCGGTGGCTGAGAAGGCATGATGGCCATCTTTATATGCGGCCATAGAAAGGAGGTAGAGAGAGGGATACCAACCTATATTTATCTTAGAGAATAGTCACTGCGGAAAGGCTGAACGCACTGTTGTTGCAGCCAGCTGATGTTTGTTGTCGGTCTCTCGCGCTGCTGTCCAAGTATGGCGCTGCTGTTGTAGCTACATGTAGTTAAGGTGGCGAGTATAGGTACATGGAACGTTGAGAACCTATTTGTCGCGACCATACTTAGGCGTCCTGGAAAATCAGTTTGCAGTTTCTCCAAAGTTCTAGTTGGTGATACGTCTAATACAAGCGATGTTGAAGATGGCGTGCTCCATGGCGTGGTGGGATAATTGTGAAAGTACATCACTTGTAGCTACATGTACGCACACACGATACCAAGCGCTGATTATATCAGATGACTGTAGGCCCAGCCTCTGTTTTAGATGGCGAAAATGACAGCGCTGCCAAGGAGACGATGCGCCTATTGCAATGGAGGATCCAACTCCAAGTGTTACAAAATGCGCCAGCTAGCGCCCAACTGCATGTATTAGAAGCAACCCTCAAGTTAAGATTGTGCATCGTGTGGGCTGCCACTGCACTGCACATGTATTTTACTCATTTTAAGAAATTCGCTTAGACCCCAAGACTTTGGTAACCATGCCAAGTGAATCGCTCAAGATAACTAGGCTGGTAATTGAATCATTCGGATTGAAATGGGCGGCATCTGTGGCTTGCGGGGGCGGAGAACAAGCTGCTAGTTTCCGTCGAGGAGGGTCGGCTATGGGGGAGCTATTGATTGAGGCGCTGGCTGTTTTTGGAGTGAATTGAGTTCTTATGCTGTGCTGATAGTGACTTGAATCGGCTGATTCATTAAGTTCAAGTTTGTATGCGTGAAGATGCATGACGGCTGCGGACATGGAAGGGACTAACAAACAGGCCATTGACAAACATAATCACACTCGATAGCATGTCCCCAAGTGAATCGATTCTCTTTACATGCTTTAGATGGATCTGAATATACCATATCCGACAAACTCTGGTAGCAAGAACCAGGTGAATCGTGCAGATGCATAGGCTACGTTGATTCAACCGCCAGTCTGCATATAAATGCCAGCCGTGCTGCGCCGTGCTGCGCCGTGCTGCACGTCAACCACAATGACAACGCTGATATGTGCAAATAATCGGTGCCATATGCAGGCTTCCCTTTGCTTTCGAAGCCACCGAATGGCTTCACTTAGGGGATGGAGTAAAGGAGAAGTTTTGGTGCGCGCTCTCGTTGAACAGGCCTTGATAGGAGAGTCACAGAGAATCATGCATCGCTATGAGGATGCGGCGTATATAAAGTTGATGGCATTCGGTAAATTCAACAGCCAAGATTCTCGGTTCTGAACACCTTGGTCCCTCGTGAGCTTCATGGGCTTTTACTTTGTTATGCCGCCCACGCATCCATCGTCAAGATAGCTCCTAATATCTGCTCGAGTAACAATACTCTTTGAGAATTTAACCATGGCGCGCGAGCATTCAATAATTCGACGATCCAAGAGTCACAGCTCCAAACGCAAGATTTGCAAATTCCCCAATTGTGGCCGAGAGCGCAAGTCCACGACTCGTCATGGCCAGACAACCTCCAAATATTGCGAGTGGCGTAATCATCTCCTACTTCCCTCTTTTCATGACTTGCATTGTTTCTAACGCAAAAAATAGATTCGAATCCAGCCAATTATGACAGCGTGGGCATGTATATGGCAGGAAGGGCACCATCAAATACCTCTTCAGAAGCATTTTCCAATCATCGTGCGTTTCTCTTTCTTGGCTCAATGTATCTCTCTGCTTCAAATGCTAACGTTATGCCAGATTTGGCATATGTGACGCCTATTAATACCAGATGCTGTGAACGACAGTCGTCCATGCCTTGCTACAACAGTGAGTCTCTCTTTCAAATTCACCATGTGGCCTCTCTACTAACCCCTTTCCCACAGGCACATGCCAATTCCAAGGTTGCAATAGCCCCATTCATGCTCGATCCAAGGCCTTCTGTTTACAACATGCGCAATCAATCTATGAAAATATCCTTTCAAGTTGTTGGCACCCTTCTACTGCGCACTCCTGCGCTCCGCCGTCTCCTCCTCTGTCTCCATTGTCTCCGCTACAAATACCTATCGAAGGTATCAGACGAGATGGAGGATATCCGCCCACTTCTACCAGCAGTTCAACAGATGGACGCCGTACATCTATCGAGAGCACTACCACTGTTGGGACTGCACCTGCTTCAGTCACCACTACAGTTGCTGCCTCCAGCGCTGCCCCAGCCGAACCAAAAATTGAGGCAAAGCTCGAAACTGTCAGCCATGTGGTTGATCAAGAGAAGCATCAAGTGAATAATGAGAATGATGGTCTGCCGACGTTCTTCTCCGGTGTGGGCGTTGGGCTCTGTATTCTGTTGCAGATAATCCATGTCCTTCTGCGACTCTTGCTAGAACTGGCACGAGGGATGGGAAAGCGAGGGATGTGGTGAACAAAGAGAAGGTTAGACGGACAGTTTGAGAATATCACGGAGAAAGAGGAGGGCCCGTTATTATTTAAACGCGAAGGAATTCGGTTATGTTAACTAGGTAATATGAGTGTCTACGGCTTTCAACAAGCCAAGCAAAGGGGTCTCTGCAACTCAGTAATACAAACAGGAAGCAGTACAAAAACATTACCATTATCTGCCTAGATTAATCTGAATCCAGCGCATCCTGATTCATGCTTCTCAACCTTGGCAAAAGCAGGCCAATAAAGTAGCAAATTGTCCTCGTCTTATTAATATGAGCCATACAGCTGCTCGTAGAGATCCTCGAGCATATGCATTGCGCCCATATACCGTCCACCATAACCAACGCTGATCAGAAACCTAGTGGAATCTCGAATCTCAATCACAAAGGCCGTATCAGGTGATTCCCATGAGATTATCCTATTCGGTGCGAATGGTAAGCAGAAGCTAAATTCTCCCTCGCGCGAAGGATCTGTGTGATAGAGTCTGGTATGTAATCCTGGCCTGTGGAAACTTGGGGGCAAAATGACAAAAATTCCGAGTGTTTCCATTAGGTCCAGACACTGTATATGGCCAGCCTCAACACCGATATCAAAAAGATCGAAAAAGTTCTGTAGCCGGGCATGAGTAAAGCGATCGATTCCAAGGAGAGGTGCAGTCTCAATGTCGTCTTCGTCAAAGGGAAAGATTAGCTCGACACTAGAGTTGGTTGCATCCGAATAAGCAATAGAGTCACCGGAGCCGGAGCCGGAGTCGGAGCGGGAATCAGAGCTGGAACCGGAGCTGGAACCAGAGATGGAATTAGAGATGGAACCAGAGCTGGAGTCGGAGCTGGAGTCGGGGTAGAAAAGCTCTGGAAACTGCGCGATGATGAGCGACATGACACTATGGTCACCGTTACCAGCCATCTTGAATCAAATTTTGCTTGACAAGTCGAATTAGAATAAAGATCGTTGTGATTAAGTTATGAGAATGCTTGCTCTGAGTTGAAACACTGGCCATCCATTTTGATTTATAGCTGAGAGCACTCGTACTTCTCTTCAGTAAGAATCATTGAACGTCCCTGTTCTTTGAAGGTTGGCCTCCGTTCTCATTGAGTTCATTTTTACCTTATTGCCCCTTCCATGGCCTGTGCTAAGAAGTGTTCCGAGAAATGAACTCGGAGATATTTTATAGTTCAGAGAGTGTCAATAGAACAGCGTCATCTTTTTTTTTTCGTCTCGAAATGGGACTAATATGAATAACTCGTCACGTTTGTTGCCTCGTAAGAAATATCCCAGATGCAAAAAAGTATCGATTCATTGCAAGGAGATTGAAGCATTCATATACAATTCTTTCAAGCAGCCCTAGACAAATATTGCTAACAACTGATCCAGCCGGCCGGGAATTCTCACACTTGCAAGGACCTATGCACCTTTTTTTTTTCTTGATGCTACTCAGCAGTGGACCAATCACTTGAGGTTCTAGCAGTTTTGGTTAAACGAAGGAATTTGCGAATGTTAATTGATAATGAATGTCCATGATTTTCAACCAGCCAAGCAAACGAATGTCTCTACAGCTTGCTAACAGGAAATAAGCCAAAGTAATACCACTCTCCTCCTAACTTTGACAACCCACAATGCGATTAACACCCAATTACCACTTCCAAATCATGAGGAAATCGGGCCACTAAAATCACAAAACCTGCTCCTCTTCGTTTGAGCCGTACAGCCGCCCGTAGATTTCCTCAAGGAATTGTAACCCATCACTAATATTGGCCGTAAACTTTTCGGGGTCCAGCAGTTCAATCGCAAATGCGTTACTAGCCAATCCGTTCAAGACATTTCCGTTCAACGCGAAGTTCGTAAAAATACTGTCTTCCTCTTCGTCTAAATTGTAGGCATCATAGGGCGTTGTATTTAAACCTGGCCTGACGAAGTCAGAAGGCATAATGACAATAATTCCAAATTCTTCCCTCAGATCGAGGCTTTGCGCCGGAAGGTGATTGTCGTTACTGTCTAGGTCGTGAAAAGAAGAAAGCGCATCTTCTCGCGGGCCCTCAAAGAAATGATAAGGTCCAAGGCGATGTTCAGTCTTGATTTCATTTTCGTAGGAAGCAGACGAAACGTCAACAGGGCTAGCATTTATGAAAACGATGAAGTCCTCTATCACCGGGTAAATAGCCACCGGAAAGGCCATCACTTCTCTGCAAGTGTATTCGACCTGGAAGCGATTGTCCATTTTGAATCAAACTTTGCTTGACAAGTGTGATTGAGATGAAAGTCGTAGTTGTGATTAAATTTGAAGATGTGAATGACTGAGAGAGATTGATCTGAATGAAAATACCGACCATCTAATTTATACTTAATAGTGAGTGAAAGAGTGAAAGAAAGAGTGAAAGAAAGAGTGAAAGAAAGAGTGAAAGAAAGAGTAAAAGAAAGAGTGAAAGAAAGAGTGAAGAGTGAAAGAGTGAAAGAGTGAAAGGAATACACGGCCCCGACCGAAACTCAAAGAACCAAAGTACCAAATAGCACAATCAACAGCTGGTGGGAAAAAGGCGCGCGCTTCCAACCGTTCATGATATCGACGTCAAATAGACGCGCATACCCTAAGCGCGCGAATTCGAAACGAACAAACCATCTGTCATTGTCATCAGCTACCCAATCGAATATAGCCATGCGGTCGAGAACACTCAGCGTTCTCAATAAGAAAGAATACAGCAGCATTCACTTCATCCTTAGGTAAGTGTTCTTTTGGGAGCTTTTGTCGATTCGCCTTCACTAGACGCATTACATCTTTCAAGTCAAAACTAGAGCCTCCAAAAATATGACCGAGAAGGGTTCTCGACAACCTTTGATAGTTCAAACATAGTGCCCAACAGGCCCTTCCCTACCATGAGCATCCATCTCCTTTTCAGAAAGTGATAGATGAATGCTCCAAAACCATCGTTTGCCAACTATCATTAATGACAGTGGTCTGGATGCCGAGTTTGTTTGGTATAGCCTCAGTACCTATTCGTGCTCATTCCCCTCCGCTGATCTCCGCTCTGGCTTGATAAACGTTGTTTACAATTGTGGTTCCTGCAAAGAGGAAGGTGAATGCTAACCCAGCGTTGAGAGCATTGCTCGGGACATCAACCGCTCGGGGGGAGATGTTGCCTTCTTAAGTGCTTTTACAGATTCGATATGCTTTATGGTCTTATGAAACTGCATGTCGTGCAGTGTATCAGTATAAATGCTAGAGCCAGATTGGACTGATGCGGCGAAACCTACGATGGAGGATATTGTAAGCACGCTGTAGGAGCCACTGTCATGATATCACCTTGGTCATACACAGCGATAGAGCGCGTGTAAATTAAAGAACAGATGTTGTGGAAATATAAAATGTTCAACTTTGACAATATCTTGAGGTTGTACCCAACACCTTCATGTAACACGGCTATCGACGAGCTGAATCCTCACAATGTAAGCAGCAATGGGGTAGCCAATCGGCGTGTTTCGACCACTAATTGTAACTTTCCTTGTCATATCTTTGTTGGCCATTAGCTGTCATAAGAAGATAGTGTAGTGGAATAAGAATATACATGATTCAGATAATTCTCCGAGGAGAGCTCTAACCCAAGTCCATCAAACTCAATTCCTAAGCCCATCTCTCTTCTTGGCAACTAGTCTACGAGCGGAGGATGAAAGGAGGCGTCAACTCTTTAAGCTACCAAAACTAACCAATTCTGCGACTCAAGCTTGCTCCGGGCATCAAAGTCCGTTAAGCCAATGTAATAACAGTTCCACATCAGTCCATGCTATGACGTTTAGGGTAGACCAACTTGCGAGGCACTGCCTATATTTAGACGTCGGCCCACGTTAGGCGATCCTACTTGTACTTTTTCATATACGTCTACTCCGTAATCCGTATATATCGACTCCTCGCTCATTCACCGAGGTGTAATATCACATGAATTAGGCGTGCACGCATCTCCTCGAGACTCGGCCTTTCTTTGGGCGCAAATGCAGTGGCATGGGCCGTCGGTCTCGGCTCCCATGGCAACATGTAAGCTTCCACGACCTCATCTTGGCAATGGGGCTGGTTGCCTTGAGCTCTCGGGAGATGATTTGTTTGTTTTGCTCTTCTCTTGCCATTTGCAGACGGACATGCATAATAAGAGGCTGTATTTATCGTGGATGGCTGTGCCGGTGGTAACACGGCATCACAGTGGCGCAAAGGCGCGGTAATGCCGAGATGGTTGAATCAATACGAAGACAAGACATTTCTCTGCATCCTCGCCCGCAGCTCAGTCTTATCCAGCGAGTAATACTCCAGGCAGTGCTTGAATCTAGCAGCAGCAACTACGTTACCCGCGTGTCTAATGCAGGGATCACCATCACGTTATGTCTCAGTCCCCTAGCAAGACGGTGATGTCAAGCTCCGATCCACACGATGACGCCTCCGCGGGGCTATCAGAAGACCAAGGCTCGCAATCATGTAAAACACCGCCTTTGGCACGGAGCACAAGGCGGACAAGACTGTAAAAACCCCCCTTTGGATCGACTCATAGCAACTCGCCACCGAGGCGTCCGAAAGCTGCAGAAAGCGGCAATGCGGGACCACAAGGCGAGGGTCCGGCTTCCAGTGGAGCAACAGCAGCTCGCTTCGCCCAACCTCGTTATTTTTTAGGGGAGGAAAAGGTGATCGGCGGTGCTCCTTGGACTCGAACTCTATCTGTCATCTGGCGGCAAACCGAAGAAAAGAGGGCCAGAGCCAGCAGAACCTTGTGAGTTTTAGGTCACGCGGGGGGGGAGCTTTTGTTGCGCACTGTGGCTCCAGTTTTGGTTGGGGGACATGGAGTTTGTTAGGCTCTATCATAATGGACATTAGGCGTAGATTCTGTGTCAGTTGTGATGGATGATAGAAAGCTCCGTTCGATACACAGTGCGTGGGCGAGCTGAGCGGGAGGAAGAAGACACATCGTATCCGGGAGGAACACTGCAGCTGCGCAGCTCCACTGCACTATTTCGGATGCCGTGGTAGCATTTCGTGTCGCTCTGCTGTGTTTTTCGTCAGAGATCGGCTGTGCCTTGGTCTGGCCGAGAGTCAAGTCTAGATGGGCCTTGGACGGGTCCAGAGGGGTATAAAGAGTCGAGCTGAGAAGCATCCGGAATTGAAATAAGCTCTCATCAAACAGAAGCAATCAACCATCTCAACAACTACTATAAACTTTCCGACCAACCCCTCACCTCTCGCCTCAACCTCAACCTCATACTCTTCTCTCTTCAACAACCCTTTTGAATCCATCACCTTTCTTACCTCTCACAACTCCGTCAAGATGCAACTCTTCGCCGTCTTCGCCGCCGCTACTACCCTCATTGCCGGCTCCAATGCCCTCTTCATCCCCCGCAACATCCACGTCGCGGACTTCCGCCTCTTCAGCGATGAGGGCTGCTACAACGGCAACCTCGGTGTCTGGACCGTCATCGATGACGACTTCAAGAATGGCGAATGCAAGGGCCTCAACGACAGCGAGCCCAAGTCTCTGAGTCTGACAGACATTAACAAGGGCTGCACATGTAAGGAAAACCACGAGCTCTGGAATGCGCCATCTAAGACATTGTTTACTAACCGACGCTTCACAGTCACGGCTTACACCGATGAGAAGTGCACCAAGGGCAAGAAGGATTTCACCAAGGGACACTGCTACGACAACAAGGCCGGCTGGAAAGCCTGGAGCATGAAGTGCGACTACAAGGACTAAAGGGTCCTCCCTACCTTCTTTTCCTCACCGCAACTTTGCCAGCATTTTTTATTTCCATCACTTTTTCATTCCTTACATCATGGTGGAGTTTCACGTTTTTTTTTATCAGGATTACACTGGACTGATTGTGGGCACACTGGACATGAGCAATCAAGCATTTTGATCGACACGGACGCATTATGACGGTATTGGGCTGGTCATTTTCCAGGATCACGGAATTGGGTAATAATGGGTAACGGGTGTTATGACACGGTCCTTTTATGATGATGCATATACGTATACATACATTATACAATACTGATGGCGGATCCATCAATGGTAATTAGTTAATGAAATAATAACAGCGCCAGCGAGGCAAAATTACTGACATCAATCGCTTCTCACCATGACGCTTTCCATCACCAGAGTAACATGAATGCTCCGAAATCGGTACAAAACGTGCCCAGCTACGTCTGCCTCATGCTGTACACCCACTTTCGACGCTCAATGAAAAAGCACAATGTTAGCTACGCATGTTGTGTCCACTCTTTGCGCTTATGCAATGCTGCACATTTATGAACGGTCAGATGACACGACTAGAATAGGTCAATAATGAGAAGAGCAAACAAGAAAGATAAGCAGAAGATAAAGACCCTAAAGCATGTTTTATCATGATCTTCCTGTCGTGTTCAATTAATAAAGGAAAACCAGTTGACGACACAGATTAGGGCTCTGTTATGTGTCATGATGAAAGAGTGGCAAGGTTTGCATCCGCAAGATTGTATGAATAAACGTCATGTTTCCAAGTTTCATTTCATACACCTCGCTGTTGTATCACCAGCTTGTTCAATAGCTTAACAAGTACAGCATGGCCCAATCCCAACACGACGGGTCTGGAACACTTGCCTACATGATGGTCTGTAAGGGTTCATCCACAACAAAGCTTATCAATGTTGTTCACATTCATTCTCTACTCATCAAGCTCAAACTAAAAACAAAAAGTAGCCATTCTAGTTAATCTCAATAGCAACCTTGGAAAAGTGCTTGCCCGACCACTGGTACTCAAAGGCCTCCTTCAGCTGCTCCAGCTTAAACACCTTCTCATCAACCACCGGCCTCAGCGCCTCAGGGTGCGCCTCAATGGCCTCAATCATCTCCTCCATCTGTACGCGGCTGCCCACAAGGACACCACGAGCAGTGAACAAGTTGGCCAAGCATCGAATGAAGGTAGGTTCGTCCTCGTGCGTGCGTCCAGCAACGAAGCCGATGATGTCAATGGCACCGGACATCTTGACGGCCGCAATGCTCTGCTCCATTTCCTTTGCGCCGGCAACCTGCACAACGTGGTCGACACCACGGCCGCCAGTCAGCTTCTTGGCCGTCTCGCCCCAGTTGGGGTCCTCATTGTAGTTGAGAACGTAGTCGGCACCAAGCTTCTTGAGCCGTTCCACCTTCTCAGGAGAGCCGGTAGTAGCAATGACCTTGGCACCGGCAGCCTTTGCAAACTGCAGGGCGAAGATGCTGACACCTCCAGTACCCTGGACGAGAATCCATTGGCCGGCCTTGAGAGCGTGGTCGACAGTACCGAACAGAGTGTTCCAAGCAGTCAGACCAGCGCAGGGAAGAGTGGCGGCCTCAATAGGGGTCAAGTGGGAGGGGCTGCGCACAAGAGCGTTCTCGTTGAAGGCGCCGTAGGTGCGGAGAGTGCCATCGAGAATGCCTCCAGTTCCAGTGGCGACGATCTTGGGGTTCAAATCTCCGCCAAAGTGAGCCTGGTTGAAGAGCGTGACGACCTTGTCACCGGGCTGGAAGCGGGTGACGTGCTTGCCAACAGAGACGACTGTGCCAGCACCATCAGACCCGGGGATGACGTTCGGGGCAATACCGAAGCTGTATTCGCCCTTGGCGATGAGGAGATCGCGGTACTATCATTGCCAAGTCAGTAACTAGGGGTCATGTATGTGAGGTAACAAGTAGAAAGCAGATTGCGGGTCAACTAACGTTGAGAGATGCGGCCTCGACTATAGCATGATAGATGTTAGCGCTGAATATTCTCATAATTTATGTTTCTTTCATCTTCTCTTCTTCATCTTCTTGTCATAGTTGAGTGAAACATATTTAGGAGTTGCCAAGTACATACGCTTCACCAAAACCTGGCTGTCACCAACTTCAGGCAGGGGTTGCTCAGAGAACTTGAGTCCCTCAAAGTTATTGTATTCGACAACATTCCATTGCTTAACAGTCTTGGGGGTTGAGATGGAGCCCATTTTGAAGTCTTGGTGGTCTGGATTTGGAACAGGGATGGAGATGTGGTTCCTGGTGGTTTTTCTTTTCCGTTGACTAGCAACACTTCAACGTTCTCAATTAAAGTTGATTAGTTGAAGAGATAGTTAAGATTGTTCCAATTTTCAGATATGAATGGTGGTTCGATGGAGAATTATGGAGATTGTGGCCCAATATATCTCTTTTCCCACTTGTATACTTATGCCGCAGTTCCCACTTTGTCGCAAAAAATAGGCCTATTTCTAATGCACCAGGTGGATTTGTAAGTTGCTCCATTGGGGAGCATGTTTATGCGTTCCAAAAGAGTTGCATAACCCGAGCGAATGTCATCATCATGATACGATACTGTTGGCAAATAGCTCAGCTAGGAGTGACATTTTTGGAACCCTCACACAAACAGGGCGGAAGTCATCAAGAATATCAATAAGCATCTCAATAAGCATCTCAATAAGCATCTCAATAAGCATCTCAATAAGCAACAGAATAAATAAGCAAATGTGAAAAGTTGAATCCTTCGCGTGAGTTTCACATGAATGGGAGAGGTTGAGATTGAAGGTTGTTAAGCAACACGATACATAAGCGAATGGGAAGAGTCGACACATCGCGTTAGTTTCACACATGCGGGCGTTGCATCTGCAGCTTAAGCTCGAGCAATTTCCAGATCGAGGAAAGTCATGCCAGATCGAGGCAAGACGTGAGTCTAAGTTGACGAGGCAATCTGCGCCCGACCTTACCCATAGCAAGTTTACAGGGGGTTGCAGAATAGTCTTCGAAGAGAGTTGAGAGCATTCAGACCGTATTGGGTTTGTTCATGTAATACATGCAACTCTGTCTTATTAATCACATTACAAATCCAAGAAACGAAGGATTGCCTTCCCGTCTGTCTAGACGTCTAGACTCTGCTCTATGGGACATGACCCAAAATTCGTTCAGCCGAAGCGGGTACACAATAGCGGAGTCGATGTCAAAAACAGTGCCGATGGAGGCTCGGCAATTGCTACCAGGATGAGCAACGTTCAAAGCTGCTTTATTTGCTGAGTTGCTGAGCCAATTTGTTCAAGGCCTTGTTCACTTGCCGAATCCTGTGATTCGTACGGAGTTTGTATCTCTTTTTGCTCTACTGCCAGCTTCATCAAACATTGAAGGGGAGGTGGAGATGATCAAATTGGGTTGGATCATGATGCGATTAAGCGAGCATCACTATGACGAGGCAAACTCTCTAACCAACACTAGAGAATCCTACAGCCTCAAAACGAGTCATAACTCGTACCCACGCCCTCTACGGAGTAAACTTGACTATATTCAGGGAAGCTCGCGGCTGTGCAGTCGCATGCTAATTAAACCCTCCGTATAAGCCTCCCAAGACGACGCCTCTGTTGCTCTCAAACTCATCAGTAGATGACACGTATGAGGGAGAGCCAGCTGTGATGCCTCGACAGGACACTTGTCCATGAGTGAGGACCGTATTTAAGAAGAGAGACTGAATGAGTGGTGAGAAAAGCAAACTGCTGAGGCGGAATAGTAAGAATAAGCATCACTCGTTACGTGCTCTCTCACCACCCACTTGTAATCAAACACGGCTCATACCAATCCGGCAATTCTCAACAAACTCCACAAACCATCCTCGTGCATATCTCACTCATTTACGCCTTACCTGATTCATCCCCCGCCCAGCCATGGCCCAAATCCTAGTCCACGACGCTCTCCAGCTTCCCCAGCCGGCAGTGGGACCCTCGCGGCCGCCGCTGTCCCGGATCTCGTCGAGCCCGGGTCCCGGCACGGCGCCCAAGACGGGCATCGTCGTCTTCTCTGGCGGAAGCGCGGCCAACAGCCTGGTCGACGTGTTTGAGGGCGTGCGGGCCGCCAGTGCGGCGACGCTGAGCTACGTGATTCCCATCTCGGACAATGGCGGCAGCACGAGCGAGATCATCCGCGTGTTCGGAGGACCAGGTATAGAATCCGCACCCTCAATGTGATCATGTCTCTCTAACTCAGACTCTGTGTGTACAAGGCATCGGAGATGTGCGCTCTCGCCTCGTCCGCCTCATCCCCAACGACAACAAGCCCGAAACAACGGCCATCAAGCTTCTCTTCAACCACCGCCTGCCCCAAGTCTACGACACAGCGCGAGCCGAGTGGTTCGACATCGTCGAGGGCACGCACCCGCTGTGGCTCGACATCTCGTCGCCCAAGCGCGAGCTGATCCGGTCCTTCTTCAACAGCTTCAACCTCGAGGTCGTCAAGCGCATGCGGCCCAGCAGCCGCTTCGACTTCTCCGGGTCCAGCATCGGCAACCTGTTCCTGACCGGAGCCAGGCTCTTCACCGGCAGCTTCGAGGCCGCCATCTGCCTGCTGAGCTCCATCTGCGCCGTTCCCGATCGCGTGGCTGTTCTGCCGGCTCTCAACACAAACTTTGCCCATCACATCGCCGCGGGACTCGTCGATGGCACTGTCATCACCGGTCAAAACGACATCTCACATCCCAGTGCGCCCACGGCTGCTGTGCCACTGCCGGGCCCGGCTCCGACCCCTGGATCGCACACGCCGGCGCTGTCGACGAACCACGACCTGGACGAGCACGACATCGAAGACGCAAACCTGCCCGGCAGTCTACCTGCTCTGCGCCGGCCCGCCATCGCCTTTTCCAAGCAGGACGAGGAGGATCTGCCATGCCGCATCGACCGCATCTGGTACATCAACCCGTACGGCCAGGAGATGCGCATCCCAGCCAATCCGCGCGTGCTCGAGGCCATCCGCAGCTCGCACTCAGTCATTTACAGCATCGGCTCGCTCTTCACGTCGCTGGTGCCCAATTTGGTGCTCAAGGGCGTGGGCGAGGCGATCGCCAGCCCGCACATCCGAAACAAGATCCTGGTCCTCAACGGCACCACCGATCGTGAAACCGGCCCATCTAGCAACCCCTTTTCCGGGCTCGATTTCGTCGCCACCATCGCAAACGCCTGCGCAGACTCGAGGGGCTTGCCTCGGCCGCCTGCGGATGAGTACTCGCTGTATGTGACGCATGTCATTTACATCGAGGGCCCTACGAGTCCCATTGTGGACAAGCGGCTGTTTGCCCAGCTGGGCATCGACACGACGAGGCTGTACGGACCGAAAGATGGACAGGGCAAGGGAGGGAGATATGATGCAAAGGCGCTGGCGCAGACGCTTGAGAGCATCATTGGGCGCAAGGACACGCGCTCTGACAGGAGTCGACGCAACACTCTGGTAGGATAGACATGTCTTGTTTTGTAATATAATACAATATACCATTTATTATCTGTTTTCTTCAGCATAAAGAACAACACGTAAAGAAACATCTGCCAGTCAACGGCACGGTATCAAACCCATACCACACCTTCAACCCTCCCCTCTCCAAAACCCATGGATATCCCTCTGACCACCAAAAACCACCGCCCTGCAATGCGTCCTCGTTTCCCTCTCTCCGCTCACAACTCTGGTTTCCTCCCAGTCCTACTCATAATCGTCATCACGACTTGGCCATGGCAAGATAGACCACGACGGCCGGCCACGCCGCCGACATGACCAACGCCATCAGCACCCTTCCTCCTCCAACCCGTATCCTATCCTGAGGGCCCTTCCACCGGTCCACCAGCGCGCAAGTCGTCCAGATCATGACTATGGCGTAAATGACAAGCAGCCAGGTGACGCCGAGAATGATGTCGGCGGTGCGATCCGTGGGGCTGAGGACGACCTTGGACAGGTCCGGCTCGAAAGTGGAAGAAAGATTGGCGCCCATTTTTGCGGTATAGGATTTGTTTTTTGTAGGTTGTATAAAGTCGTTGAGGATGTTTGTTGTAAAGAGTGGTGCTTATGCTTTGCGATGGTGATACTTGGTCGTAATAAAACGTTGGCGCCAAAGACGAGATGAGATGGTGAAATAACAGGTATATCGACTCGCGATATTCCCAAATAAAAAGTAGAACTGATAAAGAATAACCTTCTCGCCCAGCGAGTTTAGAGAGAAAAAAAGAGCGAAACGAAAAATCACACACGCAGCCTTAAAAAAAATCCCACCAGAGAAGAAATGAATGAAGAAAGAAGAAGAGAGAGAGAGAGGAGCAAACGCCGCGCTGAAAAGAAAACTGCAAGGACCCAAGCTAAATCCAAAAAAGACCTGTCAAAGGGCCATTACATTAGCCTCTCTCCGTTACAACATGGGGTAAGTCTTAAAATCAAAACCCCCCCGGAGCAAATCTTGATACATACGGGGGGGATGCAAATCTCAGCGCACCAAGATTAAACAGGGCAGATAAAGGGAAGCCAAAGCTCGCGGCTGCAGGCCCAGCCGAAACACACGCAAAGACAATGGAAATCGTGTCGGCGCAGGTGGGACGCTCGTCATACGTCTCGTGTCTCAAAGTGCGGATTCGTCGAAACACGGAGTGCCTCTAGAGCGAATCAGAATCAGGGCCCGGTCCAGAATTGAAACGAAATGGGGGCGGAGGTTTCTCTTGTTATCGTTTCTCGCTGCTGTGAAGAGCTGGAAAATGAAAAAAGAAAGAAACGGAAAGAAAAGGGAAACAACAAAAGAGTAAGAGTACTACTATTATTGCCAAGTACCAAGATGGGATGGAGCTTTTTCTCTTTTTCCCATTCCCAGTCCATTCCCAGTCCATTCTCACCACCAACCAGGGGTCCCACGATATCACTCAACTCGCCCGCAGCAACCAAACATGGGGCATCCTCGCCACCTCTGTCCAATCAAACAACACCTTTCCCCCCCAGCACCCAAAATATCGTCTCTTGCCCATCACTCTCGGACCACTTCTGCCGTTTTAAGCGCCCAGGCTTGTCGAGCTATTGAATCGCCGTCACCCAGATGCAGCAGCGGTGAGACGCCATTCGTCCATTTTCTTGGTGGCTTTTTGTGTTTATTCTTATTTTTATCGATACGACCATTGTCTTGTCCAGAATCTGCGCTCCCTCTTGCTTTCCTGCGATTGCGCTAGAGAGCTTTTGTCGAGATGCAGTTTGCCAAAAGTTGGCGCAAGAGAAGCTATATGTACTGTACAGCATCCAATTGACTGCATCCAATTGACTCCTCTTCATTTTAAGTAAGCATCATCATCGTCGTAATAACAATCATACCTGTAAATGGAACAATCTTTCCATCGGTCAAATAATACCGAGAATATAAAGACTAATACTAGATTTTGCTCTATGCAGTCGTATCGACACTTCGCTGTAAATAGTCAAACAAGAGCATCCCATCTGCAGACATGCACGCAAAATCAAAAAGTGGTATCATGTGTGTTTCATTAATCTGAATTAACACTATTTGCTATTTATACAAGAAAAAACATTCACATCATAACTATACCCTCGCCGCCGCTCATGGCAGGCGGGCGCTGAGGGGCAGGTCTCGGGACGAGCTGCCGACGTAGACAGTCTTGGGGTACTTGGTGACAACCCACTGCTGAGTCTTAGTGTCCCAGTTGGAAATGTCACGGCGAGTCAAGTCAGCCTTGAAGGTGACGCTCTGGCCGGGAGCAATGCGCTCAATACGGTCAAAGCCACGCAGAACCTTGGGAGGCTCGTTGGGGCCACCGTGGCTCAGGTACAGCTGAGGAACAGCGTCGTCCATGACCTTGCCGGTGTTGGTGATGGTGGCGGTAATGGTGTAGACGACATCGAACAGCTGGCGGTTGCCGCCGGGCTCACCAGAGGCGGGAGAGCGACGCTGAGGGCTGCCGTCGGTGGCTCCAGCAGGGAGGAACTGCTTGGCAGTCTGGCCGTAGTGGGAGTCGCCAGATGCCTCCTTGCCAGAGCTGGTGGAGCTCAGGTAGGGGTAGATAAACTCCTTGATTCGGCGGACGTTCTTGGGGAAAGCATAGTCCTTGAGGTTCTTGCTAAAAGTGCCCAGGGAGGGAGCCGCAATGGTCTTACCGGTGGGCGGGTTCAGCGGGCCAACGTTGTTCTTCTGGATGTGGAGGTTGGAGAACTCGAAGGTTGACCATCCCAGTCCGAAGCCGAACTCGTAAGTGGGAGCCTGGTCAGAGCTGCGAGGCTTGCCGGGGGCCACCTTGTCGAAGTAGCGGTAGTCAATGAAGGCGCCCTCGGAGAAGTCATCCTGAGGAGCGTTGTTACCGTTGTTGGGAGTCATCATAACACCGACACCATAGCTCTCCAGAGAAGGACCCCAGGTGAAGACGGAACGGCCGGGGCTCTGCTTTCCGTACAGAATGTCGACAAGAGAGTTACCAGACTCCTGGCCAGGAGTACCGGCCCAGACGATGGCAGAGATGTTGGGGTGGACGGCGTAGTCCTTCAGGATGACAGGGCCAGTCGAGTGAACAACGACAATGGTCTTTGCGTTGTTGGCAGCAACAGTCTTGATGAGGTTATCGCCGTTCTTCCAGAGGGTCAAGTTCTTACGATCACCCTCGTTGCCGTCGACGTTGATGTAACCCTCACCGCTGTCAGCATTGGCAAAGACAATGGCGATGGCATCGGGCTGGCTGACAAGGGACTGGATCTGAGACGTGGCGTAGTTGTTGAAGAGACTCTCGTAGCGAGTTCCATCCTGGAGAGCCTGGTTCTGGATAGCAGTGTCGGGGGTGACGAGGTAGGGGAAGTTGGTGGTACCAGAACCCCACTCCATGGCAAGAGTGCCATCATCGCAGCCGCGGTCACCACAGCCGTTGGGACCAGCAGGGTTGGCGCCAGCATCCTCACCGACAATGGTAAGGAACTTGGGCTTGTTGAGGGGCAGGATGCCGTTGTTCTTGAGAATAACGGTTCCCTTGGCACCAGCCTCACGAATGTGGTGGGCGTGGTCGGCACGAACGTCGACACCGTAGTTGACCTTCTCCCAGTTCTCCTTTACGGCGGCCTGGACGTAGCCATACTCTCCATCGGTCCAAGAGTCAAAGTTGGTGGCAACGAGGTTGTCAATAGTCTTGCCAACCTTGAAGAGGGGCGCCATGATACGCATCACCATGTCGTCAATACGCCACTCGGGAACGGTGCCGTTGATGACAGCAAGGGTCAGGTTGCTGCCAAAGTAAGAGACACCAGTGTTGAATGAGGTATCACCAGGCATGGTCATGTCAAGACCGGCAGCAGCCGTGGAGACACCAGCGTGCTGAGCCTGCCAATCGCTCATGACGAAACCTTGGAAACCGTACTCATCCTTGAGCAGTCCGTTGAGGAGCTTGGAGTTCTGGCAAGCGTATGAGTTGTTGACCTGGTTGTACGAGCACATGATGGAGCCAACACCAGCCTTGACGGCATCCTGGAAAGGCCAGCCGTAGACTTCGTGAATGGTCTTGTCGTCAACGTTGGATGACAGAGACTCGGAGATGGGGTATCCGTAGCCCTTAGCTTCTCCAGACTGGCGGAAATGCTCCTGTTCGTTGAGGAGGAAGTGCTTGGCGCAGGCCACGGTACCAGCATTCTGGATACCAGTGACGGTATCGGCCAGAGCCAAACCTGCCAGGTAAGGATCAGATCCGAAGCCCTCGACGTTACGACCTCCGTTGGGGTTGCGGCCGAGAGGACCAGCAACGGGTCCGAGAAGAACATCAACACCCTTGTTCTTGGCCTCACTGCCCAGAGCAGTGCCACGGTCAACCCAGAGGTGTCTGCTCCAGCTGGCGGCGGCGGTCAAGCCAGTAGCAAAAGCGCTGTTGTACCTGTTGAATCGGAGACCAAGAGGGCCATCCTGCATGCAAAGAGATCGCATGCCCAGACGAGGGACGGTACCAACGTTTCCAACACACTTCTCACCCATCCAACTAGAACAAAGGTTAGCACAGCTTGGCCAGCAAAACAAGGTAGAATCAACTGAGCTTACCCAACACCGGTGGTGAGGTTGACCTTCTCCATGAGAGTCAACCCCGAAACAAACTCCTTAGCCTGAGCATAGGCTTGCTCCCAGCCTGGGGCCTTGGGGTCCATCCATGGGGAGGGATAGACAGGAGGCGAATACGCCTGGTTGGAGTGAGGAGGCGGGTAGGGCTGTAGAGTTGAACGATTGTTAGCAGCTGCAGCAAAGTCCAAAAGTGTCGCCGTGGAGACGGCCAAAAGAAAGGATGTCTTCATATTGAAAAAGAGTGGTGACTGGGCACTCCGTGAACAGAGAGAAGTGAAGAGAAATGGAAGAAAAACAAGGAACGGGCCCGTTGATCAAAAGATAAACCAGTTGCAGTGAACACGGCAGAAGCAGCACGAGGCAAGACCCATTGGCAATCAATGCCAACGCTGCTTTCTTCTAGTTCAATTGCCCCGAATCTTGCATTATCAAGGGAAAATAGGAAAGGGCTCGCTGGGAAATAGGGGCAGTGATGAAGTGACAGGCGACTCAAGACCTCGCGACTTTACGTGTTTATGCAAGAGCATTGGCACGAAGAGTCGATGAACTGCTCGAATTAGGCAACCCCAGGTCCATCAAGGGAAGTTGTGCATATACAAAGGGGAAAAAAGGGAGAGAGCCAATGTCTCAGTGTAATTGGCATGCTAGCCGGAAGGCAAAAGACAACGTACATTGGCTTCTACCACTGCCGCCAAAAGGGCGGCAGCAAACACGGAAAGCGTCTTAACCATGGTGGTGAGTGTCCGCGACCAAGGTGTTCAGGATCGGCGGTTGGCGATGAGGATCTCGCTTGAAGAACCGTAGCTGTTGTCCAGGAGGGCGAGGGAAGGCCAGCATATATAGTCCGTGGCAGAGTCACATCGTCGGCTCATCCACGCCAGTGGACCGAGTTTGATTCCCGCCTCCCCCTCCCCCTCTCCCTGCTCCGTGCTGTGCTCGTACTTCGTACCTCGCCCATTCTCTCGTTCATTTTGTCATCCCTACGCTATGCTCATGACGGTGCTGCAGCTAATGCCCATTCTCGGCCGTTGTCCTGGGCCCTCAACGTCTCTCTCCGCCTATTCCCCCTGTCCTCGAGCTAAGGTCCTCGGACCCTGGCCCTGGACGACTTGGCTATCCATGGGGAAGCAGAGTGGAGGAGCAGCAAGCAATCTCTCGTCGCCAGCTTCGGCCCCACCGCGCCAAGACCTGTGATGGCACCGACCTGGCAGGGATCGGACGAGCTCGAGAGCGCCATGAGTATACTTGTACTCGCAGTGCTGGACTGTGTTGTAGCATGTCGTGGTACTCGTAAGCCGCGGTGGTGAAAATGATGCTGGCACTGGTGTATTCTCTACCCCGACAGCAGGTGTGCGACGGCATGCAGCCGAAGCTTAACCTAGACTTGTACTCGTACCACCTGTGCAAGGTGCATAAAGGAGCCCAATGCTGGGCGGTCCAATGCTACCCTGGGGTGTCTGTTGTGTCGATCGCGATGTCATGCTGGGAGGCAGAGTGATGTATGTATGGAGTACGAGTACAGTAATACTACGGAATACTGCTAGAGCACCTGTATCAGAGAGATATGACAGAGATGGACAATCATCGGAAGACGGATTATTTCGATCGCAGTTCCAAACAAGGGTAAGGTAGGTACGGATTAAGGGCGACAGGAGGCGCTCTTAGCTCCAGGCACTCTGCATTGTTATTTGAAGCTTATAGCGCCCCGGGTACCTACAAGTACACGTACCACAGCTGCTATGCCGCACGCACAATAGCGGCGGTGTTCAGCGCCTTCAAATCAGCTTTCAGCAGGTTGGCATGCCACATCCAATAGGACAGAGAACGACCCTCCATGTATCTGTACACAGCATCAACTGCAGTGGTACGAAAAAGCTCAACTCTTCTGCCTTTGCCCCTGTGGCTGAACGCCGGGCCAATGGCATTTGCTGCTTTCTCAAGGGGCTTCATTTCAATGTCTCTCTTTCATATCACAGCAGCTTTTCAATTCAGCCAGCCTCGACTTTTTAGAATCAATGCAATCCCTGATACTCGACCACTGCTCAGCACCTTAAACATTACACTGGTCTCTGTCGTGCATCCCGTGCACCCCGTACTAGCCAAAGAGGCGATAGATGCGTCTCTGTGTGCTCGCGTACGGATTTCGGAGAAAGACGACAAGACGCTACTACTCTCCGTCGCATGTCCCTGACCGAACACACCACGAAGCACTACTAGGTACTACTAGGGTGACAACCCGAGAGTTCCTGAACGCTTTCGAGATTCTAGAGACTGAGGAGGGTTGCATCGCCCAGGCACTGGACGAGGTTCCGCTGTACAACCTGCGGGGGGCAGCTGGACAAGAGAATGGCTAACAGCATTGGGCCTCGTCCCGCACAGCCAAGCTGTGGCAACCAGCAGAGTCGGCGAGAAGGGCCGATGAGCCATGCATTGATTTTTCTCAGCAGCATCTTGAAGGCTCAACTCATGATGGCCTCGGCTGCAAACCGACATGCCATCATGGCCACACCTCTATGCACGGAGCACTGCTCCGCCTGCGGGGCGTCTTTCTGGGTAAATTCTTAGACGGCATCCCGGGCCCAAGGTCACGAGGAACTATTGCGTCTTCTCCATCGACGCCTTCCAGGCCCATCGAGCAACAAGTCTTGATATTTCCGATCTACGATGGATCGTTTCATTGCTTTAGAAGTGTGGTATTGGTTCCTGCGCACCAATATCGGCGAGAAGGTTGGCCGTGATGGGGCATTTTCCAGCTCGGCGGGAGAGGGCCGACCAAGCGAGAGATGCTATTATGTAGTCAGCGGGTCAACACTGGCACTGGCGTCCTTGGATTGGACAGACGGCTGGGTTAGTAGACCGTTAAGCCGTGTTTGATGCTGTGGCAAATGACATCGGGAATAACAGAGCCGCAGGAGAGATTTTGACGGCTAAGTAATAACCCCCTAACTGTTCAACGCCGTGGCTGTACAAGTACTCGCACGCACAATATCAATACTGTGGTTAAGCAATTATGCTGATGTTACAATAGACACAAACTCGAGCTGAGGCGAGGTAGCATACATGTGGAAATGCAACAGTAGCAAGGCATCAGCAAGAGACTCAGGCCATGAGCCCATGGTATTCCGCTAGAATGGAACGCTGTCGACAAAACAAAATTTTCCTCCTGTACGGCCGCAAGCAGGCCCATGCTAGTGCGTAAAGCTGCTTGTTACCTCGACTTACCAGACAAGGCGACCAGGCCGTCAAGCGACTTGAGGCCCGCTGATGAGCATCTTGGGTGGTATTTTTGCATGGACCCGCTGCCCAGCGTCATCATCGTGGGGATCAACTCCATCTTAGTGGCGAGCCCTGGCCGCCGGCTTTGTGGCCTCTCCCGGGCGCCACTCAGGCACCAAGTCCCGGTTCGTTTGTTAGTCAAGCCTTGGGGAAACTCCCGAAGCTCATTAAACACCATCCTAGCTTGAGCGGCACATGGCTAAGATGTTTCATGTTGCTACTGACAATACGAAAGGAGATGGGCACCCTCATGCCGCACATCAAGAAGGGCCGCGATGCCGTGTTTTCCATCTTTCGAAGGATTTGGCTCCCGTCCTGCAATGGCTTCTGAATCCGAGTCTCCGCGACCGGTTTCTCATGAAGAAAAAACTTGGACAGCGAAAAACAGCAAATGGAATGCCGATCAAGGCGCGTTGGCGCGGCTCCGCTCCCGCATCGTCTCCCCGCATTTACCCCGATGCCCCGACTGGGAAATGCCTGGGGACTCCCTTCTTTGACTCCTTGTTTAGCGCCACTTTGTTCGGGCCGTTTGCTGTGCACACAAAAAGACCATCGGGGAGTTTCGCCAAAATCCCTTTGCTCTATTCTCGAATAGGTATCTGATAACTTTTCCACCAATCTTGTTGACTGCTGAAGGCTTCCCTACCCCAAAACTGCCCATGGTTTCTAACAAAGTTGTTATGCATATTGGAGGAACGGCGAAGTATAGTACAAACTTGCTCACGCTTCTCCAATTCCAACTGTAGTAGCAGATCTTGAAAATAACCATATTCAGTACCCTGCATCGTTGTATCGTTGTATCGTTGCATCGTTGCATTGGCCGACAGCCAACACGTGCGAAGCGGAGAGCTCCCCCCAACCACCATTAACCCAAAGAGTCATCAAATCAAAAGCTGTTTGCTTTTCCTTGGTGCATACTGTGGAATACCAGGCGGAGAGGCATACTGTGGAATACCGGGCGGAGTGGCCTCCTGTTCCCGTTTTCCGTCCACAAATCTCATAACACCCATTTCCGGGACCCCGTTCCGCTGGGTCCGGGAAAATTGGTAGCCTTGACAAGGCAGTGTCCCTTGCCAATATAGGTTAACAGGAATAAGCAGTGACGGGGTTGCCTGATGATGCCGTGCTTGGGAATCAGTCGGTCGTCTGGGCCGGTGTTCCTCAGCCTTGGGACCAGTTCGGCCCGTCTCGTCTGTCCAGTATGCATGTACATACGGAGACTACGGGCATCACGACCAGGCCCTTTTTTCAGCTTCCTCCAAACCGGCCGCACGGGATACTGGAATCCAACTAGCCCCTCTCCATGCTGCAACCATCTTGGTCTTTCACCGAGGACCGGAGCTCTTTCTGCGCCCCATTATGGAATCCTAGCCCGAGCGCAAACGTGGTCGGCCAACTGCAGTGACATGTCCATTTGGGACTACAATACTTCTAGACTATTGTTCTTCTCCTCTAATATTTGACAAGAAACGCCGAATGGCTTCCGTGTGTGGCTGCAGACGCCATGGCGCCACTGACAGCCCCGTCGCATCTCCCACCATGTACTGTATAAACCAACATCCAACCTGCACCTCTATCCAAATCAGGATCTTTTGTTGCTTCGGTGGTTCTCTCGGTAAAGGGAAGCGACAAAATCCTTCCATTCGAGCTAGAGATTCAGCTGACCATCAATCACCGCCTAGTATATGCCAGGAATAATCCTCCATCGTACAATCTTCTTGTACTTGCTCCAGTCCTCACCATACTTGCGGTAGCACTTGAGGTCATCCCTTCCGTCACGATGGATTAGGAGGACTCCGAAATACACGATATAGAAGTAGGTAATAAGCATGCCCCAGCCCTTGGCTTCGCCTTGAACCACTTGTCGGCCATCGGCCATGACAAAGGCCTCTTCGGCCGAGGACGCACCAGCGGCAAGGATTTGGTATCCGGCGATGCCTGTGGGCAGGCAGTATGGCCAAGCCTGGATCCAATCGCCAAAATAATTAATATGGCGGGCGATACCCCACCAACCCGAGGTGAGAAGCTTGCTACCGGTCTTGGTTTCGATGTACTTGAGATGGGCAACGCTTGGGTCGCTGGGGTTGGTGCGGAAGGCGTTCTTCTGGTTGTTGGCGGATCGGAAGATGTAGAAGCCAATGAGGATGAGAGAACCAGCGCTGATGAGCCCAGTGGGACCGAGCGAGCGAGGATAGACCGACAAGTATCGAGTCTGAAGGGAGTAAGTGAATGGAACCCAGACGAGGTCTCCGAATGACAGCATCATGCCGAAGCCATCAGTGGTGATGTCCATGGTCGTCAAGACGGCTGGCTCGTGCACCCACGAGTCGATAATGTACAAGGCCTGCACGACGGTAATGCAGACAACGCTGTCTGTGACATAGCCATAGTTGCGGTACTGCTGAGCGCACCAAGAGCAGTTCAAGATGATCCATCCCATCATGCCCGGTCGAAGCTCGCACCACTCCTTCAGATCGACCTCTCCAATAAGTGGGATCGTGACGCGAGGGTTAAGTTCGCGTCCGATGAACCAGTCGTACAGAATGTTTCCCGTGTGTCCACCAGCAGCCAGCTCGCGGTTGTTTTTATTACCTGTCTTGACGCTGAAGCTTCGGACATAGACAAAGGTGGCCAAGCCGTACGAGAGGAGAGTGCTCGCAGTCAGAAGCTGGACGTAGTTATCACTGATGAAGGTCCAGACGGGGAACTCTGCGCCTTGAGCGATGGTTCCGGCGGCAAGCGCAGCGAGAGTCGCCATGTTGGAGTAGAAGGCTTTGATAAGGTTAGCATGACGACCCGTATATGCATATCACATGCAAAAAAAAAAAAAAAAAAAAAAAAAAATTCCTTGCATGACGTACTGTTTAACCTGTATTTGAGGCGTCCACCAGATCGCAGAACAGTGCCATCCACCTCAGCAGCAGGGAGAATCGCGTGCAGAATCAGGTTGAGAAGGTAGTAGGCCGCCAAAGCGCCAGATGCCTTCCAGCTAGCCAATCCCCAGATGCCATCCTCGGGCCAGCCAACCTCGAGCTTCAGCCGGTCAATTGATAGAGTCTTGGGGCTTAGGAACGAGGGGGCGGGACAGCCCGAGATGTCGTTGCAGGCAAAGGTGAAGAGGTAGACGAGAACAGGTAGACCAAAGGAGACGCCAAAAGCACCGAGCCTGTGTATCAGGTTAGAATCCCACGAGCTTTCTTTTCACCGCCCAAAGGTTGCGACTTACGGTCCTCCAAACTCGTAGCCGTGAGGCTGCTCCGCGGCAGCTTTTGTTGCTTTGGCCGCTTTGGCCTTTGTTGCTTTGGCCATTGTGACACGTCGATGGGAAAGCGATTGAAGCTGGTCCAGCACTCCTTTCTCCGGTGACGATACCGTGTCTTTTTAACACAATCTCTCCAAGGCAGCTTAGACACACACAAAGAAGAAGAATGGCACTGCCTCAAGCCATTGGGCGAGCTCAATGATGGCGAAGTTCAAAAGCTGGCCTCGGGAGCATGCGCTTCCGAATCGTGTCATGGCTGATTGGAATTATCCCGACTAAGCTTAGACAGATAGCCCTGTAGCTAGACTGAAACGGACAAATATATTGCCCGATCGGCGAATTTTGGCCAGCGATCTACGTCATCCAGGAACCGACCAACCAGAGGGCGAGACGCACGCGGGATCCCGTGACTTGACGACAACTTGCCTGGCCAGGTATCGTGGCGCTGAGGCTGCGGCCTGCGAGGCTGAGACCGTTTCCATCAACCAACTCCGTTCCTTTGAGGTCCCCCGCCGCGGAATTCCTTGTGTGAAAGCCGCCAGGATTGGGTCGTGAACTTGTCCCCGCGTTACGGCAGCCATCGGCATTTGCGCAAGACATTGTCGCTCGTTTCTCCGTGTCTCACACCAAGTCTCCTCCCGTATTACGCGGCAATTGATGACCGCGCAAGCATCGCAAGCCTCGCAGCCCCTCGAGGCAACCTCTCGCCATTAACTAGTCGGTTTTCGAAATCACTCTGCCCAACATGATTCCTTCAGCATCTCAGTTCGTGATGCTTCTGGCCACGGCTGCTGCTGCAGTCAACGCCGCCGCCGACACTCCCACGGTGACGGCACCTCCGCCGGCGTGTACGGCGACTTCGTCCACCACTGGTGGCTTTTTCGATCTGCGGCCAGATACCGCGGTGGTGCCGCCGGATAATGGAAAGACGCACAAGTCGGGCATTTACAAGGACTACCACGCTCGAGGCTGGGACTATGGCAAGAACTTTACGCTCAACATCTGCGGCGCGGTGGTTGATCCTGTTGGTGACGTCGTCGGGGTGAAGGAGAGCCAGTGGGCCAATATTAGCGCCTACTACACCTCCCACAACAGCGTCTATTCAATTGGGTTTGTTTGAAGCTTTTGCGTGCCATCACTGTCGGTTCTGCGCTAATGGGTGTTGCAGGTCGCTGTCGCTGGACTTGCATAGCCGGGGGAGAAAACTAGTGCTGCAATACACCGGCGGATCACCATGCGGAGAGAGCAAGTCGAGCCCCGATAACGATGACGATTATGATTATGATAAGCGAAATTCGAAGAACTATGACGAAGGCCTTTCATCGCCTGGCCACGCCCACGCAGTCGAGACGATTAATCGCGACGGAAGCATCTCCAAGGTCAGACGGAAGTCAGCTACAATTTCTTTCTTGTGCGATCGGGATCCCGGGCAGACTACTGCGGTTTCATTTGTCGGCGTCGATCCCGATGAGTGCTCCTACTTCTTTGAAGCCCGATCCGTGCACGCCTGTGCCCATGCTGAGCCGCACAAACCCGGCAGCGTGGGGCCCGGCAGCGTGTTCGGGTTGATTCTTGTCATTGCCGTGCTTGTGTACATCCTCGGCGGTGTGTTTTACAATCGCACGGTTGCGCACGCCCGAGGATGGCGGCAGCTACCCAACTACAGTCTGTGGGCCGGTATTGGGAGCTTTTTCAGCGTGCGTCCTTCCCGGCCCAAGGCGGGGCTGCCTTTCCACTAATGTAAGCGTGTAGGATATGTTCATTATCTTGTTGTCATCGTGTGGACGCCTTCTGCCGAGCAGGAGGGGCTACCAGCATCTTGGTTCTAGCCGGAATAACGAAGCGGAAAACCGACTGATAGACCAGCTAGACGAGGAGTGGGACGACTAGAGTTGGCAGCCGCGGGCTCTCTTTTTTTTTTCTTGCTGTTCAGCTTTCATCTGGCATTCTAAGCCGGATTCTTAATCTTCGTAGGGAATTGCTGTTCCCAGTTGGATGTGCATATATACATGTCTCCTTTTCTTCTTCTTCTTCTCTTCTCTTGTTCCGTTTTTTATTTTAAACTGACACTTTTTGACGGCATTCACGGCGTTTTATTTTTATTGGAGCGGGCAGTGTGTGCGGAAGTGCGTTGATCGAATCTTCTGGCTTCAAGCACCTGCTTTCTCCGGAGGAATATGGAAGAATACGCAGGATTACGATTTTGGATACCTGCTTTGCCTTAATGGTACGAGATTGTCACTGGGAATATGAGGGAAATGGGAATTTAGTTTATAGATAGAGCAATCAAGGCAGGCACTTTTTTGTTTTTTCTCATTCGGCTGTTGAAAAATTGCTAGAACATTACGAGGCGAGAACGAAACCAACGTCAATCTTTCTGCTTGATCGACAGTGTGCTCCAAGCCATGTCCAGCCCACAGAAGCTGGAAGTTCCAAATGGGGAAGAATGAAATTGGATCGCCTTGGATTCCGGGAAAGGCGATTCCGAATGTGATGGATCGAATGTACGCCATGGCTGTCGGTTTCTGGAATATGCGGGTTTCCGGTGGTGGCGACGAGTGGAAGCAGCCAAGTTTGTGCAAAGATGAAGAGGCTGAAGGGGATGACGGGACTATGGACGACGAAATGGGGTGATGATGCATCTTTCCTTTAGAGATGTAATCGATGAGATTGAACACAGCATGACTGTTGAAATGGAGTAGTGAAACATCTTTTCCTTTGGTGGTGTGGTTGACGAGTTTGATCACACAATGTTCAATATTCTGTATCCGCAACTGCCATGATTTGAGTTCTTCATTCTATTGTTCATTATTTCCAGATGACTTGTTTCATTGGATGTTACAAGTACTCTGATAAAAATAAAGCCATCTAATATCATCAATCCCGTGCAAACAGATGTTCCCTCCTCACCGCTCCGCATCCGTAGCGCTTCCCGCGGATAATTTCGATCCACGGCTAGATATAGAACCAAATGATGTAGAGTTAGGGACTATATCCCCTTTCTACAGTTCTTGTGCATTCATCCTGTCCAAAGATATTGCATGTTGAATTCGTTGATGGGCATCTACTGTATGCGTGGCGGAGCGGCAGAAACGGTAAGCCCGTCGCATAAGAACGGAGCAGGCGATGCTTTGTACGATTTGACATGATGCATTATGCATAATGGACAAATATTTTGCTTTGCTTTCTGCGGTGTTCTCTACTGTGCTTCGGAGTTCGCCTTGGTGGTTGGGACATGCCGTGCGACCTGCGTGTGGCTCGGTTATCCGGTTTAAGCCCTCTCTGTATAACGCGATTCAGCTGATCGGTGAGGCGAACTGTAGTTTTTGATAGTAGGTAAGAATAGAAAAGATGGCGAAAAGGAAAAAGATCTGGGGTTGTATGATGGAGGGAGACTTTGGCTGCATGGTTGTGGTGGACTGAGCACACAACGAGGGCTGAGATGGGTGCTGGAGATGTAATTTGGGAGTGTAGATATTCAGTAGATGTCACAAAAATAATTGCAATGCATGGCAACGAGAGTGAAGGCGGTGTATAAGGGAGGTCATGATCTTGACCATTTGTTTGTTCGTCCATTTCCATCCACTCCTCATACAAAGAGGTACTTGCAGCATCTCAAGCAGCAAAATGGGATGGATGCAGTCTAGAAGATCATCACCCTTCTATGCATAGCTTCGAATGAGAGAAATTCAGATTAACTGCTGGCATGCTGCTTCTAGACTCAGGGAACCAACATGTCCTGCCTCTCGAATATTCCTTATCCCAATACCACACCCCACTCCTGCGCGTCTCCCCATGCCCTTTATGCAGTCTTCCGACAAAGCCCCAGCTGGTTGCCGCGTGTTCAAACACTTTCGTTTGAACCTTCAGGGTTGAGCTGCATCGGCAGTCCCATTGTTACAACCGGAGAATATGAATGTGGGGAGGCAGCGAGAATAAACAACGGCAGATCCAGACCCCCAGTCTACGGGAAGAAGCGGTGACGGCCGCTAAGCCTGAATCGTTGAACCCAATCTTGGTGATGACAGTTGAGGCTTGACGTTGCCGTTCCAGGAAGCGGCTTGTGCAGGGATTGAGCCCTTTGGTGATGCATTGCCTGCTTCTTTACCATTCTACAGCTCTCTTCTGTGGCTGGCATCTTTTGCCCTCACCCCTTTCCATTCCACTTTTTGTCAGATTGCTCAACCCGTCCTGTCGTGCTACGAGTTGAATATCCTTTGATGTACAATTTCGAGCTCACCTCTTACAACCGGTGGCGCTGGGGCCGAACATGAAGCCTGACACTTGGAGTGTTCAGGGGTATTGAACAAGATTGGTAGGGGAAACATTCTCCTTTGGGAGAATTGAACAAAGTTTGGCACACTGCTTTTGGATTTGCTTGCAGCTTCTTTAATCAAAGCTCTTATTACATGCATTTTCGGCAACGGGAAGCAATGGCCACTGGATTATGCGCTATCGAGACAATTCCTGGTTGGTGGATGACGGGAAGCTGTGTAAGATGGATAGGGGGCAAGCAGAAGATTGAGGTGGGCTGGTATAATCTCACAACGCGGTGCATCTTACTCTCTTGCTACGGCATATATCCATGGGTAGGCAAGTTTCAAGTTGAAATAATACCATGTGGAAGACCGAAGCTCGATCATACCAAGTGCACCTCAGACGCTTGAAGTTGCCAAGTGACAGCAGCTTGACGAAGTCTATCACTGCTGTTCGAAACCTTCTCTGCCAGCTGTCAGGGCTTGGGCAGGGCACTACTATTTTTTCGCGAATTTCTCCTCGAGATAAACAGAAATATTTCCTCCTCCTTCTCTCTTCTTTGCCAGATCTCAGTTCACAACATTTTGAGATTTCGCCAAGTTTTTCTTTGGCACGAGTTCTTCATCCCCATCGTAGCTGTCTTTAAGTTAGACAGAGGATATTCGCATCATCATTTTCTATTCGTTCTGAAGAACGAAACAAGTATCGACACTCGCCCGCTCAGCTTTTGTCCTCCAGGCATCGCTCCTCATTCGAGCAAGATTTCTTTTTGTGACCCAAAGAGTCACATAATTGTTAAGAGGATCATCAAAAGATCAAAACAGTATGCCTCTGCCCTTTTCCCCTGCCTGCCCCAGCCTCCCTCTCCTCCACCGCTTATCTTCAAGACGGGAATCTACATCATCACCGTGCATGACAGATGCATCTCTGACCATCGTCACAGACCATGGATAACCAGACAGCGGGTAGTAACGGTCAGTTGAGCTGGCTGGTCTTTATGGGACGGGAACAGACGGACTTACTTAAAAAATCAGAAGCAGGTATCCCTGAAGCCGGGAGCGAGGAGTTCCCGGGGGGCCAAAGCGCTTGGCTTGACAACGGTGATGGTACCGCTCCCTTGTACCATCACCGTTTTGATCCAAACTGCGAAGGCTGCAGACAGCAAGCCTATGATAGAGTGCAGCAGGAGATATTGGCGCGGCCCCAACAGTGGGCAAACATTGAAGAGCACACTCAATTTTACCAGCTACCTCAATCAAGTATGAATGAGGACGAGGTTTTTCCTTCGCTGTCCGACTTTGAGGTACACTTTGTCCTTCCATCTACTCTCTGTCTACTTTTGTGTATGATGGATGCCGTACTGACTTTTGATGGCTTCAGGACGTTACTTATTTCAACCAGCCATACTTGGCTCAGTATGGGGGACAGCAGAACGACTATCAGCAGGCGCAGCATCAGCAGCATCAGCAGCACCAGCAGTACCAGCAGCATCAGGAGCAGTATCAGCAGCCGTTCCCGTCGTTGCTCACTTCCGCTGAGGAGTCGCAACCAGCTTTTGGGTTGCACACCTACGTGCCTGATGAGGCTATCGAGCCTCTTCTGTTTCAGCAGATGCCAGGTGCTGAGACCTTTGAGCAGGCTGCTTTTCAGCCAACGTCTTTTGAACCAACTGCCGCTGAGCCAGTAATCTATGGGCCAGCTACTATTGAGCCCACGATGTTTCAACAGCCCACGGGGCTTGAGCATGCGTTTGTGCCTTCGAATGCTGAACCGGCTGAGTTCAACTTTAACACATTGCCGCATGGCGGAATGCAACAACCAATTCTAGGCGAGCCCTGGGGAATGACGCACGACGGCGGTCTCTTTGAGCCGGCTCCTGATGAATACATCAAGCGTGAGGCATCTACCGAGGAAAGCTCTCATATCTCGCAGATGTCTGAGACTACTTCCCAAGTGCAGAACCCCCAAAACCCAGCTCATTATGAGCCAACTGGCCCTGGTCGAGTTCCTGTACGGGCTCCCCGAAGACTTCTCCCATCCAACGGCCATCGTCAGAGACCGGTCCACCGCCAGCCCGAAGTGCGAGCTCGCCGTCTTCCCGTGTTACAGCTGTCCTCTCAAGCAGGCTCGGAAAGAGCTGCTAAAGACCTTTTTCTTGTCCAATCAAGACGCCAGAATATTTCGTATAGAGATATTAAACGCTTGGGAAATTTTACCGAAGCGGAATCAACCTTGCGTGGCAGGTACCGCACCTTGACCAAGGAGAAGAAGGACAGGGTCCGAGACCCTAAGTGGACGGAAATTGATGTGAGTGTATTCAACGCCAGGAGGTTTATTTTGCTGTGTTCTAATACTGTTGATAGATCCACTTACTCAAGGAGGCTGTTCGCGTGATTGGCCATGGATTACACCCTGACCGGGCCAAAATCTCCTGGATGGCAGTATCCAGGTATATAAGCAACCATGGTGGGAGCTATGGCTTCGGATATTCAACCTGCCACCGCCGATGGTCACACCTCGAAGCCACTGGTCAGTTGGACGAAACCGGCTATGATGATAGTTGGGTTGATGATGACGACGATGCCGAGACTCTCGCTAAGGCGGAGGAAGAACTCGAGGAGAGAGCCGAAGAAGATGAAGATGAGGATGAGGATGAGGAAAGCGAAGAGAGTGATGAGGAGGACGAAGGCGCCGACATTGGCGATAAGGACTACGAAGAAAACGAGGACGCAAAAGATGATTGCCAAATGGCTGAGAAGGACCCCAAGCATGAGAGTCAGAGCGAAGAAGAAAGCAACAGCTCCAGCTCCAGCGACGACGACGATGGTGTGCCCATCAAAACTGAGATCAAGGAAGAGTGAAGAGTGAGGGAGGTTTGCGCAAAGGTCACAAAGGCACAAAGACATTGCCTTTTCTTTTCTTTTTCATCTCCATTTTTTCTTTTCTGGTTTGACACTTTGAGATTTTCTTTTTACTAGTTTTTCATTTGTTGCGTTCACCACAATATTCATTACGAGAAACAAGTTCTCGTACAAAGGGAGTTTCAGGGAACAAAGGTCGGGGAATTTGCCTGCTTTTTTATTTTAATACTTTGTCACATATTTCATTCTTCATCTCGCACTTCAGCATTTGTCGCATAGGCTATGCATTTCAGACAACATCTCAGGTTTTGCCATCGAGGCTCTGCACTACATTTCACATCTGCGAAAGACGCACGGGGGGGAACAATATCACGGATACGGACGGACAAACGGATAGGCACACGGAAAAACGGACAGACAGGCGCGCAATCTCATGTTAGAGTACATATCTCATCTCTTCTACTTCTAATACATGGCTCGTGAAATCATTTCGTCTACTCGCCGCTATAGTTTAATCTGCTCATCCTTGACCTCCTCCCGTGGAACACCAATGGTCTTAAGCACAGCAAGCAGTCCGCTCGGGCTCTTCTTCAAGGCGTCCCATTCTGCCTCGCTTTTCACCAGTGCTGTGCCTGCGAGGAGCGTGCCGTTCAGTGCGAGGGATCCGATTGGTGAAGATGTTTCGCTGCTTTTAATCTCCGAGCCTTCGCTTAGTCGTGGGCATATGACTATGGTATCCTTTGTCATGGCCATGTTGTAGCTGATCCTGGCTTCTCCAGTGGTGGGAATCTCGTCAGAGGCTGGACTTGTGGTTCCTGCGTGCTGAGCGACTGCTTGACACGCCTTTTTGTAGAGACGGAGATAGGCGGCATGGAGATTTGCGGGCGAAATTTCCTTGTCGATGGGCTCTGAAAATGCAACAAAAGGCGTCTTTTCGAGTTTTTCAGCTTGTTGGGCGAGCACATCCCATGAGGAGGCGGCGTCTAGGCCATCTTTCATCCGGGATATGGGTAAGAGCTGAATGTGTCTATGAGGCTGGCTTGCTCCCGAATGTTCTCCGCCATTGAAGAAAGCGAAAAGGCCATCGTCCTGCGATTTTCGTTCCACTGAAGATGGTGATGCAGATGCTTCACTCTGCTTCGCCTGCTCATAGGCGTCGATGCAGGCGAGCGTGGCTTGGAGATCGGATTCCTCTAGCACATGAGTCTGTAGCTTGTACTCTTTTGTCGCGAGAATGAAGTGCTCCGGCACCACGGCAAACTTGTTCAAGACGAGGAAATGAGATGGTCCCAAGTCTGTGATGAAGAGCGAGGCGGGAGGATTGGCGAAGGGATCAAACGGCTTGCGCGGCTGGGAGGGATCTGGAGGGGGCCCTTTGGGTTTGTTTGCTAGAGCAGGGGAGAATCGTAGTTGGAACTTGGGCGTTTATTAGCTCTCGATCGATGTTTTTACCTCTTTATTTTCTGAGGGACTATATATGGTGATCACGTACAGGAATGGAATTGATATGGAGGATGGTGACTTGAGTGGGGAAGTAATGAAGCTCGCTTGTAGAGAGCGCTTTGGAAAAGGCCGTCTTGACGAGTTCATGGAGGTTCGATGGGGCTTTTAATCGCGACATTTTGGGGATATGAACGCCTGTAATAGACCGTTGCCTGGCGATGACACTTGTGTTGATATCAAATAGATGATGGTGTAAGTACATAAAGATGCCTCTATTCTATGTAGGAAGATGGAGGACTTTGGAGAAGTGGTCCGTGCGCTGGAGGTTGGACAAATGCCCCTCCATAGCAAATCGAGATTCAAGATGAGTGACGGCTCCGGAAGAAACAACATATTTGGTGCTTTGTTTGTCTCTATTTCATGCTCAAGCAGTTTATCAAAGAGGAGGGTATCATTAATAATTCAATACGACAGTACATATGTATCCTATCTGCCCAACCCGGATTTGTACAGTTGAAGGACGAACATCTATCTATATTCCTGGCAAGCCAATCACTCCTCGCACAGCTGGTACAAATCTAGGCACATAATAGATGGTGTATATACCAATAATGGCGGTCAAAAGTCCAGTAAACTGTGGTGTCGACTGTCAGCTTCCTCTCTCTCTTCACATCTTATACCAAGCGACGTACCTTTTCAAACCACGTGTGAAAGTATATAGCCGTCATCAGCAGCATCCAAAGGCTCAATGACATGATGCCTATGGCCGTCTTCCCTCCGATGTTGAACACGGGCTCTCCTTGGCCCTCTCCAATTGCCGTCTCCGACTCTACACTGGCGCTCTGAACCGTTCCGTCAGAGACAACTATGCACCTCTCCTCGGCGAGCCATCCGCTGAATCTAAGAGCAGGCCAGCCAACTTCCTGCATCAAAAATGCAGTGCCCAGCACCAGGAGGAACACATGGCCCGAGATGTCGTGGCCTCCCTTCCATTTGCCCCCGGCCGCCTTGCATGCCACGGCCGTCAACATCTCCTTAACGGAACCATCTCCCATGGCCACCTCTCGCTGGGCCAGCTCGCATTTGCCGCCGGTCCACCGAAAGCTGCGATCAATAATGGGCGGGCCAAAGAACCACTGCGTGACAAAGAACCACCAGCCCGTCACGGCCACCCACCGCAGCCCCGCGCGGATTCTCCTCATCAAGACGACTGCAGGCGGCGTCTTGCCGGTGGGCTGCATGAGGAGGGAAAAGACGAACGCAAAGGTGATCCATCCCCAGCCTCGCTTGACGAAGAAGACGTTGAAGACGTTGTTCTTGCGGGCAAAGTAGCCGGGCGACTTGCTGGGGTCTTGGTGGTGCGACTGCGACACGTGGTCATACGGAGAGGCTCGGATGTCGGGCGAGACGATGGAGAAGATGGTGCCGAAAACGAGGATCGCGGGGAAGATTCCAAGGGCTATTCGCTCGAGGGGCGTCGGCAGATACGGCGGGTTGTGTCTTGAGACCTGGTTCTTGTCCTGGTCGTGGCTCGTAGAGGCGGTCATTTCGCTAGAGTTGGAATTGTTGGGGCGGCGTTGCGATGCCATTTGACGCTAGATAGAAGGAAGGAAAGAAAAGAGAGTGAAAAGAATTTAGATATTCGCAAAAAGACGAGAATCAAGTGCTGCGATCATGGAGAAAGGCGAAAAGAATGTGGAAGGGCGATGCGAGGCAGCTTGTTGAAGAGTTACCGTGGCTGCAAGGCTGAGACTCGGGCACTGCAATTGTATGACGTCGCCGAGGCACTAGAAAGGTTGGAACATTCTGGGTGGCTGTGGAGATGATCTGGTGGCGATTTCTCCAAAGTACATACTGTACACGTCTTGATGATATCAATATGCTTGTAGGTGGCTTGATTCTGCTCTGGATACTGCATTACTTTGGCTATTGCCGTAGAGATGTCTGTTAACAGAGATGGACATCTATCTACATGTACCTACATTGGTACAAGTACCTTTCAGTGATGAAGACATGTGATACTGATAGCACTATAAACGTTAGTGTTTAGGCATCGGGGAGCAACTCTACAACATGTGGGGAAATTTCAACTGTTCAATGAATGTGAAAGTACCTATATTGAATTTACTTTAATTTTTTCTATCTATTTTGCATTTTCTCAAAGCATTGAATCCAATCTTCACCAACACTGCAGAAAATCCCAACGTTTTCTTGCATTTTACAGGGTAGCCAACCAAGTCCCAAAAAGAAATGGTGGATACATTACTCGGCAGCGCCCCACTATTATAGCCTCGCGGCAGGAAATTCTCTGAATCCAAAAAGTTTAGTCGCTGCATCGCATCTCGAGACTTTTGTCCTGCATCTCGACATTTCAGGCCGTGGGATTCCTGCACATCCCCAATGCAAAGATGGCGGCCGGTGACGAGGCTCCTGTCGCGAGTGGCGCTCCCTCCACTGAGCGCAACGATGCCAAACCTCAGGCTTCCGGCGATAACCAGAACTCTGACAACAAGCGAGGCAACAAGGGAAAGAAAGGCGATAGAGGCCGCGGAGAATGGAGGTGCGTTTGTACTGCTTTTCTTTGAATAATCAATTGGTGGGTTGGCCGCATTTACCAACGGCGCTGATCAGACTGTAGCCGCACCAAGGTAGACAAGCGGAAGCGCAATGACGAGTATCGCGAGTACAAGCGCCGCAAGATCAGCGACATTGACAACCCCAAGGCGAATCCCTTCTCCAAGGAGGAGATTGAGGCCGAGAGCCGTCGACCGAAGCGCAAAGTTGCCGTCATGATTGGCTATGCCGGCACGGGCTACAAGGGCATGCAACTCAATGGCGACGAGGAGACGATTGAGCGTGACCTCTTCCAGGCCTTTATCAAGGCTGGCGCCATCTCAAAGGCCAACGCAGACGATCCTCGAAAGTCGAGTCTGGCTCGTTGCGCCCGCACAGACAAGGGCGTGCATGCTGCAGGCAACGTCATCAGTCTGAAGCTGATTATCGAAGAGGATGACATTGTCGACAAGATCAACGAGGCTCTTCCGGCTCAGATCCGAGTCTGGGGCATCCAGAGAACCAACAACAGCTACAACTGCTACCAGTACTGCGACTCGCGGTGGTATGAGTATCTCATGCCCAGCTACTGTCTTCTCCCCCCACACCCGCAGAGCTTTCTGGGCAAGAAGCTGGTTGAGATCAACAAGGAGTACGGTGCCGAAGAGGAAACGAGCGCAAGACTGGCCGATGTCAAGAATTTCTGGGAGGAAGTGGATGAGAAGGAGATTAAGCCCATCTTGGCCCGACTAGATCCAGAGACGAGAGCCGCCGTTTTGGAGAGTCTGCACTCGGAGCAAGCCGCAGCAGAAGCCGAGACAGACGAGACCAACAAGGCCGACAACGAAGAAGCCGCAGAGCCTGCTGCTGCTCAACAAGAGACAGCCAAGGAAGATGGGGACTATGTCATGGTCGACAAGGATCAGCCATCCGCAGAAAACGCCGAGCCAGCTGCAGCCAGCGAAGATGCGGCCGCCCAGAAGCCTACAGTTGTTCTCGAGACGGTTCAGCCCAAGCGCCGCGAGCTGGGACCCGTGGACTTTGCCCTGCGCGACATCAAGGCGGCGTACATTGGCGCTAAGCGTGCGTATCGTGTGTCGCCCGAACGCATCCAGAGACTGCAGGAGGCCCTCAACAAGTACGAGGGAACCAACAACTTCCACAACTACACGGTCCAAAAGTCGCATGGCGACCCGTCATCGAAGCGACACATCCGATCGTTTGTCGTGAACCCGAAGCCCATTATTATCGGCGACACTGAGTGGCTCTCGCTCAAGGTCCACGGACAGAGCTTCATGATGCACCAGATCCGCAAGATGGTTGGCCTGGTGACTCTGATGGTGCGGTGCGGAACCTCGCTGGACCGCATCACGGAGAGCTATGGCCCCAAGAAGATGGCCATCCCTAAGATGCCTGGCTTGGGCCTGTTGCTGGAACGACCCGTGTTTGAAAACTACAACAAGAGGGCAAAGGAGACGCTTGGGCGAGAGGACATTGACTTTGACAAGTACAATGAGAAGCTCGAGGCGTTTAAGCAGGAGCAGATTTACTCGCGCATCTTTGGCGTTGAGGAAAAGGAGAATTCGTGAGTCTTTTTTTTTACTTGCTTTCTTTCACATCATCAAAGAAGACATATCTGACATTTTCCCGACTAGATTCCACAGCTTCTTCACCCAGATTGACCAGTTTAGATCAAACCACTTCCTGTGGCTGACTGCCGGAGGCATGAACGTAGCGACTATTGACAAGTCGGGCGGAAAGGACGTTGATAAGCAGCTGGGTGATGAAGACGAGGAGGATCCCGAGGGCGGAGAGGGTTAAAACAGTGTAGTTATAGATTTTAGACTTCTTTTGCCTATGATCCTCATGTCCTTTGAAGGCACTTTGGCGTTAATCAATGGGATATCCTTTCAACTTTTTTGTGCTTCAGAGTCAAAACTGTAGTCGATTAAGGTTGGGTGGTATCTGTCTACACCTCTATGAACATTGAACCCAACTCCTAAATGTATTCCCAACGCCGAGTAAACACAGCATGCAAGTCCTCTCTACAAATCACCAAAGCGCCACCATCATCGTCCAGCACCAGCTGATGCAGCCGCAGCAGCAGCCGCCGCTGCCGCCGCCGCGGCGATGGTGCTCTCCATCTCCTCCCTGACAAGCGGCTGCCATGTCCCGCCATGGCTCTCCGCCAGGCTCTTCATCTTGGAAGCCTCCATCTGATTGAGCAGTTCCGAAACGCGGTTGACATCCTGATCGAGTTGCTCCTCCTTCTCCTTCCGATCGCTGTCCTCGGTGCCGAGAGGGCCAAAGATCCAGAGCTCCTTGATTTTGCGGGATAGAGTGAGGAATTCCTTGATGGAGGTGTACTGTTTTTGTTTGAGAAGGGGAGTGAGTATTTTTTTTTTTTGTGGCTATGTGATGAGAATTTGTTATGAGAGGAGGGGAGAAGGGAAGGGAAGGGAAGGGTAGGCGTACTAGTCCGTCGAATTCCATTTTGATGGAGATGCCGGTGACGGCCATGGCTTCGGGGTTTGCGTTGTTGCGGTCTTGTTCTGCTTGGACGGTGGCGAGCATCATGAGGGTGCGGTAGCGGGTGAGGATGTCGGCGACGAGGCGGTTGTGGTTGTCTGTGATGTAGGATGAGTGAGATGAGAATGTGAGGACATGTATATGGATGTTTTGAGTTTTGAGCAGTATAGTGAAAGTGCGTATACAGCTAGCTGGGCATCATGATGAATTTACAGGATAGACACATGATGCCATATAATCATGGCCAAGGAGTGATGAGGCATCAGGAGCATCGATGAGAGGTGATGCAAAATGGTGGGCTTACCCATCAGATTGGACGAGGCTGGCTGTGAGCGCTCCATCTTGACTGAGGTTGTTCAGTACAAGGACCCGTGAGAGCAAGGCTGATGATGAGTAATATGATAACGGAGGAACAAAGAATCAATGCAGCTCCGGTTCCGTCCTAGGCTCTCGATGCCTGTCGTCTTGTTCTTGTTTGAAACCGCAGTCTCTAGTCCAAATTGTTTGTCGAGAATGAAAGAGAGGCTAGCGAAGGCTGAGGCTAGAAGAGGGTGGTGGGGCTCGCGGTCTGGCGGCTAAGCACTGAGTTATAGCGTCTTTGGGGCTGCTGGGAGGGGGGATCCATCGCCAAAGTTCAAGGTTTGCTGGCTGCAGGATCACGACTAGGATCAATGGAAGGCTTAGTCCATGGACATGTCTGTTAATATAGTAAGCATTGGAATTAATTAGACTGATGGACAAGACTTGATGAATCATAATTCTTGATGAAATAAATAAATAAACCCATCATGGAGTTTATACGATACTGTACACTCAGCTGCACTGCTTGTTGGATGCAATTCGCAACAACCACGAGCGCTTAGCAGCCCAGTCACACACAACTTGGTCGACAACATCCATTTCAACTGACATGGAGCCTTACCGCAAGTCCCGTAGCTGCATGTGCCAGCACCCCCCATCAGCCCATCACTGGATCTAGCAGTTCCAGCTTACAGTAGCGGCCAAATGCCCTGAAGCAGTTTGACAGTGCCGTCTCTGCCTTGTGCCTCATGGATGCCGATCCATATCCCACTCACGGCCAATCTCCCCCCCTGCAGAAACTGTAGCGCTCCTTGGCGCGTTTTTGGTGGGCTCTGCTCTCTGCCCGCAAGTTTTTCTTCTTCTTCTTCTTTCTCCTCTTGGCTTTTTGTTTCTCGAGTGTTTTGCTGCTGCCAAAAAAAAAAAGAAAGGAAATGTGGCGGTGTCGCATCGTCCTGAGAGACTACTGTACGGCTTAGAGTCCACGATGCTGGGCTCATTCATGCATCTTCAACTATTAGCCGCCTAGGAGTGGAACCATCTGAAGAGATGGACAGCTTGAACCCTCGGAAACATTGAGGACAAGACATTGCACATAATCACATTCAAGTCAAAGCCTGAGTGAGATCCAACACCCAAAAACCCAAAACACGACAAAACCACCAACCCACAGCACCAGAATCCTCCGCAACTCCCTGCAGCAACTCGTCCTCCATTACCAACCAGGCCCCCCCGGCCACAGAATACTACTACTTGCATGTATACAAGTATGTACACACAGATTGGCATACTGTACTCCACCTCCTCTCCGCGCCCCATTGGCCCATCCACATAGCTGAACGCCTATGCCGTCGCTTGTCAGGCCTATTTTCGCGGCATGGAGGCCGATCCTTCGCCTGGGATTATAAGAGCCCCAGCCGGGCTTTTGTGAGTGGCTGGCCCGGCTACTTTCTTGTATGCACGCTGATGTCGTCCCAGGAGAACAGGGAAATTTGTCTTTTGCCAAGTGACAAATTGTACGGGGGGGAGAATCCGTAGTGTCTCGTGTGTTGTCTGTAAGGTTGATAGCGTGATGGGCTTGGAGGGGGGCCCTGGGATTCGGGACCATGTGTGTCTGGCGTTTCATCTGCAAGAGCTCAGCTCATTTTTCTTTTTCTTCTCTTCTTCTTCCTTTCCTTTCCTCCTCTTTAGCTGCTCTTGCTTTCCTTTTTCGTCGTGTGTCATGTTTCCGTGTAGTTGATCGAGTTTTGCGTTTGGCTGCTTCATCCAGCGAGACTCCCCCCCCCCTCTACGTTAATACCAGCATAAGCTATAGTGCGCGTTTCGAAGCGCTGAATTGCTTCTGCTTCTGCTTCTGCTTCTTTCATTGTTACTCTCTCTAAGGCGCTTCATACTCCCTCAATGGCTGCCATAGACTCAACAGCCACTCAGGCTCCGACCAAGCCGGCCGTCCCCGTCGTCACCTCGTTTCCCTTCAACCCCCTAACAACAACCTTTACCCGTCCGGCGGATTGCAACGGCATCTTTGCGTCTAACTTCCTCTCTGGCATTGACTTCTCAACCTCCTGCCTCCCGAAAGGCTTCCACACCGACGAGACGTCGTACTTCTCGCCCGGTCTGGTCTGTCCCACGGGATACTACTCCGCCTGCCACGACAACATTGGCGCGAAGAGCATTACGACAGTAACATGCTGCCCGACGTTTGGCACCGATCTTTCGCTTTCCTGTGTTACAGCCAGCACGCTGCATAGTGTCTGGTCAACGCTGTTTTGTACATGGATTGCAGGCGATGTCACTTCACTCCCCATGACGGTGAGCAACAATGGCATCACGAGCACGGTGACCAAATCATTCTCTGGCCGTGAGGGTTTGAACGCCTTTGGCATTCGAATGGTCTACCAAAAGACAGACACCGAGACGACAACCATGGCAACAACAGCGAGGAAAACACCAACAACGGGGACAAGATCTAGCGGGCCAGCAAAGTCCACTGGCCCGGATTCCAGTGACTCATCATCTGGCTTGTCGTCAGGAGCAAAGGCCGCCATAGGAGCCGGCGTTGCCGTGCCGATCGTCGTCGTTGCTTTGGCTCTCGGTCTCTTTTTCTGGTGGTGGAGGAGACGGAAGCAGTATAACAGGGTGCAAGTGAGCCAGTCGGCGTCGACACCACCTACAGAACTCCACGGCCGAGAGAGGTCGACGCCCAGTGAATTGGCAAGCGAGGGTGGAATGATAAACAAGCCTCTTTACGTCGCCGAGGTGCCTGCACACGAACCTCCTGCGACCGAACTGCCGGCGCCATTGCGGTAGCGACGCATCATTGGATCGTGTACATAGGATGCTGTCTGATTGGAGATATTGTATGATTCGGGGGCGTTTTTAAAATATTACCCACGACATGATGGATTGGTGTTATTTCTTCTTTTAACGAGATGCCTATTTAGCGGGAGGTTTGGTGTTGGAAAGAGGATGTTTGTGAGAGGCTGGCTGTTTGCTGCATTTTTTCGGAACCAGCGTGAAGTTTTGGGGGAGAAGCGAAAGTAATCTCGGTGTGAGCACTGTAGCGATGTACAATGATTGTATTTGATTCATAGGACATGCTTATAGATATCCCTCTATTTATCGTTCAAAGAGCTCTGTTTTAGAGAAGAAGATGTGAGTCACTAGTGGCCATTGTGAGTCTTTTATATCGCAACACAAACACACACACACACCAACTCTACCTCCCTATAAAACAGTTCATCCATGGATAGCTTAATATAGCATGGAATACGTCATTTAGTTCCCTGCCATGAATTGTTTGCGGAATCATAATGCATTAATGTTTCTTACTGACAACGATCGGCGCCGCCAAGATCCTAGACCAGGTATAACAATGTGATAATTTCTATTTAAAAGTCTCTGTTTAGTCTTGACCAGAGAAAGATCATCTCTTCTTTGACCCCGAGATACGCCGTCCCATGAGCCAACCAAACAAGAGCAAATGTTTCCCGAAATCGCTCACTCAACGTCACAAGGAGCCGCTGATCCCTTGGCGGCTCTCCCTTGAGACTAAAAGGATTGAATAGACACAAAGCAAACTCAACTTGCGGAAGACATAAAAATCCCGAATGTAGTTTTGGTTTGCTAGTCAATAGCGGGTCCCTTTTGACTTTCCCTAGTATCGTCAAAGCTTTCGATTAAGCGCCTTACTTTAGCGATATTGACTATGCTTCCATCCATTTACAGTTTCAGGATCATCAGTTGCGGGCTATGCACTTTGATAGATGATATTACTAATGTTCATCCTGTGTTCAAAGCTGAGTCAGGTGCGTTTAGGATACAAAGGACGGGAACTGGTTTCTGTCTCATAACTCAAAGAAGGGACATGGCCGAATGGACGTTGTGACCGTGATCGAGTCCGTGATCTTTTAGCCTTGTTTTGTAATTATGCACGTGTTCGGCATCATTGCAGCTCTTTGCTAAGATAAATACAATATAAACCAGAAGCGGATCTCCCAAATTTCATTTTCTCGTCGCCACCATCCCAGCACGTAAATACAACACCACACAAACCAAATATTCACACACACACAAAAGCTCTTGCTCTCACAAACTGTCGTCATGAAGTGGTACATCGGCGTGATTGCCCTCTACGGAGCTACCGCGGTTGCTTTCCCCGGCGGCGGCGTGATGAGAGGCCCATTGGACGTTCAAGAAGAAGCCTGCACGAACAACCAGGAAGAAGGAGGCGGTTGTAATCATACACGCGGCATATGCTCATCCGACAAGTGCTGCTGCCAGTGCATCAGATATGACGGTTTCCCTTGTGTGGGATGCGTAGGAGTGAGTGACTTCAAAGGAGCAGGCAATGTGTATGTATGTAGTTTTGACTAACAATGATGGGTTGTAGTTCATAGTGTGTCCCCTTGATTGGGAGACGGGTTGGCCGACCGACGAAGATTGAGACATTATGGTATTGAGAAACATATCATGGTATATCCTGGATGGCTAGTTGTTCTGCATTATATACTTGGGAGGGCATCAATCTATGATGTATGCTCAATGTTTCTCGTAAAGACTAGATTTTATATATTTGCTGTTGGATAGGTAAATAGGTATTAATATATAAACAATCGACTCTCTTTTACATGCTTCCAATCTCTATCGTGTATAGTTTTTCGCAACTTACTGGTCGTCGTTCACCAACACATATCGGTACTTTGCCTTTCCATGATCCATATCAACAATAGCACGGTTAGCCTCGCTCATCGGCCACTGCTCAACCCACGGCTTAATCCCCTTGTCAGCAGCAAACTGCAGCATCTCTCGAATCTCATGCGGCGATCCCATGAAGCTTCCCGTCAGCGAACGACGTCCCGAGCAAATCGTGCCGGCGCCAATCTTGAACTGTCCGTCGTCCGGCAAGCCGAGCTGGCAGAAGACGCCGTCGCGCTTGAGCAGGCCAATGTACTCGGTCAAGGGCATGTTGGAGCTCGAGATCGGGCAGATGATGAGGTTGAGCGTCCGGGCGTGGTTCTTCGCCCAGTTTTCCTCCTCGGCCGTGGCGATGTATTCGTCTGCTCCTAGAGCCAGAGCGTCTTCCCGCTTGTTACTCCGGCGAGACACGGCCACCACTTTCTCGGCGCCCATGGCTTTGGCGAACAGAATGCCGAAATGGCCCAGGCCGCCGACTCCGAGCACGCCAACGGACATGCCCTTAAGACGCTGGTCAAGAGGGCCCTCGCCACGGTTTCCAAAGTGCGCAAGCGGCGAGAAGACCGTTACGCCCGCACACATCATGGGCGCAGCATGCTCGCTCGCCAGGTTGTCGGGAATCTTGAAGGCGAACTTGCCGGGGCATCGATGATACCGGGCATAGCCGCCCATGCTCTTCCCGCCGGCAACTGTGAGATACTTGCTGCCGTACGTCCCCACACTCCGCGGGCAGTAAACCTCATTGCCGGATGCGCAGGCTTCGCAGTCGGAGTGATCCTCGACGGTCTGCGGCGGCTTGCGGCACTGGCACGAGTCGTTCTGCGCGCCGACGCCGACTCGATCGCCGACTTTGATGCCCGTCTGGGCGGCGGCCTCCTTGCCGACTCTCACCGCCGTGCCGACAATCTCATGGCCGACGACGATGGGATAGTTGGTCGGACCCTATAAGTGAAAAGAATTCACGTCTCAGCCTCAGTTTGGGGATTCAATTGCACTGTAAGCTGCTTACCCAGCCGGATCGGAGCTTATGCAGATCTGTGCCGCAGATGCCGCAGTGTGAGATTTTAATGTCGATGTCTGTCTCTTCCCAAGGCTTGACGTCGTACTCCTGCCAGACCATCTTGCCCTCGGCGGAGCTCTTGTCCAGCGCAACCCATCCCTCGAACTTGGTCTCGTTGGAAGCCATGATTGTGATGTTGTTTTCAAATCGCAATTGAAAGAAGTGTTTTGTTATGTCTTCATTTTTTTCAGCTCGAAAACAGCTCCGGTTGAGCCCTCCTTATATCTCTTTTCAAGAGACCCTCTCATTACATCATTGTCTCTAAAGAGTAATTATTAAACCGCCAAACGGAACAGCTCGGGCGTATAGCTCCCACAATAGTGCTTGCGTTCTGGCCAATTGAGAGAGAAGCACGTTGCCGATTCCCGAGCCTTCGACTGCCGTCAGGCTATACTATCGGCGTTAGACCCGATAGTCTTTCGGACCTTAGTTGCGTGTTTTCTGGGGCCCAAAAGAGAGTTTTCCTGCTGCTTTGGCGTGGGCAAGACGCCTCTGACAGAATTTACCTCGGCTTATGTGAACAAGTACAGATTAGGATCCGATTGGCCCTTTGCGCCTATTTCAGAGATGGTGTTGGGACTTAAACTCCGAACGCCGGGTCGGTTTTGCTTGAGTCAGCGGGATTAATAATGAGTTTATGCCTCAAAGAGACGAACAATATCAGGACACGAGCGGCAAAACAAAACAAAGGGCTCATATCTCCACTGTTTTTTCTATTGCTGTTACTTTTTTTTATAGCAGAGGAAGTATTAATATTACGTATATAAAGAGCCATGCATGTCTTTTGATATAGTATCTTGCATTGGAGGACAAACATCGCCTTGTCTCACGGACGGCTCACAGACGAAGCTCTCCAGACCTCTCCACGGAAATCTCTATCCATAGATGCATGCTTGCAGTGCCCTTAACATCGAATTTTTCATTGAATCAGCATAGTCGGATTTAACAATACTAAATCCATTGAAGTCAACGATAGTCCATCGACATACGATGATTACAAAGATTCGTCCTGACTGAGGGCACCAAACCTTGGAGTACGAGCATAAACTGTACTGCAAAACGGGAAAATTTCACGGCAAATCAGATTCTGCTTATTAAAAGCTGCATTCTAATAATTGAGTTGCACGTTTCCTGGTCTTTGAATCTACGAAGCACGTCTCATTGGCGGAGAAACAGAGGGGCTGGCGGAAAGTTCCGAGACAGACTTACAAATTGCTTTCCATTTCAGTACTGTGTATTGGTCCGCGGATATTTCCACATGGGTTTTCATATGTAATCCTTCCCTTTTCAGCGGAGAGTTCCGTCGCTTTATTTGCCTTAAATGGGGGTTTAAATAGATAAAGGAGATGACGTTGATGATTATAAACGCAGCTTCGTACACCATATTCCCGAGGAAACTGCCGCTTAGTCGGAGCATTGACATGACCTTTGTGAAATGAGAAGTTGGCAACTTGCAAATGGTTGTAAGATAAAACTCAAAGAGCTCTTGACATAAGTGCAGCCCCCCAAAAAAAAGTCTTCACTAACGTTCTCGGCTCTAGATCCAAGGCAAATGTATTGACAATCAGGCAGGTAGCTAGCCGAAAAGAGGCTACCAGGCCATACTACATTCTATGACTTGAACAAAAACTATAGAAAGGAGGTATTTGTTCTATTTTCCCTGGTGATCACTAAAAGCAGTCGTCACTATATGCACAGTTGATACTCCTGTTGGATAGCGATTATCGCCATTTTCGCCTACATTCCTCGTCTTCTCTTCAGCGTCAAGTTTGCAAAACGCTCTACGTTCGACTTTTGCTAACCATCTTGAGCAAAGACATTGGTGTAGCCATTATACGAATCGATGGCCACCGCTCAAATCCGTAAGTAAGAATCAGAAGGCAGCCTTGCCTGCATATACATCTCACAGATCCGTCGGGACAGAGAGAGTGAACCCAGGCCATCATTCGATAACAGCCAAATCTCTGGCCACTCAGGCTTGATTCATACCAACAAATCCAGAGCTGAAGTCAATAAACAATATTATACCGCTTAGTTGGGCCATGTACTCGACCCATGTACTATGAGATGAGCACCAGACTTACAGTCAGATGGATATACACATGTAAGAAAAAAGGGGGAAGGAAAATAGGTTGCTAGTTGTGAGATGCGTGGTGTAATCATACATGAGACACGGCAAGTATTATTAGCTGGTTGGGTTAGGATATGATCCGAGCCAAGCTGGGAACCAAGGGAGTGTCCGGTATTTACTGTAGGCGTATTTCGCATTTTTTTCGCATTAGGATAACTGACTACAATTAACAGTTGTCATGTAAACGCAACAGGCAAAACAATTCACCATGCCAAGCCTATACCATAGCCACCCTAGTTGATAGTGACAGAAGAAATTAATTTGTCTATTGACAAACCAGGACAATGGGCTACAGTCCGTTGCGATCTATTTGCAACTCAATCTGCCTGCTCTGTTCTATTTACTCAACAGCCTTGCCAGCCCTGAACCAAGTCCTAGAATGAAAATAAAGTCCAATACTGGTAGGGAACATGGCTGCCGTCTTACATGCAGAGATAGCGCACGACCGTTAAACTGACACGGCTAGAGTTTTTCTCAAAATAGTTGCCAAGAAAGCAGCTGAAATACTGCACGAGAAAGGGGACTATTCTCCTTGCCTCTTGCTATAGAGAGCCGGCTTGTGGTGGTCAGCGCATGTGCCTGAGCCGAATGATTGTGTGATTTCGAAAAGAAACCCCTCTTCCGACTATTAAGAATTGATGGGCTCCATTCAAAGTGAAAGCAAAGCATTACTCAACGTGAGCTGTACCGCTTTGATGTCGCCACACTTCAAATGTTATCAAGTTGATGAGTAATTGGAGCTCATGGCAACGGCTGACATGTAAACCTCTCGAGTCAACTCAATCTCACAATGACAGGCAATTTGACATCCATATCCCCAGTTCTCCAGTTCTCCAGTCGAGCTGCGCTGAGTCATGCCTGTCTGCATCCACCTCCCAGCTATAGCTTATGTATTTTTAGAACAACTCAGTTCCCAAGTGGGACGGCGAGTTCTGCCAATGCCCCCAATTTTGGCCCAGTTCCATCTCCTGCAGCTAAAAAACAGGAAAATGCGCTTCGCCACGATGCTAACTTGGGATCAGCACTGTCACAAAATGAGACATCTTCTAACAAACGGGCCGTGGCGGAGGCGGGTGGTTACAGTGGCAAGAGTGGGCAAGCCGCGGCACTGCTTCTCTTTTCCGTTTCCGTCGACAGACAACAACTCTGATCAGACAACCAGACATGGTGGTGTGCTGATGCTCCTGGTCAGCCAGCCACTGAACCCCCGAAAGGGATGGACAGCATGGCTGGTTGATTGAGGCTCTGAGGATCGAGTCTTACGATTCGATGCGGAGCAAATCGCGATCAAATAAGCACCAGTGGAATACGGAGCAACAAGATTTTCTGGCCCCCTTACTTGATACGCGTCCCATGCATGCAAATCCCAGACGGTGCTGGTGCGTGCATGCGCGCCCTATGCGTGCCCGGACTGCTGCAAGGTCGTATGTGTATGTATGGAGAACTCGTAGCTGGTCGCGAAAGAGCTTGCGACATGCGGTGTTGCATTTGCGCAGTTTAATTAGGTAGTGTAAACAAAGCCAAGTGGCCCGTATGGAGCCGGGATCATGGCTTGGCCCACGGCTGGTGCTTGCTTAATTGCACTTGGCATTCGGCCTTCAAAGCTTGTCTCGTGAACGGATACCCCAATACGATTGTCATAAAATCTCTTTCTTTTCCGGGGCCAGGAAATTGATGACTGGGACATTTCCCAGATTACTACTCGTTCTGACGCGGCCTCTCCTGGCCCACCGGTCCCCTGGCACGGAGAACCAGTAGCAGCAGCCTAGCACTGTAGGATTATAATTCATTTGGACAAACAGGCACACCGTCTTCTGAAATGTGTGCCGAGAATAGCGATTAACCGTAGTAGACGCTGACGCTAAGCACTTGACTTGTTGACGTGCAAGCACGGGAGAGGCCGACTGAGACAAGGAAGCTGGCAAAGCGGCTGCAAGTGCCGGTCAAGGACGACAAAAGCCTGATCACGGCTCGCCCTAACAAGAAGCTAAAATGGGGGAAAGGGGCCGTTCGGGAGGCATTGCGGCTGATGGAACGGCTCCGTTGGTTGAGCCTGACGGTGACCTCGTATTGGCCGTGGCCGGGACGGCTAAAGAAATTGCAACAATGGACTGCCTCAAAAGAACATCCACTGCGGCTTGGCAGGCTGTGCCAAGGAATATTGACAGATGTTGGCCGCTGCGGCCGTCTCGTCTCAGTTGGGTGCGCAATCGGTTGCATCTCAGACCTCGGTGGTGTTGATCGACTTTGATGGTGCGTTTGTTTGCACGCAGGCCCAACCACAGCGTCCAAGGCACCACCATTTGCTGTCGAAACTCATGTCTGTTTCGGGACCCCTTGCCCGCTGTGGGTGGCGCTGCATGGCTTGCATGGCATGGGAGGGTCGTCGATATGATGAGACTGAGCCTGCCCAGTCATGCACCGGCTGCATGTCAGCGACTTCACATGCTTCCCCTGCCGCGTATCTGCCCAATGAATTGCACAGAGGCAGTACCTCTCGGCTCGTGCGTACGAGTACCTGCTAGGCAAAGATGCACATGTAAGCAACCTCCTTGAAGCCACCTGTTTCAGACGGCGGGTCTGAATGGAACCCACAGCTTGGGCCGGCGAATTGGATGGCCAGTAAGCAGCGCTATGGAGACGCCGGCTTGCATGTGTTTGCAGAAGAAGAAACAGGGGCAGGGGTGGAGCAGCAAGGAGGAACAAAGAGGCTCAAAGAGGGAAGAAAGCACGGGAACGGAATGGACGATGGAAGAGGGATGAAGAGAAGATGGAGCATGAAGGGGTAAGTGAGGAGAGGAATTTGAAGCCTGAGGAAGGAAAAGAAGAGAAGAAAAAAATTCCACAGGTTCAAGTATATGAACTTGGAAGTGAAACTACGGCTTACCTAACTAAAAATAAAAACAGAGTTTGCCGACTAAGCAACGCCAACCGGCGTCTAAAGCAGCCAAGACGTCTGTCTGAAGCTTCAACTGGCAGCACCAGCAGCGCTAAAGGCCTCGCTAACTTTAGGGGACAAACGCCTCTGAGCCTGCGCCCTACGGCCTGCCCAGGTGCCTGAATCGATCCCCGCGCCTCGTGGAGTTCCTGGAGCTGCACCTAGAAGCGGAGCTAGAACAAACCGGAGCAAGACCCATGCTTTGATGCCTGCCGACGTGTTGATATTTTCAGCATCGACCGCCGAGCTTTTCTTTTCTTGCCTCCTCTCCTTTCTTTTAATATATCTTACTTTCCTTGCCTTGTTTTCCCCCCTCCCTTTTTCTCTCGCTTCTTTTTTTCCATTCTTTAATTCCTTGCCTCTTGCTGGGTGTGTTGCAGCGGTGTGACTTCTTTTTCTACCTGCTGCTTGCCTCAGTCACTGCCGGCTTGCTTGTTGCGGTTTTTTCGACTTCTTTCACTCATTCCTCACTTTCGTCTAGACAGCAGCTCCACATCAATTGCACCGATAAAATAGACTCCAAAAGCACCTGAAGCGTATCATCACTGAGACTTGCCCCCATCGAAAAAGAAAAAAAGAAAAAAGAAACACCTTCTGCTTGTGTCGTCCGGATCAGCCGAAATCATGTCGGACGGTGACGCCTATGTCCCCACGGAGGTGACTGTCGTGGATCAACAACAACCAGCCATGAAGAATGAGAAGCCTCACGGCACCAGCTTGGAGATTCCCCTTGAGGAGCAGCAGACCAATGTTCCGGGCTCAAGGATGGCGGCGGCGGTCCCCCTCAGCCGCCGGCACACGCTGAATCTCGAGGACTACTTCGCTGGCCCCCGTAACATGGACAAGCACTCCAAGTGGCCTCTGTTTATGCAGATGCACGGCAGCATCTTGCCCAAGATGATTGTGCCCCTGATCTGGATGTCCGCATGGAGTGCTTGCATCACCTGCATCTACGAAATAGCAAAGAAGAACATCGCCGTCAACTCCATCCTCTTGACGGTTCTCGGTTTCGTCGTCTCCACCGGTCTCAGCTTCCGTGGTTCCACAGCATACGAGCGTTACGCTGAAGGTCGACGTTTCTTCGCCTCCCTGGTTACTTCATCGCAGGCCCTTGGACGAATCTTCTGGATCCACGCCAAGACAATCCCTAATGTGGACGTCCGCAAGCAGATTCTCTACAAGATCAGCGCCATGAACCTGGTTGTTGCTTATGCTATTGCCCTCAAGCACAGCTTGCGCTTTGAGCCCTACACCGCATACCAGGATATCGACCACCTGGTCGGCCATCTCGACACGTTTGCCAAGTCTGCCACCACCACCATGCCTGTCAATGGCGGCGTTGGAAAGAAGAACTTTTTCAAGTCCATTGGAGACTACCTCGGCCTCTCGTTCGCTGCTAGCAACCCTCGAAAGCAGCTCAAGAAGGCAGAGAAGCCCCTGGGAAACCTGCCACTCGAAATCCTCAACCACCTTGCTGTTACCATTGACGACATGATTAGCCGAGGCCAGCTCCCTGTCCCTATGATGCAAACTCTTGCTTACAACAACCTTGCCGCCCTCAATGACGCATACACCGGCTGCCAGCGTGTCTTGAACACGCCTCTCCCCATCGCTTACGGAATTCTCTTCCAGCAGATCACATGGCTCTACGTCGTCTTACTCCCCTTCCAGATGGTCGCCGTGCTCCACTGGATCACCATTCCCGCCACCACCGTTGCGTCTTACATCATCCTCGGCCTCCTCTTCATTGGCCAAGAGATTGAGAATCCCTTTGGCCACGACGTCAACGATCTTCCCCTCGACAGCTTCTGCGAGCAGATTGCCCTTGACATGGACATTATCGCTTCGCACGATGCTTACAAGCCCGAGGACTTCTTCTTCAGCTCTGAGAACGTTCCCCTGTGGCCTGTCAGCGCTGCCGCTGCCGACACCTGGCTGGAGAGAAGCGAGTCTAAGCTGAAGGAGGCCATCAGGACCAAGCCCAGCAAGACGTTTGAGTGGAGGCGCTGGAGGGGAGACAAGCTGGGTGACGAGGAGTCTGCCAAGAATGATTAAGAAGAAGGCATATACAGTGATGTTGTGACAACGACGTGTCCGCTTTATGGTGTATGCAGATGAAGACGAAGACGTGGACAAGAATAGGGGTGGCTCAAATTGTTTTTGATCTTGAGGAAGGATGTTTGTGTTTCGCTCCGTTGCGTTGTAACACTCGCCTGACAAGAAAGAACAAAAAGAAAAAAAAAAAAAAAGACTGGCTTTGGGATTTTTATTTTCTATTTCATTTTGATGTTCAGGCATTTACATACAGGTCTTTTAAAAGGAAAATATCACGGTAGCACGGCGTATCACGCACTTTACGTTCAGGCCCGACGGTGGTATTAGAGAGGGAGAACGGGATTTTCTTACTCTCTCGCCGCTTACGGAGGTCATAATCGGTTTTCATATCCATACACACATATATATATACACAATTTTTCTTCTCTTGTCAATTATTATAATCATGTGCTACCAAGATGTTTATGTTTGTGATGTCGTGAGACTGAGTGGAGGAATATGTTTGTTAAATGTTTTACGCCGTTGGACTAGCTTTGTAATTGACGAGTTCACACTGGATTTACTGCGACAATGGACTGTGTTTGTAGTCTCATTCATTGATTTCGATATTGGCTTCTATATACATGTAATGAAATGGACAAAAAGAAAGACTCTTGATTCTTTCTATGCAAATGCAAATGCAATGTGCGTCTTTTAGAGCACCCGTGTTCCCTCGGCGTATATGTTCTCTTCACTTATACTCTCTCAAACCCATTTTTATATCAAACAAAAAAAAAAAAAAAAAAAACTCTCTTCGCCATTTTTCTCTACTCTTCCTCCTCCTCTTCCCGAACAAGCTTGTGAGACTGCTTATCCTCTGGAAGCCATCTAACGAAGATTGACAGCGACATGGCAATGGGAATAAGTACGGCCCACACAAGATGTCCCCAGAGAATCTGGTTGTGCACGCCAATGGCGTATATGACCGTCGTAACTCCTGGGACAAAGGACCGGATGGCACTAGCGGCGGTCATTGCCAGGGCGTTGAGGGTGCCCATGACGTGAGGGTTGGGCGACACGTCGTTGAGGGCGAGCTGGATCGCCGTGAAGGCCATGGACACGCCGGGTCCGACGAAGGCGACGATGGGGGCGACGACCCAGAATGCTGCGGTGGAGGATTCGGTGTCTGCTCGGAGGAGGAAATTCATGATGACATAGCCGAAGAAGAAGAAGGGGTATGCCGCAACACAGGCGGCCATGGAGCCCTTGGTGCCGATGCGGCGCTGTAGGAAGGGGAATACAATGACGAGCCAGAGGGCCTGGCTGGCGCCCTGGATGGCCATCCAGAGGGAAATGCGGAAGGACGAGAAATCGACACCGCCGAGGTTGATGGGCGTGTAGAGCAGTACGGGAAGGACGGCGGTGAAGGCAAAGGCGAGGAACATGGTGTGAGTGTAGACCCAGATGACGACGGCGACACCAGGAGACTTGAGGAGCTCCCAAGTGGACAGCCGGTGTGGTCGAGCTGCTGGGCCGGCCGCGGCTGAGGAAGCACCCTCGGGCTCAAGAGTCTCTTCAAGATAGAGTATGCATAGGACGACGCTGATGACGTTGAAAAAGGTGAGTATCACGCCAGGCAGGAGATAGGGATACTCTTCAAGCAAGCGAATTCCCCCAAAGAGGCCGGGAAACTGATCCACGGGGTCCGCCAGCGCACCGCCAATAAGCGGCCCAATGAAGATGCCAATATTGTTTGCAAACGCAAACCAGCTAAACGCCACGGCCTGCGTCTCCGAAGTCGTGTGGTCCGAAAGCATTGTTCGAATCACCAAGCCCGAGCCACTGAAGAGTCCCGCAACGCATCGAAACACAATCATCTGCCAGATGGTCGTGGAAACGGTGAAGAAGAAGGTCCCCACCGTCATGCCAATGAGCGTCCACAGCAGCACGGGCTTCCTGCCAATGGTATCCGCGAGATGGCCCCAAAAGTACAGCACCACCATCTGGGTGGCCGAAAAGAGCGACTCAATCAGGCCGCTGTAGAAGCCCACGTCTGACTTGGGGAGGTTGCCGTTCCGGCGGACCATCTCCGCGATGAAGGGGAAGATGGCGAAGAAGGCGATTGGCTCCATTGCCTTTGCGAAGCAGAGCAGGAAGACCTGCATCTTGGGCAGGGGCTTGCCCGGCTTGTGGTGAGTGCCATGTTCGGCGTCGTCTGAGGATTTGCCCGTGAAGAGCGGCGTGGTTTCTGAGGGCATGGGCTCGGGGTCTATAACGGTGAGATCTGAGGATGACGATGATATCGGCTCGGGCGGAGGAGGCGCCATTGTGGCGGTTGTGAGAGGCTCTATGAAATTAAATCGAGGTCAAGAGTGAAGAGTGAACAGAAGAGAGAGGTCAAAGAGATGAGAATAAGACTGGGTGTCGATGTGGCAGTGCAAGAGATTGATCTGCTTGATCAACTGCTGCTGGCCATCAAGAGCGGTTTGTTTCAAGACAAAACAAGATGCAAACAGACAAGATGGAAAAGAAATTGGAAACGAAACGGGAGGCAAATAAGCAACCTGGAAGGGAATCCTTCGGAAAATATAGACGAGTCACAAGAGAAGTAGGAGGGCGAGTCAGTTGAGATAAGCACCGGACGTATCATCTAATAACTTTTTTTTTTTTTTTTCCCGTCTAATGACGCAAAGTGTCTCGATCTATGGCTAAGCAACTAAGGTCTACTGCAGTGTCCCGACACCGCTGGATCGCTATATTAGTCAACGCTAGCGACGCTGCTACCCCAAAAGACCCCCGGAAATCCCCCACTAACCGCGAGATTACAGCGCATTGCAGCGGGCCAGCGGGGCAATAGCGCGGCGAATCACCACCGAAGTGCCCCCTTTCGGCCGCTGTGCATGCGCTAGGCGATGATTGTGTGCTTGTGCTCGTCGGTAGCAGAGCCGACAGGACGCAGCCTCAGCCGCTCACCTACTACGGGCGCCTCGTGATGCGCTGCATCTTGCTGAGGCACATCGAGGTCGAGGGTCATGAGAACACGATTTCGACTCCGATACCAGGACCGCTTATCTGCGCGCTGGGGGATTGCTATTCCCGCACCGGGGACGGTGTAGCCCGTATCGACCAGAGCTCCATAATAGCGCTGCTTTTCTTCCGTATTATGCGGGGGGACGAGACACGCTGCCCCTCAACTGCTCCCCCTACCGTCACATTTCTGGCCAAAGTGACAGGCAGCGTTGCGTCCCGGCTTCCGCTTTTCGGGAGGATCGAGGGTGCCTATGCGAGGGTGCCTATGCAAGGGAGCCTGTGCGGGCTTGTAAGAGCGGTATGGCAGGGGTGGTAGGACTGTCTGTCAAGTCTCAAATGTCAGGTTTGTCAAACTTGCTGCTGCATCCTGTCGTGTCATGAGATCGGCAAAAGTTGATGCTCTCCATGGCCAAGCCGCGTAGCCGGCCGATGGCGGACCATTGAAGCCATCTCCTCGACACAAATCGACCCAACGGCCTCGCTGCCTACATGTATCTTGGGCCCTCGGGCAAGCTGCTGCCGGCAATGTTGCACTGACGAAAGAGGCGCACCTCGTCCTCCGCAAACGCCCCGACGACTGAGTGAATCAGGCTCCTGTTGTGGAAGATGACGAAATCGCCCTCCATCCAGTCGTGGGCATACACATAGTTGGGCGCGATACCGGGCCGCTGTAGTCGGTGAACAATCTCGCGCACCTCCTTCAGGTCATCGATAACCTCGCCGTTGCCCAGGTGGAGCTTGCGAATCGCAGACGGGTGCACCTGCAACGCCAGCCGGCCGTCTTGGGGGTTGCGCCAGCACATGGGCAGGATTTGGATCTTGTCTTGTTCAATCTCGGGCAGGTTGTCTAACGGCACTTCTTTACCCTCCGAGATAAGGCCCAGACCATCGGAGCGAGACTTGGCACCGCTCATCCACACATAGGGGTGTGGGGCGTATTCGACCTTTGTCGACATGGCGAACTGTTGATCCTGCGGCGATAAGAGGTCGTACATGGTGTAGCCAGAGACGAACGCCGTCGTCCCCAGAGGAACTGTCAACTCTTCGCCCGTGTCTTCATATCGGATCGTCTGCGTGCGGCCGTGCGGGACCCGGGCTGCGAACAGGGTTGTGGCAACCGGAGGGGCAAGCCCATACAGCGCGGCATCAATGTGCCACCTGTAGAACCGGGTAAAGTCCAGATCGTCCTCATCTGGTATTACTGTGGCGTGGAAGGTCTTGTGGTGGGGGTGTCTCAGCTGGATATTCTGCAGCCCTTCGTACTCCTCGACGAAGCCATTTCCAATCACTTGGACCTGTGGCTGGTGTGGGATCGTCTTGAGATCTGGGTGCAGGATGGATCGTTTTGCGTCGAGCGTCTTGCCGTGGCCGTAGGAGGCCCCTGCCTTGGGATCGAATCGTTGAGTGATTTCATATTGGGCCTTGGAAGTCGCATCATACTGTGCTCTGAAGACGAGGACTTGATACTTGTACAGAGCTTCTTTGATGATGTCGAAGACGGTGTCTAAGGGGGGTTTGATACTATTAGCCCATGGGCATGAATGCGGCCGACGCGAAACGAGAGGGGGGCACAAGGGTCACAGTTGAACAATAACCAAAGCTCCTTACCCGATATCTTGTCAATATTGACGCCGTGAACAATGGCGCCGAACCGAACTCCCGATCCAGGCCGATGCGCAATTGGCTGTATCGAGGCCCGGGACGCAACCGTGGCGTATGATGCCAACTGGCGGCCGACTCCACCAATCCTTCGCAGAGACATTGCTGTGCCGCTATTGTTCTCGTGTCTCACCAAGATCCAAGCTTGACGTAAGTGTGAAGATGACGAAGGAACGGGGGGTTTCGATGTCTCTTATGTTTGATCGTTGGTTAGCTAAGAGACGGCCGAAGCTCGACTGTCAGCGGGGGTGGGTCGATTAAATACGAATAAGCTCTCGCCGAGACCTCCTATCTCTGTCACTTTCGCAGATGCTCCTGGTCCGTAATAGCCATGCTTAATCGAACACTGACCCGGGCGCAATCAATTGTTGGATATTGGCGGATGTCGCCGGATCGCGCGCCTTTTGCGTCGAGGGAATCGAACCAAATTCGCAGGGGATCCACCCACTGATAAGACATGGACGAACCTCCATTGATAGCGCCGATGAAGGAGATCAAGTGGACGATATTCGTAGCCTGACTGTACTTGTTCTGCTTACATCACATTCAAAGACATTTGAGTTATTAGCACATGTTGAATGTAATACTGTAAGCTGATATCGGATTGTGGCCATCGGTAAAGGGCGATGTCGGAATGAAGTCATCTTTGCGTGGCCAACATTGCCGTTCGGCTGGATTTCGGATCACCGAAGATGATTCTCCGTATGCACCGCAGAGGCACCTAGATAATCAGTATTCAATACCATCAATAATACCACTGTGCCGAATTAAACACTTACTTATTAGCACTTCAGTAGGAAACCTTAAAATCACTTGAAGGTCTGCTTGTTGATTCTTCGTCTCTGTTGCCAACTAATGTCTCGGAGACTTCACGTCGGCTGCGTCCGAATGTCTCTGGTTATTACTAAAGCAAAGTGTTGGGACCTGGTCTTCGATGATTGGTTAAGTTGTTACAAGGCTGGACCATATTCTCCCTGCATATCTGAGATTTTAATTGAGACACTTCTCTTAAGCCGCGTCCCGCGTTGTTCGTGCCGTGAATCCATGCCGAGATGATGCCACATACTACAGAGAAAGAATAGGCACTGACCACCAAAAGTCCAGCTCCTGTGCAATGCTAGCCTTGCTTCTCCCGCCATATTGATTGCTGCATCGTCCCCTGCCTGCAGCTGGTGGTAGCCAATCCAATTCCTCGCCGAGGTTGGGCTGCAAGGCGAACAGTGCGACTCTCAACATCAGCAGCCCCGCCCATGCATCTTGTATTAGATGATTGCGTCCAAGAGCTGACCAATCTCAGATGCTCCATTTACCCGTTGAGCTTCTATATACCAGAGTCTAGTAATAGTGGGAGACACTGTGCCAAATGCAGCTGCCGCATAATGATTACGAATTTGAGCTTTGTCTTGGGGAAAAGTGTCGGTAAAAAGATCCAACAGGACTGTCCCATGCAAATTTGACGATGCTTGAATACTACCATGCGCGTCCGGAGAGCGACCAGGGATCTGGCCTTACCGAGAGGGTGGGATCAAGCTGGATGATCTAAGCCCCAAGCATCCAAAATGAAAGCCGTGGAACTTCTTCCTATTAAAGACACAGTCTAAACAACGAATAAATGTCATGCCAGAAGGGGATACTACAGAAAGAGCGAAACCAAAGTTGCCATCTGAGATTAACGAAGCTTTCATAAAAAGGGTAAGAAAACAAAAAGGTCCAAGATGTGGCTAGGAACCAGGATAGCATTCTCCAAATGAAGAAAGAAAGAGGAATAGAGGCTGGCCATCAAGGCTCCCGGAATTGAGACGCAGGAGTCATTTGGCGATGACCTGGCCGGGGACCGGGACAAGGTAGCGAAAGATGCTTTTGCACAACAGGTGCAGCAGCTCAGCCTGCGAAAGGCCCAAGAGCAAGGGCCAGGTGATCCCGATACAGTGGAATCGAAGAGGGTCGCTGCATGGGAGTAAGGTTGATGAAGTCGTATGATTCCGGGTCCCCGACACGGGTAGTAAGCAGAAGACGAGTGCTGACCGCCTAGACGGAGAAGGCGAGAACGTTTGAGAACGACGAAAAAGAGCCGCTTTGTGTTATACAGTAGGAAGGATATAGGAGCTTTAAAGACAATGAGCCAAGGGGAGGCGCGTGAGTTTGGGGGCCAAGAAAGTTGCCAATCTGAAGTTATGATTGCATATCAACGTGAACGCGGATTGCCAAGCGCTGGCTATGATCGGAACCAAGGGCAGCAAAAGGTCCTATTGGCAGAACCACCACTCAGATACTATTCAGGATTCGAGACATCGTTGCAGTGACCGTGATACCAGGTATTCTCAACAAGAAGGTTGTAAACCTACCTAGCATTGAAACAACATACAAGGATACTGAGAGGAAGCTGATTATAATCATCTATGACACGTATCATGATTACAACTCATCTTTTGATCAAGATTAGATTGAATACCCATTTGAGCCTTAAGCCCAGTTCTACACTTCTCAGTACCCACCTGTCGATTATCTGGGTAGCCTGGTCAAGCTGCCGCCTCATTTCCTCCACGCATCTCGGGCCTTTGCCGAAATATGGCGCTGGCTCTGATCTTAGCGCTGACCCTTCCGAGCCGTACGCTCGGATACTGTCATTTTCCGTTACATCCAACTCTTCAACTCGCTGCAGGCGCTGTTTTCTTTTCTTCACGTGATGATTCCAAGAATAGGTGGTTTTATGCAGCTCAGCAGGAGGGGCCAATTGGAGTTATACTCGGGTGCTCGGGCTATTGATGGTGGTGATGAGTTGGTTTCAACTGCGTCAAGCTTCATTTGCCAGCCATACGAGAAGCCAAATCATCATCATGCCTTCTCGAGCTTATCCTAATCAACAGGTTCCACACCGCTACTAAATTTGAGTTTCTCCTTTTCTTCCCGAACCGTCTAGGTACATAGACATGGAGAAGAGGGTAGCCGTACGGTAACGTATACTGTACAGTATTAGCGGGAGATCTAGCAACATGGACGGAGCAGACGTACCCGGCAAGGCATTGACAGCGGCCCAGATTGTGGAGCATTCTAAACATTGAGGATGAAGATCCTGCATATCACTTGTTGACGATTGTTGGGCCCAAGGGTTGCTGAAAGGAGACAAGCAGGGCTACCAGCATAAGCATGAGTAATGGATATACCAAAACAAGTTATAGCTGCCCGATGGCACTATTTCGTCTGGGCTGGTTGCATGGATGAGATCCTTTCGGAGATGCAGCCAGAGAACTCGTATTTGGGCATAGGTGCCAAACTGACACCGCTCAACATCAGCCAAGTGCTGATAGCATGAAATCCTTGATTCGTGATGGAAGAGGGCCGAAATTACATATTTTATGCATATATTATACTCGCCGCACCGAGCATACGTACGAGTAAACGGCGTAGGCGAAACCCTTCTCAAACCAAGCTGAGCTCGCCGTCGTTAGTAAGCGCGAATATGCCTCTATTCCCCGGGAAAGTGACAGGGGACCCCGATCGACGCCTGGAGCTGGGCTGGGCTAGGAATCTACCTAGATATTTGCTTAAGGATAAAAGGTCCGCTAGCAGATGGCATGACAGCTGTGGCTTGTGGCTATTATAGCTTGGCCGCATGCGGCTTTCATGTGCCGCTGAAGACAAGTGCCGCTAGGAGGGCGCGGCTTGTGAAGAGTTGATGCGTACATCTGGATGCATGAGTGCCCATTGGACAAGCCGGCGTGATCAATGACTAGTGTTTCAATGCAAAGATGCATCGCACATGCACCTAGAGAGTAGTCGGTAAAGGCTCAACTCGCCTAGATAGGTAGTGTGTGATGCCCAGCTGCCTTGGAGCCTGTTATCTGTTGGCTGTAAGCGGTGGCTTCAAGTAGGTTGTTTGGGAACTTGCACGAGGTCTGGTGCAAAACCTAGTGGCCGCGATGCGCTACGGCAGGTAGCTGTTGGAGCGGTGTGCGTGTTAGGCGGCGTGCATGTTCTATTGCCTGTGTACGAGTACTCTGCATATGTTGATGAATCAAGGGATCGCATGCAGTGGTTTCACTGTGATGGAGAAGCAGTTTCTGATAGGTATCTTGCAAGTCAATCAACAGATACTTATCGATAGTACCTAAGCATTGCCCAACCCAGCATTGTCGTGTGATGCCGGGGGAAGGTACGGAAAGGAATATTTCGACTTCCAGAAAAAAAAAGGACGACATCAAACCAAAAACAACTGTCCCACGCATTGAGCGTGTCTCAAATCTGTCTCTCCATTCAACCCATGACTCAAGCCACCAGCATCCATCACCGCCGCGTCCAGCCAAAGCCCCAAGCATCACCGCATCAGCTCCAGCTTCGTCTGTACTGTGTCGTTTCGTGCCGTGCCGGGATCACCAACAGATGTACTATCTATCCAGTAGCTCGATGCTGTGACGACTCGTCCAAAGCCTCGACCGAAGACGCAAGGGTTCCACCACCCATCCGGCTGGTCTTCCCTGCGCCGTCAGATGCACCAGGTTTATATTATTAGCCAGGGCCAGCGGCATCACTCCGAAGCTTGAGCGCGACACACTAGCGGGGGCTCCGCCGCAGCCCTGGGATTGGATCGGGCGCAAAGTCAGCCGTCGAAAGGGGACCGATAATAGCTGGGTAGCGATGCTCTAGATTCGTCTTCTTGAGAAACCAACTCAACTCCGTTTATCCTCGAGGGAGCCGCTCCCTCCACCATGCCACTTTCCCACGGCCCCTCTTGCGGGACACGAGAGAGAAGGATGACATACTAGCCGCCCCAGAGACCATTCCGAGCTACAGCAAATGGGCTCGTCCTCACAACAGCGCAGTGGCGCGACTGCGGCTCAAAATGAGATCACGCCAGTGGCATCCATAGGTGAGTTGGATTGTTTATTGCGATTCCGTTTTACTTCTTGGTTCCCTCTCTCTCCCGCGGCAACAATTTTCGATTATGCGACGTCACGCTGGAATCATGATCACTGACTGGAAACCCCGCCACAGCCTGCCTGGTCTGCAGATCAAGAAAGGTACGCAGCAGAGCCCACTGAGGCCCGTGGCTAGCAGGGAGGAGCAATCTCAGACGCTTCGAGTTGCCTTGGCCTCCCATTTTGCCGTTCAGCACATTTCTCACCAGGATTTTCCGGTTTAGGTCAAATGCGACAAAACTATGCCAGAGTGTCGGAATTGTCTTCGCCTGGGTGTCGGATGTCCTGGGTTTAGCCCGCAGAGCGAGTTCATCTCACGCAAGGAGATACAAAAGTCGGCAGACGACATCTTCAAGGCTGCCGGCGTTGAAAAGAGACGGGTGGGGTCATGCGAAGAATGTCGGACATCCAAGCATCGCTGCACCAAGACCCGGCCGTCGTGTCGCCGATGTATCCTGCGCCATCTGCCATGTGTCTATCCATCAAAGCCGGATAAGCAACAAGAGCGCGAACCCTCAACTCAACCCTCCAGCTCCGTGGCAAGCTCTACAGCTGCTGCCGCGGGCCTCACTTCGACTGTCTCAGCTCAGCCCTTGGAAGCTGGTCAGTGGGCAAATCCCGCACTGTTGCACGCATTTGGTGTGAATATCGAGAGGTAAATGAGGATACCCAATGAGCTCAGCTTCAGAGCTCAACTGGCCGTCGCCATGACCTCATCCCACTAACATACTTTGAAGCTTATGCACAGATACTCTACCAAAGGATCACGGTCTTCGACTTCGTCTAGTTGATGCTTTCTTCAGCCGATCTCACCACCTTCGATGTCTAACTTTCGTCCATCAGCCCTCCTTCATGCAGTCGCTCGAGTCAGCCAGCGTAGCTCAGGATTACGGAGAGCCGCTGCTCTATGCTATGTGCGCTCTTGGCGCTAGGTAGGCGATCCCCCTTTGAGTCGCAAAATAGGGGAAAATATGAGATGAAGAAGTCTAACTGGCTATCCGATCTCAGACACATCTACTTTGATGCGACGTTAACCCTGAATGGTCCCGATCGCGACTCGCTTCCAAATGTAGTCCCTGGGCAAGCATGGGCTGAGAGAGCGAGAAAGGCGATACTTGGAGAGATGCATGCTCCCACGGTTCAAAATCTCATGGTGAGTTTTACTTGAGCACCTGTTGGTCGTGTATTCCACCTAACCAAATTTGTCTGGCAGACAGTAGCCCTTCTCTGCGAATATGGGCTTCGTGAGGACCAGCATGCTTTGGTCTTCATTTTACTGGCTTTTCTGCATCGCGCCATAAGGCTGTTGAGCTTGGATTCGCCACACCCCCTTCCCAGCAATTCCACAACAGCCCAGATAATGCAGCGAGAAATAGAAAACCGCATCGTTTGGGCCAGCTTCCTCATTGACAGCCTTGCTGCCAATGGTGTCGAGAAAAACATGTGTTGGAAAGATCACATACCAAGCATTCCTCTGCCTTGTTCCGACAATTGCTTTAATACATCACAGCTTTCCACAGCGCAGCACTATCTTACGCAAATTGAAGACTCGGGAATGCATACCGCCATTTCGGAGCTGGATTTAGGGGCTCTTTTGATCTTGGTTGTGCGCTTAAGAACAAAAGTAATGCAGTAAGTGACTATTCCCCTTTCTGCCAGCTTTTCCGTGTCTTTTCCGTTCTTCGCTAATATCTCCCCTTTTTTAGAATTATTCGTGTTGCCGACCTTGGCATGCGCATTTGGGAACCGTCATCACAATTCGTCAGAATCATTGATCAACTCATCGCTCTGTATAATAATTTGCCTGAACGATATTATCTGACAGATGCCAATTTATACGTGCTCAAAGAAAAAGGGATGCTTGGGGCTGCCTTTGCTCTACATCTCTTTATACACGCCGTCATCTTCGACCTCACCCGAATCTCACTAGCCGGCTTCAACTTCCCTCTAGCCCCAGCGTTCAAGAACTCGCCGGTTGAATTTCGCGCACACTGCCAGAGCTTATGCCGCTTCCACGCCAGTCAAGTTTCCGATATCATCCGCACAGGAATGAACTTCCACCCGAACGCGTTCGACGACCTTTTTTGCCCCGATGTGACCATTGAATCGACCAAAGTGCAGATTATTTACGCAGCTACTGTAGACCAATCCCCCCAGACTTCGCAGGTCACCAGAGACAATATTATCACCAACCTCAACTTCCTTTTGAGCATTCACAATCGCGGAAAAGAGGCCCCGGCACAGTTTGTAAGTTCCGATAGGCCAATTGATGTATTTGAAATGCGGGTTGTTAACAACTAATCAGATTCGCGGCATTATTCCACTGTGCCATCTCTTTGGCTTTCGAGATATTGCGGAGCGATATCAGGAGACACTTGGGTTCGTTCTTAGCCTCTGATTATTCCCGGTGCGTGCTATTGACTGATACGCAGCCTTAACATACCAATCGATCCGGCAGAAGTCACAGGATCTGCTGATGATCACCACCTTTCAGCATTGGCCTCTTTCCGACGAGGAAGAGTGCAGCTTCAAGAATCCCAATCGTCAGGAGGTGCCAAGACAATGTCTTCAGAAAACGACAATACACCACCATTAATCCACGCAAGTCAAAGCATCATATATGAAGATCCGGTAGATAAAAGCAGCGGCGGCGATTTTACGAATTCGCTGCCAGTTTTGAGACCAGTTTACCCTCCGCTAGAGGTGGCGCCTGAACTTATGAGCCAGAGCTTGTCTCCAAGAAATGCCCTTCAAATCATGCCATCTGCAGGTGTTATGGTACAAAATGGGGCCTTGTTACAACCTTCAGTCGACGACTATATCAAAACAGCGGATGAAATGTCAACATACCTGACATGGGGGATGCCGGAAATACCCAATTGGATGAGCCTGCCAGACCAAATGCCACCTGGGTGAGGGATGGATCTTTGATGCTTCTAGTGGACTTTAATATGACGAAGTGCATGCTCCAAAGATTTGTCATCTTTCCAAGTTAGCTGGCCGTGGGCAAAAGGCTGAAAGGGAGAGAGGTCGTTTAGCGATGAGCCATCTCGAAAACCACAACGTAAGGATACTGTGTGCGACAATATCCAATCCCAGGAGCAAAGCAACTCAGGGGGGTTATTTTGGCCACGTTAGGACTTCACGGATGTCATGGTTGAGATTTATGCCAACGTCATGTGTGCAGAATTCTCCTGCCAATGCCTGCAGCTCAGCAAAATATCACCGTTGGCTCGGTGCCCTTAGAGGAGAACCCACAGCGAGCCGCGGCGTGGAATTGCCGCTTAGGACATAGGTGAAGGATTGTGCTGCAAGCAACAAGAGCTTCGGCCCTGAGGATGCCTCAGCCAAAATGAATCGCGCTGTTTCATGCGCTATGTGTGGACAGATTATATGAGGCAGGTCGATGAAGGGATCGACTTGACTGAGTAAGGGTGGATTCGATAGCCTATATATATATCTTTATACCCTGTCTCGAATACAATATGGCCGGTTCCTTTTGTAGTAACCCAAATTGTCTTCTCGAAGGACATGAAGTAATCCATTATTCCCTCCATAAGCTAATGCTGTAATGTAACTTTAACTGTAACGAGACACGGCTGTCCCTATCTTCTATCTTCACTAGTAGTGGAAAAGAACTCATATTTAACGTTGTCCAAAAGCAACCACAACTCTGTTCCTTGGATTCATCCTCCCAAATCTAACACTCAATATCAGCCCGGTAATGAGCTCATCGTTTTATAGTAAACAAACTAAACGATATCACCGGCGTCTACCATACTGGTTTCCGCTATTATTGAACCAGCACTCTCATTTACTGGTTCCACAAGCCCTAGATCAATTCCCCCAGTGCTTTCGTCAGTTAAAGTATTCTTAGACCGTCGAAACCCGTTCAATATATGAATACACCATCTCACAAATCGACGAAAAACAGACCACAATGTTGGTACAGAAGTAAATGCCGTGACAATAAGCGGAATGAGCTGACCTGATGAAGTGATAGTGGCTGCTGATAGATCGATGTTATTGGCGTCGATGGTATTTTCTGTCCAAATTACACTAGAAACACAAGCAACGAAACCAAAGGCTGCGCACCACTTGGCCATTCGAGAAACTTTGTGTCCAGAAATGATGCGAGGAGGTGTTGTGTAGGGCCAGTTTGGTGTGTCCAATTTGGAGCATATACATCCGACTAAAAACTTTTGAACTGCACATGGAGTGCAGGGGGCGGACTTCGGCTCATCCTCAGGATTCTGTTCGAACTCGTCAAAGAACCCGAGTAGATGCATGAAGTATATCCAAAGAAAATTCATAATCGCGGAGACAATCAGAGGTATCGATAAAATACACATGGCTTTGAGAAAAGCAACCCAGTTTTTGTGATATAGGTCGCTATTGCCATAGAAATTCATTTTAGCTTCGCACCCTTGGCGGTAGCCGACCTGTATAGCAGAAAAATAGAGCCAAAACTGTGTTCCGAGAAGGGTGGATAAAAGAAGAAGTGTCCAAGCTATGGTGATGTAGCCTAGACCTCTCACTGACTGGCTTAATGTTCCCCAAAACTCTTCTTTATCTGCTCCTTTTCTCGGCACGATGAAGAAGAACACCGATAAAAGAAGGGAAGTGGGATCCAAAACCTCTAACCCTAGAATGAAAAACGCTGTTAGGGTACAACTTCTATCAAATTGGATGGCTGTTCAACTCAGTAGCGGTTTTACTTACTTGTGTCTCTCATTACTGGTTTTAGGACGAACATAAAAGAGATCCAGTTGCAGACCCACAAGATGAACTGCAGCATCGCAACAATAATCCAGAATTCGAGAAACAGAAAACCCTTACGGGGGATGTCTTTCAGAAAATTGAATATAACTGCTGTTGCAACTGCATTTAAACCAATACGTAATGCGTGTACATCTTGAGTTGATGCACCTAGAGGTGCAAGGATTAAGGTGAAACATTGAATATAGAGGGAGTAGCGGATGCCTTTGCCATAGATATCACCGTCGCCAACGAGATCGCAGGATTCCGCGTCCCGATAGTGTGTATACGACGCAACAGGAATAGGGAAGAATGTGAGGGATATAGCAATCAGTGTGAAAATGTATCGACCTAATAGTTGATAAATATCAAGTAATTATTAGAGCATAGAATTACTTACTCATTGTGTTTTATGGTTTAACGGAATGATATACTTGAAGTGGAATAGACGTAAAGATCTTGTGATTTAGATTAACGAACCCTCCTATGCGGCTTTGTGGAATTTATATGTCCCATGGTCTAATTGATTGCTGCATCTTGATTTATTTATTTGCAACTATACCTCCTCCTACTTGCTTCACTTTACGAACGAAGTTGGTAGCTGTTTATCTCAAACGTAAATGAGTGGTTCAGAGCAATACGATATTGAAGCTCTGAGGCTGTGATGTGTTGTACAGCATATACGGTCTCTCTCTTTATAGAAGATAGGTAATTATACTCACCTGCTCGCTGAACCAATGCGTATAGACAGCCTGAAATTTGCGAAATAAGCGCGCGTTAATGCAACTTCCCGGGTTCAAATGCATGCCACATTTTTGCGAGCGGGCAGATAAACAAAACCTTTTTTTTGCTTCTTCGGCTGAAACATGAGTAACGGGACAATTATCGTCGTGACACCTCATATATTTACGATTATCGTTGTGGTACTCCAAATATTTCCGATTATCGTCGTGTAACACTAGCTACTTCTAACTCGCAGGCTGTATACACGTCTCTCGCTAACAAAAGCTTGAAGACAACGATTAGATCAATTTTATTCTAAGAACCAACTTAAGCAAGCTTAAAATAGTCAGCGAATCATCACATGACTGGCTGCATACAAACGCGGCCAAGCGCTCCATTGAGGACTGTCTCACCCACCAACAACGTTTATGGAGGCCCGCGCGCCTCGCACTCAAGCATATCGACAAAAGGCGTCGAGAATGGATGCCCTTCTGCCTCATGGATACCGCTCCGCCACCGAATACCGTTTCTGTGAAGAGCAGGGCGACGCTATTGCTCAAGCCGCTGCCTACCATCGTAAAGACTATAGTCTCTCTGTCATTTGGTTTCCCCGCCGTGAACACGTTGGTGTTCGTCAGTCGATAGCGACACCTTTCCGGCGGACTTGCAATGCAGGAGTCGGCTACCTAGATCGGCTACCCCTTGAGCTTTTGCAAGATGCCTTGCTACGTCTGGACATGCATTCTCTGTTCACATTTCGGCAAACAAATCTCAGATCGAGACAAATAGTAGACTCTCTCAATCAGTATCAAATGGTGGCCACTCACGGACTGAACCTGTTTTGCGCCTTATTACGAACTCGACTTGCCAATGACATTCCCCTATTCGACTTTTACTACGCATTATGTACTAAGGCTTGTACTCTATGCGGCGAATTCGGTGGATTCATATCCCTCTTAACTTGGACTCGATGCTGTTTTATGTGCCTTCGTAAGGCTCCAGAAACCCAAATACAACCTCTTGCCAGTGTCCGGAAGCAATTCCGCTTGACTAAGTCTGAAATAAACCAATTGAGAACATTCAAGACGTTGCCTGGGATATATTCGATGGAAGAATCCATATACAAATCCCGGATTATGATCGCTTCTCCTCATCAGGCCAAATTAATTTCCGGGCGGGAACCGCAATCCCCAGCGCAGGCATTGCCAGGGAACTTGGGACGATATCGAAAACTAGCATTCATGGGTTCTTGCGCACTTCCTCATTATGATGGACAAACTGGCAAAGTCGAACATGGGGTATCGTGTGCAGGGTGTCAACTCGCTCTTGAAAAAGACATCATCGGCTCCAGGGGAGACAAATGGGCTTTCGAGGCTCGTGATAAGGTATATTCGCAAGATGGCTTTTTAGAACATTTTCGGTGGTGCGAACAGGCACAGCTCCTGTGGAGATCGAGTAGTGAAGGTCGCAATCGGCCAGCCGAGTTACCGGAGGGTGCCCGGCGAGGAGGCTATTTTAATAGTAGAGAATAGCGGAGATATGAAAACAACTCGCCAAAGTCAAACGGCCATGCTTTCTGCATAGTACCAGGGAGAACGCACCTAAAGGGTGGGCAAAATTCCTAATCTACAATTCGTCATCTCAACACAGCCCCCAAAATCCAAAGGCCAAGCTTTACTCTTCAAGAATCTCGCCATGTTGATCTATGTATATCGCCGATAAAAGAGCTGGAGGGTTTGATTGTTAAATTTGTCGACGACTCAGGATGCGGCGGAGATTTCATGTTCGATGGCTAAGGTTGAAGCTTGGTCTCCAGATATACACGATATATTATGTCACTAACGGGGATGCATTCTGTGTAAATCAATTCATGAAATCAAATACAGCTATCTGTCTATCTATCTAACCAGCTCTCATATAGCTACGGATTACAATTACCAATAATAACACCCATCGTGCCGATTCAATCCCCCGTCCTCACAACTCTCATCTAATTGCTTCCCTTACAAAGAAGAACGGAGGAAGTCGAAGATGGAGGCGTATGCGGCCTTGTGAGAATAGCCAAAGTTGAGGCCATGACCAGCCTCGGGAATGACAGCCGCCTCGAAGGTGGAGGCGTTGGGGAAAAGAATTTCAGAGAAGGCAAGGAGGTTTGGGAAAGCTCCCTGGATGGTGGTTGTGTCCGAGCAGTTACCGCCACAGAAAGGAACGTCTCTCTCTGAACGAACAAGTATTAGTGATACTGTTTCACAGGTTGATAGATGGAATACTTACCTCCTGTGGCAATGAGGAGGTGGCCCCTGAAGGCGTTGACAGTGCTGAGGCCGGCGCCAATAGTAAGAATCTCGCCAGGGGTAGCTGGCTGGCCGTTTGCAAATGCAGACGCGAGCATCTTGGGGTCGAAGTCACCAGGAGCAAAGAACTGGATGTTGACACCAACGCTTGATGGCACTGCAACGTAGCCGGCGGGATATTTGGCCGCAAGTGAAGGAATCTCCTTTACGGGCTTGAAATTGCCGCCGAGGGCAAAGCCGGAGAGGAAGTTTGCGTTCTGGCTGAAGCCGGTTAAGACGGCAGCGTCACTGAAGTCGGGGTTGGCATTGACGAAGTTGTAAGTTATGGCGGAGCCGAAAGAGTGGCCGACGTGGACGAATTTGCTAAATTTGGCGTTGATGCCCTTCACGCAGCCTTTGCGGAGGAGGGTGGAGAGTTCCGTGAGGGCAGCAACCTCAAGGTACTGTTGGATCTCGTTGATGGGGTTGCCTTTGGAGGAAGCGCCAACTCCGAGACGGTCCCATGTGAAGGTCGAGTAGCCCTGCTCGTCAACAGCTTCGGCGACATAGCTGTAGTTGTGGTTGTTGAAGGGATAATCCCAGTAACTACGATCGAAAGCGATGCCATGAGTCAAGACCTGGAGGGCTTTGCCTGGGCCGTGGTCTGGCTGGCAGTAAGTGGCGGCGATATTATAGTGGCCGCTAACAGTTTTATACTGGCAAAGCGCTGTTAGCACAGTTATGGCTTCTCTGAGAGGTGGTGAAATCATACTCCTGTCAGGAGGGCGTCGGTGTAGTTGATGCCTGCGTGAACAAAGCCGAGGAAGAAGCTAGTGACATCAATCTCTGATAACGGTGCTGGAAGATCAAAGACAGCGTTTCGAGCTGAGATGGAGATAGGGATAGTGAGGTCGTGGCATTTTCGTGCCGTAACGACAGCGGCCAAAGCCAGAAGTGCTGCTGATTTGAGCATGATATCAAAAGTGAAGTGAGAGGGTGGCAATTGACTGTGAGAGCGATGTTGATGAATGGGATGCTACATTATTTGTTTTTGGGACTGTAGCTAGACTTATATACAGATATTCTGGTGACGATGGAAGTATTATCAAGTTTCTCCGACATCTCGTATACTCGATTGTCATTCACATCGGCCTCGGCTCTAATTCATCGCCCGACAACTGTGTGAATATTTCTTTACTCTTGGAAATTGTAATTCCATGGTCCACAGTGATGCACTCTTGATCGAAGCTTGTGACTGTTTGGTTAGCTTCCGCCGTTCACCGATCCGTGTACCTGAAGGACATGTGTCGACGTAATGCAGGGGTTAATGACTCGAAAATGGCTCTTTGACGTAGTTTACAATAGAAAAGGCTATACGATTAAGCTCCTTTTTCCCCGACTTTTCTTGGCTGTCCGTAAGAAGAAGCATCTGTCAGCAAGAGTGGGTTTATTGAGGATCTCCTCGAATCCTTCGCTCGTCGGGCGAACAGTATATAGGCTGGATATGTCAAGGATTCAAAGTAAGAATGTCGGCAGTTTTTAGACACTTAATTCATTTTCGGTATGTGTGTGCTTCCTTTCAAGGCGGGCAACAATATTTTCCCATGTTATCCAGTTGTAAGTCCGAGCTCGTCCGGCGCTTTGGCCGGCCGGTGAATCGAGAGTCGGAGGTGTTTACGAGAAAATCCTTGAAAATTTGAGCAATCGAATTCCGAAATGGGTTGCTAGCCCCAGTTTGGCACTCAGTCGCCATCTGGCATTCCAAATAATCGAGGTCCGTACAGCCTCAAAGTCGAAGCCTCCGACTTTCGCGCTAGTTGAACTATTTGGAATATCAAGTAAGCCACTTTTCCAGAAGGAGTTGCTTACACTCATGATTAGTAACACCAGGGAATTCGGACTCGGCTGAGCCGCAATACCGCGGTTGCAACTATTCGTGAGGAGCCCGTTTATTCATTGACCCCCACCAAATGTGGATGAGAGGGTTGTGGTCCTTGGAGGATGTCAGCCGAATGGCTGAAGATGCTCAACGGGGATGCGGACTAGGGGCCTAAGGAGAAATGGAATGATTTGATTGGTTGCGGTGACATTCTGAGAAGGAGAAGAAAACTGGAACGATATATACTATATATCGGCAACACCCTTTTGCCACAGCTTTGTTCTTCTTTTCCTTTGTTCTTCCGTCCCCTCTCAACTGCTTGAGATGATTGAGCAACAAGTGTGCTCAAATTGCAAGAAGAGTTTACAAAGTCCTTGACAGTGTCATCAAACACGGTACGCAGCCCAAATGATCTTTATCAAGTCACTATAGTAAGCCGATATTCCATTGCTGCCAATATTCTAGTATAGTAGCTACTCTTACAAATAGTCGTTTCGATACATTCCATTGTTGCATCAGTTTGAGGCCATTAGAAAAATCCCAACGTGAATAAAATATGCCATGTATCTGTCAAATACCTGTCAGCATCTTGCTGCTATAGATCTGCCGAGTAAGATGCGACAATGTGACTTTCTAAAAGAGTCTGATGCGTCTTACAACAGCTCTTTTATCACCTCTCTCTAAAAAAAATAGGGAAAGGGAGAAAAGAAGAAAATAAAGTGATGCAAGAGGCAGAATTGCATGATGGCCTTAAACAGGGAAAATGTTCTCCCAGTAAGTCAGACCACAGGGAAGGTGGCCACACGGGGAAAAGGGCCATTTCCATACAAATTTATATAGGCTTTTATAAAACTATTAATAACAACTACATTGCTGGATATTATAAATAAATATTTTTAATATAAAAAGCTTATATATATATTATTACAAAAATATTATTATTTTTTATTAATAATCAATATTATAATAAATATATAGGAGTTTATGATTGTTAAGATTTACATAGAAATTACATATAAACACTAACAGATTTACTATATTATTTTTAAATTTATGTAATATATTATATAATTACATAATTAAAATAAATTATATTTTGTTATATAATATTAGTAATTGTATATATTAAATAAAGTTTTTTATATTTATAATTATTTTCTATAATTAATTATGATTTTTTAAAAACTGTGAGTTTTGGTGTAAATGGGTGGCCCTTTACCACGGGTGGCCACCTTCCCTGTGGTCCGACTTACCTTGGGCTTCTATTGACATTCTGTCGGATGAGTGCTGTAATTGTTTGCCCCTGCATAGACGGAAATAAATATGTCAGCAGTGTGCAACGGAAAATCCATGGACATGCGGGTTGGATAGCCGTGTATAGTTCCAATATGGAACTTCTACAGTGAGGGTTTTATCAATATTTGTCAATATATCTGGATGCTTTTTAGCCTCTATTTTCAATGTTATGTGTATGCACCGACACTTGCGCAACGCACTAACGTTGTACAGTCTCTCAAAACAGAAGACGCCTGGAACACAGTCAACTTCTAGCGAAAGCCACAGGAAGACAAAGATTAGTCCCGATCTTCCCGTTACAATGGCGTGCTTTGACGTATTATACCCCAAGCCACAGATTTTACCTGTGCCAGATGTGTTGATTCCGTCTTATTTTAAAGTCATCATCCTGGGGGCTGTCATTGTCAGCAACTAGAGCGCCACGTGTCTGAAGAGCAAAATCACATTTTCAACAGCCATTTTGTAATCATCGTGGGCTACAATTGCATCAGAAAACAAGTAAGCTCACTCATTATAGTTAAGAGTTGAGGGTTATTGGTTGTACATGTCTAGAGTCAACAACTGATTAGTAGTTGCGGATGGAGAACAAGTTGTATTAGTGGGGAGTTTCGGGAGGAGTGAAAGTCATGACAAGTGGATTTGAGTTCTGTTTAGTTAGAAATCTTTAATTTTATTTCGTACTCTGTCCAACTAAGAGACATGATTAGTTTCGACTGGTACAACTCTCTCTTCGGTGGTGCTTTTGTTCTCCGACCCCAGCCAAGTTACCAATGCCTGCAAGTTAATTGTTCTTTTATCAAACGTATGTCCACCTTATGGAGTATTACTCGGTGCTTCAACTTGGATAATTTTGGCCTTCTCACCGCTATGTCTTAACTGGAACATTAAACCATTGAAGCCGCTGATGGTTGACCAGACTCTTCTACTGTAAATCATAATAGCCTAATTACTGCTAGCCTCACATACAGCCATCTGCTCATCAAGATTGTGACAATTTCTCGTTATAATCATTATCTACTTCTGTCTAGGAACAATGGTGCGACCACTTTTGAGTTTAGCTGCGTCTGAATGCCCCGGCAACTTCAATAATAGCTTTAAGCGAAAATCTCTGCCACATCAACTCCTTTAGGAGCAGAAGCAGCGCGAGCAAAGATCTCGGCCACGTCAACACCCTGGGGGGCTGGAGCAGAACGAGCGAAGATTTCAGCAGTATCGACGCCCTTAGGAGTAGGGGCACCACGAGCAAAGATCTCAGCGGTGTCAACGCCCTGGGGGGTGGGGACATCATTGCGGGCGAAGATCTCGGCAGTGTCAACACCTTGGGGTGTTGGAGCACCACGAGCAAAGATCTCAGCAGTATCAACACCTTTGGGTGTGGGAGCGTTACGAGCAAAGATTTCGGCCGTGTCAACGCCCTTGGGAGTTGGGGCGTTGCGAGCGAATATCTCAGCGGTATCAACACCCTGAGGAGTAGGGGCTCCACGAGCAAAGATCTCAGCGGTGTCAACGCCCTGGGGGATAGGAGCCTTCACTACATCGTACGATGTTAGCATAAAATGATTACAGAATTTCCGTTTTTCTTACCTGGAATGGGGTTTGCGATGGCAGAACCAACAAGAGGTGGCGAGAACCGCGGCTGAGACACTGGAGAAATACATCTTCGAGTTAAGGTTAGGAAGTTGACACTGTTTAAACAATGTTTCGTAGAGTTTCGTAGAGTTTCGTAGAGTTTTGTAGAAGCTAAAGGATGAGGTGGGAAGATTGTGATTGTCTCTGAGATGAGATGACGTGATTTTTGCGAGACGAGCTGATACTTATAGTTCTTGAGTTGAAGTGATACTCGCAACCCTTGAGTAGTTGAAACTCGGACATCATAGTCCATGAATCATAAAGTTACAAAAATAAACCTTTTCATCCACCGTAAATCCACTGTAATATTGATTCGTCCCCCCATGTCGTCTTGATATCGCACCGCGACGTTGATATCGGCGGTGAGTCCTAGTTTTGACTGATTTAATGCTGTTTTCATCGTTACCTGGAATGGTGCAATCTCGGAGCTTACTCAGACCGCACGAAAAGAAGTATTGGCAGATGCATGATTCGCTTGTCTATCAAGGATCCGAAGACATATTAACTCGACTACTGTGTCGGATGTAACTCGTCCTATGGTCCGGGCATCCGAAGGGGTCTTAGTGGATAGATCTCCCTTGCATCTAATACAGGTCATGTTACGTACTCCGTTCTGAATTGCAATTAGGCGCCTGTCATACTTCCAGTTGGTCACACGCTTCACTTTATTAGACAAACAAGGCAACAATACCGAGCCACATATTCCAACCTTCTTCTTTGTTCCCTCTTTCTACTGCTCAACTGTTCAACTTTGGTCGCCATATTCTGTGCTTTCACAATGGCTGTTTCCTTTTCTCGACTCTCCATGAGTGACAGCTCGTCAGAGAACGACGAGTCTGACCGACTCATGGAGAAAGGTGGCTCGGTCGAATCACTCTTGCCAACAACAAGAAATAATGTACCAAAGGGCTTCACTTGGGGAAGATTGTACTCCCTTGTACTTCACTTACTATGTGTTGGCTTGATAGTTGCCCTCTGGATGGGCCGTCAAGAAAGGTCGTACGCTGCGGCTCTTCGCGGACGTAGTTGGTGTAAGTTTCTACAATCACAACCTATTTAAAGCCCAAAAGCTTACTATCGGTTAGCTCCTGCCGCAAAATATGTTGAATATGAAGTCAATGAAGATCACCCTATGGGCTATCACGAAGTCAACAAGTATGCCGGGCCTCCAGACGCAGCTCAAGACGCGGCGTGGGACGCCCTGATTAGGCGTACGTATCCGTCTTTCAAGCGAAGCCGATTTCAACTAACAATACCACAGCCGTCTATTTCAACGCAAGTGTCGAAGAACTGAAAACGGCGGGAGAGTCATTTGAAAACATTGCCGAGTTGACTGGTGGCGGCTATCCTGCCAGCCTCGGCGTCTATCACGAACTACACTGTGTGGTAATTTTCTTCTCTTTCCTTCTCAACTTCTCTGAACTAGATAATCTGACATTTGCTACAGCGGCAACTGCGCTTCTGGCTTTACCGCGACTACTACTACCCAAACCTCACCAAGGCAGAAGATGAATACCTCCACACCCATCTCGGTTCGTAACTCCGTGCCCGCACTTTCAGCAAACTTACTAACTCAAGTAAACTCGCAGATCATTGCACAGAAACCCTCCGCCTAGCCATCATGTGTCACGGCGATACAGGGATGTATACGTTCGCTTGGATGGATCCCAAAGCACCCAAGCCGATGACGCAGACAAACTCCAAGTTGGCCTGTGTAAAATGGAGCTCCATCGAAGATTATGCCCGCACTAGAATGATACCGACGCATCCTTCTCTGATTCACCCATCAGGTAGTTCCAATTAATTAATTTGTATGGCTTCACTCAATAGGTTGTGATAATTGCGCACAACGCATTGGCTCGTTCTTTAAAATTTAGAAAGAGAATGGCCCGCAGAGAAAAAATGAATAAAAATAAAGAGTTCAAGGCCAGTAATTTGAAGTATTATGTCATATGGGCTGTATGATACTAAACGTTTTTAATTTTTCTCCCAAGCTACTCGATGGTTCTTTATGACATAAGACTTGTTGCGTCGCAATATGAAACACCTACCATTTCTTCAACTGTGTAATGGTAGGAGTAGCAAGGGGCGGTATAATAAATATTAATCTACTCACAAGCACCGTTTGAATAAACTATATATCTTATATCTCCCTTGACCTGTAACTTGAGATTCATGCATTGTTATTTGGCTATGCCGCAATTCAGGGTAGGTCACAATGAGGGGTTAACTCAACTTACATATTCTACATCATGTCAATGACAATATGTACGTTGACAGGAATAGATCTATAAACTTCAAAGCTTCACTGCTGCTGGTAGACTGAAATTGAGAATGGTATAATAATGAATTAACGTACGCGTTACGGCGACGCCACATAATTGACTAAACAACTACTTGAACAAGTTCATTATCATCTAAGCGAGAAGAATAAAAGAAAGGAAAATGCACCGTCGCACATCCCATTGCAGGGACGCAAACCGCCGTCGTGGATCTGCTGGTACACCACTCGCTATGCAGGCTGTAGTATACAATATCTATCCCGATCCTCGAAAACCCAATCCCACCCGAAACGAAAAGAAAAAAACGCCGAGAGAAAAGGAATCATGCCAGGTTTATGTGATGGACCAGTCTGAGGTGAGGCTCTCCCACCTATCCAGTTTCCAAATCCCGGCGGAGCACGGGGGGATCCTAAGCAGACCTGCTGCGAGTCGATCAACCCAGCATGATCCAAGTCTCTCCGGATGGGTTGTTTGCGTTCTCCACAATCTCCGTCTGGGACGGCACATCATCATCAAGCTCACTATCGGTAAAGCAATCGTAATCAGAGAGGTCAACCATCAACTCTGGGGGTTGAGATGTCTCGACATCAAATGTTGGATTTGACGCGTCCTGGCCGTAGACGACTCTTAGCGAAGGGAAGGCCTCATTTGTCTCTGAGTCGTCAGCAGCTGAACGCCGAGCTGTTGAAGCATTTGACTTGGCGCTACACTCGCCAATGTCGGTATAGGAGAGGACGAGGGCGGCAGGCTTGGCCTTCTTTGACTTGCGGCCCCGCTTCGCAGGACGAATGGTGTACACTGGGTCCTCGTGCTGGATACTGTTGAGGTTGAAGATTTCCTCAGGGCGCTGCTCATCACCGTCGTAGAGCAGGCCCTGGTGGTAAAGCTCAGCGATCTGCGCATCTTCACTGTCGGGGGAAGTGCGAATGTGGACTTTGCCCTTGGCGGTGCTGGCAACACGGAAAGCCTCCTCGCGCTCCAGGCTGGGCCGTCTAACAAGTCGAGAAGCGTCGCCTGGGAGCGGCAACTCGCTGCGAGCGAGATCCCGGCCCTCCTCCTCGTCGTTCCGAGGTGATACGGTGGGAGCGCGGGTCTCACGCTTGGGCTGCTGTTCACGAGCAGTGGCTATGACGGCGCGAATGTCCCTCTCGACATGCGATCGAAGAGGACGAGGAGCCTCGAAGGAGCCTCCATCCTTTCGTCGGGCCGCCCACACACCGGAGAGGCATGGAAAGGTGGGGGTTTCCTGGTAGGAGAACTGATGATAGATGGCATGGTTCTTGGACTCCATCAAGCGCTTCGCCGTAGACCTGATCAGATAATTGGTGCCACGGCGTCGGAGGACGCCGCGCTTGGACTGGACATGGCGGCGCTTGGAAGCGGCGGATGCAAGGGACTTGTGATCAATGATGACATCCATGATGGCTTATATAGGTATGCGACTGCTGCAGTGGACAGATACGAGAGAGAAGCTTGGTAGCGGATCGGATGGCAGTGGAAGATGGTCGAATGCGAAGATGTCACAGAAGACGACGGGTATAGGGCGTAGGAAGAAGTGATGTACTGTTGAAAGGGGTGCCATGTCAGTCGAGATAGGAAAGACTAACACGATTCTAGCCAGGGGATCACTTACCAGGGCGTGTAGGTACTAAGCACGAAGGGGTACCAACGTACGAAGTAGATGAGGCACTAGGTAGGTAGGTAGATGGTAGGTATTACAAACGAGCAAAGGACACGCAGTGAAGCGGTTACAGAAGGCGCACTCAAAGGAATAAGGCGCGCCCAAAGAAGGGATTGGATCGTGTTTGCCTTTATGAAGTAGAAGCTCAAAGAGCCGTGTAGAAGCAGCAAGGAAGACAAAGAGAGGCCCTAGCACGCTACCCCGGCCTAGCAGAACATCTTATACCAGTTGCCCTCTGGCTGCTATCACGTCCTGCTCAACAGGCTGATGGCGTGCTGATTGGCCATGGGAAGAGTCATCTGGCCGTGCTGGACGAGCGCATGACGTGACTCACTCTATTCCAAGGATTGGCCGGGCTGGTGGCGCAGTTGGCCAGCGAGAGACGGCCCTCGGGAAAAGGGGCTGTTGGCTGGAAGCGGAAGAGCGCCATTGCGAGGCTGACGGGAAGGACGGCGCCGGAGTACTTGTACGAGTAGCAGTACTTTGCGTTGTACAGTACAGTTCGGTTATGCTTGTGCTTTGTGCTAGGTGAAAGAAGGTGTGGACGATGATGAAGAGGTGTGTCACCGGTAAGAATACGGGGCAGAATAGGAGGCAGACACCGGAAGAGGAAAGCGGCGTGAGGCCTGCATGCATTGGGGAGTGCGGAGTACAGGGAAGCGAGTGGATACCGCCAGGTACCAGCGTATCTCACACGTCATATCAGCAGGAGGTGCTGAGTACTTGGGACCCCATGACACAAACAAGACGTATCATGTACTGCTACTTGCTATCAATAGCCCGCAAGGTACTGGTTCGGTAGTCGATGCTTCCAGCAGCGTGGGATGGGACAGCCTGGACGGGACATGCAACCCCTTCCTCCCAACGCCAGTATCAATCATGATTACCAGTACAGTGCACGCCTTACAGTCCATGTGGTCTAAGTAAGATGAGATGCACCCTGCTGGAAAGAGTAGCAGAAGAGTAAGCTGCACAGGTGCATAGTAGTTCGGACTCTTATCAGCTTTCCGAGATCATGCAGGAGTTCCGGGTACTTATTACTTTAGGTAATAGGTAGGTCCTTTGTGATGATTTCACCCAGCAAATGAGCACAAAGATTACGGAGCAATACCTACTTAGTATAGAGCCATTGCCGCGGCTCACGCAGGATTGCTTCCCCGGAGCCTAAAATGGCCGGGCTGCGTTGGCCGATGCCGCGCGCCTCACATGGGGGCAAAGAGCCGCTATCAGTGGCTTACTAGGAGGCGACCCTTGGTTATCTGTGGCTTGAACTCGAGTGTCTCACAATGATGGAGGAGTGCCTAGCACCAGTTGCCTGTAGGCCTATAGGGGGGCCTCTCTAGGCTACAGTGGCCCACGAGAGTCATTCACAGCCACGAGACCAACGCTCCAGCGCACTCCCGAGGCTCTGCGCCAGCCCGCGAACTGTGCCATGTGAACAAGGCAAAAGGCAGACTGACATTCAAAACAACTTGATGGTGAAAAGGCAATATTACGGGGTACGTCCGCAATTTGGCTATGGGGAGATGGGGGATGCAATCAAAGGAGTCGAGACCGCTATTTGGTCCTGTGCAGAGGATGGAACGGCTATTAGTGTAGTAGCGAATCATATGAGCACCTCTGCAGTTGTTCTTACGCCATTGCCGACAAAGTACCAGTACTCGTACCATATGGCTTATATTCTATTAGGTACTATTAGGTAGTCTAGTTGATTAACATCCGCGGCAAAATGATTGGTACGTAATAAGATGGATGGGTATCGTTTCAGACGAAATGCGTACGGAGCAGACCGGAGCCGAGGAGATGGTGGCAGCAGGATTGTCGCGTCAGATCCGATATGGGGTGCAGCGCAGATTGCAAGGTAATAGTGCTAGTACTAGTACTTCGTATTCTTGCTCACGGTGATAACAATGAAGCCCGTCCATGCCCAATATAAGTCTCAAGCAATATTTATGCAGTGTGCCATCCATCAATACTGCAGTAGCAACGCGCTGGATGCATGTTTCGGCCCATCAGATGCAATTATCATCACAATCTACAGGCGAGTTTAGCACTAAGGCACATGTAGGTAAATATCATTGATGTTACGTTAGCCGAACCCATCAGGGTACGTAGCATTGCATTCATCCCATCACCGATAAGGCCCAGCCGATAGCGCTGATAACAAACCACCCCAGATTGATGACGGAATCGTGTTTGCATTCAATTCTATAAACAAGATCTCATGATAAGTATATCGCTCCCAATACATTCACAGTACAGTACAATCACAGTGCCTCGTCCAGCTTGACGTCCATCGCCGCCAGGTACGTCTTGACATCCGTCATCGCCATCCCCCGCGCTGAATTCACCGTCTTGTCCTGGCCCCAAGCCACCCCCCTGCCCTGAGCAAACGTATCCCTGTACTTGACCATGGTGTTGTCCGGATCCTCGCGCATCTGCTTGGCCAGCTCGTCCAGGTCCCAGAGCTCGCGCCGGAACTGGACGCCAAAGCGCTCGTCCAATAGATCGCCCACCTGCGCGTACGTGAGAGTGTCGCCCGCCACGTAGACGCACTGGTTCTTGACGCCTTGGGGATCCAGCACCACCTCCGCCGTCGCCCGGCCAATGTCCACGGGCGTTGTCAGCGTGATGCTGTTGTCCCACGAGCCGAGGCCGCGCACTGTCTTGGTGCTGAAGTCGACGATGCCGAATTCCGGCACGAAGAGGAAGCTCATGAAGAGGCCCGTCGACACGATGATCCATTCCGTGGCATCTTGCGCGCGTAGCATCGCTCGCACGCGCAGCTGCTCATCAAACAGATCCTGCGAACTGCCCAGGCCGATTGCGTCGTAGTCCATGCCAAACTGCCAGGGAAACCATCGCACCTTGGCCTCGAGCGCAGCCTGCGACAGCTTGGTCTGCGTTCCAGACGGCAGGCCCATGCCGTTGCAGGACACCACTGTGTCGTATCTGGCGAAGATGGCGGCGAGCTCCGACACCGAAGCCTGCACCACATCAGCCGCCTCGAAGTGGACGTCCAGCGCTCTGATTTGCTGAATCAGCCTCTTCTTATCGGGGGCGGCAGAGTCCAGTGTGGCCTGGCGCATCATGACGGTGATTCTGCTGTGGTTGCGCTTGGGGTGTCTGGAGAGCGCGTCCAGCACGGCGAGGCCAAGCTCGCCAGCACCCAGCACGAGGATGTTGTCAGTCATTGCTATGTTGTGATTGAGCTGTCGGTTGAGAGCCTGGAGATTGGCAAATGTGAGTTGGGGACGAGCATCATGATCGCCGTCCATTGGCCCTTATTTAACTTTGGCACTTGTTGAGCTTCGAATCGTCAACCGGCCTCCCCATAGAAGAATTTTCCCTCTTAGGCCATTACATGGCATGACCTCTGCCAGCCTTGATTCTTTCATTGGCCCGTCCAGCTTAACGCAGTTACTACTTTGTCGCATACATACTGTACTACTAAGCATTGCCGTCCTTGGCAACCGGTCCCTGACAAATGCCCTACCCTGCTTGTACGAAGATACGAAGATACGAAAATATACGAACGGCAAGCTCCATCGAACTTCTCGCAAACCGCATAGCTGCAACCTGCTATTCTTCTACGGGCATTTAGACTAGCTGAGGCGGAGTCTGGCATCGCCTTTGTTCGCGTTCGCGACGGATTTAAGCTACTTTGGCGGGGGAGAGAGGGGTCGAGTCATGTTAGTGAAATGTACGAGGAATCCGACTGCTGGCTAACAGCGTTGGATTCCCGGAGATTATTTTGGCTAGGCACAAAGGTTAAATGTTGACAGCTGCCGAGCTAGTTGCATTTGAAGGTTATGAATATTCTAGAAACTGACATCATCTGTCTTGGATATCTCCTACCGAGTGGCTACTCTTGTTTCTAAAACGCCGAAACAAGGCGGAAGACCTTGCTTGCATCATCTATCTAGTGAGGAGCGGTTATTTTCCTCGTTCGAGGCTGATGCTTTGGAACGTCTCTTACTGCGTTCGTGTTTACATAATGGCGATGCCGAGACACAACTAAACGGTCGTGTTCTTGTTGGCGAATCCCACAACATTGTTGCCAAAGTCAAAGACGACAAACTGAGCCTTCAAAGCAATGTCTCCCAACACGGCAAACGGCGCGCCCTCGGAATCCTGGAGGCCGCCGTAGCAATATGTCCTGTTCATCCTTCCATAGTTCATGTAAGTGCCTGGGATGACGCCTCTGTACTTGCCCAGCCCAAAGACAAAGTCGGGCAGCTTAGCGGTGCAGGGCACCACCATCATGCCGACGTCGTCGTTCATGGTCGAGCCGTTGACCTGCGCATAGTAGGCGTTGACGATGTCGGTGGGCGTCAGGAGCAGCGTGGTGCCAGTGTCGGCGATGGCGTTCCATACACGGGACACGTACTTTGACTCGTCGCTGCCGACGCGGTAGCCGCTGACGGAGATTTCCCATAGGGGGCCCTTGGGGTTGATGGCGGCGTACTGGATGTCGCCCGTGTACTCGGAGGCGTTGATGTAGCCAAAGTTGTAGTTGCCGGGCTTGCCCTTCTTGAGGTTGGCGGTGAAGAGCGGCTTCGCGAGCTGGTCCTTGATGTTGTCCAGATACGTCTTCTGCTTGTCGGGACGGACCGTGTTGCCAGCGCTGCCGGCGGCGCCCAGGAGGCCAGATGCGAAGGTGTCGTCGCTGATGTCGTCGGAGACTCTGATGGCTGATTCTATGGCCTGTTGGTCAAAGAAGGTATTGCCGATCTGCACGCGGTCCTTGTAGACGATGCCGTTGGCGCTGGAGCCGTCGCCGTACCTGATGAGCCATGATAACCCGGTCTGGCGGCGGCTTGTGTTTGAGGCGTTCGGGTCGTAAATGGCCTGGCCTTGAATTTGAGACGGATATGTGTCCGTTGAGAGGACCCAGCTGCATTTGATTGGTGTTAGAGGACGGTATATACACTCTCAACACAATGAAATCAACTTACAGATCTGACGAACCGGTATCAAGGTTCAGGGGCACGGTCTGAGGGGGTGTGCCAATCTTGACAGGCAAAACATATTCTGAATCGGCCCCCGGAGCCGGTGTGGCAACAGCAGTGCCCGTCTGATTGCCTGTTTCCTCAACCAGCTCGTTATTCACGGTTCCTTGAAACGCAAGGAGATGCTGGGGAGGGTAGAGAACTTACCAGCGTCAAGGAGCGAGCTGAACCTGCGGTGGAGATCCGGATTGACCCTTATCGCGTGCTTGATATGCTCTGATACCTGGGGGCTGTACTTTGCTAGAGCCGCAATGTAGCTGGCAGGGACATTGGGCCCTCGGAATCGTTCATTTTGGATCTGAGTAATGGAAAACGTCTTGCCATCCTCAGGGGCCTGGGCTGCTTCGCTCCTTGGCTGGGCCACTGACGCTGAAGCAGAGTTTGCTAAATATGCAAGTGTGAGAGCGGCTGCGTGGAACTTCATGATGGAATTGGTGTAATCCGAAGAATTTACAACAGAAAAAAGCAACTATGTCAAAAGCAAGTATCAACTATCAGCGGCTCTCTGCTCTTTTGAGTCGAGACCAGATGAAGCTGCTGATGCAAAAGGGGGGAGAGCTGGACAATCTCGTCCCTTTCATTTATGATATATATACTATGGCATTCCGGAATGAAACGGCTCTCTGCCTTTGGATTCCAGCTCCATTATGCTGTTTTACAAGCTGCAGCAGCCCGACTTCCGTATATCTACTGATCATTTCCGTGTGTAGAGATTTGGGCCGCCGCGTGATGGCCGGCCAAGTCATGGCAAGGAATGCGAGGCGAGGCATGTGCATGGTAATATTTGCATGCTGAAGAGAGCATGGCGTCCGCATGTCGACGAAATTGCGGGAAGGCGAGGGCATTTTGCGAGACATTCTATTCTCCTTGGTGCCGATCATGGGGATTGACCGAGACATTGAAAAGCAGCAGATATGCGTGGTCGTCCTTGGCCCTCTTCCGTTCACATCTTGGCTGTCTCCGATGGTCACGACTGCATTTCAGTTGCAAAAAGTGCTACCTAGTAATTGGTAAAGCTTAAAGATTGCAGCTTGATGACGGCATTGATTTCAATTCTTTATGCATGGCGTTTGGGCTTGAATGCATATTCTCTGTCTCAGTTGATCACATGGATGAGGCCTCCTTGCCTTTCTTGACACGGCATCCAGCGGCTTTTGAGCTCTGAGTCAACAAGAGCAAATCTGACTCTGTTTGACTTACAAATGGCAATTCAAGCCTTTTTGCCACAGCTTTGTAAAAGGATTGACAAGGATGTGAGACTCACGACGGGGTGTTGGAAATGAGGATTTCACATTCAAGGGGCACTCGCCACAGCAGAGGATGACTGATGATGATTTCTGGTACCTGATGTGGATGTACTCATCTACTGTAATCCGTAGCAGTTGGTGACTCACTGGGGGAAATCCCCGCTATTGGAGTCCTACGTCAGTGTAGGAAGTGACTTGGCGCAAAGTACCTCGCGCCATTGGCACATTTTTAGCAGCGGAAATGCGCCACCACACGGAAACTTCAAAATTTCTAGATAAGATAAAAAATCGACGGGCTGCGGGACGATTTTTTGCAGCATCAAGCCCAAGATTGTGAGCATTTGCGCACGACTGCTGTATTTTTTTCACTTGTTCTTTTACCCGTTTTCCCCTGCAGCAGAGCAGAAAATACACAGAAACACGCAGAAACAAAAAACAAAACACCTGCAAAATGGACGCTGAAGGTGTCGCAGCCTCCCCGGCAGCACCTCACCAGCCACCATACCAATATACGGCCAACCAGGGCTACGAGCAGACGGAACAGGTGCCCCGCGAATTGCTGAGGCAACAGAACGGCGCCCCGCTCGCCGATGACGAGGAAGAAGACGACTATCTCGAGGACATTTTCGACGACGACGACCAGAATGAGCAGGACGAGGAATGGGCTGCCGACGGCGACCTGACCAAGACGTACAACCGCCAGAGGCAGCTGACGGACGGCGCTGCGATTCCGCGCTCCAACCAGCAGAAGCCAAAGGCAAACACCTTTGCCAGCGTCGACGACCAGGTCTCGGCGCTGTCCAAGCATGCCACCAAGATCCGGCTCGACACCGTCAAGCAGGATGACGAGCGCGACAAGGACAAGGCCGACCGCGCCACCAGCGAGCAGGTGCTGGACCAGAGGACGCGCATGATTCTGCTGCAGATGATCAACCGCGGTGCTGTCAGCGAGGTCCACGGCGCCATCAGCACGGGCAAAGAAGCCAACGTCTACGGCGCCGTGTCGTACGACGAGGAAACCGGCGCTGCCACACAGAGGGCCATCAAGGTGTACAAGACGGCCATCTTGGTGTTCAAGGACCGCGAGAGGTACATCACCGGCGAGCACCGCTTCAAGGGCGGCTTCGACAAGGGCAACAACCGCAAGATGGTCAAGCTGTGGGCCGAGAAGGAGTATCGCAACCTGAGGAGGATATACAGCGCCGGCATTCCCTGCCCGGAGCCCCTGGCGCTGAAGCTGCACGTGCTGGTCATGGGCTTCCTGGGCGACAAGAAGGGCTGGGCGTACCCGCGGCTGCGCGATGCCAACCTCAAGGGCGACGACGTGGATCAGCAGTGGCAGAGCCTGTATGTGCAGCTGCTGGGGACGATGCGGCGCATGTACCAGGTGTGCAAGCTGGTGCACGCCGATCTGAGCGAGTACAACATCCTCTACCACGACGGCAAGCTGTACATCATCGATGTGTCGCAGAGCGTGGAGCCGGACCACCCGCGGTCGCTCGAGTTTTTGCGTATGGACATCAAGAACGTGGGCGACTTCTTTAGGCGCAAGGGCGTCGACACATTGCCGGACCGGGCCATCTTCAACTTCATCACCGTACCCGAGGGCCCGGTCGAGGAGCCCGAGTTGGCGGAGGCGATTGCCAAGCTGTACGAGACGAGGCACGCTGCTACCAACGAGGAGGAAGCCGCTGCGGAGGAAGTGGACACGGAGGTTTTCCGGAATCAGTACATCCCGCAGACGCTGGAGCAGGTGTATGACATTGAGAAGGATGTCAAGAAGCTTGGTCTTGGAGAGGGCAATGAGTTGGTGTACAGCAAGTTGCTGGCTGACCAGGTCGTTGCCCCCAAGGCAGAAGGCGAAGGAGAAGATGAGGAGGAAGAGGACTCGGAGGACGAATCTGGCGAGGGAGCTTCTCTCGGCAGCGACGATTCTGATGATGACGAGAGCCGGTTTGAAAAGGGACGGCCGAGAGGGCGCAAGTTTGAGGACAAGGATGAGAAGAAGGTATGTCTTTTGTCTCCCTATATGATCTTGAGTAAGGGAGAGTGATGACTGACTTGTGATTTTTTTTTTCCACACTGCAGCAACATAAATTGGCCGTTAAAGAGGCGAAGCGCGAGAAGCGAAAGGAGAAGATGCCCAAGCATATGAAGAAGAAGCTCGTCTCCAGTACGTCAAGAAAAACAAAAAAATAAACAACTAAAAAAGAAAAAAAAGGTAACTTTCGGAATAAAAAAAAAAGCATTTGACCATTTTTTCTCATTTTACTTTCCTCTTTGTGACATTGATACTTTTTTGCTCTTCATTGAGATGAAGCTACTATGATTGTGACCGCATATGAATGCAAAGATGGACAGGAGACATGTTGGATGATGAGCACTGATTGTCGCGACGAAGGCCAAGAATCGTGGTTTAACATCTGAGGATGCGTAACCCTTTTCTTGGACTTTTTGCTTGCGATCTGAGTTTTGCGCGAGGGTGACCCGCGAGAATCTGGATGATCAAAGAGAGCGCTGACAACTTGTTTCCTGGCCCCCTCGAATTGTGCTATATACATGGTAGGATACAATTTTGCCATTATTAATAAAAGGGAAATATAGTCTATATGCTAATCAAATAACAAACTTCACCACCCCTTCATACATGTGAATAAAAACAAGTAAACCATTGACTTTTTTTTCTGTACACTACGCGTATTCATCATCATCATGGTCCATAATGTTACTCCCAACTTCCCTACGCAAGGATATCCACAAAGAAATAGAATACAACATAGTCACATCCTCTCAATTCAAATTAAAAATAATACTGCTGGTGATTTTGGCCTGGCGGGGGCTGTGCCAGGAAGTCAAAGTTGAAGGCGTCCACGCCAGTGTTCCACGGATCGGGAGGAGATTCTGGGCCAATGGTCAGTTTACTGGTGTACTTAATCTTCCTGTCATACGAGTGAGTGGACTTACCAACCCAAATGGAATCGTACAATTCCATGGGGGCATTGTACTGCATCGGATCGACGATGGGCGGTATGCCTTCCATGGCGAGACTGCTGTTCATTTGTTGTGGGTAGCTCATCCTGGTTCAGCGAGTTAGCATTTTGATATAACCCAAAAAAAATGAAAGGAAGAAAAGAGAAATTTTGCTTGTTTACGTACGCAGTCATGTCTTGCATAGATGAACCGTTTTGCATCTCGGCCATGGCCATTGCTGCGTCTTCGCGGGCATCTGTTACTTGCGGCAATGGGCGGAACGAGGGATTCGATATCATGGCATTATAGCCGCCCTGGCCATTCAGTCCGAGATGCAGAGGAGTCCTGCTTCCACTAGCGACAGCAGACATGTCGCCTTCTCGCTTCAGGCTCGACATATTGACTTGTCCGTGGTCGTAGATGTTTTTGAGGGCTGTAAGTGCCCTCCACAGGGGGCCCGAGAGCTCAATGTCTTTATCAGTCTTGGCGACGTGGGCCTCTGGCGAGCTAACTTCCTTGGCTGCCGTCGCAGAAAGTGCTTCTATCAAATCTCCCTGGAGTTGTCGGACCTCAGGGTCAGACTTGGTATCGGAGCTGAGACCAAGCAGCAGGGCCGATGACAGGCCATGATAAGTGAAAGCCCAGCTTCGCGTGGGAATCACCGAAAGCTGGTGCATGGCAAGGAACATCTTCACCGTCTCGGTCAAGTTGATCCTGCATCTGTCTGATAGAGCTTGCTTTTGCGCCGGGTCAAAGGTGCAGTCCCTTCGAAGCGCTGGTCGACACGCGACGGATATAACAAAGGACGTATGGAGGCGGATGGCAAAGAATTGAAGACGATCCAATGCCGTCTTGCACTTTTCTTTGTCCTGCATATGGGGCGCTGCTCGTTTGCGAAGCTCCTCGACAACCTCGCAATTTTCATAGATCTGCTCGTAGGTAGCGGAGGCCATGACATCGGGATTGAGTCGCCGCGAAATGATTTCGATGAGGTTATACATCATCTCCAAATAGCCATAGTTTCCAATCGTTGAATCCAAATTGTGTGGGATCGGGCAACTCGGGATGTTTGTCATTGAACTCCTATGCGCCAGTAGAATTAGCATTGGTATTCCGCACCTTGAGGATAAGCGACAAAGTCTTACCGATCAAACGACAGGGATGTCAGGGTATCGTGCCAGACACATGACCACCACAGTCTGCGTCGAATCATTTCCTTGGACTTGGCGGCAGGGGGTGAGTTCTCTCGACTGGCGCGGACGGTCGGCCGATGCAACCCCAAGGATTGAGCAAGGCGACAGGTCAGGCCAGTGAGCGCCCACGAGGCTTCCGCCTTCATGTCATTGAGAAGGACAAAGTTTGTCAACAGTAATGCTTGGATCGAGTCAAACGATGGCCTGTACTCAGAATACATTGTTAGAGCTCGGATGGAAGTATGCAACGTGTAAGTCGGCTGTTCTCTCACCTCAACAGAAAGTTGGCCAACCGCAGCAAATGGAAGGATATCTGAATGTATTTTTGCGAGTCCTTTGTGCGGATATGGTATGGGGATTCGTGGTACTGGGAACCGACTGCCAAGACTGCGAAGAGAATGGCCAGCCAAGAAGCCGTCACTGGTTTTGAGGCTCTGCCGGATTTGGACGCATTTCGGGATCGGTCTTCCAGATAGATCATGAGATTGGACTCGAGCTCATCGATGTCGAGAACGAAGCCCCAGAACGGTTGCGGAATCTCCTTGTAAGTGCGGAAAAGCCTGTTCAGTTAGTGTTAGTATGAGATTGCTTCTCATGAGGGCGATCTTCGGCAACACGACATACTTCATAACTTCTCTGTCCGACGGCAGCTCGGTGGCAATATCTCGAGCAAGTCGCTGAAGGTGGGTGGATGACATGAGTGGAAAAGGGGCGGAGGTGTCAAGTCCCAGAATGGATCTCATGTCGCGACGGATGTCGGTGCCGTCTTCTTTGTTGTTCGGCGATTGCTCTCCCAGCAGTGCCGGGATGCTGTTTTGTCCAACATAACGGTCAGGTACTGAGTCAGAGTCGTCCTGGTTTGTGGACAGCCCTATAAAAGATGTTATTCAGAGAATTCAAAACACAAGGCTGAGCGCGTAACTGGATGCCATGAGCTTACCAATTGCTGGCGGCCAGCTATCTTGGCGCTCATCCTTCACATTGTCGTCTCCGTCAGACGGTGATCGAGCCCTCTTGCGGCTGTGGGAAGCGGCGGTGGCATTGTGCTTGCTCGCCGACGATCGATTCGGCTTATAGGAGCACAGCTGAGGGTGTTCTCGCTTGACGCAATTCTCACATGGCTGCTGGTTGTCACACTTGACCTTGCGCTGACGGCATGGCCAGCAGGCGGTCCCTGTGGTGCATTAGTCGCGCGGCAATTTGAGAGAGATCCGGAAGGATGTGATGGCGCAGATTTTGCTCGCGCGACCACTGACTGGGAAGGGGAAGTGTTCTGGGCTGTATGCTCTACTTACCGTAGCGAACCTTGCGGTGCGAGTGGATGATGCGGCTGGCCTCCTCAGGTGTCAGATCATCGACTGGCACCTGTTCGTCCGCGTCATTATCAACCATGATTGGATTTGATGCAACAATCTCAGCACCCGCGGGTTATTTGAAATGCATGCAGTGGACCCGAGCGTCCAATTACTAGCTGATGACTCTGGGCTGCTGCGAAACTCAGTTCATCAACGCCGAACACCGAGCATCTCCACGAGCGCAGATGGTGGAGGATCCGGGAAAGCTGGTGCTGATGGCGGATCAACTGGCGGTCCGGGGGTGGAGATGCTGTTGAGTCTGAGATGACGCGCTCGCCTGGGTGCACGTGACTGCGCATCCTGTGATTTTACACGTGCTGCCTTCTCCAACGGTGGCGGCTCGGCGATTCCCCGCAATCGCGGGAATGGCACAAGTTAGCCTTGGCCTGGCATCCACCACAGCAAGGGCTTATTGCAACACTCACTCAATACGGACCGAGTCGGTGGATAAGCTTTCGCTGCTAGCCGCTAGACAGTGCCATCAATGTCTGGCCCTTCAGGGTCTCAAGGGCATGAGCGGCCTGCCCTTGAGCTGGACCGCATCATCAACAGGCTCAACGATGGCTTTGCGCTGCGGCTTCGCAAGCCAGATATAACGCTCTCTCCTCGCAAAAACCGCGAGCGGCAGCGAAGTGATGAAGAGGCCCGGGCTGACGACATATATGAGAAAATCCGATTGCTGTACTATCGGAAAGACACCCGGCTAGCCACATGTCTGGGGCTCTTTGAGAAACAAGGGCGATCGATCTTGTCCAACAACCCCACCCGGTACTTCTCTGCCGATGTTCGGGCTTCACTCCAAGAGTGTCTCCTGGATATCCTTCGGGGTGGTGATGGCCTGCAATCGAAGCAATGGACCAAGAGAGTGTCTGAAGAGACTGCGGATTACTCTCAGAAGCGACCCAGAGGCCCCTTACCTCACAGATACGACCACCATGGTGCAGTGGATGCTCTCCCAGTCCGCTCAAGTGACTCCTTTAGAGACAGTGGTGTCTCGGTAGCTTCTGGGAGTTGCTCTATAGGAGAAGTTATTCAGCCAATTCCTCACCAGACATACCCTGATCGGTCCTTTGGTTCAAGCCGAGCTTCTTTTCCCTCTGAAGTCTTTTCTTCAAAGAACACTCAAGATACGTCATTCATCAGCCAGACAACTGTTGACTCTGGATACCAAGACAACTCAAATCGCTATCCATACTCACAGCAAACATCAGCTGAATCTTTTTCACATTCGTTTGAATTGAGCCAAAGCCAAAGGGATCCGCAGCAAAATCAGAATTCTCTCCCTCGTACACCGACCAAGTCCGCCGATAAACTAGAGCACCTCGATGATTCAGATTCTAAAAGCCTGGTGGCATCGTCAAGCCGCTCCAGCAGTCCTTCTGTGGGTGAGACAATTGAGGACAAGCTGGATAATATATGGCGTAAGAATACGTAATTGCTAGAGACTTCATGGGTCGTCGCTAACACTGGTGGATAAAATAGCCAAATTACCGATTCCAGCGTTAACACAAGCGCCTTTGGCGGTGATTTGGGAGATTACAAGAGCTGCTCTTTATTGCGATGTTCCTCTGGATCAATTCGACCTATTGTATGAGCCGAACGATGGCTGGCGCGACCAAAGCAATTTGAGAGATACAATCTCAAGCCACGCTCTATTCCATGGCAAGAGCTTGCCCCAGTCCAGCGACTCGGTAGCATGGCAGACAGCACTGGGCGACTTTCAGACCAAGTTTAAGACTGTCACGCTCTCGGCAGAATTGGTTTACAACCAGGCCTCCACTGGGCCACTGTATAGTCTCCGATTGCACCCCTTGAAACTCGAGCTGGGCCATCGACTGGCGCGTCGATTTGGCGCCGATCGCTTCTTGGAAATTACTATTCCGTCGCCGTCGTCAAGAAGAGATGAGGTTCCTAGTATCCTGAAGGAAGATCCAAGGAGTCTTGAAAAGATTGTAAATTGGCTCACAAAATCTCGGCATTATTTCCTTGGGCGGACTTGGAAACCATTCTATGTGCGCAGTGTCAAGGGCAAGAGAATATCTGGGACAACCAGGAGCGCAGCATTGGAGAGAGTCTATTTCTTTGCTTGCGACGCTAATACTTTCCGTCCTAGTGCGCCTGATGGGATCTCGCCGTTGGCAGAAGCACTGGAGACTGAGCGCCGTTCGAAAATGAACCTCAGTGGCCTCCTGAAATGGGCCATTGGCATTGATAATGAATGCAACTCGGAACAGCCTGTTACCAAACTGTTTTCCCGCCTGGCACTGAGTGAGTTACTATAACCCAGCTTTTTTCTGGCATTGCGCTTTCTGATAAGATTGAATTAGGTCTCAGCCGAACTTGGCCAACCATTCTCCTTGATGACCACCAGATTATCAGGAAGCGCAGGGACCTTAAGCCGGGTAAGATGGTAATGAATGATGGAATCGGGCGCATATCACCAAGCCTAGCTAAGAAGGTCACCGAAGCTCTTGGGTTATCCGACTGCCCAAGTTGTTTTCAAGGTAGACTAGGGAGTGCAAAGGGCATGTGGTTGATTGATGTGGATAGTGAGGAAGATTCTGAGAGAGACTGGGTTGAAGTTTATCCGTCACAGAGGAAGTGGGAGTGCGATTATGATGACCCTCATCACCGGACACTTGAGATACGAAACTGGCCATCAGAATTGAAGTCGGCGTCTCTGAACCAGCAGTTTATCCCCGTGCTAGAGGCGCGATCACCACAACCCGACGCAATGCGGCGCGTAATTTCTGAGCATCTACAGAGAGCTCTGCATGCTGACCTTGGTGAGCAAGCAGCCGCCATGAAGGAACCCATGAGCCTTCGATTATGGATTCATCAATCCGGGCCCTCGAAGAATGATAGGTCACTGGATGGGTCCGCGAAATTTCTGGCTGGCCTCCCCGATAGTGGCGCGGATAAAGTCGCCTTTTTGCTTGACTCAGGGTTTGATCAGAGGAGAATGAAATATCTCAAAGAACTTGTCTGGGACATGTGCAAGAAAAAGGCTGATACTTTGAAGACCAAGATGAACATCACCATTCCATGCTCCGCCTACATTTACATGGCTGCGGACTTTTCCTCAACGCTTGAAGAAGGAGAGGTACATCTCTCCTTTTCCACAAAATTCCAAGCCGAAGGCTTCTCTGACACACTGCTTGAGCACATGGATATCCTAGTGGCAAGAGCCCCAGCCCACTTCCCTAGCGACATTCAAAGAGTCAGGGTAGTCTCTCGACCAGAGCTTCGAAAACTCAAGGATGTGATTATCTTTTCGACCAAAGGGGATAAGCCCCTTGCTGATATGCTATCAGGCGGCGACTATGACGGCGACATGGCATGGGTTTGCTGGGATCAAAACATAGTTAAAAATTTCGACAATGCTCCCATGCCCGACAAGCCGGATCTCATCTCGAGTGGATATCTTCGCCAAGTGACCACACAATTCAAGGGTATTTTGAATCAGGTCGAAAGCGACAATCACATGAAATATACGAGCAACCGATCCGCACTCCTTCAAGATGCCTGTGAAGAGTTCATATCCAGAGCATTTTTGTTCAATCTGCAGCCCTCATTTCTCGGTCGATGTACAAAGTACAAAGAAAGACTCTGTTACTTTAATAATTCTGTTCAAGACCGAGCAGCTGTACATCTAAGCCAATTGCTTGGCTACTTGGTTGACCAGAGTAAACAAGGCATTGAGTTTACTGATGAAGACTGGAAGCGTTTCTGCATTCAACACCTGAAGAAGAAATCTACCTTTCTCCCTGATCCGGAGTACGCGAAAGAGAAAGGGGCACCAAGGCCTGATAAAAACGGTCGATTGCATATCCTCGACTACTTGAGGTTTGATGTTGCTGATAAGGTTATTGACGAGGTCTTGGAAAGCTTCAGCAAGACTGTCAATGGTAATAATGCAATACCCTATGATGAAGACCTTACAAAGCTCAATAATATATACGACGAGAGGGCAAAAACGTCTGCCAGCTGCAGGCAACTTCTAACGTATTTGCGAGGCAAGATTGGCGCGCTTCACGATGAGTGGCGTGTCAGTATGCTCAAAGGCATTGAGGGTTCCAAGTTTTCCAACAAAGCAGAGGCCATATATCAGAAATGGATTGATATAAAACCTCCGCCGGAGTTGCTTGCGAGCGGCGAATTCCAAGATTTGCTCCAGGATTCCAACAAGGCTTCGGCGATGAGCAACTGGGAGCTCCTCAAAGCTTCGGCGACGTTTAAGAACCACCACAAGAATGGCTACAAGTTTGTGTGGTACATGGCTGGAAAGCAGCTAGGCTACATCAAGGCGATGGCGCATCGTGTTTTGGGAGAGACATCAACAGTCACAGTGATACCGGAGATGTGGGGTGTCTTGCGACCGGATAAGAAGCTCATTATGTCTCTCGCGCTGCAGCGAGAGGCTGCTCGAGATTCAGAGAGCGCAGTGGCACTCGAAGAGGTGTTTGAGTTTGACGACAACGGCACCGTTATTGACGATGCCTGATTGTGATGAGAACTGCGTGACAGGATATTCACGAAGTATAGAGATTTTGACTCTAATTGTTTGGAGATTCAGCACAAACGGCGAGAACTGGTTTGTTAGAAGTATATATCGAACCCGTGGATTGAAATGACTTGGAATGCTCAGATTGGTTGTCTTTGGTTGAGTTGGCGTTGGCGACAGGGTCAAGAAATACCGATGGTGATGCGCCTATAACGACTGGATATGTCTTTTTGTTTGTGGTATGAATGATGGTCACATGTTATAAAATGATGTATACGAGACACGGCAGCGCCATATATGAATTCAATGCTTCATTCAAGGGATGGTACATGTAGATTTCAGCTCCGTCTTACAGCGCTATGATACAGTTGATGCCGCTGATAGTACTTGCAAGTGACTTACTGTCACTCTTTTTTCTGGAGGTTGATGGGCTTAATAGCGGGGAGCTTCTTACGCGATCCCAATCCGGATTAGCTCCTAAATTTACTGCCCAAATACGGTTAGAGGCTTAGGTATCGCGTATTACTCATCCACAGAGTCAAGCAACAATCTTAAATTCACGCACCGCCCTTTCCCCAAAGCATCTTCGCCACCTCTCCTCTTGACGGACCATGAATTCTTCCACCCCGGGCAACGCCCTCCCTCCATCTCGTCTGCCATGGTCCCCAGTCCTGCATCGTACACTCAGGACACGAATGTCAACACAGATCACGATGAACTGACGCAAGACTCTCTTCCGCCCGGGTTAGTGAGATAGCCCTTGTGTGATTCCACTGGGCTCTCAGCCTACGTGGATAGCCGTGGCCGCTCTACCGGATGGCGAGCCTCAGCAGAGCGTTCACTGCATGCAAGATCCATCTCGGTGCCTGTCATCAGCAGAGTCTAGTTGACAGGATCGGGATCTTGTAGGCCGCGGCGGTGGGCAGCGTGCGAAAGCGCCTTGCCCCCGTTTGCCTCCGGTTTGCAAGACCCTCTCTGTGGCAGTGCCATCCCGTGCAGCGGCGGGGCTTTTCACTACACCTTTGCAACTTCATCATCGCCTTGATTCAATGTCCTGCATTCTGGCTACATGTGGAGGCTCCCTTCTTCTCAAGTGGTGAACTGACGCGTTATAGGTCGGGACGGCAATCCCAACATGTCGATGACAAGCGTGGCTTCGATATGAGTGACGCAGGCAAAATCAACAAGGGCGATAACGTCGAGGGGCCACCGATACCGAAAGAAACGATACCTAGCTCTAGTAAACAGACGGCAGAGGCCGATGAAATCAAAATACATTGTTCAAAAACCACGGTCTCCTGGAGAGATGAGAACGACGAAGTGCACCAGACTGATCATCTGGATCTCGAGATAGACATCGACATCACGGCCAACACAGCCTTTTTAAGATTGTATGGCGACATCTTCATCAAGTGCAGCAGGCCCCCCGACAGGCGAGCTATCTATCTGTATATTCGCCCCGAGATCATCAAATCCATCATCTACCAGAACGAGAACAATATACGGTCATTGTGTTTCTCCTTGGAATTTAATCCCGACCTTGTTACACCCAAAGATCCTATTGTTGCCAAGCCCAAGAGCACAGCCTTGTTGAGTTCGATTGTGGCCCTCTCCAAAGTGACAGGTTTCACCGTCCGTCTCAACAGCTCCAGTACAACCCCATCAACCCACTTGAAGAAAGTTGCCTCCATATTCTCGCCTCGTCCGAGTTGGAATGCTGCACTTGGCAATCTTAGTCGCCTGTATAGTGGTAAAGGGGGCCAAATTGCCAATGCAAGCATAGCGGCTGCGAGCACCCATGTGCAAACAGAGTCTCCTCCGCCCTATATCCCTACGTCCAGTAAGGAACGCGTTTCCAGTACGCACACTCCACTTACCACTCCATGACTCTCCAGACTTACCAAGTACAACTTTAGAAAAACGCAGACTTGGTATCCCCGACGTTGATGACAACAGCCCTTCTGCAAAGAACAGTGACATGCCACCCATCAACACCATTCTCAGTGAAATGGAAACACGCATCATGAACAGCATTAGACAGCTCGGAGAAAAGTTACTCGATGTGGATGCTGGCCCCAGCCACTGCCGCTACGGAACAGAAGAGAGAGAAGAGATTCTAGAAGAAGTTTCGACGCGGTGTGATGACGAACTAACGGATTTAAGGATCCAGTCGACTGATGTCATTGAAGAAGTTAAAGATGAGGTTGATCGCTTGTTGAATCAAGTAGATGATGATGCAAAGGAAAGAATAGAGCTGCTAGAAAGCGGGCTCGAAGAGAAGATGAGGCATATAGCAGAAGAGGCGGCAGAAAAGTACGTGAAAGACACGCTGCTAAACGCAAGTTGGCGAATGGATGGCACCATGTCCTTGCAGAGACAAACGTAAGCCATTTGCTACCGCTGCTACCATTGCATGCCGCATCATTTTCTCGGAGCCTTTTGAGAATGATGCCCGCTCAGAGCTAGGCTTCAAATCTATTGAATCATGACATTGGGTATGACTTGGATGCTAGGATAGACCACGTTTACATACCCTGCTTAATATTAACTATTTACCAATAATATCCGAGTCTCTCAATCTCTCATGTTCACCATTCTATATCCCTCTTCTCGATGACCTCGCCCTGCTCTCGCTCTCCTTCGCCAGTAATATGTTCCTGCGTAAAAGATGCCCGCAACACCAAAGATCGACCCGCCCATGACCCCAAATGTGCTGGTGCTTGTGCCTTGATCCCTCGATGTTGATGGAGACGGAGGCTTTAGGGTGACTATGCCGCTTGTTACGGTGGCGGGTTTGCCCTCGTTCTGGAGGTCGATAACGATGGTTGAACCGAGGACATCGCCAGAAGACGACACAGCGGCTGCACCGACGTATCGACGAGTGACGTTTGTGCTTGTGAGAGGGATGGCAGTTTCAAAGCCATGACGAGGGAATTCGGCAATGAGGTTAGTGTAGCTGTTGATGGTGCTGTGGTTGTTGGAAGCAAACTATTGAAGTTAGAAATCTGCATGAAAAGGACTGCCACAGTTGATGGATCAGAAAGAAGCTTACTATGGCCCACGAGGCGACTTCTGTTGCGCCGTTCCATGAGACGTAGACGGTGGCATTGAGGGTGCTGTTGTTTGGCGCGTCAGCGGCAACGCTGGGCGGCCATGAAGGGCTTCCCTTCCAGTCTCCTTTGTTGACTCTGTAGGCAAACATGTCTGGTAGAGGCTCTCCACCGATAATGCCTCTTTGGAAGTCCATGACGGGGGTGCCGTCGCTGGTATATTCGACGAAGCCGGGGTAGTATCCCCATCCCGTCATGACATTTCCACTGTCCAGTGTTTGATACCCTCCCATGGCTCCAGAATCGATGCTCTCCGGGTGGAAGAATTGGTTTACTACTCGTGCGGTGTGGAGGACTTGGTTGACGGCGATACGAAGGGCACGAGTTTCGCATTTGTCTTGACAGGGGCCGCTGTATTCTCCGTGGTTGTCGAAAAGCGTAATGTGAATCTCGTCTGTAATGTTGGATGAAGATGGGATGATGCGAGCGTCGTGTTGCCAGCTGAAGTTTGTGGCTGCGCCGTTGGAGAGGTCGGTGAATTGATTTTGTCGCCCGCCGAGGATCCAGATTGGGTGGCCGTCTTTGCCATCGACGAGAGTGAGGATGGAGAGATGGCGGCTGGAGACGAGATAGTTGCCGTCATGAGTCTAGATGTGAGCGTTGTTAGCGATTGAGTGTTTGCCGAGGGGTTGACCGGGGAGTTTTGTTAAGGTGAATGGGCAACTTGCCTTTTGTATGGAGTTGATGTGGAAAAAGTCGAAGCCAGAATCGGGGCTCACGCCATAATCGGCGTTGTATGAAGCGTATGAGTTATCAATAGTGAAGAATTTGGAGGCTTGCCAATCGAAGATCAACTCATTCGTTGCTGGATCGACTTCTTGGAAGCCGCTGTCCATGAGGAGCGCATTTTCTGGCCCTCCCACAGGGCGGCAGTCAAAAGGAATGTTGAAGTAAGTTGAGAAGATGATAGTTCCATTTGTTGTGACGCTGAGCTCATGCATATCGGCACGGGCGTCGTTAAGTCCTTGAGCGGTGACGTTGTACTTGAGATTGTAGTTTTCATCGAAGAAGAGACAATTTCCGTTGGCGTGGCCACGGGTATGGCCGCCTTCCCAAAAGGCAAAATAGCGTGTGCCATTAATAAAATGTACGTTTGAAGTATATGTATTCTCGTATTTTTGATCCGCGTACACGAGACTCATATCGCAGGCATCGAAAATCATGGGTCCCGCCTTGTTCTCCCCGTAGACAGTTCCCAGGAAGATGAAAGGTGCATTGTCGACTTGATCCTGCTCCCACTTGTTGACAAGAAAGACTGGAGCGATGACGTCGGAAGAGCGGAAGTTTTGGCTTGGGAAGCCTTTGTCTATGTCGGCGAGGGCTATGAAGTCGGTTGCATTGGTGATGAGGAGGACGTCGGCCAGAGTGGAGTGAGTAAAGAGAAGCGCGGCTGCGCTGATAATCCGAGAAAGGTACATTGTATGACGAATTTATAGGACGTGAATATAGGCATATGAATGAGTGTCGAAAAGATAAGGGATGTATATGGCACTTCTCATGAATATGGTACACAATGGTTATCAGAAGCGGGACTCATTACAATAGTCTTGGTGAAAGAGGGCGGCAGTTAGTTTATACAGGGGCTTTTAGAAAATTAAGGCGTAGGCCAAATAAAATACAGAACAACTGCCAAATTTGATAACAAAAGAGAATTAAAAGGAAAATAATTGCTACTAGAATACAAAGTCCCCAAGTGGGCGCATGGATTTGTTTAAAAGATGTGGTCACCCGTCATCATACGCGGCCGCCACCCCTTTTCGAATCCACTTGCTTCAACTTCTGGCTCTGCTCCATCAAGGATCGACATTTACCCGCACTAAGAAAAAGCAAAGAGCAGATTTGAATAACCAAAGTAATTGACATTAAGGCACGGATTAGCCTCAGCTGGTGCTAGCTATTTAGCTATAATTGGCTGTTTTCTACGTATTGATCTTTTAGGGAGATGTATTAGGATGTGGAAGGTCAAGATATTATTGAGCGAGTGTTGAGCTTGGTTAGGTGGGCTTTGGAGTCTAGGGGGGAAAAATATTGTACCTACAATGGACAGGCGAATGAAGATGATTTGTTGTGGCATGTTGAATACGGAAATAAGGATGAGAGTTGCCAAGACGATGGGCGTTGACGATCGGCTTGGTCTGAAACAAGTTATGGGTTGGTGTGTGTTGGTGAGATGCCGATGAGCCGGAGAATGATGAGTGTTATAGATCATGAGACAATTGCATATAAGGAAGATGTAGAATAAGAATCATATAGGCGTCTTTAAGACTGAAATCAATGTATTCCTTATTGTACATAGTTTTTGGATTAGATGTATCTGTCTCATGTAATTGTCAGGCTTCTGAAGGGGAGCGATGCCGATCTCCAGTTGTCCAACATGCCCCACGACATGAGACGGGAAATAGCGGCGAGGACTCTTTTCCTTTTGTTCGTACTATAAAATAGATGATGTATAATTTTTTTTTTAAGAATCTTGATACATAATGGAAAACGCATTTCTACTGCTATATGATGAAGTAAAAGAGAAAAACTGTGGCCGAAGCACCGGAGCTGCTCGGCTCCGCAGTGGGTCGTTGCTTGCGTGGACGCAGACAATTTCTTCAGGTCCGACGGTCCGTCATCTTCAAGCGATATTCCGAAGTCAGTTGTGAAGAATTACATCGATTGAGATGAGCGAGACTGTGAGCTGGATTAAGAATGCATTGGATAGTTCATTATCAAATTACTATAAAAACCAATATGTGCGTATGAGCCGTGAGATGCGTGTATCTATCCCTATCCCTTTTTCTAACTACCCTTCCTAATAGTTTTCTATCTGTCTTGACACAATAAGAGTACTGGAAAAGTTTAAATGGGCTCATCTCGAGGTTCAATAAGAATCTCATTGACGGCAACATGTTCCGGCTGGCACACAGCATATACAATCGACCGCGCCACATCCTCTGGATCCAGAATCTTTGCTCCTGACGGCTCGCCATACTTCTTGACGGCCTCCGCATCAGTCGACATGCCGAGCAGATCTGTCGCAGTGTTGCCGGGTTGAATTGAAGTCACGCGTAGACCAGATCCAGCCGTCTCGACGCGCAGGCTCTGCAGCGTTGCCTCAACAAAGAACTTGCTGGCCGAGTACACACCGAGTCCAGGGAACACTTTGCGGCCGGCATCTGAAGAAATGGCGACGACATGACCGGCCTTTCTCTCCAGCATGCCGGGCACAGTGGCGGCGAGACAGTTCAAAACGCCCTTGCAGTTGACATCGACAGTGCGCTCCCATTGATCCGTCTGGACATTGGCCATCATGGTGTAGTACATGACGCCGGCGCAGCACACAATGATATCGACAGGGCCAAGCCTTTCCGTGGTTTCGCGGACGAGGGCATCGACCTGGTCTTTCTTTGCAACGTCCGTCTGGTGGATCAGGACTTTGCCTCGGCTGCTGCTGACAATCTTGGCCTTGATGCTCTCGAGAGCATCGGTGCGTCGTGCTGCAAGAGCCACGGATGCGCCCTCCATGGCGAGACCAGCGGCGACAGCAGCTCCGATTCCGGAAGAGGCTCCTGTGACAATGGCGACTTTTCCGGCCAGACGTCCCTTCTTGACGCTGGAGGCTGCTCCGTTGGTCTTGAGTCGACGAGGTGGCTTTGGAAGCCATCCCCTGGCGTAAAAGTGCCGTGTATACGTCTCGAGAAGGGCGGCATTAATCTTGATCCGCTCAATTCCGTACAAATCCAGTGTTGGCTGCGTAGCACCGTCCTTGAGAACAATGGCACCCTGAAGCGAGTCGACGGTGGGCATTCCTCCACGCAGGATATCGACGGTAAAGGGTTCGTCTCCCCCTCGAGAGCCTCGCTTCTCATTCCAGAGTTCTACCCAGTCGTCCCAGGGGAGGCGGCCTGTTTCGTATCCCAGCTCAGAGAGGGAATCGAAAAGAGAAGTGGCCTTGATCGGGCTGGGATCACCAAGATGGTACACTAGTTGGTTTCCTTGGGTGTGGTCAGCCAGCGCGATGATAGCGTTGCTCACAAAGTCAACAGGCGTCATTTCTACTACCCAGTTGGCGATGTCAGGGGCCTGGCCAAGCTGGAGTGATTCGATAAAGAGGGCATTGAGGAGATCATAAGTGTTGGCAGCACCGGTGACACTGTGGCCGCTGATGGTTCCGGGCCGGTAAATCTTGACCGGGATGCCTCTCTTGTTTGCCTCAACCACGAGCTTCTCTGCAACCCATTTGGTCTGGCCGTAGCCATCTTGAAGCTTGGTGGGCACGTCGTCAAAGTCAGTCATGGCATCCTCAGACCAGCCCTCGACTGATGGTGGCAGCACGCCGTTAGTTGAGATGTGATGAAGGGTTGCACCGCCACGCGAGGCAAGGCGAAGAATCTCTCTCGTTCCACCCACGTTGGCCGCTCTCAAGGCGGCATAAGGATAGACCAAGTTAACAGTGGCCGCAGCGTGGACAATTACTTGTGGACGAGACGCAAGCTCTTCGAAAGCCTCTGGAGACAGACCCAACCGGCTCCTGGCTAGGTTTCCTGGGACAATCTCCATACGCTCTAGCATAGAGTCGCTCCAAATGCCCAGGTCGATGAGGTTCTTGCGGATTCTCGCCGTGCCGGCTGGACGGCAGTCTTCATTAGGCTCTGTGAATCGCACCATGCACAGGATAGTCGCCGAAGTGTATTCGATGAGGTATTTGAGAAGAAAAGCTCCAAGGTAACCAGTGGATCCAGTGAGGAGGATTGTTTGGGCGTCACTGAGGCGCTGCATTTGTGTACCCGGGATAGCTTGAATATCCTCCGGAAGCACAGCATCGGCTCGAAGAACTGCTGGGAGATCTGCCTGCACCTCCTCGGTGTGGCCATCACGCGCAGCTTTGACGGCCTCCAGGTGGCCCTCTAGAGTAGGACTACCTGCCAATGGACCCAGGGGAACGGGGAACCCAAATGCTTTGGTAAGTCTGCTGGCGAGATCGGCCAGAGTCAGAGAGTGTCCGCCCAGATCGAAGAAGTCGTGCTTGGGTGTGATGATCGAAATGGGGACATTGAGAGCCGCAGCCCATATCTTGATAATCGTATCCATCTTGATGGTGACGTTTCTCTCTGTCTTTGTTGTTTGTACTGGTGTTTTCGGCCTCGGAGGGGGTGGCAGAGCCTTGAGGTTGGTCTTGCCAGAGACGGCATGCGTGGGCAGCTCCTTAAGCTCAACCCAGAGAGGCGGGATCATGTAATGGGCAAGATGCGCAGAGAGTGCTCGTCGAGCAACCGGACTGTGGCCCGCCTCGTCAATGACAACAATTGTCCGACCTGGGACCTGTTCAGTATCGGGGACGATGTAAGCCACGAGCTGCTTCTGCAGGCCTTCTCCATGGGCGACGACGGCACAATCTCGTACGGCCAGGTGCTTGACAATGGCCGTTTCGACGGCTCCCGGTTGGACGGTGTAGCCGCGAGTCTTGATCATGCCGCCCACTCGGCCGGTGATCTCGAGGAGGCCGGACGGGAGCATCCGCGCCATGTCTCCCGTACGATACATTCGAGCGCCCTCCTTCTTCTCAAAGGGGTCCATTTGGAAAGCAAGGGCTGTAGTTTCAGGGAGGTTTAGGTACTCTCTAGCTAGCAAATCGCCACCAACAAAGAGCTCGCCGCTTACGCCTGCGTCGAGCCTGTTTCCTGCCTCGTCCAAGATGTAGATGTGCTCAGGGTCTACTGGTGGTCCGACGGGACAGACGCGAGTTTCGTAATCGACAAACGTCTTGATGTCACCCACGGCTATTTCGTGAGTCTCACTGGCGCTGTAGACGTTGAGAAGACGAGTATTGGGGAGGGCATTGCAAGCTCGACGAACAAGGTCTGTCGTAACCACCTCGCCGTTCAGCCACAGTGACCTCAGCTCTGGAAGCTTCTCACCAAGGTTTGGATGCCGTGAGAGGACGGTGGTCAGCAGAGTGGGGGTCATGAGAGTGTCTGTGATATGTCTGGCAGAAAGAAACTCGACAAGCCCGATGGGATCGTAGCTTGCACTATCGGGAACGGCGACTGTTGTGGCGCCTCGGATCAAGGGGCGTAGCATTTCCCAGACGAAGAAGACATTGCAGGCAACACGGTCCCCTGGCTGGAGATCACTTGTACGGAATCTCAAGTCGTAGCTGAGAACAGGTGCTATGTGAGGGTTTGCAATGCCCTTGGGCTTGCCGGTTGTGCCTGACGAGTACGACACAAACGCCAGGCGATCCAAGTCATCACTCGCAGGCAGAGGCTCTCTCGTCTCAACAACGACAGGAGCGGCATGTCCATTGGTGGTTGGTTCAGGCTGATCGATGATAATCGTAGCAACGCCCGGCTTGATGCTGGCAGCATGAGCTTTTTGCGTTATAATGACGGTGGGCTTAGCATCGTCAATGACATCGTGGAGGAGACTTGTGGGATAGGCGAGCTCCAGCACAAGAAAGGCACCTCCTGCTCGGAGAGCAGCCAGAGAAGCAATGACATTGTCTGCGCTCCGGCCCATCAACACTCCCACCAGATCGTCACGGCCAACTCCATACTGGCGAAGGCGATCGGCCAAAGACCAGGTCAGGCTGTCCAGTTCCGCATAAGTGAGGGTCCGGCTCTCGTCCTCCAATGCGATGACATCTGGCGTAGCCTGTGCCTGTTGCTCGAACAAGGCCGCCAGATCCTTTGTCGTGTCAATGATGCTCATCTTGAAAGGGTCAAATGCTGATGATGAACCCCAAAAGCCAACGCTTCACAAGTATCGACTCAAACGCCCAAATGTAGCCTGAGAAACAAACAACCGATGAATTCTTCAGCCAAGCTGCTCAAGATTCCATGAAAATGCCCCCTAAATGTCAATTGGCCTTTTAACTCGCGTATCTATTGCCGCGAAGCTGGCCAAATTGGGCTCAGTTGGGGGTTGATTGTGTGGTGGGATTTCAGGCTTTTGGCCCACTTAACATCCAGCGTGGCGAGTTTTATCTGGTCTCGACCTTTGAAGATTAGTATACAATATGCAATGAAACTGTGATAGGCGAAGGAGAGGTGTTGCAACGTATGCGGTGCGAAGAAGAAGTCAAAAGAACAAAGGGACTGAGGCTATAGCTGGCAATCTGTGCTTACATTATTCAATAGGCTGTATTCACTCAACAGCTGTTAAATTTCACAAGCTAAGTCTCCTGTCGTGGGGCTTATCTGGCTGGCGATCTCTCGTTGCAGTGCTGTGATTGGTCTGACATGTGAAAAACTCCGCGTTACTTGGAGATGTTGTTCCACATCAAGTTTAGCTGCGTGGGAAAGGCAGACGGCTTGGAGTCGCGTGCCTTTTGCTTTTTGGAGGTGTCTTTTCTCACTTTGTTTTCCAATCATTGCCGTGAATGACGGGAAGGTTAGATCATGCTGAGAGTTTTACCGTTGTTATCTGATGCCCTAAGTAGCCACGCTTACCCAAAGCCTTATTATCTGCCGCTCTTCTCCTTATTTGAACGACATGAATTCTCAAGCACAAATGGCATACTGTACTCCATAGGCTGGGTCTAAAGCATGGGGTATACCCTCTTGAGTTTAGCTTACAGTGTTTTCAACAGATTGCCCAACAAAATGAATACGCACGCGAAGACTTTGACATGTGACAGTGTGCAAGCGTGGGGAAGAATGGAGCATTCATATTCTGCAAATGCCTCAAGGACGTTGGCTGATTGGAAACTACATATGCTTAATCTCTTGCTTTTCTATTTGTTTTTTCTGATTCAATCCCATCAAACATTTGGCCTGGGTGATGAAGAGAGAAGAGTCATATCCATATGGGAGTCCTCAGCACACCTGTGCATACATCTATACAGGTCATGTCAGGTCAGTCAATGGATTCTTTGTGCATCGTCGACAGCTTGAGAAATCAGATCAAGATTTTTAGAAAATGGGGTATCAATTACTACTTAGACTAGATCATGACACTCGTACAGCATAAAGAAATAAAAATACAACAATTAACCGCTTATGTTCACGCACTCGCTGTTTACTCCGAATTACCCAACCAACTCCTCTCCATCCTCATTAGCTTACGCATCCGATCGGCCCTTGGAAATGTCTACCTCGGACACCGGTATCCACTTGGCCCTGTAGACAATCTTGTGTCCAACATAGAGCACAATGAACAAGATGAGGCTGACGTAGGCTGCAAAGAAGGAGCTAGTGTCCCAGTCGATGAAGACGGTGAAGCCGTTGGTGAACAGGATCAGTACGTTGAAGCCGAAGCCAAACCATGAGAGGTAGGGCTGGAAGGGAGCCTTGTATGGAAGCTCGTCACGAGGGATATTTTGATACTTGAGCACATTCATGAAGCGAATGTGGCATAGGTTGATGAGGGCCCAGCTGATGAAGCCAGCAACGGCTGTGATGTTCAGCAGCCAGTTGAACACAACCTCTCCGTTGTTGGACAGGTTGAGGAAGGCCAGGAGACCGAAGGCGGAGCAGGCCGCAACGGCGTAGTAAGGAGTTCCGTACTTGTTGGTACGCTTGAAGAAGGCTGGCGCGTGGCCCTCTCCAGCCATGGCGACCAAAATGCGGCTGCTGGAGTAGATGTCAGAGTTGGCAGCAGACAAGACAGCAGTCAGCAGAACGGCGTTGATGATGGATGGGAGCGCCTGGATACCAGCGAGCTTGGCAACAATGACGAGAGGCGAGGCGGAGGCGTTGGTCGATCCGCTCTGGAGGTCGGGGTTGTCATAGGGCACGTTGATGCCGACGAAGAAGACGGTGCAGTTGAAGAGCAGGAAGACGGCCCAGAAGGTCCAGCGGATGGCTGAAGGGATCGCCTTGCGCGGGTCGGCCGTTTCACCGGCTCCAATGACAACCAACTCCGTGCCCTGGAAGCTGAAGCCGGCCGTGATGAGCACCGTCCAGAAGCCGACAAACTGGCCAATCTTGCCGTCGACCAAGTATGGGGCAAACGCGCCGGGGTCTCTCCAGTACTTGAAGCCAATGTAGCCCTGGTCACCAACGCCGGCGTTGACGCAGATGCCGAAGATGACGAAGCCGATGATGGTGATGACCTTGATACTGGAAAGGTATGCCTCCATCTCTCCGAAGACAAAGGTCGGCAAGAATTGAGCGGCTGTGAAGACAACCCAGAAGATGGCGATCCAGACACCGATGCTAACGGACTCAGTCCAGTACTGGATGATGAGACCACTGGCAGTCAGTTCGAGGCCGATGGTGATGACCCAGCTGAACCAATAGATCCAACCCATGGCGAAACCAAGAGTTGGGTCCATGAACCGCGAAGCATACACGGTAAAGGCACCTGTGACGGGGATGTATGACGCCATCTCTCCCAGCGCCACCATGATGGAGTACACGATTGTTCCGAGGAACAAGAAGGAAATGAAGAGAGAACCAGGCCCAGCCTTGGACAGAGCACCGCCAATACCCAGGAACAGACCAGTTCCAAGGGCAGCGCCAATAGCGATGAACTGCAGGTGGCGAGAGTGCAGCTCACGCTTCAAGCCCTCATCGGACTGGCCCGTCGCGACGTCGGTGCCCGGAACATCGGCCGAGCTTTTGTCGTTGATGCCATGGATGTATTTCTCGTCAGTCATGAGCGGCCCCAGGGGGGTAGAAGTCGCGGTCGCATCGCCAGCGGCCATCGTTTTTTGTCTTTGCTCCTGAAGCCGGAGGAGCAAGAGATGGGAGTTGAGTCAGAGGCGGAGAAGTGAAGTCGATCAGAGGTATAGCGGAACAAGAGCGAAGGCGAAGGCGACACAAAAAAGGGCCACACCCGCTTCTATATATCACAACACCGCACGAGGAGCAGACAAGGGGACTGGGAAACAAGGTCGGGCTCTCCTTCGGCAGCAGGCTGAACTTTATTCGCCTTGGAAGGTCGCATTTGGCGTTCCAAACTCGACACATCAACGTTACTACTGCTACACTACCGGCGTCCAGCTTATCATACTGGCGAGACCCTCACTTGTTGCCCCATATAAGACCCATCAACAGATGAAGAGTTTGATGGGACTAAGCCAGTCTCGGCACAAGCAACGCCGTGATAGCCAGAGCAAAACAAGCCTGACTGATGAAAAATTAAAAGGGATTTTGAACTGCGTCATTTCTAAGGCGCTTTTCGACCCCCAAAGTCGAAGGCAAGTCTCCAGATTCGGCCATGATGCCGTCCATCAAGCAGCCGCCTCGTCTCATCAAGCACACGACAAGCCAAACAAAGGAGGTGTAATCCAAAGGGCGCAGCGTGAGTGAGCCAGTGCTTCTCTGCATCCTTCTAGCGGCTTTCTCTAGCGCTTGGCCATCGCTTTGTGGCTGCGAAAAGTGCGCATCTCGGTCGGCATTGCCGCGGAAATGCGAGCCAGGTCCAATCGCTGGCCGCGATGAAGCGTAAAATCGGGGCGTTTTTTGGGAGGCGAATGGGAAATTTTTTTTTTCTTCCTTGTCCTGGTTTTTTCATCAACTATTAGCCACCGCTAGGGGAGAAACTAAGAGGCGAACAACGGGAGAGATCTCGGCGTCTTTGGTGGTTGATGGTCTAATTTCGTCCTCGATGCGGACGACCGCCGGAGGATGCCGTACATACGAGAGACTACTATGTACAACTGGTATACTATTAGTCGACTATTTGTATGGCTCCGCAGGTAACGACAATCAAGACTCTTTTTTCCTCCTCTTGCAGCGGCTAGCAGGCACTTCGTGTCCGACTGCGGGCGATGTGACGCTGAGACGACGGGGGTGTTGCTCCATTCTGTGTTTCTGCGCCGACGCAACCCACGGAGGATATTCATTAACAACAGGTGATACGCATGGCAGACTCGGCCAGTGGAAAGCACCCTGGCTGCTTGATACACACTAGTACTATGTGATTACGACGGACTGAGTAGCACTACGGCCGTGATATCAGAGGCTAGCCAGGTAGTAGTATTAGTGACTATGTTCCGTACGAAGAGAGCATCAGTAGCCATTCAATCAGCTTCGTATGAATCAGGTCTCAACTCCACACGCCTGGTCCACTCCGCTCCCGCCTGGGACCAGAAACAACAGGCAATAGTCGATATACTTTTTACGTGGTGCAGCTATTACGTACTGAAGTCATCTCCCCATGGGCAGTCTTCTCTTTCCCCAGGTCTACAACAGGTGATCAAGCACACTTCAAGGATAGACATGTGCCGTCTCTCCACATTGCGTTCATCCCGGGGCTGAGATGCATCCGCCTGTGGATATCGTTACGAAGAGAAATGGACGCCTGACGAGGATGCTCGGCTTCTAGTATGCTATTAGGTGCTGACCTCGCGAGGCACCGCTTCTTCTGGGGTTCCCGTCTGCTTTTTGGTGTCTTATGCATATCAAACCGGCAGGCCGAAGGCACCCGGCCTTGGTGGGCTGATTGGGTTACACAGGCCCGATTCGGAGGTTAATGCAATCTTACATTCGGAAGTTCATTCGGGCGCTTGGGCGATGAGCTGACACTCGAAAGCTCAACTGTCGGAGTAGTGTGGAGACAGACACTAGATAGGATTGCAGCGCCCTCCGTAGTCGGTCTGTACTGTAATCACGCGAATTGTCTACTGAGTCATGAATTGTGTGGCATGGTGGTGGAAGTGGTAATTAAAGTATGCGTTTCCGATGCTAAGAGCGACTCTTCAGCTGCTGATTAGTTGCCAACTACTCCGTATATGATGGTCAACTCCGGCGGGTTAACTTTTAGAAATACTCCCTCTAAACCTCTGAACCGTGGAAATCTGGCAATCAACGGCCGACCGTCGTGTAGCAAATTGGATTGACCCTGGCAACGTGTGACTACGGCCAATGGCTAAGGCTCTTGTGGTATTGATCAAAACGGAAGCTTAATCCGAGCGTTAGTAGGACAAGTCAAATTCAACTAGGTGCACCAACTTCGAAACGATCCAAACCAAAAGCAGCCTTGTAAAATATGCCTTAAACTGAGAGTAGAGTGTCACTATTATGATATTTACAAGGCATTTAATCATTCTCCTAGAGGATATTCATTCACAGCTTTGTGTATAACAGTGAATTACGCGTACAATGCCACTCATTTGAGCTTTGATAGTCTTTGGACTATATCTCCACTTTCAGAGAAGACCCCGGGTATAATGCCTACTATATTAGAGAATTAGAAGATGGTTTATTACCAAATCTTGATAAGAAAGATGAACAACAAGGAGTGCTATGTGCTATAACAGTTGGAGCACGTGGCCTTGCGCCCTTTGGATGACAAGACTATGGACGCAGGAACAGAATGTGTTGAGACTTTGGGTAGTGGTGATGCAGGATTGGGGACAAAACAGCAAGTAAAGCACCTGTAGAACACAGATTTATTCTATCCATCTTTGCTTGAAGTTAATTTCTAGTAAAAGAACTGATTTGAAAGCTGGAATGAGGTTGTTTTAACCTTGTGGTTATGACGCCCTTTGCTCTGACCCTGGTGATGTGCGTAGCCAATGGCCGTGAAAGTTAGCGCGATGCAGATAGTACTGGCTAGATCCGAGAATAGCGTCATGTAGTGGATCGAGCGGGTGGCTTCCGCAAACCTGGGGTTTGAGCCCCACGAGCTGAATAGGTGGCCGATGACCCGATGGGAGAGGTTGTGTTTATGAAGATGATATAGCAATGGCAGAAAAGGCTCATCACGTGCTTTTGGGAGGTTATGTTGGGCTTATTGTCATCAAGAAGTTGGATTTAGACAGGCAATGATATACAGAGATCGTAAGACTCGTGATTACATGCGAGTGTCAATGACGCCCTTAACAGTATGATTTGGGCTTCATTTGCAATCATGCTCTACGGGAAGCAAGTTGATGAAATTTGTAGAAACTGGCCATGAAAGATTGGTGGGACGTAAGGAATAACAGTGTAAGTTGATGCAGCAGTGATGAGGCGTGATACTGGGCATGGAAAAAAAAAATCGTGCTGACATCCCTTCTTCATATTGCTAGAAGATGCTTTTCATTACTCTCATACGCATGCATTAGTCTAAGCCCGTGCCTACATCAGTTGCGAAAGAAGCTTCTTTAGTATTGCGATATAAGTATAATTTGATGTAAGTAATTATACCATGGCCTATCTCCATGCTAGATATGACTTATAGAGGAAGAGGAACTGGACACTCATGTGACGTCGGCTCTGGCATGTTAAGGGACTAGTAGGAATTTTTTTTCCCAGGGAAATAGGGGTAAATGCTTGTAGTGGTCACAAAGATTTCGAATTCTTCATACGAGTACTAGCTATTATCGACCAACACTCATCATGTGAGGGATCTCAGGGATCCCATCTAGAGAACCGAGGCAGCCTGTTGTCCTACGCTTTCCCCCACAATCTAACTGAATAAAATTGGTATTTTGATTGTCAGTATTACGTGTGATTCCTCTGTACGACCAACCTGGACGGTTGTGTAATCAGTTAGTCCCTGTCACTCTCACTTGGGCAGTTGGTTTGGAGATTATGCACATGCATGTACCCTAGATTATTGAGCACAGACAACCCTGTCATTAGCTAGGCAACAATAACCAGCCATGCCACAGATCTTCCTCTTATGCCTGTGCTAGTATAAGTACTACGCTCCGACCACGAGGAGCGGCTGCATGCATGGCGGAAACGTACGTGCCACCAACACAAACAATATGAAGGGATGAGTTTTCAGCTGAGGCTACAAGGCAGCAACCCTCACCACACAAAACGTCAATATTCGAATTATGCCGCAAAACCAACCCTCCTAGCCGACATGTGCGATGTATTTCTCCCGTCTCCTTATTGGTGGATTCGTGATTTGACGTAAGCACCCTATGTGGCCATCAAGGTTCAATCTCACTACTCCAGCTTGGATGTAACCATCAAGGTTCTCAGCGGCAAAAGCTGACCACAGAGAAGACGTAAATGTAAGCAAAAAAGAGGAGATTCCTATTAGAGATATCAGCACGCAATCCGCGGTGGAGAATCTTGTCGAAATCCCACTCCTCGCGTGTTTTTCTCAGCCCGTGGTGTCTCAGTTTATCAGCGGATAAGCCACCAACCTGTCTGAAAAAAAAGGAGGGAAGAGTCTTTATCTCAAGGGATCCAACAACTCAGACAAGTGTCTCGTTGAGGTAAGTTTGATTTGCTCGAGCTGAAAAATTCTCCTTGCATTTGTTTAACCCGATCCCCTACTGCCCAACACGTTGAAGAGCTCGGTCCTAGTTCGGCCAGCCACTGGCCATCCTGGTTCTCGTGCTACTTGTATACGTGATAATCAACCCAAGACTCGGCATCAAATCATCCGTGCGCCTCCAATAGCGTCTTAGAGGATCCCAAGGCAATCTCCACCCAACGGGAGGACTCGAAGCCTTTTCGGCTGAGGCCCATTTACTGGCTAACCTCGTCACTGGCATGCAGGATTCGCGGGATGGACTCAGGCTGAGTCTCGTTTCTTGCCATTGATTCGTCCGTTGCCTGGATGGGTATCCGCAGGGTCGTGTTGGGTGTATCACATCCTGTCTGCCCTCAAATACTCTTCCATCCCACCATCTTTCTTCCATCTTCTCTCTTCCTCATCGTCGAGAGTCTACCATCACTCACAATCTTGTTTCAGCATTTTAGCTGCCAGCCACCGTAACCATGACGGACGTAATCACGCCAGACTTAACAGATTTCAATCCTCAGGCTGTCAACCTCAGCAGTGCTGATGCTCGAGACATCATCTGCTTCCTCAATGCAGGCGAGAACGAGTACAATGGACAGCTTGGAGCACGTGTTTCGGCTCTGTTCGTCATTCTGGTCACTTCATCATTAACAACTCTGTTCCCCGTCTTGGCTACTCGCGTTCGCCGCCTGCGAATCCCCCTCTATGTCTATCTCTTTGCACGCTACTTCGGCGCCGGAGTCATCATTGCCACTGCATTCATCCATCTCCTTGATCCTGCCTATGAAGAAATCGGACCGGCTAGCTGCGTCGGCCTGACTGGTGGCTGGGCTGAATACACCTGGCCTCCTGCTCTGGCCTTGACTTCAGCTATGCTCATCTTCCTCCTGGATTTCTTGGCCGAGTACTATGTCGACAGAAAGTACAAGATGGCACATGTCGAGGTTGAGGCCACAATTACGTCGGACCCTACAGTTCCCCACACACATCAGGGACTTCACTCAGCTGATCAGGATGGCTCCATCTCTCCTGTCAATCTGAAGCAAGAGGAGCACTCCCACAACCAGAGCCATGCTTCTAGCGATAAGTTCGCTTCCAGCGATAATCTCGATGTGGAAGAGCTCAAGCACATTGATGGCGACACCAAAGAGGCAGCCATGGGTTTCCAGTCCCAGATTGCGGCTTTCTTGATTCTTGAGTTTGGAGTCCTTTTCCACAGTATCATCATTGGCCTCAACCTCGGCGTCGTCGGCGACGAGTTCAAGACCTTGTACCCCGTCATTGTCTTCCACCAAGCTTTCGAGGGCCTGGGTATTGGCGCCCGTCTGAGCGTCATTCCCTTCCCCAATCGCTTCAAATGGATGCCCTGGGCACTATGCATGGCCTATGGACTGACAACTCCCATCGCCCTCGCCATTGGCCTCGGTTTACGAACAACCTACAACAGTGGCTCTTTTACCGCCAACGTTGTGTCTGGTGTTCTCGACGCTATTTCTGCCGGTATCCTCATCTACACCGGTTTCGTCGAGATGATTGCGCGCGACTTCCTCTTCAACCCTTACCGCACGCAGGATAAGAAGCGACTGGCGTTTATGCTGGTTTCTCTCTACCTCGGAATAATCATCATGGCCCTGTTGGGTAAGTGGGCTTAAGGATATTTAGGGAACGTGAGCAATACGGCTTAGGGATATTAAAAAGGTGGACAAGGAAACGAATAAGATACCCGGGCGGAGGATTAGAACGTGCATGCATCTAAGCATGCAAGGATCTGTGAGATACACATCTACTACTTACATATCTGCATGAATCTCTTTTTGTAGAGGTGGCATGCATTCTCAGAGTGCTATAGCTCTCTTGATAATTGTTCGTTATCATTTTTTGAGGACGTCGCGAATCTAGGATGCCTTTGACTAGAGTAATGAATCACAATTTTTTTTTTCTTCGTTCCATTTTTTGCTGGGCAAGCTGCTTTAAATCGTGTAAACGAGCTTCACTCCGCTAACCTTCTCCTTGCGCATCTCATCCAAGCCCACCAAAACTCCCTCAAGGCTTTCTCCACCGCGGTTAACCTCAATCTTGGCCGGCTTCGCCTTGCCATCCTTAAAGATTTGCTCAGCCAAGTCTCTGAATTCCTTTGCGAATTCATTGTCCTCGGGATTGGCAGGAAAACTTTTACCATATCTTTTCATGGGCTGTCCCGTGATTGAGTAGGCAAGAGTGCTGGATGAGATGATGTTGGGGTTTATGGCATTGATGATAGCCGGTTCAACTGGGAGGAGTAAGCCAAGCTTTCCACCCTTGTCTGAGATTGAAGCTGCGCAGATCTTGGCTGAGCCTTCGAGCGAGATGCAGTCCCAGGCGATGGTCAGCTCGCCGCCTGCAGCAGCGATAATGTCCTCGACGACGGTGGGTGATCGGTAATCGAAGACGGCATCAGCTCCTAGGGACTTGAGATAGTCGAAATTCCGGGGGCTGGCGGTGGTGATGACTTTGTATCCAGACAGCTTGGCGAACTGGATTCCAAGAATGCCCGAGGCGGTGCTACCGCCGTAAATGAGAATCGGGGTTGACGTCGTGATGGAGTCTGATGGAAGGTTAAGCCCTAAGCTCTGGTATAGACCTTGGCCCTGTAGAGGTTAGAAGACATGGTATTAGCATCATACAACAGCACGTAGCGTCGCCATCTGTAAACTTACGACTGTAAAGATTGATACTCCAATGGATGCTCCCTCCTCATCGCTGAGAGGGTTGTGAAATTGGACATCTGCCTGGACAATTATATACTCTCCAAAGGACCCGATGTCTGGTTCAAGAATGTTCCTATAAGTAGAACGTCAGATAAACTCAGAACTTGAAAAAACAAGTAGCTGCTCAGGATGGAGAACGTTGACTATAAGAGGTTGTGGAAGGACTCACGCTCCGGGAATGAATCCAGCAATTCGATCACCAACCTTGAAGTTGGTAACTCCATTGCCAACAGCAACAACCTCGCCCGAAAAGTCACATCCGACCCTTACACCAAGACTTTCTGGGTCATAGCTGTCAATGTACTTGTAGTCTGTAGGATTGATAGCAACGGCCTTTGTCTTGACTAGCACATTGCCGTCTCGGAGCTCGGGAAGGGGCAGCTTCTCGATGACGGCCTTTCCCGTGTTTCTTTTTACTAAAGCCCAGGCGGCCTCGGGAAGAGACATTGTGAAATGAGTAAGACGATTAACGTAAGACGAGAGACGGGAGGGTAGAGTGATTGGTAGAGTGATTAGTAGACAGGAAGCGATGCTGATGGTTGACTTTTGAAGTGTTTATGCGACGTCCTTGCATTTATATGCCCAGCTTCTTCAATTCGCATTGTGGGGAACCCCGTTCAAGGATGCATGCTGACTTTGCTGGTGGATCACGGATGCTTGTTTGAATGGCATTGTACATGTGTAGGTTGCGTCACCGGCAATATGAGATGATAAAAGTGAAAACAGTCTGCATTTCTAAGCGCCCAGGGCAAAAGCCAGCACGATTAGGAAGCCAGAAACAACCACACGGCCAACAGGGTAGCATTGGGAACGACTAACAACATGCGTGGAACTCTAAAGCCCTCGATCGGCAGTGACCGGACCGCTGTCTGGATTGGGTAATTTGGCTCAGCCAGTAAGAGACGGCGCTAGATGCGTGAAAAATGGCCGAAACGATTGCGAATTCAATAGTTAGGTAATGTTGAAAGGGGAATAACACGGGGAACATATGACCCATGCAGGGCTAACAATCCTTCAGCTTCTAAAGTGTGCGACCAAGCGACTCAGTCTTCATGCAATGAATAATGATCCGAGAAGATGGGAGATGACAAATGAAAACGCTCAATACATTATTAAGTTGTCAGAATACTATAGGTCAGGCAAGTTATAAATCGCGGACTACTTTCGGCAATTCGGCTGGAAACGGCACTGTCGATGAGGGGAGTGGCCAACTATTTGATCGCCGAATATTTTGTTTACTAAATATACTAACGCCGACCAAAGAATTCTCCGGAAGAGTAACAGACTTACTTGGCATTTTGGTGCAAAGAAACCCATGGCTAGTGCTTAATACTAATGTCTGTATTATCATGCTGCATGCATGGCGCCGCCGTACCGAGAAAGCTTGGGCCAAGGGAGTGCTAATGAGCCAAAACCAGTACCTATATTTAAGCTGTCTGGGCTCTTCATCAGAGAGCCGTTGGGTTTCTTCTCAGTTATTTCCGATGGGCCTGTGTCAAGTTGTTGAGGTATTGTCATTTCGGTGTCATATTGAGGGCAATGCGACTTGCAGATTTCCTCTCGCTGAATCACAAGTGCCCTGGATTTATGAGCCATTGGATTGAGCAGTCGAAAGCTTCACATAAGCACGTGTTTGTAAGAGGAAAGTTGGGTATTCTATTGTACATACGCTAAACAAAGTATTAACGCTCAAGGAAGACGAAATGGTCATGACCCTTGAAATGTATGATACGTGGACAAAGAAGCTGCTCTGCAACAATCCAGCTAGATCGCGTAGATCGGCTAGTGGCCGTTTCTTGCGTGTATCTTTAGGGATTTAGATTCGCGTATAAATATGACAGCATACACGGCTGGCATTAATTGTGTTGTGAGATGCCCATTATGGCATCGGCAATTGTATCTGATCATATACAATTACAGCCCCCATCGAATATAACTTACTCGTGCTTTGTAGCAAAAATGGCGCGTAACCAAGCAAATGTGGCCATGCGCTCACCATTAGAATCGTGAAATGTCTCTCCCGAACAGCCAAGACACAAACCAATATACGGGAACCATCAGCTTATTTCGAACACTCATGCTTCTCGTCAGATATGCTCCTCGCCATACAATCCAGGCTACCCACCCGCGTAGCTCGTCAGCAGAACTCTGGTGAATCGCCTTCCAGCCACCGAGGTATGTCAACGTGCCCCAGTTGCGGAATTTGAAGGGTTTCCAAGAGTTGCTGACATCGGTAGGATTCGAAAGAGATTGGGTGCTTTTATTGAGTTGCTTCGCGAGGTATCCTGCCTGCTGAGAGGCAACCTGCGCTGTTTTCGGCAATGACCGGTCGGCTTCGATTACGGCGCAATCACCCATTACATACACGTCTGGCAAAACATCCCCTGTACCGGCAGCGGTGTCTTGGCCATCAGTTATGCGAGCACGAAGGTAGCGGTCTGTGAAGATTCCGCCAGTCTTAGGGTCCTTGAGGAGACGGTGTAGCGAGGTTTTGTCTTGTTCCAATGCTGAGTCCTTGGCGATGGCAAACTCTTTGCTCACCAACTGCTCTACCAATGGATTCTGCATCAACCCGGTACTCCAGACCACTAACCCGGCGTTGATCTCGTCATCACCATATTCCTTGATCTTGATGCTGAGGCCACCATGTGCATCCCCAAGAGCTCCATCAGCCACTCTTATACGCTCGAGATGATGCTCTGTCCGAACTTCGATGCCTTGCCGTGCAAACGTGTCCATGGCATACTGCGCCAACGCCTGATCAAACATGGGCAGCACCTTAGGCGCGATATCATAGACGGTGATACGCACCAGTGGAATTAGCTCCGGGTACATGGCCTTCAAGTCCTCGTGGATTAGGTCGTGTAGCTCTGCCGCAAATTCGATTCCCGTTGGACCGCCACCCACGACGACAAAGTGAAGCAGGGATCGCTTTTCCTCTTCTGAGAGCGCGTTTTCTGCTATTCTCCCGTTTTTGTCGCCTGAAGAAGTTGGATAGGAACATTGCTCGAAGAGAGAGAGCACTCGCAACCGGATGCGTCGCGCATCGCCTACATCACGTAGGAAGTGCGCGTGTTCTCGTACGCCTGGGATACCGAAAGTCTGACTATAGGCACCGACGGCAATGACAAGCTTGTCGTACTCGACGTCAAATATCTCGTTTCCTAGTGGCTGGTTTGTCTGGGGCGATATCGACGGTAGCAGCGCATCTGGGAGAGGGTCGACAGCATTGGCTTCAACGCGGATGACCTTTCGGGAAAAGTCGACCTCGTCGGCCCATCCTTGATAGAAGCGCACGCCTCCTGGCAGACGGCGGACAGACTCAAGCACGGCTCGGAACTCAAGCGTGCCAACAGATGTCGAGGCCAGCAGTGGCGTGAAGACAAAGTAACTGCGAGGGGAGATGACAATTCGCTCGTACTTGGACGGGTCAAGGGTGCGAGAAAAGGTATATCCTGCCCATCCGGAGCCCAATATCACAACCCGCTGTTTTTTGGTGTCTATAGATAGAAGGGAGTGAGTAAAAATTATAGATTTCAGAAGCTTTTCCATTGGGATGAATCACCTTTCTTTGACTTTGTCTGAATACTATAATAGCCATTGATGATTCGGTGGCAACATGTGCCAGATTTGCCAAGTTTAACTCGGCTTGACGGACAAGTGAATATACGAAGGCTCAAACAAGGTTGTCGTAAAGAGGTCCTAGGAACCATTTTGAACTGTGCAGTAGGCAATTGCAATTGAAAAGTACCATGAAACAATTGGTAGCAAAAAAAACCAGGTTTATAAGGAGGCTAGGTGATTACACATGGTTTCCTCTTGTCGCCTCAGGTTCACAATGACGTGGCGTCGCCTAGCATTTCTTTTATACGTGTATTTCATAAAGCAGAGTCATACGTTGGATATGCTTAATCTCTAATAGAGCAGTTATTTCCTCATCATTCTGAAAGCTGATTACATACGGGTAGTCACATATAGGCATTACTTATGTAGGGTTGCGTTCGGAATAGGCGCGCTCCCTGTCTATGCAGGTACAAGACCTTAATCTAGGTATACACAATCACCACAGGGCTCAATGTCGCCCAAGAGCAGATCCCTCGAGATGCTCTCCCTTGTTTGATCTCCCAAGCGAGAGCCTCATCGCCATTCTCAAAATGGAGTAGCGCATGATGAATATTCTCTACCCTTTTCCGTGAATTTGTTGTGCTATCTAAGCAACGGTGGGGCAGGGGGGCAAGGCGGAATCACTTAGCCCAGGGTACGTCCCGTCAAGTCCCGGCAATTGTGCAATGGTACTGTTTCCGACGGCATCTCATAGCGGCGAGACGATGGTAGGACACATGACGATCTCTGCGTCACCGGCTATTTCTGTATCATTATCCCTGCATATCTATCTGCCCATCTTTCTGCAGTACATAGTCTATGTACCTATGTATACATACTTGTCTCCCTCTCCCCACACACACTTTGTGGTACGCGGGGGGCGAACCAACCCGTCCGAAATGGTTGTTCAACATCTCGCGCCTTCTCCTCCTCTTTGCAAGGAACAAATGTCCGTAGACAAATCCAGACTGTCTTGCGAAGTGCCATCTTCAATTGCAGCACAGTGCGCTAATGCCACGCTTAATTGCCTGATATCGTCGTCGTCGTGTGACTAGTCATGCATCGGTTACTACCTAGTAGTAGCACGCAAACCCCATCCTGCCGTGTCTTATCTTCGGTTGCGAGATCAACCACCAACTTAGGGAGTTAGAGAGGTACAGGGGTGTATCTGTGAGGAGAGGGCGGGGTTCAGCATCGATGCAAGGGAATGCATTGGGAAGTAGGATAGATCGGCCAACCTTCTTATAGGCTTTTCATTCTCTTCTCTTTAATTCGGAATTTCCGTAGTAGGAATCCATTCTAATTCCTTGCATCTCTTCACCACTCGATCCAAAATGACTGGCGACACGGTGGAAAAGAAGGAACAGCACGACTTGGAGCAAACCCCAACGCTGGGTGTAGCTGAGAAGGGTGAAGTTGTTGAAATCGATGCTGATGAGGCCCTTAACGCTGTTGCCGGCTTGGATACGGCCGCTCTGCAGATTGATGAGGAGACAGAGCGGCGTTTGTTGCGCAAGATCGACTTGAACCTTATGCCTGTGAGTAACAATGTCAACTATCTGGAGTTAACTTGTCATTAGTAAATTAATTGCTTGCGTATCACAGCTCATGTGTATTGTTTATGGACTCAACTACCTTGATAGTAATGCTTACCTTTCCTTGAAGAAATGTGCAACAGCATCTGACCTCTGATAGAAACCACACTGTCGTATGCGAGCATCATGGGTTTGAAACAAGATCTCAAACTAGTTGGCGATAATTACCAGTGGCTATCAAGTTTGTTCTACTTTGGTAAGCAGGCCCTTTTATTTCCTCCATCGACACAGTCAGCTCATGCCGCTTGTAGGATATCTTGGTTGGGAATTTCCCACAAATCGTTTGCTGCAACGCCTTCCTCTGGCCAAGTACTCCGCCTTCAATATCATCATGTGGGGACTCGTGCTTTCTCTTTTTGCTACCACTGAGAATTTTGGAGGGGCTGTTGTTATTCGCCTCTTTTTGGGAATATTTGAGGCTGCTGTGACCCCCGGGTTCGCTCTGTTTGTATCGCAAGTACGTAATAACGCTTAGCCGCTCAATCCAAGAAAAGGCGATTACTAATGTTATTGTGCAGTGGTATACTAAAAAAGAACAAGGACTTCGAACTGGTATCTGGTTCAGTTTTAACGGTTGGGTATGCTATCTGTGTTACCTTTGTTTTTTGACCGACAATACTGATCCCATCATAGGCCCAGATCTTTGGCGGCCTGGTAGCGTACGGCTTCGCTCATGGCGCCTCAACCTATGGCTTTTCAATCGCCCCGTGGAAGGCAATCTTCGTCTTTACTGGAGTGCTAACAAGCACCGTTGGAATAGTGTTTCTCTTTATCATGCCTGATAACCAGCTCAACGCAAGATTCCTTACCAAAGAAGAGCGAGTGTTGGCTATTCAGCGAATCAAGGTTAATGAGCAGGGAATTGGAAACAAACATTTCAAGTGGTACCAAGTCAAGGAAGCCGTTTTGGATCCTGCCATCTGGGGCTTTGTTTTCTATGCTCTGGTCGCCGATATTCCCAACGGCGGCATCTCCAATTTCTTCAGCCAGCTTATTGTCTCATTTGGCTACACGCCCGAACAGAGCTTGCTCTATGGAACTCCTGGTGGGGCTGTTGAGGTTGTCGCCTTGTTACTATGCGGATACTTGGGCGATCGACTTGGAAGCCGCATCTTGGTGTGCATGTCTGGCCTCGTAGTGGCCATGATTGGAGTGATTATGATTGTTGCTATTCCACTGGATAAGCCTGCTGGCCGATTAGCTGGTTACTACCTTACCCAGGTAAATAACAGTGGAAAGACGAAGGTGGCCCTAAACGGGTGGCTAACAGCAACTAGGCGAGCCCAACTCCATTCGTTGCTCTGCTGTCTTTGATATCTACCAATGTTGCCGGTGAGTCTTATGGCGATTGAAGATTTTGCTTCACGTGCACTAATACATAACTAGGGTGGACCAAAAAGACAACAGTGGCAGCAATGTATCTGGTTGCATACTGCGTTGGAAATATTATTGGTATGAACTATACATCAACGGTTCCACTCATTACTCTGGTTAACTTCTGTTTAGGACCCCAAACTTTCCGACCGAAAGATGCACCGGAGTACCGGCCGGCCGAGATTACAATCTTGGTGTGCTGGGCAGCCTGCCTCGTAGATCTTGTGTTTATCTGGTGGTGGTACCGTCGACAAAATCTCAAGAAGAGTCTCGTGCGAGCAGACCCGTCTTATACCAAGGTTGAGAATCAAGAATTCCTTGACATGACGGATAAAGAGAATCCGGAATTCAATTATTCTCTGTGAGATCTTGTATTTGAGATAGTAGAGGCATATTGACAATTTTGCAAATGGATTAGGAAAATCTGTAGAGCCAACTCTTAGATTTCATGCCTTTCACTCCCTGCCATAAGCAGCTCATTGTCTAATAGTCTTGCGCAGCGATTAATTATCAGAGTTGCTATTGGCTCTTGCATAAGCTCAGAAGTTAGCAGCTCTCTTTCCTCACCGCTTTAGTTTAGAGATAAGCTCTGAAAGCATATTACCTTAGGTAGTTTAGAACTCATGTAAGACCCCCTTTCTCTTCACAGCTTGAGTGGCATCGTCTGACATATCGGCTAGCACTCTGTGAATGAACCTTTCACCGTCTACTTCATATTTAAAACGTAAATTGCATCTCATGGAGTGGACTCTTTATCTGTGTCGTTCACTCTGCTGTACAGTCGGTCAGCCTTTGTAAACCCAATTACCAACATTTCCTTAATGAGAGCTGTTTAAGATTTGGTTCCTTGGTAAGCGTCCATGTATGCACCTCTCACCTTTTCTCCCGTCAACCAAACGGGCATTCGCTGAACTAAAAAGTATTACGTTAACTCTGTCTGTTACTTTATCTTCAAAACCAACCAAGCCGTAACAGCCGGATTTATGCTGTTCAAGCAACTTGCTTACGCACGTGCATGATTTCCTGGCGGCATCGGTCTGAGCTCATTCCCTGTATCTCCGACGCTTAGCTGCAGCGTGGCGGGACGTCAGCTTAGAATGCTAGGCTATAATGGGGAACTTATGTCACCGGGTTACTGGAAGCTTTGGGCATCTATGCCTGTTCAAAGTATAAAAGCGGACGACCTACCATGCCTAACATCTATATCTCAACGCGCTGATACAACATAGTTTTGGCTTTGAGAAAAGAATTCGTCATCACCAGAGTCTACTATATTCGCTTTGAAAGATGGCCTCCATCACCGCAGGACCCGAGTTCCACACTGCACCTCCCCCAGGAGCCTCTTCAGCCTCAACAATCGAGCAAGATGCACCAGCTCTCCTTGAACTGTACCGTGAATCTCCTGGACTTCACATCTACACAGCATCTAGTGCCAATTACGAGGCATTGAATAGAATCAACGACCGGTCTATCACAACTCTCCCAGTAGCTACTGTGCGGCCTACGAACGAAACAGAGGTTTCGACGGCTGTGCGATACATCTCTCAAAAGGGCTTGACTTTGGCCATCCGAAACTCAGGTGTAGACCAAGGTGGCCGGAGTCGTGCGTTTGGACCTAAAGATGTCTCACTCGACGTTCGGTCAATGGACAAGATAGTCCTTTCGGCTGATAGGCGCGAAGCAACTATTGAAGGAGGTGTGTCAGGCGGGAATTTGGTAAAGTTTCTGGATAATTATGGCCTCACCACGCCGACAGCCTTTTCCACCACAGTCGGTTACGTTGGTTGGGCTTGTGGCGGCGGCTATAGCACGCTGAATGGCATAATGGGTCTGGGCGTGGATAACATCCTTGCTGGAAGAGTTGTATTGGCCGATGGACGGATCATGGGCACAGACGATGCTAACTGTGATCCCGATTTGTTGTGGGCGCTTCGTGGAGGCGGCGCTGGTATTGTCGGAGTGGTCACGTCTCTTCGTGTTCGCGTGTATCGCCGTCCAGATTGCTTGGCTGGGAATATTGTCTTTCCCTTGGCAGAAATGCCTCAGATTGCCCAAAAGCTGAATGAACTATATGCATGGAAGAAACCTGGCAAGTTTGCCGGTGATGCTGCTATTATCAATCCAGCTGGACAAGGCGCTTTGTTTTCCCTTCTATTCTTCTGGGCTCTGGAGGAGGACCGCAGCGACCTTGATGAAGCAAAGGAATACCTTGAGCGCGTTCTACAGTTTGGAACTGTCATAGTCAATACGGCTGAAGAAAGTGAGTTCAGCGTTGTTATCCCATTTCTCATGGGCCATATAGGGAAAACTGACAGGAAATTAGCAACACCCTACAAATTTCTCTTGTCAATTCCCACACCTGTACTATACCAAGATCTCATACATGCCAGGAAGACAGTTTCAGTATCTGGCTGGTCAGAAGAGCTGGGTCGTATCATATCAGAGCCAATGCCAACTCCCACAACAGTTATCATTATGCACGACAGTCATGGTGCTGGAACACGGACATCTGGATCTAATATCATGGAGAACGCAGCCTTCTTAAACCGTGAACCACATTTAATGTTCGGCTTTTTCGCATCAGCGTCGCCAAATGATCAAGAGGGATGGAAAAAATCACAAGCGTGGGCAGAGAGATTGCTCGAAAATGTTACAAAAGCAGGGCTAGCTATGCCACAGCGCTACATCAACTTCTCCAAGCCTCTGAAAGGCGACGGGTTGGGTTATTACGGAGCTCAGGGTCTGATTCGCATCAAGGCAATTAAAAATCGACTTGATCCTGCAAACTTATTTGCTAAGAGTACGCCTGACTTAACAGAGGCATAAGGTGCTTAAAAGGCAAGCTTTACATATATATGATAAAACTACATATCTCAAACTGCCTCCGCGTATTCGATCTGCTGTGTTTTAGTTCCCTTTTCGCCTGCTTGTATGATTTCTGTTTCTGCCACGACGTCGATTTGAGCAGACGAGAATTTCCACGCTGGAACATGTCTCTCGAATAATACATCCAGCTCTTCATATGTTCGATTCTTGGTTTCTGGGAGCCTGAAAACCGCCCAAGTTGTTGTAAGGACCCCGAGGCCGAACCAGAAGAACGCTGTCTTCCCCTTCAAATTGGCTTCTGTGGGGTTAATTAGATAAGATTCTACTGTATTGTCAATGATATTAACAATGTTGTAAGCATTGCGGGCTAGAGAGATTGTTTGTGATCGCAAACGTGTGGCAGAGATTTCCGCAGCCAAGGCAAATGACTGAGGACCGAGAGTGGCCGAGTAAATGCCTAACCAGAGCATGGCAAGGGCTGATTGAGCCCATTGAGCCGAGGAGCCTACTGCGTATGATAGGCAGCCAATAATAAGCAGGTCCAACGTTAGGAGGCCTAGGCCGATGATCAGAAGCGTTCGACGGCCGAAGAAAGTCATGAGAACCCATGACAAACAAGTAGCGATGAAAGCGAGCGCAATGCTTCCGAGATTGAGTTTATACGCATCATCAGATGGCAATCCTGCTTGTGTGAAGAAATACGATGCACTGTAGCACATTGCTTCTCCAGGAAGTGTCTGTGCAGCGAGTATCACACAGGCGATTTCGGTTCGACGAAGATTTGTGCCCTTGAAACAGTCGCGATAGCTCGACTCAGCCTAGACTGCCTTCTCAAATTTGTCGGTGTGTACCATCATAGCGAGTTTCTGCTTGACTTGCGTATCCGTCAATCCAGGTGGCAGTTTGCGGATCGACTTTTCTGCTTCAGCCAGCCGGCCTTTGCGAACAAGCCACCATGGCGAGTCTGGGGCTAGAAGAGCAAGAATAAACAGGGGAATCGGCCACGCCCACTGAATGGCGAACGGAATTCTGAACGCCCATACCGTATTGTTGTTAACCAGACCTTGCAGGACTCCAGCAGCCACGAACTGGCCGATGACCCAACAAATATTGACAAAAGAGATCAAATAGCCTCTCAAAGCTAGAGGACACACTTCTGAGGAATATGCAGATCCCATAATGGCAAAGATACCCCATGGTATGCCGACCAGGACTTGTCCAGCTGTAAGGACCTGGATAGAGGGTGCAAAGAAAGTAATGAAGATGAAGGCCGACATGACAACTAGAGCAATCATTGTAACAATGCGGTGACCAAATTTTTATGTCACATAGCCGTTGATGACGAGACCAATAACGGCACCGCATGAAGAAGCATTGACAAGTCCTGCCTGCCAGGCTCCGGTGATGCTTTTCTGACCCGGATCGGATTCATAGACACCGTACTTGTCGACAAATGAGGGGTAGGCAAATAAGCTACCAATGAGAATTGTGTCGTAGCCTTCCATTACAATGGTGAGAGACATTGCAATGGCCCAAAACACTGACGTTGGGTAGCGTTTGAAGGCTTCTTTGATGGACAAAGAGTGCTCATCATCTGTCGCTATAGCGGCAGCTGGGTCGATGTCAACATAAACATCCAGGGCTTCATCATGCTCTGCTGTGTTTTCCATGACTAATTATGGGCTCAAACGTCTTAGAAATGGAAGTTTGATGCACGATAGAATGATTGCTCAAAGAATGAAGTGATTTGCACTCACATTTTACATGTAGAATGTTGGAAGTCTTGTGCCAACCGTCGGATCGAACTCAGTCTACATCTTATACTGCTTTAGTTTACAAGAATGCCAGAAACCAAGATTTCATGCGGCCTTCCCCGTGGGGAAGCCCGAAGGTACCCCCGCAACGTTTCAGCTCCATGCCGGCGGAATCAGATCAGTGGAAGAGTTCCGGTATCGCCAAATGTCTAGGCATTGAATAACTTCCAACTGGCTAAATGGGATAAACATTAAGCGTTTATCAATTATTAAGTTCTTACCAGCAATTTACAAGGATTTATGGTAAAATACTCGGTACATACGAAGTACAAATAGATATATGTATGAAGACAAGCTTCGTGGAAGATCACATCACGTTGAATACGCGTAAACACAGCTTCAGTTGACAATTCCATTTACCAAGTAATGTATCAGCGTGGTTTAATCACAGATACTAATTAGGATTTGCATTTTGAACATTTGAATACCAGCTTGGTAGGTATGGATGTCTTACATCCCCTCTCGCGCGCCAAGTGCCAATGTGACACTGCATTGTCGATGAAGTGGGAGATCATGCCGTCGGACTTGATCCACGTAAAGAACTATAAGTCGGGAAAGATTCCGGTAGCAAAAGTTGGGGTCGTAAAGTTTGGAGCAGTAATTGAAAAAGCTGCATGATCAATAGCTGTGGGGTTTGGTATTGCATTGATTTGAGACGAACGCAAGCATCGAACTATAGTTCGGCTAAAATCTGCCTCCTCATCGATTAATTAATATGTAATCTAATCCACATGTGCATAATAGCGTGCCGATTAAGCAGCTGGGCGGTTAAAATACGAGTAGTAGCTCTCTATACATGTATTTCGTCTGGTGTGGCAGTCTCATAAATTGTAGGCTTTACTTGGGCACCATCAGCTAAGAAGATGCGTAGACCCTCAAAAAGAAGAGTCAAAGGCCTATCCAACTGTGTGTTATATAGTTAGATGTATAAGAATTAAAAGCAGAACCCTCAGCCAAAGTCGCGTCGACATGCGTCTGATACGTGAAATGTTTGAAGCTTCAAGTTCATTGCCGTATCAGAATACGACGACTCTGGGGAAGTTGGGTAATACAGCTGGCTAGCTCTAAGCCATTTATGTCATTGGGTGCGGTTCGGCACAGCCCCTCCCGGGATTAATCATGGAGATTGACCTGCGGGGAAGTTTCTATCATTAATGCGGAGTTGGCGCTGACATGCTCCTCTGAGGATGGTTCCGAGACAACAATGATCTGCGGTCTCCGATCCCGGCTGGCTCTCGCAATTAGTACATTCAATTCGCCTTTATTGAGGCCATAAAGACGATAGAAAGACTGTCACAGGCAGAAGTACAAGTGTTCAATCTCTACGCCACATGCGCTTTATGACCCAATATTTCCCAGTAATTTGTGCCCAAGAGGCGCTTTATAATGACAAACATTCCGGATGATTATTTGGAGAGAGTTTATGCTGGGGTGCTCGGAAAACTCATCGGTGTGTATGTCGGACGGCCCTTTGAAGGTTGGACGCACCAAAGGATAGTTGAAGAGCTTGGCCATATTCGAGGCTACGTTCATGAAAAGGTTGGCGATCCTCTCGTCGTCACTGATGACGATGTCTCAGGCACATTTCAGTTCGTCAGGGCACTAGAGGAGCATGGCTATTCACCCGAAATATCATCCGAGGACGTTGGCAAAACATGGTTGAATAACGTTATTGAACATCGAACTATATTCTGGTGGGGAGGCCGAGGCATGTCGACAGAACACACTGCGTTTTTAAATTTGAAGCGAGGAATACCTGCACCACTTAGCGGCGCCATTCGAACAAACGGCAAAACTGTTGCCGAACAGATCGGTGCACAGATATTTATCGATGGCTGGGCTTTGGTGGCTCCAGGCAATCCTAAACTGGCTGCTAAACTTGCACGCGCTGCCGGTTCGGTAAGCCATGATGGCGAATCTGTATATGCAGCTCAACTGTGGGCTGCAATGGAAGCAGAGGCTTTCATCTCAAAAGATATCAATCACGTTCTCGACGTTGGCCTTTCTGTCATTCCTAAGGAGTCTCTCGTTGCCCGTGTAATAGGGAAAGTTCGAGAATGGGTCGCAGAAGATGGAGATTGGATGAAGACTCGTCAGCATATAGAGGATTCATATGGTTATGACAAGTTCCACGGAGTTTGTCACGTTATTCCTAACCATGCCATTATGATAATGGCTGTACTTTACGCCAGTAACGATTTTGATGAAGCTATGCACATTATCAATACCTGTGGCTGGGACACAGATTGCAATTCTGGTAATGTGGGCTGTCTTGTTGCCACAATGCTCGGGCTCTCTGCATTCCAGGGACCGTATGACTGGCGAGGTCCTTTGGCAGATCGTGCTCTCATCTCAAGCGCGGATGGTGGATATTCTATCAACAATGCTGTCCGAATCTCATATGATATTGTCAACATTGGTCGACGTTTGGCTGGTTATAATGCACTTGAGCCTCCTAAGGCTGGTGCCCAATTCCACTTTAGCCTTCCAGGGAGTACCCAGGGCTTTCAACTTTTACAGCCGTCTGGTTCGGAGCAGAGTATTTCAGCTACGCTGCAGCAACGAATTGACAGCTCTCATGGTCCTGGACTAGCTGTTGATGTGGAGAATTTAGGTCAGGGCCAAGGCGAACTTGAGGTCCTTACTCAGACCTTTACTCCTAAAGAGGTTTTGTATATGAAGACATATGAGTTGATGGCATCACCACTTGTATATCCAGGACAGACGGTTACAACCAAAATTCGGGCCAGCGGTGAGGGCGATGGCAAGGTAGTCGTCGGGCTGAGACTGAAGGCATATAGTGAGAACGACGAATTGGTCGCAATCGATGGACCATCTACTATTCTGAACCCTGGAGAAGAATGTTCTTTGATTTGGACAATTCCAGATGAGATGGATAGCCAGCCCATTCAAAAAATTGGTATCGTCCTAAATCCCGGTGCATCAAATTCCTATAGAGGTACTGTTTGGCTTGACAGTCTCTCTTGGACCGGTGTGCCAAATATGGTACTTCAGAAACCCCCGCAGAAATCATGCGAATTTTGGCACCGAGCCTGGGTCAATGGTGCCGATAATTTCAGCAAATCATCATTCCTTATTGCCCAAGGGCAGGGCGAGGGCATTATTATCTACGGCACGCGAGAGTGGGATAACTACAGTGTCACGATTCCCAACTTCATGATCAAGTTTGGTGCTCCAGCTGGTATAGGCATCAGAGTCCAAGGTCTCAACCGTTACTACGCGGTATTTTTCACTGAGGATAAAAGAATTACCTTAGTCAAAGCACTGGATGCGGAGAGAATTGAACTCGCAAGCGAGGCGTTTCCATGGGAACTGGATCAGAAGTATAGAGTGATACTGACGGCTTGCGATGACCTGATTCAAGTTCGTGTTGGCGATGTGGAATTACAGATTACCGATAGTCAGTATACCTCTGGAGGTATCGGACTAATCGCAACGGATGGGTGTGTGTCGGCAGATTCTTTTATCATTGCGCCGAGTCTCTCGACTTAACTTGCTCTTTTACAATACCGCGACCGAAAATAAACTGACATTTGCTTATGTTTGTTCAGACTTGTATGGTTTTACACCAGCATGAAGATTTGTCCAACATCAAGCGCACCATGGCGTAGCAGAATACCTTTCAAAGGCAAACAGTAGAGATAGGTACAAGTATAATATCCTATTTCCCTGTATTGCGTAAGCATATCTAAGAACGATAAATCGGGTATTCTTCCATATGCTTAGATCTAATAGTTGGATCGTTCCGTAGGCGGTCCGCAATTTGCGACGTAAAAAGACGTGTAATTTAGTACGAGAATCAGTTGGTCCCGAGAGCCATTACGGAAAGCCTACCTCGGATCCAAGCCACAGCCAATTCACAAAGCTGTTATTGATGCTACTGTGCACTAACATCGCCTAAGCGGAGAACGGACTATTGACAAATCCTTGAATCTCAAATCAAATCGCACGTACCCCAGCATCGTATCCGGCCTCCATAGCCGACCCTGTTGGCGCAAGACCCGACCTAAACTGCCGGCATTTAGTATCAAGGTTTCAGCGGGGGAAACTGGGGTAACACGGATAGTGTCCATCTAGAACAATAATGAAGCTTGGCATTTTCTTGAAAGTGCCTGTAGAGATAAATATCTCTGGAGCACATGTAACATTTAATGTCGACAACACTGTGGATTTTATTTAACTCTAGAATAGCGTTGACTGAACAGCAATTTCACTTCGGATTCGAAATTCTCCAGTATGCATGACCTCAAGAGCATCCCAACGAAGGCGTATGTTGTTGAGAGCAAAGGCGCTCCGTTTGTTCTCCAAGATATTTTACTAGACGAGATCCAAAGCCATGAGGTCCTTGTGGAGATCCTGTACACCGGCCTGTGCCATACAGTCTGTATTACTGCTCTGCCTTGCATCTTAATACTGACTTATGTTGTTAGGATATCGTGGTTCAGCATGGTGGAATGCCCGTTGGTGGCTATCCCGCCATTCTAGGTCACGAAGGCGTTGGAGTGGTGCGCAAGATCGGGTTGGGTGTTTCGAATCAAGGTTTACTTCCTGGTGACATAGTCATATTGTCATTTCATACATGCCAGCAGTGTCGATATTGCCAGGAAGGGAACCTCGGAGGTTGTACTCGTATGACAGAGATTAACTTCACCAAAACCGGCCGGGACGGCCTTGAAATGAATTCACCAGCCTCTCTCCCCGATGGAAAGCCAGTTTACGCGCAATTTTTTGGACAATCGTCTTTGAGCAAGTTGATGATAGTTCCGGAGAGGTCTGTCGTGAAAACCGAGCTAAGACTCGAAGACGATCTCTCCTGCTTACCGCCATTATCATGTGGTTACCTGACTGGAGCAGGAACCGTGTTCAATGCACTACAGCCGAAGCCTGCTGACAAGGTGGCAGTTGTCGGCATGGGCGCTGTGGGATTTGCAGCCTTGATGGCAGCTCGAGCGCTTGGAGTCGAGCAGGTTCTCGCCATCGATATTGTGGATGCAAAGCTTCAAATGGCGACCAGCCTTGGAGCTTCTCATACCATTAATTCTAGTGCATTTACTGATATCAACGAGGGAATCAGAAGTATCTTCCCAGATGGAGTTGATATGATAGTCGAGGCAACTGGGATAGCCATTCTCGCAGAGACATCAGTGAAAGCACTGGCCCATGGGGGAACATTAGCACTTGTTGGCGTGCTACCTCCAGACGCAGATATCAAGATCAACGGACTGGATGTGTTAATTTCTTGCAAGAAGATCATAGGCGTTATTGAAGGATCTTCGAATCCCCACGAGGTGTGTATACTTATGATAACCTGGCAGTGTAGCTTATACTGACGCTTTTCGCCAACAGCTGATTCCACGACTTGTTGAGCTGTATAAGCAGGGCAAATTTCCTGTAGACAAATTGTCCAAAGTCTATCCGGCCGAACAATTGGATCAGGCCTTGTCTGATCTGAAGACTGGAAAGGTGAGATTGGTGTTTTTGCTCGTTGTTCAAACTATTTCTACGTAATATCGGAGTTGTTAACTTTTAATATCTAGGTGATTAAACCAGTCTTGTCATGGGAAAGCGTGGTAGCCTCTGAATGAGCAGCACATGACAGTATTACATCCCGTTCATAGCAGCATCTTGAGATTAGCATTGCCCGTAAGAACTTTACCAGTGATTTAAATTTGACCATGTGCACTACTCTTCTGTATAATGTGTGGCAGAAATCCTAGCGTGAAATCCCCTCACCCCCTTGGATACGATCTAGGTACAGTAAAATGGAGGCACTTTCACTGTGGAGGGTTGAACTCGGAAGATGTGTTCGGCAGTTCTAGAATTGACTACGTGGAGTCACTACAGAGCAATTGTGAAGCCCCTTAACATTATAGGTGTGAAATACGATATTACGGTAGAGGGAATAAACTGATACTCTCCAAAACATTAGGATATGATGGATCTCATCTTAAATACAGCTATTAATCAGGAGCAGTGGAAAGTTTGCCGAAACTCTCGTCGAAGCTCTGCTCGTAATACACGTGTAATGTGATGAGGGGTACAATCGAATACATGCTGTGTACATGTACGTAGATACTACAGATACGCTGGTAGGAGACAAAGCTGCATTGAGTCTGAGGCAGTTTCATGGCATTTATTTTCTCTCTGAGCATGTATTTTTATGCATCGTGTTAAAAAAAGAGGAAGAATAGGAGGGGAAAGGTACATGTAACTTGAAGGAAACATAAATCACATGTCAAAATCATCCCTTGTAAAGGTCAACTGTTGAAAACACAAGAAGGTGACGGCTTTGACACGTGCTCTAATCGATACAGACAAAGCAGATCGCCACCTGATGTTTAGCGCCAAATGGCCCGATCGTGCAGTGAAGGGAGATCCTCCGAGGCGCTGTAATCAACAATTCCAGCGAATGGGGGCCGGCTAACTTTCCCGATCGAAGCCGCTAATCGAGCCTCTGTGGCGCCATGACCTCATGCATTTACAGTGGGCAGCTGTTTGCAGCTCCTCGCGAGAATCACTCCATCCCTTGAGCTTTTGTCTTAGCCTCCTCCCGTCTTCATTTCTCCCCTTTTCTATTTTATCAACACCTGTATTCTACCAAGCTCCGCAACTTCACAGGCCGGCTTTCGCGCTACGATGGGTGAGGCGGACAAATACATGCAGGGCGATCCCCAGCAGCAACACCAGAACCAGGGCCAGAGTCAATACCAGAACCAGTCGCAATACAACCAGGGATACAACAATAACAACAACAGCAATACCAATAACGCCTATAATCCACCGTATAATGGCAATCAACAGCCTGTGAACGGCTATCAGGATCATCCATACGGCCCGCCTCCGCCTTACAGCTTCAACCCTCCACAAGCCCACGACGAGAAATACTCGTTCAACGATGCATTCAAGCTCGAAAAGCCCAAGTACAACGATTGGTGGGCAGGAATTCTTGTACGTGTATCCATTGAGTCGCATTCCCTAAATGCGTCGTATATTGACTAACCCCTACCCTCATCGCAGTTCCTCGTTGCTTTCGCAGGATATGTGGCCATCTCGGGTCTCGCTATCCACGGCTACACCAAGGGCTTTAGTGGCGACGGCATCTACGATGACTTGAACAGCTTTTCGCTCAATAGCAATACCATCATCTTATTTGCCTTTTGCCTGGTTATCGCCTTTGTCTTCTCAATCGGTTACGTCTGGCTTGCGCGCCTCTTCCCCAAGGCGTTCATCTGGATCACTGGCATCCTCAACCTTGCCTGGGCACTCGGTACAGCCATATACTATCTAATTGTGGGATACTGGTCTGCAGGCATAGTGTTCCTCATCTTTGCCGTCTTCCTCATATTCGCTTTTTGGACCTGGATTGGCCGGATCCCCTTCTCGGCACTAATGCTCAAAACGAGCATTGACGTGAGCAAAAAATACGGCCACGTCTATATCGTCAGTCTCATTGGAGGCTTCTTTGCAACGGCATTGGCTGCTTGGTTTTCGGTTACTCTTGTCGCAATCTACGTTTCCTACGAACCTTCGCCAGACAACCCGCGATGCTCTGTCTCAGGAAACAACTGTAGCCACGGCAAGGTGATTGGTCTGGTCGTCTATGTGACGTTCGCCATGTTTTGGATCTCTGAGTGGCTAAAGAATACCGTCCATACCATTATCGCCGGTGTTTATGGATCTTGGTACTTCTCGCCGCATAATTTCCCCAAAAAGGCCACTCGCGGCGCCGCCAAGAGAGCACTCACCTACAGCTTTGGCTCTATCTGCTTCGGCAGTCTCATTGTAGCCTTTATCCAATTTCTGAAGCAGGTGTGCAGTGTCCTTCGATCACAAGGCGCCAACGAGGGCGGTGCGGCCGGCTGGATTACCTATGCTATTTTCTGCGTCCTCAGCTGTATATTGGCCATCGTCGAATGGGCTGTAGAATTTGTCAATCGATACGCGTTTTGCCATATTGCCCTCTATGGCAAAGCCTATATCGCCTCCGCCAAAGATACCTGGAGAATGATTAAGGATCGTGGCATCGACGCTCTGGTCAACGTAAGTTACCAGATTGCTTTCTAACACCTTGCTTCCTCTGTGTATAACTAACAAACAATAGGATTGTCTTGTTGGTCCAGTTCTCTCCTTCGGTGCCATATTCATCGGCTATGCATGCGCCCTCTTTGCGTATTTGTATCTTCTCGAGACCGACCCCCCGTATAACAGTGATGGAGGCTTTACTGCCGTCATTATGGCTTACGCGTTTTTGATTGGCTTCCAGATTGGGCATGTTTTCACGACCCCTCTTGGCAGCGGTATTGACACCATCTTTGTTGCTGCTGGCTGGGACCCTCAGGTCATGATAAGAGACCACCCTGAGCTATATCATGAGATGGTCAGGGTCTACCCAAGAGTTCAACAAGCCATCCATTGATTCAGGGTTCGGAGTGGGCATTGGGTGCAGCTGCTAGGTATATTTGTTTTACTGACGCCAATCGAGTGGTACTTTTTTTCCTTCAAACTAAACTTGCTTTATCAGTGTACTCAACAGGTATTACCCATTGATATAATATAGTACATATCATACATTCGTGGCGAGCCAAGTCGGCATTCCATTAAGAGAAACTCAATTAAAGTAATTGAAAGTCATCAAACTTCATAAATATCCGCTATTCTACAAATCAAATGTGATAATTAAAATATATACGCTTTCATGAATTAGATATAAGACGAAAGACCGTCTGTCTTGTCTTTCACATGCTCATCTACTAGCAGTCCCTAGGCAATTGATGTTTCTAGAAGCAATCGCAATGCTAGGCTCTTGCTCAGTTCATGCCACCGTTGGCCAACATACCACAAGGGCCATTGCTGACATACGCTCCACTGGAGGGTCCCGTGCTCGTCCCGAACTGGACATCACCAGTGAACTGGTTCGCGTGGCAAACGCCGTCAGTTGCCACCACAAGGAAGCATGAGCCCGAGCTGAAGGAGAGAGCTCCTCGGCAGGGGGTAGCGCTGTTGAAGCAGGCCACGCAGCAATCGTAGGCGCTGTGAGTGCCGCTGACGGGGAGGAAGCCACCCGTTCCCGAACTGCTGACGCTGCTGATGCCGTTACCACCGTTTGCTGTGGTGATGAGGTTCTCTGGGCCGCAGGCCGCTTGGAGAGTCTGCTGGGGAGCGACGGTGGATTCGGTGGCTGGTGAGGATGTTAGCTTTGCTGGATCATTCTTTTCACTGGTCTTTTATGTGTATGTTCATATATAGGAGGTTCATAAAACTCGACGTACTGGTAGCGGTAGTGGTGGTGGTCGTCGTAGAATCGGTCGACGAGGTGATGACCGTAGTGGCAGGTACGGTCACCGTGCTGGTGACATCGCAAGGCCACTCAGTCTCAGTGTGAGTCTGGCTGACGGTGGTCGTGACGGTTTTCGTCTTGGGACGGGCAGTAATGGTGCAAGCCTTGGCGGTGTATGTGACACGCTTAATGACGATGGGCTCGATGACCTTGGTGCAGGTGACGGACTGAGGGTGCAGGGGAGGGTAGAAGCTTGGGCCGCCCTTGCTGGGTCGGCACTGGAGAGTGTTGCCACGCTCGATGAGGCTGTTGGCAGAGCGGCCCTTGATCTTGGGGACGAAGCCGGGCTCCTGGGAGATAGGGGTGAAGCCTGCAGGAGCGGCAATGGTGGTGGTAGGAGTGGTTGTGGTAGTGACCGTGTTAGTTTCGGTGTCAGTCTCCGTGACGATGTTTGTCGTGGTGAAGAAGGAGGTGCCTTTTCATTTGTCAGTATTTCCAGACCTCTACCAACAGCAGATCACCTATTCTCACTGGTGGAAGTGACAGTGGCCACATCAGTATAGGCAGGCTCCGTGGTCACAGTCTTGATGACGGTGGTAACGGTCTTGGTCTTGGTCTTGGTAGGCGTCACAGTCGGGTGAGGAGTCGTTGTGAACCTCTCGGTGTAGGTCACAGTCCTCGTCTTGTAGTTCCAGTGCGTCTCGACATGGCGGTTGGCCTGAGGACCCAGCTTGGTAGAACAAGTCACAAACTCCTCGACGATGGGCAGGCGATGGGGCTGGCGGTTGGGTTGGCCGAATGCAAAAGCATTGGAGCTCAAGGCGAGGAGCGAAACGACAGAGTTGACCTTGACCATTTTGACGGCTGTGGACTGCTGCTACGTTGGAACAGGTTGCAGATGAGGTCAAGAACGAAGAGCTCGGACAGCGTACACCCACATGCAATACTATTTATTTCTCCATGACTCTTACGATGGCAATACTAATCGCCGCTATTGTTCCTTTCCTCTCTTCGGTGGGCATCCATGGATAGCTTCGCGATGCCCTCAGCCGCTCCATGATTCACCCCTGGCAGCTCAATCTAGATTGCCTGATTAATGCAGGTCCAGGTCAGCTTCACCCAGAATTGGGAAAGAGACCGCCAAACTATTGCAATACTTACACCAATAGCCAACTTTCTGGGGCAGCTGAGAGAGCTGTTAGCGTCTCTTCAAGTGAAGCTATTGAGTCGAAATGTGGTCCCTGAAGAAGAAATTTCGTCTGTGCGGTGTGTCCGAACAGCGGAATGTGGGTAGCTCCACAGGCGTACTTTGTGAGAATTGCGTTCATCTTAGTCCAAGAGCTGTCTCGGAGGCTTTCTTTAAAGCCGGACCGGCAATTATAGTGCCGGGTATAATGTTGATGTTATATATCTCTTGGCTGCCTTGGCGACAGAGAGCATGTTGAGTGGGAGTTGCATGATATCTCCCTGGGCACATTGTTGACAGTACTGGGAGGCGGAATCCCCATCCCAATAACAACCTCCTTACTACGGCAATACGGCTACAGGGACCTGGGAAAGATGGGCAGCTGAAAGTTGAATCCATAAACCTTTAGTCAGAGCCATCTGCAACTCGCATAGGCAACTTCTTCAAGCAACTATGACTTTGTCTACTCTCAGTTAGCCATTCTTCTTTGATGCCTACTCGTTGTTACATTATTACCTTTTACACAGCCAACAGCATAAAGCCAACACAATGCAGCCCCGATTATTGAATCATGATAGGCAGATGTTGAGCCAAATAAGGCACTAATGAGATTAGGACGCCACAACCATTGCTAATAGATTGTGGCGATTACCAAGGCTAGTGGTACTAGTAGTAGCACCTCGCATACACAGCCCTGTATCTTTGTGGATATCTTGAACACGTATCGAGCAATACAAACGACTTAATGAATGCGTGTGTTGAGTGGAGCAGGCCTGGATTCATGCCCATGGAGTAAATGCTCCGTCGGCGTTTGCAAGATGTAGTGTTGTTGTCTTAGTAAGAACAACTCGGAGGGTACTAAGTGCCTCTGCTGCTGAGTTGTTGGTTTCTTGTACGAGTATATAAGCAGCTGGCAAGAATTTCGTTAGCTAAGATGGATGAATGCATATAAAGGTACTGATCTACGTGAATCCTTTGCATTTATTTGTGTATCCCTCGTCCCGACAAACAAGCTCCCGTGGTTAAACAGGTTTCTGTGATATTTTAGCTCAACTTCACCATCATACAGTAATAGCCTACCCTATACACATGAAATGCATGTATGAAAGAGGAGGCGTGCTTAAGATTGTCCGCCATATTCGAATGAAGCACAACTGCAATTTTCTCTATGGTCTGATATCATGACCTAGGGGTCATGATGGTGACGACAAGCGACCACCTGGAGATATGTCAATAGGTGGACGGAGTTTCATTTTCATCAGGCAACCTTGGTCCTACCAGCGCTTTATAGGCTAAGACCATGTAGAAGTGAGCTCAAAGTTGGATTTTTATTAAACTGTCTCTTTTTTTTTTACACTTCATGACCCTGGAGATGCCTGCGTCTTTTTCATTTAGATACTGTTACCTGTAAATACCGAATACAGCTTAGATTTGATGCATCGCGATAGCCGAGCGTTTCATGCAGTCATGGAATTTGAGGCTCTCTAGCCATCCACAAACATGCATTATAAGCCCCCGCAATACCTTGTCGGTAAAGGTACTTGACCCCAACTACGGGTACTTTTAGCAAATGAGGCTCAACTATGCAGTATTGCAACCACTATTTGTACTAACTGGGGTTGCACTCGGTTGTCAACCCAATCAACACATCTACAGGTAAGATGGTCGCATGGAGAAATCCTTTGTAATAGTGCTTACACTATTTCTGAGAGCGGGGTAGGGCTATTTTCTATCCGACAGTAAGGTAGCGTGAAACCCGGTATGTTGCCTGGTCCTTCAAGTAACAGAATAGAGGGATTTAGAGATTTTTGAGATTTTTATATATGGTTTCTTTAGCCGCCGCACTCTCAAAACGCTTAACAAGATGGAACCAACAACAAAATATTTGCAGCCACCGTGTGATTTTTTGTGTTCTGCTAGCCGCCAGGGATTATCGCGTGTCAACTCAGTCTCCATCCAACCGTCATTTGTATCATTACTATACCATCTATAACTGGTGTTACATGACAACCTTTTCGGCAACGTCGGCGCTACTGCCTGATCAGGTGAAACTGTGAATCCTGCAGGAGTGCTATACCTATTGTGAATACCAGTGGTTGCTAAGAAATACAAATCGAATGATTCTCGAGAATACTCGAAACTACTCCTTTTCTAACAGGAAAAAAACAAGTGCTGTCAATCTATTGCCGTTTGAGGATATTGACGCAAGAAAGTTTCAATGCTGCGGATTTAATTTTAGTAGACAAACCAGAGATTAGACGAATGTAAATGTCATAATTCATTAAAGAAACTCCACGGGCGATTTGCGGTAATCTTGTGGATGGTTGCTGTTGGTGCATGGATGTTATTGCTATTATTAGGTCTCTCAGTGGATTTCTGACGCACTCATTAGGCTGATTAAAAGCTGTGGGATCTCGACACCACCACGATGCCTCTCATTTCGCATTTCAACATTCTTTATTAATGCTTTTATTCCACCTGGTAAATCTTAGGACAAGCAGCGAAAGAACCTCTCATATGCCAAATTTACTCTAGAATGGCGTCAAACCGATTTGACTCGATTTCCCACCAGGATCCTAGCTCTGCTTCTCTTATCCGAGAACACACATCGCAGTCAGAGGACAATTCATTCCTCAAGACCACAGAAACGAAGTCAGAGCTAGAAAATGCGCGACCAACGCATAGGAGTAAAAAGACTGCAGCGACCATTTATACCTCCTTCGTTAGATGGTGGCCTGAGCTGCTGTCCTGCACATTTGCTATTGCTGTATTCCTTGTGCTCGCGTTGGTGCTGCGCCCATATCAAGGAAAAATACTATCATCCTGGCCTCTTGCAATCACCATCAACACATTTGTGGCAATATGTATGCTCCTAATCAAGGCTTCACTGGCGATGATTGTGTCCAATGGTACAGCTGCATAAACTATCCAATATCACCACTGATAATACGGTACTGACGTATTCTAGGCATCGGTCAACTGAAATGGGTTTGGTACAGTAAACCTCGTCCGCTAGAGGACCTGCAGCAATATGATAGCGCTTCACGAGGCGTGGTTGGATCACTTGGCCTCATGTGGACGCATCGGAATGGAAGGTACAAACGGTTCATTTTTATTGTCTGTGATGCTTGCTGATATATGACTCTTTAGGCGAATGATACCACTCCTAGGGGCAATTCTCACTATTATCCTTACTCTAGTCGATCCTTTCGGGTGAGTATAAAGTTGGATTACCATCTGTATGATTAGCGTTTGACCAAGTATTTAGACAAGCATTGGTTCAACTTGAGAACTGTACCGTAGTCGACCCCTCTATCCGAAGCACAATTGCGACAACTCACCACGCCAACCTTTTGAATACAGATCGCATATATATTCTCAATGGCGGTGCTATGGGTCCAATGATGATTGGCATGCTTAATGAGAGCCTGATCCCACCCGTAACATTTGATTGTCCTACAGGAAACTGCACTTATCCAGACCCCTACCGCTCTGGTGGCTTCTGCTCAAAGTGCAGCGACGTCTCCGACCAAGTAGTTGCCACCAATGAATCTACCTGGTATTGGGAGGAAGCAAACTTTACTCTTTCAGTTAACACCGGGTCACAGTACGTCAGTGGTCAATCAGGAGTCCTGCAAATGGCAGCCCAAAGGACCACTTCGGCCGACACTATTGCTTCAGTACAAGTCATGGGGTCGCAGCTCACACAATGCAAGGATAACTCTACTACTCCATGGCGCTGCCGGACCTACGGAGCTGCGGTGTGCGAAATCAACCCTTGTGTTGTCAGTTACACTGGAAAGGTCGAGACAGGCAATCTTAAGGAGACTGTTGTTGCTACATCCGAAGTTTGGTCATCTGGTGTCGAGACATATAACAATTACATGGGGTCTATCGACGTATCCTGCCTTAATACCAGCGAGCGAAACGCCTTACAACATGCTGGATTCCATTTAAAACCGGACACCAGTTGGCTTGCCTATAACGTGTCCTTTTATCGGCAAAACTCATCCTATATAGTTGTCAACGGATCGGACGTGCGGCCGGAATGTATCTATATTATGGATCGTCAACAGATAAGCGCAATGAACTCGCTCTTTTTTAATGACGGATTTATCAACACAATTGTATCCACGATGAGCTCCCCTACTGGATTATTCATCTTTGGAGAAATTCAGTGGCAGGCTATATGGAATGGAGGGGTTATGGATTTTGTCGACATTCAGCGAGCGTTTGATGGGTTGACGAAAGGGTTGACAACATACGCAAGAAGCAATCCCAGAGATTCTATTGAAGGCGGATTAGGCGACAGCTTCCGAAATGGAACATCTTACCGAAATACGACGTGTATACAATTGCAGTGGCAATGGATTTCATATCTGGCAACGGCATTAATCGGAACGATCCTATTTCTCATCGGGACAATGATTATGACACGGACAAGTCTTGAAGTGAATGGGCAGGATTATAAGATATCCATTTTACCTTTGATGTTTCATGGTGTTGCTTTTAGAGATCCTGAAGCATCCTTCAAGAACCCTGGATTTATAGATGACATGACGGCAGAGGCCGAGAAGCTATATGTCCAATTCGAGCCAGCAGAAAGGGGGTGGCAGTTTGTAGAGAAAAAAATTACTTAGTCCATGTATTTTTCCGAGAAAAAAAAAGGGAAAGAAAAGGAAAAGAACGAAAAAAAAAAAAAAAAAAAAAAAAAAAGGTTTATTTTTTACAGGTTATTCATAATGATATTGCATATACATGTATATTGACAAGGACCGGCTAACGCTGCTGGGCCATGTTACTCTAGAACTGAATACATGTAATGTGAATATTGCAGACCGAATAAAGAGCACATGACATCTTCAAAATTGGAGCGCCCACCGAGAATGTCTAAATGATGAAATTAAAGTACATGCATATACGTTCAGTGGCGATGACTAAATGCAGGTCATTTCATTGCTCCATCTTGAGCTCTCATTATCGTGCGACGCACCCCCTGTTTCAGTTCTGGTGCTGCCATAGCCACACATAAGATTCTGAACCGCTGCATCTATCTCTGAAAGCGCCTTGCGAGGCGGCTAAGAAAGAAAAAGGTGAGGTGATCCTTCCAATGACTGGATGAACAAGGGTTGGCGCTAGCCTCTCATGTAGGAGACATGGCTGTGCAAAATACCTAATAACCGGGTGGAAAACACGTTGAAACCCAACATTTTCTTTCAGCATCAAATACTGTGATTCCCCGCAGTATGTGGGATATTCGCCGCGCATACAAGCATGCTTAACTGAATTCTCGATACTGCCGACAACGGATGGCCATATTCCGCGATCCATGAATTTTCTCCTGATGGTTCCATTAAGCAGCGTTCGGTGGTTCTGATTGAATAGCCATGGCTTCAAACCCTCCACAGGCGATGTCGCCTGAACAAAAAGCAATCACCAATGCCAAATCGCTTTTCACTCAGCTTAATAGCGGAGATCAACTGTTTCAAAGCTGTGTCAGCCAGACGACCAGTATCTCGCATCTCGTACAATATGTTGATGGAGAACAGCGCAAGCACAAGAACAAAGCTTCTTCTAAGCTGCTGGAGCAATTCCAGCGACATACGGAAGGACTTCAGTCACTTTCTTCTCTAATAGAGCTTGCGGTGCAGATAAAGGCAGACTGCTTTTGTCCACTATGGGCCCCGGTGAAATTCATTCTTCAGGTTAGAGATATTGACATCCGAGTCTCATTCATTGTGATGTGAATTTTATTTAATGGCAAGACCACAGATATCTAGATCTCACTCATTTGTTGTGCATCATATAACGGCTATGGTGGAGATTTTGACGGAGAATCTATCGCGCATTGAGCTTTACCAGAATTTGCAAAGGGATCCAAATATGCAAACAGAACTACTTCATATTTTCAATGATGTGGTTGGCTTTTGCGTCGAAGCTCTTGTTTTCTTTCAGCGTCGCACCTCAGGTATGTTGCAATACTGTGATAGAGCCAGTACATTAAGCAATTTGCTAATGCGAGATACAAGTTCGAGTGTGGAAACTGATGACTAGCCCCCCGAAAGAAAGCTTCCAGAGGTCCATTGACCAGTTGAAGTCCCACATGCAGGGCGTGCACAACACAGCCGTTGCTATTGAGCTTGCAAAACAAGACCGTATATGCTTCAACTCATTTTAAGTACTGACTGAGTTTTCAGCTAACATTTTTGAAGAGTATCGCAGAGAACAAGAACGACTGAGGATAATTAGCTCACTTGGGGCTGCAAACATGCGAGAAGCCCACCAGAGAAAAGTCCAAGCCAAAGTGCCACAGACGTGTGAATGGATACTTTCACACCCTACTTTTCTTCAGTGGGAAACATCTAAAAGCCAAGATGCCATAGATCGCTTTCTATTCATTTCAGGAAAAAGCGGCTGCGGTAAAAGCGTTCTTGCGTCATCCGTTACTGAGGCATTGAAACAGCGAGGGATGCGAACGATGTACTTTTACTTCTCCGGCCTCGAAAGAAGTCAACAGGACGCTGATAATCTAGTACGATGGCTTTTGCTAGATACTTTGCAATTAATACCGGATGAAGCAGTGCAAAATACTATCAAATCGATTTTCTCGACAGGCGATCCTACGTCGCTTGATCTCTGGGGAGCATTTGGCAACATCATGGCTAAATCTCAAACACAGACGTACCTTGTTGTCGATGGAATTGACGAATGTCAGGATTTGACTGGCGGCCTATTTGCGCAACTTCGTGGCATTAGCAACAGCTCTACTCGCCTTAAGATTGCATTGCTCGGCAGATCACATGTTTTTGAAGGGCAGACTTCAACTCACCGGATTCACGTCACCAATGATCTTCTACAGGCCGATCTCAAGTCTTTCATCACAACTGAAACGCAAAAGAGCGAGCTTCTAAAGCAAAAAAATATTCGGGAAATGATCATAAATGGCCTCCTAGAGAAGGCGGACGGAATGTTTCTCTGGGCGCGGTTGTCAATTAATGAGCTGTGTGAGGCATACAGTCTGGACGACATCAAGCGAATATTACAACGCTTGCCACCAGGAATTGAAAATACATACGACCGAATTTTACATGAGATTATCTTGTCAAAAGGAGAGACTGGATTAGCATGCACGAAAATTATCCTAGGAATTCTCGTTGCATCTGGGAGAACTTTGGAACTGAAAGAGCTTCAACACGCTTATGCCATTGCATCTCGGATGGGCCAACCCGAGTATGAAAGGGACAGCATTGGTGCATACAAAGGTCCTGATCCCGCGAAATTGTTCTTACGGGCTTGTCGAGGATTGATAAACATTGAGAATGACAGGGTCAGTCTGGTTCATTTGACGGTAAAGGAGTATTTGACAAGAGCCGAAACGCGATGGAACCCCGAAATCTCAACGCTACGAATTGGGTTGACAGAAGCTCACGAGCTTTTTTCCAATGTTTGCGTTGAGAGCATCAATAACAACGGATTTGAGTGGTTTCACAACCGAGAAGGTCTATTTATGTCTCAAGACCTAGACTATCCACCTCTTTTCTCCTACGCATTCAAGTTCACCATATATCATCTCAACAGAATAAAAGATCCAAATCCAGACACCCTAATTCGAATCAAGAATTTTGTTGACGCACACTTCGTTTCCTGGTATGAGATGCTTATTGTAGCCTGCTTTACGGATGGACCTATGGCCGTGACGATGCAAGAGTTTTGGGAAGCTGTTGAATGGCTTACTGATGATCCATTCGGTATCAATAAGTCAGTGGGCACTATGAAGCAACAGTTTCAGACGATATATCAAGCACATGCTGGTAATTACTGGCAATCTCAGAGATTGCGTCTTTTGGGCCAATTCTTCAATTTCGTCGAGGAAGATGATTCAAATACTTCTCGTTTGGCGCCAATTTCCAAACAAAAAGCGAAAACTTTAAGCCAAAGAGCCAAGCCACCAACACAGGAAAATCTTTCTCAGGTTATTCAATTATTGGCGGATCATCACGCACTCCCATTGTCGAAACAAGCCGACTTGATGTCGAAGCTTGGACAAATATTTCGCAGACAGGGGCACATGAGGGATCTGTTGAGTCCGTTTGACATATTGTTCCGCCTATTCAAAAACAAGATTAACAGCTTCCCAACCGTCGTCCTTATTGGATTTGGTGGACTGTGTAGGTCGCTTAAAAGGCCTCAAAATGCCATGGAGATATTCAACACTGTACTGACTAGGTTGGATGATAACGATGAAGAAATGAGGTATTGGGTCTGGGAGATCATAGGCTTTACCTATGAAGATATGGAAGATCATGAAGCATCCTTTAATGCGCACCAAACAGCTTGGGCTGGACGGCGCGTTTTACTAGGTCCTAAGCACAGGAAGACAGCGGACAGCATCTATTGGATGGGAAAAGCACGTTACCAGCAGAAAAAATATGCTGAGGCAGAGGAATACCTACGCCAAGCTCTATCGCTACGTAAAGAGGCATGTGGGCTCAAAGACCAAGATACGGCATCTGTCATGTTTTGGCTTGGATCTTCACGTTACCGACAAGGCAATTTTAACGACGCAGAAGAGGACTTCCGTCAAGCTGCATCAATACGTAAATTTGTTACTGGGGGTAAACACAAAGACACGGCAGTCAGCATGCATTGGATCGGACTCTCACTTGAGAAGCAAAATAAATTTGCTGAAGCAGAAGGCTTTTTCCGCCAGGCTGCCTCTATAAGAGGAGCGATTTATGGAAATAAGCATAAATCAACAGCAAGTAGCATATCCTGGCTCGGAAATTCACTTTTTTCCCAGGCCAAATATGCCGAAGCTGAGATTTACTTTCGCAAGGCTGCTGTTATACACACGGCAATTCTTGGTGCTCACCGAGAAACGGCGATATGTATAAGTGCCCTTGGGCAATCGCTCTATCGGCAAAAAAAGTATACTAAAGCGGAGGAGCAATTCCGTCGCAGCCAACGGATAATAGAACAGAAGGGCCTTGATCGGAAAGATAAGGATATCATGTTGAATTCATTACTTTTGGGGTTGGCATTCTGCTGCCAGCGCCAGTTCAACGACGCAGAGAGGATCCTTCGGTCAACGTTTACGACCCCGCCAGATAAGGCGGCTGATTTAATAAGCTTTCAAGCTCTTGTATGGCTTGCTCGAGTATTACACTATCAACAGAAGAATTTCGAAGCTGAAAGGACTCTTACCGCATTGTTACCTATGAGCGATGGGAAGTGTGACCTGAACAATGACTACAGCCGGACTATTATATTGTTCTTGGGCCGATCCCTAAATGCACAAGCGAAATATAGCGAGGCCGAGTCAGTAATGCGCCAAGTAGTACTTGATGAATACAAAAAGATGGGATCAGAGAGAGCTAGCATGGACGAAGGATACGAAATTCTGAGGACAGTTGGTGAATATGAGGATGATGCTGATGATGAAGGAGAGGGCTCCGAACCAGCAGAGGAGAATGAAGAGGATAACGTAACAGAAGATGATTTGGAGACTGACACTGGGAGTGAGACAGGAACTGATAATGGGGAGGATTTTGGGTTTCGCGAGGAGTGGGAGTACTGTCATGTGCACGAGATCTTCTCAGAATATCTCACGACAGGCCAACATCTTGAACGTGAAGGGAAGAAGGTCGAAGCTGAATCAGTATATTCTTTTCTGAAGTTGGTCGAATGGATATAGGGATATCTAATAGTGAATGCAAATAACAGGATGCTGGCATGTTGTGACTCATCTGTAGAATGGGAGGGGAAAATGAGTAATAGAGCGTTCAAGTTTCACCTCCATATTAATGGACTATTTCGTTACCACTATTAATCCCTCACCTCTACGTTTGTAGCATTGAATAAACGTGAAATACCCTTTTTGAAGCGAAAACAATTTCAAATTTCCAATGTTGAGCGACGAAACCGCGGTTGCGTGAATAGTCTCGTACCTGCAGTACGCGTTATTGCCTGCGTCTGGATTGCGCTATTTAGAGCTTCCACGTAACCTTCATCTATGATTCTCGTATCGCGTTACGTTGAACCACAAGCTAGTGGGCTTCAGCCCCCTGCTAAAGGATCTCGGTGGCGCCGTTAGGCATCTTTCCAGCCAAACAAGTTTCTGGAGTTTATGCCTGGCGCCTCTCGCTACTTTAAGCGGCTGATTGCTAGTTGAGATGACGTGTGGATTTCGGCTTCGAACACGTACATACAAACAAGTAATGTAATGTAGCTTGCTACCTGAGGATCTGATAGATAAAAAGCGGCTGCATCGGGTCATGAGACGGATTTAAGCGAAAAAGCTGCCTGATATCTCATTCATAAATATTAATTGCCATTCCTCCAAATCTGAACTTCAATTGTATCATCATCCGCAAGTTGTCTAAATCCATGAATATAGTGCCATCATTATGGCTTCTTTAAAAGTCCTTGTCATCGGTGGTGGAATTGCCGGTCCAGCCGTAACCTACTGGCTCTCACGTATCGGCGCTCATGTCACTCTCATTGAACGCGCGGCAGATATACGAGCTTCAGGCCAGCAGGTAGATCTTCGTGGCCAAGGAGTGCCTTTAATGAAGAAAATGGGTATGGAAGCTGCTGTGCGGGCTGTATCTGTTCATGAACCCGGCATGCAACTCATCGATAGAAGTGGCCGAACCAAAGCATTCTTCCCAGTCGCTGAAAGTGGCTCAGGGAAGCAAGGGTTCACTTCAGAGTTTGAGATTATGCGGGGCGATCTAGTGAAGATCCTCTATTCACTTACAGAAAACAACACCAATGTGCGGCATCTATTCGACACTACCATCAAAAGCTTTACCCAGGACGATGAGAGCAACCCCAATGGCAAAGTTCATGTATCCTTTCAAGACGGTCATGAAGAAGACTTTGATCTTGTCATTGGTGCTGATGGAACCGGCTCGAGAACGCGCAAGCTGATGCTGGGCGAAGACGCACCGGATCCTCGGAAATCAATGGGAGGTTACATCGGATATTACAGCGTGCCATCAAATCCAGGAGATTCAGATAGGGGAACATTTTGTCATTTGACAGGCGCAAGAATCATCGGAACAAGAAAAGATATCCCGGAACTTACACGAGTATACATGATGTTCCGCGGAAAGAGGCCTGCTCTTGATGAAGCACTCCTTTCTGGAGATCAAGCAGAAGTTAAAAAGACCTTAGCTGAGCTATATCAAGGGGGTGGATGGGAATGTGATCGATTTATGGATGCTCTTCAACACGCCCCAGAGGCAAACGACCTATATATTACACCAATACAAGAGGTCCACATCCCTAAAGGACAGTGGTCCAAGGGACGAGTTGCTCTTCTCGGCGACGCAGCTCACTGCCATACAGCAGGGGGCTATGGATGTGCCTGGGGCTTAGTAGGAGCCTATGTGCTGGCAGGAGAGATCGCATCCTTGTTAAAGAAGGACGCCTCATCAACAACAGCTGCCGTGGTCCAAGGAGCGAAGAATTACGAGGAAAAGTTCCGACCAATTGCAACTTCAATGCATGGCGGCTATGAGTGGTTCGAAGATTTACTGGCACCCAAAACGAGCATTGGAATCTGGTGCCTGCATACTTTTGCTAAAGTAGCATCATATATGAAATTGGGTGAAATGAGTGGGCTGGATTCAACGACGTCGAAATGGCAATTACCGAACTATCCCGAGCTGGATTAATACGCAGGAAGAGCATTATTGAGCGAATGCCGGGCGTGTAGTGTGATTTGTGCGTCGCACTTGTACATTAGTTAATCTCCAATCACTTTAATACCTTTAATAGATTCTCTTCTTATACAGTTTAGTTTTCCTGCCCTCCCCCTTGCCTTGCCTATTCTTATAATGCCCAATTTTACCAGTTGTGTAGCTCTATACAAATTTTGTTAGTCTAATAAAACTGTCATTGAAGAAGAACTACTAGAGTTATTTTCTGTACCAAAGGAGCAAGTAATCTGAAAATCAATATTTTATTGAAGTAAACGAGCAGTCAAGGTTTCCATGTAAAAGCCCATGGTATCGTACTTAGTTTACACGCGACATCCGCCTCGCGTTGCAATGAGCCTCGCAATATCAAATTCGGATAACCCTGCTCGTGACGAAAATAAGTTGGCTAGTCGAGCCAAGATAATCACACTATTGAAGGTGATGCTCCGACCAATACTCCCCTTCCAACATCCACCAGCTACCAGTCTCACATCGCCACGCGAAACTCGACATCACCTGTCTCTCCGTACAACACAGCACGATCCTTCAACCACTGAAAGAGACAAGAGCCGCATGCACTCCTCACACCAAACGTATTGAGCTCAATCAACATACACTGGCCCGTAACTTCGTCGTAGAGAACATCGAATGTGAAACCCTGACTGCGAATAAAATTCTCCAGCGAATTATCCTCGTGAGCGTGCATAAATGCAATAATCTCTGCATGGACCTTCTGGGTGCCCCTAAATATCCTTTGAGCCGCCCTTGTCATCACATCTCTGTCTTCATTAGCAAAGATCCATTGCTTATGCCATTCGTATTGGCTGACGGCGGCTATGTCCAGCGAGTTGGGAACGCAAAAGACGCGATACTCTCTTGCAGACTTCATTCCGGCGTTGAATGGAAGGAAATAGACATAGCCCACTTCAGCATCACTATTAAGGATATTGGTAAGGGCGCTCCAAGTTCTCAAAGATGTGGTAATGCGGAGGACAATATCTTCAACGGAATGAATCGACAGCTGTCCAGGATTTATTTGGACACCGTCCTTTGGTGAACAAGCCCCAAAGCGCATCCAGAGTCCTTCGGGGGGGAATTTAAGCCCTTGGAAGGCAGGATAGACTTCATCTTCGAGATCTTCGGCGTAGGATCGGTTGAGCACACGGGTATGAATGGATGCGGCAGCTGCCTCGACCAGTATCTTGATCCGCGCACGCGAGAGAGAGACAACTTGAAGCTCGGAAAGAGGAATTCCTCGAGATTTCAATACCAACGGCAGCCATATCTCATAGTTGTACGGTTTATTAGACGGGATCGGAAGATCTGGTGCATCTGCAGCGGTATGGAAGTTGGTATTAAAATTGATTGGGACACCCTTGTCCAGATCCTGCAGGACTTGCTGAAAATCGATCACGTTGAGCTGCATTCTGCCCTTTTGCCTCGGTAACCGTTGGACTGAATATATAGATTAAAGACAAATGATGGCGTTGTTGACTACGGCATTTTTGAATGTAGTGGATGGCCAGTGAAATTTTATAACCATTAAACGTGTGATAACGGCTTCCCTGATTAAGTGCTTAGGTAGGTACAAGCCTGTTATTAAGCAAGAAATGCCGAGTGACTCAGGCTACAAGGTTCGTTCAAATTAGCTCTGGTAGCGCATGTGTCAACCTCTGGAGAGTTTATTCTACCTGACATGATTTGCGCTCTCAAAAGGTAATTTCGAATAGAGTTACTTTCATTACCACATTTGGCCCTTGTGGTCTTTGATTGACAGTCGCATGATATATGACTCATCTTAGGGCAGAGTATGACAGCTGCCAAGGCCACGATGATTCAGGGCATTTTTAAGGTGTCAGCAAGTTGAGGCTTGGCGATGTTAATTCTATGCTACAAATCTTTCCATATCGAAATAAGGATGCTTAGGGTAGATAAACAGAAGATAGCAAAGAAATGCTGCATTTATTCTCTTCTTGGCGCTACATAGAACGGTGCACTGGAATTCTCACTTATAAAGGGAAGTTTTTTTCATTACATCTTACTTCATCCAATTTTTTCAATCGCACATGATCACACACCATGAGATTACTAGAAATATTTCACTTCACTATTCTTATCCAAAGGCTCCGTTTAATGCCGCGTCTGATCACCGAGGTCGTCACATTAAACTATTAAAAGACTGTGCCAATTTGATTAGCCAGTTGAAAGAAATAACCGTCATCTCTGTCTATGCGCATTCAGCATAACCAGCTTGGAAATTGAACTGAAATATCGATTCACTCTAGATGCAAAATTACTCGCGCTGTGGACTCACAGGACTGATATCACGACGTTAACAATACTTGAACAGGCAAGCTATACCATCACTTGATTTTGAAGAATTCACAGCACGATGACTACCTCTACTCGGACTTTCCAAAAAAACTGGACGATGAAGCCACTCAATAATGTGTTGAATATCGCAAATATCTTGGAGATAAGCAACCCCTCAGGATGATATGCTGGCAAGAGATAGAGGCGACCCGGGAGTGATTCTCATCACACGAAATTAACAGTTTATGCAAAAGTCGAACGACTCTAATTATTAGCGCAAGACGTTCCAGTTCTCCATTTTGTATGATATCAATATGACTAAATCTAAGATGAACGAGCGATAGCGGTGCATAGTGATGTGGACATATGGCCGCTTACGATTTTCTCACTTTACATCTATAGATGGCGCAACAATGTAATAAAAAAACAGATCGACTTTTCAAATAACTCGCGGCGTCCAGTTTCAATGCTGATTTAAAGTCTCATTATCAACTCTTACATCTACGAAATGCAAATTCATTACTTGACAGCTTACGATGTTGATAAGAAGGGCATAGATGCTAACCAAATCCATCAATATTAGTAAAATGCCCGCAGAATCAAGGCATTAAGTTCCACAATCCATTGACTCGGAGCAGCCGACTGGGGCAGCAACAGTAAGCCTCAAATGGCGTCTCTAGTTACTATAACAGCCAAGTGACAATTTAGTCGGGCCGGCATTAGATAGGGGCTGATGAGCTGAGCCTGAAGAGGTGAAAATTCGACTGCGTCGACTTTGCCAGTCTAGACTTCGGCGATCATCTGCCGCGATTATTCTGGGCCTCTCTCCACTCTTTGTCTGGCTACCAGGCATTCTTCAATGTAGTAAGCGTGCACTGACAACATTGGAACTTTGGGGAGATTTTTGGCCCCGCCGTTTGCCAGGAGAAGGATTCGCTCACGCTCCGCATCAGATGTTCTCGAATCATGAATGTCGATCACATTAATAGGTATATATAACACGATGTACACACTCTCATTTCTCCTGCAGAGTGTGTTGTAAATGCTTCTACGTTGCGCTTCTAGTGTCCCCAATTCGGCAATTTCGGTATGGCTGTGGGCTAAGATCAGCTTCTGCCTCACCCAGCTACGGAACTTTTGCCGCGGCCACACCGACGAGAATGCGAGTGCCGAGCCATGCTGCCCTGAATGTGACGAGATTTTCTCGACGGCCAGTTATAGATGCATGTCACTGTTCACCGAAACTAGGCCTTTGCCTGCATTAGCTACTCCTTCTTATTACAAGTTCGTTCTCCTCCTCAGCATTATTCTCCTGGTGCCTTGTGGCGTAGCAATGGTGGTGCCACGGCACTATCGGCCCTTTTCCGGCTCGTTGCCGTGTCTGGGGATGCTTGTGGGGTAATCTCAGCGGCTTGTCAAACCTGTGTAAACTGGCGAGAATCATTGAGGCCGTGGAGACGGTACGTAATTAGCGTCGGTGCTTTCTTAGTCGACTCAGTACGAGTACAAGTGATGCTCAAATGCAGGAGATCGTTTTTGGAGCACGGCTAAACGGGGTTGTATCCAGGAGCCAAGTCGAGCTAACAGAAGACGATGATGAAAAAAGTCGAATTGGGATGATGATCCTGGCCAGGGCCGATAGCTGGCCAGGTTTCTCCGTATTACAACCCCAGCTTTGCCCAGACCATGTCTCCCCATCTCCACACTCGTTGCCAACAACCGGACAGAACCGGTGATCTGCGCGGAGAATTACCAACGCTGGAACTGGGAGCAGGTTAGGCTTAAATACCGGACGGAATGCCGCATATCCAATGCCTCGATGAAACCTCAGCTCGTGTCTGCATGCAATTGCGACACTCTGCAGTGGGCATCTTTATCGCAGCTTATATCAACTCGAGTTATCTAATTGGCATCTTGTTTGCTTGTGAAGGAGACTGACAGGCTGCAAAATGCGGTCAACGGTGAGTATCCCTGCTATGCGTACTCGTATTCTTTACTCTCTCAGGAAAGCACAGTAATGCTAATTCTCCTCTGCTTCAGGTCCTTTCTGGGGCAGCGCTGTTGCCATTGCTTCAGCTTGTCCACCCTGCCTATGGTACGGCCTCAAATGACCGTATCTCAGAATGCCAGAACAGAAACGGCGGTTCGGGCACCGGAGTGAACTTTAGCAAGAACGTGTACAAGACGGACTTTGCTGGAGTAACGTGGGACGAGGATAATTGGCTCCTTAGCACTACGCAATTGAAGCAGGGCGCGTTCGAGGCTCGTGGCTCCGTTGCCAATGGCTATCTTGGCATTAACGTTGCTAGCGTCGGCCCTTTCTTTGAGCTTGACACTGAAGAGAATGGCGACGTCATTAGTGGTTGGCCCCTGTTTTCGAGGCGGCAGTCATTTGCAACTATCGCCGGCTTTTGGGACTCCCAGCCTGTCATGAACGGAACCAACTTCCCATGGATCTCACAGTATGGCTCCGACACCGCCATCAGCGGCATTCCGCACTGGAGTGGTCTCATCTTGGATCTCGGTGGCAACACCTATCTTGATGCAACGGTTGATAGCCGAACCATCTCCAACTTCAGATCAACCTATGACTACAAGGCTGGAGTCCTGAGCTGGTCATACAAGTGGACCCCTAAGGGTAACAAGGGAAGCTTCGACATCTCTTATCGTCTCTTCGCCAACAAGTTGTATGTAAACCAGGCCGTGGTTGACTTGCAAGTCACCGCATCCAAGAATGTGCAAGCATCGATTGTCAACGTTCTCGATGGCTTTGCTGCTGTACGCACCGACTTTGTTGAGTCTGGCCAAGATGGAAACGCCATCTTCTCGGCCGTGCGACCAAATGGCGTCTCCAATGTCACAGCCTATGTGTATGCCGATATTACCGGCTCTGGAGGCGTAGACCTGTCGAGCCGCAAGATTGTACACAACAAGCCATACGTGCATACCAACGCATCTTCAATCGCACAAGCCGTCCCTGTCAAGTTTTCAGCAGGACATGCTGTGCGAGTGACCAAATTTGTTGGAGCTGCTTCCTCTGATGCATTCAAGAATCCCAGACAAATCGCCAAGAACGCAGCAGCAACAGCTCTGAGCAATGGATATTCCAAGTCTCTGAAGTCCCACGTAACAGAGTGGGCAAATGTTATGCCAGAGAGTTCCGTCGATAGCTTTGCCGATCCCAAGACTGGCAAACTCCCTAACGACAATTACATCATTGATTCAGCTATTATTGCAGTCACCAACGCCTACTATCTGCTGCAGAACACTGTGGGCAAGAATGGTAGCAAGGCAGCCAACGGTGCCCCGGTTAACGTGGACAGTATTTCTGTCGGTGGCCTGACCTCTGACTCTTATGCTGGTCAGGTCTTCTGGGATGCCGACCTCTGGATGCAACCCGGCCTGGTTGCAGCTCATCCAGAAGCTGCTGAGAGAATTACAAACTATCGTCTGGCGAGATATGGCCAAGCGAAGGAGAACGTCAAGACCGCCTTTGCAGGCTCCCAAAACGAGACTTTCTTCTCTGCATCTGCCGCCGTGTTCCCGTGGACTAGTGGCCGTTATGGAAACTGTACCGCCACCGGCCCTTGCTGGGACTACGAGTACCATTTGAATGGAGACATCGGACTGGCTCTTGTCAACCAATGGGTTGTGAGCGGCGATACAAAGAACTTTCAGGAGAACCTCTTCCCCGTTTATGATTCCATTGCGCAACTGTACGGCAACCTACTTAAGCCCAACGGAACCGCGTGGACATTGACCAACATGACTGATCCTGTAGATTGCCCTATGTTTCCAACTGTTATTTCTTTAGCTAACATGTAATAGGATGAATATGCAAACCACGTCGACGCTGGTGGATACACCATGCCCCTCATTGCAGAGACGCTCCAAAAAGCAAACACATTCCGCCAACAGTTCGGCATCGAGCAGAACAAGACCTGGAATGAGATGGCAGCCAACGCCTTGGTTCTTCGCGAGAATGGAGTGACACTTGAGTTCACCACCATGAACGGCAGTGCAGTGGTTAAGCAAGCTGATGTTATCATGATCACTTATCCTTTGACCTACACGACCAACTACACCACTCAGGATGCTCTCAATGACCTCGACTACGTGAGTTCTGTCGAAACGTATACCCGTAATAAGATAGTGCAATGCTAACATTTTATTAGTACGCCAACAAGCAGTCTCCAGATGGCCCTGCCATGACCTATGCCTTCTTCTCCATCGTTGCCAACGAAATCTCTCCCTCTGGATGCTCAGCATATACTTATGCGCAGAACGCCTTCAAGCCTTATGCTCGAGCGCCCTTCTACCAGCTCTCTGAGCAGCTCATTGATGACGCCAGCATCAACGGTGGCACTCACCCGGCTTACCCATTCCTCACTGGCCACGGTGGCGCCAATCAGGTTGTCCTTTTTGGCTATCTCGGTCTCCGTCTGGTGCCCGACGACTTCATCCACATCGAGCCAAATCTGCCTCCTCAGATTCCTTATCTGAGATACAGAACCTTTTACTGGCGTGGCTGGCCCATCTCGGCATGGTCCAACTATACTCACACAACCATCAGCCGTGCCAGTGGCATCGCTGCGCTTGATGGAGCGGATCAACGCTTTGCTGGCAAGACCATCACCATCCACTCTGGACCTGAAGAAAGCCCCACGGCATATCACTTGCCCGTCAAAGGATCAGTCGTCGTCCCCAACAAGAAGATTGGCTCTCAACAAACATATGCAGGCAACTTGGTGCAGTGCAATCCCGCCAGCTCGCCAAACGACTATGTGCCTGGTCAATTCCCCATCGCAGCAGTCGATGGTGCTACCTCTACCAAGTGGCAGCCTGCCTCTGCTGCCAAGCTGAGTTCTATTACCGTCTCTCTTGATAGTGAAGATGTGGGATCTCTGGTGTCCGGCTTTCATTTCGACTGGGCACAGGCACCTCCTGTCAACGCCACTGTCATTTTCCACAACGAGGCTATCAGCGACCCAGCGACGGTGTTGTCACAGAAACACAACTCGAATTACAAGATCGTCAGCTCATTGACCAATATCAAGCAGTCCAACCCGTATGATATCAAGACAACTGACCTGAACGTGATTGCCATCCCCATCGGCAACACGACCAACGTCACTCTGGCACAACCAGTGGCTGCATCTCGATATGCATCTCTGGTCATTATTGGTAACCAGGGGCTTGATGCTGTAGACGCCGCGGCGAAGAACGGTACTGGTGCCACTGTCGCAGAATGGGCCATTATTGGGCACAGCAAGGGACACACCGGCAAACCGGGTTCCCATGGCAAGAGAAAGCTGAATTTGCGCGCTGCTGCCGCAATGTCTGACCCAGACAGCTTTGCGCGCCGCCGTTAATAAACGTATGTTATGATGTAATCAGGATAATTATGATAACTTTGTATGACTAGATTATTGGTGTAGAGTAATCAATAATTTTTAACAGAACCAAGTTTGGAATGGTACAACGCTAGCCCAGTGCAACATGTTATATAATCTGTCAATTTTCAGCCAAAATAATAGTTCCACCATGCAGTATTGAGATAAGTCGCCGGACCAAAATTGTTCCAATGTTTTGACGTCTCAATCCTATCCTTATGCAGCGCGGATAAGACATAAGACAAGGCGATCGATCTGACGCGCCACAATATAACCAAACTCAGTGGTGGTTTTGATCCGCTTTCCATCTGCTTCCTCGCACTGCGGAGATGCTTTGGCTCTTCCTGTTAGGGGCTAAGAAACGTGATGAGTACATATATCTGCAGCCATGGATTGGTGGCCTCGCAGTCAATCATTTAGCTATCCTCTATGAAGAGATATAGGTGCTCTCAGTCATTTGGTCATGGTCCATGAAGAACTGTAGAACTATTGTATTAATAGAGTATCGTCACAGTTTTGCTCATCTGTAGCAGCTCTTGGCTGCTAGTTTCCTAAGTTTTCACCTTCATCTCCTTTGCGGGTAATGCGTACCCCGTCCATTAAGATGATCATAATCCGTACAAGCTATCTAACCAAGAGAATATCTCAGTTCAAATGCGATGAGGATGACCCTTTTGGAAGAAATATACACCCTTTCCAACAAAAACACCCTTGACGTTTTCCAGATGATCCAAGAACCACCGAGCCTTCTGTTCTGACACAAGTCTACCAGGAACGGCCCTGAAAAATAGCTTTGGGACCTTGGTTTCCAGAAGCCATTCATGATAGCTTGACACTCGCTGATACACATCAGGTGGGTGGCCTTCAATGTGAATCTCATTGGGCCACCGGAATAGAGGCTCTCGGTGATCCGGATTTTCGTATGGCTTTCCGTAGGCAACCTTTTCCTCTGCAGTTAGTTTGCAGATCAAGCCTCGGTCAAGCATAATATTCATGAAAGCGTTTTGCTCAATAATAAGCTTCCGCCCAACAGGCTCATCTCGAAACGCGCGAAATGTCTCCTACGCCTTGCCCTGTGCAGCGTCGTCCCAGGTAGGAAACGGTCGCATGAACTCCATGAAGACAAGGCCAGCTACTCGATTTTGATGACGAAAAGCCCAATCAAATCCCAAGGCCGACCCACAGTCTTGAATTACAAGAATCACCTTGCCTTCGGTTACGACTCTATCAATGAAGCCATCCAGGTATTGAGCATGCTCAGCAAAGCGATAAGAAATGGGCAACTTGGATGAATCGCCCATGCCAATGAAGTCGGGAGCAACGCAGCGGACTTTTTCAGATATATGGGGAATGATATTGCGCCACAAATATGATGATGTTGGGTTGCCATGGATAAATAGGGAAGTTGTATTGGAGTGCTGGCTGCCAGCCAGTGCGCCTGTATCTACGTAGGCCATCTGAGCATCTTCGACGCTGACGAGCTTGAGATTATACAGGAACTCGCTCGAGACGTCCGTCTCTGGGTCTTGTGGAAAGTTTGTAGATGATAGCGTGTTGGATTCTGCCGTATAGCTTGTTGGCATCAGAGTGGCTCCAAAGTAATTGAATGTATGCAATGGGTTTGCGTCGAATGACTTTACTACTGAAAGATACAGGAGTCTTTCGTTCCTTTATACGAAGTACGTGATGTATAAAGTAGCAGTGCGCGAAGTAAGTAGTGCTTCTATTCCGGCAAAAAACATTCCTTAATCCTATATCAAAAGCTAGAGCTCTATACAAGTCGTTCATTACATTGCTTCCCGAGTAGGTCAAACAACCCTAGTACGAAGATCTTGATACCCCACTATTTTATGCAGGTTCAATTCGACTGCTGCCTCGAGTTAGTTGAGTCTAGAATTTTACATGTAGGCTTACCTGTTCTCTTGGGTATTCATTGATGATGCGCATGACACTCGCCTTCCGTGAGACTGCGTGGCTTCGTAAACTCTATCAGTCGTATATGCACGCTCACTTCTACCACTGTCCCGGGTTAGTTTAGGTGGGAATTAGGTTTACCAGTTCTCATCAGAAATCATTTGCAATAATGCCACTCGCCCTCCGCGGCATACCGAGGCTTCGTAAGCCACACTCACTAACGTCACTTATTTGGATAGTTCCACAATGATTGCCTTCCACCATACCCGGGCCCGATTTGACAACTCGGCAACAAGCCTTTCTAGCCTTTCTAGTTGTGCCCAAGTTTGGGCAAGGCCTTGCATTCCCCCATAGTACCTATAGGGCTATACCCCTTCACAGCACAAGTTTACATGTTATTATGGCTTTATTATGAATAATAGTTGATATATGCGAGATGACGGTACTGTTAAGATTCAGAAGCGGATATCAACTTCAGCATATGTACATTCTTATGTTGTTGGCCCTTCACACCACCCCACGGCTCCAAGTCAAAGCACTTCGCACCAACTTCCTCCCACCCAAGGCGTTGATACGTCTTTAGTCCGGAAGGAGAGGCATCTAGCCAACACCTGATATCATTTTGCCTTTTTTCGTGGCTCTCATCCGTAGATCTGGCAATGATGTCAGAAATCATGAAATTGAGAAGCTTCGTCCCAACTCCGCGTCTCTGATAACTTGGTTCAACAACTAAATTGGCAAGGAACGCATGCGGTTCACCCTTCATAAAGTCCAGCCGAGCTTTAGTCAATATTTGAAAGTAATGAAGGCAAAGAGGCGCGTTTGCACCTTCAGGAACTTCGTTTGGACTGCGTGGCCACGGATTTCGTTCATAAGCTGTATGAGACGACTCGTAGATATGATATACGGCCGCACCAATTATGCGTTCGGATACCGCACCGTCGGGAGATGTTTCGTATGCAATCGCTTTGAGATAGTGTACTGTCAGGTCTGATTGCCAAACGTGATTATGTCTAGCGATTTTCGAACTTCGAAGAATCTTCGAAGAAGCTGATGATGTTGGAAACATCAGTTGTAACAAGGGCGAGGACGCCCCGTATGCTCTCTCCTCGATGTCGACAATCTTCTCCAGATCCCCGCTATCAGTCACTGGAAAAACTTCTGTCGGCAACATGATGTCTACTCCTGCTGCTTGCTGCATCCTGTAGTCCTGAAAGTAAGATAGCAAAACAAATGTCTGAAGAGAAAACAAATGGTGGGGTTTCCACGTTGGCTGGTATTTATAGGTGGGATGTCAGCTTTGACAAAGTCTCGACTTCCACCAGGCACCTAAATACATGTAAGGCAGAAATATAGTAGCCTGCCAGAAGTTGTTCTCCCTGCCCCATAAATGCGGCTCGGCATGCCGATGACAACAGCTGGAACCGCCGGAGCTCGACACTCTGCCGGGCGGCAAACCGGGCGTCACTATACTCCGAACCGCTATTTAGAACAGTAAGCTATGTACTGGAAGTTACATGTATATAGCAACATAAGATTAAATTTCTAGATGCTAAAATGATGAAGACGCATCTGTAAGATCCCCATTAACAAGCGAGGTCCATTTTCAACAGACATGTGCTCAATAATTGGAAGCAGATGGATACAGGTACATGTACCTAAATTTATGTAAACTTCCGTTCCCTGAAAAAGGCGCTCAAGGCGCTGACGCCAGTCATTTCGCACCATCATAATCCGCAGCCGTTATTAGACGGCCCGAGCTATTGCGCCGTTTCTCAACATTAGGAACCCTATAACGACTGAAAAATATACCCATGACAACATGTAAACCCCGGGCGCCTTTTCCTGTCTACGATAGATTCTCATCACCATACTCTATATAAATATTAGGCATCAGTATAGGCTAATATAGAGCAGAAATATAGCTCAAAAGTCATCTGCTAATAGAATAATGGTTTCCAAAAGAGCCTTAAAAAATGGCTCTGTACCAATATACGATTTCCTAGCACTCTCTATGCACTGCTGACAGTACCTGAACTTTTCAATTCTCCGAGCTGAGATGACAGGTTCTTAGCATCTTCTCCCGACTTTACCCGAACTCCACTCAATGAAACGAGTATCACTCCCAAAGCTATAAAGTAGTCATAGTTCAACCCAGTCATTCTGTTATAGCAATTTCCTTGCAGTTTTGCGAATCAAATAATGCTTCGAGTGGCCGTAGTGCGAGCCCAAGCGCGCTGTCGCCCGCCTCTCTATTATATCCCAGTTTCGCTTTCCCTACACACTAGCACAGCAGAAGTAACAAAAATGCCGTTAGCAGCCGTTCGTGCCGTCGCTCTTCCAAGCGAAAGCAAGTTGAGATCGTCTTACAAATCGGCGTATTTTATCGACGCCTATGCTGTAACTATTCCACCACAGAGTGGACAATATAAGCCGGAAACACTCGCTCGAGCTCTCTTTAGTGAGCCGCCCGCCTGGTTCTCACTGCTGATGTGGATTAGAGATCGAGTTATGTCGATCTTTGGTGTAAAGAGCTCTACAGAGATACAAGCAGCGGCAGAGACAAAAGGCATCGATACTATTTCAATATTCCCTATCATCTCCCGCGCAGAAAACGAGATTATCATGGGAGAGAACGACAGTCATCTCGATTTTCAGATCTCTATTTTAATACGAGAAAATCAGCTCAGTGCGGCAAGCAAGAGAGATAACATAATAAAAAGTAAGGAGATAGTCGCAATGACGGTGGTTCATTGTCATGGATTCTTTGGGAAGGCCTACATCATGATAATAAAGGCCTTCCATACCATGATCGTCAAGTACATGTTGGCGAGGGTACCAGATAAGATTACAGCAGATGATCATTAGTTGATGTATATAACAGCAGCAGTTCTTTGACATGTAACATTATTAGAGTGGCAGGCACTAAACCTAAGCTATACTATATTAAAATAAATAATACATCACCTCTCTTCCTAAATATTGTGCAATGAGAGCATTGGCAAAAACAAGTCGTAGAGGTCCCCAATGCTAACGATGTTTCTTCACATGCAATAGGTCACAAAGGTTTCGTTGAAAGCCATCTTCCCGGTCCATGATACTAGCGATCATTATCTAGTTAAGAAGTGACTACACTGTACTGGCTGTAACGGCCGCAGCTGATTTGGGCTGATACAAAACAAGGAGAAATACTATTTTGGGCCAAAGAATGGAGGATAAGGCTGCTGGTGAAGTGTGGCCGAAACCTTTCCCTAAATATGACAGGCGTCGCAAGTACTTTATACTTAATAACCTGAAATAAGGGCAATTGGGACCAATTTTTTGTCCAATTTCGCGGGCACAGGCACTGCCTGCATCGTGAACGGAACTTCCAGTGTTGTTAGAGCATCAGTGTGCCTAGACATCGGTATCATGGATGGGTAATCGCCATACCACTATGACTGCATGTATCAAACCACTCGAGGTAAGACCTATTTACGGAGCGTTTAGGCAATTTGGCTGTTTCTCTCCAAACAGCCAAAAAAAAAAGTGTATCTACCAATTGTTCAATAAATTGAAAACGAAAGAAAAAATTAAGCGCGCACTGGAGATTTGCTCCCGGCAGGGCTTGAACCTGCGACCTTCGCATTACCAAGACTCAGCTTGATGCCGGAGTATTAGTACGAAGCTCTAACCAACTGAGCTACGGAAGCGCACTAGACCTAGGTTGAAAACCCAGATTGACGGCTTGAGCCGATGTTGGACGCCGGCTCGTAATAATTCATTAAGTGGATGATGGGCGAGTCGGGGTGGTGGGAATAAACATTCTACATCATGCATTATCACGCGAAATCGATCTCCAGTTGAGGATATGTAATTATCCTAAAGCCTCTCATCAAGATAAAAAAAAAAAAAAAAGGCATTCCCAAACGTAGCGAGAAATCCTTGATGTGGTCGGTTCATCACCTTGTGGGGAAGAAGCATATAGTTTGTGGTACGCTCTTCCTTTCTGCTTCGCATCGCACGGTTCGCCACATTGTAGGGCGAAAAGATCTTTTAGGTGAAAAGAGCATAAAAACCCCATTGATTCGCAACATCTTCAACGATCGGGACTAAGGTAAGCAAGACTACGCCCACGAAAGGCAATGGATATAACTTGTAGCTATAATGGACGACTACTTACTTCATCCGACAGGTTCATGGCAGGCGATGTTATTTGAATAAAATGCCAAGGGAAGGAGGGCGTGAGAGCAATTAAGCTGCCAGCTATGACGAATGTAAGAAAGACGTAGGCATTAGAGGAGAAGGCAAACAAGATAGTGGTAATCATGCAGGCGAGGCTTATCGTATTAACGACCAATCTTTAATTACGAACAAATGGCTCTTAAACGGGGTAAAGACCCCAAATTAGTACTCTGATCATGTTACCATTAAGATTGTAGGCTGTATATACAAAACAGGACGAAATTATTGGCCCATCTTGCCTTGCTGTCTAGTGTTGATATTCCAAACTTTCCAACGACAAATTCACGTTGCTCAGCCATGTGAAAAGCTGGCAATGATCACCTTTTTCAAAGTTCCGCTTAGTTTTCTGTTTCTTTCCTGGTTTGATAACCACAACAAGACTCCTCAGGTTGTTCATTTGGCTCAGCCGCCGACAGAAAGGGTGCCAATGCTCATTTAGGTATTGCTGCACCATTGACTCCTGGCCATAGTCTAGCCACACGAAGCTGGTCTAGTTGAAGTAAATAGGCCGGATCAGATTTTCATTCTCGGCTTCTAGTCTTACACCTAAAAATCTTTACAGGGCGCCCATATCGTCAAAGTAAAACGGAGCATCACCATACAGGACATCAATTGCTTCATGATAGCTGAAAAGATCAGTCATTGCTTGTCAGTTTTATTTTAAATAATATAGACTTACATTTGAGATGAACATGAAAGAAGTGGTATTGCGTTGATATTGGATACTAAACCCGCCGCTGTAGCTGTACGGGACGTCGTTGTCATCTGACTGCCGTTCACAAACTCATCCTTTTCCACAACCACACTTGTTGACGGCTGGTATTTAGTTGATATCCGAGACATATCGTTGTCATTGGAAAAGTAATGGTGGTATGCCAGTCTCCTGATCTCCGGTAGTAGCTGTAGAAGTTCAAATCTCACTGCCTGAGGTCCACCTTTATTGAACTTCATATTGGAGAGGACGTTAGATGAAATGTAGAATAAATAGTATGTGAAATGGCTTCACTAAGTTCATGATCTTCCCATCTCTAGAACATTTATAGTTCGGCTTGAAAGAGCCTGGGATTTGCAGCCTTACTATTACACGGCTAAGGTAGGTGATTGGTAAGAACGATGAATTTCATTCTTGTCACCGACGGACATAGCGTAACTACGGAAGAATCCAACATTCTAGCCTATATATCAGCATATTCTGAAAACTTGTTCTTCTGTAGTCCACTTCATATTCCATTTACACTCAATTCACTGGCAGTAGTGCCGGAACGGCGGACTAGCGGGTTCATGGCAGTGGACTAGCGCAAAGATTGAAGCCAGGGAGGAGTGGGCCAAGATTTATCAGCCAGCGCTTGAACGTATTGTATGATGGCATGGGACGCTGTGAATAGTTAGCGACAGATCAGGTAGAGAATATGATATAAACCCAATACGTCCGCGGCCATCTATATACGAGGATGTCTCATGCTCCTTTCGGTATAATTCATTCACACACATCTCTACAAACCTTCATTCACCTAGGCCGATATGACGACGGGGGGCTGTTATCGTGGGAATATCAGGATTTAGTATACTGGTGAGCCCGAGTGCATGGTAAGAATGAGAACGGAAATTATTGCCTATGTGTAGAGAGGTGTGAGAGATTGATAAGAACAACTAGGCAATATGTCACTGCTCGAATTGCCGTCATTATACTGGCAGTATGCTCAGCAACAATTATGTCATTCCAAGTGACCGATTCCAAGTTTTTGGGGAACCAAAGGAATTCTCGAAAATCGCCCATAGTGGGAAACTGATTGTGAATTGCTTCTGCGGCGACTGTAGTGAGTCGACATTATGCCGAAGTAATCGCTACTCTATGCTGGCATTAATTGTGTGCATAATTCTTGACAAGGGCTGACATTATCAGGAACCACAATGTACCGGTGGGGCGATGCCTTTGGTGGTAGGGAAGGGATGAGAATCATTCAGCCTGGGATCTTAGACGGCAAAAGTGCCTTGGATAATCTTCCACCAGCTCTTGAAATGTTTATTGAGGATCGGGTAAATGGATCCCTGCTGTTGAGGGGCTTGCTCAGTATGAGGGAATGCGAATGCCTCCACCAGAATAGACCTAGAACACGAGACCTGTAAGATGTGCGGAACATGATAGGAACAATGCTGAGGTAATATAGCGTATGTTGTCATTGGAAAATAAGATCATCGTGAAGAATACAGTCCTGCTCAAAACCTAATGCCATGTCAGGTGCCTAGAAGCTAGAATGCTGAAAGGAAGCGCCTAGTTCCCAGCTAGAGCTTTGTGGCTTGAAAGGGAATTATAAAAGAAGAGGCTTCTCTCTTTATTGAACAAAGGTTCAGAGATAAATACAGTCATTATTGAACACCTAGCTGCAGTATAGTATCTAGTTCATTGCCTGTTCCCTCCTTTGACTCCATCACTCTTCCCTTTGTGCTCCAGCTCTCTGGCATGTCTATCATAGAACAAGGCACAACTATTTCCCGAAACTTCCTTATATAGGTATTTTCTACAATCCCCACCACAGGCGCCAGATACAACAACCTTGTGGGCATTCCCAAACTGCTAGAATTATAGTATACACAGTACTCTCGCTTAGATACTTGGGGCAACCGGCCCACTGAGGATGAAAAGGCTCATTCGTGTGTGACCTTAGCCCCCTTGATCTGACTCTACTCTCCCCTCCTTGCAGCATCTAGTCCACGAGTTGGCTCTATAGCACTAAATATTGCAATAATGGGCCCTCTTTGCCAAAGGAAGACCAAGATATTATGCGTTAGATTGACATTTCCTTTCCAGTTTGAGTCTACTCCCTGCCAGTAACCAAATCCTATTCTGTGTGTGTGGGTCCAGATTGAACAGACTTGAGAGTGTGACAGATCAGGGCTCGTTGCTCGCCTAATTTGAACATTTCTGAGGCATTCTAGTGCTCGGTTTTGCTGAAAGAAGGTCAGCTACAAGTTCTCCTGTCAGTAAAATCCTCATGCGGGCTTTTGTTCTGCATCTAGCAACTTTGTGCACTTTTCACAAAATCCTTTACACATAACATCATGTGTCTCATTCAAATCTAAACAAGCCGGTTAGAAAGAAGTATCGTTCTCATGTAACCCCTCAAGATGCTGGGGAAAGTCCCATTCTTGGCGACTTCGTCTGAAAATCAAAACGCCACGTGATGACTAGACCATAGGTAAGCATCTCTTACAGGGTCCATCCACTGACCTCTTGATGTGACTAACACTGTTCCAACAACAAATCAGCAAAGGGGAGGATATTCCTGTGCCTTTTAGTCATACCTCAAACTAAAGCAGGACTTAGTCGGCTTGAAATCTACTTCTATAGCCCCATACTCCTATGGAATATGTTGTACTTGATAAGGAAAATGTTGAAGGATATTAGTCGGCCATCCCTCGCTGTTCGTTATGTGCCTATCATACCCCCCCTTCCACAGACCATCGTACGCTTCTCTGTGTCCGCTTCCAGATCTGTGTCAGCCTGTGAGTTCTCTTCAGTGTGTGCCATCAAACGCTTGTGTGTCTTCTAACAAGGAGTTTTGTGCCTCTTGGTGAAACATACTGGGCGAGCGAGTGCCGGCGCAAAGACGAATCCGACCATCGTCATAGGACAGCTTCCCGTTTTGGTAACTGAAGAGATCAAGTACCGAATGAAGAGACAGCGTAGATCAGACAACCGTGGGCTCCAGTAAAGAATATCTTTTTGTCAATACCAGCGATGGTCCGTCTGCACGACGGAAGGGCTCAGGCCCAGTCAGGGCCTTCTTGATGCGCAACATCCGTGGTAGCCAGGAATGGCCGAAGTGCAAACTAATCGATACAATGGACTATGGAGACGACGGCCATGAATCATTCGAGTTGGAATGTAGTCTTCTTGCTTCACCTACGGAGCAGCTCTTTAGCCTGGATGACTGTGATGAGCGGCTTTTTGATAATTCCTCAGTCGAGATAGTCCTCAGAGATCACATCGCGCTTCCAAGTGCTGATGAATACCCTTTTGCATTATTTGGGCAGACCCCATAGTTTTGTATTACATTTTATGATAGGCCATACTATATATACATCAAGTACCCCAGCCGGCAGTATTATCTATTACCCACGTTTAGTATTAGAGCAAGTCTCATAGACCCATTCGAGAGTTTTGCCGTTCCATTAGATGCAGAAGTTAGCAATCCCTTAGCTAATTGTAAGTGTATTCCATTCAGTCGTGTGTTTATGGATGCGGCAAAGCCTGGTTTTAGCCGCGTGAGGCATGATTCCAAGTATATTGATCCGTGCAATACATATTTCAAGTCATGGATTCCATGTCCCCTGAGATTACCCCCATTACAGGCAAGATACGAGTAGCTAAGATACATCAGCACTAGCTACAGCCATCTCTCAGCCATCCAGCCTTTATGCATGCTATCTTATCACCGAAATTGATGAACCCGATCATTCTTCTATACAGTGAACAGCTTATTTATACACATGTCAAAAGTACCCACTAGGTACACAAACACCTCGTCCAGTCTTCATCTTATAGAAGGAATCACTATGAACAACCAGGTGTATAGCATCAGCTTATACGGAGGTCGGCGCGGGAAAAAATACAGAAGGTAAGATTTCCCGAGAAGTATATGTATTTATCAAACATCTAAATCACACACCTATTTTTTAACTAATTTCAAGTCCCCATCGCTATCTTTAACCATGCGGCTTAGTGTACACATATTCGTTTTTGCATCAACAGCAACTACACTATATTCGATATTATGATAAATGACCTCTTTGGGATATTCCTCCGCACCTTTTGCAATCATCGGTGTTACATTTGCTCCTGGAACCACTATCTCTATTTTATACTCGTTCAATGACTTTCTGAAGACGATTACGGTATGTTCGAGCCCCTTATAGTCGACCTTATCGTTTGGTCGGAACTTCAGCGTCTTATGAAGGTTAGACATATCGCATCTGGCCCTGACGACTGCACTTACAGATTTAGGTACTCGTATACTAGCCCTGAAGGAAAATTAGTACGGAATCAAAATTAATGAGGGAGGGTGACTTCCATGTTGAAGATATAAAGCGCGTCAACCTTCGTGGGTTGCTGCCTAAGGTACGAGCTGAACCAGTGTAGAAGGACAGAAGACAAATGGAGAAAAGGAAGTAATGGTGGTGGGAGTGCATATATATTGCATATGTACATACATTAGGTACCAGATGCGAGGCGTTAGGCATCAGTGCTGGGTGTCCACCACCGTCCCGCATGTACCTCAATCCTTACAAAAAGTTCAAATATTACTTGATACCCGAATCTTTCTCAAGGCCCTCTCCGTGCGTAGAACGCCAATTCTGCACTTGTATCAATACATCAGCCGGTTCTCACTTGGAGACGCCTCTGGGATGAGCGACAAAATCTTATCCCTCAATCCAAACCCATCGTCTGTGAACATGGATGGCCTGGGATCAACAACATCCTCTGATTCAGAAGGAAAGGAATCCCGTATCCCGGGTAATAATATCAGATGGCGAGAAAATACTGAGAAAAAGAATCGCTACCTGGCAACAAAAAAGAAAACGGCTATGAAAAAGAAACCAACCCAAAACGATGGGACTGGCGACGAAGATGACGAAGATGAACCTGGCGTCGTTCATAGTACGGATTGCTCCCTTGATTCTAAACACTCCACTAGGGAGGCTATGGATCACTCCACTGACTAGCTTGCTCTAGTCGAGGATTTCCCACCAGGGTATCCTCGCTTTTCTGCACTACTAGCCTCCGACAAGGTATTTCAAGTTTGGCGCCGTTTCTCCATCTTGCGGACGCGCCTGCTTCTGCTTAAGCAGGATGAGCTTTCGCAGCTGGAGGAGCAACTGGAGAACATAGATGCTCAGGATGAAGATGAAAATCCTTTATATCTAGCGAGCCGTCGATCGGATCTTAATGAAAAAAGAAAAACAGTCCTCAATAAGATCGATGATGCATTGAAAGACTATGGTATTGTCGGCCACCATTCTTTTGAAGATTTTTTAGGAGCAAATGTACTGATATTGAACGATGCAGACTCTTTTTTAGAGAGAAACCAGCGAGCTTTGAACCTCGAGACTTCTTCGGATCGCGCTATTTCAAATCTAAAATATTGGGATGAGGCTAACGGCGAACTGACACGGGAAGAAACAAAATACATGAAACGCACAAGAGATCTTTTCTGCCTTTTGGGGAACAGTACGTGGTCGGACAGGCTGATAAGACTAGTTGGCCGACGCTTCATGGATGATACATTCACGAAAGACGCAGACGTGAACATTCCTCCGGAACCAGTGAGGCGGACGTTACTGGTTCTTCAGGCAGCTGTCATGGCAGCGCTCCTTTTTACTCCGGTTATTATCTGCAATTTCGTGAATGAGTTGACAAACAGAATGATCATTATTGTTGCCACCACGGCTATTTTTATTGCGGCCTTGTCTTTTCTCTCTCGAATGAGGACTGTCGATTTGGTTATAGCCGGCACCACGTATGTTTTCATCCACCAACCTACTGTTAGGTCGCCGTTAATGCAATCGTTTACTGACATGGTCATGCCACCGGACCCTCAGATACGCCACCGTCCTTGTCGTCTTTATTTCAGGCACAAATGGGCTAGGCAATTAAGGGTGGTATTTCATCGAACTATATATATATATATATATATATTTTACCCTTATTTGAGCCACATATGCCATCGGCTTTTACAAATTACCCTTAAACAAATGTAAACAGATCTCCCACTCTGTATGTTGAAATATACAATGTTATTCTAGTGTCCTCATTCAATTTTGTGATGCTGTCCGTTTCTTTTGAATAATCATTTCGGATAATATTTCTCAGCCACGGCTTTTGTTTTCTTCTTTTTCTTCTCGCGGGCCCTGGAGTCATTCACAGTACATGCATATTCGCCACCGATAGAAAGAAAAAGAATTCCCCCAATGTGACACCCCTATGTAGCTATACCACACATAGAATGTCCTAGACACGCTATAATGATACCCTATTAGGCACCTGTATTATGTATGTACTCATTGGAAGCATATGCAGGAGAGAGCCTTGGCCTGCCAATACTGAGGAGCCCCATTGACAACCAAACACCTGTTACATCAAAGGATGCAATAAAGCATGCAATACAGTAGTCTTAACGTATTAATCTAATGAATGGGGTGTATTGTGCCGAGGAATTCAGTTGCACACCCAAAGCGCACCACTCATGTCCTGCCACATGAGATCGCGAAGCAAAGGGCCGAAATAAGGTAACGCATCTTCCAAAATGCTACACCTACAGTAACTTGGGATTAATAGAAATCCGCCACGTCAACAACAGTGGCTTGAATTGCTGTGGTATCGCTACCTCAGTGACGTCGGGCTTCCGTGGTGGGGTAGCATCACAGCCTCGTTCAGATGGAACTGATCTGCACAGATGCCTTATCAAAGCATGAGAAATTTGCAGGAGCCTAACGAGGTGTTGGTTTCATTCTTCTTTCACTCCGTGTGCTGAATGAGCTTGCACATCCTGGATTATTTATGCCTTTATACGTCGCACAATCATTATGCATACATGTATCATGTATTCATATTGCAAGCAGGCCTGCTATGAGCCCTGTATTTTACTGGGGATGGCTTCTAGTAATTCTCACACATTCAATTCATGTCAGTCCTTGGTTTAATCAAGTCCACAACTTCATATCTCCTATCAGTTGTGGTAATTCCCAAAAGACATAATTATCCAACAACAATACCGGAAGCACATTCAAGCGCAAAATTTATTGGAACGTTAAAAAATACTCATAAAGTGTAAACAAAACAACCTTCGACCGCCCATCGCATCTATTCGCTTACTCACGGTGTAATGAGGTCATTCAGTAAACACCGACAGCTGGTTTAACCAAGGGCTAGGCACAGTAACCAGGTCAAATGACTACGATCATATCTTACACTATTTGTGTATGATCGACTATAACTTATCATTTAAATCGTAGACATAGAGACTATTGGAACTGCGGAGGTTGCAATGTATCAGAAATCAACAACCATATAACAATACATGGTAAGTTGCTGGTCGCCTACTGCCCTGCATCCAGATCTTATGAAACTAATGCCTGCATATTGAATAAAAGGATAGCCTGAGGCGAATAGCTATCGGCTGGCGTAAATTAGACAGCAGCATTATGAAATAGAAGAAGTCAGAGTCAGTTTGCATGCTCGAGGCAAAATAAGACGGCCAACCTCTCATAAAGCTACCACAGTCAATCTATCCTAGTAGATTTGCTGCCCTTGCGAACACTACCACGGGTATCTGTCTCTCATCAAACGCGAAATCATTGTCCAAGAGCAGCAGAAGCGATTATAGTATTGCATATCTCACTTGGTAATAGAGATTCTAACACTGTATTCAGCGGCCGGCAAATAGATGTTTGCTCGTGTTTCACAGATAATGCCTAACACCAACACAAGGATCTAGGACATCCGCTCCTTACTACGTGTTACAGAGCGGAGTAGATAATAGGCCACAAATTGTATATGTATGGCTAAAAATATGTAGTATAAACATATCTATATGCCCTTCTTCCAGTGCGATCCGGTAACAGTAACTCTTCTCTCCCGAAGTTTTCGTCTCGTGTTAATTAAACAGTGATAAGTAGTAAAGTTCGTGCGTACAATCGCAAATACTTAGAGCATGGGTGAAGTTAATGCAAGCAACAGTGGCATAGAGCTGCCTTTTCTGTCGAAACGCGAAGGACCCGTCTGTATCAGTAGCAGTTCCAACATGGAGGAAGCGATAAATGATACGAGACATGATGAAGCCCTGCTGGATGCATAACGTTTCTTTACCATGTAGCATCCCATATGCTTCGGTTGAAGACTGAAGTGATTCACATAACCCATCAGTGGTAGAGTTCAGAATCACCACGTCGTTAGTGAAAAGATTGTTGATTGTTGGTCTGGGTGAAGGATTCGGCGTGCATGTCGCAAATAGGTCGACAGTCATAGAAATAAGCTTCTAGGTCACGCTTTATTCTATGGAACAGAGAAGCATACTTTACCGGTTCGCTCTTGGAGCATATTCTTGACACTTAAGATGGGCACTAATTGCGGCTGAAGGAATTGCTACCGCACTAAGATGGTTTCATATGCCTAGCGTTGCATGTAACCATGCACACGTGGTGAAGCTTGCATGTGCTAGAGGATTTGTGTGCTCTACTGCGCAAATAAAGAGGGCTGCTGCCTAGTTTCCATTAAGCATAATTTAGCCTCTTCATACATTCATCTGAGCTTCCATGCTCCTGGTCACCTTGTCCTTGATTTCGCTTTCCCCATCACTAGTCATCTGGAGAGCTTCAACAATATGGACGAACCAAGTCTCATAAAGACTCCACAGGGGACTTATCTTTGCCAATACTGCCAAACTTGTGTTCAATCATGCGGTGTGAATTATCCTGGATGGCTTGGTAGCAATAGATATATGGATGGTTTGCAACAAATACAAGCACAAGAGCGGCGCTCAAAATTTACTCACTCAAGCTACGAGAGCTTTATAACAGCTGTCGCCAGAGGATGCTTTATTTGCAAAACGTTGTTTGGGGATATTTCGGAGCGAATAGCTTCTGAAATTCGAAAAACGGACGCAAATTCAATAACCAACAATATATCCTCTTTCGATATGACTTACATGAAAAGCCCTGTATTTGCATGTCGACTTCACTTCACAATACAACTACCTCCACAACTCGAGGAGCATGCGGATAAAGTAGAACGAAATTTTATTCTGCAAGGCTTAGGTTCTTATACTTCAAACCCTAACACCTGTTGAATCGTTGCTAATCTTGACTAACGGTTAGATTCTTCTCCAATACTCTCTGTTAGGAGTCTTCCATTTGGACAAACGAATTTAAGTATCAAATCTTTCGCTCTCGATGCTTTGAAAACTTGCATCAAAGATCACGCTTTGTGTGGGCGAGATAATACCCTGCATGGGGCCGCACCAAAGTGGTATCCCACAAGGCTGATAGATGTTGGAACTCCATCTTCTAATAGAAGTCATGTCAGGCTGATTGAAACAGAGCACACTCCCCCACATGGTTCATATGTAACACTGAGCCATTGCTGGGGAAACGCAGCTACTGTATTCAAGCTTGAAAAAGCAAATAAAGAAAGCCTATTGAAAGAGTTACCACCTCTTGCAAAAACATTTGAAGAGGCAATTATTGCAGCAAAAGAGCTTGGGGCTCGGTACATTTGGATTGATTGCATTTGCATTATCCAAGATGATAAAGCAGACTGGGAGAGAGAAGCCAGTCTAATGGCTAACGTATACCGAAATGCCATGTGCAATATATCCGCAACCGCCTCCTCAGATTCTACTGGTGGTCTTTTCTACAACAGAGAGGAAATTTTCACCGGCATCTCTCTGAGCTACCCTGAGACGGGAGAGAAGTTGCTTCTTATTCGCGAAGAACTCGAAGTAGCAGGTGACATTGAGTTTGCTGCAATTACAAAAGCAAGTGCACTTTGATATACTCCTTGATTCTAGTTGGGTCTGACATGAAATTGTGTAGAGAGGCTGGGTATTACAAGAACGGCTTCTTTCGCCAAGAATTGTGCATTTTACAAACCGGCAGCTCGCCTGGGAGTGCAATGAGCATATTGCGTCCGAAACTTTCCCCGACGGGCTTCCTCCATTCTGGACTTTTTATTACGTACCAAATAGGATTAGGGCTAATGGTGACAATACTTTATCTACAGAGGAGTTAGTGGAGGCCTGGGGAGATATTCTTGAACGCTACACCAATGCGAGCTTAACATTTCGATCTGATTTACTGCCAGCACTGTCTGGTATCGCAAAATACCTACAAGAAATATCTGGAGCCACTTACTTGACTGGAATTTGGAAGACTGACGAGAAGTCTGTTGTGAACCTAGCTTGGCAATGCGAACCAAATTTACATCGGCCCACGAACTATCGAGCACCTTCATGGACATGGGCCTCCACCGACAATCCAGTCATATTTGAGCCGTTCAAAAGTACAAGTGAAAATCATACAGACGGTTGGTTCGACGATGTCCAAACGAAGGCCGAAGTCATAGATGCGCAGATAACGCCTGCTACTTCTGACTTGACAGGGCCTGCTTTGTCTGGATTTCTCATTATCGAAGGACCCCTCAATGAAATAATCATTGGTCCTGAATCAGAAGTGATTCTTGACGGGAAAGATTTAGAGATGGAAATATCCTTTGACGAACCAGAATACGGCAAGGAATCGCTCTTTATTTTACCGCTGTACTCATATTCTGCTCAACATGATCATATAGATGGAATTGACAAGATTATTTACGTATATCTTGTTTTACGCTTGGCCAAAAACCAACCTGGGTCTTACACGCGTTGCGGATTGGGGCGTATTGCAAGATGGGATTACGAGTTCTCGCCCGTTTGGGACAAAGTTGTTAACGGCATGGATGCAATATGCGACGAGTTTCTTGGTGTAGAAAGAGGACATCGAATACGAATCATATAAATTACAGCACACTCCCAGCATATCTACCTCAATATAGTTTATTTGTTCATCATAAAGTTATCTTGAAGGCTGATCTCGCCTTGCACGGATGGTGTTGATGTACAGAGCCAAACGCCCAATAAATCACCACCCACAACGTCGTCACTTTCAGAGGTACTGCGACTATCGTTGCATTTTTGTCTGAAAGCGACACCAAATGACAACGAGGTGGATTTGCGATGATTTTCTCTGTCATACTATGCATTGAAAACGGGGTATCTAGAGATTGCCGAGATACTGCCTCGCAGCAGCGCCTTGTCCAGGCGTAGGAGAGTTGAAGTTCTATGCTTCTCATTGGTACAGCGATGAGAGGAAAGACGAAGCGCCTTGGGTTGCCTGTGAACCACAGTGCCAATATGAATGCACAAATAACCATCTGTACTACCATCCTCTGTTTCATGGCTGCGCTAGATATCAGGAGGCCTCAAGGTCTCAATCATCGCCACAACCTCACTACTTCTAGCCAGTTCCCCAAGGACTGCACAGAGAGTTTGTGATATGCGTTTCGACAGGAATCCATTTCTTGGAAAGCCTCCTATGAAGCACGCGATGATGGCGCAAAGAATATATGACCAGAGATAAATACTTCTATCGAGCCGCCGCCGCATCGCCACATGAGTACACCTGCATTCAGTCCTTAGCCAACAGCTTTCAACGGTCGTGTTCTCGGGTGGCATTCAAGCGTATTCTATACAAATCTTTTCAAAAGCCCTAAGAGAAAAACGAACAGGAACATACGTATAAGGACAAAAGTCTGCGACCACTCTACAGTATACCCGCAAAACCTATATTTTCAAACGCCTGTAAAATAACTACATTAAGTTATAATAAATATTTTTTTCTAAAATATTATTAATTAACTAAAATATTTTATAGATTTAAAGTTATATTAAATTATAATAAATATTACTGTTGTAATAAGTAATTAAAAATATAATGTTTTTATAGAAATTTACTATAGTGGGTTATAGTGGGAAATAACGTATTATTATTACTGTTTTTCTTAAATAAAAATATTTTTCTCTTTTTTTTATTACCTTTTCTTTATTTATTTACTTATTTAATAAGATTATTTTTTAAAAATATTTTTATTATTAAATTTAACTATTTAGCTTTATATAAATAATTTTTTTTATAATTTTTATACTTTTATATTAATAATTATGTAATTTTTAAAAATACCTGTTTTTGCATTTTAAGGTGAGGCACTGTAAAGTGGTCGTAGACTTTTGTCCTTACACTGTACTTGTCGAGTGACACATAATGTTGGACCTAGCTCAACTCATGCGCTCCGCGGTCGGCACGGATTGTTTGCCCGTACAGCCTGGAGCTGCATATAGTTGTCTTGCATGCATCAAATCTTCATTGCTATAATATATTACTCAAGGTTTGAGCTAGAAACAATGTTAGAGGTTGGGAGATAGTATTCTACTCTCCACTCTGCAGCGCAGTGCGACCTGGAAGCTTCGAAGGATTGGGGGAACTCGTGGTATCGTGGGCTACACTTAGAGGATCACTTGAGGGGTATAACAAAATAGTTGGCATTCATGCTCTAGTCATAGAGCATGTTAATCCTTTCGCTAGCTCAAAGGATTTACCTCCTTCGCGCTCCTTCAAACTTTTATTCCTGCTGCTAAGCTCTCAGTGTTACTCACCAGAGGGCTGTGTATACAACAGTGTATCTCAATCCTCATTTGTGTTCCCACCGCCATAAAAGGCATTCGCCGGCTTACTGTTTGCTCGGTTCGCTTCAACAGGTGTGACGGTAGGTAGAGTATTCCGTTGGTAAATATGATCGAAAGGGTAGAAGTGGCAATTTTCTCGAAGCATAAATACGAGCACCCTTCCAGGTTCCGACAGTATTGAGCTGATAAAGCATTAGACGCCAGCCAGAGCAACGCAATTCATCTTTTATCTAACATAACTTAAATTTCAACATCCGATATCTACCAACACATCAAAATGGTGCAGTTTAATATTGCCACTCTTGCTTCTGTAGCAATCCTCTCCAATGCTTGCTTCGTGTCTGCGAAAAGTTGCCGTAGTGGCGGCATCTACTGTGGTTATGCTCTGCAGCAGAAAGGCAAGTGTTTGCTCCTATATTTTTGAAGTTTCCGGTGTTGAGAAGGAAATGAGAAGCAAAACTGGTTGTGTCTTGTTTTGATTGAGACATATAAGTATGCTAATAATTTGGCTTGCTTCATAGGCCAGTATCGCGACGATATCATCGTCGAACTGAAGGCCTCTCATCAGCCAACTGACGGCCGGCACATTGATCATTCTTTGTTCTCATGCCTTCAACACGGAAAAATTGACTTCCAGAAATTCTGTAACAATGGTTGTGTCGGTGGTGACAAGAAGGATGACTATTGCTCCTAAATGCTTAAGAGAATACGTGCATGAATATGTGACAGAGATTGTGATATAGTGCCGCTTCAATGCATGTGTTCATGACCTTATAACTTTTCATCATTTATTCTGGTATGCTGGATATGGGATACTCACGGGATGTCATCGGTGGATAGCAGGGCATACCTTTTTATCATGGCCTAGCGTTCTGCGTTTATCGCTTTAGTAAACCCTTCCCTCAGGGTATAGGCTTCGAGCACGTGTAATATTAGATTTGCAGCCTGTAGTTAGAATAGAGTTACCACTGACCTCTCATTGATTGTTATAAATAGCTGATAGCTGAATATCATGACCAGGAAGCATGAAGTAACCTCTGCTAGGGCAATCAGTTTTACATAAACACTAGTGCTGCTTCCACAGCAAGTCGAACAAGTCTCATATCAACCCACCATTAGTATTTCGCTAATTAACCTCTATTTTAGAAATAAAAGCAGGTGCTTCGATCTTGCATCCCTCTCCCTTTCCCCAATAACAATACATAAGCCGCATTGGTAAATCATTTCTTGAGCTTGTCCAGCTTGTCGAGTCTTGCGTTTTCGAAGTAATAGGCAGTCCAATTTACAAAAAGTTGCACAAGAAAGACATACCCTTGTGGTCCTATCCATCCAAAATTTCCAAACTCAGGGTCTGTCCAGGCAGTTCCAGGATAGAAGATCGCGGACAAGCCAGCAACGGTGGTTAAAGAGCCGACGATTGCCGCAACGAAGAGCGAGTCCTTAGCAGCCTCAATGTTGGCATTGCGTCGGCTGAGCAAGTAAAGTGAGGTTAGGGCGGAGAGAGCGCCAAAAGACATACTCTGTCCGTTGTGAAACTTAGCATGAGGTGGCCAGCGTGGATTAAAGACATGCGTATGGCTCCAGTCGGCGAAGTATGCTGCTGATGCGAGAAGGATATTACCACTTGCCATCAGGCCGCGTGGAAGTGAATCAAATGCTTGAAACATTGGAAATATGGGGGTTCTTTGTGTATTACTCAAAAGTGCGTGTGTAGCTTCGAATTCAGGTACGCGAGGAAATACTGCCCGTATTTATGTAAACCTTACTCCATTGATCACCGCTCTTGTCGGAGTTTCTCGCTGTCAACGCCACCTACATGTACATAGGTGTTTAGCTAACCCCGAACTCCGTCTAATGGCTACTCCACTGAAATAGTGACAGAGGGTTAATGTTTGTTTCTTTATTTGCCGGCACTCCCACATCTACATAGACGACATCTCTTTTCTGTTGAATCACACGACAATTTAATTTGAGATTTTAATTTATCGTCCACAGGTGAAATACTTGTCAAATATTACACAAAGATCACACCTGACAACCAGACGGTCGAGCAGAAAAGTATACATTGGGCTACTCGAAAAGGTTTAGTCTTTAATGAATGCTAGAGTTGCATACTATCAAGCGTAAGAGAAACACGGTCGCAGATGTAGTATAAGAAGCGCCTTCTCGTACCAATTCAATGAGTAGGTGTAGAAGAGGCCTTTTCTTTCTCTTCTAGTGCTTTCTTTACCGCAGGGCGGTCTAGAAGACGCTTTATCCAACCCGTGTAATTAGGAGCTTCTTTCTCTAGATCGACACCTGCAGATTCCACTGCATTCTGTCCGATCAAAGCCCAAGTGATGAAGCTCAAGTCGGCATAAGTTGCCTTTTCTCCCACCAGATAATTTCTGCCTTCGAGTATCTTGTTCAACACGCCAATAACACGCTTGATCTCGTTCAAATAGCGCTCCTTTGCAGAGGGTAGCTGTTCATGATGAAACCTTGCAAACCAAGTATATTGACCTATATTGCCAATCTCGAATTAATTTTTAACACTTGGGTCGGCTGCTGTGGATTAAACTCACCGAAATACGGACCTTGGCCCGAGACTTGAAAGTACAGATATTGCTTCTCCAGCCACTTTTGCGGACTTTGGAGGCCATGAGAAATCTTCTGTTCGATATCATAGCTTTCGACAAGGTATTCGATGATGGCACCAGATTCCCACAGCGTGAGGCCAGTATTTGGGTCATGAATCGCAGGTACACGGCCATTTGGGTTTATGTCAGTGTACGGGGCTGATTTGATAGAAGAGAATGTCTCGTGAACAAGAGTGTATGGCAACTTCAATTCCTCAAGAATTATTACGACCTTCCATGGGTTTGGCCCGCTGCTATGAGCATGAAGGGTGATGAGTTTGATTGAAGACATTGTGGAAAGTGGCAGTCAATTCTCGTAACTGAGTGAGTGAAAGAACTTACGGTTATTCCATCATAAAGCTGTGTCTATAGCTGGCAAGGCGCCTTAAATAAACCTGTCATTGATTTGGTATGGGGCTCTACCCAGTGTGATCTAACCAGGCCGATTACACTTAATTCCGTCTGCCACAACGTTTAGCTGAATAATTAATATGCCGAGGTTACAAAATTCGGGGAGAAGAGAGACCGATTGGCATTCAAGATTTTCAGTAGACTATGAGATGTAGCAAATAATAGCAATCGCTCATTCTAGGATTGGTTTCAGTGTCCAGGACTTTCCGAAGTATGCACTCAGAATCGACGCTGATGTATCGTTTTGGGAACGTTTGTCAACCCTGATTTCAAAGCATCATCTCATGCACTCCTTAGCACTCGCTGACTTTTTCTGGGGATTATGATTCAACTTGAACGTAATCTCGGAATCCCGTGTCTTTGGAAAGAGCTTGATACAATTGTGCCTCGCATAGTGAATACGATGAATACCCCGAAATCCGTCCAACGAGAGCTAACAGGGGCTGCTTTAGGTTATCCTAGCTAGCCCAATGCGGAAGCATTTTGAGAGCTGGTGGTTAGCCGCGCGTTAAGGTTCATTGGATCGATGTTGCATTTGTCAGCTGTTTTACCGGAATCTATGTGGTTTATGCTCTTAACTTTGTGATGGAAGTTCTGTCTCATCATGGAATATTCATCTGTTCTCCACCTGGACATGGCCAAGGCGGAGTATTTTGACAGTGAACCCTTGCCCGTACACCTCCTCGTGAAATCTAAGCACATTGGGAAGCAGCTTTCCCTAAGCTCCTCAGGACCAAAATACTTCGTCTCTACTCCGTAGTTGTTGGCCGCATACAGCAAGCGAGAACGATATCGCAATATGGTTGGCGTTGCGGGACGTAGTAAGGCTTGTAACACCTGTAAGGCGCGACATGTGCGGTGCGGTATGTCAAACGCTTGCACTCTTTAACTTTAGCTGCATTACGGATATGGACTGATGTGATCCAATGACTGCGGTAGATGCGCGTCATCCAATCTGTCACCGGTGTGAGAATGGCGGTTTTCAGTGCAAGGGATATAATCGTCCCCTTTTATTTGTTAATGCCACAGTACAAACTGCTAAGCATAACATATCGGGACAGAGAGATGGCGGTACTCGTGGCTCCTCAATGTCACAAGACAGGCAGAACGAACGGATGAAAGACCATGCTGATAATCCCAACATCGGAAATACATCCCTATCCCGACCGGCGTATGACGATACATTGTCTTTTGGCACGTCACCCTTGGAGCTGTGTTTTCAACCTTTCTTGCGGATTTGGCCGTCTAACGATGTTGTCTTCACCACCTCTTACGCACATGTAGCCATTGCAGCTACTGCGACTGAAAGCAGCATCACCACCCACATAGGCTCAAGTAACCTCCTTATCGGCAGCCGCGTATGGGCCCAACTTCATGGAGATGCCGCCAAACAAGTACAAACTTTCTTACACTACCTTCTCATTGCACAGGGTATGAGTCTGGGAATATTAGAGGGTCGTCAACAACAACTTGACAGCCTTCAATCCTTAGCAGTTAAGCTGTCTGTTGAGGCAGCCGCATTGGCGCTTCATGGGCGTCTCACAAAGCATACAGCCAATGTGCAGCAGGCGATCATGATATATCAATTGGCGTTACGTCAACTCAGGACTCAGCTCTCTCATATGAACATCAATTTGATTTCATCACCGATTCTCAACGTATCCATATTGACAGTTGTCATGAACATGACTCTTTTTGAGGTATGTCGTTTCTATTCACTATATAATTCTTCAACGCCACATTGAATGATTTGTCCTTCAAATAATTACTAAAATGTGATACAAATCAAAGTGGATCACGAATTCAACTAGCAGCGCGTGGAAGGAACATGTTCGCGGTTTGGCTGGATGGGTAGAAAGGTGTGGTCCGGAGGCCTTTCGACAGGAAGACATGAGGTTTGCTTTTGAGAGAGCCAGGGCACATATTGCAAGTAACCTTTCTTCGTTTTCATTTTAGTTCTTTACATTTTCCATTTTATGCCAACGTCCTTGTTCTTTGGCTGACATGGAGGCACTTAGATGCTTCTCCATATGGATGAGGCCCAGAGGACTTTTCTCGAAGAGCCTCGCTGGCAAACTATTCCCTGGAGTGATAATCCGAATCAGAGGTCCTTTGCAAACCGCTATATCGACATTGTTTGTTGCATCCCAGGTATATTGGAAGATGAAAAGCAACGGGTCAAAATCCGCCGCGAACACCCTGGCAACGATACAACATGGTCATGCAATCTACGCCAATCCTTAAGGCATCGAGTCATCATGCTTTATCATAAACTTCTCAACATACGTTGGGAGTGGGAGTTGCAGCATCCTATCTGCTGTTTCGAAATATCTCAGGAATCCAGGACGAGGGGAAGAAGAGCGTTGTCCGTCAACGAAGCAACGGGTCAGCCAATCTTCAACTCAGTGCTGTATTTCACAGATTTCCGACGGGCCGTGGAGACTAACTTCTACCATTCCTGTCTGCTGATTTTACATGACGTTGCAAGAGGCTTGGGCATCATGGACGAGCTGAAGGATAACCAAGCATCACATTCCTGCTTCTCGCACAAGACAAATTCGCCGCTGACATTTCCACACGATATTGAGTCGGATCGTAACGCTGTACGCGACATCTGCCGCACTGTGGAGTTCCTTTTGCAATCGATGCATGGGCCGGCCGGCGTTTACGTTCTCATGTTTCCTTTGCGTGTCGCACAGATATACCATGATTTTCGGTTACCATCACGAGATTATAGGAAGAACAAAGTGAATGATATAAATGCAGAAACTTCTGTGCCTATGCCTAACGTGTACAGGCGCGGTTCGGATGCTCACACTGTAAAGTCACAATCTGACGTATATCTCGATAAAGGTTCTAGGGGCCATAACGGAAGCCCCAGCAATCTCAGACACATCGATGACGCAGCAGGCCCTCACACTTATAACTCAGATAAAAAGCAGACAACAGTGGTATCGGAAGGTAGCATAGTGGCCAAGCCTGAGCAGCAGGCTGTTATTTCGGAGTGGATCCAGAGGATTATGCGGCACATCAACGATGTACACGGCTTCAGCGTATCGAAAAGCTACGTCTCAAAGAACGGTAGTTAAACAAAATATCCGAGCCAAAAATAGTCTCCAACACATTAGCCTGACCTACAGCAAGGGGAATATAGTCCATGATAGAACGAGGCAGTAGTTTATCAATTACCGAAGCCAATTGCCTTAGATTCAACCAGTCATTAAATATAACGAACTTCTAAAGGTGAATCACAATCTCCTTTCAACAATGTTCTTTAGTTTGGCCAAGTCTATTGCCTCAACCTTTCTCTCCTTAAAGCCCACCGTCGTCTCAGCCATACAAAGCGCATTATAAATTGCCTCCTCTGTTGCATCGGCTGTTGCCTCAAATAGCCCATCAATCGTATCATTATCGGACATTTGTACGCCCAAGAGCTGCGGAACATAAGGATGAGTAGGGCGAGCACCAGTCATAGAGATTTCTTGAAAGGGGGTCTTGTTAGCATTAGAAAATGCAAGGAAGATATCCCCCGATGTGTTGCTACCATAGCCACCGACTTTGGCCAGCCCGACTGTGGCACGCTTGGCTAAGCGTTGGAGCTGGACAGGAAGAAGTGGAGCATCAGTGCCGACGACGACGATAATACTGCCGTCTTTGCGTGGCTCTTTCTCTCCTGGTTTAAGCTGTTCTGTTGCTTGCTGCCCCTGTTCTTTAAGAATTTGGCCTACTGGCACGCCACCGATGCGGAGGTTGTCTGGCGAACCGTAGTTGGCTTGGACAAGCACTCCGACGGTGTATTGCGCCTCATTTCCATCAATATCGAAGCCCTTTACAATGCGGCTGCTAGAACCAGTGCCGCCCTTGAAGCGATGGCAGATCATGCCCGTCCCGCCACCCGTATTGCCCTCCGAGACAGCATCTGCATTTGCGCCTCGAATACCCTTGACAATGTGCTGGGGCGTGACGGCGAATCTGCTCTGGTCGTTGAGATAGCCATCAAAAGTCTCGGCAACGGTGGGGAAAAGAAACAGATCGAGTTCTTTGTCTGGATTGGAGTGATACTGAATAGTATACTCCCAAATTCCACGATACGCATCGCCAACAGCGGAAGTAGTAGTCAGGACAATTGGCGAGGCTAAAAGACCTGTTTCGTTGAGCCAGTGGGATGATGTCAATTCTCCGCAGCCATTGAAGCTAAAGATGCCGGCAAAACTGGAATATTTGTACCAGTCAGGCCGGGATAGGATAACCGTGACACCAGTGTTGATATCAGGGGATTGCACTTCACTGCCAGGAGCGTTATGGATAGACTCGGTGTGAACGAGGACGCCAGGGACGTCGGTAATGGAGTTGAGGCGGCCGGTAGGCCACTTTCCCAGGCGAAGCTGAGGTATGAGTTGGCGGATACGCTGGCGAGGCGCAGATTGGCTCATGTCGGATGATATCCAAGAATATGTAGCTTGAGGCTAGAAGTTATGAGAATAAGTGCAGCGGTTATCTGTTAATGTTGTTCAAGATAGACTAGGCATATGCAGCCTTTTGTAAGTGAGGAGCTTGTTCATCCACAAAGAGCCAAGTGCCAGGAATGGCAATTGTCGAATGAAGAAGCTACGCGAGTCTATCGGCGATTGAGTCACTCTAGCGTGGGGTAGATTAAAAAATTATGCGGTCGCCGTTGCAAAAGTGCGTCTCGAGGCCGAAAGCCGAGCACCGTTTCCTATAATTAAGCCGGCATTTATCAATTAAGGGATGGCAAAACCCGCGTTTACGTATGAGATTCGGAGATTCGTATTGGCCGCACCACATGTTGCTAGGAGTGATAGCAATTTATTGAGTTAAATCTGGGGATGTGACAGAGAGGGTGGGGTGATTCAAGGAGGAATACGGAGTACAAGACGCTACTAAACTGCGTCAAAATGCCAATAAAGGGCTGGTGGAAGAGAACAAGCAAGGCCGGAGTCTAATACATGTACGAAGTTGTTCTTACTCTGTGCAAATTGTAAGGGAAACGTTCGTCCTCGAGTTTTTGAATGTATCGTAAAATACCTACATAAATTAGCAACGTCGTTAGGCAGCATCTTATTTGCTGACACAGCTGATAAAGGTCGTCCAGAATCATGCTTGGGGTCTGCGTTCATCCCTCTACATCTCGTATTTCTCGTATATGACTTGTGTAATAATTGTGGTCCTTTTTTACGTATAATGTTCGAAATCCGCTCGGATTTTCCGGGAAGAGGCTATCAGATCGCTTCTAATTTATACCTTATCTAGTTTATTTTGTCTCCCCGATTGGAAGCCTGACTCTTTGAGATGAGACTCCCGATACCTCAATTCTCGATCTCATTGTATACATCAATATGTCTCAGAGTTCACCACTACATATAACTTTATTCGTAGTACACATCGGATATGTCGGAAACAATTCATGGGCTTACTTGGATCGGTATGGCCAACAGATGATGGTCAATATACTGAGCAGGGCGCCACTAGCCAGAAGCCGGCACTCATGTACCGATCGACAACGATTCGCTTCTCATTATGTCTATAAATAGCGGTTGAATGATATCACCGGCCCGAGCCGGGCTCCAGCCAGGAATATAGCTAGACATAAAAACTGATACTTGCGTATAGTAGTAGCGTGGATAGATACATGTATAGATTGTAAGCGCGAGACCTTGTAAAATTTCAGCCCCACAACTGAATCAAAGGCAGATATATGAATCATGCAATCGTCTATCGATAATCATGGTCATAAGCTCGCCAGCTATTGAAGTCAGTTTCCCTCCCAGTACAGATATAACAAGTTGAAACTGGTGGTATCAAATATTACTTCCCCAAGCTCATAAATCATCAGTGTAGCATTGAGGAGTATCAATATGCTACTCTGTTTATTCTTCGAACGGTTAGGCCCAACTCAATATGTTGATTCATGAATAGTCGGCTTCCCAGGATTGCTGTACATGCCCATGCCAATGCTCTTAGATATCATCACTCAATGCCTTGAGAATATCCCTTGCCTCGTTTCTCACATTCTCTACAATTACTCCTGCGTCTTGCACACTCCGCACTAGCCCTACACCTGCGCCAACATACGTTGCAAGTCTCCCCTCTGGACCCCAGCCAGCATCGCCACTCTTAGCCGCCTCATCGTGTAGCACCTGGAGTTTTTCGAACGGAACGCCAGCCTCGTGATCAATCCAGCTACGGTTGATGAGAGTTCGAGGTGAAAACTGCTCGGGCCAGCCAAATGTGCCACGCAAATGGTTGTACAACTGAGTCCGCAGCGTGCTTTTCGCACCATCAGATGCTCGGACCACTTCATCCTGGTAACCCTTTGCGATGCGTGCCTCTGAGGCAGCAAGGAATCGAGTCCCCATGGCGACACCAGCAGCTCCTAGTGACAAGGCGGCTGCCACTCCATGGCCATCAATGATTCCTCCCGCTGCGACGACAGGTATTCCGGACTCCTTCACGGCATCTGCCACTTCAGGAAACAGAACAATGGTCCCTGTGCTCTCCTTTGCCATGCCGTGTCCGCCAGCCTCAGAGCCTTGAACAACCAGAACATCTGGAGGGGTTAGGCTGTTTACAGCGGCAATCGCATCACTCAGCGTGCCGACCTGAATCCACACCTGGGTATCACGAGAGGCTGAGCGAAGAGAAACTGTCCACTCGTCCAGCTCTTTCTGGCCATTTCTTGGCGCAAATAGCCAAACAGCGCATGGCTTGTGCTTCTCAATGGCAGAGGTCGCAACCTTCAGATCGCCATTCCATACTTGAAAGCCCACACCAATGGGGAGCAAGGGGTGGCGCAAGCTAGAGGCTGCAACCAGTTCCCTCGCCTTGTCAAGGTCAGCAAATACTCCGTCTGGCTTGGCTTGCGGCCCCATAAACCCCAAGCCACCAGCAGCAGACACGGCAACGGCCAAGCTTGGGCCGGCCATGATGCGCATCGGCGCCCCGACAATGAAAGACTTCTTGACCCATGGGTAAGGACGGGCAAGCAGGCGTCTCAATTCTGCCGTTCTTTTGGTAGCCATGATGAACTGGTTTTTGATGAAGTATAAGGTTTTTCGGATCCAATAGTCGTTGATTCTCGGGTTAGTCTTGATCTAAGCATGCGTACATGAGTGACCTGTCACCACCAGTCAGTACACGCAATCACCCTGGAAGAGAGAGTTTGGTCCTCCCAAGCTATTAAACAAACAGCATTAATGGAAGGTCAGATATCGCCGTTACAGGCAATCGTCATCTCCGCTGCGAAAAGCCTCCAGCTGAAACTCTTGCATGCATTGAGCGCCAACAGGGTCTCTTAGCGCTGCTTTGTAAGAACTCTACAGCAGCCACAGATTCGCCATGACATGGACCTGGATCTGGCGGGGAAAAGAAAAGGAGGGAATGGAGTAGAACTCACCGGCGGGCTTCTTTTCTGTTTTGAGAATCCAGCAATCGGGAAAAGAGTGCAACAATGTCAGCCTTATGAAACCCTTTTTCGGCATTAGGGGCCGAGGTTAGGACTCCCGTGAATTTTTCGGGCAGCGCCGACCGTACGTTTGATTGCTAAGATTCCGCGGAGATGTCCTACGGCGTAGGGTTGCAGGAGAAAACATATCGTCATTGGTCGCAAATTGGCATCCAAGCTTAATAATGATAGTCTGTGGCGCATACAGCTTCTCCGTGGCTGTTTAGCAGATGTTACTGTTGAAGTTTAAGGAAGTTAGAAAGAGAAGCTGGAGGAATTTTAAATAAATAGAAGGAATGAGGCGCCGGTTTCAAGAAGTTTTGTTTTAGTAGACAACTACAATACAGCATAGAAAGCAATACAACAACTCCAACACCTCATCTCCAACAATAAATCCCACTCTCAAGACTTTACAAGCAATTATCTATTCGAGCTTCAGATTCACAGCAAGCAACACATTACATTATATTACATTACATTAAATACGAAAATGTCTTCCCGATCTGATAACACTGTCGTCGTCGTTGGCTCTGGCCCAGGAATTGGCACCAACACAGCAGCTGTTTTCGCCGCCAAGAAGTTCAACAAGGTCGCCCTCGTTGCCAGGAACCCCGCCCAGCTTGAGAAGGATGCGGCCACTGTTATTAGTGCTGCCAATGGCAATGTCACCGTCAAGACTTATTCAACGGACGTCATCGACCCTGTCAAATTCACAGCGACACTTAAGCAGATCAGCCAAGATCTCGGAGCTGTGGAGGTCGTCCTTTACAACGCTGCTATTGTCGCAGAGTCGAGACATATCGAAGTCACCGATGAAGAACTCATCCGGGACTTCATGATCTCTACCGTCGCCTTGAACAACCTCTCCAAATGGGCCTTCCCACAATTGACTGAGCTGGCGGCTAAAGATGCTTCTGCCAAGCCTACAGTCATTGTCACTAGCTCTCATCTCCCCGAGACGCCCGAGGCCAACCTCGTCTCCTTGTCCATGTCCAAGGCTGCCCAGAAGAACTTTACCCGATCCCTCCGCCTAGAGTTTGAACCTAAGGGAGTTCACGTTGCCCTTTTGAGCGTCGCGGGGTACGTCTTGGATAGCAACCAGAGGCTGAATGCGAAGAACATTGCCCAGGAGGCATGGAACCTGTACAACCAACCTAATGGAAGCTGGACCGAGGACGTCAGAATTGAGGAGCCATGAACAAATCATGAATAAAAGGAGTTAGAATTGTTACGGCCTGGTAGCGCATTGCAAGTTTAATGTAGTTTTATGAATAATGTCTTCTTAATAAATATAAATCATACTTATGCCTCATTCACCAATCGTCCAATTGCCTACATCATAGTACCAAATAATATCGTCGTAAATTATAGAGCTAGATAGAAATATTACGAATCGAAGGCTTTCGATCTACCAGAGCTATAACACAGTCTCTAATACACACCTCGCGAACCTCAAACCGAGCTCAGCCAAAGCTGGATGATTTAGCACATAAGACCCCAGATTATTTTAGCTACAGGAGACCACTGCAGCAATGTGGCGTTGATACACGCAGTCGTGTGAAGCTTGCCTTTCCTATCTGGGAACTTGGTCCCGATGCGGTCAAGTTATGCATTTTGAGACATGAGATCCGCGCCCAACATCCAGCGATTGCATTAAGCTGAACGAATAACAGATCCTCCTGATGACTTGACTGAGGCGCCAGTAGCATTTGTGTCCTTCATCAAATACACATAGGCCTCAGCAACCTCGTCAGGCGTTCCGGGCCTCCCGACTAGCGATTGCCTCGATGCAAGCTCAAATATTGCAGACGCCATCGTTTCGCCCGTCTCCTCAGTCACCATGCTCGTCACCGTGATGCCAGGCGCAACTGTATTTACACGTATCGGGCTAATATCAACCGCTAGCCCTATGGCCATACCCGTAGTGGCAGAGCCAACACTAGAGAGAACGCCCATGCCTGGCATCGGTACATCTTCGACATGGCCAGCAGTAAGAATGATGGACGAGGTGCCTTTGTTGTTCATGTATTTGGGTCCCAGTTTTCCGAGGAGTGCCAACTGAACAAATCTTGGAACAAACAGTCCATGAATGGTTTCGTAGTCAACTTCTGAAAATGGAACAATTCGGCCTCGTCTATTGCTCACGCTGTGAACAATATGATCGAGAGGTCCTCCGGAAGCAGCAACGGCGTCATTGAGTGCCCTTTCGAGCTGCATCTCTGTGTCCTCGCCACCAAGATCGACCACAAGGCCGGATATTCGACTGTCCGAACCGGGTACTGCTTTGATGAGCGCCTTCACGGCGTCGTCTAGTTTCGTCCTATTGGAAGATGCAATGACCAGATGACCAATGTTCTCTGCAAGGGCTAATTTTGCCACGGCAAATCCTATCCCAGATGATCCCCCAAGGACAAGGACTCTGTGGCCTGATATAGACGGCATCTTGACACGGTGTTTTCGTTTGGCTGCGCAATATTCGAGCGATTACAATTATGGTTGTACACTCGTATTTATACTAATACAACGCACTCATACCTAAGATTCAAGCTACATGTTTTTTTTTTCTCCCTCTCACATGGATCTCAACTGAGAGAGCAGCATTTGCCTATCTTGGTCTTTAGCGTAGTAGCAGCAATAGCCTAAATAGGCATTACATGTCAGATTTCTCGTTTCGAATCCCTTAGCTCTTAGTTTAAGGGCGCAAAGGCGCAAACTACGTTAGTCAAGAATCGGCCCCAAGGTGACACGACTTCAAGAATACTGAATGAAATGCTATATGTGGACTAAACGCTATACCTAGATGAGACACCATACCTAGATGAGATGCCATTCCTATATGGAATGTCATACCCAGATGAGATTTCATACGAACAGGCTACAATAACGTTGGAGTGAGAGAAAAAGGCCGTCATCTGAATTATTATCAAAGTCCCAGCCAGGAACATGTATTAAACTCAATCTTTGTGTATACATGTATTGATGATACTTTGCCTAAGACAAATTCTGCTAGGTCAAGGTACAGCCAGGTTCGAGTAACTCCATATATCATCATGGTATTCAAAAACAGATATCCTCGCCATTACGATTACAACACGGCAGTAATAAATCGCACATTCAAAGCGTTAGTATGGAAAATCAACCAGCGAAACAGATCAAAAGGCTCGTGTGCCGCATTAAAAGATATCAAAATCGTAAACAGACGCCTGCCATAATCAACGCCCTCATATCTCATATTCAGTTAGGTAACCTCTTGGAGGCCCCGTGGGTTGGAATGGGTAGCTTCCCCGCCATATGGAGAGCCATGGCTCTGAGAGCTAGATCCTGGTTCTGCCTCTGCCGCTTTGGGTGCCTGCCCGTCTTCGGAATACATGTAATCAGGAGGAGGTTCTGCGTCCTCAGGAATCTCCAGGACTTCTGGCTCAGAAATAGATGCGGATTGCTCATTAGAATCTTGCTCAAACCCAGGAGCTCGATCGCAACACTCGTGATATGCAGGAGCCGCGGCACCGAAGCCAACAGTAGTTTCGAATGCGCTCTGTCGGATCTGTTGTAAGCCACGTCGCTCGTCTTCCAAGGCTCTTGCTGTCCTTCGAATAGACTCTCTTCTCGATGCGCTAACCGTCTTCATGGCCTCAACATACTGCTTCTGAGCATCCAGCGCTTTCGCCAATGTGGCCCCCAGCCTTTCCAAAAGTTCGGTATTTTGTGACTTGCTAGTGAATCGCTCTTGTGCTGCCGCCCTCGCACTGACAAAAAGTTGAGCAAGAGCGTTCTTAGCTTGTATCAGATCAGGTCCAGGAGGTTCCTGTATTGCTTCGATTGCATCGGTGCAGAGCTCAAGTCCGCGGTTGATATATGCAACACAGCGTTTCAGAATCGTATGGACGCCACGTTGTGAGAATATATCTGAGTGGTTCTCGAAAACTGCGCGCTGTTTCTCAAACAGGGCACGTTCAATCGCCACCTTGACAGCTTGAGCGGATCTGACGCCTCGCACGGCCGCCTTAAGTGCTTCAGTCCTCTCTTGCAAGGCCAACTTGGCCAACTTGTGTGACTCTTCCTGTTCATCCTCGTCTGCAAATCCCGCCGTGGGACCGTCGAAAATACGCGAATACAGGTCATCGATTTCTTTGTGCGCAGCGCCGTGTCGATTCACCAACTCTTGTAAATCCTTCATCTCGACCGTCAGGGCCGCCTTATCCGCCTTGAGATCATTCAGCTTGGCTTCGACTTTGTGACGCTTCTCAAGCACTTCGTGGTATGCCTTCTCCTCTCGCATTGCCTTGTCCTCGAAAGCACTCTTCTTATTCAGCACGGTATAGACGAATTTCTTGGCGACCGAGTCCCTGTAGCTCTTGTGGCTCTTCAGCTGCGAGTTGGCCGTGGCAATGGCTTTCTCAACCTCGGGCTCGAGATCAGCCAGTCGTTTGTCAACATGTTCAATTTTTACCTGGTTGTTGCCGAAAAGCCCAGGTGCATGTGCTGTAGCTTCAAGCTCGCCCAGAAGCTGTGTGTTTCGCGATGCCGCGTCTTCAATGGCCTGTCGCACTTTTCGCTCGGCCACTGGATCTGACGGCGCACGCACTTCGCGATGAGTCGGCATGTTGGTCGTAGGAGGTGGTACAAAATCAGAAGCTGCAGCCTTTCGGTCAACCATGGATGCCATTGAATCCATGGCGACAAAGCAACTGATTTACGCGTTTACGATGTTGCTTCACGATTGATGTTGAAGATGAATTACGCGATTTCGCGTTTACGAACCTCCAGAAAAGCGGAGAGCCGGTGTCGTGGGACCGGGGCATATTTACCTAGAATGCTATTGATGTGGTAAGACGGGAAATTAAAGCAAATACTAGATAGACTATGTAGCCCAGATTCCAACGCTGCTCAGGAGATCATCTCCAATAGTCGTCATCTTACCGCAAACTCGACAAAGATTTGTCATCAACTGGAAGATTACAGCATAGGGCGAAGCAGGGCCCGTCAGCACTTAGGCGTATTTGCCTGTATATGCAATACTATTCGCTGCGCCACGAATGGAATCATGACCATACGTGGAAAAATAGTGCCCTAAACCAGTGACAAAACAGCTGGTTCACAGCCGCTTCACTGCCTCGCTATTTGTAGTTTCCAAGATCCCTCTTGTGACGCTAACATAATAGGGGGTACTAACTGCAAAACGTTGCTCCTCCATCAGCATGTCCCGCCTGCATATTCTAGACAAGCTTCAATGACATAATGTGCCCCAGTAGTTAATTGTAGCTGCAAGAACTACTTTGTATTAATCTGCTTCTCTGCCCAACGACGTCAGTGCAGCATCTGCTGGCTAAATCCGGACCGTCGGTTCTTGAGCGCGGCACATCTCCCGGCTTCTTTACCCCAAAATGAGCGAAGCCATCACCACCTAAAGTGCATCTCCGCGGGGATTGATTCCGGATGAGTCAGCGGTGAGAGCTGGTTTCTTGGCCAATTCGGATTCAGCTCGGAACACACAATGGGCGCAACACAAGTTGTGTTCTGCCAATAGGAAAGAGAATGCGAGCAGCACGTTATTAGTTTGTGAGAGATATTGGTCACTATTACAAAGCCATGTTTGTTCCATTCATGGCAGTGAGCTGTCAAGTTGTATTAAAAGCCATCATTCCGCAAGCAGTTTCGAGAAGTCCTCAAGTCTTCAGACGACTACTCCACCATAGACCAACTCGCGTCTTCCTCCCTTCAGTCACAACAACACAATTACAAGCATTTACAATGGCTGCTAAAACTATCCCCACCCTCCACTACCTTGACATCGGTAGAATGGGCCGCGGTGAAGTCGTGCGGTAGGTATTGTGCTAGCCTAGCAGCTGATCTATAACCAACCCTCTACACTTCGAGCAATAAGTAACTAATACAAATATTAGCCTGTTCATGAGAGACGCGGGGATTGAATTCAACGATGTCCGACATCCTTATGATGACACATGGCCCGCTGCGAGCGAGAAACTCAAGCAAGAGGGCATTACCCGAACTGGCAAGGTGCCTGCGCTCTTGATCAATGGTGTTATCATCAACCAAGTTAGTGGCTCAACCAGCCCGATCCGTTGAAACCTTAGATTGGACGCTGACCGTATTCGCTCCATATAGCATATTCCCATTTTGCGATACCTCGCTCGAGATATCGGCCGCTATGAAGGCGAAACAAATTATGAGAAATTTCAAGTTGATGCCGTTTCAGATGTTTATAATGACTGGAGGGTAAGTTCAATTAACAACTTTTACATACCTGCCCGTTGTATATACTAATGAGCGAGATGATAGACTCAATGGGTGGCGAGCCTAAAAGGTGTTACAGATGACTACAGGAACAAGTTTGTACCACAATATTACAATGTCGTGGCAGAGTACTACTCCGCAAACAACGGTCCCTATCTCCTTGGGGACAAAATAACCTACGCCGACTTCGCCGTTTACCAGTCAATTGATAATGATGAGCGAATCGGAGCTTTGCCAGTAAGTCTATCTTTCCAGACATAGCTGATTCGTGATTGCTGACTCACTTAATCTAGTCGAAGCTACCTGAAGCTGTTCAAAAGTTCCGTGAGGCCTTTGAGGCACGACCAAACATTTCGGCTTATATTGATGAGAACCGCCCAAAGAAGGCATAAAATGATTCTTGTTTGCTTGTGACGACAATATCGGCCAAAAGTTGATTTGCACGGAATATTTTCTTGAGATGTGAAAATAGCAACATTTGGACAAGGCTACTATGAAATATCCTCCCTTTCAATATAATTAGTAAAATGATGAACTACATGGTCCACATGCACGATGACAATTCTTGTGAACAGTTTAATGAAGGAAATCGTAAGATGTCAAATAAACTACCAGAGCTGGTGATGGTTGTTGATCAGCCCAAGTAAGATCATGGAGATGTTGGCATAGCTGTGATCATTTATGCGGTCATTGCAGCCAAATGTGAGATGCTATTGAGCCAGATACGTATTATGAGCCGAATGTCGTTGCCAGTACTTATTTTTGCATGATGTACGGAGTACTCCTTACATACTTATCATTTACGCAATGTCTCATCATACTTCGCCCCAGACGTTTCATAGCTATACGTTCATAAGCCTGATGAGTAAGTCACTGCATCGTGCTTCATGTAACGTAACGTTGCAAGTTTTTTATTGAATGAAATAACCTTGCAAAAGACGAGGTAGAAAAGGGCATTTGTTCAAGGGCCCAAACATGGTATTTCGCATAAACTTGGTAAATTGCTCCCCAGGCTGACTGCTCCCTTGCCAGGTGGCATATCCAGGTATACATGCTAAAATAGTAAATGATAGACAAAATACGTAGTGTCTTGCATTTACATTACTACTACTCATCTTAGGTGCAAGGGGAAAATGATCTTTACCTGCCTTCTTAAGCCGCGTATCAAGCAAGGCATGCTGAATGTCGAGCGGAACATTTCCCGTCCGCCGCGATGAAGACTCCGTGTCTATTTTCCCCAAACCTGGTCATTGGCGGGAGGAAATCCAGATGCATAAACCTCTAAATTGGGGGTGTCCGACTAGGCTGATATTAGTGTTTGAAGACGCATGGCAAATCTGCGACCAGACATATGTCAGATTATGAGCCGCTTCATGCGCTGCGGAACGGCATGTGGCCGATGAGATGAGATCCAGATTGCCACATCCCGAAGGCCTGTGCATACAAAGTAAGCATTAGTATCGTAGCGCCTTATGCGTAGGAGAGAAAGACTTAAATCCGTCCCAAAATGTGTCATGCTTATAAAGAATCACTTTCCAGAAGGCATGCCTAAAACTCCACGTCGTAGTGAATGAATGAGTCCCGCCTTTTCATTTCATTTTTTCTTCAAAATGCCCCATCCTGCAAGAATCAGCCCAGATTCCCCCACACGTTTAAAACTGTATTAGCTCCCCGGAGCATATATTCCGCGATTTAACAGGTTGAAATGGCTCATGCCTCCATGGAATAGACTTCGAGTAAGACGCTGGCCAGAAACTTCCAGCTCCTAGCAAATTAATGCGAAACAAGATGCCAGCTGTCAATGCAACTCTTTCCAGAAGTCCTACGATTCTCACACTAAACCTACAACTGGAAGCTGCATGGATACCGGAAGCGATTTCGAAACAAATAATAGCTTAAAAAAACGACTACGAGAGCTGAAGAAAAAGAAAGAAAAAAAGGACCATTCCAGCCCCTTTCCTACCCTTGGTATTTCCTAATACAACTGGCAGGAGTTTACTCCGTAAAACACTCATGCTTTCGCTAAAAATCCACCGAACGTGCCTCCCAGTCGCTGCATAGGCCTTTTTGTCTGCCGATCCGGGCTCGCCGTTGGACCTCGCAAGCAGTCTATCTCGTTCGTTCACTCCGGATTTGTCCTACGTGCTCGTATATTCATACCTGTCTATTAGCGACCGCAACATGTGGAGATGACACACAGACGCCTCGGCAAAACCCACGTACGAGAGCAAATACTAGTAGTACCTGTATTATATTTGTACTCCATTTCTGTGGCTCAACCCCTATCTAACAAGAAGCGAAAGACAGAACGTCCCCGCCCAAAAGACCCATGCCAAGTACTTGCTTCTGCTGCCAAGGTGCACATTTCATACATGTACATACCACATACCGGCACTTACACACAGACACATGTTTTCTGCAGGGGGGGACATGGGCTGTTTGGTTTTTTTACTAACAACCCCTGTCCAGACCATGTCGGTTCCACCACATTCAAAAAATGTCTCGGCCGCTAAATCCCTGTAAGCGGACAAGCAACTCAGAGGATCCCCATGTACTACGTAATTTGGCGAGAACAGGCAATCTGACGTAGCACTACTCCGTATGGCATCTTTAGATAAATGAATGCATATTCTGACCTCATGAGTGCATTGTATTGTATGGCTCATGGTTGAAAGATAGTGCTTAGGGAGTTATAGTCGCAGCATAGCATAGCACTGGCCATGGAGCTTCCACGGTGGCCTATCGCGAGAGTCCAGCCCTCAATACATACTTGTTGGCAATGATGATTCTTGGTGGGGGTTCTCAGTGATCTACTGCATGTCTTTGGGCTTTGGCCTCGTAGTTGGGTCTGAAATCACTGAAGAGGCCGAAATCGACAAAGCAGAGTGCTCCCTTTTCTCCATGGATTCAATGTCATCCTGAGGAATTCAGTACTAAAGCAATACGCGCGTCTAGGGCATCCGATTCACAATACCCGCCATACGTAGAAACGAGCTAAAAGTGATGGAAGGATGATTGATTTTAGTCACCTATTGTCAGAGCCTCTGATTTGTGTTTTAGCTTACATAGCTGCTACAGCGTCATACCAGACTTTCTACGATGACTATGAAAATCAGCAAGATTCACAAAAACTAAGCTAACGTCGCCAAAATCGCTAAAGAAGATTCAAGGAAGATACGACGTTATATTGCAACTCCAATTCATAAAATGCGCAAAAGCAAGAACAGGATATTAAAAAGCATTGCATAGTCGTATTGTGGTAACTAATTATGTTCGAAATATATTAGAAAAAAAGGTATTCAATATCTATGTCAAAGAGTATCATATCGTGAGCATCGTTCGTTTCACGTCATACAGCCACAACACCCTGCCCCAATGGCATGACAAAAAGAAAATTCGAAAAAATGCAATCATAAATGCTGAAAAATAAACATCCTCCTTCTCCCTAAATGCAATGCGATGCGCCATGGATGCAATTTTTTTTTTTTTTTTTTGTTTCATCAAGCCCTTCATGAGCTGTTTTTGACCCGGTCGAAGAACTCTCCGATCTTATGCTCAAATGGAGCAAGGGGGTGTTCCTCTCCGAGGCCAAGGTCATTTAACTTGTATCGAGGGTTTGTTGTGTGCATAGCCATGTAGCCCTGGACACTCTCCTTCCAGGACTGTTCATAGACACCCCTGCCTTTGAGGATCTTGTCCACTCGCTTTGCGGCATCTATCGTCTCATTGCTTACGTCTTGGAGGACGGTCAACATTGGCTTGCCGCTAGTGTCGACACGGTTGTGCAGGTAGTTTCTTGTATCTCCACCCACTTCCTCTTTGTAGAATCTAAGCGGGAGATTAGCTACGGAGCCGTCGTTGTATTGCTGAACGGACATTACTCACGACAGCACATCATTGGAGATGTCGATGAAGCGGGCCATGTCGGGGATCGCCTCGAGGAATGCCGCGACATCGGGATACTGCGCCTTGGGGTAGCAGAAGACGGCATAAGCCACGTTCATTCCCGACATATCCCTGTAGAAATCCGGGAATTTGTTGCCGGCTCGCGTAACCGCCATGTGCTGGAAGCCGTCATGGCGCTCTAAAAGGTTACTGGTGAGGAATTTGAGCACGGAGATCTGAAGCATATTGGCCATGACGGTGTCAAAGTGGTCGTCTGCCTCACGGAGTAGAATTGCAATTGCCTCCAGCAGGTTGTTTGGCTGCCGCTCGCCTCGGAAGAAGCGTTGGTGGAATTGCAGGGCTTCCTGGACCATCTCATTGCTCTGGCCGACAATGTCGTCGTATTGAACAACGAGCCAAGTAAATAGGCCGACATAACCCTGGACTTGTACGGGGTGGTTAGGGTGAGCGAGCTGTTCCTTTTTTGTTAGCCAACACACTTGCACAATAGCGCGCCAATTTGGCCACACAGAACAAAGAGAGAGCGCACCAATCCTTCCGCGTAACCTAGACGGAACCCCTTTGCAGAAATTTTGGTGTCGAGTGGCACACCGAACTCAATGGCTCGCTTGTGCATGTAAGCAAGCAGGCCCTCGACTGCCTCAGCTTTCAACTTCGGCGCTCCGGGATAGTTGAGCTGGTTGAGCATATCGCTGCAGATTGGGGCCACTTGTGCAGCAAGCCTCTTTGGCTCTTTGGCCAGATCCTGACCCGGTTGATTGCTATTGCTGTGCTTTGGAAGGAATTGCTTCAGTGTAGCGAAGATCCGGCGGTAGATGGAAGCGGCCGTGGTGTGGTAGCCAGACCCGCCGTGACCTTTCCGTGCGATGACCATTTTGGTATAAGTTGTGGGATGCTAACAAGCCAAGAGAAATATGGAAAGTTGATAATTGAGAAGAGACAAGCCTCTGTGGCTATCAAAAAGCAAATAATGAACACTAGAGTATAGTGGTGAAAAAAGCAAGTACTCTCTTAAGCTGATATGAGGATAGACTTGAAGCTAGAGAGGTAGATGAAACGCACCAGACGGGGGAAACCTTGGATCTTTATTCATAGACTCAGCCCCCGTCCCGGTGGCTAACCTTGTGAACCTAATAAATTACCAAGATAATACCATAATACCCTACCTGTATGAAAGAGTCAAGTCAAGCAGGTGGATTTCCCAATTGAGTACCATAGCCGCGGTCTAGAAGGGAAGAGACAACGAGGTCAAGGGATATGCATCGCTCGGGTATTTGTGGGTGAGACTAGCTTATGCTGTTGGTTGCTAGTTTGCATGGTGGTTTTGCTGCAATTGGAACGAGAGCATGGCTAACGAGTAGATTATTCCATCGTATCTGAGCTTAGGGATATCTATCCACCGATTCATCATGACCCTCGAAAACGTGACTGGGACTCTCTGCCCACTCCGCCCACTTAGTGCATGGCGGTGGGTAAGGAACGGCGAGCAAGAGAGTGATGTATCAAATGTTTATACTGATCTATTGGACCGTATCAAACCTATCTAGGGAAGAAGGATTGACGATCTAGTGACTAGTTAGTCGGCTGAGGCGTCATGTGTATCTGCTGTTCGTGAACCGAGAAATGGGTAAAGGCCTCACCGCGCATGTTCCGGAGGGCACCGGCCGGCAAAGACGGTCACCGAGAAAATGGTGCCTCAGTCGTATCAGTGTAACCACCATTGCATATCATTCAGCTGTTGATCAGACTACTCATTTACCTCCCCTCTCGCTTCCTCTTTCAGCTCGGCCATGCTTCCAATCGAGACGAGTGTGGGGATAAATTCGGTAAACCAGGGCGCCATGAGGGCAGCTTTTCTCTTCTCTTCCTTCTTTTCTCTCCATCTCCTACCTCTCTCGTACAAGCACGTTGGTCCTCCATGCTTGCACCTGAAAGGGGGGCCTCCGAGCGGCCCTGTAGTAGCCATGAATAGCCTCAACCCTTGCTCAGCAATACTTCTTTGCCCTCGTACCATACTTCCGTCTATCCGCCGGCTTCGTACCAGCCAAGGATTCCTCTGCCATCGTGCAGTAGCTCGCATCGTTAACGCCGTTGATATGTGCCCGGGCTTGCCGTCGTGTCCCTCGATGCTGGAAAGCACGGTAGTGAGCTAACTTCATCATGAAGGATCTTCAAACCCCCCAGAGTATGCGTTCATTGCCTCTCCATAATTCACATTGTGGGACGAACAGGTCCGCCTTCACGATCTTAGTTCTTACTACCTGTACAAGATGACGGCCATTTATCTGGCATGTGGAATTCACTAAGTGATGGAGCTGCTCCCTACTCGGTACATTAGAATCTGATCTGAGAAACAAGGAATATATTTGCATGAACACATGTCAGCCACGAAAAAGTGGCTTTCAGAGTCATGTTATGAATGTCAAGTACATCCACTTACTCGTACTATGAATACCAAGGCGTTGGCCTCCACCTGGATTTGCGGATGCGACGGTGCACATTATCTTGCATTAGTATTAACACGTGTTTCCCTTTAGTGGCTTTGCTCCTTTCAGTCCTTTCTTTGTTCATCATATAGATCTGTTCCGTTTCCATGTTTTCATGGCTAGGCGGGCTGAAGAAGCAGCGCTTGTGAGTCTTGGGAAACAATGTGCAAACGTCAAGTTAGCAGCAACAGCCCCTCGACACTAATTCCTAAGCCGCTTGACCTGTCAATTGGCGCTGGTGGAGTAGAGAGCCGTTACACCAAGCGCGCCAAACTCGCCTGGGATAGGGCTATCCGGGGTTCCGCAGACATGGGTAGGCATGTCAAGGAAATGACACGCTCGTGACACTCCGACAGGGCCAAGGGGCCGGTATACACTGCTGCAATGGGGTTGGATCATGCCAGGGCAGACTCCTCTCACTTACATACAGACAGGTACGAGTGCTATAATACGGTGAAGATGCAAGTGTAGTTAGATAGGGCCTTAGGACACCCCCCTCCTCCCCCTGGAGGTGTGTAGGATGCTCCAGAAAGGAGCTGTCAAGGCTTCTACAAGTACTTGTAAAAAGGACACAAGTACTCCGCACTCTTACTGGTTTTGTGCTGTTGGTTCTCTTCCCACTGCTTCGCCTTATCCTTGCATGAAGATGTATCTCAACGGGGCGCATGCAATTGATACTACCTCGTACATGCTCAAATATGAAGCTGTCATGCAGCCAAGAGGTCAATTAGTACATAGTATCCGCACTCGTCCATAGAGCCCAAAAAGCCCGAGACGGCGGGCGACGGTAAACGCGCGGAAGCCGCGCCGTAAAAAAGGGAAGCTAGTTGATCAGCCGAAGTGGAGGGCCTCAAAAATGAGGGCTTTCGTGTTGCATAAGTGATGTGTAGCAACTAGGACCTGGTCGTGGAAACTGACTAGTCGTTTGATAGCGGGAAAGAGAAACACACAGAGCGAGAATAAAAAGGAAAAAGAGGAATGGGGAAAAAAAGGAATTATGAGAGGCAGACTCGCTGCTCATACCGTACGCTTCCTGTTCAGTATGAAGGACGCACACCAGTCACCTCTAAGCGAGTGCTTGTGCTCGTGTCTCGTCTAGTATGTTGGCGAGATACAGGGGATCCTCCAAGGCATACATATGTTCCTGGCCATTGCAACTTGCTCTTTGGAGAGATGGGTCACGGCAAATACTTCAGCTGTCAAGGATGAGCAAATATACCTGACATTGGCAAGCCCAGAGAGAGCTCCGTGCGTGCAATTGGCCACTTATTCTCATACTGTACCAGTTGTTGCCATTTATTGCCCCAGGATGTCCTAGGGCTAAGATGCAGGACTATGGAAGCTACATGTGATTTTATGTACGTACGTACGTACATAGTAAGAAGGCATTTGCTACCCCTTGCATATGCATACGCGTAGCCCAACTACCATTGCCGCCTCGTGCATACTGTAATACCTCTACGGCTTCTTTCCTGCAAAGCGGTAACTCTCAACGGTGATTATGTGTACCTGGCATGGTCTTATCAACTGCCGGTATGGAGGAGAATGCAGCATGGAAGACTCCCCCCTTTCCACTGGATGGACTCATGCTTGAGGCGACGCATCCCAGAGAATAGATTTGGATGAGCGGTCCGTCCCTTGGCTGGTAGTATTAACGGTTCGAGGTAAGATTGTCGACACGTGTGACAAGTCCCGGACGGGCCTCTCCATGTCTCGCGCGGTCGTTCCCCTGTCGCCGCTCAAATGGCGGCTTTTGAAATGTGACAACCGACAGAGCAATGCCCGCTTGACCCTCATTCTCGGGCGCACTTGATATAAACGCCGGCCGTCCTGCTGTTGCGTTGGGTGCGAGCTGATGCGTCCTGCAGTTTCTGAACCTGTACCTGTACCCCCCTGCGCAGAGGCAAACTCGACGAGTTGAAAGTGGTGCCTCGCGGCGTTTTTCGTCACGGCCCCGGATTCTGCTTCGGTCATACGACTGTTCCCTTTTGCTTGACACACCTGTCTACTTCCCTATTCAGTTCAGTTCCGCCAAGATGAGTATTGCGTATAGGCGTCTTGACCCCTCAAAGCGCGAAATCCGCTTGCTGGAGATCCAGTCCGCTCGCAACCTCAATGACCCGATTGAGTGCAAACTCGTCACGGTCCGTCTGACGGAAGACATCGAGTTCATTGCTCTGTCGTCTCTGTATGGCGATGCCAATGAGATAGAGCGCATCTACATCTCGGGGCTGCCTGTTGCCATTACCACACACCTGGCGGCAGCCATCAAGAACATCCGCGCCGTCTTCTATCCCACCATCTCGAGGAGGTTCCAAAGAACTCCGGCCCGCCGCCCGCATGGCGCCCCGAGATGGCTGCGCCAGCTCTTTGGCGTAAGCTCAACACAGCGCGGAGAGCTTGAAGCTCGCTCTCTTCGCGTCTGGGTCGACCTGGTATGCATCAACCAGAACGATGAGGAAGAGCGTCACCGCCAAACACTCGATATGCGCATGATCTACAAGGCAGCCGAGCTCGTCATTGGCTGGCTGGGAGAAAAGATAGAGCACACAGATGTGGCCATGATGACACTGGCCGAGATCGAAGACGCCATGCCAGCTCACTGGGGAGACCCGGGAGACCGTGAAAAGCATCCCGAGGATTACTCTCCGACCCATCGCTGGGCTCGACCCATCACCCATATCTGGTCTCCGGGCCCAGGAGGCGAGATTCCCTTCATGATGCCTCACTGGGTTGGATGCAACGACTTCATGACGCGCCAATACTTCCAGAGGCGCTGGATCCTTGAGGAGATAGCCCTCGCTCGCTTCCCCACGTTCCTTATTGGCGACGTCATTGTGCCGTGGAAGCAGGTGCTCCGCCTCAACCGGATGATGGAAGAGTTCAAATACCACCCATCAGATGTGTTCGAAAAGGTACGATATCTATCTCTTATCTAACACTGCATGTAGACATCAACGCTAACTTGTTATTGCAGGAACTCAGCGCCATGATTGCTGAATTGCCCCTAGAGACGGCCCACAAGCTCCTAGATGAGTTTGCTAAGAGAGAGGCCCTCGAAGAGGCTCGCATTCTCAAAGAGACGGGCAAGAGTAGAGCCACCTCTTCTACACGATCTAATGAATAGCCTAACACACACACACATTGGGATAATTACGGCGATATTTTTGTGGTGACGGAAACGGCGGCGTCAAGCGGTTCATTCACAAAGTTGACATTTCGCGGGTTTTGGGTGTGAAGGGCATGACAGGATACCCAAAGGTTGACTTATACGCAACGAGGATACCCCATAAACATTTTTTCCTTTTTTCTTTTTATTTCAACATGATAATTGTTTTTGGATTCGAATATGCCTTGTTTTAGATTTCATTTTTATTTGTTTTTACTCTTTGTTCTCTTTTACTTCGTCATCCGCAGAGGTGGATGCACGGAGCATTTTCCCATCTCGGGGGCGTGTGCAGCTGCACTCGCAGCAACGAGCAACGAGATGTTTTTTCCTTTGTCCGAACTCAATTTAGATAGGTATTGAGCATGGTAACAGTATGATAGATCAACTAGTGTGTGTAGCAGTAAAAACAACAAAAACAGCTGTTTATTAATGTTTGCTTTTTATAGATGTGATATTGTGTGGTGGTACGCAGAGGTAGTACCAGGCAGTAGGAAGACACAACACGGTCCCAGCATACCGGAAGCGTTGCATCTAATGCAGCCAGACCTGTTGGTTGATGAGTTGCAGCAATTCAATGATACCTTACGCTTTTGGCATTGTGCCCTACCATTTATAGAAGCTTTTCGGGTATGCGACACCAATGATCTAGTAATAAGTTTTCCATTCAATTTCCAATCGTGTTCAATTACTGAGAAGCAATTGATGGTTCTAATTACCAGCTGGAGCATTCCTCCCGGCTGCAAAAACATGGCAAGACATGGTTCACGTCGCTGGTATCACCACCATATCAAACATGAAGTGATTTCAACATATCCACATGCTGTAAGGAGTAATTTCTTATCTAATACGGAGTACCTCGCGTAATATTTCATTGTACAAGTCCGTTATTGTGATCACACCAGGCGGGGGCGGGTCTTTGCTCTCGTCTGCTCCATAACTATACGGGGATGCCATTGGATACTAACTTTCCATCGGCAAGACTCCGTACTTTGCTTCTAGAATTCCCAACAGACTGGGCCCAGCCATCGCTTAAGGAAGCGGTCAAAGCCCGAGAAACACGTTCTTTATGTTCTAGTAGCTCCGAGCAGATAGGAGAGAATCGAGTGGAACTGGCACGTTGAGGGGTGTCAGTGTATCCAAAGTACCGGCATGTGTCGACAAGTATCGTGGCAACGGACATGGAGTCTGAGAGCAGATTGCCACAATGGCCCTGACATGGTTCCCCCGTTACCAGCCCGCAGGCTAATGGACGAACATGTAATTTACCCACCGCGTATGTGATCCCGTTTTGTACCTAGTTCACCGACACTTTTGATGCCGAGTATAAATTCCGATCGATGCCCACTTTCGCCGACATGTTGTTGGCCGTGGCAAAAATCCAGAGTGTCACGGCATCATTGCCATTCGCCTACATATTGCATACATGCATTTTGTTGCGCGCGCAATCTTTCCAGACGTTGGGTCCAAGTGTGGGCGGAGCTCAATTTCAGGAGAACCACGGGGAAAAGCATGCTCTGGTGGAGAGCGTCGGTCTTAACGACACCACAATTCTGCAGATTGCCACTGGGTGCGGCAGCTGGATCCATCAGTCCGTCCCTATGTGTTGTTAGTCATCAACACTGATGAATCTTGGCGCTGTTGTCTCCAGAAGGTGTTCATGAGTCGAGCCATGCAGGCAGTAAATTACAGTAGAGTCAGTGAATCCTTGCAACTCCGATGCTGGTGGTAGCGTCGTTTGCAAATTGCCACTGGAACTCTGCGTCTTGCTGGATTATCTCCATTTACTGGCCTGATTGATGGTAAAAGTTTAACGTACGAGTACATGCCATCGCTCCATATCATTTGATAAACAGGTTCCGTAATAGAAACATAGAAGGTGGATATGGCTCTAGTTTCTCGGCTTGAACTTTACAAGGCAAATTTGCAAGTTAAAGCCACAGGTGAGAGAGACACCGGTATCAATCACTGGTTCCCTTCTTCACGTTCTCTATGGCAAATGAATCGATGCCGACAGTACATCTCCTCTCATAGAACAGATGGAAAAAATCGGATGATGTTGTTCTGTGTGTACGGAGTACTGTAATGGCAAGATAAGCTGGTAAACTATGTACCTAGCATTATCGATAACGCCATTCATGAAAGTGTCGAAAGTTGTTGGATGATTATTGATTAGTAAAGCATCTTTTACATCAAGGTAAACCGGGTCTTTCTGTAAGAGTCTCTTATCGCTGATTGGTGAATATGGCCAGTCAAGTACATCCGCATGGGTTCTCTGAACAACAAACGAGAGAGAGTTGGTTGGAACAGTTGGCATTTCTAGTTTTGTCGCCGCGGCTACATACAGGTATTCACTCTCTAAGTACATGTATTTATGCTCATTATTAACTTTTAGACAGGACAAGGCCGGGATTGCTCTGTCTGAACAGATTCGGCGAAATGGTTGATGAGTTGATGACAAAACTGCTGCTCTCTACTAAGTGCACTTCTTTGTTGGAAATACATGGTAGATTTAGTCAAGTCAGTGAACCAGATGGCTATTCTGGAAACTTCAATTGTCTCTCCCCGCATTGACTAAACCAAGATCCAGATCACAAATGGCAATGTAACTAATAAAGGTGAGACATACAGCAAGACTAATGTACAAGTAGTTTCACACGCTCGGACTCGGCCGCCGCGGACGAAAAACCCGATTTGCCGTGAATCTAGTTTAGGTCAAATGAGCTTAAAAATCGTCCGGACGCGATCTACCCGGATCAGCTGAGATGGCGCGGCTCTTGGCCCACCGTATTCGTAATCGGAATGCCTTCAACTGTCTCCATATAAACACCACGTTTAGATCGAAGATATCATACAAACATCCACTGCAGCTGTGCGATGAGAAATTAAGCAGCAAAAACTCGCCTGATTCTCAGCGAGCGTGGTGTCACGACATCTTGATCCATGCACCAGTCTTTTCTATTGACCTGCATGTAAACATGGCTGGCACAAAGCCCAAGTACGACTTTGGCGGGCCGTAAGTTTATCGACAGCATCAAAGGCATGAAAGCCGCCATTCTGACGCGTCATCTAGGCTAGGCGCTTCGGGCATTGTCTTTGGTCTCCCTGTGCTGCTCTATTTCTTCTACTTCACTTGCAACGACGCCACCGGCTGTCCCGCGCCAGCGCTCCTTGAGCCTCACTCTCTCACCCTTGAAGAGCTGAAAAACCAAATACCATGGCCTGAGGATGGCGTCTGGGGTTTTGCCAGTTGGAAGGCCAGTGGGTGGGTGATGGGCTACTATTTGTTAAGTCTGGTGCTATATCGATTGCTTCCTGGACAGGAGCTCTACGGCACAAAGCTGAGAGAGTCCGGCCGGCCTCTCAAGTACAAGCTGAATGGTACGTAAGACGGACGCAAAAGAAACAAGGAATGAATAAGGGTCCCGATACTGACAATTGATAGCGTTTTCTTCCACACTGGTCCAATTGGCCGCATGCGCGGTGGGAACTCTCTTATACGGCGCTGACTTTGCAGTCTGGACTTTCATCGACGAAAACTACTTGCAGATTTACACAGCCAATCTCATCCTCGCAATTGTAATCTCTGTGTTTGTGTTTGTACGAAGTTTCAGTGTCAGGCCAGGCAACCCTCAATTAAGGGAGCTCGCCCAAGGCGGCCACACTGGCAATATCATCTATGACTTCTTCATCGGCCGCGAATTAAACCCTCGCATCACGCTGCCCTTTTTCGGCGAGATTGATATCAAGGTTTGGCTTGAAATGCGACCGGGCTTGACTGGTTGGCTTCTGCTCGACCTTGCTTTTGTTGCGAAGCAGTATCGCACCTACGGATACGTGTCAGATAGCATCCTTTTCATTGCCGCTGTTCAAGGATACTACGTCCTCGAAGGCCAATTTGCTGAATCGGGAGTCCTTGGAATGATGGACACCACCACAGACGGTCTAGGATTCATGCTCACCTTTGGTGATATTGTTTGGGTGCCATTCTTGTACTCTACCCAGACGCGGTACCTCTCCATCTTTCCATTGCAGCTGGGCTGGGCGGGAATCGCTGCCGTGTCGACGGTATTCACCGTTGGAGTGTACATATTCCGCGCCTCAAACACACAGAAACGGGTCTTTCGCACGCAGCCTGACCACCCCAGCGTCAAGGACATGTCGTATATCCAAACCAAAAGGGGCACAAGGCTTCTCGCCGATGGCTGGTGGGGAGTGTCGCGCCACATCAATTACTTTGGAGATTGGCTTCAGGCGTCGCCTTTTAGTCTTCCCACTGGTGTGGCCGGATACTTGATCCTCCCTGCTGGGACCGTTGCGACTGCGGGAACTAGCGTTGCTACGATGATGGATGGTCGGGAGGTGGTTCAGGGTGCGGCACGAGGTTGGGGCATGATTTACACGTACTTTTATGTCGTGTACTTTGCTTCGTTGTTGATACATCGCGAGAGAAGGGACGATGCCGCGTGTGCGGAAAAGTATGGCGAGGACTGGGAAAAGTACAAAAAGACTGTTAGATGGAGGATCTTACCAGGTGTTTACTGAGATGGGGGAATAACAAAATAGAGCAATTGCTTATCTCCAAGTTTACGACTGATACTCTAATGTTGGTATCACTTTCCCGCAGCGTTCATTAGAGTTGGTTGGCATCATCTATGATCCGCCACATTAAGCTTATGACACGGTTCTCATAGCAACCTACCTGATAATATGAGACGAGATTTACGCCTCTTTTCTTGTCTTCAAAGTTACTTTGTTGATGCTTTGGGCCAGTTGCTCGCCCCTATATAAAGGGCGATGTAACCCACGTATGCCCAAAGCATTTTTTGCAAACACATCACATTAATACTCATATTTGATTCTGCGTAAAGGATTACAAACCAACTTTCTGATAAAAATAGACATTGCCTTGCTCTCATATCGCAGAGATCAGCTCGCACATATACCTACACACAAAATATCACGTCTTTGCAAAATGCGGGATCCAGACTACATTAGATTGGATCTTCCTCTTATTCGAGGACTCCGTCGTAGAGAAAGGCCTGATACATGGCCAGAAAACACAGGCATTGTCTGGGAGAAATTTATTGCTCCGCAGAACGTAAGTTGGCTATCCATATGAGACAGGCCCAGCATTACCCTATACTAATCACATGTAATCGCATAAGGTCTTGAACACACCAAGCCCCGTTACAACTTCAAAAGCTGGCATATTGAATCTCCCTCTCGAACTCATACTAGAAATATTCTCCCATACGAGTCGAGAGGGCGGCGTCTGCCTTGCTCTTACTTGCAAGAGCCTTCTCTCAGCCTCAACACTTGCCAACCTCCACCGGCCAACCTTGCCCCCTGAGAATCGAATTCCCTTTTCAGATTACGAGAATGCAATTCTCCATCCCGGCAACCGAGAACATCAATCACGGGAAGCAGTGATAAAGTTCTTCTTCCTCATCCACCCTCTCGGCAACGGACTGAGACGGTCACGAGCAATACATTTCTGCCAAGCCTGTCTTCGCTATCGGCCGACGGAACCCAGTTGGTGGACTGGCAGGGGTGCGCCGTGTCCCGGAAAAGCAGCAATTGGGAGACACTGGGGCCTTGTGCTTGAGCATTGGCACTATAAGCTGATGCTTCAATGCCCGGAGTGCTGGTATTCCGATCACAAGCCGTCTTGTGAAGGATGTCAGAAGAGAGCAGATGGGGCAGTCGGAGATGCGCCAGCGATGAGCTTGGCGCACGGAACAAGGGTTATGGAGATCTGAGCGCATACACAAATACTGTATCACATGTGTCACAAATTATGAGAATTGGTAGAAGTAGCCTGATCTGTTCAACTTGGCCCTAGTCATTCTTCAATACATGATCTTTACATAGTCATCAAGTTCACAATATTGTAATTGATCTCAAGAAAAGAGAATCGATGTAGAAAAGGCATCAATAGTTACCTTCAGCTCGTATTCCCTTCTCCAAGAGCGACGAGAAGACACAGAAAGAGATCAGCCCATTACGAGAGCATAGACATGTCAATAAATGCAGCTGACAGTTCTCCACCGCCTGGAACCGGAGGGCCACGAACCGAGACCGGCCAGAATAAGCTCAGGAAACACTTGTTTCTTCTTCTCAGGCGAAGTAAGCTTGAATGCATCGACGCAAAACGGCCCAATATAGAAGGAGAGCAGATTGCGGGGGGATCGTGACCCGGCTCGGAAGCATCATCAGCCAGCGACTCCCTGCAGATTGAAATCGACAATTGCATCGATGCTGGCGATGCTGAGGCTGAGGCTGAGGCTGAGGCCGAAGTCAATGACCCCATGCCCATGCGCCCGACAGCCCGAAACCTGAAGCAATGGCGCGTTTGGAGCTCTAAAACACGGAGCATTTTGATGTCGAGATTCGCCTTCTGGACTAACGATGCTGGCGCGAACACGGCCCGGACAATACTTGTTCCTCTTCCGCGATACTGAAACGAGCCCCAAGAATCAGATGGTCAAACAGGGGTAACTTCAGCGTGAAACTCGTCGAGTGTCTCGAAAGCTTGGCTTCACATGTCACCGTCTGTGCTGGGCGGGTGGACGCCCCAATCATGAGGAGAACATGACAAGACGGCGGCAGTGCGTTGGAAAAGGGGGACAAATCAACGTTGCCATGGAGTCAAAATAATAGTCATAGTAATAGTAATGAAATCACGGTTGCCGGTGATTATTAACAAAACTGCTCGTGTGAGATCCATCAGAGTCTGGCTTGTGACCGGGAACTCTGCGCATTGACACAGCCCAAATTGGCAATTTTGATATCAATTCGTCCAGACATGCCGGCGTCGATCTGGATGCACTCAATTGATACTCGTACCTCTGCCTCCATGTACTCTCGTATGCTGAGCCAAATGAAACCTCTTGTTTTCCGGCACTCTCGTCGCGGATCTGATGAAACATCAATGATCACCGCGTCTATTTCGACCTCTGTTTCCCTTTGCTTCATCACGCTGACATCTCCAATCCTATCTCTAATATCGAACAAAAAAGTGCCACTATCCCAGAAACCGACCCACCAGCCGTTCGCCGCAAAACATTAGGCGCATGAACTTGGAAACCCCAGTGTCGCAGAAAAAAACGCCTCCCAAAAACCCCCTGCCCCGTCTCCCCCCACACTCTACTGTACGCTCTATCCCGCAGCTGATTCATCTCGTGCCTCTCTGTCCCCTGGATAGCGCATAGACGAGCAAAAATGGGATCAAACGTTGCCTCGTTTCGAGATGTCCGCCCCTTGTTTGGAGCCCGCCATGAAGTCTATCCGTGTCCGTGTCAAGCGTCCGTGTCAGCGGCATCTCTCCCGGCTCTCGGCCAGATTCGCGCAGGGAGTCGAGACGCCGAATCGAGCTGTTAGTTTTAGTCTCGCGAAACAAAAGAAAAATTAAAAAATTAATTCAAGCAGAAGGAGTTGCTTTCCCGTCCATCGTGTATAAGAAGAGCCAGGAGCCCGGCGTGATTACAGAGTTCTTCTTTCTTCTCCATCACCACCAACAACTTCCACCTTCACCCTTTCCTTCAACCTTCTCTTTCAAGGCCCGGCGCCACTTTCCCAACCTTCCTTTCTTTCAGAGTCCCGACCTGGTGTCGCTTGCTTCGTTTTTCTTTACGATTCAAAAACAACTCTCTCTTTTGGAACTTTTCACCACTATCCTTTTTTAAACAAACACAAACACATCAATACAAAACACCGCCAAAATGGTTCGCTTGTCTGTTGCCGCTCTCTTCACTTGTAAGTTGGAAATCAGCTCCTTTTGCCACCTTGGAGATCTCTTCTAACATATTCTTGTAGGCGCTCTTTCTGTCTACGCCCTCGGCGATCCTGCTGGTGCCAAGAATGTCGGAAATGGCAAGGGTGGTCAATTTGTACGTTCATTTCTCCACGATCAAGTCTCTCACAAGAAGATCACAGTAAAGCTGACCTCGATATCAGATTGGCGGAGAGTGCTTGTCCAGTGCTGACTGCGCTTCGACCTGCTGTGCTTTCATAAGCGGCGGTGGTGTTTGCTCTGTAAGTTGTCAATACTCTCACCTTCCTGGCATCGACTGACCTTCGGATTCAAGGGTATTGGTGCCCAGTTCCAGGCTGGGAAATCAGGTTGTGGTTTCGGTGACGGTGGTGCTCCTCCTTCTCAGTCCAACGGCGGTGATTCCAACACGGGTAATGCCGGTGCCTCTAACGGTGCCGCTGCTGCTCCTGCTGGTTTCGACGCTTCTGTTGGTGATCCTGCTGGTGCCAAGAACCTCGGCAATGGCCAGGCCCAGCAGTTTATTACCGGTGCTTGTCTTAGCAACGCCGACTGTGCTTCCGGATGCTGCGCTGCTCTTAAGGGTGGTGCCGTCTGCTCTGGTGTCGGTGCTCAGTTCCAGAACGGCAAGCAAGGATGCGGTTTCTCCAGCAGCGGCGGTTCTTCTTCTGCCGCTCCCCCCGCTAACAACGCCGGCTCTGGCGATGCCAACAACGCTGCTGCTCCCCCTGCTTCTTCTTCTGCTGCTCCCGCTGGCTTCAACGCTTCTGTTGGAGATCCCGCCGGTGCCAAGAACCTCGGAAACGGTCAGGGCCAGCAGTTCATTACCGGAGCCTGCCTCAGCAACGCCGACTGCGCTTCTGGATGCTGCGCTGCTCTCAACGGTGGCGCCGTCTGCTCTGGTGTTGGTGCTCAGTTCCAGAACGGCAAGCAGGGATGCGGTTTCTCGGCTGCCAAGCGCAGTGTTGTTGAGCGCTCTCGCATCGCCCGCCGCTTCCGTGCTTAAGCTATTGGCAACCCGGTGATATCAAACGGTGGCTGGGATTGAGACAAATCGATAGTCATTATCTACCTAATTCTTCCACTGTACAACTAGACCTTAATAGATATTCACTATCATTACAACTATGGATGTGCTCATTGTGACTGTACCCCTGTGGATAATAGACCATGTGAATAAGGACGGTAGAATCAGATTGCAAAGACGATTAGTTCATGTGAGGATTCCTGACACTGGTAAGTATTATACGATATGGTCATCTCATGGGTCTCAGCTTACTTCATGATTTCCTCAGAGTAGGGCCCCTCTCCCGTTGCGGCCTGGATCATCATGACTAAATGACTTCTGCAGCTGTACAGCTTGAATGTATTCACTAGTCCCTCATCGTCAAACGTGGCAACGAGCGTCTCAGGGAAATCTTCCAGCACTTTACTATGCACATTATACCGGTTCTCCATCTCGACGAAGGCACGCGAGTCTTGTTCATTGATGAGCTGGGAAACAACCTTTCGCTTCTCCAGGTACTGGTCTTTCATCATTTCTCGGAGTACCGCAACAATGGCTTGGCGGTTGACGGCAGGGTCTTTGGCTTCTCGCATGCTCTTGAGGAAGACGGTGCAGTTGTCGGAAAAGAGAGAGGCGAACTTCTCGAGGTCTGCATCTGAGGACTCGGGACGGAGGGATTCATACTGGGAGTAGAGTGTGTTGAGGCGGTTTTCGAGGGCCGCTGCGGAAGGCATGGTGACTGTTGGTATGGATGGGACTGGAGGATTGAGTAAAACTGGTAATATGAGTGAGATTGAGGCTGGGATTGATGCTAATGCTTGACTTTTTGCTTAAAACTAGATCCAATCAGGGTAATATATACGTGAAATGTTCGGTTTGCCTGTCTCTACTCTCCATCACCCAAACCCAAACCCGAATCGCCTCCATCGGATCACTGCGGACTTGACCAATTCTCTCTCCGCCCTCGTCCATTAGGTAATTCCTACTAAACACCCTCCTCCTGATCATCTAAGCGCAGCTTGGGACAATTCAAACCCCGCAGCCCCATGGGAGGAATCGAGATCCTGCTTAAAACCCACTGCCGATGCATCCAAAAGATGTAAGTCAGGTTAACTTTTTTCGGACCGCGCGCGCTTCATCTGCGGATTCCTCAAATCTCCGCAGCCTAATTTCCGTTCTCCTTCTTGTATATGTAATAGATGTAACTCCCGGCATATTTTTAATGTCCTGTGCGACCTCATCACAGCCCCTAATTCTAGATTGGGACATCTTTACGGAATCATGTGTGCAAATCATGTGTGGGCTTCGCACCGGTTTTGGCCACTCATAGCGAGCCGGAGCTTAGAAAGAATTGGAAATGCAATGCCTTGCGCTAACCGATCGGGATTTACCCGCTGAAGATGCGCTAAAACCCCGTTGGCCGAGCCTCTTTGGGCCTGCTTAGTTAAGAGTTACATATCATGAATGTCGCAGAAAGTCTAGCCTGTATTTATTGGTGTGTTATTTGGGAATGTGGTACTCTAAAAGTAACACTGGATGAAGACATGCTTTGGATTGAGTGAGACGGGAGACTGGGTCTGGAGCAAACCATATTGCTCCTCTCCTGAGTACTGGCTATATGTAAATGTGCATCATTTCTTCAACAGATTGCTTCAACATGCTAAATAAAAGTATGCCCGTAAACACCATATAATATGTAAGAGCCGTCTATGTTAAAACTCCCATTCTCCATAACATCCACCAACTGCAGCGTAGTCTACCCCCATCGTTCAATAAACTCGTCCCTCTTCTCGCTCTTGCGGTCCCTTCTTTGGCCCTCAACAACCGCCAACCTATCCTTTGCGCCCTCCACCTCTGCCGCCAAAACAGTGATGGAGCCCGAGATCTCGGGGTCGACCAGCCTCGGCTCATTGAACGGACTCTCTGCCAACACGCTGTCCCGCACCAGTTGAATGGCGAGCCGCGTATCGTTCAGCTGTGCCAACGCTCCCATCTCAAACGTCTCCTGCGCGTTCCGAGCAATCTCGTCGTACTTGTTCCATCTCTCTTCGAGAATCTTGGACAAGGCCACCATCTGCGCCCTAACGTTCGTCTCTTCGGAAACGGATGACGGGACCGACAGGGTGTACATGAGAGTATCGAGCGGGGGCTCGTCGACGACGCCGGACGACCTGCGACGATGGTGAGAGCCAACGGTGTTGGAACGCTTCCGAGCAGGGGTCCCGGACTTGCTTGGAGAGGTCGGGAAGATTGATACTGGCGCGGATGACGACGGCTGCTTCACAGGCGGCAATATCTCAACAGCCATCTCCGTCTTGGCGGTAGTGATGAGTGCGGCGGCGGCGGCTTGGTGCGACAGATGGGTCTCTATGCGTCCTTGAATCCGATCAAGGCGGCCCAGGAGGTAGTCAAGACATTTATCAATCTTGAATTTCGTCAGCAATCGATCCGAGCAACGGGGAGCTGGCTCAAACACTCACATAGGCCAAGGCATTGGATGTGCGCATCGCACTTTGGCCCCCTTCTGTGGAAACCGTCTGGAGGGCCGGCTCAAGGTGCTGCTGTTCCACAGATATCTGAGCAACGGAAAGTATTTCCGAGTGCAACGACTCGACCTCGGTTTCGAGCGCCTTGACCTCGTCGTCCGTCGAAGGCTTGACACGCCCCGAGCGCTCGGCTTCCACAAGCGTCTCCATGTAGGTGGTATCCAGCTTGGCTCGGACTGTCTCAACCGTAATCTTGACCAGACTACAGCTCGGCGGTTAGCAAACAGAGGCTACACATGCGAGAGAGGGGCAGCTAACCGCGAGCAGATTTCTCGCAGCTTGTCAAGCTTGGACGTCTCATCTGGATCTGGCTGCTCCAGCTCCCAGCCCAGCTTCTGCAGGTTGGCCAGGATCTTATCGTCGCCGCGGAATATCTCGCCCAAGGTGCCATTGAGGTTGGATCCGGCCTGGGTCCCTTGCTCCTCGAGGTCTGAGATGCGGAAAGCAAGACTCTGCGAAGCTGCCTCTACCTACAGATACAGATGCACGTCAGCGAGCCCATACCCTAGGTACGATACAGCCCCCTCGCATAGCGTCTGGCCATGTTACCTCTGCGGCAACCCGCTGCCGTTCCGACTCGGATTTGCTTTGCCTATCCAGGTCAAGGTCCCGCCTTCGGGCATCGTTTTCAGCACGCCTCCTGACAAGACGCGATAGGGCATCTTGCTGGTGGCGGAGGGTCTCGCTCTGCTTGGTGATGCTCTCGGTGGATCTCCTGAGCTCCTCAATGGCCACCTTGATGTCGTCTTCGGTGACGCTCTGCACCTCGGAGAGGTCATGGAGGTTGGCCAGGATGTCGACCTGGCCGTTTCTGTCCAGCACCGAGTATCTACAAGTACAAAATCACAAAATCAGCGGCTGATGTGATGTGCAACCGGTTCCTGCATATACTCACATTGCCAGCTCATCAGGGGTCAGCAGATTGTCCGTCGTGAGATGCAAACTCGCCCACTCAGCCAATGCGGCGCCGTAGTGGTCGTGCCTGAGATGCTGTTGCACCTCATCCCTGCGAACCTGGACGCCGTACGTGCGGGCAGCCTTGAGCAAAAGGGCCTCGGCATGCACCCTGGTCTCGAGATCCATTTTGAGCCTGTGGTTGAGCGAGGTGGCGTTTCCAGAAAGCCCGGTTTCGAGGAGTCGGTCGTACAGGAAGTGCGTGGGTGAGGGGAAGTCTGTCCGATTTATTGTTTCCCAAGACTCCACGCCTTATCCCGCCTCTGTGCTGACGATTCACAGATTTCGTAGGCAACACAAGAGTATGAGTATGCTCTGGTTGATGATGATTCCACCCCTGGGAGATGGCAGGGCTCACAAGGGCTTGATGCTCTCTCCTGGAGGTTGCTGCTGTTGCTGGCGCGTAGGAGCGGTGCAACCCTTGGACGAGGAATTGGGCCAATTCGTATTCGCGTATCGTATCTACACCACTCGTGTGCCCAGTATTGATGTGGATGTAGTCCGTTGACAGAAATTGCTGAGAATATCGAGTGTCCAGGTGTTTGTGCCTAACAAATTGCATGGATGGAGCTGAGCTGAGCTGCGCTGTCTTGGGTTGCACCAGCATTGGGTCTCAATTCGGGATAATCGTGGATCATCTCAGCCCCTGTAAAGCCACGCTGCCACACGCCTAACAACCCCTGTAAACACCACGCCAATGCGCCACTGCCGCCTGACAGATGCCCGGCATTATGATGGGCCGCCATCCATGTCTCGAGCCGCATCTTTATGCAATCAAGGCGGCTTCGATATTAATTGTTAATCTATCTGGCCTTGATCAAACGCGTACAGGGCATGTACATGTAGCAAACAGCCAGGGCGATGCACTCCACCTCATCGTCTCGGGTGCTGAGCCCATCGAAAACTCTCCGACGGATCGAGGGATACCTCCATATATTATTACATATCCATTACTACAAGTATCATGGACTCCCATGTCTCTGGACTCGCTGCTTTTGCTTTCCTCGTCCAACTTCTCGCAGCACCGATGCTGTGGCCCAGGAAGCCCTTATACCTCTCTCGCGGTGAGGCATGCCTGGCCGTCTTTGGCTCCAAATCAACGACGGACTCGTATAAATCCTGGCTATATCCAGAGCCAATTTCCCGGATGCCATCTTGGCCGAGTAAAACAGGATCCGTGAGTGGCGGATCGCCCCGGACGGCAATGGATGGAACTTGCAAGTCTCCTCGGATTCGTGCTCCTAGACTATAGGCCGATCATGATACTATATCGAGCCGCCCTAGTTTTGCGCCATGTGCCACGGCATCTCCCACGGGAGTGACGGTGCCGCCTAAGGGTCAAGATACGATACTCTCTAGCCTCTGTTTTTGCACAGATGGGCACTTCTCTGTTTACATCAGGTATCCAGATGACATCACGCTGTGGACAAACAAACAAGCCAGCCTCTAGAAGCCATCCACAACTGCACCGCCGCATAAAAGATGGAGAGATGGGGGAGAAATAGAATAATCCAATACGCCGGCTGCTGTCGAAACTCGGCGGCAGGCAATGGGCCGTGTCCGGGTGGACCAAGTCTCCGGACGTGGGACACATGTCTCACTCCTCGGCCACCTACATGGAATCCCGGTCCTCGAGTCTATCAGCCGGCAGAGGACCACGGCCGCCTTGTCAGTTGTCGGTTTACCAATTTACCAACACGACTCGTCGTCTCGCATCTGACGTCCGTCTCGTCCCTCAACACGGTAGGCCTTGCGGAAAGGCACAGCGGCTGACGACGGATCTTGGAGAGACGGCCAGCGAGCAACGGCTTCGATCATCTCTGCTCTGATGGATCTGTGACTTGAAAGCTGTAGGCAGAGCGGCTGGTAGACTCTGCAGAGATGCGTGACAAGTCCAAACAGCCAGTTCCCCTTTTCTCCCGCCAGGGTGATGCTGTGACTAGGCGGCTGTGATGATGCATTGATATACGTAACCCAGCTTCTCTTCCTTACCCTACCTGTGACTGAGCATCTTACATTCACAAATACATGCTCGTCTGCCATGGATGGCTGTAGCACAATGTACATGTATCCTTGTATCAAGTGTCAATGAAAGACAACTCGGAAGTAGCTCCGTCTTGACCGCCTGCCATCAGCTGTCCGAAGAGCGCTGCCCAACCTGACAGCTGGCCGGAGAAAACGAGTCAGAGGGCGAAACAGTTTAACATTCTCTCCGACTCGGCACAAGAATCCAATATCGGAAATTCAGGGTGCCGCAGCTTCGCATCCTCCCACACAAGAGCAGCACAGCACCGCACAAACCCCCCAAGACATGGCCGATTCCAGCATCTGGCGGCTTCGCTGGAACAGGGCCATTGCTCAGGGGACTGGTTATCTGCTTGTCGCTATCGTTTGCATGGCGAGCGAGCTGCTGATTTGGGGCTTGAGTCAGACGCTGGCGGCGGCGAGGTTGGAATTCTTCTCGACGATTGTGGGCATGGCGGTGCTTTTTGCGTTGAGCACGACGAGCTGGGTGATGTGGAAGAAGACGGACGACTTCTATCGGAGGTGGCTCAAGACAAGAGTTGGTGACGCCATTGTGGTTTGCGTTTGCTTGGTTTGCTCTCCATGCTGATTCACCGCAGGTCGACTTCATCAATGCCCACCTGGGGGCGGGATTCTCTGTTCCCATGATTATGCTGGACCAGGACGAGATGCTCAATGGCGGCGAGATTGGGCGCGTCATTGGCTCATTCAGTAAACAATGGCCCCATCCAGTCTCCAGTCTCGAGATGGCAGATGCTGACTTGTTTTCGCTAAATTCTAGTTGCAACCAACATTGTATCTTGGGTGGCTGTATTCCTCCTCTCCGTGGTGGTAATTGGTGGAGTCACAAAACTAACCTCGCAGCCGCCCTCAAGAAAAGGTTCAATCTGCTCCAAGAAGAGTATGGCCCCGTCGTCAACAGATGATGGAGCCAGCTCAGCCGAGTTTGAAGACGATGCTCAGACCAAGCGAAGCAGATTCAGCCAAGGTGGTTCTTCCTCCTCCCCCTCTATCCCTAGAGCTACCGACACTGAGAAACAAACGCCCGCTCCAGATCAAAGGGCCCCAAATAACGAGCAACCCGAGCCATGTTACGACGACGAATCCTCGTCTTGGAGTTTCTTTGCGAGACACTTCCCGGTCCTGTTGTCGCTGACGCTCGTCTTCACTGTCGGCATACCACTTACCATTACCATGCACGAGGAGCGCTTTTTCGACGGCTTCACTTTATGGTTTATTTGGATATCCTCCGTCCGATCGCAGAGGGCTTTCAAGAAATCTCAGATATGCACCTTCTCCACCCCCCTGAAGCGATGCCTAGCAACGATGATGAATCCCGTCCTACTAACCACCCTCCTCATGACGGGATACACGAGAGCCAAGGCTTCTGTCCTAGGGCCTGGAGGCCTTGCCAGAACATTGAGAAATTTTAGCGGAGGCAGTCCTCTCTACGCTCTTTGGACATCTGCCATCAGCGGCATACAAATACCCGCCAACCCTTCAGGCTGGTTCGGCGCCGGCGATGCTGCGCTCTCCATACTCGAGTGTGGTATTCTTATATGGGGTTTCAAGCTCTCGGAATGCCGCCGCCAGATTTTCAGCACTGCCGGCCTCCTCGCCATCATACTGTGCACCATTGCCGCAGCGGCAAACACGTTTCTCTCTGTTCTCACGAGCCATGCCATAGGCCTTCGCGCCTCTGAAGCGCTCAGCTTCGCCGCCCGCAGCACAACTCTTGCCTTGTCAAAGCCTGCCACGGAGGCAATTGGAGGGAACAGCCCTGTGAATGCAATGCTCGTGGTGAGTAACGGCATTTTAGGGCAGCTGCTGTACCCCTTTATCCTGGACAAACTAGGCGTGAGCAAACACAGCGACGACAACGATATAGTCGTCGCAGAAGCTACACCCATCTCATCGCCTCTCATCGACAACGCTGTCTCTCCCACCACTGGTGACAGCTCCATCTCACCTCCCCTAGCCCTAATTCCCAAGTCACGGCATCACAGCACTTCAACAACCGACAGCCCTGTCACTGTCGCCGCAGGTATCGCCATCGGCATCAACGGCGCCGCCATGGGTGTATCCTATCTCTATGAAACAAGAAGCCGTGCAGCACCATACGCAGCCCTCTCCATGATGGTCTTTGGCGTCATGACGGTGGTCTTTACGACCGTGGAGCCATTCAAGAGCATGCTCATCAGTCTAGCGAGTCGGTGACCATAGTTAACGACCCTTTCTTTAAGTACGAAAAAAAAGAGTATGGGAACGGCTTTTTGGGAAAGATCTTGTTCAGGATACCATTTTACACTGGCTTGAAGGGAAGGGGAAGGGGAAGAAGGGGGGAGCATGTCAAGAGAATGATGGAAGATTACTAGATGTTTGGCATATATTTTTTCAGCATGTACCAGGGCGACTAGTGGTCATTGCATTTTACACAAAACGAAATGTAGATTAGAAACATGGGAGAGATGTCAGATTGTGGATATGGGAGGGATCGTATGAGATGAGAAATCCAACCGGATTTTGTTTCCGGAAAGACAATTTGAGGGATCATGTGTTTGGTCGGCAGGAAATTCCTAGTAGAGCAGCAAATTACAATTACAGCTCCACAATCAAGAATATTTGACCTGCGGTGATGTCTTCTTTTTGCCGCCGGTCGTAATGGAGAAAAGCCGTCTACGTTTGGTTTGTTTTACTGCTTGTTGGATTTTGATTTCTTGATTCTTTTTTTGGTGAGACAGAATTGAATATTCTCGCTTTCCGGCGTTTTTATCATCCTTTCTTTCTTTCTCTTTTTGGTATATTACACTCCTCTCGTCTGCATTGATGCCATCCAGAGCGGCAGCTTACTCCAATCTATGACAGCCAACACCAGTCAGCCATCGAGCTCGTATATGTACATATTCACAAAAAGCAGAACAAAAGACATACCTCTCAATCAAGTGCAGCCCACTCGCGGTCGACACAACATCGCTCAGCTCGCCCACCTTGAGCGTAAACGCAACATCCTCAAACTCCTTCTGCATCTCGCCGCGACCAAAGTATCCCAGATCACCACGCTTGCGGGCCGAAGAGCAGTCGGACTCGGTGGGTGCAAGGTCTCCCAGCGAGGCGGCGCCGGACCGGATCGTGTTCTCGTGGGCCTTGATGATTTCCATGGCCTCATCCTTGGTTCGTGTGATTTCGGCCTATATTGTTTTTATATGCAGCTCCTGGTCAGCCTCCTCTCTTGTTTTCCCCTCCACAACGCACACATCGTAACATCAATCATCATTGCCATACCTCGCGCCAACTGCTCGGCCGGCGACTCTCGCGGTGCTTGACTAGAAGGTGGGCAGCGCGGATCTTGCCCTCGGGGACGCCTGGAGCAGCGCCAGATCGCGAGCCGGCGCTGTGGTGGGCGGCCATGTAGTGCTTGAGCTTCTCGCTGTCGGTGCCGGCTGGGGGCTCCCATCGCGAGGTTCTCTCGACCGAGTTGAAGTAGTAGGGCAGGTTCTTGGAGTTGGAGTGGCGAACCTCCCAGTTTGGAGGGAGACCGGTGTCAGCCTGGCGATGGGGAGGGCGATTAGATTAGCAAGGCACCGTCTCTGCAGCTGGCGGGAGGGCACACGCACCATTGTGTCTGTCTATTCTGCTGTGATTCTGGTTCTGAATCTCGTCAACCGTCGCAAAGGAAAGAGAGAGAGAGTCTTTGTTCTTGTCTCTCGAGGTGGAGTTGGGACACAAGACGCTGGGAGATGGAGCTTTTCAACGGCGTGGGAGCCAATAGGACAGGCGCTGGAAATGTGCGGGGGAGAGGCTAAACGGATCCAAAATGGGGGAGCTCTGGGCGAACTTGCAGACAGCTGAGCTGTTGATTACGAGCAGTGGGTTGATTTTGATTGATGGAAGGGATTCCACGTCAACGTAATGGCCTACGCGGGTGGTGAAATGACATCAACAGCAATTCCCGTGCGTGCAAGTTCAATTCCACGTCAGGCCAGTTGCATGTACATTTTGATGTAACGGCACACGTCGATGCTAGTGTGACCCTGATGACGTTGGGAGTCGAGAAGCAGCGCGATTGGCCTGGCAACGCATGGAAGCATCCAGGATGGGAGTCTTGCCACTAAGTTCCATTGCCAGTTGCCACTCAATGTCTAGGTACCTGTGCGAGTACAGTACAGCACAGCAGGCCACTGAGTCAATTGGCTCTAGACGCTAGGGGAGGGGCGTTTTTTAGCGGTTTGGTGCTTGAATCACGGGCTGGTCAGTTGATTGAGGGGCAAAGGCTTCCAGGGGCTTCCGCAGCTGCTCGAGGTTGGAGTCAGTTGATCACGGGATGGCTGGAGGGAGGGTCACGATGCAACGGCGATCGAAGCTTGCGCAGGAGAATTGAGATGACGGTTTTGACTTGTGGATTTCTGGGAGAATGGAGGGTAGGTAGGTTGGTACCTAGGGAGAAGCTGTGCGTGCGTGGATGTATACATGTATCCAGGTGTACGCATCATTTATAAGCTGGCCGTTCCTAGGAGCGAACAAGAGGGCAAATCATTGCGGTATCTATCGTGTACGGCACCCGCGATCATACAACTTGAAACATACATCTCCTCTGGAACAGTCATGGGATGCTGGATAGTACCGGCCAAGTACCTAATAGACTGTAATTCTCATCGTAAGCTTGCACAATCGCGGCTCAAGCGCGACTCGAGATCCGCAATAAGCGACCGAGCCCAGGCCACGGGTCAAGCCGCAGCTCAATATTAGGATTCTGACACTGCGCTGCCATGATTACTACATGTACATGGACCATGGATATGGACATGGGCATGACCGGAGGGCTCGGCCGATCGGCCGCCGAAAGCAATTCAGGGCTTCTCCCTGGATATTGCTCAGTCGGCGTGGTACATGTAATTGGTGCAGTTTCTATCCGGCATGTACTGTCATCAGGTCGAATAGGGCTGCACTGCTTTGTGTTTGTGATGGCTGGATCAGGCAGGCGAGGGATTGCGCCGATGTAAGTGCCGGCCCAAGCAGATGTGCAAGTGGACGAGGATGAGGAGGCGAATATCACCGAAAAGCCCGGGCCGCTGGCTGCCAAGGTGCGTGCATGTACGAGTATGTAAGTAAGATGCAGGTAAGGATTTGATGACATTGATGCTGCATGTTTTGTCTCCATTACCTCTTCCAAGCGCCAGACTATCTGCTACCCGCAAACCACCTACCTACCTAGGCATATCAATGTAAGTGTAAGTGTACGCGTGTATGTAGGTATGTATGCATATATGACCGTAAAAGGCAGAGAAGACCGGAACCTACTACTAGGTAGTAATCTCTGATACATCTCATATACGAAGCTGCGGGCATGCTGCGGCCGTCGCCCGGAAGTGGTGTGTTGGGGATCGCAGGTATCGCCGCGTATCCAGGGTAGGCCCCCATTCGGGATATCTCCAAGTTGATGATGGGCTTTGGGGATCATGTTTTGCCCTAAGACCGCCATGTTGTGGCTTAGAATCGACACCCCATCCGGTTTTGGTTCTTATTGCAATGCGTACGGTAATACCGATGCAAGTTAACCTTACGCCTGCATGCACTTTGCGGCAAGCCTCGTCAACAGCGCCTTATAGTTATCACAGCCCCAACTCCAATCCTTTACCGATTCCCGGCGTCTCCCAGGATACGTACTCGTACTGCGGTGAACCCCCACTGGCAGGGGACCTGATTATCTGTGAATAATAGAAATAAATTTGTAGAGAGAGAGAGATACAGTACGAAACGCTTGGCTTATGCGTGTGTCCTGGACGGGTGATGCTGGAATACACGTGCAGGCGATAAACCCATCACATGCCAACCATCGGCCGCTCTCAGTACTAAACAGCGAATAAGACGTCTCAACCCAAACTAAATCAACCGGAACAATCGAGAAATCGACTCAAGGCTTGACTCACCAGCCCGCGTCAAAAGCCTGTGGCTGCCTGCTCCAGATCTGCAAGGCACACGTACAGCCCGCGAAAGCTTCACGATACGCTACAGCTGGTCACAGCACCACCAGCGGGGCGTTTGATTGGATTTGAACTCTGGGACTTTCCGTCAAAACCTTCAGTGACTCGGCGCAAACACAAAACATTGAACCCAAATCCCAAGGACGCGGTACAGAGTACGCAGCTGCTGATTTCCGACTCGCCGCCGCTCGAGGTAAATAGTACTGCCGCCCCCTCTGATCAGGCCATTGCAACCTTCTTCTTACATTCTACTTCCCGCCCAGGGCTGCCGCTTTCTCCTACCCACGACATAAAACCATCACCACACGCAGACGCTCTCTCCCACCGATTCTTCTCTCTCCCTACAACTATTCCCAAGCCGAGCATCAGCTACGCAGCAGCTTCGCTCAGCATTTTTGCCTCTTTTCTTACTTTGCATATTGCATTGTATTGCGGAGCATCAAATCAAATAAAATCACCTCGAGAGCCAGCAGCTCAACTCATTTCAGGTGTTCTGTCTGTCTGTCTGCCTGTTTCTCTGCACACAAAAGCACAGCATAGCACTCAGCACAGCACTCAGCACAGCACTCAGCACCGCCCAATCACTGCTAGCGCTCATCTGCCACTGGATTGACGCTACCACCGCCTGGCCTACCCACTATTATCAGGCGGCAAATCAGAACCCCTGGGGCGTTTTTTTTCGCCATTGCTGGACCCAAGCCATTTTGGTCCTACTTGTACATAGCCAGCACTTGAGTCTCAGCCTGACTCTTCTTCCTCTTTACTCTTGAACACGACAAACCATCGACATCGGCATCGACATCGATATCGAAAGCAGGAGCATCGACAAGCCCCCTATCCATATCTCCCATTCTCTTCTTTTCACTTTCGCAGAAATGGCGACTCCCCAGTCCACCACCTCGGACGATCTCTCCGGCCCTAAGAAGCTCGAGCAAATCACGTTCCGCTTCTGCTCCGAATGCTCTAACATGCTCTACCCCAAGGAAGACGAAGACGCGCACAAGCTGCAGTTCACCTGCCGCACCTGCCAGTACACCGAGGACGCTCAGTCGACGTGCGTCTTCCGCAACGTGCTCAACAACTCGTCCGGCGAGACGGCCGGTGTCACCCAGGACGTCGGCTCTGATCCCACGGTTAGTACTAGTGATTTCGCACCAGTCCTGTGCCTTTCCTGCGAGGCAGTCATCTACTGCAATGTCTGCGGAGTTGCTGCCAACGGCGCTGCCCGCGTCTCACCGTCCCCTAACGAGTCCGAGGATTACGACGATTACTGGCCCGGCGACGCGTGGACCATGGGCTTGTGCCAGTTCAACCTGCTTCTTCCCGACGACCCCTTTGAGGAATACGACGAGGAGATGATGGATGATGCCGAACTCAGCAGCAGCGACGACTCGAGCGAGGCCGAATACCAGCATCCATTCAGAAGCGAAGTTGGTCATTGTGAGGATGGTGCCATTCTTGTCAACCTTTGAACTGGTGCCACCCCCCCTCGGATACCCGCATCAACTTACGGCTTGCAACGGAACGAGCCTCGTCTCTCCTGATTTTTACAATGACGATCGATACCCTGTATTACTATACTGCTCTGGTGTTTGGTCCGGTCCCGCCCTCTTGGCGTTTTTGTTTTTTTACTAATGGGAACCCGAGCTGTGGTCATGGGCTGGGCCTTGTTGTGGATTTCAGTTGTGCTTCTTTTTATCTGTTTCCATATCTGATATGGCGGCTGGCTGACTGTGTGTTTCTTTTTGCTTTTTCCAAACTACAGCTCCCGCGATCCAACAAGGCGTGCCCGAGATGCAGTCATCAAGAAGCCGTCTTCTTCCAGTCGCAAGAACGCAGTGCTGATACCGGCATGGTGAGCGCCTGTCCCTGGGATTCTGGGTTTGGATTCTTGGTTAACCGGATCAGAAATTGTTTTACGTTTGTTGCGAGTGTGGTCACATTTTCGATTAAACGCGTCTACGACTAGTCACGCTCACGATTCATTCACAAAGCCTGACCTTGAAGAGCGAAAAAAATCACCTGGACCTGATTAGAGATATTGCCCGTGCTTATCTCTATTTCTCTTTGTTTTCTTTACTTTTCTTTTTTCTTTAACACTCGGCGTCGGGAAGGAAAATGCTACGGAAAATGGCACATCTAGAGTCTACCATAATTGCGTACCACCGAACCTGGAAAAGAACGGATGATGGCGTTGGGGGAGTATGTTTAGAGGATTTTGCTAGGCCGGCGTTGCAATGTCACACCGTGCATGAATTCAGTCCCTTCCTTGCATTGTTTTGTGTCTTTTCAAGTCTCTGTGCAATATCAATACAGCTTGTCATGCCAGACAGAGGTACTTTAGTATGTAGTTTTGCAAATCAAAATATCGTTGTACATCACAATTATTTCTCCTTGTAGATAAAAATGTCTCATTTCGTAAACGCCATGTAAAGTAAATGCCACCAGAGAGTATTTCGTAATCGTACATGATCCCAGCTCGTACATGGAGACGACACCATTGCCCCTCCCGCATTTTTGATATCTATCCAGTCTCTCTTTTCTATCCTCCTCTGCTCTGGTCTTCTCCTTCGAATCATCCCCTTTCCTCCTTATGCCTGCATGGGTGCCATGGACAGGATCTTGCTCCACTTCTTGCGCTTCAGCTCGGCGCCCACAGCGCCGTTGATTCGAGTGCCGACGGGATCGCCCGACTTGTTGAGCAGGACGCAGGCGTTGTCGTCGAAGCGCACGACGGTGCCGTCACGGCGTTGCGTGGGGTATCTGGTGCGGACGACAACGGCGTGACGGATATCGCCGCGCTTGACCTTTGCGGCGGCGGAGATGCCAGCCATGCCGGAGGAGGAGGAGCCGCGCTGCTCCTGGACGACGACGACGATACGGTCACCTGGGGTGGGAAGGGTTAGAAATGGTGTCGTCGGGAGATTGAGGCAGTCGCGGGGTTCTTGGGTGTAGTACCTATCCTGGCGTGTCGCTTCTGGCCGACGACGAGGGCGCATTCGACAAGGGCGGCGCCCGAGTTGTCGATGCAGTTGAGCATCGTCTATGTGAGGCGAGGAGTTAGCACATTGCACAGCTGTTTGCATCGGGAGCGAACAAGCAAGACAAGAGATGATGGAGATGCAGCTGCTCACCTTTAATTGAATCATCGTGACGGGACCACTAAGAAATAGCAGCAGCAGCAGCAGCAGCAACAACAATGCAGAGCTCAAGCCAATCGATCATGAAGCCATCGCCAAAAACCCACCTCTGGCGGGATTGAGACTTTTCGATGTCACGTGCTTCGGAACCAGCTGGTCGGTGACTCTAGGTAGTTTCTAGCTCTGGCTAATCCTCGGCCGTGCTGGGCTGAATCTGGATCAATCCCTGTTCTTTTCTCCAAGCTCGCTGAAAAGGGCAAAAAACGGGAAAAAATGGAGCTTCAAAAGACACTCCATCCGTCGCCCGGACAGCCAAATTGGCATGGGGGCGGCTCGAGAGCGTGTCCCGATTGATTCTGGCGGCGCTGCTCGTTGGCTGTTGGCAGCGTGTTTTTCCCTGCTAGAGCCTAGTGCTAAGAATAGTGTGGTGACCAACCATGAAGCTGCGGTTTCCTGCAAGGCGCCCCTTTCACTTTCACCTCTTTCTCACTTTTATGGCATGAGACCTTTCTGAGGCACGTCAACAGCCTCACTTTTTCTTCTTCTTTTTTGGCTTCTGATTCTCTGCCTCCCCTTCTCTCCCCCTAATTTCTTTTGCTCCGTCTGCTTTTGCTCGATTATCCCGTCCTTTCTGGCCTCTTTCATTCCCTTCTTCGCTATTACACGGCTGGATAGGGTAGCTGTAGCTTTGAGAGGGATGACGTCGAGACGCCTCAGGTGACGAGAGCAGAGCTTCCTTCGACGGCGCAACTCGCTCGTGTGCGCTTCGGGCTGTGCATTCTGATCGCCGGAGCGACGGCAGCTTGCGAGACCTGCGACGTTTACGGAGCCTTGCTGCGTGTTTCATCCGTGGCAGCGGCCGGCGCAGAGCTGACGGGGCGTGGAAATTAGAGTTATGAGGGAATCTTGACTTGAGCTCTCTCTGTCCGCTCCTTGAAAATTACGTTGCTGTCGCCGGCGAAAACCCCTCATTCCGTCGCCGTGTGCGATTCTTCCTCTTCTTCTGCTGGCCGCTTTGCAGATTTGCATCTGGCGACATCTTCGCAAGCAAACAAACCCCCGGTCTAGACATGGCGCCGCCAAAGGCTGCCGGGGCAACGGCCAAGAAGCAGCGCTTGACGCTTTCGCAACTGGCTGCTTACGACGACATTCTCACAGATGCGCTCGTCGACCATGTGAGTTGAACCCGCCACGCAAGTGAATATGGGCATCTAATCTCATTTGCGCCAGGCTTTTTATTGGACTACGGTTCCCAAGAATCGCTCGTCTTACCATCCGTCACGGGGGATCCGGGAGGGCGAGGTGGCCAAGATCATCCAGGAAGATGTTGTCGTAAACAAGGACCTTGAGGCGGCCGAGAAGCGGCTGTTGACGTCTGTCGATGGCCTCAAGAGGTATGTCAATGGCCTAAAGCTGGACAAGGAAAAGGCCGATTTTGTGCAGCATCTGCGACGATATCTTCGCATCTACATGCCCGACTGCCCTTGGGAGGTCAGCACCACCAACCGATACACCATTGTGACCCACGAAGCGTGTGTCATTGCCAGGCGATACATTAAGCGCAATGAGACAATCAAGTACCTTTCCGGCATACAAATCAACATTACCCCCGAGGAAGAAAAGGAAATCACCGTCCGGAAAAAGGACTTTAGCATTGTCGTCAGCTCTAGGAAGAAGCGCACCAGCTTGTTCATGGGACCGGCGCGATTCGCCAACCACGATTGCCGCGCAAACGCCAAGCTCATGACCACAAGCCAGTCTACCATCGAGATTGTCGCCTCTCGGCCCATTGAAGTCGGCGAGGAGATTACAGTCACATACAGCGATTGCTATTTTGGAGACGATAACTGCGAGTGTTTATGCCGAACATGCGAAAAAGAGCTGAGGAATGGATGGGCGCCCGGAGATGAGGCGGTCAACGTAAAAATTAGCGTTGAAAAGGATGAGCGGAAAGAGACGTACTCTCTGCGCAGAAGGCGGAGAGACGACAGCATTGGCGGCTCCTCGCGCACTTCCTCGGTGACTCCCGACATGCGGCCGCGCATTTACAAGACGAAGCCAAAGGTGAAGAAACAGGATGCTCAGGACACGTCTGCGATTCCAACTCCCGCGCCAGAAGCAACGCCGCGCGGCCGAAAACGAACCATGGACGCAATGGCAACTCCACCAATCACACCGGCCAAGAAGCTGAAGCTCTTGTCCGAATCGTCAAACGCTTCGTCAAATTCACTCTCCCTTCCCAGCGCGGCCTCAAGCGTTGACGACTCCTTGAGCACCAGGAGCGTGACTCCCAGCCATGCGGATGCTCCGGAGACGGATACCGCGTCGCCCGAAAAGGAGAGCCCACAGCCAGAGGCACACACGCCGCCGAGATTCTCAGCAGAACGCTTAGACACTGCGAAGGACGAAAAGCAGCACGCTTATAAAGATACCATCAACATCACAGTGGAGCCAGTTTCTCCCCAGAGCATGGGAAGCCGTGCGTCTCCCGACATGGTGCCGGTAGAGGCTCCTGTTCAGCCGCTCCCCAGGCCACGGCAGCTGATAACCATGTCTATTTCTTCCATTCTCAATGATCCCTCGGCCATTGAGGATCCTGCAGAAGCATACTATCCTTTTGTGGCGAATGTCCGAGTCGCCGGTCAGCCCGTAGTTGAATCAAAGTTTGAGCTCATATCCGAACCAGAAGATGCACAGACGGAACAAGTACAGCCAGAAATTAAAGTCGAGACAGAGATTCACGTGGAAACAAACGTCGAGGTGGAAACTGAAGCCGAGGTCGAAGCCGAATCAACAATAGAAGTAGAGACAACGAGTGCCGACAAGCCAAAACGCCGTAAACGAGGAACCGCAATCCCCAAACAATCAACACCGCCCCCAGCTCGACTACGCAAACCGGGAGACTATGTGCTCACACCATTACTTCTTTCGGAGCCCGACATGGCGTGGATTCAGTGCACCAACTGCAGCGACTACTTTGTTCAGCAGAACGCCTATTTCACACGGTCATCTTGCCCTAGGTGTGAGCGGCACTCAAAGCTGTATGGCTACGCATGGCCCAAGACGGATAAGACAGGGCCTTCAGATAAAGAAGAGCGAATCCTCGATCACAGGATGATACATCGATTCCTCGATTCCAACGACGAGCGGAGGGCAAGAGGTCGCAAGCTTTTGAGCGAGACTAGAGACGATACACAGGAGATGGATGAAGAGAGAGGCAGGGCTTCCAAGAGAGGGCCCAATAGAGCGGGTAATACAAGCCAGAAGGACGGAGATTCAAGAGTTCGACGGAGTGGCCGCGCGAGGCGGATGAGCAGCAAGCTCATTGAAGGGTGATGTATTATTGTATGAATTGTAACGTATACCACGAGTCGGCAAGGAGGCAGCGGACATTTTCTTTCGTCCTGCTTTCGCTTCCCTTGCCCTTGTTTCTTTCTATTGAGAGGTGATGGATGGGATGGGCGCCTCAGTTACGGGTTAGGCGCGGCGAACGGAACCATAGTAGTAGGTAGTCTAGATGATAATTGCCGTGGATGCGCCCACTACTATTTTATCTGATGATCTCTACGGTTGGAAACCATTTTTTCTGTGCAGCAGCAAAGACAAGACATGCATAGCCGGAAATGGGGGTCTGCGCTGAGACAAGACATTGAAGACAAGACGACGGCATCAACTGCTCCAGGACCCAACAACGGCGGTGATAATAAATATACTAGAGCGGCTGTTGGTGGTTGGCACACGGCTGAGGGGAAAGAGTGAAGCATCATGTGGCCGCCAATGATCGTCCCTTCAAGTCTGCCACAACCAGTAAGAGGACCAGTAGGAGGGCAAGAATCATCAACAGAGGGCTCCATACCAGAGGGTTGACGCAAGTGCTGCTAAAACGGCCATCGGCCCCTGTGGCTTGTCTCACTTGTGTCATCCGCTATTTCTGATTTGCCTCTTGCCAACGACTCGCGCATTTCCGCCTTCTTCCTTCTTCTTTTCTTCTTCATTCCAGAACACGCTTTGAGCATTCATAGGTGTCTTATGAGCTCTTTTCTTTTTCTGATACGCCGTATCGAGCATTGATTTTCGTGTTCGTTTCGCCGGACGATCCGAAGCCCGAAGTTGAGGGAGTTGCACGTGACGGCATTGCGACGATGATATCGCGACACCTCGTCTCTGTCCTTTGTAAGTGAAGTGGATGCGTATTACTCATCTCATCTATCATTGCTTGCTTTTGCTTTTATTTTATTTTTCAATCTCATTTATTTGTGGTTTGCGGGAATCAAGAGCTGACATACCTGTCTTCTTCAGTCGCCCTTGGTGCCGTGGCGGTTCCTCCTCCAGCCGAGAAAGTCCTCAAGGGCGACTGCTCTCACAATGGGCTTCTGTGGGATTGCGGCAGAGATGGGCTGGTGTGGACAAAAGGAGCGGTGCGGATGAATCACATGCAGGTTATCGGGTCGCACAACAGCTACCATGTCGAAGCACCCAAGGCGGAGCGCGATCTTCAAGCTGCGTTCACATCGGCGGCCGTGGATCTGCAGTACTCCCACGCCGCTCTGGACGTGCAGCTGGAGTATTTGCGTGTGAGGAACCTAGAGTGAGCCTTCACCAATACGACCATAATGTGGGTAACGCGAGATTGCTAACAGGTCACAGGTTGGACTTGCTCGCGGATCCTGATGGAGGCATGTATAGTGATCCTCTGCTTAGAAAGTTTGCCAGGCTAGGCGTGCTGAAGGATCCAAAGCTCAAGGAAAAGGGCACAAAGGTGCTACATATACCGGACGTAGACTACCACACCACTTGCTCAACGCTGGTTTCCTGTCTGCACATCATCAAGAGGTGGATGGACGCGCACCCAGATAGCGTACCTCTCCCCATGATGATGGAGTTCAAGACGGCCGAGGACATAGGGGAAAGGCTCGGCGGCGCCAAGGTGGTACCGTGGACCACTGACCTTTTGAACGTTGTGGATGAGGAGATTCGGTCGGTCTTTAACAAGTCGCAGCTCATCACACCTGATGACATTCGCAGAGATGGCCTGACGCTGGAGCAATCCATCTTGAGGTACGGCTGGCCGGATCTGGACAGCGCAAGAGGGAGAATCTTTTTCCTTATGGACAATGGGCCGATAAATGACGTGAGGGATGCGTATATCGAGGGACGGCCGAATCTGGAGGGCAGGGTGCTGTTTACGAATAGCATGCCTGGGCAGGGCGACTGTGCGTTTCAAAAGGTGAGTCTAACGATGATTTTCTGTTGAAGCAAGTGTGTGAGCTGACGAGGCTATGTAATATCACAGCATAACGATCCTGTGAGAGATGCGGACGTCGAGTTAATCCAGGCCCAAGTCCGCGCAAACTACTGGGTCCGCACCCGTGCGGACGAGCCTCTCAACACTGTCCTTGGAGAGAAATGCGATGTTTCTCGACGAAACAGGGCGCTTAGATCGGGAGCACACATTGTGTCGACTGACTTTGCGGCCTTTGAGCTTAGCTCGCGGTGGGGATGCGATTATGCTGTGAGGCTGCCTGGGGGAAAGGCGGCGAGGTGTAACCCGGTGAATGGGGAGGGATGCGAGGGGGCGTTGGAGCCGCTGGAGTATACGGAGAATTAGACGGCTTGGTACTTGTAAGACCTAAGACGGCGTTGGGAGTGTTTCTTGACGAGGGCTTTATGAGTTGAAGCAGACGGCATCGAGGCTGATTTGAGTTCAATTTTGATAGAGAGGATGACGGTATTACTTATACACAAACGACTTTATGATGTGAATTAATATATGTACCGTATTCATTAGGCCTTGTGTTATAGCGATAGGTACTAATATAAAGGTAGGTTAAATGCAAAGTGTTTCCTCTCTATGGGAGGTTGAGTGAATCCGAATCACTGCATCAGTATAATTGATGAGATGCCAAATGAAGGTTGAGGATTTTGCTGGTACTATATAGGTTGAAAGAGTTTCCCACTATTCAACAACAAGCGTCATTGGTCTAGGGGTTAGGATTCAACTCTTCCATTAACACGAAAAGTTGAGGCCCGGATTCGAGTTCCGGATGACGCATCCTTCCTTCATTATTGAAAAATTCTTTTTTGCAGTTTCTTTTTGGTACGACGTTCAACTGAAATCAATTTTCTTTGAATTGCTTCCCCTTTTTTGTCTTTCTCCTGTATTAAGTACTATCTTAATGGGCGGTTGTGCTTTGCTGCAATTGGCAATGCTGGCCTGCTGAGTGCCGATGCGGAGGATATTTGCCGTAGATTGCGGGGTGAAGTGGTCTTTGACCTCAATAAACGACATGCCCTGCCGAGGCGAATTCTCGTCATCCTTCTTGATAGAAATGATTCATCGTTTTGGGATTGTTGCCAGGTGAGTTACATGAATCAATGCCTATTTACTTGTTGGGAATTTCGATCTCCGCGCCGGGCCCGAGATCGCTGTTGGAGCCCCGCCATCTTGGACTAACATCATGTCCGCTAGGCAGTGAAACGAGCTGACTGTCTAATTATTCATTACATTTCTCTCTGAAGCCGAACATATCGTTTGAATCCAGTTTGAATTGAACCATATACAAAATGCCTGAAGCAGAAAGCGCGCCGAAAATCTTTATCGCCGCTGAAGAGGCCCGTCGTCTCGTCAAGGAGATTCTACAGGGCAACGGCGTGTCCCTCGACAACGCCGCCATCGTTGCACGCTGTCTCGTGGCTGCTGATCTACGAGGCGTTGATACGCATGGCATGAACCGTATTCCTTCGTACATGGAGCGGATCCGACAGGGTGTCTTGGATGCCGGAGCACAGCCGGAGCTGAAGCAAGTGACGCCCGTCGTCGCCCAGGTCGATGGACGCAACGGCTTTGGCTTTGTGGCCGCTCACATGGGCATGGCGGCGGCCATTGAGGCAGCAAAAGTTTACGGCATTGGCATGGTGAGCGTCAAGCACTCGAATCACTTTGGCATGAGCGCGTGGGTGGTGCAGCAGGCGCTGGACGCCGATATGATGAGCCTCGTCTTTACAAACTCGAGCCCTGCGCTGCCTGCGTGGGGCGGACGGGAAAAGCTCATGGGTGTGTCGCCGATTGCGTGCGGCGCGCCGGGCAAGGGAGACATGGAGAACTTCATCCTGGACATGGCGCCGTCGGTGGCGGCACGGGGCAAGATTTACAAGGCGAAGAGGCGAGGCGAGAAGATTCCGATGGATTGGGCGCTGGACGCAGACGGCCGGCCGACGGACGATCCGGAGGCGGCGCTGGGCGGCGTGATGCTGCCGATGGGCGGGCCGAAGGGGTCGGCACTGGCCATCATGATGGATGTGTTTTCGGGCGTCTTGTCCGGCTCTGCGTTTGCGGGGCATGTGACGAATCCGTATGACCCTTCGAAGCCGGCGGACGTGGGACACTTTCTGGTTGCTGTGAAGCCGGATCTGTTCATGGACCTGGACGAGTTCCGGGGCAGGATGGAGTATTTGTACGGACGGGTGGTGGGATCGGACAAGGCGGCGGGGGTGGAGAGGATTTATTTCCCGGGGGAGATTGAGCAGTTGACGCAGCGGGAGAGGGAGAGGACGGGGATTCCGCTGGTGAGGGCTGAGATTGATGCGTTGAATGAGGAGGCGAGCAAGGTTGGGGTTGAAGGGTTGGCTGTGGAGTGATTGAGGAAGGGAATCTGTGGTGTCTTGCTGGGGATATGATTTTTTTTTTTTTAAAATGATTTAATTTCAAAAGGCATTAATATGATGGCGTTGGATGATATGGAGCAAGCAGAGATATCTTGTATTGGGGCCCGGTGTAACTATCGTGAGTTGGTGTCTCATTCATATATATTGATTGCAGGTCGGGTGACTGACTCGAGTACCCCATCTTCCCCGCATTTACTGGCTTCTTTTTCTCTCTCTTTTTCAGCTGTCGAGTCTGAATGGAATTATTCAATATTGTTTAATCTGCCTTGAGGCGATGAATCTCAGATGTATATAATAACTGAGACTCCCACTTGTCATTTAAAGCCTTCTCCACGACTGTGTAGATAAGATGTGTAAGCGCTATAAGTGGTATTACACAACGCCGTCTAGCTATCTCCATACTAAACTGTATCGCGATCTTAGCTCCAACTCTCCCCCATCCTTATCAGCAAATCATAGGCGGGGCACACACTTATTATTAGTCTTGGTTTGGTGATGCAACACTGATATCTGCGTGTGCCAGTATCAAAACTTCAATGTCGTGCCGTGTGCAGCATTTGCGGCTATTTTACAGACACAACCCTAAAACGGAGGAGAGGGGTTGCCTCCATCCATAAAGTGAAAGTGAAAGTGCCAAAATCTAGTTGCTTATTATCCTCTCCCATAACAGTTGCTGGTTCAAGAGAAGCCGAAAAGCGAGAATCCCGCTTTATCAATCATGCCCCTCCGGCTTCCCTTGATCAGACTCCCCCCCAAACCCAAATTTCTTCACGCCATTCCTTCCAACAGCATCCGCATCATTGCCATCCTCATCACCGTCAATGCCCTCGTCTGGATCGCCGTCGGCATCGTCCTCCACTTCCACCCGGCGCTCATCTCGTCTGCCGCACTCTCATATGCGTTGGGGCTTCGCCATGCTCTTGATGCAGATCACATCGCTGCCATTGACCTCATGACGAGGCGGCTCATTGCATCCGGACAGCGACCAGCCACCGTGGGGACTTTTTTCTCTCTGGGACACAGCACCATTGTGATCATTACGTGTATTGTCGTGGCGGCGACGAGCGGTGCGTTGCGAGAACGCTTTGACGGGTTTCAACGGGTGGGAAACATCATTGGAACGAGCGTCAGTGCCGCGGTGCTCATCATTTTGTGCTTGGGGAATGGATGGGTGCTTTATAAGCTAGTCAAGAGGCTGAAAGAGGTTCTTGCGCAGCGGAGGAATGGCGATGGAGATGGTCTGGAGAGTGAAGATGCTGCTACGACATATGCGAATGACCAGCTTCAGCTCGTGGGAGGCGGGTTTATAACTCGTTTGCTGAGAGTGTTCCTCAAAACGATTGATCGGCCGTGGAAGATGTATCCGCTGGGCGTGGTTTTTGGACTTGGGTTCGATACGAGCTCAGAGATTGCCGTGCTGGGAATTGCGAGCATCCAGGCTGTGCAGGGGACGAGCATCTGGCTGATTCTCATTTTCCCGATTCTATTTACATGTGAGTTTGTTTGACGACTAGAATGCTACTGCTCTGACTTCTAACATTCATGTGCTTCTTTTAGCCGGCATGTGTCTTGTAGATAGCACAGACGGAGCATTGATGATGGCGCTATATACGTCCAAGGCCTTTTCACGGGATATCGTTGCCATTTTGTACTACTCCATCGTCCTCACCGGCATTACAGTTGTTGTATCTGCATTTATCGGCATCATCCAGGTCTTGTCGCTGGCGCAGAACGTGGCCAATCCGACGGGCCGCTTCTGGGACGGTGTCTCGGCTGTTGGCGACCACTTTGACATTATTGGCGGGAGCATATGTGGGCTTTTTGTCATTGTTGGGCTTGGATCCGTTTTGGTTTACGGACCGTGGAGGAGACGTGTGGAGAGGAGGAACACGGATGTGTTGGTTGTGAGAGTGGATGAGGATGAGGAAGCTGAAGTTGAAACTGACAGAGAGCGCTTGACGGGGGCTTTGGAGGAGCAGGCTCCGCATCCAAAGACGGCGAGTACACAAGTTGCGAGTTGTTAGGAATAAGAAAATTAAATTACCATTATGATTTAAATAAGATACTGTAAACAATGTTTATAGTATTTTTTGAACCTTGTTTCTCTGTCTGTGACTGTGTATGTAGCTAGCTAGGAGAGTAGTGTATATTTGTATTGAAGAGATGAGCTTCTGGCCCGTCTTGATAGTAACTCCCGTAGCGAGAAGGGAAGTTTATTTGCCAGTTCTGAGTTAAAACGACAGCTCTTTGGGTATGACGTCTACACAAATAAACCATTTTGAATCGTTCTTATGGTTTTACAGCTTTCATAACAGCCCATCGCAAGTTCATCTTGTTAGCGCTCATCAGAAGCACTAACGACTTCATGGCAAAGAACCCCTAGTCCGCAACATGAACAGATATCAAGGTCAATTGGCAATAACCGCACAGTGCCCCCCTCGACATCTGTAATCAAATTGCCATCCACGAGAGAGAGAGAGAAAAAAATGAATCATTCACTGACACACGCCCGAGGCCCGTCTTCGGAGGCAGCCCGATAAGAGAAAACCTTATCGCCATGCAGGGGTTCTGGAAGCCCCCAAGAAGGGAATCCGCGCCCGCCATGGCCGCTGTAAGGCGCCACCGCCCGTCTTAGTAATTGATTCCCGGTCGCTATTCGCTACCAGCAGTGAATTCTGCCTGCTTGCGCCCTTTCAGCTTTTGCCCTGGACGATGCTGCTTCTCCTCCATCCCCAGCAATTCAGCCTTGCCTCTGACGTGCAGTTCGGATTCAGCCTCCCCCAGATTCGGCTGCCTACGCCCTATTTCTGGATACGATCGAGCCAGCAAGGCTGCCGCCCTGATTCATCGGCCTCGATGTGCAGCTGAGGAGAAAACCGGCACTGGCACTGGCAATGCTGCCACGTGCTTCTGCAATTGCGCACTGTCTCGTCAGCACTGGATGGTGGGGAACTGTCCTGGTGGCGGCTGTCAGGGTCTTCCAGGCGTTCCCCGGAGGTTGAGGCGACGTTTCTCGGCTCTCGATGCTCGTGTTTCTGCTCCAGCGCCTGCGTACCGACTACCTGGGGGTACCTTGTGCTTGGTGTGGCCTCTGACGACCGTTTGCGCCTCTCGTTTGCGCCTCTCGTTGTCGGTGTGGCCGCTATTTGCAATAGACGTTCTCCCTCGTTTGGCGGTCAACCACGATATTCTCTCGGGTTCTTAGTGGTGGCGTTTCGGTTGAGGTGAGATGCTTTACAGTACTAGCAATCCTTTGTCGGGCACTATGGCATTGTGAAGCCATTGCCCAAGAGCCCGAGTTTCGGGTATCAAACGGGATGAGATCGTGATTGCGCTTAAGCGCCATGTGTTGGGGCAGATACGCTTCCTTTCGGGCATTCGGTGTCGGTCAGCATTTCGGAGAGCGTCGATTGCGAAGCCGTCGATCAATCCTGAAGGAGAAGGTATCTTACGGGCGCCCTCCATTCTGACACGAGAGCGGAAGAATGCAATAGGAGGGGATGGGAGCATTCTGGCGGCGCTTGCGAGGGCCGCAGTCAACTCCGTCCATACTGTCCAGGCGATACTTTAGCCTCCCCGGCGTCGGAAGTGTGGCAATGTTGATCTCATGCGGGCTATTGCCAATAGCCAAGCGTGATCAATTCCCAGTCACACTGTCCCTCTTTTGTCTGATCAGCCTGGAAAACGAGCCGCGGTATGCAAGGAGCCAGACTGCACTTATGCACTGCGTTACTGTTGGGCTCATGGTGGTGGTCAGCATAAGACGTGATCACAGCAGTGATAGGCCAATATTTTCCTCCCGATGGCCGCTTCTAGCATTCTCACCTTTTACCTACTGCCCAATGCGTTGCTCTTTCAGAAGCCGCGGTGAGTCAATCTTTTCTGTCCTAGGGAACGAGATGGCCATTGTGATGGTGGTTGGACCCTGAAAACCCTGAAAAATAATATCCCTTGAGCCATCCATCTCATCCCGCTAGACAGTTGGCGGCTGTGGGACCCTTGCGGTCAGGGGAATGTCGGACCCCACGGATTCAAGCGACGACTCAGTGGATACGCTTGTTGTAAGACCTTTCAAGCAAAGGTCGCCAGACAGAGCCTTTGCACATCACCCTGTGTATTTATCAGCCAAAAAGGCTTTGTCTTGGGAAGAAACGGCGTGATTACATACATGGCTTCCACGCTACTCACGGTGACGAGACACAGTACACATTTACATATACACACACCTCGTTTAGGCGTCAATGCGCTTGTCCACCATCTTCTGGCATTTCCGAGCACCGCTTCCGGAAGGATAGTTGACAAAGCCTTGGTGAGAAAATAATTGGAGGGGACTGTCGTGTAATAAATGGTTTCATGCGGAGAGATCCTTCGGCAGCAGCGTCTGCCCAATGATCAACTGCCGCCTTTGATGGCTCACCCAGAACAACTCATGGCGGCCTGAAGCACTTCATTCAACATGGGCTTTAGCGTCTTCTTTGTCTGAGCCATAGGATACCCCATACAGTATCAAAACACGGACACCCATGGCGGCTCCCCATCCAGGCCCCGGCCGATAGCGCACCCCACAAGTGTATGTACATACAGATCTGAAAGCCGGCGGCTGCAACTAGAGGTTGGGCCTAGCATGGGTCAGAGGCCTCTTTGTCTGATATGGCAAATGGCTGTCCATCTCTGTTGTCGGTGAAAGTCGCAAAGCCACACCGGATTTGCCTCGCGCTCGTCCGAAAGTTAGGCAGTCTCCGTGGGATAAGGAAGGTTTGAGACTAGAAGAAAATTTGTGAGGGCGTATATATGGCCTCCCCCCCGAACTCCGGCCTTAGTCCTGGATCCTTTCCTCCATATCATTGCCATTCTTTCACGGTTCATCCACCACTCTTTAGAGTACCTGTCTTTTGCAGTTTTGATTCTCAGCGATAGAATATAGACCAAAGATGCATGGTTACAGCTCTTCCGAAGAGTCGGACGACCCCCGTCGTCCACGCTCGCAGCCGGCCTCGTCAGGCAACAACCAAGACCAGAAGAAGAAGCGGAAGAAGAGACTGCCGCCCCAGCAGTCCATCAACAAGATATGGAAGAAGTTTTCAAACCGCAAGTTTCACAAGGCCCTTTCAGTGCTTCCCTTCGACCCCGTTGTCGCACCGCGGTCGGGATTGGATCGGCCCAATGAGCTGCTCTCCGAAGGGTACGAGCGGGCTGCCGAAGAATGTGGACGCAAAGTCCAAAAGATTGTTCAGGAGTGCAAACGAGTCAACATGAGATACCGTGACCCTGGTTGGGATCTGGTGAGTGACCACCTAGACAATTGCTCCTTGTACATGGACGAGCTAACAATTTTTGCTAGGACTGGGACTTGAAGTACGAAAAGGGCAACACTCTCAACTACATTGGCAGCAATAAATTCGAGATTAGCAGATCTACTTTGCTGGGCTCCAAAGCCGTCGTCCCAAAGGCTGTCAAGAGAGTTCATGAGATTTACGATAAGCCCACATTCATGAAGGATGTCAACGGAAGCGACGTCAAGCAGGGAGGCCTCGGAGATTGCTGGCTGATGTCCAGCTTTACTGCATTGGCAAGCGTCGAAGGCGGCGTGCCGCGCTGTTGTGTCGCTTATGATACCAGTAAGATAGAGATGCTCTGAAAACATTGCACACGGTGACGATGCTAACTTTTTTGGCAGAAATCGGTATTTATGGATTTCTCTTCTATAGGGATGGAGAGTGGGTCTACTCAATTGTCGACGACAAGCTGTATCTCAAGTCTCCTACCTGGGACTCGCCGAGCATGCAGCGTGACCTCCTCCAGCAGATCGACCGCGAAGACGTTGAAGCCGTCTATAGAAAGACATATCAGACTGGCTCCAAGGCACTGTTCTTTGCCCAAAACAAGGACGAGAACGAGACCTGGGTACCGCTCCTCGAGAAAGCTTACGCAAAAGCTCATGGAGACTATGCCTCGCTTTCGGGTGGCTGGATCGGAGAGGGTCTGGAGGATCTCTCTGGTGGAGTCACCACGGAGCTGCTCTCGTCTGATATTCTGGACCTCGATGCCTTTTGGGACAATGAAATGTCTAAGGTCAATAAGGAGTTCATGTTTGGTTGCTCGGCGGGTCTATTGGACTATGGTTACGGCCAGCGTGATGGCATTAGCGAAGCCCACGCCTACGTTGTCACCGATGCCCGCACCCTCAAGTCAGGCCAACGCCTAGTAAAGCTCCGTAACCCCTGGGGAGAAATCCGCAAGGGCCTTTGGGAGGGTCCATGGAGCGATGGCTCCAAGGAGTGGACCACCGAAGTCCAAGAGGAGTTGGGACACAAGTTTGGCAGTGACTCGGTCTTTTGGATTTCCTTTGAAGACTTGGTCCGCAAATACACCCACTTTGACCGGACTCGCCTATTCAGGGATCCCGACTGGCGCTGCTGCCAGAGATGGATCGGAGTCGACGTTCCATGGAAGGCCGAGTACCACGAAAAGTTCCGCATCAAGCTGACCAAGGACTCGCCACTGATTCTCGTCCTGTCTCAGTTGGATGGGAGATACTTTAAAGGCCTCCAGGGGCAGTATAGCTTCCGCCTCCACTTCCGCCTTCATTACGAAGATCGGCCTGATGCGGAGGATTACATTGTCCGATCCCACGGTAATTACTTCATGAAGCGATCCGTTTCTGTCGAGCTCCCAGATCTTCCGTCTGGAAATTACACCGTTTATCTCAAGGTAACCGGCCAGCGTGACCAAGAGCAGCCGTCCGTGGAGGAGGTGGTCAAGAGAGAAAGCAAAGGTCGAGTCGAGAATGAGAAGCTTGCGCAGGTGGGATATGCCTATGACTTGGCACACAGCAAGGCATGGGAGCATATGGACAAGGTTGCCAAGATTCGCAAGCAGCGAGATCAACAAAAGGCTTCCTCGTGCCGCCAGCAGGAGCGTCGCAGGCAGTGGGAGAGGCGTCACATCAGCCGTGAAGTGACCAAGAAGCAGAAGCAGAAGAACGGCGAGAAGAAGGAGCGAAAGCGAGAGCTCAAGAAGAAGGCAGCAGAGGAGAAGCAAGCCGCTGTTGTCGAGCCCACGGTTGAGAGCAAGCAAAAGGCTGACGATGTCGAAGAGAAGGATTCTCTGGCCGCTTCAATCGATGCCATCGATGTCGGCAAGATTTCACTCAACGACGATGGCTCTGATTCTGACTCTAGCGGTTCACCCACAGACACTCCAAAGTCAGAGGAAGCCAGCATCTTCCCTTCGGATGAGAAGAAGGAAGACGTGCCACCGATTAGTGGAGCTCCTCCTGCAGCCGACGAACCCAAGCCAGTCGCCGACGCTGAGGAAAAGACAACACCAGCTGCAGATACCGCAGCTGCGGAAGAATCGGATGGAGACTCATCCGACTCTCCCGTTGAAGACTGGGAAGAGCTTTATAGCAGCGATGATTACACCCGCAAGCCCAGACAGTTCCCGTATCCCAGCCCTGCAGCGCGGGACGACTACGATACGGAGGAGGAGAAGATGCCGGCACCGTGGAATGCTGTTTGCATTGTTGGCATTCGTGTCTATTCCAAAGACTCTGAGCTGGAGCTGTTGACTGTAATGGAAGGTGGTGAGCTTGACGGCATGGGCCTGAAGGGCCAGGCTGATCTTGATAATGCGCAGAATAATGCCGGCGGTGTTGGACTTGGAGAGGAGAATGGAGGAAGCAATGGTCTTTTGTTAAAGTGATTTTCGTATGCGACAGCCATGTTTGATGTTTCGCATAGATGATGCGCCATGATTTAGTTAGACAAGACGAGACTTGTTAGAGATAGAAGATGGTTTCTATAGAGACGTTGTTTCTTGAAGATTACCTGTATTAATATAGCATCCCAACTTTCTTGATATTGGAATTTAATGGATAGAAATACTCTAGAGTGTGAATAGCTATATGTCATGACACTCCCCCGTTTATTTGTTTAGGTTTTCTTTTTGACCAAATCTTGGATCATCACTGTGGAGAGCAAACCATTACTACTTCTGAAAGTCTCTTTACTGCAGTGACAATGGCACTATTGCACCACGGTTGATATGCTTCGGAGCAGCTTTGGAGTCGCCCTCTTCTGTGGGAAGGGGAGTGGATGAAGGAGGCGCACTAATTACCTGACAGACTGCAGGGAGGCTATGGATATGGATGAAAGAACAACAAAGACGAAATTGAAATCTATCAACGGACATGCCGGATTCGGGTTATTAGACTGATGGAGTGAGAACTTGCCAATATCTTGAACAAAGGACTGGAACAATGGTTCTCTTCTTTGGTGGTAGTCTGAAAGGATTGAGTTGAGAAGTGCCTCGTTTTTTAACCTAGGTACTTGCGTATGTCTTGAGATGTATGCAAAGTGTTGAGAAAGAATGAACTCAAATACCAATGCCTTCATAACGCCATCTTGGGTAAATACATGCACATGTAGGCAACTATATTCAACTCCAGCCACCAATGCCCGAGTCTACATGTACACAGTTGAGGCTGCAATTTTGCCTTTCCGCATTCCAGTTCATTGCGTCACACCGATTCGGGGACTCGACCAGCGCTAAGCCTGCTAGCCCGTTAGTGAAGCTAGCGCACCTGTCAGGGGCTGCCATGTACCAGTGCCAAGCAACCCGCTGCTGCCTACGGTGTATCGGTGAGTATCTGTACCTGCAGAGGGAGGCGCTCATCGCAGCACCACAGCCTGCTGCAGGGAGCGCTTCAGCACTAACAGCAGTAGGTTTCACACCGGCATGACGCCAGGTGCTTATCAGCGTCTTATCGGCCTCCCCAGAAGTCGAGCTCCCATCGAGTCACGTTCGCTCTGCTTCGTCCTTTTGTCGACTTGACCTTATCTCTGGCTGGGCTCATCATGTAGCCTGAGGCATCCTTCCATTGAGACGTTGACGACTCCGGATTCTGCGATACACGACACATCTCGCCATGGCTGCTGTTTCACCTGCGGCTTCGACTCGGCGCAGTCCGGGCTCGTCGTCGGCCGGCTCGCTGCGGCCGTCAAGCGACCACATGGCCATCTCGGTCGATACGCTCGTCAACCATCTGCTGGTATCGAAGCGATCGCTGTCGTCGATGACGCTGGTGCTGCGTGCCGACGAAATCGTCACGGCGGCGCGGCAGTCGCACGAAGACACGGTCATGCTGGCGGCCCAGACGGGGTTTCTGCGAAATGCCATTGCCGACCAGGTGCTGATTCTGGGGCGAGTGGGCAAGAGCCTGCAGGCGACGTGCGAATGGGGGAAGAAGGACTTTGTGAAGCTGGTCAGGCGGATGGACGAAGTTGACGGCCAGCTCAAGAGCACCATGGATATGCTGAGGACGACGCCGGTTGACACGACGTTGCGGCCCAAGGGGGAGGCCAGGAAGAGCCTGCTGGACTTTGTCGATGAGGGGAGCGTCCACGGGATGCGGAACGCCATGAAGCAGTGTATAGAGGAGCTGCAGGTATGTGGTCTGAGTTTGATATACGCTTGGACGCTGTTCATTTGCTGACCTTGATGTGTGATGCCATAGGCGATCCAGCTTTCATTTGACGGTGACCTCCTCCGGCTCGAAACCGACATTCGAAACATTAAGAAAATCATCGACAATGTGGCAATGCCTGAATCTCAAGAACCTGCATCAAAACTGCTGCTGGACCTGTTCGAGCACTCAGCCACCATGGCCGAATCGTTAGCATCCCTGACGCAGCATTTCGACATGTGCGTTACTGCAATACGGACGACCGAGGGAGCGGCAGCCTTGGCCCGCAGGAAGGCCGCCGAGGTTACCCAATCTCAAGGCGGCGAGAGTGTCTCGATATCGGGCGTCATTGCCGAGCAGGAATCCAACCGATCCGACCTCGAACCGCAAACGGCAGAAGATCGGGCCGAAATGCTACGAGTGGTCATACATGATGCGCAGCTGGTGGAAGGCGTCGTCCATGATATCCAAGAGCATCTTGCCGAGGTGGAGCACAAGTATGCGGATTTAGGAGAGCAGACAGAGCAGACTAGAAAGGCACACCTGGGTATGCTTGACGCATATGCTGAGCTGGGAGAAGTCGGCGACCGCCTGGCCGACTACCTGGCCGCTGAAGAGGACTTTCGGACTCGATGGGAGATGGAAAAGGACGTGGTGTTTACCAAGCTTGAGGAAATGAAGCAGATGACAGAGTTTTACGAGGGATATGCGAGCGCCTATCACGGCTTGCTGATGGAGGTTGCGCGTCGCCGAAACGTCGAGGACAAAGTGCAAGCTACTTGGCGTAAAGCACAAGAGGCTATCGACAAGATGCTCGAAACTGACCGTCTCGAGCGAGAGGCTTTCCGGTCAGAAGTCGGCGAGTTTCTCCCAACAGACTTGTGGGCCGATATGCAAGGCTCGGTCAAGCGATGGAAGATTGTCCAAGTCGATGACGATGAACAGGCGGCAGAGGGAAGCACCGCAGATACGAATTGAGGGAGCGGCTAACTACCTATTTATTTTGGAGGAAGGAACTTTTTATTTTCGCAGAGATAAAAAGCATCTACGCTTTTCATTTGGACTATGTAATATGGGCTTACGCAACGTTTGGTTTAGGACGAGCTGTTTAATTGCGGGTGCTGGATATACTGACGATATTGACTGTTACTTGAAGGATTGAGGGAGTTTGTATTTGTATTTGGTTAATGGGATATATGGGCACGGGCATACTTGGAGTTTATCTATATTTGATTTATAATGCAAATTGCCATTTTCACTTTCAGCATGGCCATGGTTATGTGATGACTTCAAGTTTATATCATATGGATCCCGAAGTACATATTATATGCAAATGAACCAGTTTCCTTTCATATTCAGGTATGCTGAGAACATTTAACCTCTCGAATTGTATGGCCAGATCTTGATCTCTGTCGGATTATTCATGACGAACTATTGAACCTTCAATAAGCTTCAGCTTTACAGCCAGCATATCCATGTCATTCTCGATTCCACAGCGGAGCAGCCCCTAGTTTAGTTGACGGAGGGGCCTTACGGTCCGCTTCATAGCGCCGTCTTAGCTGGATGCATGTATCCATCCGTGACAACCACAATCCAGAACTACGATAGTTGTATTCGTATATGTAGACAAGTAGTCATATAGGTTGGTAGATCAGCTGTTCGAAAAGCGACATTGGCTCGCAAGAAGATACTCAAACAACAGCATATTACCAATTGCAGCAGCCATGTTACGTACATTTCACTGGAATTCAGGTTACGTGTGATAGACGAAGTCCATATTGTCAGCATTCGCAAGCCATTCCATCTATATATGTTCAGCTCTTATAGCTTCAGCCTGTTGTGGGAAAGTTTTGCGTTCCAACCCCGCTTTGTATCTCTTTACCCAAACCATTCCATTGGACATCTTTCACTCCTTACTAATAAACGAAGGGCGTCAATGAAACGTCGTGGGGGTGGGAGAGGCTGGCGTATCTCTTCGCGGGTGTCCATCCGGTTGTGTAGTATTGTCTTGATAGAACCAGACTAGCTAAAAACAGGTCATTATTGAGATTGGACAGAAAATGTGATGTGCTTGAAGCACGTGGGCATCTAACTCAGCTGCTGCATCTTGTTTGCGAAGATAAGAGTGAGACTAACATGAAAGGGCTCATGTCGCAATCTCGGCGAATCACAGCTGCCTGAATCATGCAATGTACCCTTGTGGCTGATCAAGCGAACCATTGGCCATGCTCATATGTCAACATGCGTAATCTTGTTCCAAGTATACAGTAGCTCTGCAAGGTGAGTGGGGGATGACATGCTGCAATCACGAGAGACGAGCTTGTTTCCTGATTCAAAGTTGTAATAGGCAACCAATAGCGGAAAATGCACCAACGGCATAAAGGTAGTATTCTTCCCCTCAGCAGCCTGCGTAATTGGTCTTTTGGTTGAATGTGTGACACCCTGTTGAGCTTAGAACCCCACGTTACCGCAATCGCACAATCTTCAGCTGAAACCTATTGCGTACAAATGCGTAGGCTTGCATTAGCCTATCGTATTTGAGGGCTCCGTATCTTGGCTATATATTTCCAAGCATGCCTCGTCTGAATTATAGACGGACGGACGACTCCAGCAATCACCGGATGTTACCAAGTATCACTCACATCTTGATGTGATTCACTTCATTATTCGTCCATAATGTCTCCCACAATCATCTCCCTATCTAATGGGGGTGTTGAATTAGCCACTATCTGTGGAGTTGTGCTGTGTTTCCTAACTGCCATATTTCATTATCGTCCAACTCGAGCAATCAAATATTTCCCTGGGCCTACACCATGGCCTCTAGTTGGGAATTTGCCATATTTCTCAAAGGTATTGAAGAATCTACAAGTAGAGCTTCCTTTAATGGCTGAGAGATTCGGCGGGCTTTGCATGCTTTGGATGGGCTCCCAACCGACGCTGGTGATAAGCAGTCTCAAAGATGCGGACGAGTTGTTAAATAAGGTCGGTCCAATATGAGCGATGAAATTTATTTACCGACAATCTTATAACATGTATGCAGAATGGAGCCTTGACGTCCAATCGGCCGAGAAACAATATTTTTGTTGAACATGCAATGCCTCATTACATCGCTAACGCCCAAGTTGGTGATGAGTTGCGCTTCTTTCGACGCATTTACTCCGACCTTTTAGGTCTTAAGCAATCGCAGCGTATGAAAAAGTACCAAGATTACGAATATACACAGGTGCTACGTGCACTATGCGACGACCCTGACGCGTTTGAGACTCATTTGAATCGAGGGGCAATGAGTGTTATTTTTTCGGCCGTATATGGCGTTCGTGTCAGCCGCCTCGATCATCCCCTCATGGTTGAACTGCATGCGGTTTGGCAAGAGATTTTAAAAAGTATGTGTCATAGCATTCGGGAGAACTCTTGTACTTGAGGAAACTGAGAAAAAGTGCCAACCACGTGCAGACCTTCAATCTGGAAGTCTCATAATCGACTATTTGCCGTTCTTGGAGAAGCTGCCGCTCCGTTTACAACCCTGGGTACAGCATGCAGACTCACTTGCCGCTCGCCAATATGCAGTTCACATGGCTTTTCTCACGATGCTGAGGAAGCAGTTTGAGGCCGGAGTTGAGCCTGTGTGCTTTGGTGCTGACATGCTGCAACGCCAAAAGCAGCAGGGATTTGATGACAAGATTGCGATTGGCCTTCTGTCCGGCATGATTTTTCTCGGCGGTGAATCAAGTAGTAGTATGATGAATTCTTTTATCAAGATCATGGCCATGCATCCTGAAGTTCAGAAAAAAGCCCAGCAAGGTAGGCATAAAACACATTATGATGATTAGATGGTAAGCTATTACCACGTATTAACCAGTTCATCACAGAGCTTGACAGGGTTGTCGGACCCTCCCGTCTCCCAACATGGGAAGACCACGAAAATCTGCCCTACATCAGAGCTCTCATCAAAGAACTTCACAGATATAGTCCCATTCTCAGTTTCGCCGCCCCGCATGCTTCTACCGAAGAGATTACATACAAGGGATGCACCATTCCAAATGCCACTTTGATCCTCCCTAGTACAGATAATCTTCACCGGGACCCTTCGCGATATGAGAACGGTGATGAGTTCCAGCCGGAGCGCTTCCTTGGTGATGAACTGGATGCGCTTTCTAGCGCTAAACACCCGGATTACCTCAAGCGTGATCATATTAACTATGGTTTTGGACGTCGTCTGTGCCAAGGTATGCAGTATTTTACATGGGATGGCCTGAATTTAAGCAACCCAGCTAAAGCTTTTACAAGGCATCTACGTTGCAGAGAATTCGCTCTTTATTCAGGCTTCTCGTTACCTCTGGGCCTTTAATATTACCCCTAGGGCCGGAGAACCTCCGCTGAGCATGGCCGATGTTCAGGGTGAGTAGCTGTTGTGTTAATACTATGTTTAAACCACATGATAAGGTTCTAATGAGTTATCAATTACTTATAGAAACGATGAGCAGAAAACCCAAGTCATTCAAAGTGGATATCACGCCGCGATGCGACGCAATACTCCAAGTGGTGCGACAAAGTGCAGAGGAGGCACATACTGATATTCCCGATGTAGATGATATTGAGATGGCAGAGTAGATGTTTTCGGAAGACAATAGCAAAACGTAATTTATGATTTTATTATGCTTATAATATTCCTCTGTAGCCCTTTAAGATTGGTGGGCTTCGAAATAACATGTTGTGAGAACTCTCTGTCGACAATCACCACTAGACATTCACGCTACTAGCTTGATCAAAGGGAAGGGGATTTGGATTTTATTGTTATTCGACCACAGTCGGTTTGTTCATCTTGTCCTATACATTGGACTTGGCTCTGCAAGTAGCAGAAGATATTCATACTAGACATTAACGACTGCCATCATCATCAATACCATATAATAAGATATTACATATGCATATCACTGATGCCAAATTTTACAACAGCGGTGATATCTCCACAGTGCAATGCGATACTGGTCACCCCCTTGTCCACAAATCCCCCTAATGCTCAGCTTTAAGTATTCTCCATAATCATTTAACATTTCGCCAACTTCTCCCATTATCATCAAATATACGCCATCTGCCCAGATCCCTGAGCAATCGTTTTGGTCGTTCTTAGGACTTTAGTTTGTGTTGATGGATCCACCGTCTTCACCTAGCTTCACAAAAAATTTCCTAATTAGGAGACCTTCTTTTGGCTGCATATGTCGTGATACTTAGGTAGCAACTACAGCCAATCAACTAATTGACGGTGGTCACAACCTTGATAATAGCAGACGAAATGATATAAAAGGTTGAAATAAGATGTGTAAATATCTGTATCTGTAATCAAAATGCCGATTCTTGCGGTATTGGCTATTGGGACTTACGTCTTCATGGACAATGGGCATTTTGACAGGTACTATACTGTAATACCTCCATACGCTATCAGGTTTAAGCTAGGCTTGCTTGTCTCAGTAGATAGTGAAGCTATATACCCTACTTCCATAAGATCGATGAAGGTGTTGACATGATTGAAAAATCCAATCGATAGCTGTATGCACGAGGAAGCACTCTCCGAACGGACACCGCTACCGAGGCGTCGGATACTTTGGTAACTTTAATTTTGTAAATAACTGTAGCCTATAAAACCCGGTCGATAAGCTGAGCTATGGAGTACATAGACTGACGACATATTTAGCCCTTATGGCCTCATATCAGTGAAGAAAGAGTGCGCCTTTGGCTTTCAACTTATCACGCCATGAGTTCTACGATGACGCTCATTTACCAACTATTGTTTATAACTTTGACATTTTTTACTTATATGGATGGATTGATGTATATTCATGTCTTAGATGTTAATCCTCATTACAGATGAAACAAATTCACAATGAATTTGTTATTGAGATCTGACGACACCATCGTCCCATCCCCCTTACCACAGGGTGCTGGCTATGCGGTAGTTGTGGCAGTTGGACTCATATTTGCCCTTGGTTTGTGCTTCCATAGTATATATCTTACTTCTCATTACTAAAAGTATCAGGAATGATTGGAATAACAAGATTATTGAAGAAAACCCTCAATGAAGACAACAACAATGTTGAGACGTGAGCCATAATCTGTCATAATCAAATTGCAGCTGCTAATTATTATTTTTCAGTTTCATGGTCGCCAATCGATCAGTGGGAACTGGTCTTGTTGCATCTGCGGTGGTATCAGTAAGTATTCCTGTCAGTACAACTCGGGATGAAACTGCTGACAAAGATATAGTCGTGGTTATGGAGCACAGCTTTACTTAGCTGCGTCTTAGTGACATACCTATATGGAATCTCTGGAGGATTCTGGTATGGAGCTGGATGTACACCGTGAGTTCTGCCCTGAGTGATGTATAGGCTTTCACATGGTCCTGAATAATAGCTGACCTTATGCAATTCACAGCATGATAGTTTTCTTCGCATATCTTGGTGTAGTATGTAAAAAACGTATTCCAGAGGCACATACTGTTCTGGAAATAGTTCGAATCAGATATGGTGAGTTGATCAATCATTATCTTGAATCATGACTAAATGGAATATCAGGCACTGTTGCACATCTTGTGTTTACTTTCTTGGCTGTTGTAAATAATTTTTTCAACACGATCAACATGATCTTGGGTGCTGCCGCCGTGATCACCTTTCTGTAAGATACACGTCTCTTCAGTTGCCTACGAATGAATTTTTTTAACATCCTATAGGACAGGTATCCACATTATGGCCTCAACGTGGCTACTACCGGTTGGAGTTGTTCTGTATACACTTGTTGGAGGCATAAAAGCAACGTCCGTGATACACCTTTGACAGAATACAAGTTTACAGCTGACACCTTAGACTGCAGGTTTCTAACGGATTATATCCATACCTTTGTTATTGCTATCTTGTGCTGCTATCTGACGACAAAAACCCTTACCCATCATGATGTCGGCTCAATCGACGGGCTATATGACCTTGTGGTCAAGGCTCAGCCTTTATACGAAATTGATGGAAACTATCAGGGATCTCTCCTGACAATGAACTCCCAGCAAGGAATATTTTTTGCCATTATTTTGCTTGTTTCAAATTTTGGTGCTGTCATTGTAAGTTCAGAGCTACCAATATGTTTCAAACACCGGCTTATATGTCCAGATGGATACAAGTTACTTCATTAAAGCATTTGCTGCATCTCCCAAGGCCGTGGTGCCTGGGTATGTAGTGGGTGGCTTTGCGTACTTTTCTATCCCGTGGAGCCTCGGAACAATAATGGGTCTTGCGGCTTTGGGACTGGAAAGCTCTCCAATTTTCCCAACGTATCCTCGTGTAAGCTCAATCCTGCCCTGGCAAGTGTTATGCTAATTTGAATCATAGACTATGACAAGCGTGGAGGTATCAAACGGTCTTGTGCTACCATATGTAGCAGTGGCAGTAGCAGGAAAAGGCGGTGCGGTAGCAGTGCTCCTTATGACATTCATGGCAATCACTTCAACACTATCCGCTCAGGTTATTGCAGTGTCATCCATCTTCACCTTCGACTTTTACAGAACTTATATCAACAAAAATGCAGGCAACAAAGATGTGATCAAATGGAGCCACCTGGGAGTCATTCTCTTCGCTGCTATCTCGGCTGGACTGACTACGGCGTTTAATTACGGGGGTATTAACATGGGGTGGACTCTCTATATGATTGGTAAGATAAAAGACGTGTTTATGAAAGATTTATGACTGATCATAATCCCAGGAGTTGTAACATGTCCGGGAATTTTCCCCTTGATCCTCACGATTTTGTGGAACAAGCAAAGCGGTTTGGCGGCCGTTATTTCGGCTATAGCTGGGCTGGCAACAGGTCTTGGGGTCTGGCTCGGAACTGCACAGGCGTTATTCGGTGAAGTAACGGTTGACTCTACTGGACAAACGCTGCCTTGTATGTACGGTACTGTGGCCTCTGCTCTCAGCCCTTTGCTGTACACGATTATCTTGTCGCTCATCTGGCCGGACAATTATAATTGGGCACGATTTACAGATGAAAAGCCGTTGCTTGACAACGACGCATCACCCGAAGAATCGGAGCGAGAAGCGCCAATCCGTCAAAGCAATAAAGGCGGTATTCTAGCAAATGCTTCTGAAGTTGTGTATGATCAAACAGATCTGAGATGGCAGCGATATGCACTATTCTGGTCGCTCTTCTCTTTCTTTGGAATTTGGGTGCTTTGGCCCCTGCCGATGTACGGAGCAAAGTACATCTTCAGCAAAGTAGTAAGTCTATTATTTTCCATCTCTATGTGTGTCATCTGACATTATCAATAGTTTTTCAGATCATGGGTTACAGTCTCACTGATATGGCTGTGGATAAGCCTTATTATACTCGGCTTTTATCCATTATATGACGGACGAAAACAGATCTTCAAAGTATTACGGAGTTTACGAGGTTAGGCACGGCCACATTACGAGAGAGATGATTAGAATAAAGATTCGTGACTATTCGTATTAAATAAAATTCATCAAACTACACCATAATGTTACTATGCGAAATGAAGGACTCCATGAGATAAAGGCAATGGTCAACCAGTCTTCTCGTGAACTTGCTGGCCATCAATATCATATGCGTCAACCTCGTAATTGCGGAACTTGCGAGCAGGAATTCCCCTTTCAAACAAAATATCCAACTCTTCGTACGACCGCTTAAATGTCTCCGGATATCTAAAGAACGCCCAAATAGTCACAAGCACCGAGGTCCCGCCCCAGAAGTAGGCTGTCTTTCCGGCCCATCCCCAAGCTGTGGGATTAATCATATACGGTTCGAGGACAGCGGCAATGATATCGAAAAGTTGGTGAGCAATTTTTGCGGCAGCGACACTCTGAACTCGCAAACTAACAGCAGAGACCTCACTAGATGTTGCATAAGCTGCTGGGCCAACCGAAATATCGTAACAGAATACCCATAGGATAGTTAGGGCGACTTGTCCCCATTTCGTTGATTCATTAGCATGGACTGTTGCCAAGATGCCAATTAGGATGTTGACTACAGTCATGAAAACCATTCCCCAGAGATATAGACTGCGACGACCTAAATGGGCAATGAGAACACACCCAATACCAGTTGCAAGCAGTCCGATAGCGGTAGCAGCCACAGAAACCTTGTAGCTATTTTTGGCAGATAAACCAGCTTGCTCCCAAAAGTATGTGCCAGGATTCATCATAAAGATGCCGTTGAATACCTGACCTGCGAATGCCATACAGCAAATTTCAGTTCGCCGAAGGTTGCTGCCGCGAAAGAGGTCAATATAGGACGAGCCTGTTCGTATTTCCTCTTCGTAGTTCACAGTATGTATAATCATGGCTAAGTGTTCCTTGATCTTCGTGTCGCTCTTGGAACTAAGACGACGAATGCTATGTTCTGCCTCTTGGATGCGGCCTTTGCGAACAAGATACCATGGAGACTCTGGAGCAAACAAGCACCCTATGAAGAGCGGAAGGGGCCAAATCCATTGTATAGCAAATGGAATTTTGTAGGACCACTGCGAGTCTAAGCCGACAAGGCCGTCGAGGACGCCAATTGCGATAAGCTGGCCGATGATTTGCATAATGTTGACACCGCTGGTAAGGAACCCACGCAACGAAATTGGAAGACATTCTGAGCTATATGCCGGTCCAATGGACGCAAATGTACCCCAGACCATGCCACAGAAAATCTCACCAACAAGAAGTGTTTCCAAGTTGTGAGCGCTAAATGGAATGGCAACGAAGCCCGTCATGAGAACAAGGCCAACCAGCATAACTCTCTTATAGCCGAATCTTGATGAGAGAACGCCGTTAAACGTAGCACCGAGGATGATACCGCAGATACTCCCTTGCGAGAGGCCTGTTTGCCATTTCGCGGGGACCTGGAAGCCGTCTTTAACAGGTATGCCGTATGCTTTCTGAAAGGCTGGATAACCGTAGAAGTTGTTGATGAGGGCATTGTCATATCCGTACATCGCTATGGATAGAGAGAGGAAAGAAGCCCAGGCAACACCTTTCCATTGCACACGAACAGCCTCCAGAATGCCTTGAGAGTGCTCTAGGTCGGTGGCCTCCCTAGCCCCCTGAATGATGACGCCCCATTCCTTTTCAGGAGCAGCTTCAGTCTCAACAGTCTGAACTACATTTTTGTCATCTCGGCCACGGAGATTGTCAAGGATGGCAGCAGCCATGATGTTGGTGTGATATTGTTTATCTCGGTAAACTGGAGGACTTATGTATTGGTTTCGTATCCATGCGACAAAGTACGGTATTATATACTTTTGACGATCCTGGGTTAACCCACGATAGTAATACGTCACGTATCACTCGCTAGGCAAGTGTTGTTTCGAGGTTGGGTGTTAGGTTGGCTGTGCCACAGCTGCATGGGGTGTCCGATTGCAATATTCCGGCACATCACTTCCCCCATCTAGCTTACTCTAGCTTCAGGCGATCTTGGATGTAACCCAAGCACGGCTGATGTTGGGAGATGGATGATAATGTATGATGCCTCTCAAATCACAACGTGGATGGTAACTCTAGATGTTGCTAGTCCGCTGACCCGTATTATTTGCTGTCAATAGTATGTTTCTAATCTCTCGCAAGGTCCGCATACGGCTGGAATATCAGGTTTCATAGGAGCATAAAAAGTAATCAATCGCAAGACATGATAAGAATAGACAGGACACTATTGCCGTTATCTCCCCGGATGGGCTTCGTATCCCATGATACCATTGGAAGATACTACCCGTTAGCTTCAAACTTCATTGATAACACCAATGATTTTAGCCGAACCTCAGAATTACCCCAGATTTCTATATGGAGGGAAGTGACATCGTGTAACGTTATATCGGCTGTCAGTTCCGACGGCTTTTCAAGCGATCATTGCTTTTAGAAATCAAGGCCATATCTCTAGACAACAACTTGCACAGCTAGCGTATACAAGAGAAGCCCTCTAACCCCCGCAGTGGCGCTTACTTGAAGTAGAGACCAGTGACACTACAAAACTCCAAAGATTTAGAGCGGCTATAACTGCTGTCGATCGTACCCCGCTTTCACTGAGAGCACGATAGTTGAGGTCACAATGGTCTGAGTGGGGGACAGGATGTAAGTAATAGAGCGGTTTTAGTCGAGCTACTGCAAACAAAATCCGGATATAACCGCGGATCGAGGTGATAATAGGAGCCTTGGCACTCCGTATCGGCCATGGTTCCGGAATTGTTTCGGCATAGATAATGGACGATGAGGCTTCTTCTCCGCGGCGTCTCTCATCCTGCTTGGGCGTTATCTAGCAGATCAGTTTTCAGACACTTATCTTTAATCGGGTGCTACCACAACCAACAAGCTCAGATAACAACTACTCATCTCACAATGCCATTTGACGCAGTTGGCGCAGTTGGGACAGCTCCCAGTGATGGTGCGGATACATTGTTCGACCCCTCAGCACCCTTCTTCAGCCGTTTCAATAGCCGAAGGTCGGTTGTCTATAGCACAAAGGGCATTGTTGCTGCCTCGCAGCCTCTTGCTGCACAAGCTGGATTAGATATCTTGAAGGCTGGTGGCAATGCCGTTGATGCAGCAATAGCCACTGCCGCCGCTCTCGGCGTGACGGAGCCATGCTCGACTGGAGTGGGAGGAGACATGTTTATGATTTTCTGGGATGAGAAAAAGCAAAAAGCGTTTGCAATGAATGGCTCGGGTCGATCGCCAGCTGAGCTAACAATCGACAAGTGCCGGGAGTTGGGTTTGAATGGCAATTTACTATTGCCGCAAAACGCAAACTCAGTCACGGTCCCTGGACAAGTCGCCGGGTGGTTTGACGCAATGGACGCTTACGGGAGTGGAAAAGTTACCATGGAACAGGTGTTGAAACCCTCTATTGAGCTTTGTGAAGATGGTTTCCCCGTTTCCGAAATCACAGCACGCCAATGGATAGAATGCGAGGGAATGCTGAAGAAGGTTTCCCCAAGTGGCGGTGATCTTCTTTTGGCGGACGGCAAGGCTCCAAGAGCTGGCCAAGTCTTCAAAAACCCTAACTTGGCCAAGGTGCTTCGAGAAATAGCTACCAAAGGCAGAGCAGGCTTCTATGAGGGATGGGTGGCAGAGGCCATCGCGGGTACCATCCAACAGCTTCGTGGTGTCATGACGACACAGGACTTGAAGGATCACACAACAACCTTTGTTGAACCGATATCCAAATCTTATAATGAGTACACGCTCTGGGAATGCCCACCTAATGGTCAAGGAATCGTTGCCTTGGAGGCACTGGGTATCATCGACAACCTGGAGAAGACAGGAAAGATTTCTTCTCTCAAGAGCCTTGGACATAACTCTGTTGAATATGTTCATACAATAGTAGAGGCCCTAAGATATTCTTTTGCGGATGGAGATGCCTTCGTTTCAGATCCAGAACACTCTGGACCGGCCTGGAAAAGCCTGCTAGATGACAAGTATCTGGCTGAACGAGTGTCTAACTTCAAGTTAGATGCTGCTGATGCTACTTTGAAGAACGGATTCCCAAACAAATCATCGGATACAGTCTACCTAACTACATCTGATTCGGAGGGCAACGCATGCAGCTTCATCTGCTCAATTGCTTCCAATTTTGGTGGTGGAATTGTTCCCAACGGTTGTGGCTTCGCCTTGCAAAACCGAGGTACTCAGTTCCAGCTACGTGAGGGACACGTCAATACACTGAGGCCTCGCAAAAGGCCTTACCATACAATTATTCCAGCAATGGTGACAAAGAATGGCCGACTTGATCTCTCTATGGGTGTCATGGGTGGATATATGCAACCCCAGGGCCACTTACAAGTGATGCTCAACTCGTGCATCTTTGGCTTCAATCCTCAGGACGCCTTGGATTCACCAAGAGTGTGTATCCGACCATCACGCACAATGCCAGAGTATGCCACAGCAGATGATTACTCCAAGTTGACGCAAAAGTCGATCATATGTTTAGAAGAGGGTTTTCCCCAAGAGACTGTCGAAGGCCTGCGCAAACTGGGACATGAAGTGGAACTCATAACAGGATGGGACCGTGCAGTATTTGGCCGAGGACAAGCCATTCAAGCAAAGGAGGACACAAGTGGCCAAAGAGTGTATCACGCGGGAAGTGATCAACGCGGTGACGGCCACGCAGTTGCATGGTAGAATTGTACATCTTCATAGAAATGTCAGAATTACTCAAGAGATTATCATTGTAGGCTCTCGTGTGCATTCCGACTTTAATCGTGGTATTCCTATGGCCTATTGAGAACATCCACCTTGACATCAGTCAACTTAGAAGTCAACACCCTTCCATCCTTGATAACAGCTAGAATGTTCTCTTCAGTACGATCCAAAACAGTAATGTCATCCAGAGGGTTCCCATTCAAGACAATAAAGTCGGCGGCGAATCCTTCTTTAACCTGTCCCAGCTCGTTGTCCTTCATCAGCAACTTAGCCGCGTTGACCGTTGCACTGCGAAGAATCTGCGCGGGTGTTTGGACTTGACTTCGTACAGAGAACTCTTTGCTCTGAGCGAAATGCAGCGGCCCTAAGAGATCGGTACCGAAACACACTGTGACACCGGCGTCGGTTGCGATCTTAATGGCATGAAGACCCTTTTGCAAGACTTCATCATTCTTTGCTGCCGACACTGGTGGTAGGAAATTAAGCTGCTTTGACATGACGTGAGTGATCAATGTTGGCGTGAGGAAAGCACCCGCTTCAGCCATCAATTTAGCCGTCTCTGCGTCAATGAGATTGCCATGCTCAATGCCTCTCACTCCTTGCCGAATAGCTTGTTGAATAGCTTGAGGTGTATAACTATGACTGGTGACATAGGTTCCATTGTTCTTTGCTGCAGTAACAATCGCTTTGATCTCCTCATCGGAGAATTGAAGGTTCTCAATCTTGTCCGTAGCACTGGCAATGCCTCCGCCACCCATGATCTTTATAAAGTCTGCTCCCTGGCGCAACTCATCGCGAGCAACTCTGAAGCACTCCGAAGGTCCATCAACAATACGACTGATTCCAGAGACAGCACCACAAGAACACGGGCTTTGGTCGTGTGAAGATCGCATATCGCCGTGGCCACCGGTTTGAGAGAGTGCGTAGCCAGCAATGAAGAGCCGAGGGCCAATGCAAACCCCTTCGTCAACGGCTTCCTTCATAGCCAAGGTCGCACCACCGCAATCACGAACGGATGTGAATCCTCGTTCAATCATCGGCTTGAGGACCCAAGGCTGCCGGATGAGACTGACTCTCTCGGTCATGGAATTGTATGCGCTGAGGCTTGCTTCTCCGGGGACAACGGCGATGTGAACGTGGCAATCGATTAGACCGGGGCAGATATACTTGCCCTTGAGATCGATAACAATTTCTCCATCGGTTGTGCTAGGGGGGTTGCTGGTGTTCGTGTCAACTGATAGGATTTTGCCTCCGGATGTTTTGATGGTAGCATTTTCGATTACTTGTGCTTGCAGAGGATCGATCAGCTTTGCATTGGTAAATATGTATGTCGGATGGGCATCCAGCTTCCAAGGTTTGATGATCTTTGACATGTCCATATTTGCCATGATTTCTCGCGAACAGTTGTAATAGAATCCTTCTCAATGGGGATTGAGTGGGGCGTGACTATTGAGTAGGAGAGGACTATTGAGTTGTCTAGGTCACAAGATACAGACGGTTACTTGAAGGAACTTTACTACGCCTTATATACTTGTGCGTAAACTCTAACGGCTGAAATTACTTGAGTCTAGAGCTAAACGAACCCATCTTTAACCGGCACGGGGTTCAAGCTCTCCGCATACCTGGTACCCTTTTTGGACATGGGCGGTTAGAAAACGCCCGATTGTTATACGGCAGTTGATCCTATCCGTCTTATTTCGTTTGTTCTGTAAGGTTATGTTTAAAATTCTCCGTAGTGAGCATGATTTATCTGGCCATCAACAATTAAATCTTCAATCTTCATCTCCTCGGCTTATGATGTAAGTGACGAACGGCCCACAAGGTTGTGCCTAAATGTCCGTTTAGTTCCCGCGAGCGGAGGCGGAAAAGCGTTTTATTCTCCAAGTCCGGTCAGATGCATCGGAAATGCCATTGTATTGTCGTCAAGGGAAGGAAAGGCGTGAAATATTGACATTTGCGGCATCAGTAAATAATTGTGTGCTTACTACGGAGTAGAGACTACGTATTGGGATGGTGGATATATATATATGTAGGAAGAGGATGCGATTTCGGTGGCTCGGAATGACTTATGCACCGACCAGCCGGCAACCTACACATAGACTTGTATCCCCGCATCGTATGACATTACTATTGTGTAAGAAATCGCCGGTCATCTTTTGTACGACCTTGTGAAGGTGTTTAAATCCCTCCAATACAGCCCAAGGAGTCTATAAGATATATATTGTCATATCTAGAGGCGTATCAGAATCACTGGGCGAGCTAGAAATGCCCTTACTCATCAATCCTGGCGGCGGCAGCATTTAGGGAGAAGCTAGCTGATTGGTCTACAATAAGCTCTTACATATAGGCACATGTATGCACAAGGGTTGAAACAGATCTGTTATGAGAGTCTAAACGAAGAGAAACATGGTTGTGATATCTGCACATCTTTCTTCTACAAATTCTATCTACAAATCATCTCTACTAGTTTTATTTTCTAAATTATCAATCGTGAATCACCACTTGTTGTCCATCACTTCGCCATCCACAATATTGATCAAATCCCTCACCGGCCCCAGCTTCGCCCCCGCCCCAAACTGCATCGCCGTATGCATCAGTTGCCGATAATTATCTCCGGGAGATACCTTCCCAAGAATCTGCTCTTTTCTTGTTTCGACCCGATCTGGCACTGGAACAGGTCGACCCACGATTGCGTCCATTGCCTGCCAGGCAAAGGTAATGGCCTCCTTGGCACCAGCCGGAATCCCAGCCGCATCAAGCATGTGTATCCTCGTTGTGGGATAGCTTTTTTGGATAAAGTCCACAATGTTTGGGTTATAAGCACCGCCACCGCAGAGGAATATCTCGTCAATATCCTGTGACGGCGCGAAGCATCTGTAGTGGTCCACTATGGACTGGGCTGTAATTCTCGTAATGGTCGCAACCACGTCGTCTGGCGAAAGACCCTTTGCTTCAGCTTTAGAAATTAATTCTAGTGCCAACGTATCACGGAAATCTTCGCGGCCCGTTGTCTTGGGAATGGATCTCTGGAAGTACGGGTGAGAAGAAATGAACTCGTCCACAATCTCCTCATCCACTTTTCCTCGCTTGCCCATTTCGCCATCCTTATCGTATTCTCGCTCGCCACCAGTGTAATGGCGAACGGCGGCATCAATGTAGACGTTTCCAGGGCCGGTATCAAAGTCAAAGAATCCGTCATCCAAAGCGCCGTTGGTATCTGGAGGAATGAAGCACACGTTGGCTATGCCCCCGATATTCTGACAGGCTCTCAGCTTGGTAGGATGGTGCAGCAGCAATGCGTCGAAGAAAGCAACAAGCGGAGCTCCCTGTCGACCAACAGCAACCTCACTGACACGGAAATCAGTCACTGTAGTAATTCCTGTACGAGCCGCAATGACCGCTCCTTCACCCATGCTGAGCGTCGTCCGGACTTGGTTCTTTGGATGAGGGATATGCCAAATTGTTTGGCCGTGAGAACCGATAATGTCTATTGAAGACTTATCAATATTATTCGTTTTGATGAATTCCAACGCAGCTTTTGCAAACGTCTCTCCAAGAATAACATTAATCTCTGCGATTTCCTCTGGTGAAGTAGAGTTGTGAAGAATCATATTCATCACCCTCTTCTTAATTTCCGGGTTGAGCGGCGTCTCTCCATATTTCAGCAGCTCTAAGCTGACGGGCTGCGTTGGGTCGTTCTGTCTAAATCGACATAGAACACAGTCTACACCATCCTGAAGATGACGCCTATTAGTTTCTTACTCAACGTATATATCTGCTCAGGAAGTAGGGCAGTATACCATAGATGTTCCGCTGTTCATGCCCAGAACCGTCAAGTCCAAAGCTGGACCGGAGGTGACGGTATCTACGATAGAGCCCATCTTGGAACCTATCTGGTCTGTACCTCAAAAGAGGCACTATCATGTGCTATCAAAGGACCGTTTGCTGAACTCTGCGTTATCGCAAAATGACACGATGAGGCTAAATATGTAGATATATGGCTTGCATGTAAAATTGGTAGCGTCGTGTGGCGCTCATGCGCATCGTCTAAACGGCAAAAGAACATTTTGAAAACTGCCTTTCAGCCGCTGCCAGTGCCACAAAGTGTTGCTCTTTGGATAAGCTAGTAATTGGTCTTCTAAAGTCTCAATAGTTTTTGGAGCCGGTCGTCTTGTGGCTATAACTAGTGCTGATTATGGCCGAGGCTCCTATCAACTTGTAACGTAACTTGACCGAAGTTCAGGCACTCGCTCCCAGCTTGACCCTGATATCGCTCCATATAAGCCGTCTAATGCGGGGCCCCGAGATTCGGGCCCATGGATTTTGCCTCCACAACGATCCAGTGGGTTCACTCTCTCCTAGTGGTATTCATATGTTGGACTGACAACTAAAGTCGAACTAGAATGAACAAAAGTCGAACGCCTTTCTTTATAGCTTATCTTACTAAAACCCTGGTTAGTTACATACCGCCAAGATACGACACTGTTGATAGGGTAAAAGGAAGATGACCGGTCAGTTTCCGGAAATCGGGCAGCCAACGTACATCTGAAGACATATTTAAATATGGATCGTGCCCAACCCAGCCAGCTCAGAAATGATTTCTCAGTTTTGCTCGGCTAGACAGCCATCACCACTGAGCCAGCTTCTGAATCTCTGAGTCTCCTTACTTTTATATTACAATTATGGCAAAAGAGGAGGACGTGATTGAGGTAGGCAGAGATGTTGAGAGGGAGTATCAGCACGATGAGAAGCCCGATCTCTCAGGCGGGGCTCAGGAGGTGGTTGGGATGCAAGAGCTCGATCCAGCTTTGGACCGAAAGATGCACCTGGTCAACAATGTAAGTCGCGAGGCACGAAGACGGTGATCATTTGTGAAGACTAATTGGAGTAAGGCACTGGACGAGATTGGCTGGACCAACTATCACCTGAAGCTCTTCTTTCTCAACGGTTTTGGGTGAGTTACACAGCATATACAGCTCTCGTATATTTCATCTACTGACGCTCGGATTCTTATAGATATGGTGTAGACGCACTACAACTGTCGCTCCAGGGCATCATTGCCGTCCAAGCCGTGCTCGAATTCAAACCTTCATATGACAAAGGCCTGACTATTGCTCTATATATGGGAATGCTGGTAGGAGCCCTGTTCTGGGGCTTCTTTGCCGATATCATTGGCCGCAAGATTGCATTCAACATCTCTCTTTTTATCTGCTCAGTCTTTACAATCGCAGCAGGCGGGGCTCCCAACTGGGCTGGACTCGGTGTTCTGATAGCCGTGGCCGCATTTGGTGCTGGTGGAAATCTTATTCTTGATACCGCCGTCTTTCTCGAATATCTTCCTTCAAACAAGCAATGGCTTCTCAGCTTGTTGCCTGCTTGGTTTGGTATAGGATGTACCATTGCTGGACTGGTTGCTTGGGGATTCATGCGTAAGTCATTCCATATCTCGGTGCTGCCTTTATAACGTGTGATTGATGGCGCTAATTATTACGACATATTAGCGAATTTCTCATGTGCCGATGCGAGCGACTGTACCAGAGCAAACAATAGCGGCTGGAGATATCTCATGTACACCATGGGAGCCTTTATTGCAGTTCTAGCTGTGGCTCGAGTCACTGTCATCCGGCTTCAAGAAACTCCAAAGTTCCTCTTAGGTCAGGGTAGAGACGAGGAAGTTGTAGAAAATCTTCAAGGAATCGCCAAGAAATACAATCGCCCATGCCACATCACAGTTGAGCAACTACAAGCTTGTGGAACTGTTAACTCGGCTCACTCGAACAATCGCTTTTCAGTTGGAGAGTTTTTGATCCATTTGCGCAGCTTGTTTCTCACAAAGAAGATGGGTTTCACGACAATTCTTCTATGGCTCTCTTGGTCCAGCATTGGTCTTGCTTACCCCTTGTTCAATGTCTTTCTGCCATACTATCTGGCCAGCCGAGGAGTCGAGTTTGGAGTTACAAGCACCAATGAGACTTGGAGAAACTATGCTCTCGTTCAAATCTGTGGAATATTTGGACCGATTCTCGGTGCCGTTATGTCCAACTGGAGGCCTCTAGGAAGAAAGTACACCATGGTTATAGGCGCGTTGGTCACTATGGTGAGTTGATGGATATTATTCATCTTGACATATTTGGCGTTTAACTGATGTCTTCGGATCACGATAGGCGTTCTTCTTTGCGTACTCCCAAGTCAAATCACAAAAAGAAAACATTGCTTACAGCTGTGTTATCTCGTTCACTCTCGAGATCTACTACGGTGTCCTCTACGGATACACTGCTGAGTCTCTGCTCTCTGCCCATCGTGGTACGGCCAACGGTATTGCCGTTGCTTTCTGTCGATTGGCTGGAGCGTTTTCGGCTGTTGTAGCTACGTATGGCTCTTTCTATGCTTCAATTGTACGGATATTGATTTGCTAACATTATGCTTAGGTACGCCGATCCAACAACCACAGGTCCCGTCTTTGTATGTGCAGCTCTCTATGGAGGACTTGCTTTGTTTGCAGTCTTGTTTCCGTTTGAGCCTTATGGCAAGCGAGCAGCTTAATTTGTATAAGCTTGATATCGATTTGTGTTGAAGCTAGGCCAGTGAAAAGTACGATACCATCACAAATATAGCTCATGCGGAGAAGTTGTCATCATTAAGTATGATTTAGTTGGACTGTAATAATATAATGATTTGAATCCTATTGGTATGTGCCTGTTATCATAATCAAGATGGGGGCGACTTATAAAGAATTTTACCTGGCTAAGGGGTGGATAACACAAACACGACTATAAAATGAGGAAATTAACATTATATAATCACGATAAGGAAAGCATTATTAGAAATGATGGCTACTAGTGAAGGAGATGTAAGTAGAAGTAGATAGATCTTATAGAAATAGATGGATCTAGTTGATGTAGGAGAGAATACGGGTAGCTTCTCTGCTATTGACTAAATACTTGCTTAGCTGGAAATTTGCAATCTCTCCTATCTGTTCACTGGTAACCATCGCAGGGTTTTAGATGCAATATTTTGAACTTGAGATGGAAGATCTTGACTGGCTCTTCAATGACTCGACTCTTCGAATCGTAGCCTTGTGGTTAGAGAAATGACGAATAATGGCTGTTTAACTGTCCATTGGGATCTTCCGAACATCTTACATGTATCGTCCAGTGAGTTAATTGAAGTTTTTGGAAATTACGAGTAAATTTCTCCTTTAGCTATCTATCTCAGCATAAAGCTGGGAGAGATAAAGGTTAATGCTGCTTTATCCTCCCGTCTATAGTGTGCGTCGTCGCCTATACTCTTTTTTTTTTTGTCGAGATATTGAGGAGCTTTTTGTTCACTCTTATGTATTTTCCCATATCATCTTTGCAAAGGAATTTCTAGGTTCTAAATATTGTATCACACTTTGTGTCTTTTGGGATAAAGAGTATTGATATGAAAACTACAGGGTGAGCACATGTACGCACGGCAGTCACAGTGTCTATACCAGGTTCAAATAGAATAGTGTCAATAAATAGTATATCCTAATAAGCTTAAAATTGTGAGTAAATCTGGCCCCTTCGTGACCGATAACACCTGCAACCAGGCGGTAAAATGTAATGTACATGTATTAACATATGCGCACTTATGTCGAAGTACCTACATATAAGTACATATGCAACTTCAAGTCCCCTCGTCTCAATGACGGCATTCGCATTACTCACTGTGTCTCCCTTACTCAGCTCATGCTCGTATATGCCGTCACACCGAGTGCAATAAATCGAGCTATTCGACAATGTCTCAGCTTGTGAGACGTAGCGATTGGCTGAGCGTTCTCGTCTGCCTGCTGTGCGCTGTCACCTGTGGATTCACGGAGCCGACAGCTGTGGAGAAAATAGCAGTCAAGATAGAAAAGCCCAATAAAGACCAATGGTGATATCTCAGTGTCGGTCGCTGCGATGACGTTTACTGTCTCTCATGACTCTCGCCTCCAGTTCCGAGACGCTGTGCACGTATCGAATTAAAATTAATGCTCGATTCACCTTATCTCATCCAATCTCATCTCATCTCATCTCAAGGCTCTTACATCAGGTGCATGTGCACTGCGGCCCCTGCCTTAGCCGCCGCCTAGCTGCAGGGGGCCTCCCCCAACGTTTAGTGCCTTGTGACCACTAAAGGGCCCCGTATTAGCGGCCAGGGATCCCGCCTAGGCCTAGCCCCAACAAGCCGCGCCGCTGACCGCCCAGCTAAATGACGTGCGGCCGCATTCCAGCAAGCCCAGCTGAGTTATGCTCCAGGTTATCTTCTTGCTTATCTCTCTACTCCATACGGAGCTCGTGACTCTTTGTCGAGCTTCCATCATCTCTTCATCCTCCCCCTTTCCCTCCCCTAACCGCCATCTGCTTCAAACATCTCCCGTCGACATACCAGAATCCATCACAATGGCTGTCTTGAGTAAATTGGCCCTCGCGGCCTCGTTCGCCCTCTGCGGCGTCTCAGCAGCTGGAATCCAGCAGCAGCCGCTCACGGCTCCGTCTTCGCTCTCTTCGTCACACGAGACAGCCGTCGACTACAGCTCCAAGCCGCTGATCGATTCTGAAGCGCTGCAGAATGCCATCTCCATCGATGCTCTCGTGAAGCGCGCCGAGAAGTTCTACAAGTTCGCCCAGACCTCGGAGGAGGAATACGGCCACCCTACTCGAGTCATCGGCAGCTCCGGTGAGTCTGTCAAAGCAAGCTCTAGCCACCATCGTAGCTAACCATTTGCGCGCCCTAGGCCACGAGGAGACGCTCAATTACATTGCCAACACTCTGCTCGATCTCGGCGATTACTACAATGTCTCTGTTCAGGAATTCCCCGTCACGCTGTCCAACGTCTTCCAATTCCGATTGGTCTTGGCCGACGAAGTGTCCAAGTCTGCCATTCCCATGGGACTGACGCCACCAACCAAGGACAAGGAGCCTGTTCACGGCGACTTGGTGCTTGTCAAGAATAGCGGCTGCAATGCTTCCGATTACCCCAAGAATGTCAAGGGTAACATTGCCTTCATCCGCCGAGGAGAGTGCGCCTTTGGCGATAAGTCTATCGGGGCTGGAAAGGCCGGCGCCAAGGCTGCCGTTATCTTTAACACTGATCCAGAGGAGCTCCATGGAACTCTCGGATTGCCTGTGGAGGATCACATCGCGACCTTTGGTATCGACGGTGTCGAGGGCAAGAAGATTGCTGACAAGCTTGCTGATGGCGAGTCCCTGGACGCCATTGCCTACATCGACGCCGAGGTCAAGCAGATCCAGACGGTCAACGTCCTAGCACAGACGGAACAAGGTGACCCGGACAACTGCGTCATGCTTGGTGGCCACAGCGACGGTGTTGCCGAGGGCCCTGGCATTAACGACGATGGCTCCGGCAGCATGTCTGTTCTCGAAGTTGCTGTCCAGCTTACCAAGTTCAAGGTGAACAACTGCGTTCGCTTCGCCTGGTGGGCCGCCGAAGAGGAAGGCCTCTTGGGATCTGACTTTTACGCCGAGAACCTGTCTGAGGAAGAGAACCAGAAGATTCGTCTCTTTATGGACTACGATATGAGTAAGTGTGCCTGTGGCGGAGCAAGCATGGAAGCAGGTTACTGACAGTGTTGTGTAGTGGCCAGCCCCAACTTTGCCTACCAGATTTACAACGCCACCAACGCGGAAAGCCCTGCCGGTTCCGAGGAGCTGAGAAACCTCTACGTGGACTGGTACAAGTCTCAGGGCCTCAATTACACCTTCAGTATGTCTCATAGTGACACCCTCATTTTAGCGCATCAACTAACTAATTTCCTAGTTCCTTTTGACGGCCGTAGCGACTATGATGGCTTCATCCGTGCCGGAATTCCTGCTGGTGGAATCGCCACTGGTGCCGAGGCTGTCAAGACAAAGGAGGAGGAGGAGATGTTTGGCGGACACGCTGGACAGTGGCTGGACCCATGCTACCACCAGCTGTGCGATGACCTGGGCAACCTGAACCACACTGCCTGGGAGGTCAACACCAAGGTAAGCCTCCGTGTTATTTGCCTCTGAATTCGAGCGTGCATATGCTAACCGTGGGGAAACAGCTAATTGCCCACTCTGTTGCTACCTTTGCTCTCTCATTTGAGGGATTCCCTAAGCGTGAGGTGGAATCCGAGACTATTAGCGCATACGGCCAAACGATGAAGCACCACGGCCCCAAGCTCATCTTGTAAGCTGTTGCGAATATGTGTTGCTGTACAGATTTGTTTGAGAGGATAGACATTGGCACGGGGATTTTGGATACTGTATTTTGGGTATAATATCAGACTTTTGGGCATACTAGACATAATTGAACATCCTAATGGCACTATAATTGCAACTGGTGCATACTTGTATCTGCTAGATCTATGTATGCCTACTAGATTTATTCATAGCTAAGAGGGCTGTAACAAGAAGGAATGTGGTGTAATATACCGACATGCTTGGCGAGTCTCTTTAGCCCAGGGTAATCTTGGCCTTACAGGGATTCACGGCACCACAAGAGGCATGGAAATCACGACATCGCCCATGATTTGTCACTGTCCATCGACATTGTAATTTAGAAGCAGCCTATATGTACATGAAGAAAAAATAAAGGCCCTTCCTCGCCACTCTGCCCATTCTAATTTCACTCACGAGAGATGAGAAGAGAAAATAAAAAATCAATCTCCATTTGTCCCCCTCGTTTGATATGCGTGCCCCCCCGTAGACGCCGTTCGCTTTATTTCCAAGTGGCTTAATAAAAAGTAATAAAAAAAAGAGTAACATGGACAAACTAAGGAGGCATAACCACAAAACATAAAAAAATCAGTGTGCCTCGAGAAAAAAAAAAGGACGTCCTTATGCCCTTCCTAAAGGGTAACCTTCTATTGCGCGGCATTATTCCCATACCTAGTTATGTGCGTGTAAACAAACCTGAACATCCACTGTATCTTCTCTCCCTGGTGGTAGTTGATTGATTCTAGCCAAAGCAGGCCATCTGGGAGAGTCATTTGAGCTTCTTCCGTCGAATGCGATGCTTGAGCGGATTCTTGAAGCTCTTAATCATCTTCTTCATGCGTAGCGGTTCGGCAGGCTCCGTGCTTGTAGGGTCAACAGCCGGGGGCTCGATGGCCACGGCCGTGGTATTAGGGGTTGTGTTCATGCCGGCGGTGCCTGGGGGAAGGGCAACGACGGGCTTGGAGAGGATGACACGCAGCATCTTGCTGGTGCCCTGCTGGCCGGGGTCGAGCTGCATGAGCTCGACCAGGTCATGGCTAACTCGCTGGGCAAAGTCAAATGTGTAAAACTCGTTGTCACGGAGCTCGAGGGTCAAGACTGGGAGAGGAATCATGGACAGGACAGGAATGTCGGCAAGGTTGTAGCCAGAAAAGATGGACCATAGTCGAGGTTGAGGAGCGGCTTCGCTATCAGCGGCCGGCTGCTGTGCCGACTGGCCGGATGCCGTCGAGGTTGATGCCGATGCCTCGGATATCGATGAGGCTGAAGATGTGCGGTCCGCGGGTAGCCGCGGCGCATTCTGGGCGACGGGGGCGTAATTTGGAATCGCGCGTCGGGCCATGGACCGTGCGCCAAAGGTGTCTCTCAGGCGGCGCATGCGTAGCGCAATGTCGCTGTTGGAGGAAAGCAGCCGGGTCATTCGTCGCTCGAGGCCAAGCCTGCTGTTCTGGGCATCCTGCTCACCGGGACTGGCAATTGATTCCCACGTTAGCCTGGACCAAGACAAGCACGCGCCGGGGGGAATTGAGAGGCTGCTTACCACTTTAGGATAGTCATCATCATGTTCATGGTCAAATTGTGCCACCGTATCCTTGTGGACAAACTGGTAAGCCTTTGAGAATGTTCGTTGCATGCCGTAATACGTGCGGCCAGCCCTTGGCACAATTCGATGGGCTCGATGGCCTCTTGCAGGTCGGTGATGGCGAGGACGGTGTCCGTTAGAGTCGCGATTAGATCGTCGGTGCTGATCCATGTGGCCCGGTCGGGGTATGGCAGCTGGCCTGCCTCGAGCAGCGAAAAGTTCTTGTATAGAATGTGGACCGAGGAGCGGCATTGCTTGACCTCCTGCAGCGCCTTGTTGAGAATGGCCGTGTCTCGGCCAGGACTGGTGTTCATCTCATAGAGTGAGTCGATAGTCTTACCGCCAATGGCCAGCAGGCCAATGATGGCGGTGGTGACGCAGAGCTGCTCGAGGATCGGCACGGGGGCGGCCATGGTGGTGGTTGGATGTTGGATGTCTCGGTCCAATTCGCGACGCTGCAGTAGGAGTGAGCAACCAGAGAAAATACGTCGACTTGCGCAGAAGCTTTGCTATGCGGCGCGGGTGGCTCAGACGATTGCGTCAATGTCGATAGGCGAGATTCGAAGTCGCCAAGCCGCGATTGCAGGGCCGTTTTGCTTGGCCTGGGGATTTAGATTTCGGTTCGCGATGAGGATGCGATTCCGCAGATGGGGCACTGTCCTCAGCACGGCGGCAGCCTCAAGCCATGATCATATGAACCCGCTGCGAAAGACTCTGCGTCCAGACGAGGAGGAAGAGGAGGAACGAGGTATGCGCGGATGGTGGGTTTTGTTGGTGGTCGGGTTTTGGCTGCAAAGCTTCGAATCGCGAGTCGTGGCAAATGCGACAGTTACAAGGGCAGCGACCGGAAGGCAGAAATAGAGAGCGCTTGACTCGGACGGACGAATGCTGGTGGACCAAAGGCGAGAGATGGTCAAGCAAAGTCAGGAAGATGAAAGAGAGGGGAAGAGGGACGACGATGACGACGGATGGAGCGAAAGAAGAAGAAGAAGGAGACGAAGAGCACAAGCTTTGAGTGAGCGACTCAGCGACAGCGACAGCGACAGCGACCGAGACACAGACAGACGCGAGACAGAGACTGAACCATTTGGGCCATCTCGGATCCCTTGTTCCCCGCCTTGCAAAACCTCCTTGGAGAGTTGGTTTACGGAAAATCGGCATCCAAGCATCTGGCATCTGCGTGAGCGACGGTCGCCTTGCGGGCCCTTCCGGCCGTATCATCCGAGTAGGCCCAGCAGAGCGCCAATGGCAGCGCAGTGGACAAACGGGGGGTTGCGGCTTGCTTTTTGGGGGGTGTGTGGCATCGAATCGACGAATTTCAGGCCAGCGAACCCCCATAGCAGCATAGCTGCCCCCCAAAGGCGTCTCGGCGAGAATGTTGCCGATGGAAGCGCGTCCCCATGCAACTCTGAGGATTTTTTTTTGGTTTGATTGGGAGGGATGGCACAGTGCGCGACATGCACTGTCTGCGATTGATTTGCTTCCAGTGAATGTTCTTTTTTTTCAATTCCATCCATCAATCCTTTGGTTTTTCCCTCGCCTACGCATCACAGTCCCCTTTGCCCAACCACCAGCCCAAGCTCACAGCCCGTTGCACTAGCCTGCCCAATGTATTCGCCGTTATTCCGACTCGTCAGATAATATCGTTGCATCCAGGTGCCTGTTCCCCAATCAAGAAAACGTGCTGCAGCGCCTTATTCCCGGCACTTCGTATCAGCCAAATCTAATTCACCGAAGCCCTGCCTGTGCCATCCCATGGGGTTGCCGCGACATTGCAAGCATTCAATAATTTCCATGCACGATATTACCTAGGTACCTATTCATGTAGGTACCTAGGTACTTACTTACTCACGCCGTACACAAAGGCGTGTGCGCTTGCTCTGGGCTCGCACTGTATTCCTTTGAAACGCAGCGCCTGCAGCGCCATGCTCTAGGGGCTGGTTCCGGCTGGTAGGTGCCGAGCGAGCTCCGCTGTGGGCGCCCAGGATGCCGCTAGCGGCCACTGCAGCACACCTACCCAGCCTGCTCACAGCGAGGCTTATGTGCTTTGGTCCTTGGTGTACATACAGGTAGTAAGAGTGCGTCAACGTCAGCCGCCAACAAAAAAAAACTCAGTCTGGGCGCATGGGCCAAAACGAGCTTCTAGCCTCTCAATGGGAATATCGGCGACGCGCTTGCTAAAACCCGCTACTGGCGTTGGGTGCTGTACGAGTAGATACTCTGTCATCCTGTAGCGTGGACAAGGGTGATGTGCGCTTCGTGCTACAGCGAGTAGGTACTTGTACATTCCTGAAGCAGTACCTACCTCCAGAGAGCCTCAAGCCGTCACGTCCTCCGTCTTACCTAGTTACCTATAGTACCTGTATGCAGAAGCACCATATGATAGGTAGGTAGAGATACTGCACTTCAATAGCAAAGTAATGGCTGCAATAGGTATTAAGGCAACAGTATTCGATCATGGTAATCAAACGTCGACGCGAGAGGTGCAGCAAGTGCTATTAATTTCACCTACTAGATATGCGAGTCAGATTATGTGACTTGATCAAACTACATGTACTCGTACCAATGCCCTTCAAATAACTCCCAAAACTCCGCAAGTACATGCGGACACTAGATCCAGACACCACAATTGCACCATGCCGCCTAACACGCCTCATGTACCTCGACCTGGAAGCCGTACCCAGCACCCCAGTCCGCCAGCCATTGCTCTCCCAAGACTCAAACACCATCATATCAGAAACATCACCACAACGCCCAAGACATCAACCCTCCTCGTCCCTGCATAACCCGGCACGGCAGCTTCCAGCCTTTCCATTTCTATTCTAGTCGACCTGCCTCTTCGTCATCATATCACAAATCACAACCCGCAAACCGTCCATTCTCCCGTTATCAACACATACGGCTAAAACACCACGGCTCGCCATCACTTCAACTAGGCCGAATCCAAGTCGCAGCCTCACAACCATGGATAACTCGTCGATTTCAACAAGACGTCATGCGTGTACTGCGAGATGTATTGCTCTCTCGCTTCCAATAGCCGCATGAAATTCTCCTTGAAGAGCACCAGCAGCTGCTGCTCCATCTCGGCCATCCCCATCGCCGCGCCGTCGTCCTCCACGCAGTCCATCATGTGATACACCAGCCTCTCGAAATCCGTCTCTATCACGTTACGAGATGGCTGGCCGTGCTGGCCGTGTTCCACCTTCCATATCCACACCTTGCGCGCCTCGCAGCGGAGGCAGATGGACGCCTTCTCCCCGCCTTCGGGTACTGTCAGGGGGAACTCCCCAACGTCGTCGTGGTCTTTGGGGATGGCGACACAGCGTCCCAAGTCTCCGCACTGCTGACACTCCATCTCTTCTCGGCACATAGGGCATGTACGCGTGAGCTTCTTCCCGCTCTGTCCATAGAATGACTCCGCCAGGCATTCGCGGCAAAAGATGTGCCCGCAGCTCAACACCACGCCCCCCTCGTGCTGGAGCAGCTCGTTGCTTGGCTCGAGACCTCTCACGGGCAGATCGTCATAACATATTGAACATTTTACACGAATCCGACAACCGCTGGCTCCATTTCCTCTGTTATCGATATGCCGGCGGACAGTTGGCCAGTAGTAAGTGTCTTCAACAACGGTTGGAGGCGGTTCTCGCGCTGCCACTTTTGTTGGCGTTCTCCTCGGTCGACCAGTTGTGCAGTCACTCGAGCTATGGTTAGGTGGTGTTGAAGCGTTGCCGTCACTGCTACTGCTGCTGACGATGAAATCAATTGCCGATACCCGCGGTGAAGGGCTTTGCTGAGCGGCGGAACTTGTTCGATAACCTGCAGAAGCTGTGGACGCCGTAGCCCTGCGGCGCCTGCCCGTCCCTGATTGAAGGGGCATATTTTTGTGCACTACTTCTGTGCTAATCTGAATCTCAATCACTGGCGTGACAGCATCACGACCACTGTGCTATATATGTACACGCTATATATGTACGCATCCATTGTCTTTGGCGACATATGGCTCAAGGATGAACAACTATCTTTGGTTTTGCCATCTATATATGGTTTGGTTAAAAGAGAGCGTGGGCATTGAGGCATGCCAGATCACAGGGACAACAACCACTTTGTTCAGTGCTTTGAAGCCTCTGGTAAGCTGTTCTCATTCTCTGGTTTGTCCTTTCTTATTCCCGCCTCTTTGAGCACCACGAAGAACTAACAGTGGCCCTTTGACCAGCCAATCCAACACCGAACTCTCAAAGGGTTGTCAGCCTTACGAATTAAAGTTTTGTCCCAAGCCAAGAGATTACATGTGGCTAGCCCGTCCCTGCAGTTTGCCAAGAACGAACCGATCCTAGTCGGCGCCAAGTCTTTGTTATATAGATGAGCCAATAATGCTCCTCGGCCGCCGATGATCCCAGAGAGCCAAGTCTCCGGCTTTGGTGCTGGCTAGTAGCCTGTAAGAAATGACATTTCACTTGCACGGTGGAGCAAGATCCTGCCGGCAGTCTCGGGGGGTGTACATGTACAAGTTGCAGTGCTGCGCTAAAAGGAGCTTGTATTTATGTTCAACGGATGCAATCTGAGGTAGGTATCGTATCATCTCCAGTGCAAAGTAATATGCTTTGTTCCCAAAGTCCAATCAAATCCAGACAGCTCCTAGACAGCAAACGCAGCGACACCAACTACGGCAGCAACGGCCGCGCCATTCAAACAATGGAGAGTCCCAGCCCCAGCCGAAGGTACTGTCGTCGGCTGGGTTGCTGTCGCCATCACAGTGCTGTGTGAATCCATGGTTGCGGTTGAATTACTTTTGGCCGACGGCTCCACCACTGCTTCATATAGGCCACAAGATGCGTTCTTTGCCAAGGGGCAATCGCTCTCAATACAAATCGCCTGCAGTTGTGGCCCTTGCGCCTTAATAACTGTGGCGGGCGTAGCACAGCGCATGCCGAAGGCGTTGGAGAGGGCGTTGCCTACAATCTCAATGTCCGAGGCGGCTACACCAAATGACTGCGCGGCGAGGGCAATCTGTTGGATGAAGTAGGTCAGTTCTGCGTTGTCGAGAGCCATGAACTTGTGGACTTGGTAGAGCGATGCTCGGCCGCCATAGGCGGGAAAGCCCGGCATTCCTTGGTGAGAGCAGGAGAGGAGGGAGCCGAAGAACTGATACAGGTGCGTGAGGAGGAAACTGTACACTTTGGTTAGCAGAGTGCTACGAATAGTGAATTTACGGTCCAGGTGTCAACGGACTATTGTCTTGAGGACTCCTCGTTGGCAGGCTTGTTCTTCATGAGCGGTGCTGCGCCGCCACCGTCGAGGAAGTTGACGGATTCTCCATGAGGGCCACCGGTATTGGTCGAGGCTAGCTGGCCGTTAAAGTATGGCAGAAGATTGACGGCCTTGCCGTTGATGTGGCCTGGGGCAAGGATGCCGGGGACTTTGACGCCGACGTTGGGGGCTGTATCTGTAGCGATGCAATAGATGGGTTAGAGTTGGGCATTGATGAGGAGAAATGAGGGGGAATTGGCGTACAGTTGCCAATTACGACAGTATTGACGAGGAGCGTGAGCAGGGTCAGTTGATTCTCTGCCGTGTTCTCTTTAAGGAGAGCTGTGGTGTAGTAGTCGCATATGGAGACATTGGTTGGTCGCTGGGCATTTGCCGCCGAAGCAGCCACCGCGACAAGGATAGTCGAGAATTTCATCTTGATTCTTTGCAACGGTCAAAGTTCTCGGTGTAAAGCTTCAGTCTGGGGGGGAATACTCTCTGGTTTGTGGGTGCCGGGACATGGCCACGATATAGCTTCGGCTTTGTCCGTGGGTGATTGCTGTGATGCCAACGATAATAGCGCTAAACGCTTCAACTTGACTGAGCGTGTGTTACTTTTTGCTTCCCCCCTTTCTCTTTGGTAATTGGAAACCTGACCTGCGTCACGACTTGAGACATTGATGCCGGAAGCTTCTCTATCCGGGCAGGGCGAATTGCGCTTGGAAGAGCCTCTTGGTTGCGATACGACATGCAGGACGACAGTGTCCGTGCGGCAAAGGTACGATATTTGCCCGATCGATCTGAGATTGAAGTAACCATGCTTCCCATGGTTATTGTCGTACAGTCGTGATTCGATTGGCTTCATTACGCTTCCCTTTCTAGGGGGCGTGGGATGAACCTCAAGGAGTTAGGACTTGGCCATTCTTGGGTAGATTCGCGTCGATCTAGGCTGCATCTTTGGGTTAGTTTCTAGGATATTTGAATCTCTATTCGTGGTGATTTTTTGGAAACATGTCCGGCGGCAGGTTCTTGCGAAGAGACTTTAGTGTTCAAGTTTATGGGACATGTCGTGTGGGCATTTATCGTGTTCTGTTACACATTTACATTCATAGTGAGGAGATGTTCCGTTTATCATTGCCATCGCAACAATATGTATGTGGTTTAGTTTGTTTGTGTTTACATCAAAAAAACATGGTAATTGAAGAATAGCCGTCTCATCACCACTTTGATAGACGTTGATGGTTTCCGTAAATCGCAGAGACACATGGCTCTTCTATTCCGCCGCCTCGGGGCAATTATTTCTCCTTTTGCATCTGCATGTCTCAGTTGATCGTCCCTGTAACCAACGGCACAGCATCATTTCCCTCTTTTTCTCTTTCGACTCTGGATTTGCGCCATTGCTGATTGGTCAGGAGTTAAACCTCCGTCTAGTATTTGGTGTACATCCCATGTAGTTAGTCTAGTCCCTGACCAGGTACATAACAAGAGCGCGCCGTCATCTGTTTCCCCATCGAATAAACACTTTGTAGTTTGATGACTCTCCCGGTTCTCAAATAATTACACATACTCTTCCCTGCATTGTGTCACTCAGGTGGCGTCGCCTTGGTGTTCCGGCAAGTCGAGGCTCCGACGGCTTGTCAAAGATCCGGTCGATCTTGTCATTGTAATTGGTCGACATCTTCTTGCCTAGCAAATTCTAGTTTTCGTAGTGCTTGGTGGTATTATGAACTAGTTGCTGAATGTTTCTCTCTCTGGGGAAGAGGCTGGGGGGATCGCGATCCGAGTGCCGATCCATTGAGCTATAGAGGAAGCTAGTTGATTTAGAGATGTGTGTTCAATGGTACATAAAATTGAACAGGGATCAATAATGGTTCTCTTGCGGCACTCACATTTTCACAGGTTTGGACGTTATGTCATAGAGAAGAGGCACTGTTCTGTCTCTGTTTCAATAGTCCACTTGTGCGGCTTGATCAAAGTTATTACAGAATCTATTCCTAAAGCCAAATCATATCCTTAAGGCTAACAATAATCGGCTTACACCTTACCTGGCCAGCAGGCGTGCGCGTTCTCTTTCCGCCACACAGGATCGTGTGCAAGAATAAGCTCCACCTCATTCCCCTCGGCACCCTGATTCTTCACAAACGCAATCACCCTATCGAGAGACCTGCGTGCCTCTGCCGTGTCGGTGTGGATGCTCCTTAGTCCGCCGTGGCCATCGTCGTACAGTCCAATCTCCTTTTCGCCAGATACTAACCGTCTATCGTGACAGCAGTCTGCGGCGAGATAGGCCCATCTTCGTTCCCCAAGCCGAGCAAGCAGGTTCACGTGGGCGTAAATGTGGCCTGGCGTATCAACGACATAGAGGCTGCCGTCACCAAAGAAATCGAGCGTGTTGGCCAGGTCGCCAAACGGCTTCCAGGACCATGAAGCAGCGGCTGCAGGAGGCTTAGCCTGGGTATTTGATGGTAATGGCGTATGCTTTGGTGCGTAGGGTTCGTTTCCGTAGACGCCTATGCGTGAAACGGGAGGGAATTCGACGGTGCGAAGAGCGGGCAGCTCGTCGTCCTCGAAGAGATCTGATGGATACGCCGGCCCAGCGCCGTTCTTGAAGAGATCCAGGGTTCCAGATCCCACAGCAAACGTCGCCGTGGGGAAGTCGGACGGCGTGCCGGTGTGGTCCCAGTGAGCGTGGCTGATGATGATGTAGTCGATGTCCTTGGTCGGGTCGAGGAGCACGCCGTTGCTTGCGGCGCCAGCATCAGCGACTCCGTTGCGCAGACTCTGAGCGCAGTCGGTATCCGTGATGAGCGGCTGCCAGATGTCGAGGTCTTTCTGCTGGGCGGGCGTGTAGTTCAAGTCGCGCTTGACGCCGAGGTCGAAGACGAGGTTGGTGATGCTGCCATCGGGTGATGCGTGGCGGATGAGGAATGAGAGAGAGGGGACGAGAGTCTTCTTTCCTGGTTCTGCGTCGCTGACGAACATGTGCTCTGGGAGGGAGAGGTGGCCGGCATCGAGAGCCGAGAGGGTGACGAAGACGGGAGGACGGGATGAGGGTGTCGCCATGGTTTGGTGGATTATATGGAGAGTGAAGGTAAATATTTCAAAGGATATCCAATATCCTTCAATGTGGGATGGAAAAGAATAATGTAGTTGGCAGCCCCCATCCTCGTTATCTATCGAGTTCCCGGACAATTCGGTTTCAATGGCTCCTGCTTCTTCTTCCCCTCACGCTCCCCCGCTTTGCAGCCTCGCAACATGCGTCTTGGCTCTAGATTATGATGCCATTGTTGGAAAAAGACGCCAGACGCCGCAGGGCGCGCCTTGACAGATTGGGAAATTCTGCATGATGACGGCTTCAGGTGAGTGAAATTTTGGGAGTTTTGGAGTGCGAACAAGGGAAGATGAGTAATCGCTGTATTTACTACGGTATTGGCTTGTGTGTGCGGCCATTAATGTTGCATGAATTGGTAATATTTATTTACACCTATACGGTTATTTAGACAGATGTAGCTATTCTAGGAATTTGCAGAACTCATATTGCAATGTATATGTATATACGTGAATATACTTGGACTCTTCGATGTTGAGATTGGGGAGACTAACCGGCCTCTCTATAATGACACCTAACCCATAAGATACCATGTATAGAGTCAAATGGACACCCAATGGCTATCCATTGTTCTAACAAGGCCGTCGGTAAAATATAATAACAGGTTTGTGTAGGCGTCGTGCTACTTGGGTAAAGGCCGTGCTGCCTCCCAAATACAAGTCGCTTTCGTCCACCCACAATACCTCCCCTAGAAGCATATTAAGGACAATCGCTTCCCACTCTTCTCCTCCAACAACGCCAGCGGTACCATTATTTTCTTTCTTTCTTTCTTTTTTTTTCCAAAATCTTTGAAGATATCGGTATTTTTTTATGCCAGCATCTTTCAGCGCGATGCTCTATTGTTGCATTGAATGACTACTATATCATGGTTGGCATCAATGACTGAACCAAGGTGGTTGTCATCACCGCCGCTGCAACAGATGCGACGAGTTTTCTTTTGTTTTTATCTTTCTTTGTTTCCATGCATGTATCTCTTTTCTCTTTTCTTTTCTTTCATTTCATTATTTATTTCCTTCTCTTTTTGTTCCTTTGTCTGCTGTCTCTCTCTCTCTCTCCCCCTTGTCTATAAACTCACCAAAAGTCACTGTAAAAAATTGCGAAAAATCCCCCAAAAAAGACCACACCTCCAAGCACCCGGCTCCCACCGCCTGCTGGCAGCGGGAATACCCCGACAAAGCTGTCCGATCGCCTATCGTGGCTGCGTTCAAGTGACGTTGAAGGCCGCAGCACTGCAGAACCTGCAACGGCCCGGACTCGAACGAGGAGCCAGTGGCGTGTGCCAAGCTTCGAGCTAAGCCGTTGAGAGAACTGCGCCACATTTGGTGGTTTGTTGGTGGCAGGAGCTAGCGAGTACCGGGGTCATAAGGCTATTCCTGAAAAAGCTTAGCGGCGGTATGATTTTCCGGAGCGACATGTGCGCTCGACGGATGTACTTTCGGGCCGTGAGAGGTACATGTTGGATGTACTGCTTGGAATGGAGTGGAATGGAAGGGAAAAGGAGACGGTTGAAGAAAGAGATGGAGATGCAGAGAAAGACGCAGGAGAGAAAAAACGAATGAAATGAATGAAAGAAGAAAGGAAGAGGAAGAAGAAGGGAGGGAAAGAGAGAGAGGAGGGGGAAGAAATGGGCGCAAGCGGTGGCGCCCTTGTTAGCTTGTTAGGGCACAACAGGCTTTGTGGAGCAAACTTTGCAGAGCTTGCAGGGGCTGGATTGGCGGAATGGCGAGGGTTACAAGGGGTCCCTGTATCTTTACACACAACACTATAATAGATACAGTCTAGTGATGGTGTATTATTTGGATTTTGTGGCTTGAAAGGACACTTGCATCTGGAGGGAGTGTGTAGTACGAGTATTTGGTGTAGCCATGGAGGGAGAAGCAACAATCCGCTGTCCAGGTGCTGTGCTGTAGCCTCCCGCGACACGTCCACTAAAACACGCTGTATTCCAGCGCCTCTCCCAGTAACCGGTGTTCCATCCATAACATTGATAGATGCACGAATCCATCGACTTCTCGCTTGCAATTCAACGTTGCACAAACAACATCAAAAGCACCCTGCGACTCGTCAAGCGACATCTTCCAGCCGCTTCTACAACATACGAGGGCCATGACTAGGCGCAGATTCCCGTAACAAAATGTACGGCCCCGACTTTGACGAGCATTTGATGGATTCATCTGCCTCTACCAGCAGCATTCACAAAGCTAATGCCCTTCACTCAACACTGCACAAGATACAACCATGAAGCCGCATGGTTTACATGATTTGTGCCCTGTTGATGAATTCAATGGCGTCGGGCACCATCCGTGGCCCGAACCGCGGATCCATTGCAACTCGGACTGGGGCGACGGAATAGGAAGCCTGAGACAAAACACCGGGCAGTGCCAATGGCTATAAGGAGGGTGTAGCCGTAAACCTTTGCTGCCGAAGTGTGAATGTCGACGGTCAACATCAAAGCTCCTCCGATCAGAATCAGCACGCCAGACATGACAGACTACGACAGACTACGGCTGGTAGTAGCCAGACTTGGGCATGAGAACTCCATTCAGGATCATGCAAAAGATGGTCAGAGTAATGAACGGCAGCAGACGCACGGCAGCCTTCAGAGCACCATCGTTCTTCGTAAACCGAAAAAACAGAGGAATGTACTCCGTAATATACCGGGATAAACAGCATTGTTGCTGTACAGGATGCTGTGAGATATTGCAATAAGAGTGATCGGGGCAACAAGAACCCAGACGGAAAGATTCGCAGTGTTGGTGTCGTAAGCACTTTGGAGCCCTGTTACAACGCGAAGAGGATTATAACGACTCCGCAGACGACAAAGACTGCGATGGTGCGGCCGGAACTCCAAACCCATTCCGCTCCACCAAAGCTAAGGCCCAAAACCAACAACGCATAAATACCAGCGTTCAATATGGCACCGATCCAGTCCATGCCACCTAGCCTCTGGGAGAACTTGCGGCCCGGCCGTGGATCAAGACTGGGAATGACAAAGATGAAGATGGTAGAGGTGGCAGCGAAGAGGACCAAGTTGATGTAAAGGGCCTGCTCTGATGCAATCAAATGAATCCCTTAACGGAACCATAAAGTGTCGTACCCAACGCCAGGTAGTAGAACTACTTGCAAAGGCACTTCCAATTACTGGACCAAGGATAGAGCCAAGGCCCCAAGACACGCCCGTTCCGGACATATAAAGCGGGCGCTCCCGCCCTGTACCTACCTGTCCACGCAGTTAAAATATTCAATCCTCTAAAGGCTTGTTAGCAAACTAGAAACTGGCACATGTAAGGGTTTATTTAGACTTGACCAAGGTATAAGCCAGCGCCACCAGCACCGGCAACAACCCTTCCTATGATGAGAGCCTACAGTGAGTTAGGAGTGTCTTGCGAGATAAAGTCATTTTAACCACACAAACATTCATGTTGGGAGAAGCGCCACATATGGCACTTCCAACCTCGAATAAGGCGACACTGGCAAAGTATAGCCACTTCGTGTTAAAGATGCCATTCACCTTTCCACTAGACGGCATCAGCAATTGCGTTTCGGCAAGCAAACGGCACTCATCCTACAGTGAAAGAATCACGGCAACGCTGCCAAGTGGGAATCCAACTCCAATCCAAGCTACATGTAGCTTTTCAGGGTCGCCAAACCTCTCAAGGATGGTGCCTTGTACATCATCAACGACTGGTGTCACGATCGATGCTCTTCTCGCAGAACAGACGCTTAAAATTCATGTCATTCTAGGCCTGGCTCGAAATCCAGAGTCTAATGCAGACAAGAAACTATCCGACCGAGGCGTGGCATTAGTCAAAGGCGACTTGGAAGACGCTACAAGCGTTTTTCGGTCGGCCAAGCAAGCTCTTGGAGGTGCTCAGTCAGTCTGGGAAGTCTTTGCAGTGCAAACTGCCTTCGGTCTTGGAGCGTTGGACGTATCCGAAAGGCGCCAGGGAATGGCATTAGTAGAAGCGGCAGAATAGCATGGCGTCGCCTTTTTTGTATCTACATCGACAGACCGCGGCGTCAACTCGTACAACAAAAGCACTGATATTCTTCATTTCAAGACAAAACAGGCTATCGAGCACCGTCTGGTTGAAGGAGCTGGGGCAGCAGGTAGGACGATGCGCTGGACAATACTGCGACCAGCCGGATTCAAGGAAAATTTCGAAGCCGGTTTCGTAGGCAAGATTGCGGCAGGAGCCTGGAGAATAGCTACACAAGATCGACAATTTGCCATGATTGCCACGAAAGGTATGGGTTAGTTTGCTGCACCGGCCTTGCTCCAGCGGGACGAATGGGCCGACCGTGGAGTGTCTCTAGCCTGTGAGAGCGATACATTTGACGAAGCAAATGCAATTTTCAAGCCGAAAGTTGAATACCCCATACCAGAAACCTCTGGCTTGCTCGTTCGGATGATCTTGCACGCTGTGCCGAATCTTGGCAAGATGTTTCGATGGATAGGCACCGAGAAGTGCGGAGCCGATATTCCGGCACTTAGGGCTCAGCATCTAGCTATGCTGACCTGGCAAGAGTGGATCGAGTTACATTACGGGGGGAAGAAAGAATGGACATGTCACACAGAGAGATAGGTCTTGGCAGGAGAAATTGCAGCCGTTCCGTGCTTTGGTATTGCTTGGCGGCGTAACCCTTTGGTGATCCATCTGATGTGGTTTCACGCAGCCCAACTCGATCTTCTCATTGTTGCTGACACCGAATAGTCTATACAACACACATATATGATTACCTAAGATATGAAATATTAATACAGGCCGTAGCTAAGGCAAATCGTACGAAAACTCGATGCTAGTATTGAGTTCACATGTGCTAGAAACTGTATATTAACGAGAAAGTCTCAGTGAAGCGGCAAACGATCTAGTGAAACGGGCATCACCCTCTATTTCGAAGAATAATTGTGTGAGTATTCTTGAAGCACACCAGAGACCTCATAATTCCGCATGACGGAAATTACCGCGGGCATCTTTTGGCTCCTTCATACACTGCCCAACAGCCCAACGTTTGATATTAAACTTCGACGTATCGAAGCTTGGGCTAGAAGCAAACAGCTGCCTGAGCCTCGAACACTAAAGCTTGATGCAGCTTGATGCCGCTTTAAAATCTCACTGAATCCCTCGAAACTTGCCTATGCCCTGTATCTGCAATCCCCAGTATCACATCAATCCGCACGATGATGCAACCCTTTATTGAATTTGTACCAAATCCTGGGCCCAAGCCACACTTGATGCGGCCACTACGTGTACACGCGATGCCGTACCCGGGGTGGGCCAGTGAATTAGCAAGATTCCCAGATGTTGGTCAGGGATTTGAGCTGCGCATCCGTTTTAGGCAAGTCAATGTACACTCAGTACCGAATAGCTTCTTGATATCTAAACTGCTTTTGATCTAGAATGGACTGCACTGCCGGCGACTCGCAAGCAGTGGGCCTCGTTGAGGCGTTTGGGTTGATATTGCGCGTTTCCGCATATACGATGATAGATGTATGGAGAGTTGGCTTACAACTACTCGACTATGTGATTCTAACACCTGTAGATTCCCATCAATGAGATTGCTGCATTGACAGGATCAAGACTGTCAAGCTTCTGACCAGATGGCGGATGCATTAGCTTGAGCACGAAAGCTCCTGTCAGCCACACTTTGCCCAGACTGGCTTCGCGCGGCACTGGTTTCTTGAAGGATCAATGACACGATATACGAGGCTGAGCTGGTGTTTGCCGCGTGTGCCTGGCTTATTCTCACCAATAGCGTAGCTGGAGCGGCCCGCATGAGCTCCTAGCTCGGCTATGGCTATAGGGCATGCGGATGGGCCTATCGCGAGTTTGCTTTAAGCGATTGACTAATAATAGAAGATAGATAGGATTTATTGGTAACGATTATGCTTTTCAAGGATTCATGGTGATGGTTTCTTTCGGTTAAAGAGTCATTATTGATTGTTGTGAGGCATTGCCGCGGCGAGGATATATATCTTCTTGGCGGAACCTATTTCAACTTCTCTTCAGGACACAATAAAAAAAGACCAAAACTCATAATCCTTTACTCCAAATTTGCTGTAATTTGTTATTACGTCCATATCCTCTATCTTGGCAAGTCTAATGGCAACTCCAACGACTCATTTGGCTTCTTCAAGCACTACAAGCACCGCCGAGCCGACCTGCACCACTGCTGTTCCTGGCAAATATGGTGAAGTGCCCATCATCGCCTGCAATTCCAATTACAATGCAATTCCAGCCTTCATTCCTGCTGTGGTGGTGACTATCCTCTTTGGTGTGTTCACATTGATTCACCTTGCCGAGGCAATCATATTCAAGAAGGTCAGTAATCCCGGATTTCTCTATGGCTCCTCATCGTGACATAGTCGTCTTACATGCAAGCAGGGATATGCCTGGGTCTTGATCATGGCTGGCTCTTGGGAGACGATAGCCTTCATCTTCCATTCCATCGGTGCACACGATCAGCAGAACGTTACGTTTGCCACAGTTTGGCTAATCCTCTTTCTGTTGGCGCCCCTCTGGATCAATGCTTTTGTCTACATGACCTTTGCACGCATGGTTCATGTATACATTCCCGACAGGAAAGTTTGGATTGTCAAAGCCTCACAGATATCAAAACTCTTTGTGCTGGCAGATATCCTCTCCTTCATTGTGCAGGCCGCTGGTGGTGTTCTAGTCTCTCCAGGCGTCTCTCCTTCTACACAAGAAATAGGAATGCACATCTATGAGGGTGGTATCGGGCTGCAGGAGCTTTTTATCCTCTGCTTCATTGGTCTCATGATTGCCTTCCATCTCCGCATCAACAAGCTCAACAAGGAGCGGCCTTTACTACCAGAGGAAGTCAACTTGAATCCGGCCAACGGAGAACACCGTCGAGAGACAGAGAAGCCAAGGGGTGCTCTAACGCTGCTGATTGCTCTTTACGCTGTGCTGGCATTTATTACGGTTCGTGTTTTTCCCGCCAAACTTGACTCAGATTCTCCCTTGACTTGATGTACTAACGGAATGTCTTCTTCTAGATGCGCATCATATTTCGCCTCGTCGAGTTTCTCGGTGGCCGTGATCCGGACAGCAACCCCATCCCTTACCACGAATACTATTTCTACTCCCTCGACGCATTCCCGATGTTGGCCGCCTTGCTCATCTTGGCCGTGATCCACCCCGGACGGTTCCTCACGGGCCCCAACAGCAGCCTTCGAGATGCAAAGAAAGAGGAAAAGAGGGTGAAGAAGGCTGAAAAGAAGGCCATGAAGGAGCAGAAAAAGATGGACAAGGAGGCTAGGTCGGGCGCTTATGGACAAGTTTGAGAGGAAACTTGTCTACATCTCCGATTTGGGGTCCTTCTTGCGTTTTAATATGAAAGGGTTACCATAATTCTTCGCCATGTTCGCTACTGGTTTTTTCTTCGTCTTTATTCTTTTGCTGCTTTTTGCTTTGCGGATTAGAGGGGCAGGTGTCACAGCGTCATCTTGGTGTGACGAGGACAGACGGAAGAACTGCTTATACCCTATTACCTGATATCACCTTAGATTAATCAATAATGGATTTCCACTGAAAATATCCTTTCTTCTGGTAAACGAGGATTATCCATAGCTCTCACTAATATTATGTGTGTGCCTAAAAGGGAAAATGATGATGGGGTGGGGCCGGAGACGGTCCGCCTTTTCCACCTTCGTCCGTCCTCGTCCGGGTCAAAATTCCTGGTGCTTTTTGTGTCTGTGACCTCGGCTTTAACAGTGTCTTCATATGCTTCTCGTCACGAGTTTCTCATGGAGAACGCCTTGAAGTGAATTCGGAACGCTCATATACGCTCCACAGAGTGTATTCGACCTCTCTTGTTCAACGCTTAGATTTTGTTGTAGCAAGGTTCCAAGATCTCACTTTCATTTAGTGATTTGCTCATACCTGGGCTAAAGTGAGACACAGCACGCTAGTCCAGCTGTAAGATGTAAAGAAAAGGATGACTCCTCGGCAAAGGTGCCGATTCACTCCTGAATATCTTGGAATTTCCCCAGATGGCCAATGGGATTAGCCGTACAGCCGATAGCCTTGATACCCGTTGTAGCCTTGATTGCCGCTGCTTGCTTCTCCGCGGCGCTAAACTCAAAAGCCGGATTCTAAGCACACGCTGACAGATCATTCAGTGATACCCCATATTGGGGTAAAGGCCTATATAGAATAGGACTTTCTGAAAGAGGTTTTCATTTGCCAAGACTTTTAATATGGTTTACTGCAGGTGGAATATCTCATTACTGAAACTATCACGATGGCAGCTCCAGACGAAGTCGAGAATGGCATTCAACTTATGAGTGGCACAACTAGCGAGGCGGAGACAATCGTGTCGAGCCCCCTGGGCCCTAGCCCGTTGGTATTCAACGACCCAAACGATCACGAAAATCCCAAGAATTGGTCATTACTGAGAAGGCTGTTTATTACTTTCATATGGATAGCGGGAAACTTGGTAGCCTCGGTGTCCTCCAGCATTTTCAGCAGCGGCGCTCAAGCAATCAGCGAAGAGTTTGGCGTGGGACCAGAGGTTGTTACTCTCGGAGTCAGCCTCTTTGTTGTCGTAAGCTGTCAAGAATCTTCCATCTCATCTAGAAAGATATGTTTTGGCTAACGTGTTGGCCTTGATCGCAGGGCTATTCCGTTGGACCGCCTTTCTGGAGCCCGATATCTGAACAGTTTGGAAGACGATACCCAATGCTTGCGGGCATGGCCCTCTTCACCATCTTCTGCATCCCGGTTGCCGTTGGAAAGAACTTGCAAACGATTCTCGTCGGACGATTCTTGTGCGGAGTAACTGGTGTAGCGCCCATCGCTCTCTTTGGTGGTGGCCTAGTCGATATCTGGCACCCAGAGCAGCGTGCAATTGCCATGGCTACCGTCGTTGGCATAGTTCTTGGTGGCCCTTTGCTGGCTCCGGTCATGGGGAACTTTATCACTGCTAGTCATCTAGGCTGGCGGTGGACTGGCTGGCTAAGCTGCATCATGGGAGGATCATGTACAGTTCTCGTTTTCTTTGGACTGCCAGAGACATATGCCTCTATAATTCTGCAGAGGAGGCAAAGGCTGGACCCGGCTTTTAAGAATGCACCAAAGGAAACGGGGAAATGGCGTAAATTTGTCCGTGTCTATTTGGTTCGACCCTTTGGTAAGCCTTCCTCTTTGTCCGCGTTTTATTCTTGCATCTTATTGAAATGTGCCTCTACAGTACTCCTTGGAACCGAACCCATCCTCGTTCTCATGACTCTCTACCAGGCATTTGTCTATGGAATTCTATACATTGTCTTCTCGTCATATCCCATCATCTTCCGCGAACAGCGCCACTGGAAGCTTGGCTTGTCATCGCTTCCCTTCTTAGGAATGATGGTTGGTGTTTTCATCGGATCTGCCATGATTGTCACACGTACAGTAATAGCTCAGCATGCCAGCCGCAAGAAGATGGCTGAAGATCCCTCTGGAACCCCACCACCACAAGCACCTGAACGACGTCTACCGCTGATGATGGCCGGCAGCGTTCTTCTCCCCATTGGACTATTCATTTTCGGATGGACCTCTGCTCCCAACATTCCCTGGGTCGGAATGATCATTGGCAGTCTATTTGTCGGATCTGGCTTACTGTGTGTCTTTGTCACGGCGATGACATATATCCTAGATGTCTATTCACACGTCGCAAATAGCGCTCTAGGAGCAAACACTATCGTACGGTCCCTATTCGCCGCCGGGTTTCCATTATTTGCGAGTTACATGTATCACGGGCTTGGTGTGGCGTGGGCGTCAAGCGTTCTTGGTTTTGTCAGTGTTGCAATGATTCCAATCCCAATCATCTTTTACAAATATGGACCACGCATCAGAGCGCTTTCTAAAAATTTGATGGTATGAGAGAGCGTTCGCGATTGTCATGTTAGCGTTACATACAAAAGTTTAGCGTTATAGGTTGGATAATCTAATTTGATAATATGCTAGTGATAAAAGATATTCACACTCACAGGGGACATCAAACTAAGGAATTATAAATATTGGTCAGATATGATATAATGGTGTACGCTTGACCAGATTACATTGTATTGCATATGATGGCAAATACTGCTACAGTTGCAGAAAGTGCTCACGTTACGGACTAAAGAATATCGACCTTCAAACCAAATGATATATGTCGAGCTCATTTCGACAATCCTTTATAACCATGCCACGCTAAAACGATGAAAGCAGCAAAGAGCGATGTCGCTCCAGTCACAATAACCATAGGCTCGTACTTGTTGCCCGCATAATGCTCCCGAATAGCTTCTCTCGGCGCCATCAACTCCGCACTCAAAGGCCCAACCAAGATATTGCCCACGCCCATCAAAAACACAAATATGGCGTACGTCGCAAACACCGTAGACGGGTCATCGCTGACGGCTCGACCCATCGCCACTCGCATCGTTCCGAATCCGAAAGCAAAGAAACCGTAGATGAAGCTGAAAATGGCAAGAAGCGGCAGTGACTTGGCCAAACCCCAGAATGTGAAGGACGCAGTCGCCGCAAACGCGCAGCAAATGGTCATTAACACACTGACGGGAAGGCTCTTGTCTGAGAGGTAGCCAAAGGCGAATTGTCCAAGAACCTGTGCGATTGACATGAGGGAAACCAGCAACGCACCCTTGACGGACGAAATGTCAAATAGCGAGGCATAGGATGGCAAGAAGACGACTGGGAAAAAGAAACCGATGCCTTGAATCAGAACTGCAGAGCCATAGATCCAGAAAAGGGGCTGCTTCAGAAAGTCCCAGTTGATCCTCGCCAGATTGGCCTGATCGGAGGCTGGCAATCGAGCCTTGAATAGCGGAAGCAACGGAGCAGTCAAAACCGCCATCGCAATAGCACAAGCCCTAAGCGTGATTTTATACCCATATCGTCGAAGAAGAGCATCGATGATGAATGGAAGAACTGCTCCCGTGGCACCAGAAGAAGCAGAAATGAGCCCAAACGCCATGCCCTTTCGCGCAACCCACCACTCGTTTACCATGCTCACGATGGGCATTGAAATGAGCACGAAGCCAAGTCCATAGAGCGCTCCTTGTGTGGCGATGAGTCCATTGACGGAGGAAGTAAAGGACGCTGATAAAAGTCCAGTTATACTCAGGACCCAGCCGAGATAAATTTGATGCCGCTGGTACTTGGGAAACTTTCTCGCCAACATGGCTGAGAAGGGCGACCCAAAGTAATAAAAGCCGGTGGACAAGACTCCAACGACGGGGATCCGGACGGTGTCGTTTTTAAACTCGGGTACGTCAGAGTAGTATCTCTGGAAGACTCCGTAGCAACCAGGAAATCCTATCCACCGGTTAGTCTGCTGTATTTGGGGGGAAATTAAGTGATATCATGTACCCCAGAATAACGCATCAAATGCAAATGCGCCTAGAAGTGTGCACCAGGCATCACGTCCTCGATCCACGGGTTTCAGCTCCTGCGTAACAGCTTCGTTTTCGTTGGGGGTATTAACCGCTTCATTGCGACTCTGGGAATAGAGCTGCGACAACTCAATTTCCAACTGTCCTCTTTCAAGCTCTCCATCTCGTTCGCCTATTTTGTCGCGGGAATGAGAATATCGTGGCGATAGTTCATATTCCACTTCGGTAGTTGTTTCCGTGGCACTCATGGCTCAATTGCTCTCTTCTTTTCACCAATTGAGTCTATAAACAAACAATGCGTCCACCAAGAGTAACAAACACAAAACAAACCAGAACTAATCCTCAATTCAACCTCCTCTCTTCAACACCATTAATACCCCCAAAAGCTTCCAGAATCAACGATTCTACTTCCCCACAAGCCTAGCGCCCGCAAATCGCGATGTCGGAACCCGACCCTAGCCGTAATTTTCTTAATTTTCTTCGACAGCGGGGCTCATTGAGTTCCACACAAAGTTCGGTATGAGTCAATAAAGAGCATCTGCGCCTTTCCAACTACAAGCAGATGGAATTGTCCAAAGCTTATTGCTAGATTGCTAGGGGTTCTTCGGCTATGGTTTTAACCGCCTGCAAATGCCGGGGCTAAGAGCGTATCACGTCGAGCCACGAGGCAATCCACAACGAATCTCATCTCTCAAAGGCGCGCCTTGTATCTATAGATCTATCTATCGAACCTGCATAAGACATCATCATGACGATATCAAATCGCCCAGTATAATAACAATACACATAATAATAATACATCTAATTCCTCACCTCTCCATCTGTCTTTGGCTTCGTGCTCTGCCTCACAAACTTGGTGTGATGTCCCTTTGTCACCAGCGTCTTCTTCTCCTCACCATCCACAACCTCGACCTTTTGAATCAAAATCGTCACAAACGCCATCGATCCTCCAACTTTCTCCGCCGTCGCTACAATCTCCACGACGTCTCCCGCTCCCGCGGCGCTGCTCAAGTAGCTAATGTGCATGTCGACGCTCGCGCCCGTCTTTTCCCTCAGGTCCCATGAAGCAATTGCCAGTCCAGTTGTGAAGTCAATGAAGGCGGCTGAGACCGCGCCATGTAGACCGCCCTTGGAATTGAGATGCGTAGGCGTAAGAGTGAGGCGGCTGATGACGGTGCCAGCGACGACGGAGGTTTGCTTGATGCCGGAGAGGAAGATGTTGTATATGCTGCTGTTTTGAAGCAGCCAGTTGGACAGCTGCTCGACGTGGGCTGTCCTCTTGGCTTCGAGTTCTAGCTGTTCTTGTGATGCCATGGTCGTGTATCTTCTTATTCCTCGCCCTTAGAGAGGTGATAAGTGAAAGAGGATGTGAGTCGTATGTTTGTGAAATGTTGAAGTTGAGGCTCCACAAGAAATTGGTGGAGACTTCAGTCCATGGCTTCAGTCTTATCGCAATCAATCTCAAGCGCCACTGCAATGTATTCTGAGCCTCACTTCACTCGGCAACTTCGAATCATTTACAAACATTTGCGATATGAGGACTGTAGGTAGCAAGATTTATAAGAAACACTATTACATTTAATAGAGGACTCAATATATTATACCTCTAAATAGAAGTCGTCCGAGTTATATTAAGGCAAATATACGCATGCTTCATCAATACATTAAGCCATTCATCCCAGAAGTAGATCACAGCATAACAGCAATCGCCCAGCCAAGAGCGAAGACACCAGCAACGAGGCTCATCTCCAATCGCGAACCTGCACTGGGAGGAATAGTTGGGGGAGCGCTGGGCTGACTTCCGCCTCCATTTCCACCGCTTCCACCGCTTCCACCCTCTCCACCAGATCCTCCAGTAGGCTCTGAGCCGCTTCCTCCAGAGGTCTCGCTGCCTCCGTTTCCTCCGGAAGGTTCACTGCCTCCGCTGCCTCCAGTTGGCTGGCTTCCGTTGCCGCCGGTGGGAGAACCGGAACCGCCGTTGCCACCGCTGCCACCACAGTTGGAACCGGTCGAGCCGGTGGCACTGGCACAAGCACACACGGAAGAAGCTCCGGTGATGACAGCTTGCAGAGAGGCTGCAGGACAAGCTGTCGCAACGCAAGGAACGAGAAGCTTGGTCAAGCTGGCCTGGGCTGCTGGCTGGCACTGGCATGCGTAGTCGGTCACGTCGCAAGAGATGATAGGAGCAGCACTCGAGAAGCAGGCCTGAGCACAGGAGGGAACAGCTGTGCTTGCAACGGCACCGCAGTCGGGAGACTCCGAGACGCAGGTAGGAGAAGCACCGCCTCCACCACCAGGAGTCGTGGTAGGAGATCCGTTACCACCACTGTTGCCAGGACCTCCAGGACCGCTAGAGCTGCCACCGGGGGGACCAGCGGGGCTGCTGGATTGACAAGTTCCAGGGGCAACAAGCGTAGGTGAAGCACTGGCGCATGCGCAGACTACAAGGAAGACGGGTTAGCATGGCAGTTCATCAACAGGAAGATATAAAGTATAGATTCTTACCTGAGCTAGCTCCAGTGATGACGGCTTGCAGAGAAGCAGGAGGGCAGGCCGTTGCCACACAGGGAACGAGCAGCTGAGTCAAGCTAGCCTGAGCCTCAGGCTTGCACTGGCAGTCATAGTCATGGACATCGCAAGGAATCTTGGGTGCAGCGGATGTGAAGCAAGCCTGAGCACATGAAGGGACCGCTGAGCTGGCGACGGCATCACAGGTCTTGACAGGCACTGGCTGGCAGTTTGAGCCAGTAGCTGAGGTTACAGGGCCGGAGCTTGTGACTGGGGGTGGTGGGTAGTAAGAAGAGCCACCTCCGGGTTGTGATCCGCTGGGTCCTCCTGTGGTTTGAGATCCTCCGGGGCCAGTGGTTGTGGCAGGTGGCGAAGTTCCACAGTCGCCAGGGCTTGGAGGAGCAGTGGCACAAGCACACACTAGAAAAGAGGTGGTTAGTAGGACAACTCATCGAGATATCAGTCAGTGTATTTGTCTCTTACCTTGAGAGGCACCGGAAATGACAGCTTGGAGAGAAGCCGCAGGGCAAGCAGTAGCAACGCAAGGGACAAGCAGCTGAGTCAAGCTAGCCTGAGCGGCAGGTTGGCACTGGCAAGCATAATCGTTAACGTCACAAGGAATCTTGGGGGCAGCGCTGCTGAAGCAGGCCTGGGCGCAAGACGGGACGGCACTGCTGGCAACCGGGCCGCAGTCAGACGTAGTTCCGGGGCTGCAAGTCGTGTTGGGACCACTAGGCTTAGAGGTCGTTCCAGGAGGAGCCGAAGTGCTCTCGCTGGTGGAAGTAGAGCAAGGGGTCTCTGACGATGACGCGGGAGGCTTAGAACTCTCTGCAGTTGTGGTTGCTGAAACTGAAGTGCAAGGGGTTGTTGGATGAGCCGTAACACAGCCGCAGAGGGAGCTGACTTGGTTGAGGACGTTGAGGGCACTGTTGCCACAGGCTCCTACAACACAAGTAATAGCAGCTGCCTGGATAGCATCGCTTTGGACGCATTGGCACCCATAGTCAGAGAGACCGCAGCTGGCTTGAGTGACTGCAGCGGATTCAATGCAAGGTTTGGCACAGTCGTAGACGGCATCAGCACTAGCCTGGCAGGGAGAAGTAGAGTCGCAGCCGCCAGGGGCAGTCGTGGTGGCTGGACCTGTGGTGATGGGACCGGTTGTGGATGAAGGAGGCGTTGTAGTGACGGACTCTGTGCAGTCCGAGGTAGACTCAGTCGTAGCCGGAGGGCTGGTCGTGGTAGGGGGCTCCGTCGTAGTCGCAGGAGGTCCAGTCGTAGTAGCAGGAGCTGAGCAGGGAATGGTTGGGGAAGCCGTAACGCAGCCGCAGAGAGAGCTGACTTGGTTGAGAACATTGAGGGCACTGTTACCACAGGCTCCTACAACGCAGGTGATAGCAGCGTCTTGGATAACGTTGCTCTGACTGCATTGGCACTCATAGTCAGTGAGACCACAGCTGGCTTGGGTAACTGCAGCAGATTCGATACACGGCTTAGCACAGTCGTAAACCGCGTCAGCACTGGCTTGGCATGGTGAGGAAGAATCACAGCCAGCAGTTGTGGTATGGGGAGGAGCCGTAGTTGTTGGGGGGGCTGTAGTCGTTGGAGCCTCTGTAGTTGTTGGAGCCTCTGTAGTGGTTGAATCTTCTGTACATGTAGTCGTGGGGGGAGCGGTAGTAGTCGCCTCCGTTGAGCAAGGAACCGTTGGGGAAGCCGTAACGCAACCACAGAGAGAGCTGACTTGGTTGAGAACGTCGAGGGCACTGTTGCCACAGGCTCCTACGACACAAGTAATGGCAGCTGCCTGGATAGCATCGCTTTGGACGCATTGGCACCCATAGTCAGAGAGACCGCAGCTGGCTTGAGTCACGGCAGCAGACTCGATACACGGCTTAGCACAGTCGTAAACAGCGTCAGCGCTGGCTTGACAAGGCGATGAGGAATCACAGCCAGCAGTCGTGCTGGGAGGAGCTGTAGTAGTTGCTGGAGGTTCTGTGGTTGGGGGAGCTGTAGTCGTGACCGGGGCAGTTGTGGGAGGCTCATCCGTGCAGGGAGTAGTTGTCGGCGGCGCCGTCGTCGTGATAGGAGGTGGTGCCGTTGTGCTCGTTGAGCAGGCACTTGTCGGGCTCGCCGTGACACAACTACACAAAGCGCCAACTTGATCCAGGACACCAATAGCTATAAGCCACTTGTTAATAGGAAGTACACAATTTAGATCTATCGAGCCAGTACGAACCACCCCCGAAGCCACAGGCTCCTATGATGCAGTTTGCAGCTGCACCCTGAATAACGCCTTGCGCGTTGCATTGGCATGCATAGTCTGACGTAGCGCAGGCTGCTTGAGTGACAGCGGCAGACTCGATACACGATGTTGCACAGCTGGCAACAGCATCAGCACTGGCCTGGCAAGGGTTGCTATCGCAGTGTGGTGTGGTGCCCGAGACGATGCGAGCAAGAGCCAAAAGGCCCACGGCTCCGACGGATTGTCTCATTGTCGAGTGATGAGGACAGGTTGAGTCCGAGACAAAGCCTGAAGAACCGCTGTGGGGAGCAGAAAGGGCTGCCGGATCGACAGATATATACTTCTACGCATGATTTACAAAAGATCCGGGGAATCAAGGGCTTCCCGTGTTTACATGGAGTCGCCGGCCCGGTGCCCAATGCCACTCTCCGCATAATGCCTGCCCCCAATAGCATCTCATGGACTGAATAGAGTAACAGTAGCAGCCTCGTATTTAATTTTAAAAAACCTGCAGTTGGTGCAGCTCTTCCTGCACGATGATCAGCTAAAGCCAGCAAAGGATGGGTTGCTCTTGTGGGTTATTGGCCCATATACACGGCGATGGTCCGAATGCAGCATCGAGCAAGACGGTGAGGTGGAGCCGGCCGATGAAAGGGGGGCCATTGGGAAGAGAATCCTTGCCATCCACACGTTTCTCTGAAGGGATTGCTCTCACTTCTCACGCTGGTTCGCTGCGCTCAACTTTCGATCAATGCGGGGAGAGAAGCAGCCGATGGCCCGAGAAGACCCAGAACCCTAGCTAGGCGTCAATTGGGCTCACATCGACCCCGGAAATCTCGTATACGAATACCCATCTACAGTCCTACACATGCCATTTGTTGAAGCTGAGCTGAACTACGGATTTAGGGGGAGTTGTTCAGATACGCTGGCCTTGCCGTGGGCTTTCCGTAGCGCTGCCAAAATCAAATTATTGGCTTGGCTTTCAAAGGAGAAGCACTGTCTACATAGCAAGTGACTTATTTTTCTGACCGCGCTTCGGGAAAATTCTGATCTGTGCTGCTCGTATCCACCACGGTAGCCCGTGAGGCCCATTTGAGCGGATAATGTGCCCAATTTGCGCTCCTCTAGCGTCTGTTCAGCTGGCAGAGGTCACGACGAATGTGGTCATAGAGCATGGATCTGCATCAATGTTGAGTCAGTGCAATGGACCTGAGCCCAGGTTTTTATCAATGCTTCTGCCGGAGAAGCTGCTCCTATAAGTATGGGCCGATCAGTCTTTGGTAGATTGCTACAGTTTCCACTCTTTCCGCCGTCAAGTCAACGCCAACGCGGATGGAGCCGAGAGACACAGAGACGAAGCCACTCTCGCCGGAAAGCCAATCTTCAGCCACAAGAACGCTTGGTGTGACTGCTAGAATCAGATGTCAGATCGAATCATCAGATGCCCTCGACTGAGCCTCGGCCAGTCAGCGCTTCCGCCAGGAACGAGACGCCACCCGCCAAAAGTCCGCCAGTTTGTCTGATCAGGGCCATCTGCAGGAATTCGCTGCTAGGCCCATAATAGGAAGCCCAGCGGCGCGTTTAACGCAGCGTTACATCCGGGAGGTGGATTCGGTTTAGCCTCATCACCAGAGCGCGGGGAATCCATGCTCGCCATGTAAGCCAGCGAATCAGTCTCACGCACCACAAGCGATGAGTGAGTAATAGTATTCCTCTTGGAGAGGAGAAGAAGCCGAGCAACATGTGATGACGCGACGGTAATTTAACAGAAGACGGGATGACGATGCTACATACGTCCATGTGCGGTTGGTCGCCGGCTTGAATCAATACTGGTGCCTGGCCTATTATGATTCCATTCCCGGGTCGTATTCCCGTTTGAGTAGCAGCCGGGCGTTGTTGGCTAAACATCATAACAAGGAGTAAGCAAGCTATGGATCAGGTTGAGGAGCTACCTGCATGTTCGGGCGAGTTGATGCCGATTCTTGTCGTGACCTGGTTATCGTAACATTGGCCCGACGCAGGATCGGATCGTATAACACCGGTACACGTAAAACATCACTTCCGAGTCAACATCGCCTAGGATGCCCAGGCTGTCGATGCAGCAATCCACTGACCGCCTTTGAAGAGAATGGGACCATTCCGGTGGCTCATAATTCCCAAAGTGAAAAAGACGTCTGTCGGAGGATTTCTTCTTGGCGATGTGAGTGATGGGATGCAGCTGGCAGGGTTTGCGGCGATTTGATCAGGCCAAGCCGGAAGTAGTCCAGAATACGAACTGCTGTACAATGCAAGCAAGGCAACCCAACACGACGCTCTCTGAGCAAGCAGATGGTAAGCAGATGGCGAATTTATTAAAATTTCAGCTTTAAGCTCTACAATTCAAGTTAATAAGATTTATGTATACATATAAGCATCAATGTGATGCATCACCGCCGATCTCCCGCTTCACAGCCACGACTCAACCCCTTTGACCTTACCAACGCCCCACATCTTATCTATCAACTGCGTATCTATCTCAATCTCATGATCCATGTTGCCACGATTAAGGCCAGAGTGGAATCCGGCTGTGGTTTCAGTTACATGGATGAGATCTAGAGCACAAAAGAGATGAGATTGATAAGACGAGATCTACATCACCTGATAATAAAGTTGACCCCCATGGGGCTTAGTCGTACGGTGATATGCGAAATGGGAACTGCAACTTGTACTTCAACTGTGCATACAGAAACCAGAGAAGAGCGCTTCATTCAAACTACCCATTTGGATTATTGTTGGATTGAATGGAGAGGATTACCAAGATCCATCAATTTCTCCATTGAACGACGTTGCTCTTAACAACTGTATTAAACTGCCTAGGACGTAGACTATCTACTAGGTTGAGCGGATTTGCAAAATGGCCACAGCGCTTGACGTTAGATGTTATATTCCAATTGATGCACTGGGCATTAAATCTCTTTTAATATCGCTTCCAATATTATGAATATAGAACCAATAGCCTTTTTACGTCTGCTTAAGACATGGAGATTTCCGACGCACATATTCATCACTACAGGGTAGGCGTTTGTGAATGGGCAGAAGCAGTCACCTTGTCTCCTAACAGCACACCTTCAGCCTTGTTGTTTGATAATTTTTTAAGTCGACAAAACATGATGCTTCATAAACTGACCAAATCCTTCTTCCTCATCTGGAGACGAGAGACCCGATATCAGCTTTCCGGCGCTGATTTCACATTTTGATCAAACAACACCAGCAACGCCCCGCATGGCGTCATAACGAGCTTATATCATGGGTGCGCGCAATTACTAAGAGCTCGGAACTCGCATCAGATCCAAACAAAATCTCAGATGAGTGTTGGTCTCTGAATTCAACAAAGACGTCGTGTAATCTTCTCAAGTATCGTGAAGCAGCCCCCAGCATGTCCGAACAGCCAAACACAAACAAACCGCAGCCGACGCTGGACCATATTGTGATCCTCGTCTCGGCCAGTGACTTGGAACAGCTTCCTGACCGCCTCAAAGACTCATTTGTTGTCAGCCCTGGAGGGACTCACGCCGGAGGCCAGACATTCAACAAGCTAATCCTGTTCGAGGATGGTGTTTACATAGAACTCATCGCATTCACTGAGGGCATCAGCCCCGAGGAGCGGGCAAAGCACAGATGGGGTCGTCAGCGAGAGAACACCATTGTGGACTGGGCATACACGCTGCCCCATGAGAGCGACTTTGGAGCTGTCCAGCAAAGAGTCAGAGATGCAAACGCGGGATTGACGTACAGGGATCCCGTTCCTGGTGGCCGGACAAGACCAGACGGAGTTGTTTTGAAGTGGGCCATTGGAGCTCCCCAGGATGCAAATGGCCATGAGACAGAGCCGGGCATCTTGCCATTTTGGTGTCTAGACAGAACGCCGCGAAGCAACAGAGTGCCATACCAGGAGGACAAGAGGCAGACACAGCATCCTTCTGGTGCCCGTGGAGTTTCTCGGCTGCGGCTCAACGTGCCCGAGGAGCAGCTCTCTTCTCTACAAAGTGTCTATGATGCCATTCACAACGTCAAAAACACAGCGAAAGGCGAAAACGAGTGGCTATTCAACACCCCGGACTCATCAGCAAAGGCACGACATACTTTGGGGGTGGCATCGGAGAGCGGGCCAAAGATTAAGCTGGCATTTCAGGGAAGCGTTGGCAGTCCGTCGTTTCTGGAGATATTGCCTGGTATTGTGGTGAAATTCGAGGCTTGATTGCGAAAGTGATGGGGAATGGGCCGGTACAATTTCGAACAGGCATCAGATAGGTACCTCGTAATAGGAATTCAATCGAGAATTTACAATCTCTGGCGGTGCATGTGATTTGCAGAAATGTGTTGCAATACATCGTCGACAGCATCTTCTATTCAATCATACCTACCTACCTAGGTATGTAAGCTTACATGTACTGTGTGGTCAATATATATTCACACGGTACATCGGCGAATCTTTTGCGCAATTGTGCTGTTGTGGAGACATCGATGGTACTTGTCTCACCATACTGACCAGCAGCGGGCAGCAGGTACCCAGTTATCGCTCTCATAAAGCTGGCTGGACCGCGACGCGCCTGGAGCTTCCATCGTCAACATTTGCTCCTCCATCTTGCAGCTTCACCGCAGTCACGCTGCCTCTTGTCGACTGTATTTTTCGTACTAGAATTGCTCAGTTACGCACAGAAAAGGTCATCCACAGCTTCTTGACCTTCGAATCCCGCCTTTCCAGGCGCAATCGCATCCAAGATGCCTTCCGACGAGGTCGATAAAGCTACCGAGGATGCAAGCACGCAGAACGACGTCGAGATGGACGAAGGCGAACAATCACAACAGGCCGCAGACACGGAAAAACCCGAAGAGAGTAGCGAACGTGCTCCCCCGGCGAGCATGGAGGCCCCAGAAGATGACGACGTTGAATCAGATCCTCCAGAAGCCGAGCGCAAGACGTTTGCCAGCAGCTTGACGAGCCCAATTGTGACTTTGCTAGTTGGCAAAGAAGAGCCCACGCTGCTCACGGCGCACCAGGCATTCCTCGTTCGAAGCCCGTACTTTGAGGATATATGCGGCAAGTTTGCCGAGGACGGTAGCGTACGGCTTCCCCCGCTATGGGAGTCATGACCATAAGCTAATAGATGCTCAGCCTCGCCATATCGAGCTCCCTGACGAAGACATCGATGCCGTCGGCTGCTTCCTCGAGTTTCTCTACACAGGCGAATACTTCCCTCGCAAGCTGTCAGGCCAGCGATCACTCGAGAACGACCCCAGTGTCCCCGCCATCGACGACTCGGGCTCCCAGCTCCTTAAGCATGCAAAGATCTATACACTGGCTCAGAAATGGGGCGTCTCTTCTCTCCAGACGCTGGCATCATCCAAGATTCACTGCATCAACTCAACAGTCAAGGGAGAGATCGAATATGCGCGCTACGTTTACGCCAACACCGCCATCGATGATACAACCATTCGTGCACCTGTGGCCAACTTCTGGGCCACCAGGTCGCATACGTTGCGGTCTGAGGCCGAAGATGAGTTCAAGGCATTGTGTCTGGAGTTTCCGCAATTTGGTTTCGATATTTTGAGTACGTCTTTCACCACTCCTCATGGCCGATGTGTCAAGCTCACGAACCTAACCTTCTCTAGCTCGTGTTTTGGACGACAAGCTCAAGAGAGAGCGCAACGAAAAGATGCATCCTTCCACTGGCAGCGTTCGCAAGCGCCCTCGACACGGCAGCGGTGGTGCTGCGTAAGATACGGGTTGCTCCCTATACAACAGACTTTGCTTTTGGGTTTGGTTCGGGCGTACAATGCGGTGAGCTCTAGCTGGCTTAGTGTGTTTGAGGCGACATGGAACGGTTTTCTCTGGCTATATATGATGCGACGAATTGAATGCTCTGCTCAAGTAATTACCAGCATGGCGCAATGTGCGTTAATTGGATAGGGTTGAACGCAAGTCAATGCCGTCCATGTGCTGACGGGGAGAAACAGCCGAAGTAGCTGCTTGTCCATCTTGTCATGGCCTTGATCAGAATGCTTTCCAGGCTGCCATATGCGACGTGATAATGATACGTGATTAAGTGAGGAATTTATGTTGAAACACTTCAGTATGGAAACTGCTTCGTATATTGCGGTTCTATAGGTGCTGGCCTTCTCTGGATGTCTGCACTCTTTTCTACATCTCTTGACTCCACCACAATATCTTATGGCTGGCAAGCTCAATACGCATGACAACAATATTATGACTTACAATATGTCCAAGTGTGGAATGCTATTTGCAATACTTCTGCAATTTCTGCTGCTTTTATACCAAGTCAACCCCATATCTAAGGAGTGGGATTCCTGCCGTTCATCATTGAGCAATGCATTTCTTTAATGCCACAAGAACTGGTATCAAGAGCCATAAATTGAAGCACTCGTCCAACAACTTTAACCTTGGCAACTGTTCAGGCCTCGTGCACGTTGGTGCATTTACAATACCGGGGGGATACAAGGCCGGTCAACATATGGGACTACAAGAATGTCTACGTTAATCTACTCCTAATGGCGGGAGAGTATGGCATCCTAGAATCAGGATTTGGGTAGTGCTGGATAGTACAGTCACTAGAATAGGACAAAGTTATTCACTTCAAAGCTGTTTACTGGATCGCTTCCCATTATTGCAAACACATACAAGATCTCAAGCTCCAGTATCCAGAAATTACCTTGATATATAGGCTCATACAGCCGAGTGAAGAGTTCAATGAAGTAACGCTTGTTGATTTGGATTGTTAGGTGGCTGATTGCAGTTGCGTGAATTCGAATATTTGTATCTGAGAATTTTCATCATCACCACAACTCCGAAGAGAAGGTCAGCTCTTTCAATGCTAGCCTCAGCTAATTCATCGTTTAGCATCTGAGTGTGAGCACAGCTACTGCGAGATGATAAACATTAGAGTGATCAGCTGGCGGCCAAGTGACAAGATTCAAACAGCTGGGCGTTTGAATAGATAGATAGATAGATAGATAGAGAGAGAGAGAGAGAGAGAGAGAGAGAGAGAGAAGCAAGAAGTACTTGATGTAAGCAGGCCACCTCTCACTATCCAACGTACCTTTCGCATATCAATCTCCTTGTTCTCTTCACTGCACTCATTTGCATTATTCTCTTGACAACTCTCCACTCTCCGTTTGCTTCTCCTATGCTCTCCACGTTTCGTCCGGTAACTTGTTTCCCTCTTCTCTTCTTTCCGATTTCCTTCGCCCTTTCCCGACTCTCTTTTATATTCCTCACATCTTCTTTCTATACGCCTTCGGCTATCTCTTCACGACCAAGCTACGCTTGCAACAAGAACCATCACTCAAGGGGTGATTCGACTCTCTCTTCTCCCGTTTTGGCTCCCAACATATGAGAGGATCCAGTTCAACAACCGATCGTATCATCATGTCTGATCCTTGGGAAGAAGCGGAAACTGATATCCCGGAGTTTATGAAGGATCCCGATTATTACAAACAAGTCTACGATGAGTTGTGTCCTGCTGCCCAAAGAGGATTGCATGCCGTTGGACAGCGTATTATTGACTTCTTCCGGGAGCACGGCATGATAAATGAGGGGACAGAGCTATATGTTGATGAGTATGCAATAGTTGCCGCAGTTGGTATGAAGCCCATCACGAGAGAGGCATTGTCCAAACAAACTCCCAAATACATGTGGGGTCGTGGATCAGAGGCATTCATTGCCAGCTATGTCATCGACCAGCGACCGGCTATGAAGCACGAAGCCTGGACTGCAGCCAGAAAGGTGCTCTCTAAAATTCCTGCACATCCGAGCCAAGCTCCTATTGTCATCGCTCTTCTCAATTCTACCATCGCAAAAGAACGACAATGTTGGGTCCAAGTGGCTACGCTTAGATCGGCCGACACTCTTCAGTCGATTGCAGCTCTAAACATGGAAGCAATCCTCGTCTCCATGTGCTCCTTAGCTGGCATTACCTTTCAGGGAGGTGATCCTATTGACGCAGTTGAGAAAGCCTACTACGATCTAAGTGACGACATGGCTACGCTGCGCAGATATCACCGAAGGCTCGAAGTGCTTAGCGATGAAACAGAGGCAGGAACTGCTACTGTTTCCACCGACATTGAGAAACAATTAGATCGTTTCGAAGAGATATGGAAGGACATCGTTGATAGGCTGTTCCCCGGACGACTCGCCAGCGAGCTGCAATGCATTGCCGATACAATGCAAGACGATATCGACAGAAACAAACTTTGTTCTCCCTCTCACAACGAAGAGCAGTGCCAAAGACAGTCGACGCCCCAAATCATGTACATCGATGAGAAAGATTTGGGTATGAGAGTCATTAGGGCTGCTGATACTTGAGAATATTCGATTGGTATAAGCTCTCTCTCTGGTTACCTGGCCTAAGCTGCTCGAGGCCTTATGCTACGGTGGGCAATATTTACGCCGTTTGGTTTTGCGCGAAAAGAGCTGCGATGGCTCCTAACATTGGGTGTTTCGTATGGATGGAATTGAGAGCTTGGTACTCTCCGCTCTTGCTTAGTCAATTGAACGTTTGCAACTAATCCTTTGTTCGTGATCTTTGCCGTAGACGCAACTCCAGCGCCTTGGATCAAGATATTGGGAATACTGATCAACACTAGCCTAAACTAAACTCAGGTACTGCGCCCTGTGGAGTTGCTCAAGTACATTTCCTCGTGTTTCTCCCCGGAAGGCGTTAGACGGATGATCCGCGAGCACTGCCACTATTAGACGAGGAGTCGATCAACAAAGGAACAACAACGGGTACTTGATCCAATCAGCTTGATCCAAAGCTTTCTTTCAATATCACGGTCAAGTTACATGTACTTCTATCTGCATTATAGACCATGTTGTCATCATCACAAATAGCTACGCTGATCAAAATGGATCGCTGTCGGGTCTTCACAGCTTGTCTCCGTCTTGTTTTTAGAGACTCGTTTCCATGTGGAGTTTGCACGACATTTTATGAGGCAACATTTATCTGGATAGCGCTAATAGCGGCCGACAAATAATATGTCTCCGTGCTCAAAGCCAAATGATACAAAAATAGAAGCCTCGAGAGTTCGCCGTGCCTTGTATAGACTCTCCGATCCACGGACGACAAAAAATACGACATTCTCCTTCAAGCGACTGGCAACTTGCACAGCCCTATTCCAACTCAAGGCACAAAGAATAACACCCATCAGCAGACTCGCTTCTTACAAACACAAGCCACGTATACCAAAAACGTAGCATGTTCAGCCACTGCGTCAGCTCATAGTTCAGAACAAAGAGGATCGTGACTAGGAGACATCGTGACCAACAGGACTTGGCCACGGTCTCGCCACAGAGACTCAACAAAGTTCGAGCGCTTACAGTCTCTTCTGTTCTAATTAAAGAAACCCTACGATCAAGACAGTAGACGGCCAGTTCCTGCAGGATCGCATCGCGACCGCAAAAGGGGAGATCAACGGCCAGCAGCTGCAGGGGTCCAACAACATGGCTATTTACATCCTACACAACAGATGCATCTAGGTAGGAAATAGATGGGGGAATAAGGGGTACGGAGGCGGGTGAAACACCAGACGCTCGTCAGCGCTGAGCTTCAACCTTCAAGTCGAGCAGTATCAAGGTTGTGAAACCTCAAAGCTGCACCGTTTCGTTGGGACAGTGGGCCGGGCAGGAGTGCTAGCCCGAACAGCTTTGAAACAGCCATTAATGGATCTGTGGAGGCGCGCGTCAAAAACGAGGATCCCCGGATATGGATATGGGCAGAGCGGAAGAGCCCGGCTCGACGGAAACGGCCAAGACACGGCCGGCTGAGACAACTTCTATTGTATTCTTCGCCTCGACGGGGAATGCTTGCCATCTAGTCAACAATGCATCATCTCCTTCTGTCTTACAGTTTAATGGGCACTTTAATGGGCACTTTAACAAAGTGGCTGGTGTGGCGTGGTTTTGCCTACACTCACGAAATCTCACATGCCAGACCACAAAAGTGACGACGATAAAATCCAAGAAGTAGAAAGGGAAAAAAAAAAAATTACTGACCATACCGAGAAAATTTTCAGAGCAGCGTGCTCCCTCCCAAAAAGGGCCAAGTGACCCAGCGGAAGCCGTCCGAATGGCTCGCGCTTCGGCAAAATGCAGCTTGTTTGGCGAGACGGGGTCAGATGAGAGGTCCCAAGGCGCACAATTTTGACCAGCAGGGCTGACTGCCCTCTCAAGATGAAAAGAGAAAAAAAAAAAAGGGTTGCCGAGACAGCGAAAACGAAAAGTGCGAGCGAACAATTGATGGTTGTGTGTCTCAGTTTAGGTATGGCATGCAATATACGGAGTACTACAAGCAAAACAGAGACACAGGGCGAGGGAGGGGGCGTGTGGGTTGCGAGCGACGGCCGGCTCTGGAAAGCGACACGCCCCCCTTTGTCTTTGCTTTTGCGTCCTTGCATGGACGAGGAACGTCGACAATGGGATTGGATGCCTGCTCTGGACGCTCGGTGGATTAGTCGCAGTGTCGAAGTGAAGAACAGACAAGTCAGGTACTGTGGAATATGAGAGTATGGGAATGAGAGTGGATGAAAGGGAAGCTTTCAAGGGTTGGCGAGCAACAGAATGGCAGATTGCAAGGTTCTTTGAAAGAAAAAGGCACCATACATCGGCTCCGTACTATAACGAACGGTGCTGTGGCATCGAGACATTTCGCTATAAACTCCAAAGTTACTGTCTCGCGCATTCCATCCAGCCATCAGTACTGTATTCACTGTAGATTGTTCGTATTACGGACGCCACGCAGGGAGGCCGCCCTTGCTGAGGATTCCAAATATGGACGACAGCAGCAAAAAAAAAGGTGCAATGGCTGTTTTGGGGGCCGCATTGTGCAGAGCGCCACAGCTGGGGGGGATGTGAATGGACGAGTTTGACTGCTGACGATGGGACCTCCCTTCATGGCGTCCATCATAAGCAAGCACACTAGACCCTTTTCTTTGAGGGCTGCCTGTCTGGCCGTGCTTACGGTTAGGAGAGACGGTACGGGTATGCCTGTAGCAGAAAATAGAAGCCGAGTACGCAATTTATAACGTACATCTTTGATGGGCTTACGACGCGCACAGACGGTGGTGTAGGGTATTGTATTCATCAAAGGAGAGTGCAAAGCGAAAGGCAATGGGCTGTGAGCATGCAAGTGTCGTAGGGTGGATGTAGCGTGGGAATGATGGAGGAATCTCAAAGAGAGAATGCCACTTACAAAGCAGTGTATCCAAGCCCAAGTCCAAATCCAAGTCTTGGCCTTGGCAGTGTCGTCGCCATCTTTGACATGCCCGATGTCAATCCTACAATTGTCAACTGGTGGTGACAGCCACAAGCCAATAGAAGGCGGCCTCTCCACCGCGAGAACCCGCACCGACTCGCCACTCTCAACAGCATCTCTGTCCTCCCAACTCCGTCCTCGCTTCAAGACGCTCCAAGACGCTCGGATCGTCGTGGTCATGCGGACTAATGCAAAAAGAGTCCGGCAGCAGTTGTGCGTCACCGCGGTGAGACTCGTGAGAGAGAAGAGCAGACTAGCACCATCGGACCCGAAGCGATAGCGCTTGTCGACTAATGATGTCGCCTGGATAAGATGCTGGGCTCGCATACAGGCTCGCAAAGAGGATAGATTGGATAGATTGGATAGGCAGACGCGGTCGCGAGTGTGTCATTGCCATGGCCGTTTGTGGATGGATGGGGCATGCAGGACCCAGTCCCATGACTTTTTCCCTCTCAGCTAGCCCGGTAGTTGACAACCGTCAGTGGCATTCATCATTGGGTGCTAGTCTGGCCATTGCGTAGCAGGTTCGCGTAGCGCATCTAGGACTTTTCCTTTGCCATGACGCTTTGCCTTGGGTCTGTTTGCCTTGGTTTGCCGCGATATCGTCATGATGGCAAATGTCGTCGAGGCCTACTGGGTCTGTTGGGGGGAGGGACAGGTGAAAATGAGGCTCTTCGGACAAATGCCTGCACGTCAGCGAGGCTGTGATCCGGAGAGATTGGGGATGCCGCGATCGGGTGTCGCCATCGGTGCATCAGGGCATCACCATCGGCCTCTGGTTGCCTCTTCCTTCTTCCTAGCACATGAGTGAGGCAGTGAAGGTGAACAAGTCTGCACAGGATTGGTGTTTGCCAAAGTGACCGACAGCCGGCAATCTCCTGGAGGTGTGGCGCTGGGCCGTGGCTGGTGGCTCACTTAGAGTACAGTGGAAGTTAGGGCCCTTCAGGGTCTTAGCGAGGGGCCACAAAAACTGGGCGGGTTCAGTCAGGTCCTGGGGGAGGGAGGGAGGGGGGAGCAGGCAGCACAGCCCAGGCGGCTGAAAAGCTGTTAAACAGGAGCCTGGGCTTTAGTGGTCTAGTACGGAGCACTATCTACAGCGATGACATGACAGGCATGATGCCCTGTCGACAGTGCCCTTGCAGCGGGCCATTGATGTTAGTGCTCTGGTGGTCGCTCTGCGGAGTGCGCTAACAGGGAGCGCCTAGATGCGGACCGACGCCATTGCCCGGCGTGTCCCGCTCTCCACCGTCTAGGACTCAACCTTGAAAGCTTCAATCGATTGTGGCTGTCCACAACCCCAGGAAGCACCGCGTCCACCGAGCCGATCCTAGAGTCGAAGCTACTGTGCTGTGCTGCTGATGTGCTGCTTCTGCTTGTCGATGCAGGTGATTTTGATGCCCTGCTAATGCGCTGCCAATGCCAGGCAGAGACGGTGCAACCATGAGTAGCTAGAACGACCAAGACTCTGCGCTACTGCTGATGCTAATGCGAAAGCTGATGCTACTGTGCGAAATCGATGCGACGAAGCTACTGCCAGGCAGGCAGGTTACTGCTAGAGGTCAACAGGTCCAAAGGTCTAGAGGTCGAAAGGTACTAGCCTTGCACGAGTGCGATTTCTGGACCGAACTGAATGAGTCAATCCCCCGTCGAGACCCGCGAGCCGAGACGTGCGTCAGTGTGTTCTGCATCTTCGGCCTGGACCGCCGTCTTTCGTTGGCCAATTGTGAGGATGGCCTTGGCTTCGGTGTTCAAGGTAGGGCTAGAATCGAATCTTGTGCAGGAGCCGAATTGATGCGATGCTCCTTGGCCAGCTTCAGCAGCCGCCCGCGCAAGGCGAGTCTCTGCCATCTCTCAATCCAATTTGATGGTATTTTCAGCTGCTGCCGGCCTCTGCGATTGGCCAACAGCATGCGTTTCGAATAAGCGCAGATGCAGCACAATCTCATTCTGGAGGCCCTCTGTGCTGCTATTTTCAGCGTCTGTCGTTTCGAAATTCTGCAGCCTGCGACAATGCAATGGCCGTGAGCAAAGCATCGTTTGGCTCCCTCTTCTGATCGATCTGGATGCCAGAATTGGAGGCAGCCTGGATGCACTTTTGCGCATCTGGTCTGGTAAACTAGAATCTACCTCTGACCTCACTCGCATCGCTCGCTCTGAGCATCAATTCATTCCGTTCAACTACCCTTCCCCCTTCTGGCTGGCCGCTCAGGAACTGGGAAGCCAAAAAACCCACCGCCCGTGGCTATGGACGCTCAGCCGCTCCGCTAATTGGACTGGCCTCTTGGAGGTGCTGCTGCGCATCCACAAACGGACGTGGAGACGAACAGGAAGGGAGTCATCGGAGAGGCCCTTGGACTCGCTAGCGCTCTGGAAGATGCCTCACATGCCTCGCCCATTCTCCATGGCGCCAGTAGGCAGAAAGCGGAAAGACGGCAGGGGTTCAGGTGCAGGACTCTGTCGAGACTGGATATGGCTGGACATCGGGGGTGGAGGGGGCGTGTGAAACAGGGACACGACAGCCAAAAGCGGCCAAGGTCTTGTCCGTTCTCACGCACTCCCTCGTCTTGTCTTTATAAGTCTGCGATGCACCCTCACCTCGTTCTCGATCCAGCATTTCCAGGCAACAAACGCACAGCAACCCCACAAGTTCTTATACTACCTACTCCGTACTATACATTGTATTGCATTGCATTCCGGACCAGGATCAAAGAGGACAGACATTGAACACTTTGTACAAAAGGCTCTTCATACCCACCTTTTGGTCGCCTCTTCTCTTTCATCCTTACACCAACCAACAACAACAAGAGCAACAACACATTCCATAATCGGAGTCGTCTTTGAACAAGAATAGTCATCGCAACCCACTTGATCACACACAAAAGGACCACCTTCGGCGCAAACTCGAACGCCTTGCCATCGCAAGGGCTCTTGGTCTCTACCTCACCACCACAACTGCGTACGACGCGCACTTTCATCCGCCGCCGCAAATCAGACACAATGTGCACCACCAACGTCTACACCTACGTCTACTCAGACGGCCACAAGAAAGAGTCCCTCCAGCCTGTCTTGTGCTCAGCATCACGGCAGGGCAAGGTCTGCTCCAACAACGTCGTCTTCCAGCACCCCAACCAGTACATCCAGCACTCCGAGGCAGCATTTGGCACTTCGCCCAGCTCTCCCTTCGTCAGCCAGTTCCCGCCTACGCCTACCTACAGCCCCCGATCCGGCACACCAAACTACCGCTCCGGCGACGAGTCCGACCGATCGCGCCGCAGCACCTCGAGCTCACGGCGGCGCTCTGCCAGCCTTTACATCAACGGACAGAAGGTCTATGACATGGGCCGCGATGGACGGCGCGAGCGCATCGTTCTAGTTGAAGCTCCGCCCAGCCCACATACTCCTCCTACCGCCTTCAACTTCCCAAGCGCACCGGCTTCGCCCAATGCCTCTGCCTCTCCCTCTGTCTACGGTTCTTCCCCTCGCGACTCTGGCTCTAGCTTCTCCCGCCGGCCCATCATTGTTGATGGCCGCATTCCTCGAGATGAGCGGGTCGAGCGAGTTGAGCGGACTGAGCGACCTCGCGTTCAGGTTGAGGTAGTCGACGCAGTCCCTCCAGCAGCCCGTACTTCCAAGCATGATCGCCACTCTTCCACCAGCTCTCGCGACAGCCACGGACGGAGCAGCGCCGATGATGAGGAGACTATTCGACGCCGGCGCGAGCGGGAGGAGCGACGGGCCGAGAAGCAGCGGGACGAGGAAGAGGAGCGACAGCGCCGCATTCGTCTCCGCATCGCAAAGGCCAACGCCGAGATCAACAAGCGCCCACCCGTGCCGATGCCTCCCGCCCCAATTCGCGCCTCCTCCTTCAAGACTACCGTGGTTGGCGATGACGATGCCAACGTCAAGAAGCTGACGGATAGTGTCAGGCGCATGAGCTTCGAGGAGGAGCGTCGCGAGGAGAAGGCCCGCGACATTGCCCGCAAGCAGGACCAGCGCGAGGAGGACGAGGCACAGCGCCAGCGTCTGGCTGAGCGCATCCGGCCACGACGCCGGTCCACTATCGGATCGAGCGGCCGTCGCCACCGCGTGCTCTACGATGATGGCGGCTATCGCTGGGAGTAAAGAGAGTTGTGCATGATCTTTCTCCTAGCGTCATCATCTGTTCTGCCATATCTTTTCCTTTGTCTCTGTCTTTGCATTGACACACATCCTTTCCTTTCCTCTTACTCCTTCTTTTCCTTTGTATTGATACGAACTACTTCTTGCATGACTTGAGCATATTCCCTGTATTATTTGGAGGTGGAAAAAAAAAAGCTATCTTTTTGACAGCACCTTTTCAAAAGGAAAAAAACAAAACTACAAAAACAAAAGGGATTTGGAATGGCAACAGAACAGATGTGTTTGGCATTTGGATTTTTTATTTTTACAAGCAAGCGATGATTTTTATTTCCTTTTGGAAACTTTTTCTTGTATACTATGAGTTTTATGATACCTATATAATACCCGGTAATGAATATCAGTGGAGTTTTTTTTTTCTTCTTGGAGAAATATACGAGAACATGCAACTGCGCACTTTTTCCTCCTGCTCGTCTTCTTGTCTGCACACCCCTTCATTTACATACTACATTTGACGGGCCAAGGGCTGCATGGTGACAGAAACAAGGTGGTCTGGACGCAATCAGCAGCCTTTCATTTCTCGGTGCCTTGGACACCCACAGTTGTCCTTTCAGTGTGATGGAGCCCCCGATTTTCTTCTTGGATATTTTCATTATCCTCTCGTAGTGATCAACTATCAACACTACTCTTCCTAGCATAGAGAAATACAAGAATTATTAGTCTGGCTAAACTGGCTCACCTGGCCACAACCGCAACCCTCCCTCTCCGGCCCATTTCTCCTATCCCATTCTCCCATCCATCCACCCCTTGTGACGAAGGATGCACTCTGCATATGCATCATGCAGTTCCAAATGCATCATGCAAGCCCGGGCTTATCGATAAATGTGTAGTTGCTGAGCAAGCTGCCAGTTACGTCAAAGCAAGCGGGACTGCGCCGCCAGTAGGAACATGAGGCGAGACACCATGTTTTGGCACTCCAGTGCGAATCCTGGCTTCGTGGACCGAGTCTGGGGATGCGATAGGCTGGAGGGGCGAAATGAGTGTGAGTGGGTGCATATATGGGACAGGGGAAAGGCGGCAGGGATGAGAAGAAGGACAGGGTGCGGGAGAGGACGGTTTTCTTTTCTTTTCTTTCTTTTTTGTGGGAAGAGAGTTGACGTTTGTGTGGATTTTGTTTATTCAATTTTTTTTAATTTATAGGATAAGTTGCCATATTATGGCCTTCCGACTGAGCGGTTTATGTGGCGACTGGAGCCATTATGCGCGATTATATGTCGCCGAAGAAGCTGCTGACGGCAGACAAGGGATAAATGAAAGAAGGAAAAATAAAAGAAAGGAAAATGGGCACAGCGATATCACCACGAGAGAAAAAGAAAGTGCAACCATACAAAATGTGTGGTTGCGATCCCGGGCGCGATAGCTTCAGGGCGAGGCGAGGCGAATGCTTCAATAAATCAGGTTCGGCACCGGCTAAAAACCGTTCTCGTGATGAAACAGATTTTTTTTTCTTGGCCAGGTCTCAGTTTTTACCTAACCCACCATTCTCGGTTTTTTTTCTTTTCACTTTCTCAAAAAAGCATGTGTTCTGTTCCTGGTCCAGGCCAAATGTCAAGCCCGGCTTTTCCCCAACAAACACCATGCCAGCCCACTCACACTGACACTCACACTCGCTCTCACACGGACCTACAGGAGGCTTGCCTGGCCCGTAAACAAGAGACAAAGTAACATGTAACATGTCGCATGTAACGCACGTCCCTTGCCCAGATTACATACATACAGACGCAACATACTTGCTCGTACATACATGGACCGCACCCAGAAGCAAGGCACGCCACGGTTAGTAGTCGAGACGACGCCGTAAGAGAAGCAAAGAAGCGGGATATTCGCAGGGGAGGGTTGGACGAAATGCACACGCCCTCCCCCCAGTTTTTCGGACGACAAAAAATGTCACCCGGGAGACCACGCGGGAAACTCGGTGTGGAGGCCCGGCCGGATTGTGAATGGAGGAGGGCGGAGATGAGGCGTGATTGGGTGGATGGGCGGAGAGGTTGAGAAAATGGACCGGAAGGACATGTCTTGTTCAGCTTGCTTTGGTCGGGCCAAGGGGAGCTGTAGCTGTATAAGGATAGGCTAGTCGTTGTGAAATCCGGGGATGGAGAGCGACGAGCTGAGGTTGAGTGTGGATGGGCTTAGATGGAGGTAGACAGTTTGGGTGAGTGAGTCAAGGAAGAAAGACTAGTATAGTGTCTACGGTGAATGTAAATATAGCAGTAGGCTTGGTCTAAGAAGGGGCAGCAATACGGGAGTAGGCAGGTGATGGCCGAAGCACACAAAAAAGATGGCCGCTGAGACAGACGTAGTCAAAGTGTGTGTATGGAGATGGATGGCGAGATGGGTGATGTGCCGGCTTTTGCCATGCCCGGTTATATGGACCAAAGTGAGGTGGTGGTGGCGGCAGTAGCATCGGCCGAGAGGCTTGGTGTGAATGCATCAAAGAGGCGGTGTGTCCCAATCTTGGCCTGCTGTACTCGTATCTATCTGTCGTGATGGGGGCCGGATATGGGCCTGAGTGGGAGGATGTGGCTTGAACGTGCATATTGACCGCTGAAGGAGTCGAGTTTGACAGCGTCGGGCAACTTGGTCTTGAAGACTAGCCATGGGTTTTGTCAGGTAGCGTTGCGGTTTATGCATCTTGGACGGGTCACGAGTGTGCTACATGATGCGAAGCAGCGAGTCATGTTGTTTTCATGTCGAAATGATGATTTGTAGCAACCTGGAGGATTCATGGCTGGGGAGGTTGTATTGAGCTAAATCTTGGTTCTCATGATGCTTTCAAGCTTTCAACATGGATGTGATATGACTATGAGATTATGAATCTTGTTATTGGCCATATTGCTTTGCCTCGATGATATCAAACGTAAAAGTGGATTAGGGAAGGAGCAAACTCTCCTCTCATGAGAAATATCCATATAGTGGAACTTGTTTGCGTGGACTATACCTACCTATACCTGGCCTCTCTTGTGACGAGCCCTCTTGCTTGTATACGAATCATATGTGGTTGAAGTCCCAGAATCTGACGAGCGTTTCTATAGTATTCAGCTATGGGTTCCACTGATTACCTTGTACAGAATACAAGCCCGAAGTGATACCAGTATCTCTGCTTCATATTTACATTTTTCTATCATTTGATTTAATACCAGCACCGACAAATCATGAATACAACTATTAGTAATCAAAATAGGTATGCAAGATTGTTGTCCATACATGTAACATACATTCTAAGTAACAAGAGACAATTCTTAGTTAGGTTGTACAGACAATATATTAATCTTTTGGTTTCTTCTTATTCAGGTGTTGATCTCCTTCTATCCATCATATACTCAATGTTCTTTATCTGTCTCCTAAATTTCAAGAAGCCACTTCTTTCATTGTCAACCGGACAGTGGAATTTCTCTCTTTATCACGCATAGTAGCATCTGTGAAAGAATGAAAGGCACTAACGATCCGGAGCAACCGCATCCACTTTTCGGTAGAGTTAATGATTCAGCCATCCCCTTCAACGCGCTGGTTGACGGCCCTTATAAGTTCTTGGTGGTTGTTGGCGAAGTGACTTCCACAATGCCAAGAATGTCTGAAGTCAAAATACTATAGCTACCAGGCTGTATCTCTTCAGCTGTGGTAAATAAGTCTGTAATTTAGATGCCATAAAGGCTGATTCTCTGCTCGATAGTTGTGCAAAGTACATATAAGCGCAGGTATTCTTGCCATCTTGGGTTCATCATCGTGTTGGCGATATATTCGTGTCAAGACCACGTCCCACATACATCTTCATTTTTTCACTGAAAATGTGTAGCAATCTTGGCTCTCGAGAGCAATACCAACTTGCTCTATAGTCATGATTAGTTTTAAAATCTCTCCGCAAATATGCAAATGAATCTCTTTACTGACGCTCTCCTAATCTGCTAAAATCTTCTACCTCATTCATGATATTGACTCAAAGCTTAGAGATAACAAAGGATAGGTACCTAAACTTATTGCCGCGCTCAACATCCATTAAAGTAGTTCCATGCCAACAAGAGTCAAGGCCACTGCTTTTCTTTTCTTTCTTTCTTTCGTTCTTTAATATTTCTTTTGGATTCACGCGATGGTTAGCCCTGTGTTTGCTAGTCAGGTGTTCCTTGAGCTCGTTTGCACGCTTCTGAACTACATTTCCAGTATCGACTCCCCAAAATCAGATAGGACACGAAATCGTTCAGCGCTTCCACTTATGTTTGACCCCGCGCATCATATTCTCAATATTGAATCTCGACCGAATGCAACTGGCCCCGTGTCCTCGACTGGTTGGATAGGCTGTGCAGCCGCAAGTGACAAGGGCATTCGAGATGCTCTAACCCTGCTAACCAAATGGGATAACCGTTCCGGTACAAGCAAGATCTCCAGTCCCCCAACCCTAGTATATTGAGGAGGGATCCAACTGACCAGTACCATTTAATTGGTAATCAGCTCAAGAAGCCGCACAGACAGTGGTAGCAGAAGAAGGACAAAAGATGATTTCACGATTCGTCATTTGGAATGGAACCATGTCATATATCTTCTAAATTTCGCCCGCTGAATATTCAACTAGACATGTGAGGTCATACTGATCAAGAAGTCGTCTATATAAGAAATAACCTTAAATCAAATGGCTGTTCAGCTAGGGAACTTGTAATAACAAGGTATAATAAGGAGTGTGGAGTAGGGTGTTGCATCAAATCTCATACGGAAGAGTCTCATGGCTTGATCATTCTCTCGCAAAATACTGACTTCACCGTGTGTTAGATGTACCTATTGATCCTATTCGCACCATGTGATATAGACATCTGTAGTGCATGATCGATTGAAACAGCCCTTTAAAGTATAACCTCAATGCGAAGATCGCAGGGCGTGAGTGACGGGGAATCCCGAACAAGACGGACCTGCAAGCCACATTTCGGCAGTTGCAGCTTGAACCACTTAAACCTTAATCTTAAGCTGAAAAATGCCAAGAAAGCAAATTGACAGCCGGCCAGAGAATTTCAACATGCCAACTCCCGAGATCTACGCTCCGGCTGCGGGTAGGAGTAACTAGGGCACTTCTGCTCCATGTCTTGTGGGTGTTAGTGTTAACATGAACAGCCTCCCCCCTATCGCGCTTTTCTAAAGGGTAGGTATTTCTCTAAACACCTTCAGTACCTATTCACATGCCAAAGCTTATCTATCACGCTAATTTTCGAATAACACCCTAGGTACGTTATAAATTAGAGAATAATTATAACGCTGAAATTAAAGGAGAACCACTTACGAATATGACATTGAGTGAACAGAGCATTGGAAGCCTCATAGCGCGGGTTCGGTGGCTGAAAGCTGAAAGCCATGAAAAATGATCATTGCATACCTGCAAATATAATACAACACAAGCCATTTAAATGCATAGTTTCATTCAACTCTATTTTCCTTTTCGTGTGAAAATTCTAACATCCTATGTGTGGCTTTCATATGCTAGACTTGGATGCGGCTGAGTCGTACACGCAAGGGAACACACATTGCAAAGCATGAAAAGGATTATCAGCTGCGAGAAGGATGCCTCCATTATCCAACGAAGCTCACCCACCACACCTCACCTACTAAGATAGAAAAGCTATTAGTCTGGTAGAAGATGAGACTAATGTTGAGGGGGTGGCACTTTCGAGCATATCCGATCGCCAAACCTTTGATGGGATTGCAGTGATACCCGCTCGCATCTTGGAAATCTTGCAGTCGTTTGGGATGTGCACTAGCGCATTCATATTACTCGACACTATTATAAGTAATGGCCCGAAGTCGTTTCTACCTCGTCTTGTTTCGTTAGAAATTACTTGCAACTACTCCTCCTACAAACATTCATCGCAATACTCCCTAAGTACACCTTCTCCATTAACCAACCACAACCATGGCTGCCCCACCTATGCCAGATATTCTTCCATTCCCTACTCAAGTTGAGGTCTCAAGGTCAGATGGCGATACGCCTGCTGCTTCATTTCTTCCTGGTCTTTCATTTCTTCCTGGTCTTACACCGTCTCGCGCCAAATCCGTGAGAACTGGAGCCTGGATGCTCAACTACGCTCCAGTTAACTCCCCTTTGGTAGCTTACGATGGCACGATGCGTGTCGAAACCATTCCTGGTGGCCGGAGAGCGAGTGGAGACCTCTACCAACGGCCGCTCAAGGTCCCATTTCCATTTCCTAGACCAGGAAATACTATTCAATTGCTCCCTCCACCAGACCCTGCAAATGGTATTCCAGTCCAAGCCATCAGCAGATATCGCTACTACCTCCGCGTTACCAAGATCCTTGAAAACGTAACAATTGCGAATTCATTTGAACTTGGATTCCAAATGTTTCTATTTACTCCGACCTCCAATGGTGCTGGGACTTGGTCCCCTCCAGCGACATCTGCCATTAATTGCACTGCAACTATGACGTGGACGCCAGCACCAGCGGGTTATCCATCCTCCAGTGACTACTTGGAGGGGGAGTTGAAGCAAGATGGTACCAATGTTACCATGGGTCATCTGAAGATGGGGTGGCTTTCTAAATTCCTTCGCAAAGCCACGATTGAGATCGACACTGTAGCAGAATCGGAACAACCCGTGGATAGTGGAAATGGCCATAACTGGGAGACTGTCGGAGAGTCAATGGGATACGATCTCAAGATCGACCTCAGTGAACGCAATATCCCAGAGGCAAGTGGTGAGCGCTGGGCCGATAGCGAAATGAATAATGCCATGATTAATCACCGCGAACGGATCAGCCTCGATGATGAGTGGCATTATCATATTCTTGCCGTTCACTTTATTGACTCCACTCCCCGGGGCATTATGTATGATTCTGGTGCGACTGATTCAAATCACGTTCCTCGTGAGGGCCTCGGAATCTCGACACACTGGATCATCGACCCTGATTGGGGGACTGTGGGCAACATGCGATTTGGTCTGGCTAAAGCACCGCATTTCCGTACAGCAGTTCATGAGCTCGGACATGCTCTTGGTCTCCAGCATAACACCATCGATCGGGGTTTTATGAATACCAGCGATATGATTGCTGCTGCTGGGACCGCAGCTAACCCGTTTCCCAACAACATCAAATGGTCCTTCGCTGATAACGATCTCAAGCGTCTTCGTCACTGGCCAGATATTTTTATCCGTCCAGGGGGTGTCCCATTCGGGAGTGCAAACGATTTTGTCCCTCTTCTAGCCCCTGACGATCGTGCCCTATCACTCGATATACCCGATCTAAGACTCACGGTTACTCCACTGCTTACTGAGGTTCCACTGGGTGCACCAGTCCGCGTGGCGCTCGAACTCACTAATACCAGCGACAAGGCAGTCAAAATCCCAGCGAGAATCGATCTGAAATCCACTTGCATTTGTGGCGTGGTGAAAGATCCAAGTGGAACACAGCGCAGTTTCAGATCGATTATAGGGTGCGTGGATGCCGAGCCGTTGACTGATCTTGAACCTAAGAAGTCAGTCACCAAATCCTTGACCCTGCTGCGTGGTGGTGATGGATCTTTGTTTCCAATCTCTGGTGTTTCCGAGGTTATAGTTACCCTGCGCTGGGCTTTGCCTCCAACTGGTGAGGTTGGCCCAATACCCGAGGCCGTTGTGCAAGGGAGCACGACGGTGTTCATTACTGGGGCACGCACTGGTGCTCATGCTAAGGCCGCCCATAAGATGCTCACTACACCTGATGCTCATTTGGTTCTGGCATTTGGAGGGTCTCATCTTAGTTCTGGGATTGAAGCCCTAGGGGTTGCCGTTGAAGACGATGTGTTGGGTCCGCACTGGAGTGTGGTAAATGCAAAGGTACTGGCTAAAGATGGGGAAAAGGATTATGGTAGGCAGCTTTTGGAGGACAGGGACCAGTATGTCTTGACTGTCGATGAAGAGCAAAAGCTGGAGCGTCTTTTGCAATAAGGGCGTATGACAAATGAGGTCGTTTGCTTTCAGATGTTCTTAAAGGGATGGTTAGTGAACCTGTACTGTCGTTATCCTCTCAGCATTGGTTTTCCCACTGGGTTTTTCCAATGTCGTCACGCAAATGCGGAGGGGATTAAGGTGATGTTTATTTACAATCACTCGAAGCATATTTTTACATTTACCAGATACTTGGACATGGAATGTGCTGGATATTGTAGGTGCTAATGACACGACTACGAATCAAAGAGCTTGGAAAGGGTGTTATGTGCGACAGCATGTGATATCCCATACTTATACTACCCCTCAACCCGGGGAGATTGGATTGTTATTTTTCTTCTTTGCGCCACGTCTTGAATATAGAACCTGGCCTATATTATTTCACTTAGACTGGTCTTTCGCTAGTCCAGCATGAACTTTCATTCATAATCATTACCTCTTGATGACGGGGCCATGCGCTTAACGCCTGTCTTGATAAGATATCTATGAAGAGATTAGTTTCTTGCCGCGCCAAGCTGCCCATGTTGCAAAGAAAGGGTGAAAGACAAATGATCTGGAATCAAGAATCAAGGTAATATCGTTCAACTAATTTGGGCTGATATTGTGACATGACGACATTCTTGGGAAATGGCAATTGGGTGACCACAGTGTGGGGATCTTTGAACGGTAGAATGGTCTTGAAAGGATGATAAGAAAAGAATCCAGCCTTGTAAGACCACAGCTGAGAAGTTGAACATTACAGAACTGAACTTTCGATAGGTCTCGCGTTGTCCAGATACATGCGGCAAAACAGTCTATCCACTTGATAGTCAGAAAGAAGACTGGAGCTGTTCGTATCACATAACTACGCATGGTGTGTATATTTGTGATACTCCGTTGGTTTCACGTAGTCGCCAAACGTATTGAGCAACTGCTCTACAAATATTGTCATGAGGAAAACGAAAATGGTTAGACACAAAATGCTTGCGGGCCGAGATAAATTATATTTAACAGGAAATTCTTCATCGCTACTTTCTCTCTCGCTTCAGACTGCCCAGTTAGTCTCTCGCTTGAGTCATTTGTCCAAGTAATTTTCCAGAGTCAGAACCGCAATCCAATAGCCATATTGATGGGTAATAACAAAAGGTGACAAAAAGTCATTACAAGATATTAGACGGAGCCCCTTGGTCTTCTTGTTGGGGGTAAAAGTACCATTTTTTTGTGAGATTTCGGAACCGGCAGAGTAGCAACTCGCCTTCGTACCATCAGCGTATCCAGCACATTGCAAAATAACGACGCATCCTTCAGACCTTGGCTTTTTTTTCTGCGGGCTGCAATGACATATTTACCATTGGCTTGAGCCTGCGTTGCCTTACTCTTCTGTCGACCAAACTCGCTTAAGATCTCAAGGTCACCGAAGATGACCAAACCAGATATTTGGCGGCTCAGCATGACGCTTAGATGATGTACATCAAATATACGGCTTGATATAGATGTCGCTGTCGTCGCCGTAACAAGGATAATAATGTCTCCTTGGCGGCCTTGGAAGTCATCAATGGTTGTAGCTGGCGCCATGGCTGAGATTGCCGAATATTCTGGCTCTTTCCTCTGACGCTCGATATACTCAACGCTGGCTCTGTAGGGTGTGATGATGAACACCTCGCCGGGAGTGACTTTTGTATTTGTTACGAGGTCGCAGATAAAGTCCAGCGCGTGCTTCGATTGAACCGGATTCCACCCTGACCCGGTCACTGCATTGAAATGGCATTTAGAACCTCTGCAGTTCAGAAACGCTTCCACAAGGCAGTGAGCGGGAGGAGAAGCCAATTCGGGGAATTCTTTCCGCAAATAGGCTTCCAATTCGCGACCACACTCATGTTGTTCCAAATTGATATTGCAATTGGGACCGTAATCAAAAGTTGGAGGGCTTCCATAGACATCATGATTGCAAATGTTAAACAGTCCAGTTGCCATCCTGAGCTGAGTCCGCAGGCGAAACACAGGCCAACCATTCCCTTGGAAGAAAAGAAGGGCGGAAAGCTTACCATCATGCTCATGCCTATTGACGGAGTTGCCCAAGTAGTCTCTCTGGCCAAAACTCATCAACCTCGGAGCAAGCTGCTTGTCGTCACCACAAAGAAGACACGGCAGAAGTGTATTGCCCCACAAAGAGTAAAGGTCAGGGCGGCTAATACTACCTGCCTCGTCTACTGCGATACCCCTGGCTACATATTTCTTCCAGGGCGCGTATAGGCCTTTACAGGAAAGGGCTGGATTTGTGCACAAGATGTCTGCATGTCGCAAGATGCCCCGAAATAGGTGTTTGATGACGTATGGAGACACCATTCGCCCATTCTTGTACTCTTCAAAGCTAATCACTCCAGCCGCCACATTACGAAGCCGCTCGAATTCCTTTCGATGGTCAAGATACGATTGCAGCAAATGTATTTCTTCGTTATCCTCGTAATGAAGGGGGCGAACCGCAGGCGATCGTAGGGCTACAAGGAGCCAGAATGTCAGGGACAGCTGGAGTCTCCAAGGTGTTCTATAAGAGGAATTCGAGCGAGGGGCTGCCGCATCGCCCATTTGTGGATGTTCAAGGAGGTTCTGAAAGGCTTCTATCTCGTCTTCTTCAAAATAGCCACGGACAACAAGAATGCGACCAGCTGGGCTATCGTCCGCCCTTTTGGATTCATTGAGCCGCCTTGTGAATCTTTCCGAGATTCGATTGAGATGCTCAGCAAAATTGTCGGTTGCGACATCGGTAGCGGCAGATGCATAAATCGGCCCAAGAGTTATTGACATGCCAAGTGTGGCTACGGATAAGACTGTTGTCTTACCAAAGCCAGGCCCCTTGCATCCCAAATAGTAAGCATCATCTCGCAAGTGATGGGGTCGAAGAGACTTACCCCTGTAATAAGGCCAAACCCCAGCGGTGCCTTGCTGAGATATGCACATAATCTCCTTCGATCGCTGGGTAGGACTTCTTCCATCAAGGCCTTGATATGGCGTTGAGGTAATTGGAGGAGATTTACTGATGGCAAAGCACGAGAGCTTTCAGACTGCGTCGTTGGTTGGGGCTCTTTTTCAAGGTATAATGGCCCTGATCTAGCTGAGTCTTTCAGTCTAAGTGTTTTGAAGAATCCGTTACCGAGCACAAGGTCTCTGTGCAAACTCATTTTGAATCTGATGTCAAAAGAGACTGAACTCCGGGCTTCATATGTTTTCTTCTCTGACGCCACGCCACCCTCCCCTCGGTTTGTCGGGTTTGCATCAGGATGGAATTGAACCATTGCGTTAGTTTTATCCTAATACTCTGCAAGGTACACGTGTAACTTCAAAGAAACCAAATTAACCTCGTCGTTGTTATATTTCAGTACAGAGTTGGCCGTATGGCGATCTTGAAATGTTTTGACCCTGAAATCGGGGCGACGATCGCTCTCCTTCGGCCGACGCACCGAAAGGACCAAGTCCCAGTCTTTTGACGGATCACTGGACCAATCTGCGTCTCGCAAACCATGACGTACAAGTGTATCAATGGTCATCGGGTTATGGACAACTCGCGCTGGCCATCTTGCTGCGCTTTTGCCGTGGTCATTATCATGAATGTTCAGGCCCAGTACCTCATCGCTGATAAGGCAGCGCAAGGCAGAAGCATACTCTTTGAGAAACAGAGGAGTCAATCGCACAATGGCGTAGAAGTCAACAGGCTCTTCCCACGGAGAGTCGCTTGTTGCCATCACAAAGTAAGCTCGAAACTTGTAATTGATAAACTTTTGGGCGGCATTACGTAGCCAAATGGCATCCTGGATTTCAGACTGTGCCATCACAGCAACGTGATCATTGTGGCTCTCGAATTGCCATACTCTATTAAATGTGTGGCCCTTCGCCTTGCTGGGCGGTTTATAATTGCGCAAATCCCAATGATGCTGTGTATCGTAAGGGTAGCTAAAGGGCGGATGCATGCATTCTGTGACAAATGATGCCTGGACGTTATCTGCAGGCGACTCCACAACAAATCGGAAAGTTCTCTGTGAGAGAATATTCAATAGCGTGCGCTTTCCAATAATCGGCTGCCCACTGTTGATCCATGCGTCGCTGGGATGGCCTGAGTTGGCAAAAGGCATTCCAAATCCAGAGACCCGCGGATCAGAGTTATCTCCGAGATGAACTTCCAAAACTGAAAATTGGTTTTCTCTTCCATGGAGTAACTCGAGGAGAGCAGATCCAATAGGTTCAACGGAATACTCCATTCCAAACAGGCTGAATTTGACCTCCAGCTTGTAAGTCCTAGCTGGTTCGAGCTTTCCAGTCGGTAGTGTATTAACTGTGTAAATTTTTCGTCAGAGGAGACGGGAATCAAGCAATCGAATTTCACAGGTTCCTCACCAGAGTAACACATCCCAAAGCCATAATCTTCGCTGTTCAGCCCTCGGGGGATTTCCATGACAAAGCCGAGCCACGAAGCATTGCCTTCGCTGTGGCGCACGGTAAGGTGGGAGCGGATATCTGTTGGTAAGCCAAGCTCTTCGCCGCCCAGAACTCCATCATCGACGATGAGTGCGCATGCCTTATGCCAATGTAATAACGACGAAGATCGCGTGGCCTTCGTTTCTGGTTGATGGCTTGCGCCTACTCCTTCAGAGTCAGCCGAATGATTCAAGAGTGACCCTCTATTGGATGAGCTGGACGCTCTGAGTATGTTGGGAGTGGGCATTGTTATTTTGATAATATAATTAAAGGAATGTTTGTCGCTTGCGTTGAATGAAACTCGGATGCGGGACACAGTGTGCCTGTGGGGGAGAGGTAAACGCTCGACATCTTTGACAACAGTTGCCCTGCTGGCTGAGAACAAACTTTCGCAGCAGCAAAGTTTTGGATCCCACTGGAAATGTTTCTCGGAGTGCAAGCACGAGTGTATGATTCCACCTGCCCCATGTTGAGCATCTGTAAACTGGAGCTGGCTATTATAGGACCCTTTCAGTTTGCAGGAGCTTTGTTTTGCATCTAAGACGGCACAACTACCAGCGCAATAGACACCTCGCGAATTTTTACATGTACTCATAGAGCACATAGGCTTATACCTTCCTTGGGTAGGCAATTCAGCTACCTAGTGAAGATTGGCAAGAGCCATGAATCAAACTGAAGATACACTTGCTTAGGTACTGCCTGGATAGTTGTAAGTTCCAAGAAACGTCAAGGAGCAAGATGTATGCCATCAAGAGATTAAACAACCTCATTGACGTTCAGTATGACCCTTCAGCATCAATATGCGCTCATTTGTTTCTAGACTCAAAATCTTGACTGTGGTGCCATCTGATACTGATGCAAGCAACAGGGCAATGGGCGGCCACGCGATGTAATTGGCGGCAATGCTGTAGCCTTCGAGTGTCGAGATGCATTGACTTGTGGCCTGATCCTAGAATATGATCGTTTATCAGACGGCCCAGATATGATCCTTAGTACATACATGATGTTGAAGAGCCACTAACAGTGTTGAGGGATTGTGATGTACTTGGTTAATACGGATCATGCTGCTGTGCAGTGATAGGATATGGAACGTATTATTGTGTGGCACGCAACTCCGTATAAATGCCCACATTTGTCGCTGCACTAGTGATTTTGTAGCAGATGCGTGTATTTAGATTAAAAGAAATATTTCGAACCAACTGAAAGCTGCGTAGTTGAAGATGTTTTTCTCAATGGGCGATGCTCAGCCAGCCATATCGGGAGGCTCTGATCCTGGTTGGTCTTCCATGAGGTGGTGTTATTTTTACTACAGCAAGCAGCGCCCGTGTTAAACAGATACAATTCCACCCGCCAGTTTGAAGATGCCAGTGTAAATTGTCCTTTAATGGCTGGATTCCACAGCCCTAGTCTGATATGGGGCCATCATAACATGAAGTTCACATTTACAAATGCTACCTTTGTGTTTTGAATCGTTCATAAGGCACCGGCTGTAGTATACATAGGTAAGATGGGTAAATCCGTTGGTGGGGACAGAATTTCGATGCTACCGTAGCAAAAGGCCGAGAACAAGAAAACGTCAGTATAGGTTACGTTTCCAAGTATTCAACGTCCATGGAAGTAAAATTTGCTCCAACCTGCACTTGATTGCAGAAGAAAAATCAGTCAGTACAGTCGGAATAGTTTGGTAAATCATAGCAAATACATCCAGCACCATAGACGATCCGAATAACACCGTGTATTTTCTCTCCGTATATCAAGAACCTTATCAACTTGAACATCATTCCGACGGAGCGTTTCAATGCGTGCGTTTCAGAGTTGTCAGCAGACTCACCCCGCATTTTGGATAACTTGGAAATCTTCTCATATTTTCTAAATAATTTTCATGATCATTACCAAAGCAAATACATTCATTTAAAGATGCCCTCCACTCGAGATCCCACATACTTGCTGGCGCCGAATTGGACTTTTCGCCCAAATGGTCCGATCGCCCTTGGAAACATAATTGTCGATCCTTTCCGCCCTCAGTATGCAATCTCCAGGCCGACTAAGCCTCTGCCTGAGACGGAGACGGCGACGGAGAACAACTGGACATTTGGGACTGACAAAATACGGAGCATTAATGTGAGCATCTGGACTCGCCTATTTGATCAGCTCAACCTAAAACTCGGACCCAACCGCCAAAAAACCGACACTGTCAAAATTACAATGAAATCTCTCGAGACCATTTACTTTAGAGATGAGCCTTCGATGCAAGACATCCAAGCACTAGCCAACGACCCAAGAATCCGCAGTATTTTGAATGCCGATAGCCTGTTTAGAAGCCCAGTTTACATGGTGACGGGCCTAAAAATCGCAAAAGGGTTCCGGTTAACCCACCATGGTTCCTCCGGACACGGATTCACTGCCGAAGTGTCAGAAAATGTGGCTCCGCAGATGTCTGTTAGCGGAAGTGTCGATATTAAAACGAAGACGAGTGTATTGGGCGAATTTGACGCAGCCAATGATATCATCTTCGCATATCAACTGCTAATAATTAAGCCAAAAGGCTGGGGTCAAAATATAACTTTCAGGCTGGATGATTTCCGTCACAAGGCGGCCATGCTCATGGATAGTAACAGCGACGAAGAGGAAAAAGAAAATATTGAAGTTGAATTCAGCAGCGCAACAATCGATGATGTGGCCAGGGTTCAAGAAGGTGTTACCGATGTTAATCCTGACAATGAGCAACATGCCTGGCTATTCCAGGATGAATGATACATCCTTCCCATGCTATGTACTAGCGGCGGAAATGGAACGAAGCACACCACGGCACTTCTTGTTTGACTGGCGGTAATAACCTTGATATGCTTACATATTTCGTATTTCGCTTGCTACCAAATTTTTTCTATGGACATTTGATGAGTAAGAATAAAACTATTGCCATATTAAGCGTTTCTACTGCCAACCCCGTCCCGATAGTCTTTCAAAACGGAAGATGGTTTTCCTGTATATCCCGTTTTCTCCATCCATTCCTTCACACTCTTCACTCTGTTTGGCAGAATCTCATCCAGCAACTTATAATCCCTCTTTGTCAAATTATCCTTCCACATGTTCCAAAAACCGGAGAAGTTCTCACGGAAAGTTAACAGAGTGGAATTTTCTTTATTAGTGGAATGGCCCACTATCATTTCCGGGTTCGGAAAAATGGGGAGTTTGAAATATTCGTCCAATGTGAGGTCTTTGAAGACAGCTTTTCGACCAGTGACCGTCGTAAAGGTAGCTGCAAGGTCTTTCCAAGAGATGTCTTCTGTTGCAACATGCAATTGTATACCGTTGCTCTTGGATGGTGTGTCGAGAATCCATCTAGCATAATGGCCATAGTCCTCAAGATGGATGAGGGGGCATTGGCCTTCTCCCAGAGGAGCTGCGAACACAAGCGTGGTTGGATCCTCGCGATCAGGGAATGGCTGCAAGAATTCTGAGAGTCCTTCCATGTACATACAAGAAGTCAGGACCGTCCAAGCCATGGGAGTTGTTGGCTGTGCAGATATATAGTCTGCGACTTTGCCCTTGCCGTCAACATGACCGCAGCGATATTTAGAGTCGAAATTCCCAAGTTTTGAAGAATATTCGAGAGCTGCATAAATGAGATGCTTGACTCCAAATTCTCGAGCAAGCTCATATATCCGAATGCCCCAATAGATCTCTGCCATTTCTCCAATAGCAAAGCCATTAGTATTGGCAAAGACATACTGGACACCTTTGAACGCCTCACGAAGTGTGGGTTCATCATAAGCATTTCCTTCAAATATGGTTACTCCAGGAATGGATGCCAGTTCAACGGCATCCTTTGAGGAAGGGTTTCTCGTGATAACGCGCACAGCATACTTAGAATCCGATGACAGGGCTAGTGAAATGGTCAATTACGGTAACATGAATAGAAGAGAATAATTGACAGACATTTAACGACAGGCACTCCCTGAGCGCCTGTACCGCCGATGACCAAAACGGTTCCCTTGGTGTCTGACATGGCTTATAACTTTGAGTTCCTTTCTTCTGGGAGTAAAACTAATTGAGCCTTGGAGAATCAAATCGGTAAAGATTGCTAATGAAGTCGTAGAACGTCTTGGATGATGTTGAGTTGATAGGGAATATATATACATGTGTGTGTGTGTGTGTGTATGTGAGAAACCATTTGACAACAGGTAGCTACGTTTATCGCCACCTGGTGTCTGTTGAATAACCAAATATTTTTTAACCCTGTGAATTTGTCAGTTTTTTTTCCCTCGGGGAACGTCCGCACAACGATATGCAAGAGAGCTGAAAATCCAGAAGCATGGAGGCTTAAGCCATGCTAACCATCAAACTAATAAGCCGAGGCAAGAGGCCGTTCCAGAGGCGTAATTGCATCTATTAGTATTGCGAACCTTTAAAAGTAAGTAGTGATGATCAGTAATCACAAAAGCCGTCATGACTCTCGTACCCCGCAAAGGTTTCTGCAAACCACTAAGGGTAAGTAGTGGTAAGAGAAGTCTATTAGTGCATAAACGCTGGTGAGAGAGACTTGAAAGTGAGGTTGCAGCATTGCATAATGATAATGTCATGAGGGGGTTATGGGGAAGCCACTAGCAACGCGAATAATGAAGCAGCTAAATACAATACAAATAAATTAAGGATGACTAAAAACCCTCTCAGCATGAATTTTCATCCGTTTTCACTAAAATTTGCGTGAAAGACGCGAAGGTCTTTAATTTGACCAAGTATTAACTGCTACTAACTAAAGAGATCATTCACCGATTGATGAACCGAATCACTAAAAAACAGTCCCGTCTGCATATTGGGCCTAGAGAATTAAATTGCAGCCTGCAAACACATTTGTCTGTCTAGGGGAGATCCCTCACGCTAACCAACTGGATTCTGTCCTACGATATGATAACCTGGTCAAGGAAGTAACCTGATTTCACCAGGACTGGGAATTATACAGGACGATAACATATTCTCCAAGGCTTGGTAGAAAACAATCTAACCATCAATTGATCAGAGCTCGACCACAGCGAAGGGTACGGCATACGGTTGTGCTTGAAGATGAGATCCCCAGTGAAGTCGTGTCCGATATGTATGACAATCTTCCCAAGATAAGAAGAAGAACACTTTTACACTGATTGTGATTTTCAATATAAATGAAGATATTGATTCTAGCTACTCCAATACTGGGAAACCTCGTTTCTCATTTACACTAATATGGAGTATTTAATCATTCTTGACGAATTCCCTGATCGTATTTATCACTTCCTCCTTCAGACTTTGCTTTGTCGTCAATCCAAGGAACTCATTGTCACTTTGTTCCCATGGAGCAACTCCCCCAAAGAAAGGACTGATCAGTGCTCCCCAGAACTCCATTCTTCCAAACTTCCCAGCGTCAACGCTAGCCATGCTGGAAATAGTAATCTCGTTCGCGGGAACGCTTTGGCGAGTCCAAGGTTGTTTATCAACCATCTCTACGATGGTTAAGATTTCCTCTAGGGAAGTTGTAAAGTCTGAAATATGAAGAAATCGATTCTTGACACCGGTGGAAAAAGGCATTGAGAGTATAGAGGCAATAGCGGCTCCCGTGGTTGCCAATGTTGTAGCGGAAAATACAGGCAGACCATCATCTGATAATACCGCGATCCTCTTCCGAAAATCAAATGATATCAAGCCTACGCCAAAACCTATAGTACAAGATAAGTCTGGATATCATGTTGGATAAATATTGGTCCGAGTCACTTACTGGCTGGAATAATAACCCCAGTATACACTGCAGCGAAAGCGATCTGATTCTGACTAGCTCGTGCCATGAGATAATTATGAACTGCTCTCTTTGGAGCGAGAACCGCATTTGGTCTGAGTGCCTTCCCTATCCACGGTCCATCTGATGCATTGGCTCCTGCGGTATCAGGAGCCCATTCCGATGGAATGAAAAACTTCACTCCGGCCTCAATCGCAGCATTGATCATTCCGATCTCTACCACGTCTATATTGGACTGTGGTGCAAACTTCAAAACACTGACAACAGCGTCAATACCTTGAAAGGCAGCCACAAGAGAGGCGTGGGATTGAAAGTCCACCTGCTTAACTTTCACGGACTTGGGGACTTCCTCTCTAAAGTTGGCTGTCGGCCTGCGAACAAGAAGAGTGATGTCAAACTTTTCTGAGGCAGCGACAAGATCAAGCAGTGCTTTGCCATTATTTCCGGTCTAATCAAAATACCAATTAGCAACCACTCGAATGACCCGTAAATCATAAAGCAAGGCATATCTGACTCCAACCCAAGCCACAGTCTTAATTGAAGTAGACATTGTAATGCGATTGTGGCTGCCAATCTGTTGTTGATGAAACTGGAGGTATGATACGAGAGTTGTAGGCCTTATTTTCAATACTAGGCTTCTTTTTGTCTTATAATTAAAGGATCCCAATTCTTAAATCGGAAGATTGACAACGATCGCTGATATATCTCGTTTGGACGCCTTGGAAGCCGTGAAGCCACCGTCTCTGATGACAAATGGGTGAAGTCTATATCATATGGAGGAAATAGATTTATTTTCTTCTTTGAAGAGGACAGCAACCTACGTTTAATAATCAGACATAATTCGGTTTAAGTGATGCACCACAACTTCGCCGCCACCTTCATGTCACCAAGGTACCTCGGTAGTAAGAGTAGGTTACTAATTAGCAAGTCTTTCTACTGCCATTCTTGATCAAGGCGGGAAAAATCGCAATAAACCTGCCTAGAGAACAATTCAAATATCTAAGTGACTTCAACATCTAATTTTCTGCGCCTCAAAGTGGCTGTTTTGCACAAGTCGGCAATTTTGGTCCTTGAGGCACCGGTTTTCAGGCCTGCTTTACCGTTACTAATTATGCATCTCACGACTGACGAATGTTCATTGTTTACTAGGCCTCATTTAATAACTGACTCTGAGGCCGCAATTTTCTTCCGAGTAAGAGTAAAAACTTCTAGTTTTAGGGATATTGAGGGTTTGTGAACTCTTCTAGGAATTTCATCATTAGGCCAAGGTCAGCCACTGAACATTCAGCGCCACTCGATTCTAACACAAACTGAAGACCAATACATTAGCGTCAAGGTTCAATGCATGTTTCATAAACTTTATCTTGTAATGATCTATCACTTGATATAAGATAGGGAAATCAATGGATCCTCTGCTTATTGCATCTGCCAATACTTCATCAAGTACTTAGCATATCCTATTTCCAAAGGTTCAGACCACTTGCCAGCATTATGCGAAAAACTCAAGGCCAGAACCGATGCACCTCGCCACCACCATTACAAATACATTCTAGTGTTCCCGTTCTAAATTTTGCATACTTGGGAGCGTTGAGGACGATTGAGCAATGATGCAGCGTGCCCCTATCCATTGACGCATTAGATTCTAGGAGAAGGATTCCTGGATTAGTGATCACCTCCCTGGCCAGTGGTCTAGGCAGCGGAGAGGCTGTTCATGATAATTGCAACACAGGCACTAAGCTGAATTCTAACAACAAAAGGCTCGAACACAGCGAGCCTGCCAAAAAGTGGACATTGTTTTTATTAATTATATCCACTAGGTAAACTAGATACATAAAGCTACACTTGGACAGTAGGGCGAAGTGTCGTGTCAGCATACTAGTGGAATCTTTTCTAGTCTCAGTGAGAGGTCAATAGCAAGCAAAGTGGACATTGTGTTGGTTAAGAATAAATGATTACTTTCAAATATCTTTGGCCATTTGTGTAAAGGAGCCGAGGCTTACTGAACCATGTTCGAAACCGCAAGCCCACGTTCCAATGGTAGACTCACCGCCCCTGGTTCATGCCTCCGAACCAACTACAACCGCAGCATGTTATTGATCAGGGGCAGCCTCCTGACGATGTATTATTTGATTGGTGATCATGACATCCATCCACTGACATCCTCTGGACAATAACTCCATCAAATAACCTAGTGCTAACATACCGGCACCACACCATCTCTATACTATCCCAACTGTAGACAGTGGTATATTATGCTCAATTGTAAGCCAGCGGCATATCGTTGATCAGAAGCAAAATATTCAATAGCAATCTTCTACCTGATCGTCCTGACCATGTTGATGGTAATCCTGATATAACTGATCCTCTATTTGTATCGTCCTGTGATCTAATGAATAGATCTACTTCAAAGGCATCTCTGCACTGAACGACCCACAAAACCGAATACGGTTCTTTTAGCATCCCGCGTTTGCATGCTGTCTCTTTCATTGGCCTGTTGCCAACGATCTAGTCCTCCCGTGTGCAGTGAATTTGGCGTGTTATTGCCCCAGATCCTCACGCCGATTTGGAATCAGCAATCTCGGTACGGTCGTTGTTTTACCACCGGAGTCCTCATCACCGGCTTCAGTCTTTGTCATTAGCCATCCGCCGACTGTGCCACAGCCAGACCCCGTAGTGTGCGGCCGTATTTAGTCACCTATTCGATGCATCTGTAGTGGAACTCCAAAATAAATGATTACTGATATTTACAGAAGCTTCATCAACCTTCATCTACACTTACAAATACACAAGGAAGAGAACTCTCAAGGCAATAGAATTGTAAATAAAATGTTCAAAATACTCAACTGCTTACTTGACAAATTTTTGGGAAATTACTATCTCATCCTATAATCGTCTTTTTCGTACTTTGCAAAGAGGACTTATACTTCGACTTCAAAATGGCAGCAGAGAGCCAGCATGCGAACGAATTCAACTCCGACGATTCGGTTGTTAAATTGCAAGAAGATACACCACCAGGGCCACCACCGATCCCAAATGGTGGACTAAAAGCCTGGCTACAGGTGGTTGGAGCTCACTTTCTCTGGTTCAATACATGGTGAGGCTGCCCCGAGCATTGATGCACTTAGGACAGCATCAATATTAACATCCCAATAGGGGTATTGTGAACTCCTTTGGTGTTTACCAAGCATACTACGAAAGCGACCTTCTTTCCAACCGTTCACCATCTGAGATATCGTGGATTGGAACTTTCCAGGGCTTCCTCCTGGTTTGCGTTGGCATCGTCGGCGGGCCACTCTTTGACTATGGATACTTTCACTACCTTATGGTGGTGGGCTCGCTCTTGATTGTCGTTGGGTTAATGACGCTGAGCCTTGCAACTACATACTGGCAGATATTCTTAGCCCAAGGTCTTTGCATTGGACTGGGAGCTGGATGCTTATTTGCGCCTAGCATAGCAATCGTCGCTACCTACTTCAGCACAAAACGAGCTCTCGCTACCGGTATTACAGCCGCCGGTGGTAGCATTGGAAGCGTCATCTATCCGATCGTCCTTCGCAGGCTTGCTCCACAGGTTGGCTTTCCTTGGGCGACAAGGGTGGTTGGCTTTATTGCTCTCTTTGGCCTTGTCATCAGCAACTTGGTAATGAGGACTCGCCTACCTCCACCAAAGGCAGCTCGGCGCTTTGTCGATGCTCGTGCATTTCGGTCCGTCCCCTTTGTCCTCCTCGCCATTGGGTTCTTCCTCAACGTTGCCGGTCTCTACATTCCAATCTTTTATATCATCCTATATGCACAGCGGAAGATCGGCGTCGCAGAGGATCTGTCATTCTATCTCCTTGCTGTACTTAATGCTTCCTCAGTCTTTGGGCGTATTATCCCAGGCTTGTTGGCAGATAAGTTTGGCTCATTAGAAATTATGACTGTTTGCACGCTTATATGCGCTCTTCTATCTTATGTATTGATTGCGATTCACAACCTTGCTGGTATCGTAATCTTTTGCATTTTATACGGCTTTAGCTCTGGAGCAATATTGTCTCTCGCACCCACCTCGGTTGGAAAATTGATTCCAGATCTCTCCTTGTTCGGCACATGGCTCGGGATCGCTTTCCTTTTTGTCGGCACTGGCTTATTGATTGGAACTCCGATAGCCGGAGTCCTGATCAATCTTGAGTCAAATAGTTTCAGCAACGGGTATATCTTTGGTGCGAGCTGTGTTTCAGGGGGGACAGTAATGTTCACTCTGGTGCTATTAGTCCAGCGCAAGATTATTAAGATCTGTAGTTCTTAATGATTGGCGACCTCGAGGGACTTACAAGATTCACTTCTACTGGGTTCTCTTCAAAGCTGTTAGCCAGACCACATTGTGCACCTTGCTGCGCTGGTTGAAGTGACAGCAGTTAATCTCATGAGGGCGCTCAGATTGCCGGATCCTATCGAGTCCGCAAAGAGCCTGGCCACTTATAATTCGAATTCATGGTTAGCCGTGGAGATCCGCAATGAGGTACAACTTGCACTAAGCTCTGAATTACGGTTCTTGAGATATGCAAGCTAGTTCGGTCCATTCCAATATTGCTTCGATACCCAAACCGCAAAATCGAAATCTCCTGCCATTCTGTCGCTCTACTGTAGCGCTAACTTGGAGCCTTATGAGCCACGTAGACTAGCGATGACCCACCAATTCTCTCCCCCGCGAGGTTATTCCGAGTTTATCTTCGCCTCCCAGGTAACTAGTTGATCGAAAATAGAAACGTTTGTTAGCATATTGCTGAACCCCGAAACTAAACTGCCTGCTCGGGCTGATCGGACACATATGCCGAGAGTGATTGAGCTAACAGGGATTTGACTGAATCAATCCACTTTCACGACCAGGATTCAAACCCTGTACTGTAAGCGCTACTCCTTTTGCCCCGCCTCGGTCTTCGTCAGACTATGTCGCCATCCTGTGCGAGTTACGTGTTTTCGAGAATGGTATTTTCTCCGTTAGGTTTAGGGAGCAACTGAGTCATGGGGGCGCAAGACTAAAACTGATAGAGTATGAAAGTATAGAGGAGTATTTCGTAGTGAGTGGTCAAAGATGGAACTGCCGCTCGATCACATGGCATGCCCAAAACAAGCTTCGATCTTATGAGGATAGCGGTTTGGCGTCGGGGATGGTGGAGAAACAATTGTAATTTCTATATAACTGTAGCCGCTTAAAACAAAACTCAAAAACTCATATTCGGTTTCTTTAACTCTTGTTGTGAGCTACTCCTGCTTTCGATGTCCTCTAGCTCGTCAACACTCTGCCTTGTCACTGCAGTCTTGACTGTAACCTGGATACGCCCAGGTGGCGCGACTGCTCGCTCGATATCTCCATCGTTGCTAATCTCAACATGGACTGAGCTTTCTTCATCAACCTTGAGTTTTTGTTCTGCGGGTGTCACGAAGCTTAGCCTCTGGATTGCACCTAAATTCTGGGATTTTGCAATTTTTGCAGTGAGCTCTGCCATGTTCATTTCAATGGAGAGCTTCAAGAGGTATGCTACTGGATGAAACTGCAAGTAGCTAAAGACTATTAGTTAAGGAGAATTGCACATTTGAGAGTACTGACATACCTAAGGCCGCTCGGTAACGACATTAGACCAATCAAAGATACCTGTTTAGTGCTGCGCATGAGTTGCTGAACCTGTGTCATATTCAAGACAGATCAAATACTTACATCAAGACACATGGAAAAGCACACCAAGACCAAGTTGAGCCGATAGAGTGGCACGTACTTGGACAAGCCGCTCTTGATCAAGCGAGACCGGACCAGATACATGAAACGAATGTTCAGAGACAAGTCGATGATCAAAAAGATTACCTTTTCGGCTCTATCCCATATTTCATTGATATGAACCCACCGCGGCGAAAGCTGGAGATGTGCTGGGGTCCAAATAACCATCACGCTGATGTTGACAAGGAGTAACACGAGAAAGACACCCCATTTAAGGCTTCTTGCAGCCCCAGGCACTGCCATTAAGTATGCAATACGATTTATGATGATTTGCATTAGCAATTGGATCTGAAGAGACCAACAGCAAGCTGTGGATGGGGAGAATGGTTAGTATCTGACAGACAGAGGATAGCGTGGGTGAGGTCCGCACAAATGAGAAAGAATAGCTGAAAACTATCGAATCATCATTAGAACTCCTACTCCTTGTCGAAGGGGTTTGATGGTGGTAAATTGGAATGTTGTAACTTGTACATACCTGGGACCAACATATTCACGCTGGAAGCACCACGTAAGAGCCCCAATAATGATGCTTGCTGTCCACTCGCCCCAAATCAAGGCCACATAAGTGGTTATCCCATGCTTCCTTTTCCAGCTATGGTAAGATTGCCGCCCTGCCTGCACTGCCGCAAAGAGGGCAGCCCCTAAGGAGAATCCCCAGAAAATGCTGGATATGTTCATGTCGGTGTCATCGGGAGTCTCGGAGACATAGTTGTCTGGGACGAGAAATCCGTGATATACCATCTTGTTATCTGTAAGAGAGCTATGTCAAAGCTCTCACAGAGATGCGTGTATCGGAAGATAGCAAGACCATGAATAGTACATTCATAGTAGAAAGAATGCAAAAGTTGGACAAGGTCAGCACTCAGTCGGGAGGGCGGGGGAGTTTATGGCGCAATTGCCCGCCTTCCAGAAGGCCATGAGAAGGACCAGCTTGACTTCACTTGACCGGTCTAAATTTGCTCCAGCTTCCGCTTGAGGCCACAGGGGACAGGGACTGGCTAAGCACTACGGGGCACGGCCTGACACACAAATCACTATCGAAGCTTGTTCTGAACCAGACAAATAGCCGCAGTACTAGCCATGGTGCCATTTTAGTTGAGGTAAGCTTGATCAATCCCCATACCCCACAATCTGTATGTCTCCATGTCTTGAGCGCCACCCCACGTTGTTTCTCCAAGTCTAGCGGTCCGCCACGTGGATGCTGCAATTGGGGTCGGTTTCATCCAAAGACGTCGTTGAATTTCTAACATTAGGGTTACGTGTGTCGATATGTTGGTGTTGTGAATGTTGGAATACTTGTGACTGCTTAGTGGTGCCATCGGGGCTGCTGTTAAAGTCAGCCGAGAGCACTGTAGCTCTCATGGTTGCGAAACAAGTTCCCATGGACTTTTCTGGAGCGGGACTCCGCAGGTTATAGCTTCTCTCCTCCCGGTTCATGCAGAAAACGCTCACTCCACCCTCGGGCTGACCGGGGCGACCCCCGATACAGTTTGGCGACGAAGGGCAAATAGCCAGAATGGCTGCAAGTAATAATTTGACGATAGTATTATGTACATCGGCGAACGCATAGCGAGCCTCCCGAGGCAATGGAGCTTGGATCATTTGAAGAAGAGTCAGTATCGTATGTCCCCCCGAATATCGTCTTCATCTTCGGTGAATGGAGGATCCATCTAAGTTAGATTCGCTAGACGAGCGCGTTGGTCAATAAAGATAAACATATATATACCGTCCTGCCCTTTGTATTTAAAAAGCCATCGAACAGATTATGCATATTGCCTTCATATACCCTTCTTTGTAATACGTTGAAACAAGAACAAATCTTCAAGTACCACTACCAGCATGTCGTCTAAGCACTTCATCAACGACCCAACCAAGTTGGTCAATGACGCACTCTTTGGCATCACCCTTGCCAACCCCGCAGTCGCTCTCGATGCCGACAACAAGACCATCTACCGCCGGCCAAATCTCAATGGAAGCAGTCAAGTCTCCCTTCTAAGTGGCGGTGGTTCTGGCCACGAGCCCTCCTTCGCTGCATTCGTGGGAGATGGCTTATTGAGTGCGGCCGTCGCTGGCACCATCTTTGCATCTCCCAATACAGAGCAGGTTCGCAAAGCAGTCATGGGTCTTGTGGACTCAACTCGAGGCGTTCTTGTAATCGTCATGAACTATACGGGCGATGTTCTCAACTTTGGCGTGGCTGTCGAGCAAGCCAAGTCTGCCGGTCTCAACGTTGAAATGCTGGTGGTTGCTGATGACGTCGGCGTTGGTCGTCAGAAAGCCGGCAAAGTAGGACGTCGGGGAATTGCTGGAACTGTGCTTGTTCAGAAAATCGCCGGAGCTCTCGCAGCACAAGGTGCTGACCTGGCAGAGGTTCACAGAATCGGCAGACTGGCTGCGGATAATCTGGTCAGCGTTGGTGCCAGCTTGGAACATGTGCATGTCCCTGGTCATGTTGCTGCTCATGCGGACGACGGACTTAAACTTGGTGAAGTTGAGCTGGGCATGGGTATCCACAACGAGCCTGGGTCTGGCAAACGCACAGCCGATTTACCTGAACTCGTGACAGCAATGCTAGCACAATTGTTGGATCAAAGTGACAAGGACAGAGCATTCCTTAGCATCAAGTCGTCAGATGAAGTGGTGCTCCTGGTTAACAACCTTGGTGGTGTTAGCGTTCTCGAGATGGGAGGCATCACCACCGAGGTCGTGACTCAGCTCAAGGGGCAATACGACATCCGTCCCGTACGAATCTTGAGTGGCACCTACATGACCAGTCTGAACGGTCTGGGATTCAGTATCTCGCTCCTCAAGGTTGCCGATACAGGCATCAATGGGTCTACGATGATCCAATTGCTAGATGCTCCTTCGGAGGCTACAGGTTGGTCCGCCCCCATCTCTACACAGACATGGGAGGCAAAAGTCCAATCAACCCGAGAGTATAAGGAGGCGCCTATAAGAAAAGTTCAACCAACTGGACTGAAGCTAAACCCTGCAACTGCGAAAGCGGCACTGGTGAGGGGCCTGGAGCGGGTAGTCGCATCGGAGCCGGAAATTACCAAGTACGACGAGGTTGTGGGCGACGGAGACTGTGGGTTTGGCTTGAAGCGCGGTGCTGAAGGTTAGTGAACTTGAAAAAGCTCCATTCGTACCCATGTTGATCTGACATCCATACTCATCTAGCTATTCTTACGTTTCTGGCACAAAGAAAATTCTCTGGCGATGCAGTTGTCGATGTAGCAGATATTGTGCTTCTTGTTGAGAAGACAATGGATGGCACATCCGGCGCTCTGTATACCATTTTCTTAAATGCTTTGGTTCGCTCACTCGCCGCTATTCCTCCTGGTGAAGCCACATCACAAGTCTGGGCTAAGGCACTGGAACAGAGCTCTGCAGCCATGTCAAAGTATACAAGCGCAAGGCCTGGCGATCGAACGCTGGTCGACGCTTTGTATCCTTTTATTGAAGTGCTGGGCAAGACTGGAGATGTAAAAGAGGCAGCAAAAGCCGCGAGCCTCGGCGCGGAGAAAACAAAGGGTATGAAGGCCAGTCTGGGACGCACGGTTTACGTCGGAGGGACTGGATTCCAAGAATTCCCTGACCCCGGTGCTTGGGGCTTGCGATGCTTCTTCCTTGGGCTTGCTGGAATTGAGTCTACCAACTCTGTATAATGTAGTCTATGTACATGCACGTAGTATAGCGCAATATCACTAAATCATGTTAGATCTAGCTTCAAGCCAAATACATGCTCATTGATGACCTTGCGACTAATAAAACTAGAGTATTCTTTATTCACACGTTATAGAATGAGGGCACCTCTATTTAGCACAGCAAATTAGGTAAATGTTGTGCGACGTGTCGCAGCTGAAATTTGGGCGCTTCGGGACCGTGTCTGCCGCGGAATTATCGGCGAACCTCCTGTCACACAGGTCAATGATATCTTGTTATCGTATCTCTTCTGTATGATATGCGGCTGGCTGCATCGCTTTCTTGTGTGAGTCTAGTCCTATTAAAAGAGCTAATAAGTTTCCAAATTTGCATGAAAAAGGGGCCATAGCTGGCAACGGGCCGGGCCATTGCCAGAAGAGGTCCATTATTTCGGCCTGGAGTCCGAGACATCCTTCGGTGCTCTCTATCTAACTAGAATTTAGTGTGGCTAACATGGCGATGCCCCGTATTCAGCGTCTGGCAAGCATCTCGGCCTCAGCTCCGAGAAGAGCGAGGTGGAGATATCTAGGTCAACCAGGTCATGAACATGATTGCCACTGCGGGCTCGACTTTCGCAATAGACATCACGCAATATATGATTCATTTAAATTTTATGGCGTTATGTATGGCAGCTCAATGTTGCCAGCGGAACGATGCATAGCTTAAGACCCCCTTGCATTGTGGCGTGAACGTGCAGTTGTTTTGTTGCACTAGTGGAAGCAAACAGCGCTGAATGACTTAAACTATTGGATCCTGAGGGCGGATGTGCCGCTTCTCAACCAATATGGCCGCCTGGTGGCTCTTTTACGCATGACCAAGCTCATGGCATTCGGGAGGCTCGTCGCCCCAGAAAGTAGCCTAGGCTCCGGGGCTGAACGCAAGCCACTCCTACCGAGCTATACTCGAAATCATATCTCCACATTGGGCAATATTTGCTGAGCTTTGAACTCGAACAGGCCAGAACTTGGGGCCCCGTGCTTCCCCAGATTTTCGGAGTAGTTACGAAGTGGGCTGCTTGGGGCGAAAGTCATCTCCAGTATACATTTCTAGTATATGTATGCCTCTGTAGCCTGTTTCTCGTAGCTTGAAAATGTTCAAAGTCAACCGGGCAACTCTCGCATATTATGCAATTTGCCAAAAACAACGACATCTTAACATTCGTACACCGGCTCAAGGCTGTCTAATGTCTGTCGATATGAGTCACATTGAACACATTCATGTTGTCGAAGACGACCTGAAGAATCGTCAGGAGAAGTCATCTCTCTCCCAGGACGGTACTTCGAAGGACCAACATGTTCCAATAAACATAATTGTGTCCGAAGACCGTACCACCGCTTGGTACAAGTTTCGAAAAGTCATGCGTGAGCCCTTTTCTGAGTTCTTTGGCGTCATGATACTCGTCTTATTTGGCGACGGATCGGTCGCTCAAGTCGTGCTCGGAAAAGGAGCCAAGGGAGACTGGAATAATATTAACTGGGGATGGGCGTATGTTTTACTCCATGACTCTTGTTCAAACCATTACTGACAGACGCGAAAAGCCTGGGCGTGATGCTTGGTGTCTACTGCGGTGGCGTATCCGGCGCACACTTGAACCCTGCCGTTACACTCGCCAACTGTATCTTCCGCAAGTTTCCATGGAAGAAACTTCCAATCTATGCCCTTGCCCAGCTTTTAGGTGCCATGGTTGCGTCCCTCATTGTTTACGGAAACTACAAATCCGCGATCGACGTGTTCGAAGGTGGGCATGGCATACGGACTGTAGGGTTGGATACATCTACTGCAGGCATCTTTTGCACATATCCAGCTCCCTTCTTAACCAAGTCGGGCCAATTCTTTGATGAATTCATCGGCAGTTCTATTTTAATGTTCTGCCTTTATGCCCTCCTTGACGATGGAAACATTGGGGCTGGTAATCTCACTCCTCTTGGCCTGTTCTTTGTCATCTACGGGATCGGAGCCTGTTTCGGCTCCAACACTGGCTATGCAATCAACCCTGCGAGAGATCTGGGCCCTCGGATCATGTCTCATGCAGTTGGCTATGGACACCAAGTGTGGACGGCAGGAGACTATTACTTCTGGGTATGCAGATTTCCACCCTCAGAATTGACTGAATTACTAACAGTTGGTGATAGATTCCCGTTATCGCACCATTCCTGGGGTGTACATTTGGTGGCTTCCTTTACGATGCTTTCATCTATACTGGCGACAGTCCCATCAATGCCCCGTATATGGGCCTCACAAGATTCATGGGTGTTCGGGCCAAAGCGGGGAGACCAGCCATGGTATGAGATCGCCAAAGAGTAACTCAGACGATTTGGATACGTGACAAATCTAGACCATTTACCTTCATCTACTACGCGGTTGAGTGAGAGTCTTCTTCCGCGCTGCACTTTACATTTCAATTACTTCTATACCTTTCCTGCTTAAAGTCTGTGTGCAGCAAATGTGACATAATTTGTAGAATGTTTCCTTGATCCCCCTGATTTAGCGGACCAAATCACGCAATGATCATCGTTTCAAACCATGTCTAATCAATACGTAACGCAGTAGTTGGAGCAAGGTTTCCAGACAAACCCCTCCGTGGGCTATGGATGTTCTAGTGGTGGCAGGGTTTGAAGTGGGCTCTTACGACCAACGTGTTAGGAATATGCGGTTGCAAACACTAATCCTGCATGCGTATGCCTGTATACTATGATATAGGTAGCGTATCAGTAAACCTCCAGGTCCTCTGCCCAACAGTACTCCGTATATATGCAGCTGATACGCGATATCCACCCTTGGAACGTTGTTCCCAGCTACTAATTGGATCGAGGTAGACCTTCCCTTAAGGGCTTCGTTCTAGCTGCATTCTAGCTTCGTTCCATGACTGGATGGGGTCAGGGATGGAGAACTCGGACACTCCGTAGCGCTTATCGCCCGCCAACCAGCACTTAGGATCGAGATCAAATACAAACCTCTACTTGTAATGGAGTGCTATCGGATGGTTTCTTTGACGGTTTCAAGCCCCTCCAAGCTCCGGAGATATCCATTCGTCAGCTGATGAGGTGAAAAGCACCCACCCTTCAGCAGAAACGCCATGCACAGCGGTTTACATTTTAGCCTCAGCTAGCTTGACCTGTAGACCCGGGCAGCGCGGAATAACCACGTGGTATCTCGATTCGTTTTGGATTTATGAATATCATACGGAGTAGAAGTCAGGCTATTGGCCCTGGTATCGACAGGCCCCGGGGAATATGACTCGAAACACAGCCTTATTGTACGAATCAACCCAACTCCTCCCTTCGTGCCCGCCAACGAAGCCCCGCAAACTCTCTGTGGGGGTGAGCAAGGACCATGTCTCTTTAGCTTATTCTAGAAGGATGCCCGATTGGGGTAGGCATGGCGATGCGTCTGAGCGGATCTCTCGTAGCTGATTGATACTCCGTCTAGACAAGAGGGACAGGAGACCGTTGCCATAATAATGCCAAATATCTCAATGTATTGAGGCAGCTATGAGCTCCTTAGACGCAACAATGGCTCCTGGATCTGTGAGCGTCGACGATACCCCAATGGATGTGTCATCAGATCATGAGAAGACAGAGGAACCTACCTCCAAAGCCTCGTAGGTTCTAAATCTGTCGAGATTAACAAAACAAGCGGAAGCTGACTGAATTTCCCAAAGGTGTGAGATGTGCAGGCGGCGGAAGGTCAAGTGCGATCGAACAAGGCCAGCCTGCGGTTGGTGTGTGCGCAATGATCGCGTGTGTGTTTACAAAGAGAAGCGGAAGGTTGTCGAGGAGAGTGAAAGAAATGACCAGCTGGAGGCTCGACTTGGGCATCTTGAAGCCCTAGTTCAGGGCTTGAAACAACGCGTTGACTATCACATTTCGCGTCATGATGCTCACCACGAAGCTTCTCGTTCTCCCATGTCAAAGAGTCCCTCAACTCATCATGACCGACATCACAGCTGGCACGCAACTGCGTCTCCAGAGTCTACACACTCGGATATGCTGTCTGAAGGTGCTCGATCTCCCACTGTTATCCTAAATCGACCGATTAATCTCTCAAGCGGTGTGAAGTTACCGCAAAGTTTCAACTCAAACATGAAGGCAATCTATGAACAAGAGATTGTTCTATCGACAGATCCGGATCTTCCCCCCAGCGACCTGCTTTATGTTCTGGTGGACCTCTTTTTCAAACATATCAATACGTGGTTTCCCTTGCTTGACCGCAAAGCCACCTTTGGAACATATTTTGGTTCCACATCCGTCTCGCGAGGCGATCGCGTGGTTTTGTTTGCCATTATCGCAACGACATTGCGATTCGCTGCAGATGCACGCCTGACACCAAATGTAAAGCAAAGGCTTTATAACAGTTGCAAACAGAAAGTAGAGCTATACGCATTAGAGAATGTCAACCTCTTCGCGCTGAAGGCTTTGACGCTCCTCTCGTTGGACGTTCTGGGGACTTCCAACGAACTGCAGGGACAGAGCCTCCTGTCTCTACTTGTCCAGAATATTGTTCATCTTGGTCTTTGTGTTGAGAAAAACGTCTATCTGACCTCTCCATCGTTGTCAAAAACAGCTTTACCGCGCAGGGTAGCACTTCCAGAGCCTAATTCCTGGATTGAAGATGAAGGGAGACGCAGGCTCTGCTGGATGGTATATGTGTTGGACAGATACGCAACACTAGCGACACAATTCCAATTCATGATGGTGGAAGAGGACATGAAGCGCTTTCTTCCTTGCCGATACGACTTGTGGTCGGGTGACATTCCTGTGGAAACGAGATGGCCAAATGGCCTTGACACGACCAAACAGAGACATACAACCAATGCGCCTGAAAATCTTGGTAGCTTTTCCTACCACTGCGAAGTTCTCGGAATTTTGAGTCGCGTTCACAATTTCCTGCTGAAACCACTTGATATATACTCAATTCAAGATGTGCGAAGCTGGCGGAGCACCTTTGTTGTTCTGGAAGGTGAATTATCCACCTGGCTTCGTGACCTTCCTGCAGAATACGGTCAGATATCACTATTGTGTCATTCTGACCCTGGAGCCAGAATTATTAATTGGATCATGTTACATGCTGCATTTGTGGTATCGACCATTCGGCTTAATTCTGCAGCGGCGTATCCCGTGGTGCAAAACGCCGTGTTTGTACCATCTTACAGTGCCATGCAGACTTGTCTCTCTGCAGTTGAAAGCTTGAGAAGCATTGTCCAAGACGTGATCGAAACCAGCGGCTTATCTTTATTGGGGCCGCATTTCGCCTTCTCTCTATGGACATCAGCGAGACTTCTTCTGGTACATGCAGCAACCATGGGCTGTGAAGTCGATCCGAAGGTTGATTTCTTTGTGGGCACCTTGGCCGAGATGGGCCGATACTGGGAGGTCGCCGCCACCTACTCGGCGACCCTAAGCCGAGTGACCGAGGAGGGGCGACAAGGAGACAAAACGTTTACTGAGATGAGGCAGTAAGTGTACCTTTATCAGATGATTTAGGGCTGATTGAGGCTAATACTATTCTGACAGACACGCCCATGAACTCTCAATGCTCTCTGGTTCGACGAGGCTCAGTGCCCTGGAGCCAACTTCGACTAGAATATCTTCTGTAAACGAGCTGGACTACCTCGAGATTTTTGATTTCTTCAACTACCCTCGGTCGGTTGACCATGGCTCTACAGCTCCATTCGAGATTCACCAACATTTATTAGATTATTCCTCTGGCTCCATCTCACTCGGTATGGGGTTTGTAATGCCGAGTGTAGAATCGGACTGGCTGCAGTATGAGACCCATCAGTGATACATCAGCAAACGATATGATGATCTATGAAACGCATTAGCTCTGGTACTTGGGGGTTTCTTTTTATCATTTTCTACTTCTTGCGGCCATTCGAATATCCTGCGGTATAGAGTGTTAGAGGCATAGACAAATAGACCAATTACAATTGCCATTCCTCCTTCCAAATAGTGTCTGGTTGGTAGCTACTCTCCATTTGATGCCCTGAAACGATCTATGGCAAATAAGTAAAAGTAAGTGAAGCAAAGCGGCTTGTTCCCCTGTGGTCCGTTATCCCCACCAGAAGAGGAAGTTAAAGAGATTTACCTCTCGCTGTTGATATTGTATATGATTTACGGGGAGCACTTATAAGAACATATGGCCTATATACCTGCAGTAGTAGAATGTCTTAAATGGTAATTTCTTAGTAAGAGAATACCCGAGGTATACTGACCATCTTTAACCGACGTGACCTACTTTCCCTTATTCCATGAACAATGCTTCTGAGGCCTCAGATATTCTTATCGACAAATAATTACTAATCTTCTTTGGGGTCAGAGGATTACAAGGGCAGGTAGCACATTGACACTTCATCTCATCGCTTTCCATTGCAGACTGAATGATGGGCGGAAAGCTCACTCTGACTAGATGCAGGGTTCGGACCCTCATGTAAGCCTCAGCGAGTTTGAGAAGCCCGCCATTCTCTACCGGGGGATTGGTAGGTAGGTAGCATTCTCCCCCTATAAGGCGCATGTGCGCTCGGAGAAAATTTCTCTTTGGCCGAGGCGCGTTGTCCCAATTCGCTAGAACACAACTTTGCTGCTCGCCACTTCGATGCGTTTGTTGCCTTTGCTCCGCAAGTTGTTCCCATTGCCAAAAGTTAGCGAACTTTAAACAACTAGTCACTATTCTGAACCCTAGTAAGACTGCTAAATCGCGGCACGACACTCTTTTGAGACGGGCGTTTTGAGCGGAGAATGTGGAGAAGCTTATGAGACAACAAGACGGATTCTGTCTTGTGGCCGGTGAGCAGAACTTGCCCTTCGATAATTTGTCTTTCTTCATCTTCTGATAAAAAAAGAGGCTGTCTCGCTACTCTCGCTTTGATCGACCTCCGCAACAGCGTCGAAGTTACGCTCTGATGGGAAAGGGTGTGTAGTGACCACGATAAACCTGGATTGACCAGTCCAGTCCCTTGTACCATCCCATCGCCTCATTCGTTCAATATCTCCTAGGGGAAAAATAAAGCCCCTCGTATCAGAATACAATCATCCATTACACGCCAATTGCGATTGCAGCGGACTAGTGCATTTTGTGCCCCCTTTCGACATGCCTGTGCCGGTCGGTGCTTCGGGAAAATTCCCGAGGCGTGGATTCCTTGAGGCCATGGAGATGTCCCGGCTGACCGGCAATGGTGATTCCAATGATACTCACCAGTTCATGAGTCGCCAACCAGCTTGGCAACCGGGAGCCGAGCTACCTTGGGGAAGCGATGATAATACCAAACACAAGACTGCAACTTACTTTACAACGAGGGCATATGGAGGGCATGTTTATATTCAGGCGCCACTTGCTGCCGTTAATGTTGTGGAAGGTGACGATGAAAGTGCTAAAGGGGTATCAAGTAAGGGAAAGTTCGGTATCCACGTGAGTTTGCTCTTTATCTCATTAAATGGAAGGGATTCCACATATATTAATGGGATCCAGTCAATACAAGGCGTGTTTACCAACCCAGGACACGTGGACAGGCCGTTCATCTACCAGGTTACAAAACTCGCCGCTGGCCGTAGCTTTCAAACCTGTCTTGTCACTGCCCGCCAACCAAAGGAGCCTTCATCCAATCCTTCGGGTCCCTTTCCGGAATCAGACTCTAGATTGCCTCTTGGCCCTATTTGCTTTAGCTGCCATGTCACCTTCAAGCGGCCTGGATTGAGTTTTGCAGACTTGCAATTGTCATCAGCACAAGAACGCTTCACAGATATTCTTGCCCAAAGAAAACCCGAGGAGTGGGAAGCAAGCCCGCAGCTTGACATTGATATCATTAACGATGCGTTTCCGAATGCCGGCCACGGCGGATTTCCCATTGTGGACATGCACAAGGTTGACATGAAGCTGTTCAATGCTGATAGACCAATTCCCGAACGCCGTGAATTGCTTTTATACAGACTTCACAAGCCTATTCCCACGGAAGATACCAATGCCCACATCCTTGCTCATGCATTTGAAGCAGACAGGAACGGACTCCTAACGATAAGTAACTATCTAGGATGGGGCTACAACTTGGGTGTGGCCGCGAGTCTAAGCTATACATTCGTAGTACACGTCAACGCCGAGGAGGCCGTGATGAGTGACGGGTGGTGGATTCAGGAAGTATGCTGGCCACGAGTGAGCGCCGGGAGGGCAACATTGGAGAGCAGAATCTGGAGTCCTGCGGGAAAACACGTTGCGAGCGGATATCAAGATGGACTTGCAGCACCGCTAGAGCCGAAGCGCGGGGCCGAGAAGTTGTAGGTTGACCTGGGCGGAGATTTGACAAGAATTATGCTTGCTTGTTGTTTAATGTATGCGAGATGTAGTTTCGCCATCTCCATGTTGAATCCTCCTCTGGCCTCATTTTTATATGTGAATTGAGCGCGGTCGTCACCCAATCGCTTTTGTCTCATTCCTTACTCCTCTATATCGTACAATTCCAGTCGTCAATTCCCCCTACCTAACACACCATCCCACCGCCGCCTCAACAAGCAACTTCGCATAAACACGATGTAACATGCCAGGCACACCACCAAATGGATCCTCCTTCGGTGTCGTCGTCACTCCATCAAACGTTATAGCCTTGAGTCTGAACTCGGCCACTTTTCGCTTCTCATTTAGTACTGCTGTCAAGGCGAATACGTTATCTAGGTCGCGTGGTCGAAAGGGGGATTCCTTGGGAGCAGGGCAACCACGAAAGGTTAATGACGTGGGAGATTTCTCGAGAACGAGAAAGTGATTTGTCAAAATTGTCCCTGTTTTGCTTAATTAGCCATCTTGTACTCACATGTGCATTGATACAGCGGGTATTTTGACGAACCAGGCTCATATGTGCTCTGTCCCAATTCATCTGGCGTCCACAAATCGGTACGATTCTCGGGACTCTTGGTCAGCCCCATTAGCCTCCTCTGAATCCCATATCCTAACAACATTTCAATCAACTTTCAGGCTCATCAAATAATTCAACAATAAAAACGCACCGTATCCTGCCCACATCCCCCGCGAAAACTCCTCCACCAGCGCACTCCCACCCCGTCTCGCATCCTCCAACAGCTCCGGCCTCAGTTTCTCAAACGGCACTTTTCGGACGCATGAATCGTGAGTGCTGGGATTATTTCGGGGATTCAAATATTTCATGATTGGATGCTTGAATAATGCATCAGTGTCCGGCCCGAAAGGCTCAAACGCGCATTTCTGAGTCCATAGGGCCAATCCGCCGAACGTGACCACCGGACCGCCAACGAGGACTTGGGTGAGACGAACCAACCGCTGGCGGGCTGTCGACGAAAAAGGCATGACGAAGTTAATTCAAGTTTCTTTCAAAGTACATGAAGCTGAGAAGATGGATAGAGAGAATGACGTCTATAAAATATGAGGGAGAGACGAGAGAGATGGCGGCTTTCGGCCAAGCAACTCGGGACCTAGTTCGGGCCGTATTTGTGCATCTTTGTCTGGGCCGGCACTTTTGGCCCACTGTATCGGAGCTACACACGCCCGTGAGAGTGTGCATTGCCGAGTGAGAGAAGCTGAATAAGAGGCTCGGGTATTCGAATCCAATAGGCTATACGTGGGGCATTGAGGTCCATGATATGATGGTCATTCTCCAGGCTACATCTTAAAGACGCTAACAACAGCAAATAGTCCCGAATAGACAATGAGAGGGGAAATATACACCATGATAGCTGAGTGAGTATCAAGTCTAGGCAATCTAGTGATAGAGATGGTAGTGTCATATAGCTATCGCTGCGGAATAACCTCCCAATTTGGGTATCTCTAAGAAACAATGAAAAAAGAAAGAAAAGCTCCGCTCATCCAACAAGACACTTGATGGTTCTCATATCGCATGTTCCAGGCCCACCCAGCCAATACCGAAAGAACTTCCCTACTGGTCGCTTTCTTCATCTCCTCCATGCACGCAAGATGCCAGATGCCAAGCTAGAAAATGTAAACCGAGGAGAGAAGACGGAGAAGAAGATGGAAAGCCAGAAGAAATGCCAAAAACTCCGATTCCCCGGACTAGGAAAAAAAAAGCAATTTTTTGTCGCCAATAGCCCTCTCTCCATGCAAATGCAAATGCAAATCAAATCACTGCATCAGCTGATGGACATCACGCGACATCTTCTTCTTTTTCTCCAGCTTCAGTAGCGGTACCTCCATGCCGTCCACCATCCGCCCTACTTTACCCTCTCTCAAAACCTGCCAATGCTTTTTCAACAGCTCTTCTCCCACTACTAGCTCGAATCCGGCCAGGAAGCAGAAGCTAATCTCTAGCCTCGCCAGTTCGACCTCACTCACACCGCCGACTTTGGCAATCTTTGTATGCGGATAGGACAGATCCTCGAGCGCCTTCATGGCTACCCGCAAGCCAGCGAGGACTAGTCTATGTGCGTTTCGTCTCGTTACGGGGATCGCGCGCTCCTCAACGGCAAGGCGGTGGATATACAGCGACGTGGCGAGATAGACGGCCGTGCTCATGGGACAAAACTGGTGGAGCCGCAGAAGATACTGGTTTACCGAGATGGGAGGTTCGTTTTTGCTGTAGAACTTGCGGGTGATGGCGCCGTGCTGCAGGTTCAACGGCTGCGAGTCAGCCCCGACGACGATGTAGGGTTCCGGAGGATGCAGGTTCGGGGCGGATGACGAAGGGTTCGCGTGTCGCAGAGAGCTGTGTTTCAATCGCACGCCGTCGATCGATTGCGCATAAGCGTCCTGCTGGGCTATCAGCTGTGCTGACATGGACGCGCTGTACGCCTGAAGTTTGCTTAGATTGCCTACCGACGACGAGCCACTCTTCTGGCCGAGCTTCTGCAGCTTCTCCTGTATCTGCTGCTGATGACGCTGCTTTCTAAGCTTCTCTTCCTGCTCTTCCCGCAGAGCCTGGGCCCGAAGTCGTGCCAAGCTCTTCTCCGAGTGTGATCGCGCAATATTCTCTTTCTCGACCTGCATGTTACTCATCTGAGGATCGGTGGGCGTCTTCGGTGGAGGTGTTGGAGGGACATCGCCGGTGATGCGAACTAGCAGCTCGACGTTGGCGCTGAGAAGCTGCAGTGCCTCAGATGGCTTGAGTTTGAACAGGTCGTGCTCATCGTTGTTATCGGCGGGCGTCGAGTTCGCAGGACTCCTATCCTGGTCGATGGAGAGTCGCGGATCTGACGAAGGAACGGGTGGAGGAGGAGGATCGTGCGCTGGACTAGGATCGAGAGAGGACGAATCTCGCTGCTGTTGCAATTGTATCGCCGCAGTAGCCTCGATTTGTTGCGTCTCGGTCGCGGCGGAGGAAGACATGGCGCTGTGGTTGGCCGTGGCCGTGGATTTGGCTCTTTGCTGGCCTGGCCTCGCCTCGTCTCACCTCGCGTATCTGTGGTGCTGCTGTTGAATGTTGTGGCTATTCTATATTTTATCGAGCGTTGAGATGTAGAGAAGCGAGGAGGATACGCGCGCCAGTGAGTGAGCTGGTCAAATCAAGGCAATGTTCAGGTTGTCAAAGCCGAGGTCGAGTATGGCCTTGACGCTGCGCGCGTATCGCGGACTTGGATCGCTGCTGTCGCTCGTAGGCAATGTACGGTTTCGGTTTCAGTGTTGGTTTCGGAATTCGGGATTCGCTCTCGCTGAAGACGCGCAAGGCCTGGTCTGTGCCTGTCGTTGTCAAGAGACGCAGTCGTGGATGCGCCTCGGTCGATTCAAGGCGTGGATGTGCTTGGTCTGGGCCACTCTCATGATCCCTTTGTGGGGAGTCTCGAATTCGCTTTCTCTTGGTGTCTTCTTTTTTAACTTCTCTCCCGTCCCTCAACCTCTGCCCGGCCTCAGGCTCTGTCGTCGCAGCACGAGGTTTGTTGCCGGAAGCGGTTTCTGTCGGGAAGCGAGTCGAGACGAAATTCCTCCCGCTTGAATCAAGTGACCTCGTGATCAGCCAAGCTCTGCAGCCCGCTAAGATTAAAAAAAGAAAAAAGAGAAAAATCCGTGGGGCCACTTGCGGCTCGAGTTAGTGGACCGAGCGTCCTCAGGCGCCTGTTCTCTGCTTGTTTCAATATCAGATCAGCATGGAGATGAGCAGATGAGAAGAGCAGATGGCGAGATGCAAGGGAAATGAATTTAAATGCTCGCTGGCGCCTAAATTGGAAGCATCCATGGCGAGCCTGTTCCCTCGCCACGTGTGAGAAGTAGAGCCGAGAAGGGACACTAGCGGCTATTCTATTCTGGTGAGTTGGAGTCAATCTGGTCCCGGAGATGAGATGTGGCTGTCGAGATGCCGGGGCTTCACTTCATCTTGGCCTTCATCCGCATCTCCTCATTCATCTTGTCTTTCTTCATGCAATGAGTATTACTATACTATACTATACTATACTATACTATACTATAGCTATTAGTAGCAACCACCATAATAACATCAAATGCATAAGTATCCAGCCCAAATGGGGACTGATGCATGCACCCAGCATGCAACAAGCGACTCGATCCACACTAACAGCTGTTGACGGGCGATCGATCAGGACCCTTTACAGAGACCCTTTAATATCTCCAGAGACCCCTTCTTCCCATCTGCCGGGTGACCAATTCCATCACATTATCGCTTGTTCCGTCGAGAAGCTAGACGCCACACAGAATCCCCCCACTTAGCTGCTAACTATGTATCATGTCAATCCAAGACGAAGCGGAAGACAACAGCTGGCCGGAAGCAGAAACAGCAGCTAAAACAACGATACAGCACGGAAACTACAGAGAAACATGAGCAAGTTATCCTCGATGCATGTGGCAAAAAGACCCAAAAAGCACAGGTCAGTTTCCCGAGATTCAGCAGCTTACGCCCCCACCACCAACAACTGCGCCAATGCAAGATTCAACTCTCAACTCCTGCATCCTCGCCCATCCAATGCATCACCTCCTCTTCGTGGCGTCTGGCCTCGGGCGGTCTAGATTTCGCCATCTAGCGAATTGACTTGCTTCCTTTCATCAACCTGGAGCAGCGGAATGGGCATTAATTACTTTTCTGGCCCCTTGCCTCTCTGGTGGGATGATTTCTCATATGTTATGTTTGCATCCTATTGGACCCTGTCAAGCCTGTGTCGAAATATGGGGGAGAAACAAGCAACGAACCAATCGCCATTCGTTTCTACCGCTGCAAGTCCCCTATCAGCAGCTACAGCTGCCTCGCGCATGCTGCACGCAGTCAGATGCACAGAGATATAAATATTAAACGAGCGGTAATGGCGCCCTAGAAAATCGACGTGGCTTGATGGGATTGTGCGCTGAAATTGAATGAGTAACGTGGCGTACCTTGCGTATGAGAGGAGCCATTAACATGTGGTGGAAACAGAAACAATGGGAAGTAAAAGCTGAAGCTGCATGCTTTTCTTCAGGTTGCTAAAAATAACCTCACATCGTCCTTGTCTGGTGTTCATTGCAGTTCAATTCGTTCTACGTACAATCGTGCTCCATGTCTATGGTAACCTTGCCGTGTGTTCACTGGCTCTGTCTCTATCCACCATCTATCATCAGCTCATACAATGATTAACATCCCGACGCAACCTTGACGTCCACCACCGCTGATTGGCCATTCTGTACATGGGCAATGGCCTCCTTCAGCACACCCTCCAGCTCCGCTCTCTCGTTCACTCTAGCAGCAAAGATGTCGCCGTCAGCAGCAGCCTTGGCAATGCCGGAGTAATCCGGTGAGGGATCAAAGGAAATGTTGATCTCTTCGTTGGTAGCTTGTGATCCCAGTCCCTCGGGGTGAACCAGCAACAAAGACCGGCGCGGCGCATTCCAACCTATACGATGACACAGTCGTTAGCTTTAATTCTCCATCTCAAATGCATCATCTGCTATGTGATAGTCTTGACTTACCCTTGTTGTTGAGCACAATAGTCAGGATAGGGATGTTGTAGCGTTTTGAAATCCAGTAGACACTACCAGGAACGGTAAAGAGATATGTGCCGTCGCCCACGATTTGAACAACAAACTTGCCCTTGCCCTTTCCTCCATTCTCTGCATCAGTGGCGAGCTTCATACCCAGTGCACCACCGCCAGACCAACCAAGGCCACCACCACCGCAGTTAATCCATGAGCCGGGAGTTGAAGGCTGGATGTTGTCGTATACAAAGAGGGTGTTGGTCACGGCCTCAATAGCCCAGAGGGTGTCCTCTGGAACAAGTTTCTTGACCTGCCGGCAGAGATAACCGGTTCCAAAGGTGTTGTCGGGAAGTGGCTCAGCTGCCTTGGCAATCTTTGCAAGACGCAGCTCGTGCTCTTCCTTGCGCTTCGTAGCAATCTCCACCACGTTCTGGGACTGCAGCTTCTTTGCAAGGTCACCCGTCTTGAGAGCCTCAGTAAGCTGCTCAATTGCAGTCTGGCTATCCGCACGATACGTCTCCTGGGCCTCGAGGTAAAAGACGGGCATCTGCTGCTTGAGCGGGTCGAGATCGATGTGGAACACCTTTGCATCTGGGTTTGGCTTGACCCGAGTAGGGATCCATGGCACGTCGGCATCGAGGACGAGAATGACATCGGCATCAGCAACAGACATTTCGCCTCCATAGTTAAGGCCAAGAGAAGCGGGGTGATCAAAGGGGAAGCACATGTCACTGCCTCCACAGTCAACCACCCTCAGGTTGGGAACAATATTGGCGAGCTCAACCAGAGCTCCTGGGAATTCGTGGTTCCTGCCGCCGTATCCTGTCAGGACCAGAGGGCGTTTGGCGCCGGCAAGGGCATCTGCAATGTTTTCAACGGCCTGCTTAGGCAGACTGCCCAGCTTGACAGGTTCCCAGTCGCTTTGCCTCAGCTGGTAAGGCTTGATCTCCTGCTCCATGATCTCTCGAGCGCCATACAAGTAGACGGGACCTTGAGGTCCAGATTTAGCCCATTGCAACGCACGGTTAACCAGTTGCTTAACGTTAGACCCCGTCTTGATCTCACCAGTGTACCGGCAGTACTGCGCAACAATCTGCTTCTGGTCGGGAACATCCTGGATCCAGTGGATGTACTCGGTACGGGTGCCACGATGTTCGCCCTCAAGAGTGAATGGTGATAGACCAGCGAAGACGAGAACAGGCGCACGACCACATGCTGCGTTGTGCACGGCAGCTCCAAGACCTTGTGTGCCAACATCGACGTGAACAATGACGCACTGGGGCTTGCCTGTTAATCTAGCATAGCCATCGGCCATGGACATGGCAACCATCTAAGATGTATAAGCATTTGTACTCATATGCAACAGCCCAGATCACATCATATGAGATCCAGGATGAGAAGGGTCAAGGGATAGGAGAAGAGGGGCATACCTCATTGGGGCATGTAATCATCTTTGGAAAGTTTCCCTTGCGTTCACGAGCACCCTTGACCATGGCCTCGATAATGCTCGGGTGGTCAGAGCCCAAGTTTACAAAGCAGTGAGTGACACCAGCCTCCCACAACGCCTCAAAGAAGGCCGAAGAGGCTGTGTACATGTTTTGGTAGTCTGGCTTCTCCATGGCTGCGGTTGAAGCGTGTCTGTTGTTGGTGCTCACAATCGCCGTGGAAGGGATTGCTCTTTTATCAATGAGACTCCGCCCTCTGGACGATGTGACATTTGATGATCCCGAGTAATGCCGTAACCGAGATGGAGGCTGGCTGTAAGTGTGGGATAAAGCTACGGCTCCGACAACCGGTGTGGGGCGGCTTCTCCAGAGGGCCGGCAGAGATGTCCCGGAACGGTGTAGAAGAGCCATGCCGCCTCGCTATTGGACGGCTGGTTTTTGGAATTAGTTGAATGGAGCAGACTAAATCGATGGGGATGTGGTATTTGAGATATCGACAAGTGTAAATGGTGTAGGGGGATTGGTTCGTTGATGCTTGGGCTGAAAGGAGGGGGGAGCTTGTGAGGGGTTCGGCATCGAGTTCGGATAGACATGGAGTCGTTGCTTGCTGCAACCGCCATGTAGCCGCGAGTGATGACATAAGGACATTTGACATTTGATAGTTGAAGGGCGTATCAAGAGGAATCGGACATGTTTGACATGCGGAATCACGGAACTTACCTGTGTAGGAAGAGCAAGGATGTTGGGTATTAGTGGCGGGCGTGGCTGTAAAAGTAGAGGCGGGAATGCAGAGTGCCTTGGCGTGGGGATATTGTAGTGGTGGCTTGGGATCGTAAGAGATTGGAAGAAAGGAAAAGAAGAAGATGAAAAAGAAGAAGAAAATCCCGGTTGGTTAACGAAGATGACAATGTTGAAAGATGTTTGGATGCAGGAGACGACAAAAGGACACACGCATGAGACGTATCTGCCAATGGAGGTTATGCATCAAGGACGCACAATCCGTGTATCCGCATCTCCAAGGGCGCGCGTAGTTCCATGTTGGGCAGTTATTTGGAAAACTACCCACCAGCTAAGGATATCGTTATCTAATCGCTAATGTCCGGTGATGCCCGCCGAAGCCTCGTGATGCCCCCATAGTCGCCTATCTGGGCAATCGGGCAGTTGTGCCGAGACTGGCCGTGGACATGAAACCCCGATTGGTTCATAAACGGACGCCTCTAGCAGATTAAATGCCCCTCTCGGTAGTAATAGGGAGGAGCTGCAATAACGCGGGGTAGTGGAGAAGGAGGTCAAGTCTAATACGGAGTATATTCTGTAATAACTCCAGAAATATTCCGTTTGTGGACATGGCGTTTTTGTTTTCCGTAGTAAACAAAGAAAAGGACACATCCTTCTATATAGTACTTATAAAAGGTATTAATAAGGAACAATAAATGAATAAAATAATAGAGCTGAGGCGAGGTGACAATCATTGATGGCGGCAGGAACAACCAACACAAGTCATTTGCCCCGCCTGTAGCCGTTCTTGCCTGCTGTAACACACCTACCTGTATTCTGGTTCTGGGCAGAAAACGTAAGAGCCGGCACCGGTCGCTCCTTCCCCCACTCTGTCCACCACATCGGCCTTAGCAATGGCTGCGCAATGTCTCTCCACGGCCGCACCTGCCACTATTGTTCCCTCATTCGTGCAGCCGTTTCTAGGGTACGTACCTACTCCTACTAGGTACTAACTTACCTATATAATTGAATGTCAACCTTCTTAGTATCTATCCTAAATTGACTACCTACATGCTTTTTATAGACATGGTCTTGACATAATAGTAGATTATATTTAATACTATTAAAAATATGGCTACATTTAGTACGGCAATAGGTATGTACATAATTTGCCATTATCAATGACGCTCTCCCACCTCCCGTATCAAGGCTAATGAAGCATTTATACCCCAAAGACGTTCAAGCTTACACTACATCGAACGAACCGCATGTAGAAAGAATGCCATCCTTCTATTGGTCATCAACACCTTGAAGCTAACTAAACCTCTATCCAAGAACAATACTGCTCAAACGTCCAGAGACAACACTCAACAGCGAGAGAATGATAATCGTGATTGGTATCAATATTTCCACCCCTCCTTCATCTTCATGGCAAATCAACACTCTGAGGATTCTGGAAAATGTTACCAGCATCGTAACGCTGCTTAATCTGCTGCAGTATCGGCACCTTGTCACCCCAGTACGTCCACTGGGCGTCTGTCTTGCTCAATGAAACATCAACATATCCAGCATACGTCGTGTTAGCTGCAGGAGCTGCCTGCTTAATCCGTTGATGAACGCCAGACACAAAATCTCTGGTCCCTTGAAGTAGCGCCGGAATTCCAATGGCATAGGATTGGTACATCATGATCGCATCGCGATGAGGGTAGGCAGTGGCGTTGTATGCAGTGTCTGCCATGGCGCCTCCCTCCGAGTTGAAGATGATAAACCAAAGCAAGGTCTGTGGATCAGTGCTGCCCATGTAATTGAACAATCCATTGATGGAATCGTTGCTCAACTTGTCGTTTCTGTCGAATGCCAACGACTTGCTAGCAAATGGCGTAGAGAGATCGCTCAGATACAACGCGGTCGTCTCTGCAATGTGAGCCAAGCTTCCCATCCAATCCACAATAGCAAGATTGATGACTCCGCCGCCAGGAATTCTCTGCTGAATCCCTGTTTTATCGAATTCCTCTTTCGTACCGTAGAACGTGCCGGTGATGAGCGCGCCAAGAGGCTCCGCAATGAACAGTGTTGAAAAGCGTCGGTCAAGATTAGGATCGTACACCAGCTCCTGCCATTTTGCAAATACCGGTGCCATGTCCTTCTGATTACCGAAGCTGAAGCTGTAAGTGTACTCAACGACGCTGCCAGGCTCAGGGTGTGTCTTGAAGACAAACTCAGTGACGATGCCAAAGCTGGCTCCAGCACCTCGGATGGCCCAAAACAGGTCTTCATGTTGGTTTTCATTGGCTCGAATTATTCCGCCGTCAGCTGTAACGACCTCGACTTCCAGGACATGGTCGAGCGCGGCTCCCCACATTCGGGACATGGGGCCTAGTCCTCCCTGTTCATGGATCGTTAAACGAATTGCTCAACAATCCATGGCGGCATCTCTCCGCGCACGGAATACGCGTATTCACTTACCACAGTTGCATGTCCTCCAACTCCAACTCCTGGGCAAGTACCGTGTGCAATAGCCCTGCCGCCATTTGCATGAAGAAGTTTATCGAGTCCATCCAACCTAAATCCCGATCCAACACTCGCTTGCCATGTAGTGTTGTCCATCTGGAAGCTCTGAAGATTTACCAAGTCGATCATCATGCCAGTTACATCGCCGGCACCTTGAGCGAAATTTCTACATTTCTCAGGTCAGATATAACAATAAAAAATCGCAGTCTTTTCTCCGCTTCTCACCCATAAGAGTGCCCGCCAGATCTAGCTTGGACTTTGAAGCCATTCTCGTTTGCGCATTTCACTGCCCCCGCAACCTCAGTCGCATTGTTGGGACGAACGATTATCTGAGGATATCGCGGAAGGTCGAGATTGTATAGTTTTGTCCAGGCTATGTCGGCGTTGCTGCTCGGGATATGGTAGCACTCAAAGCGTCCATTACAAACGCTCTGTATGCATGTCTCGACACCGAGGGTAGAATTTGAGCCGCCCATTGTATGATATTTCTGCTCACCAGTTTTCCACAATGTGAAAATGGATGCGCCTTTTTTCAGATAGGAAACCGTGCATATATAACAGATGGCAAATTAGCCCTCAGTGTGGAAGGTAGATTGCACCCCTGCCCACTTCTAGACCGCAAATACGAGGGTTCGTGCACTCTTGGTGCTTGTTTGTACACGCAGTCGCAGCTCAGCTGGCGTCTTTTTACTCTATAGGCGTTACAAATAGCGAGCTTGGTCATTTTGTATTACACTGAGCTGTATTAAACATTTCATCACAAAATAGGGGCAATGTCTTGCTTTTGAGACACATGATTTCGGATAGTGAATCAGCCTGACGTATGTCGAGATGAGCTTCCAAATATTGGCTGCACCAAATATGATATTTGGCAGATGTGGCTGCGCCAAATTTGCCGTCGGTAGATCACCTGGGGATGGCTAGCTGGCTAGCTGCATATGCATGAATTGCAACCCTTGGAAATAATATTGTTGTTTCACTATTCCCAGGCGATGTCACCTTGCGCGCAGAAGCATACCCGAAAGCATTCCAGTTGAGATTTTGACAACTTAAAAAAGCTTAAATCTTATCATGGTTCAAAGTGGGCTGTGATTTTCGTTCTCATGTAAAACTTTACAATATTCTGCCATCTTACAGCTCATTATCCAAGATAACGACTTGACGAGCCTCGACTAATATGCCACCATGGTGCTGAGACCATCAATCTCGCGCTCCCAGCAGCGATGAGTGCTGATTGCGTAGACAAACTTATCCAAGAATCCCTTCGCATTCTTCGCAGCGGATACCAACTCACCCAATCGTTCAGGATGCACGCTCTTCAGTGTAACCACGCCATAGCTCTCCACAGCTTCGTTGTCACTCGAGATCGCTACTTGATCTGGCAGCTGAAGTGCTTTCTCGACCAATAAAACACCTTCTCCAGTGGCCCCAATAGGCTTGAGGTGACCAAACGCCTCGCGGATGTAATGCAGTGCTCGGCCATTCTTGGAAAGTGTCTCAATGGCTTGCTTTCCTCCTGGTACAAACAGAGCGTCAAACATTGTGCTGCGCTGGCCTTCCAGATGATGATCCGGAATAATGCCTTTGCCTGATTGGCTTTCTCCATCTGCAAACGTCTCAGATCTATGCGTGCCAATCACCAAGGGGACAGCTTTGGCTCCCTGCGCTGCTCCATAAAGTGCATTGAAGGCAATGGGATCATATCCATCGGCAACAATGATACCAATTCGCCTAGAAGCAATGATAGGCTTATCGGGGAGATACTCCAGTTGGCTAATGCCCTTGGCCTTCTTCCCGTGATTCGCCTGTCCTGCATTGTCTGGGATTGCCCCTCCCACCATCTTCCCGACAGATTGGGCGAGGCCAAGATCAATGTCAGCTAGCCGTTTCACAAGTCGCTCATAGACTATCGGCTCGTCGCAATGACTGAGTTCGAATGAGAACGCCGCCAACATGTGAGACTTTTCGATTTGAGAAAGCGAATTGAAGAAGAGCTGTGCCTGAGAGAAATGATCCTTGAATTTGGCACTCTTTGCTCGCTCCTTGATTCCGGCAACCTTTTCCGGGTAATCGACATAGCCGCCCTCTTCTTTGGTCGCAGGTGGTTGTGCTTCGAATCTATTTGGCCAATAATTGACCTTGCCCTTAGAAATAGTGTGTCGCATGGCACCGTCACGATTGAAGTTCATGACTGGACAGACTGGTTTGTTGATGGGCAATTCTTGCCAATTCGTGCCCAGTCGGCTCAGCTGAGTATCAAAGTAAGAAAAGTTGCGACCTTGGAGGAGAGGATCGTCTGAGAAGCCTATTCCTGGCACAACATGGCCTGTGCAAAATGCAACCTGCTCTGTCTGGGTAAAGAATTCATCCACGTTCTTGTTCAGTTCGAGCTCGCCGATGTAACGAATAGGAACCAAGTCCTCTGGCCACACTTTTGTGGCGTCGAGAATATCGAAATCGAAGTCATGTTCATTTGATTCGTCAATTGTTTGTATGCCAAACTTCCACTTGGGGAATACCCCGTTGTCGATGGCTTCCATAAGATCCTTTCGGTGGAAATCAGGATCTTGGCCAGCGAGCTTGAGCGCCTCGTCCCAAACAAGAGAGTGCACTCCAAGTTCTGGAGTGAAATGGAACTTGACAAATGAGCGTTTACCAGCCGCATTGGTAAGTGTGAACGTGTTAACTCCGAATCCTTGCATCATTCGGTATGAGCGAGGAATGGCACGATCTGACATGGTCCACATGAACATGTGCGTAGCTTCAGAGTGCATCTGGACAAAATCCCAGAAATTGTTGTGGGCCGACTGGGCTTGTGGAACTTCGTTGTGAGGCTCTGGTTTTCCAGCATGGATGAGATCAGGAAACTTGATTGCGTCTTGAATGAAGAAGACGGGGATATTGTTGCCCACAATATCCCAGTTACCCTCTTGTGTATAAAACTTGACTGCGAAGCCGCGCACATCGCGGACAGTATCAGCTGAACCACGACTCCCAAGTACAGTTGAAAAGCGGAGGAAAACAGGTGTCTCGCGTGATGTATCAGTAAGAACGTTGGCATGAGTTACATCCTCGGCAGATTCGAAGAGACGAAATGTCCCGAAAGCTCCAGTGCCTCGGGCATGGACTACTCGCTCCGGAATACGTTCATGATCGAATCGATGAATCTGTAATCCCAGTATTTAGCCACACTGAAGAGAGATTAATTCCACATTGTCGGGTCATGACAAACCTTTTCGCGCCCAAAGGGATCTTCTAGGAGCATTGGGCCTATCTGGTCCTTGCTATTGACCCGTAGCCAGTCATCTGTGTTGGTCTGCTTTGTGCCGAAATCAGATGTGATTCTACTATTTTTGGATGGCTCAACAGTGTAAGCCGTCAGTTGATCTGCTTTTGCTGCTTTGTGACCCATGACTGCTTGTTTCACCGATGAAGGAATAATATTCGACATTTTTTTGCTGTATTCTCGGCTTACAATTTAATTCATGCAAGCTTTAGGTATATGTCAAGGCGAGTTCATATTCTCTTTACAATCTCTTATACGGATTCCACCATGCGTTCTGAAAAGTGGCGATATATTGCATCGAGCCGTCACTCATACATCACCACCACATAATGTAAGACGTGATATTATATTGACGTCAATCTCAGTTGACCCTATGTAATGATGATTAACGCTATGAATATATATGGCAAGCTACCGCAAAATATCTTAGCATAATGATGCAATCGACAGCAGGATGCATATTTTTGTCTTCATTCAATACTTCCAGACAATATCATTGGGCCAAATTCTGCGGTCGCTGGGTTGCATACTTGGATGTAGCACTTATGGATCGGTAAATAGATATCTCGAAGGCTTTTAAAAAGTCTATTGCCGAACAAAATGTGTGGCATAATTATAACAAGTAGCGTCTGTGCCTAGCTTCTATGATTTCATCACTCAATAATGGCTATTCAAGTGATAAAGAAATTGCGATAAATGATGTAATTTTATGGAGCTGTGAACAGTGCGAAGCCGAAGGTTGCCTCAGCGGAAGCCGTACGATACGTTGGTGAACACGGTAAGGGGATGCTTATTTTAATTTCTGTCACTACCTCTATCTACAATTAAGCATGTCTGGAGATGTGATATGCTGTCCGTTAAAAAATAACGGACATTATGCTCCTAATGCATGGGACTTGGAAGTCATTATGCTTCCAGACTAATAACGGCTTCCACAGTGCATCATTTTTAGATTTGAACCACTTATCGAAGCCCCATTAGTGGTCTTACATAGTAATCAGTTGTGTGGCAAATGCCGTCTCTCAAATATGCGGCAAAAGCCGTATCGCTAATGTGTGGTAAAAGCCGTATCTCTTGTGGGTAGGGAAAAGCAATCGGACAGTCCTTTGGTAGTATTACTCTTGGGCCACACGGCTAAGTGAATGGTGAAGAAGAGTAACAGAAGTCGCACATTTGAAAGCATCATGGCAGCTAGGCAGCAGAGCTTGCCTCGCTCACAATGCCTTAATCCGGCAAAAGGGCTACCAAGAAGATGCTGATGATCTATTTAGCCGCGTCTCGCCGGTCGGCATCTAATACGGTAATACCCTAAACTAGATTATCCATGGATTATTGAGCAACAATTCTAACTCATAACGTAGTCTATCTAGCGAGATGAGAATTGGTGAAAATGGACTATGGGATCAATACGCGGGGCAGCGCAAAGCACTAATTGTTGCACCATTCACAAAGAAGGAATTAACCCTTAGTCGCGCTGTCAAGTAACTCCTCCTCTGAGATCCAAGGATGAGCGTAATGCAATGGGCTTTGTTCATCATATCTATAGTCTAATTACTCTCGAAGTTAGGTCGCTCTATCGTACAATCAATCATGTTTCTTCTCGGGTATCTTTTCCATCTCATCATCATTCAGCATTTTCATATGCTGGTGGTGGATCCATTACTTGTACATCCAACCAGGATGAGGTGTACTATAATACATTGTCAGCTTGACATAGATATGGAATGAATACGCCAATGTGCATGAAGCTTACATAGATCTTGCCTTCAGGCCCAATTGATATGCCGACCCTGATTTCGGCTGAATGTTTTATCCGCATCACGCATGATTCGAATGTTGGTTTCAAGTCGAGCTTGAAAAGTCGGCCCCAGGCGCTGGAATCGAATACCAAACTCTCTGAATCAACTGGAATGACTCCAGACATGCTTGACCCGGGGCAATGCTCATCCACGCGTCGGGTAACTGATCCGACAATGGTCGTTGTAGAAGTTTTGAAAAAGATATTTGCTGTTCGAACGAATATTTTCCCCACAATCTCTGATGGAGTATGTAGTATAAACTTGATAGGGTTCGCTTGTCCCCGGAAAAGAACTGGTGGCTCCGGGAGGAGTGCCTCAACTCGTAAAGATGGCGCATATGCTGGTAAACCGTCGATTCCATCTTCAAGATACCTAGAACCATCTTTCTGCCTCAGTACTAGTGGTAGGCTGGTACTAGGTAGTAAAACTGGCGAGATATTGATAGGGACATTGTTGCTGAATTTTAGTCCCTTAACAACCCTTGTTGTCTTAGACAAGGGGCCGAGTATTTGTCGATCTACGGCTCCTCTGACGTAGTATTCCACCTTTATCCTTGATTCCGCTTCACGTATGTCCATTGATGGTGGAAGGTGTAATGAGTGTGTATGCGCGAAACATCGGACCTGGGATGGGAATCGAAAAGAGAATGGGACAATGTAAATGCCATTGACTGGACGGTCCTTGTTTGATGTGGCATCGTTATGTCGTAATTCTTTATTTTCCTCGAACAACTAATTCTCATCTTAGCGATAATTATTCGTCGAAGCAATTTGGTGGTTCATTTCGTACCGTAAATTCCAAATCGCTTGGATTAGGACCAGCAATCTGCGCCGGCATGGAAATCGTTAACCGACCTGGCTGCCGTTAACAAATGAACGCGTGAGGTGTGAATAGTTCAACTTGTTGCGATGGATGGGATTGTCTTACCTCCAAAGGTAACTCTTGGGTGGGACAGCACATGGCCGGCGTGACCTAAAAGGTTGATCGTTCCCCGGATTTCGTCTTCAGGACCGAAGGTTACATCGTCAGCACCGGCAATATCCAATATTAATTTCATGATTTTGAGTGGTGGTGTCTTATGTAATGTGGACAGCATGAACTGAAGGTGGCGGGCATCATGCGAATTATGTAGAAACCGTGTTTCAGTGTTTTGACAGAATGACGTACGAGCATTGATTGTACTATTTTCGAGTTACTTAATAAAAGACAGAATGACGTATGAGCATTGAGTGCACTATTTACTTAATAAAACATCCTTGATCGTGCTGAAACTTACCGATGGTCTGTTCTCGCCGACGGTTGCTAAACACGGTCTAGTGAAGTATTGGGCTGTATATTGGGCAGTAATCTCCACATAAACCATCAAACAACCGGAACTCTCCCGTGAAGAGCTTAAAATAGTTCAAAGAAGATCATCCCATTACGGCCGGCATAAGCGAAATAAGCGGATGGAGTAGGTCCTAACTTGTACATAGATCATTGTAATTTCAATGTTTCATTGGTGTGAGACATGTGCTCCTCCGTGGAAATGCCAGAGAAGGGCTTCTCACGTGAACACCAGGGGTTGTAACGTGTATTAGCTGCTGGTTGGAAAACAAGGAACAAGCGGGCCAGGGCGGCAGAGGTTTGATATCATCGCAAATCTCATGACCTATGAATGCATGTTTCAAAAATATCATAGCTTGTCGGGATCGGTTGCAGCATGCCATTGCTCATTATTTTGACTACACGTTGGTCATATGAAGAATGGCATCCATTTGATTTGATTAGCATCTGATAGTAGTATGTCCATGTCTCCCTATTCTAAGACGTTTGAAATGAATCAAAATGCTAAAAGTACGAATGCATGAGCAAAATAAAGTATACTGCAGCTCTATGGAATCTGAGAAGCAAATATGGAGAAAAGGAAAGCATCCTGTTAGGTAAAGCCCTTCCCTGATGTATCCCATGCACCAAGAATCTCTTGTAAAGGCTTAATGATATTTTCGCAATACATCTTTAGAAACTCCTTTTCATGCCAAAATCGAAGAGACCCAGCACATACTTGTAAACATTGTTCGATAACCTGGCTTTGGTATGGCAGCAGACGTCTGGATGTGGCTTGCAGCCACTCGATGGCTACCATCATGCGTCATTGTGGTGATGTTGGATTCTCTTTGCCCGACTTATAGCACCATAACTCAAGCGGCCTGTGGTGCCAGATTTCGAGTAATAGGATTGCCAGCTCCGTCAATGCTGTTTTGGGATCTGGGCCGATACATGCGTCGCTGTCAATGGCCATTGCACATGGCGGTGGTGAGATCTCACCCATAAATTGTTCGATAAAAGGAAAACTGCCTGAGGTGATGAATGATTTCTCTTGGGGGCTTAATATCTTGATCTCATTGCTGTTGAAAGGCAGTCCCAGCCACCACGTCTGTTGTAGTTGGAGAATCGACGAGGCGACATTCAGAGCCAACAGTGTCTGCTCCTTTGGAAACATTTTGGCATCATCATCTTGGCATCCTGCTTTGAGGATATCCGCCAGCGTTATTGGACTTGCGAAATTTCGTCTGTTCTCAGGCGGTCCATCAACAAGGAATAGGTCCTCTTTGTTTAGTTTGAACTCCAGAATCCGACCCGCGGCTTGCGCTTCAGACACATGCTGGCATATCCGCGTCACCATCTTTTCACGGTGCAGCTGTTATCATCACTCTAGATGAGTTTTTGATGTCGTAATCCTCGTTGAGATCATCATCTTCGTGCACGTTGACATGCGTTTCTTGGAGATATCCGTGAAAGTCAAATATGAGACTGAACTTAGTCTGCTCTCGCAATTTTCTTTGTCTGCTCTTCTTTAGCGGCACCCTGCTGTCCAGTCTCATTAAGACCATATGTCTTTTCTCACAGCCGCAGTTGCATCCTTTACGCATGGCTTCGAACAACGGACCTGCTTGTCGCCGGACCTTTGAAAGCATAGTCGCTAGTTTTTGGGCATCTTCAGAAGGGTATCTTGCTGAAAGCACTTGCTGCGATTTCAAGCTATCAATCATTTCCCTTAGAGACAGTCGATCTTCGCTCAGCTCTTCCACAAGCTCCTTTAGGCTCCCCTTCTCAATGGTAAAGCTTAGCCGCTCTCTAAATGCGAAAGCGGAAGCCCCTACGGGGTTCTTCTCAAGAATTGCTTTCAAGTCATCCTTCGCAGCCTGTGGTATGAGAATCAGCCATGCAATTAAATTTATAAAACCTCTATATACCCACAAACCTTTGGCGGTCTCTTTATGTGTCCCAACTTGCTCACAATTGCCGTTAAACAAGTTTCATATCTTGTTAATATTTCCTGAAAAGTGTCGTATAAATGCCCAGGCCCTAGGTAGTCCTTAATCTCGTCTCCACTTCTTGTATTTCGAAGAATGTTGATACAATCTCCTTCGCTTATGTCCGATTTATCGACTACTTCACTGACGCCGGCATTTCGCAGTAGGTCGAGAATATTTAGATAAAAGAAAGTTCTTTGAAGCCTAAACCTGTATATAAGTGCGTCCAACTGTCCATGGAATTTCATAAACGTAGCCACAACACCTCGTCCAGCCTTGTAGTGTTCAAGTGCAGATATTGCCAACGGCATGATTCCGAGAACCAGCCCACAACTTCAAAGCCCGACATGGTGTAGTCGAGCTGTTTGCTTTGAGCTGGTTGCTTGGTATTCTTTGTCTAGCACTCTTTGTTTCGCAGATTTAACTCGTATGCAAATTCTTTGAGGCTGAAAGAGGGGTATTCCTTATACCTTTGATGGAGGTTGTGTTCATTTTCGATTGGATGGTGCTCAGATTATCTTGTAATCCCTGCTCTATTTCTGGGACCCCTCACATGCTCAAATACAGCTTTGGCTCTACCTTACTCGATCTTGCACTGATTGCACTGAGTGACCGCTCGATCCAAGAGGAAACATGGACCAGATCGACTCGGCACAGCTCTTTACGACGGAAAAAAAATATCGAACGATTTTCTTCAACTGATTGCCCTCTTTCAATTCAGTCAATCACCAAAATGCCGCCATCTAGCGGCGGAGGAACAGAGGTTCAAGTTGTGGGCACACAGCCTTGGGTTATATCAAGAAGGACACGCATCTCTAGATTATCGTGTTCGAGATGCCGAAGCCATAAAATCCGTTTTTGCTCGCATTCTTGAAGAACTTCAAAGTCATGTATGTCATCCATTTGTAATTCCTGACGGGCTTGAGCTTTTTCTTTTCTTTTCTTTTTTTTTTTTTTAAAAAAAAAAGAGTCAATCTTTACATGCTTATTTTTTTTAAACCCTAATGATGTGATTAATAAGATAAACCCTCCTCGCGATCAAGCGTAACGAGCGTCTACCATATGAAGCAAAAAAAATTAGTCAAGATGATCGAGAGGCGGAAGACGAGGGTAGTGGTGGCGCAGGATCAGAAAGGAGTGGCTCCGATGGATCCAGCAGCTTTTCTTCTTCGAGCGAAGAAAATTCGTTCCACGAGGTTGACTTTCGACTCGAAAGACTTAATGAGGCTATAAGCGTGCTTTATAACCTAGCAGACAAAATCAGAACTTCACTACATCGGCCACAACGCAACATTAATCAGCTGTATAAGCATGTGCCGGCTGAAAAAAGAAACGCCGAAATATAGGAAAGGGAGGAAGTCGAGATCGCCGCTGTTTATCTACATCGCCAGTACCTTATTGTAATCACAGACCAGACAGTAACAGCACGTGACACTGATGAATTATTTGAGAAGTCTTCATCCACAAAACATTGGCTTCTGCGAAGAACTGGCATTGCGAATGCTCGCCGAAAACAGCAGTTCATCTACTGGAAAGAACATGTTACTAGGCTTAACGAGATGCGAGCTAAATCGTCTGAGCAGAAAGTTGGAGAGGTCAACCCCATAACAGAAGACACTGCCGAAACCCCTTCGCAAATCAATTTGAAGCCTGTGATCCCTGAACAAACAAAGTTACCTGTAATATCAATCTCAACGACGACAGCTACAGCGTTGAAGCCAGGTGACTTCAGGTCTGTCATTTCGTATTAGACTCGGGTGTCGACAGTCATCAGTCCTAGGGGCAAGAAGATGGAGTGGCCAGATCCGCCAAGGGTAGACCTGATACGCGGATACTTCATCTGTCATTGCAAGACTTTATGTCCTGAGAAGTACCTCCAAAAGAGTGCGTGGATGTAAGTATATTGATGTGAATTGTATTCGATATCATTAACTCTTTTAACATTATTGCTGTAGTGTCCACCTCATACATGACTTGCAGTCGTATCATTGCAGATATGAGGAGAATTGTCTGGACCCAAATTGAGTCTATGGGAGTCGACAAGAATGGATCGACCATGAGAGCCAGCACACACGCGCATGGCACTGCCACGAACATCTTGAAGAGTTTGAAACTCAGCCGGAATATATTCAACATGTAGAAGACTCCCATCCCGATAGTACGCCTGAGCATTTCTCACCTGCATTGGTTGCTGCCGTTGTTGGTCCCTCAATGCGGATTCGCCGAGACTGCCCCTTCTGTCCAACCGGTTTCTCTGATATAGCGCACATTCAGTCGCATCTCCTTTTTCATCTTGAGCGGCTTGCACAACTTGCCCTACACAATGGTCCGACAGCTGAAGATGGCAATACGAAGTCTGGACACTCATCTCAAAGTCATCAGGGCCAGCTGCGGGGCCGATATGATTCCGTATTTTGCGACTTTGATACAAAGGAAGATTCGTCTTCCTTCGCAGAAGTTACTGCTTTGTATGCAGAAACATATGGCACAGATGAAGTTCTATTAAATGAAAAAAACGCTTAGTAGTGTTTCTGCCGCATTCTCTACAATAAATGTCAATGAATGACTGCAGAATTTGCTTCCGGGAGAATCACCAGACGAGGCAAACATAGGATACGAGGACGTTTCATACAACAGTTGGCCGCCAAAGAGAAATCTCAAATACTCCCACCCTCTAGAGGAATACACTGTAGGATGGGTATGCTGTAATCCAAAGGCGCTGTTCATTGCGGTTGCCATGTTAGATGAGAGACATGCCCCTCCGTCAGTCTCTCTCAACAACTTATATATATATAAGTTAGGTTCTATTGGCGATCACAATATCGTTATTTTATGTCCACTTATCGGAGATCATTCCAACTTCTTGATAAAGAAACTACCGCCAGATGACTTCCACGCGTCTTTGTCTTCTATTCAATACTGTTTCGTTACAGAAATCGGTAGCGGGATACCGCCAGATGTTAGACTCGGGGACGTTGTCATTAGCACACCTATGGGGCACTGGCAAATGATTGGTTCGAATCAATTAGATCCCGATTTAACAAGTTTAAGGGTCCAAAAATCGAGATCTCCACAAAGCATCCCTAGCATCGTACACTCTACTTTACGAAAATTAAAATCAGCACATGCGCATCTTGGTTCGAGCAGGATGCCAAGCTATATTGAAGAAGCAATGGATAGGATGCCTGCTCTTCGTTTTTTTAAATCTCAAATTAGATCAAATGCAAGATGATTTATTATTTAGCTCCAGTTACAAACATGTAGGTGGGCCTAGTACCACCTGTGGTACTGCTTCCATCAGGGATGATCTTGGCTAGCTGCTTAAGACATGTCATCATTGTGATAAATCACAAGCTATCGTCAAACCACCACGAGAAGTTGCAGTCCATTACGGGTCGACAATTTCTGCGGACCGGGCTATTGAGAGTGCTGTCATCCGGGATAAGCTCAAACAGTGATTTGGTTAGCAGTGCCCTCTGTATAGAACAAGCGGCGACAATTTTTTCAAGCAATCTACCTTATCTTATCAGTGGCATTTGCGTATATGCAGATTCACACAGAAATAAGAGTTGGTAGGGCTATGCGACAGGCGCAGCAGCAGCCTGTGTAAAGGAGATTTTAGGATGCATGTCATCCGAAACTACTGAGTCCGGTTGGTCATCTTTGAATATAGTGTTATTAATAAGCAAATAGACAAAGCATTCCGCCCAACTACGTCAAAACTATATAATACAATCCGTAGCTAAGTGTATGGTATGTGGAAAATTGGCAAGGTAAAGAGTATTCCAGACTCAGCCAGTAAACTAGATAGCTTAGTCTACGGTAGCGGGGTTTGTTATGCAAGATAGCTCTAAAACATTCCTATAACACTGAAGCAGCATTAGAGAGGCTCTGAGCTAGTTATGCTCCGTAAAGTTATATCTCCGCACTTCAGTGAAATGAAATCACAATCATACCACTTATTAACGCCACTGATGGAGTATGGTTTAAGATTGGCCTCACAAGTTTTCCGCCAAATCACTAAGATTACGGTGTTGAGCCTAATCTTTTGCGTTATTGGCGTTACGTAACAAACTTCGGCCATTAGAGATCCAATCACGCTCCTAATTTAGCACTCACTAGCCATATCATCAAGTTTACTACTACATTATAAGACCAAGAAAGGTCCTAACAAATTAAATCAATAAGAAATCTGCGCAAATAACACCCTGACAGAGTAGCAGTAGTCATATTTCTATATTATCACCTCCATTTATAAAAAGCGATGACTCAAGTCTGGAACTCAGCTGTTTGCACACAGAGTTGGGACATCGGATCTTATATTGATAATGTTAGTACAGTCCCTAGCGAGTTTCACCGAACAGACAATTAATACTCAGAAGCCACCTAGCACCTACAAAACTTCACCATATTCAGATGATAATAACTCTTTATGCAATTCTAATATTCTAGAACAGCCATTCGGATTACAATTACAATCTGATTTAGAAAACGACTTCCTAATCAATAATTTTACTCCACCGGCGCACGATGTGCAGGAGCTTTTTACACAAAATGGTGAACTCGACGAAATATATCGGCGACATAATCCGGTGACACAGGGTCGTAATCATATCCCAAGTACAAAAATGGAGCCTTACTATCCGGTAGTGGAAGCCACCCAAATTATTAAAAACAAGTCAATGAATTCGGAAATTAATATGGACTCGACTAAAGGTTCGATTGCAGCATCAGACTTTAAAGCCAATAAGACAGGCACATTATCCCGCACTCAACTTAAACACAAGCGCACCAGCTTTCCAACCAAGCAAGGACTAAACCGAAAGGCTAGCAGAAAATCAGCGAGAAATATTAGTCACAACGACACTGAGAAAAGCTACCGCAACCGATTAAATGATAATTTTGGGCAACTTATTACTGCTTTGCAAATACCAATATACGAGGATGGCAACTCTTTGCTTCAAAAGGAAGGGTTGAAACGGCTGACCAAATCAAAAGTCCTTGCCCTAGCACGCCAAAGGATTTTATCTCTCGAAATGGAAAATCAGGTACTCAGCGAGAACATTAAGAATCTATGCAGTGTTCTAAACGGTATTCATTTCTCCCCCTACTTTGATTTTGTTTGCTTGTTTTATTTATTATTAACGTCCGCTAAATAAGCGAAATACATGGAGCAATACTTCGGAGCCGTACCTAAACGCTCGGCCACCGACCTAGCCGCCTGCCTCGTCCACGACATCGAGGTGGCCCTCGCTAGGGAGAACGCAGAAGGGCTCCCCACTGGACGCGATCGCACTCGCGACTAAGAGCCTGCGCTGTCCCAATAGTCTTATACGGAGTAGAAGCCTGGTGGTCAGGGGAGTCTCGACAGAGCGCCACCAATCCCACCAGACAAGTATCTACCGGCGCTGTCACCACAATCGACAAAATGAACCAGGCCCTTCGGGTAGCCGCCAGAGCAGTAGTACCGGTTTGAACCAAGCTTGAAGTTTGGATGCTATAGAACTATTCCAGTTTCTTTATTGCTGAATGGCGTATTCTGAATGACATAACTCTCAAAATCTTCGAGCAGGTAGTACAAAGGAGCAAAAGGCCGCTCCGCGTCGCGCATGCCTCGGTGGAAGAAGGCCATTGCGCGACTTGGGTTATTGATGGGCCGTAGTAAAGGCTTTGTGAAAGTAATCAGTTGCGATGGGCAGAATGGCCTCTGATAACTAGTCATCATGTAGCCTAGGTGGAGGAAATAAAAGGACAACGCTCAAGTCTTAACACTGACGTCTACGTTACCCACGATAGACAGTCGACGTGCAATGGCATGTATGTGAAAGAGGAAGTGAATATTACTTTCTCAAATAGATGCGAATAGATCAGGTAACTGCCCCAAAAGAAACGCCGAATAACACCGTATCAGGCCACTCTGGCGGAAAGCACGTGATCTTTCAAGGCATCAACTTGCAAGGTTCACATTCATTACGCCACCTCTACATCAGAGCCGACTTGGGCTGATGAAGCACAGTCCTTCGTATTTTGCTATGGAGACTGTTGTAAACCACTTGTTACATCAGACCTTATTTTCAACTCAATCAACGCAGGCGTTTACCACACTCGAGACCTATGTCGCTACGTTGCGGATAGCCTTTTCTGCCAGCCGGCTATTGGCATTATTGTCACCTTTTTCAAATAGTAGTGTAGAACAGGGGGCCCTTTAGAATGAGTAGTTAAGAATTCTGTGTTAAGGGAAGTTTATATGATCTCCAGCTCTCCAGCTCTTGTCCAGCGACTACTTGGGGGAGAGGGGAGATGTGGGTGTCGAGGACGTTGACGATGTGAAACTTATGCCCAAGTCGTCCACCGCTAAAAACGAATCAAGAGGCGTCAAGCAACCCACCAATGCATCATGGGTACGGTAAAAATATGTTGTTGCATTGTCCCCAAATGCTGTGTAGCTCGATGATGTTATGTAACTTTAAATGTTGTGGCTGAACTTATACAAGCATTGCCGACGCACCGAAGGTATCTTGCAGGTGGTGCGACGGTCTCAGCTGCCTAGTGACCAAACCTATGATTTGGACGGCTGTTTATTTACCTTTCCAACTCACTGGTGATACTGATCAGATACCAGTTTCCTTGTTTTCAATTCCTTTTAGAAGATGTTCTCAGCTTATTTCATAAGTGGATTTCCTACTTAGGTTGCAAAAAGAGGCAGAGTGCCCACTCAGGTCCTTCTATCGGCGGGTGGGCTTTCAAACTTGAGCTAATTCAATCATGTAAAAAAAAAAAAGAAGTTTTTTCTGGCGAGATTGTGGTGGCACTCCAGCCTCATTTGGCGCCCTTGCTGCTACTTAAAACTCGCGGACAACAAATTTGGGCACTGCCTTCAGGTAGTTGTTAATTGCTAGTGGGGCTATGTCCTGTGTAATGGCGTTCCAGCCCATACACCTTTGGCTTGGCCAGTAAATTAAGCCGCGTATGATGCCTATGATGTCAGACTACCTAATGCGCGGTAGATGCATAAGGAATCATATAATAATTTGCGGAAATAGGCAAGTCGAGGTTGTACTCAATTCAAAATTCTGCATATGCAGGGCCCCGAGTCCAGTTCCCAAAGGATCCAACTTTCATCCAAGTCAAGCTCGACATACAGCCAGCTTTACTCATCGTTAGCCAACGGCCATGGCTCAGCCACAGGACGAGCTACGTAAAGATATGAAGCTCCTCATAGAACATCTAGTCGATCGTTTTCCACTTCCAGGATATGAGGAATCGCTATCAAGGCAGGTGAAGGAATTTGTGCCAACATTCGTGATTCTTTTCGGCTTAGGCGGACAAATTATATTCACAGTTATAACTACGGCATCGATAAATAGGGATCCAGAGAGGGCCCGAACCTTACTCTCTATCGCACCTGACCGCTCCGCTAATATAAACCTAGGACCTAAAGGTTTGTCCTTTGGAAATAGCTAACCTATATTAATTATATAGGACCCAGTTCGTCACAATATATTTAATTATTTTAAGTAGCTTATATTATAATATTTTTTTCTATTAAGTAAACCTATGCTTTTAGTAGTAGGGCTTACTTCTTTTATTACATATACTTAATACTAAGATCCTAAGTTTTAATGAGCTGTCTCTTCTGTATTTTACCCGAAGGGTATGTATTTCTGGTTAGGCCATAATAAATTCTTTAAATTGGTCTTCTGCAAAATATAGGGACATATTAAAAAGTATACCCCCTAGATTAAAAGGTATCCCTTTAATAGGGGACCTATAGCTGTATGGCCTATAATTTAAGGGGTATAACTAATATTAATATTTTTTAATATTTTATATAAAAAAAAAATATTATAAATCGCTTATTAATTATTTAATACTTTAACTTTAATAAAATTAATATTAAATTAAAACTATTTGTAACTTAAATTTTTATATTAACGCTATTAATTATAAAATTATTATATAGTTTTAAATTTAAAACTATTAATAAAACTAAAGCTATAATAAATATTATAACCTTACCCTTTAACTATAATTTTATTAAGCAGAAAGTTAAAGTTAATAATATTTAACTTTATTATTATAAAAGAAAAAAGTTTAAATTATAATAAAAGGATAATCTTTTTATTAACTAATATTATAAAATAAGCTTTTAAATAATAGCCTACAGCTATAGGCTTTAAATTAATTGTTTTTACATTAACGCTTTTTAAACTATTTACTGTAGTAAAAATAATAATATTAATAAATATAATTATAAATTACTACCCCCTTTAGTATATTTATAAATTAAAAAAATAATTATTAAAAAAAAAAAAACTATTATTATCTCCTTATATAACTCTAAAGTTAAACCTATTTAAATTTTTATATAACTTTAATTTAAAAATACCTTTAATATTAAAAGGTTAATTTACTATAATATTTATAATATAATAATAAAATATTATTAAAAAAAGTTTATTAACTATATAAAAATATAGTAGCTTTTTAATTAACTTTAAAATAGTAATATATTATAATAAACTAAGTCCTATATATTAATATAGGTTAGCTGTTTCTAAGGGATAAATCTCTGGGTTTTAGGTTTATATTAGCAGAGCGGTTAGGTTAGATATAAGTATAGTTTTATTAATGTTATATAATTAATAAATATAGTAACTGAATTTAATTTAATTGCTATATTAATAACTAGCTATTTAAGCTATTTAAATAAGTATAAGAACGTAAACTTATATATTTAGTTAATTAGGTTAAATTATTTTATTTTCTAAATAATTTTATATTAAATTATTATATCTTTTAAATAATCTATTATAGAATTATTAAATTATTTTAATATTTTAATAATTTATTTTTAATTAATTAAGTAAGCTAACGTTTATTTATAAATGCCTACCCTATAGGCCTTTTATTATAATTATAAAAGCTAAGTTATAATATAATATCCCCCTTTTATTAATTTTATCCCTAAGTCTTTATTTATTTAAATATAAATACTACATCCCTACTTTAGTAGGTTGTTTAATAATTTTATTTTCTTTTTTTTATTTAGCTTACTAACTTTATATTAACTATATTAAATTATATCTTTAAATTATTTTATTTAAAAATAAAAAAATATAAAAGTTTTTTTTATTTTATAGTTAAAAATACTATTATTATAAATAAGCGTTATTTTTATTATACATTATAAAATTATAAAAAATATCTTTTATCTTCTTTTAACTTTTTATATTATATTAAATATATTTATTTAAATAAATCTTATTATAATATTTATAATTTATTTTTTAAGTAGTTAAAGTATATTACTGCTTATTATTTTTACTTAAAAAATAAGCTTAAAGTAGCTAAAGAAAAGCATTATACTATAAATATAAAAGTTAAGCGTTTTTATAAGGAAAAGAAACGTTAATATAAAAAGATATACTATAGTATTTTATAAAGGATTATTAATATAAAGGAGTTAAATAAAGTTAAGGAGGCAGAGTGTAAAGAATATAAAAAAGTAAAGGCCGCTTATTAAACTATAGCTTTATTACTTAGTTTAACTATTCCTATACTATCTATTTCTATTATTAATAATTTATTTTTTTTTATTAATTTATTTTTAAAAAGAGTAAATTCTTTTTTATTAACTTTTTTTAGTTTAGCTTTTAGTAAAATTCCTTAACTTTATTTTTTAAGTTTTTTAAATTTTTAATAGATTTTTATATATTTTTTATATTAAAGTAATTTTTTTATTTTACTAAATATTTAGGTTATTTAATTTCTTTATTATATTTAAATATAGTTATTTTTTTTATATTATATTTAAGTTCTTTTTTTTTTTAATAATAATTTTATTTTTTATAATTTTTTTTATTTTTTTATTTATTATTACTTTTTTTAATAAAGAAATATAGAAAATTAAGTAGATTAGTTTTCTTTATTTTCTTTTTTATATTAAAAGGTTAAGTTTATAATTAATAATATTAATTTTTTTTAAAATTTTATATAGTTTAAGTGTTTTAAAATTAAGCTTATTATTTAGTTAATTTATTTTAATATTTACTATTTTTTTATTTCTAAAGTATTAAAGTAAGTAAATTATATTTCCTTTTTAAAAGATTAGTTTTTTAATTTTTTATATATTAATAAATTTATTTATTTTTTTTATATAAATTTAAGTTATATTTATAGTTTATTATATAGTTTTTTAATATTATTTACTATAATAATAGCTTTTTATATATATATATTTTTTTTAATAGTTTATAAATATTTAATTTAAACTTATAATTTATATAAAATAGTAAATATTTTA